TATCATTTATTGAGTGGGCCACATAAAACTTGGAGGCGGAGCAGTAAAATGTGCCGTGTACGTTACAGTAATATGCGACGAAAGATTACATCTTCCGTATGAGAAGAAGACTCATGGTATTCCATTGAGTTGTCTGGTGGATCTCTGCTGTATGGAAGGTCCCTCATTAAGGTTGACTGTTTAAATTTAGAGTTGTTGTCTCAGCCACCCTAGCATGAGCTAATCAGTAGATATATTCTAATAGACGGCAAGGAAAACGCTAATTTAACGCAAGAGATTAGATTGGACGGAATGATTTACCATTTGCTGGTGATCGATCGACATCATGAATTGGTCTTCCACTATGAAGACTTTAGTAGGCCCAGAACAATTTGCCTAGACGTTTGCGGAGCTTTGTTTCCTTGGATTCTATATAAATGTTGCTTCGGTGAGGTGCCAAGACAATTTGGTCATTGCTTATGGGGCGCTCTAGATCACCTTCTTGCGTTGGTACTGAGACAGTATTAATTAAATCATTGAGACTTAGGAACACTCATGAACCATAGGCTTGCCATTCTGCGTCCGGGCTTAAAAGTGTTCTAGCTTTGTTATAATTCTAGAACATCAACAGTTATACGATTTATCACATGGCTGATCACGTAGGTGGCGAAGCACTTGTGTCATCGTGAGTTAATCATTATTTCCGAGAGAGATAAATTCCAGTATGACCTCTCTGCACATATTAAATTGTTAATACTCCTAAGCATTCTATCACAACTTCGCATCACAGTTTCTGAATAACTCTTCCTAGCGGTAACACTCATTGGCCCATGATGCCACCCACAAACAGAGAGAGGGATGGATTTGTTACATACCATCATGACTTCCAGAGTGTCAGTGGTGATTGCATTGAAGATCAGATGGCTATAAACACCAAAACTTTTCTGATCGGAAAGCATTATCCAAACGAGAAGAATGTGGCTTTTATACAAGCGAACGACCAAGCTTTTCCTATCGCGGACAGCGGAACAGTTTATCAGATGAATGTCACTGATCTGGTGGAGCGTCTCGGTCTCAACAATCGCGGTGGAGAATTTTCGTGTTCGTTGCGGTCGGGCGGTTCAGGGGTTCGTGTCTCGGCCCGTCCCGACATTTTCGCTAGCAGTAATATTCCGAGAATTCATCTCGAAAGATAGAGGCGCTTCTGGATCCTCTTCCTGAAATGATACAGGTTGCATGCAAGGATAATCGCAGTACAGTATAGTACGTCCCGAAACTGGTTAGATCAAATACAGTCACATTAATAACACCCAAAAGAGGTTTAACTTGGAAGTATTCCCAAAGCGGTTTAGCTGTCGCTGAAAATCGAGCACTGTCGCCGAAAACATTACCCTCCAAAATTCCATAATTTCGATACCTTCTTTTGGCCCGGATGTGTTGGAGAAGATTCAACTGCGGATTCCGACTGGGCGGGTCTTCTTTGACTTCCGTACATGAGGTCAATTTCCTGCGGCCCTTGGGGTGGCTCTAGTTCTAGACATGAATTGCCCGTTAGATATCTACTCTTCTCCCTTAATAATGACACAAAAATTGGACCTGGAATTTAATAATATCCCGGATTTTAGATCTATTTGTAAAAGGCACGCACTCTGAAGAAAATAGAATTTTATTTGGAAATAACGCCTTTGCATTTACATTACAGTATGGGGAAAACCTTAAACAGGAAGAAAAACCCACACCAAGGCAACAGACTACTTCCAACCAAAAATCGAATATCCAAGTACACTGCATTCCCTTGTAGGTCAACCAACTCGCACAGAAAATCATCCTATATAGTTGTTAGCTTGAGTAGGTGCATTTTAGATTCCGACAGATTCCACTCACTCCCACAATAGTCATTAGTGTCCCCGGCCCCAGTTTCTATGCAAGTGTTAGAGCAGTACTTGATGGCGTCAATTCTACTGCCGCCTATACACTCAAAGAGAACATTTAAAGGATCGGCGGCGGCCTCAGGAGCAAGTCTGTTATTGCGTTTAATAGCGACCTGAAGATCGGAAGTTGACCAGCCTGCTCAATCAGCGGATGTACTGGATATAGACTAGGAAAAATGAGATACCTCTCGCCTTTACAAGGTAGCTCCCACAATACTCCTTGTCTGCATCGCACGATCCTCCGGCCAGGGAAGTAGTCGCAACAGCCATAAGTGAGAGAAAATATGATAACTTCATTCTGTAAAGGCAGAAAAGGTCATGTACCCAATGTAGTTATATAGTAATAATTGGACCGGTTTATTCCAATAGAAGTGTTTGAGACTGACTTGAATGATTCTGTCGGCTATTTATCTCTCTAGGTTGAGTAGGGCTTACATCGATGACTTCATGCAGTCATATTCAGTTATGACCTAGATGTTACCTCTGACGCTTATATTCTATTGCCACCATACAGCCATGGATCAGCCTTATAGAATTGAGTAGATTAGCTGGGTGGCACATATTCTGTGGATAAGTCAGCAACAAGCTAAGCTGTAAGACAATTATCCGTCCGCAAACGTTTCTCACACAAAAGCGGGGCGCGCCAAACGGTACAAGTGCTCACATGAGCTTCAGAAAGTACTTTGTTGACTCTTATCACTCCCAGAGGGAGTAGCAACCGGGACCCGCTGTTGCCGGGGGCCAGAGTACCACGGGGGGGGAATTGATGTTACCTCTGACGCTTATACTCTATTGCCACCATACAGCCATGGATCAGCCTTATAGAGCTGATCCTGTCAACGAAAGAGGGTCGCAATCTTACTAGCGCGCCCGAGGAATATTTAGCACCCCCATCTGCCTGATGATTGTAAGGCTCACATCGACCTTACTAAGCTCATCCCTTATTTATTCTGCACGTTCTATAATAGATCAAAATCCACACTCTCAAATACTCATCCTCAGCACTGGTATTCCATTAACACAGAATGAGCAAAGCTATCCGGCCTTGCCCTATCTCATAGATAATTGGATTCACTTTCCTTGTTTGTGACTATTTGTTTGTGAGTGTACAGAAAATGACACACGCCGACAAAACTTGCAAACAATAGCTAGTAGAATGGCCCGGACTGAACTGGAGATGCCGTGCACTGGCTCGCTCGCAATCTCAAGCGCATTCGCATGTGCAGCCTCGTAATAATCGGGAGCACTCTCAAAATTGTCCTTCGCTGTACCTATTATTATCGACCTTCGTCGAACGTGGGTGTCTCGACAGGCCAAGACAAACAACAGGAGGTAAGAACTCTGAAACAAGGTCAGCAAAAGTTAAGTATATTGACCGTCAAAAATCACGTACCCAGTTACAAGCAAGAATATTGCAACAATGGCATTCCCACGCCCATCTGAGTAGCCACTTGCAGCTCTGGCGTTGAGGATTCCGAAAAAGAAGTGCACTCCTGCAAAAGCAAAATCCAAGGCGATGGTAAACCCTCGATGAATGGTACGCTCGATGTGAGAGAAGATCGAAACGAGGGCCGACCAAATGGTTGTCACCGCAAGCTGCTCGAGGTCAATAAATCAGACGTACTTTAACTTGGCTTTTCAAGGCGGGGGCTGCATACAATAATGAAATAGATCACTTCAGACACTGGGTAGTAGGTTCCCACTGCTATACAAATGATACCAATCAAAGCGACAAGAGCATCAAAAGCTCGAACAGCTGTCCTCGACAAGGCGGTGAAATTCGACCGGACACGAAACCCCTCAACAACAAGACCGTCGTGAAAGACACGGAAGAAGATATTGTATTGGCGCCGGGCGCCTACTGGAAGTTGTTCTTGGGGGAGAAGCTACACATCGTCATCCAAGAGAAAGTGTCTCGTAACAGAAGGGTCGGGATCGATGACACTGCAATTGTCGTGTCAAACAGCGACCGTACCCAGCGTGATCTAAATAAGCGTTTCAATAAAACGGAAATAGTTTGGGCCCCTATTGAGAAACAATTAAGGATGTGGTCGAGCTATTTCTACTGTGGAAAAAGACTTACGCTGAGAGTCTATTTTAATTATATCGAGGACTATAGTTCCCTACCCGCCGGGCGAAGGGGTAAATAAAAGGGGGAAATCCTCTGTCACAACAAGGATACTTGAAGACCGAGATAGCTAGCTAGATGCTAAGGAAAATTTATATAGACAGCAATCGATTTGGCGGCGCGTTTATAATTTAATAAAATATGATTTAGCCGTATGCCACTTAGGCCCTTATTGCTAGCTAGATCCAATCGGAAAGAATTATTATCGACTCCGCACGCAATCAATTAGACGCCTAGTAACCTACGCCGAAAAAGGTGGTGTCCTAGAGACGCACAGAGACGTTCTAGATAAGATTCGAGATAAGCTCTACATAGAAGATCAGTAGAGGGAGGAAAACGATAAGCGCAAAGGCGGTAATATTCTTAGTAGTCAAACGTCGCATTCGCCGATCAACATCAATATTCATCCCCCTAGAGTGGCCACAACAATAGCTTCAGCTATTAAGGCAGCTAGGCCAAAATTTGCGAGTCCGCTAAAGATTCCTAGTCTCAAGAACGTGGCCGTCAAAGAATATAGTGTATAGCTTGCATCGAATATATCTAATGATACTCTCAAAGCTGCATTCCGACAAGCGTGCGATATAACCCTGTTAGATGGCTTTGAGCTTAAGCATATCTATAGGATTAGAACCCGGAATTTTTTGTCAGCAAAGGGAATAAACCCGGGGTTGCTCGGAGTTTCGTAGAATATATTCGTGATTGGGTTGAGAATGTGAAAAAGGCATTGCCTGTTCTCGATTTGGTGTAGACGAGCGTGTGGGCGTTAGGTCCGGTTATCTGGCGTTTTCCTTTTCCCGCTCGCCGGGTATGCAACTTTGAAATATGAAGCACAAGTACTACAAATTTTTAAGATGATTTAGTGTGAATCAGTTTCGGGTTCATTAGCGGTCGGATAACGTAAAGAGTAGTAAAGGCTCCTATCGCACGCTAGTATTATGATGTTCTGTAGAAGCGGAATCAGCCTATTTTCTGGCCCAACGAGTCTGTCGGTTGAAAGCTCTCTTTTCTTCCCCTTTCATAAGCGTCAGGCCCCGTTCTCGAAGTTCCGAAAAGAAGTTAAAGGCAGCGTCGAACTTATCAGGATTTGTCCAGCCATCTCGTTTCACAAGACCTTCGATACTGTTAAAGAAATCCTGGACCTCATTCCAGCCCTCGGCATGGATATGTAGTTCATCCTGCGTGAAGTGATATGGACACTCGCCATGGATGCCAAGTTCTTGCCAATATCTGAAATCAGATACCGTCCGGAAAAAAGAGGAGATACTGAGTGAGATAGATACCTTTCAACGTTAATAAGTGCCTGACGAAAAGAGACTATGCCGTTATTCCATGTATTTCCGGCCAATTCGACCGGAAGACGCCTTGTCTTCCCATGGTCTAGATGGAACGCTTTGGCAAGAAGGGGGTTGCGCTCTTTGGTCTCCAGCAGATATAGCTGATATAGCGTCGATTTGAATATTTGCTGCTTGATTTCAGCTTGCTGCTCAGGGCCTAGATCGTCAAAATTGTCTGGGCGTTGAAGTAAAATGCTGCCTGGGTAGTCCACGATCGGAAAGGGTTGGGATTGAAGAAAGACTGGACCTGCCTACAAGCCTTGCCAATCAATGGTAGCCGTTGTATGGCCATCATCCACAAAGAGATTAGATGAATGAAGGTCTCCGTGCCACAATGTAGGGCGAGTGAGAATAGGGTCAATGTCCATCATAGCAGGAGCCACTTTAAGATACTTCTCCAACAGCTGAAGATATGCTTATGAACTGTTTTGGGCCGAAGAAATTAGGGTAGCTTCGCTTGGTGGTTCCGAAACGGCAATATTTTTGATCCACTCTAATTCACGCCAGCCAACACTTAGCGCATATTCTTGGGCCGTTCACCCTTATGAAAATCAGCAAAAGAAAAAAGAACAACTTAAATAGCAATAAGAAAATGCTTACAAGGATCCCTCGAGATCTGCATCGACGAGCGTTCCTTCTTCCAAAGGTTTCGGCGACGGTAGGCCCAATACTGAATTTCTGGTATACTCGCTCTTTGAGCTCGGAGGGAGCTCCGTTGGTGAGCAGGGCTGGAACTGCACCTTCCACTATATCGTTCGCGAAATATATGCTGCCAAAGCTGACGAGATAATCAGATTTCGCACTTATTTGTGAATGAGCAAATGAACATACTGCGAAAACGACACCGCAAGTATCTTTGACTCGATAGTCACTATCTCCTTCATAATAGAAAGGTTTTTGTCCGGACTTAGCTGATCCCAGATGACTCTAAGCTATATGCTAGATGCTTCTTCCATGATAATATATTCCGAGCCAACGGTGTTATATGATGTGGCACTCCAATCAAAGATTCGGGGCACGGGGATTTGAAGAAAATCTTGAGCCTAGGTTGAGCATGAACTAGCCGCCCTTGCGATTAACTAGTTTGAGGTAAACTTACAAGCTCTATAGTAGCGACTTCGGAAGCGGTCGAATAGAACGCCGGGCCGGCATTTGGGTTTGGTATACAAGCAAGTACCCTTTTTCTATCATTAGTGACCAAGCGGAACACCTTATTATATCCTCCCTCGGCCGGCTTCGTTACAGAGATGCAGCTGTCTAATCTAACAGCTTTGGCCGCGAGGCTTTAGAGCTTAGCAACGTTAAAGGTCTGATACCTATCCCTAAGCTTATGTTCTTCATCCCAGAGCTATCGTCCACTAGTAAAAAGGAAGAAGTGCACGTGATCAGGATTTCTCGTTGTTATTTGCTCGGGAAGACTCGTGATCGTGCGAACAACGCGAAACGAAGGAAGGGTAGTTGTTGTTGACTATAACCGCGGTGGTGCTGAAACGAGGGCAGACGTTCGTGGTTGAAAACAATGAGCTGAGCAGTTTCTCAAATGTGGAAAAGCTGAAATTGCACGACGTCCTATGTCAATGTTCATTGCTTGTGTCTAGTTGAGAACGGTTCAAAAATCATTTGCGCGGGAGCTGGGTGTAAGCTGCCCGAACTTCTTGGCGCTTATCAAGTCACCTAAGCAGACAGCAATATTCTGTGAATTTGCGTGGATTAATTTCCAATCTTAAAATAGGATAACGAATGCAACTATGCAGGCGTGGCTGCATATGACGGACGTGAAAGGGCTTGCGATGATGGAATCGCCGAAGCACATCACTTATTTGATGTTGGTCGTTATGGTGACGCTTTCAACTGTCAGCAATATATTGCGAGGGAAATATTAGTCAAGAAGATTATTTGATTTCAATCGAAAACCGCGTTGGAGTATTGAGTATACATGACTGTAGGAATTCATCAGCAATATTTGCTTCCGGTACATTGATTGAATATAACAATCTCGGGTCGTTTATGCTGTATGGGCTCATTAATAAGGTTGCTTCCTATCCATCGACGGCCGATGTCAAAGGCCGAATACCTCGATCCAAATAACCCCCCACCGTGCATCTAAGCCTCCCCTCAGACTTGGTCTGTTTTGAACCTAAGCCATAAGCGGTAAGGGAATTGTTTTTATTGGCCTTGAATATGATGGAATATCTTGAAAGCGCTTGGGCTGTAATTAGCACCAACTGTATGGTTGAAGTCCTATCACTAAGCCCTAGGTGGTTTAGAATAGCCTTGCAAAGCTTATATATTACCTTCGTTCCTTATTAGTAGCCCTAGCTACCTAGTCAAAATAATCCTAAATATTAGAGAAGTGCCGTAAGTCCTAGCGTAGGCGCTTCTTTCTTCCAAAGTCTGATTATAGCCACCATTGTACGAACTCGATAGTTATTTCTTTAGTATATACTATATATAGAGTGACACGGTTAGGTCGAATAGTCTCGAGGTTAGGTGGAATCGGAGACAAAGAGAAGGTTTGTAGTGTGAAATCGGAGTCGATTGCGGAGCTTGCGACCGGAGGAAATACCTATTAACTAATCGATAGATCAGGGGTAAGGTCGTCCAAAGGAAGAATTAGAAGGTTATCTAGTAGTAGGAGGTCCATGTTATATATAGATAATACGTAGGCATTAGTGAATTGAGATATTAGGGACTATAACGTATTGTGTTAGCGAGTGGAACACCTACCAATTATATGTACTATTATTATTCAATTTATTCAACCACAACACGTATTTAGTAATATTGAAGCTATTCAGACCTCTCTGGGCACCTATTTCTCCTATGTCCAGGCGTTTTACAGAGACTGCATCGCTGCGGTCGCCTCTTATTGGTCCGATTCGGCGTCAGCGATGCATAGCCGGCTTCATCAGGTACAGCTTCCTCGACCTCTCTAGGTCTATCTATATACGTCATGGCTTCTTTAACTAGTAGACTGCCTTTATACGCTATTTGAGCTTTTGTACGCCGTTTTTTACGCGTAACTTTCGCATTGGCGGCGAGTAATTCAGTGATTTGCTGCCGCGCAATAGTGACGCTGTGTATCGCGAGCTGACACCCTTTTTCTATCTGGTCTATAGTATCACCTAGACGTTAGGGGTCATCGGTAGCGAGCTTCCTGATAGATGAAGCTTGTCTCTTTATATCTTTCACTATATAAGGCATCTTCGGAGTAAAATTGCGGCTCGAATCGCTGCCGTTGCTGATCGGTCTCGGGGGCGTAATAAGGCGAATATTTAGCTTCGAAATGATATATTGCGGGTTGAATAGAACAAGACTAGCGCCGGCGAAACTATTCACAATTGTTTCCGGCTTAAATGCTTCAATTCTCGCCGTCTGATATACCTCCAAAAAGTCCGTTTTATCGACGCGGATCCGGTTAAGTCTCGCTTGCGCCTCGATCACCTTACTATATGCCTATTTAATAACACTAAAATAACCGATATCGAGAGGTTATAGGATATGAGATAAATGCGCTGGTATGCAAATTGGAATAATATCATTATCAGCGCAAATCTTATCGAACTACGGCGTAAGATAGCTGCAATATCCGTCGAGTATTAGTAGACGATATCTTCCCTTTCTCCGGCTAGTAGTCGATAGTATAAAGAGCTTTTAAAGCTATTCGAGTCCGATAGCATCCGTAGTCTATCCGTTATCACTAACAGCGAAAAGCCAGTCCTCCGGTAGGTCTATGTCGGCAAACTATGCCTTCATGAAAACCTTGCCTTTAAAAATGACGTATGGCGGTAGCACCTATCCCGACGTATTTATCGCCTTAATTGTAGTCACCCACTACCGATTTCCTGGTTGTAAAAGAGCCCTCCGACCGTATAAAGTTCGAGTCACTACCTTAGCAGTGGCAGTGAGGCCGAGGGCGAAGCTAGTCTCGTCGAAATTGTAGATATCGTCATCGAGGATGCCGTATTTCGCGACCGTACTTTTCACGAAGTTAAACTACGTTGTAATCATCTTTATGTCTTCGCATTGAGCTCGTCGGTAATCGTAGGATCTCGAGAATCGGGTAGAGAGGTTTGAATACCGTTGGATGAAGTTATAGACCTATTTTATGCCGACCGACTCGGTCGGATCAGTCCCGCAGTCTTCGAGTAGCAAATTAGCTACCTCTCGTATAGTATTCGGCCGGGGGGTAGCTTCGCGCTCATCTAATAAGATAATCCAATTCTCGAGAGTTTCCTCTTCTAGAAAAGTCAATTTATGGTTGTTGGCGCGGGTTTCTTCGCGACTTTTGACGCCGGCCATACGGCGACGGAGCGTGTTAAGGGGTACGTCAAAATCGCGCGCCAATTGACGAATTGAGCATTTTTCTCTATTCTAAAAAGATTGAATAGCTAATAAGATCCTACCCTCTTGCTCTGTACGTTTTTGAGAGCTTTGAGAGCGTATTGGAGGCATGCTGGGTGGTTGAAGAGGAAGGTAATGAACATGAAGCGTAGACTTCCGCAAAGCCCATTTTGGGCCCAAGGTTCCGGCCCAGAACCCAACCCAGCCTGGGCCCGGGTTGAACTTCATTAACCCGGGCCCAACCCGGGCCCAGCACTGGGCCCCTAGTAAACCCAGTTTGGACCCAACTCGGCCCAACTTTTGCATTATTTCAATCATAAAACTGCTCAGTCATCAAGATAACTCACTGGATTTTACATCGGTTTTGATCTATACCTTGAACCACTATACTTTTCTAGTATAACTAGAGTGTGTTCAAAGCTATAAACGCGTAGAATCAACCTTAAATAAGTAGTTATAGTTCTTTAGGCTTAGAAAGGTCAGACTTTGCTATGGTTTTCACAGTATTTGACTTATGACCTTTTTATTGACCTTATATTAGATATACGTAGATGAGTTCTATAGGCGACACTACAGGTTTTCTGACGGCCGTCAGAAATTATTAAACTAAGGTTTATCTTAAAACCTAGTACTGATTTTTTGACGGCTGTCAGAAATCATGGTGTAAATATATATAGTGTGCGGATATATATTTCACAATATACAGTGTTTGCATACCTATGAATGCTTGAAAAAACCACTATAGAATTCGGGTATTGTTACTTTAAATCTTATATATCATATATACTAATTATATTCTTTATTATTCCACTATATTCGACTAGTAGCTAGTAAGATTATATAGATTGTAGGTCTTTTTAAGTACTTGTATAAACCTAGATAGGTAAGATAGGATAAAACTTTTTGACGATCTTAGGTAGAAGCTAGGGTGGGAATTGGGCTTTCTGGGTTTTTGCTAGGTTTTTACTAGGGGTTTGCTAGGTTTTCTGGGTTTTGGCTAGGCTTTCTAGGGTTTTGCTAGGTTCTTGCTAGGCTTTCTAGGTTCTTACTAGGTTATTGGGCTAGATAGATACGGAGGTAGAGTAATATAACCAATAAACCACGCGGATACGTTTTAAGGTCCTCTTCTAAATTGATCTATCGCGTTTGCTTTATTTACACACCGTCATTAGATATTATTGCTCCGTAAGTCCTTTATTCCCCCTCTATCACTTACTTTACACTTGTTCAATTTATTATATCACAAAACCAGTAGTCTAACTTCGCGTCCTCTCTTTATAATGGCGATATAGATAATATCAGCTATCTTGCGCTATCAAACCACCTAGCGACTCCCTCTAGTAGCTAGTATACGATCGATCCCTTTGACACTAACTTCCTCCGACCAACAATTCCGCCAATACTCCTATCCTCCTTACAACACGTTAGACCTGACCGAAGGAAGGCGTTTATTCTCTACGATAAAATAACCTATAACGAATAGGTAGAATAGTAGCTACAAACCGATTTTGGGAGGAAGAGCAAGATTGTCTAGGACTTAACGCGCCATTCGGAGATTTAGAGCCACTACAATTAGGTTGCTTATAGTATAGATAGTGCACCAAAGGTTATGTACCAACATTGTGGAAATATTCTTGAGCACCCTAATATAGTTAATACGAAGGCTATAGGTAAAATACAATATTATAGTATATCGATAATATAGAGACATCTTAAGATAGCGGCTTATTTAAAGAGCGGATATACAAAGAAGTCATAGATTACCAAATTTCTAAAGCAAGTAGTACGTTCGGAGTAACCCTTTTATTCGATTTTATTTACTAATAGTAATACTAAACTTAGGAAGATATCGAAATACCGTTCTCGCAAGCAGCCTAGGAAGAAGATATCCTACAATTTATCACACTCAATCGGCTTCTACTTTATCTTATTGAGTATCTAGTATTTTAGCGTCTTATTTCTCGGGCTTATACCGCTCTATTACCTCCGATTATCCTATCTACTAATACAATTCGTCGCCGACTAGGGAGCATTGTTAAAGATCGGCAAGAGCGGATGCTTCGAACACTGCCTATTGGTTCAAAAATCTCAATTGCACTTGATTGCTAGATATCTCTATTCTTATAGGTGTTTATAGCAATTATAGGCTACTTTGTAGATATTGATTGGGTATATCGTAAGGTACTACTTAGGTTTAAACCTCTCTACGGTGCGTATATAGGCGCGAATCTAAGCAATATTCTTCTTTAAACTCTGATCGAGCATAACCTTGAAGCCCGAGTGTTTGGGTTAATAACGGACAATGCTTCAAACAATAAGACATTATTTGATTCCCTCTAATAGGGTCTATTAGATAGTGTTATCATTGTTCGAATCCTATGCCTTACTTACGTTATCTAACTTAGTCTAAACTAGCTCCTTGATCGCATTAAAATAGTTCCACTAAATGACTTAACTAAGACAAAATAGACAGAGAAGCAATTAAGATTAGCTTATTTAAATACGTAGCATCGGAATCGTGAGATATCCTTTATATTGAACAAGGTCCGCTATCTTGCTATCTATGTGAACGCAAGCCCTTAGCGCCGGGAGACATTTTATAATCTCTAGACAAGCACCGTGAAGCTAGTACCGATCTAAGATATAAGGACTCGGTGGAATTCAACCTTTCTAATACTACGTCGGGCAAAACGTCTACGTCCGATCTTTGCGCTATTTTGTGCAGAGTATAATTGCGAAGAGATACTACTCTATAAGGACGAGTGGCGTTAAGTTAACTATCTTCTTTATATCACTAAGCTATTTTTCGCCTACACAACTTAGCTATCGAAGACTCGAGATATTACTACGTATTACGTCTTCAAGATCTACAATAAACTCTTTGAGTATCTTAAGTGTTTAATAAAGTAGCTACGACGTAAGCGTATGCTATAGAAGAAATAGATATTTTACGCACTTAAAACTAGTCGGTTAAAGCTTAATAAGTACTACTCCTAAACCGATAATATTCGAGGATATATCTATACAATCAGCACAATGCTAGCGCCTATAAATAAGTTTAAGTTCTTTCTTACTAATGACTAAGATCAGAAATAGCGTAACACGTACCGCTTATCCTTTTAGGAAGCTCTAATTCTATATCAAGAACAGCTTTTAGCCCTTGATCAGTTACTAGATGGCTCTTAAATAATAGCTCGGCTAGGATCGAAGCTTGATACGATACTAGATAGGAGCAATGCCTAAGGAAGCATAGCTACTAATAAAATAACTTATTATCTTGATAGTGGTACGTTTAAGCTAAGCCTTTCAGAATTCTAACTAACTTCGGATTAGATCCTATTCAAATTGCTCCTCTTACGTTCTAGCGAGAGAACTAAGCGCGATTCCTAGCAATTGCTGCTCTTACGCGTGATATCCTCTCTTTCCCTATAACCGGGGCAGGCGTTGAACGGCTATTTAATACTGCTCGGGATATCTACTATTACTATCGAGGAAGAATAAAGTCTTATACAATCGAGGATTTAATGATATTTCTTTATACCTCAAGGTTTGACATAGAAGAACAAGAGGCGAGACTTCTTAAGAAGTTCTTCTCTCATAATAAGCTAGAAGTAGCAAAGGAAGAGAAGGATAATAACCTCGACGACATTGAGATCGAGCCAATCAGTGATACCGAGGAATAGGAGACTTCAATTGATAAGGAGACAGAGCTAGATAAAGCTTTATTGACTGCATTTGAAGGGCCGACTATACGTAAACCCTAGGTACTATTGCTAGTGAATAACACCCAAGTACGTGCGTTAGGACGGAAGCGAAAGAATTGCGATAATAATATATTCGAGTACTATTAGTTAGTTAATCGATTGAAGCTCTCTAATTCACATATCTTCAAAAAAGCCTCGAAATAACCCTATATTCTGACGGCCGTCAAAAAAACTAGCAATATAGCTTAATGACCCTATTTTCTGACAGCCGTTAGAATTGTAGCCCTGTAGCCTTAGGAATCTATTAAACGTACAATTAAATTAAACAGTGATTATAGAAAGAGGCCTTGCTTACAAGTCAAATACCCAAAAATACAGCCAAAAACTGCACAAGTTATGTAGTCACGAGTCTTGACATGTTTGCATTGTTTATGAACCCAGCTGGGGGCCCGGGCCCAGCACTGGGCCAGAAATCCCGACCCGGGCCCAGTACTGGGTTGGAGAACCCGGCCCAGAACCCAACCCAGCCCGGGTTGGGCCCGGGGTGGGGCCCGGGTTGAGCTGGGTTCTGCGGAAGTCTAATGAAGCGACTAAGATGGGTAGGTGTTCCACTCGTTTGCGTGTTCCACTCGCTTACACAATACGTTATATATTGAAGGGTTTCTCGCTAATAACTGTTAGACGACTAATAGAAGATTCTAAAACGCGTAGACGTATATTTAGGGGCCTCGCGATACCCCTATTCTTCGAAGACAAAAAGATGATATATCAATAAAGGCCTACATAGGAAGAAGAAAAGGTATACTAATTGGTTTATCGCGTGTATATAGAATAGGTAACCCGCGGGTTACCCGCCAAGAACCCGTAAGCCCGTGGGTTTGGGTTTGGGTTTTGGGTCCATACCCGACCCATGGGTACGGTTCCTGAAGTCGTACCCAAACCCGACCCAAAGCGAGGTCTAAGTCTAAATAGCTTACGCTAGTAGATAAGTTCCTCTCTACCTAAGAGAAGTATTCGAAGAAGGAGCAGGATAATACTAAGCAAGAGGATAAAGAGTTTGATCCTATTAGCGATAACGAGGAAGATCTTACAATAGAAACTTCTATAGAAGTATCTATTAAGTAGCCTAGCCTACGAGCGCTAGGGAAGAGAAGGGCTATTAATAATAATAAGATCCCTCTACCTAATTTTTATATTTAGAGGCGTTCGTTAGGGCGTATTCTAAAGAGACTAAGATATAATACGGATTTTGTAGATAATTAATAGATATAAAGGACAATTGATCCTTTTAACATAAATCATGTATATAGATAATTTCTAGAAAAGTACTCAAAGTTTTTGGAAAGAATACGTATAGGCTATATATAACAAAGTATAAAAGTGAAATACTAAAAAATACCAATAGATTCTTCATAAATTATGTAAATCACGGGGTTCTATATATTTGTCCCGTTTGTAGGACCGCAAGACCGGACCGGACCGCGGTCTGGTCCGGTCCCTTGCGGTCCTTGCCGAGGTCTACAATCTAGTCTAGATGTTGACACTGGTTTTGGGACGTACTTTCTGTAGGTTTTGACAGAATGATTGATTTTTTTGACTTTATATCTGGATATCTTCATCCTTTACATTTGAATAGGAAATAGTAATTACGAAGGCCTTCCAAAAGCTTATTTATGTACGAAACTAATCGAGGAGCTGTGATTATCGTCATATATTTAGGGCTACATTTGCTCGTCGTTTAATAATGAATATTCAGTGATTGTAAAATCATACTACTTTGAAGTAGGCCTTATGCCTATCTGATATGGAATTAGGTGGCATCGCGAAGCGAAGCGTGGCAGTCGGGGATTCCTTTGCCTGAGCGACGGAGAATTCCCCGCCCGAATAGCTAGCGTTAGGGTTGCAACTTTGGGGAACAAGCTTATCGCTATGTGAATGCCCCGGCCAGATCACGGGGTAGAGCAAGGCACTCGAATAAATAGGTGATGTATATAACTTGACTATAAGTGGGAAATTCTCGGCTTCGACGAAGAGCTTATCAATTCTAACCTTCCTCTTTGAGCCTCATGATGGGCTCCTTGAAATCCCAAAATAAAGATATGCAGCTGTCTAAGTCCCCCTTGGAAAAGACATCGAGTCATGATGAAGGGCTGCCAAGTCGTCAGCCCTTGCTGGAGGCTCTTCAAGCACAGAAACCATCGCCATGGTCGCCAAACCTGAGGAAGCTCTATGGCTTTTGTGTGATTGCCTTCCTGTGCTCGACAATGAATGGTGAATACCCAAAGAAACTACATCAAACGAAGACAAGTTAGCTAAAATGTTGCTTAGGATATGATGGATCTATTTTTGGGTCCCTTCCCGCCCTTGAGTCGTTCAGGAATCAGTTCAGCATCGAGAAAAACGGAGCTAAAACAAGCTATATTTCGGCAATGTACACTGTCGGTGGAATCTGCTCTTTGCCATTCAGCGGACCTGCTTGTGACATGTTCGGGAGAAAATGGGGCACGTTCATCGGATGTGTGATTGTTGTCGCCAGCACATTTATATCTGCGCTATCCCACGGTGTTCCCCAATTTGTGGCTGGTCGATTCTTTCTCGGCTTCGGGGTGAATATTATTCGATCAACGAGCTCTATCTGGTGTGCTGAAGTTTGCCCACCAGCCTATCGTGGTATCATCATGGCATTTTATAATTGTACGTATGCAGTCGGATCCTTGATTGCTGCCGGTGTCACTAGAGGATCGGCTGGCTACGCAGGCGCCAAGTCCTGGCAGATTCCACTTTGGTGCCAGATGATATGCCCTGGTATTGTTCTCTTGAGCGTCTTATTCTTCCCTGAGTCACCTCGGTGGCTATTCTCGCATACCCAAGAGGACAAAGCATTGGAATTTTTGACACACTACCATGGTGAAGACGATCCGAATCATCCCCTTGTTCAGTTGCAGTTGCAGGAATACAGAGAGTTTATCTCACTCTCTGGATCAGACAAGCGCTGGTGGGACTTTAGCGACTTCTGCACAACCAAGGCAGGTAGATGGCGATTCATGAATGCTCTGGTCACAGGCACCTGGGGCCAATGCTCGGGCAACGCAGTTGTGACCTAGTATCTGCCCGCAATGCTCATCACTACCGGTATCACAGGCTCAAACCAAGTACTCAATGTCAGCCTCGGATACACGGTCGTTTCGACTGTGGCTTCATACTTGGGCGCCAGCCAGATTGAGCGAATGGGCCGCAGACCGACTATTATTTGGACAGCAGTCGCTTGCTCTATTTGCTTCGCATGTATCACAATTGGAACGGGGCTCTTTGCTCACACTCAGGCTACATCAGCTGCCTCTGCTGGTATTGCCTTTATTTTTGTTTTTGGATTCTGCCATAATTTCGGAATGACTCCGCTGCAGGTTTTGTATCCGGTTGAAGCTCTGTCCTATGAAACACGCGGCAAGGGCGTTGGGCTTACCTTCTCCATCGCCCCTTGATTCACTCTTCTCAATCAGTTCTGCTTCCCTATTGCCCTCCAAAAGATTGGATGGTATACTTATATCGTCTTCATTGGTTGGGATTTGTTTGAAGCGACTGTGAGTTATTTCATCTCCGTAGAGACGAAGAACCACACTTTGGAGGAGCTATCAGAAATATTTGAAAGCCCGAACCCCGTCAAAGCTTCGTTGCAGAAGCCCATAAGTGATATTTGAAAAACAGAGGTCATAATAGTTGTCGCAAAAGCTGTTGAGCTTCAGTTAGAATGAAGCCAGGGCAACTAGCAGTGATTTCCAAATGATGCAAATTCTACAACTATGCAATAATATGAGATCCAGATCCAAGCTAGATTGAACCTTGTCCCGTGCTTAATATCGCCCAAACCCACTTCAAAGACAGCTCCATAGCTGGTTGAGTGTCTCTAGGGCTCTTTGTGGACTGAACTATCGTCGTAGATTACATCGCATCGTTTCCACCAAAAGGTGATAGTCTTGAAGGCATTAGGCTACCCGCAAGTTCTTCCATGGCCCTGTAAACGAGATGAAACGCGCAGAACAAACTAGCACAGGGGCCAAACCCTCCTCGTCATACCTAAGTTGACTTTAGACTAGTAACGTAGGACCAAAGGCATGCTATAATACCAATTTAACTCCGTACGCTAATGCTAATCCATTGTGTTAAGACTTTGTCTAAAATGGAAAGGGGGACTTGGGTCGCGAATGAACGTGTCAGGTCAATATAGTGTTAGGACTGGCCAATTTACTCGTCTTGTTATCCCGAGGATCGGATGCCTCATTTTCCTTCATGCAAGCTTTTTCCAAGATATTAGTCTATTCCCCGCTGATCTCAGCATGGCAATGCTTCATGTGCTGTTGGAAGTGATCGGCGCGGTAGAACTTCTTCGCGTTGCTACACTCGCCAAACCTGCACACATTCGTCAATGAATTGAGAAATCCCGGACGCAGTGCTAAGTGTACACTGTCCGCACTTGAGATTCCAGGTTGCTTCCACATTCACAACCCAGCCCACTGCACTTAGAAACAACAGAGACAACCGCGACCCATGTTTCATATCATCCTACCAATCCACCAACACCATTGACTCCTACTAAGCGAGTTCCACAGCTAAGCACTCTCCATATGCTTGCCGATGCGGGTATCGATGCATGCGCCCAGGATGTCGATGGAAATACTGCATTGCACTATCTTGCTACTCCTTTTAATGGTGAATCCAGAGCCATGCAGCTATTGCGAGAGATTGGAGGGGGCGAAGAGGTCTACAATAATTGGAAGAATGGGGAGAACCTGACGCCCTGTACGCTGTGGGAAGCTTGCAACGAAGCGTGAGACGGGCATCATATCATCAGCACTGGTTCTTTCAGATGTCTATGGCCAGTAGTCTGGAACGCCAAAGGATTGTCCAAAGCAAGTGATGATGCTATCAATTCCAGCGGAATATGACAGATAAATCAACTATTTTTCTTAAGTTAGAAAAGATAGATACGATGCCAGAAAGACATTATAAAAATACTGACCTATCCACATCCCTTTGGCACCAAATTTTTTCATCCGACTTCTCCGAGAATCCTGAACTTCTTCGCGCGCTTTCTTCAGGCGAACGAGAGATTTGGATTCATTTTCAATTGGGTTAAGTACGATCTCTAAGGTTGGGTGAGCATATAAACTGCATAGAAATCTTTCTGATCACGTGTCTATCGGCAAAATTACCCGTACTCACAGATTCCGGTATCGGCAGATCCTACTTGCCGAAACAACCCATACAGGGGAACCGTACTGTGGGTCTGTTGAGCCTCGTCCCCATTTCAACTCATCGAGTTTTTGGCTTTCTTACCCTGAAAAAGCACCACTATACATAGGTCTAGCCCCTCCATAGGAATGGAGAGCACCGCACAGACATCCGCCGACGCGGATGAGAATATGCGCCTCGCGGTAGAACGATTTCGCACCAAGATGGAGGCTTCTAATCGGCAATTTCTCCAAGACCGAATCGATGAGATTGAAGCTAAGAATCTTTCCACCGAGGAGGAGAAACTGGAGAAGATGGACGTTTACTGGTCTAGTTTGGGAATCAAGAGCAATGATCCTTGGATGGCTACCGCTCCGCCAGAAATCGTCCGTCAGGCTCGCGAGGAGGAAAATGTCACCAGATTGGCTGATTACAGCTCGCTATACCATCATCAAATGGATGGTGTGCGCCCGCCGAAATTGCGGACAGATGAGTGGCGCCAGATGTATTTGGACACTGTCCAAAAAGTGTGTAATGGGGTGGCCTTTCGAGATGAAGCGGACAACGATTTTGAAGTCCTGCCCTGCCATGAGCTGGCTATCTTTCTCAAGTACGCCAGTGAGATCGTGGATCCAGACTTTCGCTACGCAGGCATGGCGCATTTTCAACCACCAGGAGCTTTATCAAAAGAAACGTCCGATATCTCCAAAGATCGAGAAGATCTGACAGCTGATCTGCGTCGCTATTATCTTTGGGATGAATCCTTCGTGGAAGCATACAAACATGATGACCTGGAAGTGCGGGTTGGCTTCAAAACCGGGAATGGTGTCAAGTATAAGCTGGGCAGACATGATATATGGTACAGCATGTATCTCTACTGTCGACGGGACGAAGAAGACTCTGATCAGAGCCACAAGTACTGGGCGTGGCGAGTGGTCGTTTCTCATGCGACAATTTGTGATAACCCCATGACCGTCTACGGGCAGAAACCACGGTTTGACTCAATTGTCGAGTTTCTGGATTGGTACAGTAGCTGGTTAGAGCATTTAGACATGGATAAGATTCGGGAAGATGTCCATCTAAACTGTAGTGACGAATGGGACCCAGCTCCTCTCGATTGGGCAGATACATAGACGGACACTGTATAGCAGTTGGGATAAGTACATCGCACAATAACCCCGAAACTTCTTGGTTTTTTTTTTTAAAGGGTTATTTCATTTCTGCAATACTCCGACAGATCAGTAGAGAGCTAGGTAGCGAACATCTGCTTTAGCGCTTTGGGTAAATTATCTTCGTCATGGGTCTTATGTTCACCTCTTTTCGAGCGCCTCGAGGCTATCATTAAGTCTTTTACAGCTATGGATATGGAATTAGCTATTTCCTGTTGCTATACTAGTAAATTGAAGAATACTAAAAATTATGCAAGTAACCTAACGTGCCTAGTCAGACGAAGAAGGTACTTAATACTATAAGCAACTTATATATGGCATATTCGTCCAAGCCCGAGACCTGTAATATATGACCATAATGAAAAATGCAAAATGTAAAAGTACACCTACTGATCCGAGCCTTAGGCTCTTTAAACATTACGTAGTCAAGAATACACCGACGCTTTCGTTGGCGGCATTAGTTTTGACAATCTGATTACGTTGATCAGATGGTACTTTTGGGCGGTGGCGTTTAGATGAGGCTGTCCAATGTGATCCAGGCATCTCTTGTACTTCACTTCATTTTATAGAAGCTGATGTTTGGGGCTCATGACGGTAAATGGACCGAAAGAAGCGGAGGGTGCAAAGAGGTCAAAGGTGAGTGCCAAACCCAGTCATATCCGACAAAACATTATATTTACTCCTATCAGTTTGAAAAATATGAAATTCCATCCATCGTGCGGAACATGTTGTGTCTAATTGTGAATTGATATTGTAAAAGAAATGGCCTAAGCGAGTATGGAAATATCATAAGGTTACACAATAGACTATACATACGAAGCTTGTCTGGCTATGTAGGTGGAGCCTTTTATCCTGATGTCTTTTAATCCTAATTGATCAATTGAAGAGATCTTGTACTAAAGAATAGCTCGCATATCAATCGCTGAAAGCTCTGCTGTCACAGTGCTAACGGCTTCGATCGCCATGCCATATCCAGCCTGGAATCCTGTTCCACCAGCACCATAGTTGTGAACTAGGGTGCCCTGCCGACCTCTTTCATCAATTTGGACCATCTCTTTGGAAACACGCGCTCCTCCCTCGCGAGATGGGCGTAGGCCAGAAAGTGCAGTCATTATTTGAGTCTCTTTTGAGGCTAGTTCAGGAAGCATAGCCTTCGTTCGAGACAATATTGACTCTGTCTCGTAGCCGAACGTGTCCGCGGTACTGTGGAAAGATCTGATTAGCGGACAAAAAAAATGAAGAGAAAGATCAGGCCCATCCATCATTCTTACCTGACACCTTTTTGCATGAAACCACCAAGAATCACATTGCCGTTCGAATACGGCCGTGGGATCACGTAAGTTTCGTACTCCTTTCCATGCCTCATGACATTTTGTTGAACATGCGAGGCCTTTGCAAGCAGAATTTGACCTCGGGTGGGATAGCATTTGGAGTCCCGGACTTCGCTCAGGTCTCGCGATGCATTACCGGTGCAGTTGAACACCACCTTTGTATTCTCACTCAGAAAGCCCGATGAAATCTTGGAGACTGTTCTGCGTATGAATTGAACTCCATATTCCTCGGTAAGTTTCCGACGCAGGTACTGGATGTGCATAGGCGCGTTGATTGTTATTGTCGTGAATACTATACCATACGCAACACCACTTGGCAGAGCTGCTGCGGGTATTTCTTTGAACTTTTCTAGGGTCAGATGTAAACGAAGGAGTATGACGGGCTTGTCGATTTCTTACATTTTTTAGGTATGTGGCCATTGAGTTGATCTTTGCAAGAGATGGCATCTCATCCCAATACTCGGTTGAAGGAGTTTCCTTCACAAATGCATTTTTGCCATCCTTTGCTGCAAGATCGAGAAGATACGCATATCCCAGCTTATCCCATCGTAGAGAATTTTCATCACTTGCAGAAATAGCAGAGAAATTGGCACCCGCCCTAGCCGTCGAGTCAGCATCGCGAAATTTTGCATCAGCAATGGGAAGTCACACACCATGGTGAGGTATAGTTTATTGATGTATCACCTGGGAGATGCTCTGCAATGACTGTAGTCTGTCTGCCATATCCTTGCTTTGCGAGGACCAGTGCTACGTCGAGCCCAATTACGCCGGCACTTGAAAATCTCGATATCAACAATTGCAGTCATCACTCGCTGCACTTTGACTTACCCAACAACCACAATAGATTCGCTCTTCATCTTGTCGAATATGTTTCTCGCCTGTTGCTGAATTTTTATATTTATGCTAGGACAAACGAGCTATTTGAACAATATTCAAATCCGTGGCTCCGGCCAATTCCGCGGGAAAGCCCGCGGCCTCAGTACCAACACCCCGCGCCGTATGGATATTCTTTTCACAAGCGAACAATTAATGATCTGGCCATACTCATAAAAATCATATTCATCAGGTCCAATGAAGAGTATTACTTCTATGAAACGAAAGATGAACAGCTAGAATGTCTATATTCAAGTAGGCCAAATGATAAATTGTATTGCGGCATGCGGCATGCACAAGAAACTAACAAAAATGGGGTATAAAACTAATTTACGCGCTCACAAAACCCAAATCATGACGGTCTCTGACCATATACAATACGCACCTTCGTATACAGATGGTGCGATGGGTCACATATTTCCTTGCGTATCCCTGCCAACAATGCCTCTATTTCAACGCGCGACCACCCAAGCATTCTGGTGAATAAAGCATATGTGTATGGAGGCATAGCTTCAAGCATGTTCACTTGGTGATATTTCCCAAGTTCTTTCAACTTGGGATCTTTCGGCCATGGACCTTGCGGTAACTTTGTCGCGATTAGTGAAAATCCTTTACCGATCTCGCGAGATGGAGGGAACATACTTTGTAAACATCCTCTGTAACATTAACGAATCCCGCCTTTTCCATCCGATCTTTCCATGTCGATGAAGATGTCATATCTTTACCAAAAAGCTTTGATGATTCGTGCATGTTTTTGATTGCTATCAAAAGATTCGTCGCTTTCAAGTGGCTTCCATCGTCTGAATAGGTTGTTGGCTCAAAGCTTGCCATTTCGAGCCATCCATTAGGTGTTAGGTTTTTGAATGCTTGTTCGAAGAGTCTGTCGTGGTCACGAACTGAGCCTTCTAGTTCCCGTCCGTGGACGTAGTCAAATGGTTGGCTGTATGACCATGGTTGTTCAAAGTCGTCAATTTCGAACCGACAATTTGGTGGTACCCTAGAGGGACGTCAACATCATGCGATCAATCGGCGTATCGGCTGTTGCACCTACCATGATGGTTGGATGGGGCTCAAATCAATTCCTGGTTCGGTTAGTCACGACTTGGCTGTTATCTATTTCAATGATCATACCGATCACTTCTGAGTCCGAGTTTGCACTATACATTTTGTCAGTTGCGAGGTTTGAGAAGGACTGATTGGGTCCCAAGACTCACTCTGCATAGTCAATAGCCCATATCCCTGTCCCTGTTCCGAGATCTAATACTCTTTTGGGATTTTTCACTGGTGCACGAAGCAGTTCTCCTTTAAGAAGAATTGAATAGATATGATGGCTCTGTCTCCGGTTAATTTCTGGCCAAGCGGTATTCATGTTGGGGCCAGCTCACGAGATCCAGGCGATCTTGTTCTTGTTCGTCATTTGGCTAGCTTGAGAATCAATCACAACACTTTTAGAGAGCTAGTATAGTCACATACCAGAATATACTCTCCCTCATGGAAAGAGTGATACCTGCGACCATTCTGGGGACACTCAGTATGGGTTATGAGCAGAGTTTGGGAAGACACACCTCATATCTACATTTATTAGTAGTCATTCAGCAAAATTATGGACTAGAGGCACTTACTGGTAGTTCAACGCACTCGATGTGATACTCGTGGTATAACTGGCCGCGCCAAGCCTATCAAAGTCAGTTATACTCATCCAAGATCGCTAAATCATGTTACTCCACTTACGATCCTGGGTATAATGAATCTTCATCGGAGTTGGACTAGGGATGTTAGTCATTTAAGGGAACCAAGGCGAAAGAGAAAAAGATTTCTCCAAATAATTGATATTCTGCGACTAACATCCGGCTCGATGGGAGTTAACCCTTGATGCCCGTCTTGATACATCGGCAGCACACTCGCGATCTATGAAAAAGAGCGAACGCGGCGAGGGGGACGCGCAAGAGCGATAAGAAAGAGGGGAGAGAGAACAGAAGAACACTCACCACACCGACTGGAGATTTACGACCCCTCCGGCTTCGAGACAGCTGTTAGGGTACCGGAGTCCCGGGTCCAATACTGGATCACTGCACTGTCAGCCCATGAGTGCTTGGGGTACCGCTTCCTTGGTTTTTTTAGCAACGCTCTCGGGTAGGCAAATTTAGGGGGTTAAAGCAGTTTTAGCGCATTGATCGCTCGCAAGTGATTAGTCGACAGCTGTGTGATGATCCGCAGGGCCAAAAAGGGGGGCCGTCCTCAGCCAATTGCTGGTGGCACGGAATGCGGTGGTCAAGCGCGTATTATGTGCGGGGCTCCATTTCCATCTGCTGAGTCGCATTTGTCTTACATGTATAAGTGTCCTGGACCAGATTTGAGATCTTCCGGGCGCAAGGCGCAAGGCGAAATCTGCCCATAAGCACCATAAACTCAGTAACTGGGCAGAGACTCAGATGCACCCACTTGGCATCTCGGGAAAAATCGTCTAATTTGGTGGGGATCGATTGACACCGTCGGTCCCGGCAGTTTGGTCCCTCGCCACCTGGTCAACAAACAAACTCCGCTTCACCGTATTGTGCTTGAGCTCCGTCAATAAGTGGGACTTTGATCCTGGAAGGCACGAAAGTTTGGATATCTGGCCAAGTTAAGGCGTGGTGAGAACGGAAGGGCGTAACAAAAGTTCTAGAACGAATCCGGCAGTTTGGGTCCAGCCTTGGCCGTTTCGGTCTATCACACACTAAATATTGGGGGCTTTGTCTTTATATATGTGCACTCTCGCGGAAATCAGTTTCTCTTCTGAGAATTTTCATTTTCAGTATACTCTCTCCGCCAATATATTCTACTGACTCTACGCAGAGTGACTAAACGTGCATTTGTCATCATCGGAATAAACAAAACCAAACGCCGCATGTGCTCCGTACCGACCGAAAGGTTCTCTAGTCCCCAAAGGATCGTCTTATTTGCGCCTTGATGGGGGCTAGCTATATAGTTACAAGTAGCATTGATGAGGTAACTTCCTGGTGAATAGGTTCGCTTTATCTGAATATTTTGCCTAGCGTCTCGCCAACGATCACCAAAGGACCGCGGGGGAATAACGACAATCTAGGAACACAGCGTGCTTTGGAATGAAATCGGTCATTGGATGATGATCTAACTAATCCAAAAGTGGTATCGGGGTCACAGCGCAACATAAGATCATAAGCATAAGTTCGTAATTCATATCTCAGGAGAAGAATAATTCGTCATCCTTCTTCACCTGGCCAATTTCGTAGCTTGGAGGAAAGTTGGGGGCATCTTCGCGATCCGGGCTTGTGACATCAATCGCGTCGTCTTCATACTGGGTCACAATGATCTTTGGTATAGCTCTTTCGGTTTGAAGTTCTAAAATTTTGGTTGGGCAAGGAAGCTCGATGGTGGAGACCACCGTTGTCTGACAAGATAACTCGGCAGCCACTGCCAAAACAGGGGGAGATCCGGATGCTGCAAGTGCCGCCTCCTGTCCTCTCTCAGTGGCAGCGAGCTCCGATGTTGGTGGTATCGTTTTGAGATGGCCAAAGACGGTCACGAGTCTTTCGTAGCCGAGGGTCATGCGGGTTTCTTTCTTGGTGGCAGTTTGACAGTCGCGTCGCTTCCAGCTCTTGCGCTCTTTTGGGGTGAGACCGCCAGTTTTGTTGCTTTGGTTCCAAAGTGGATTTATGAATGATAAGAGATCGTCGGCGGCAGATTCGGCGTCGGCAATGGTAGAATTGATCCATTCGCCTTCAATCTCGCCCAGCGCGTCCATCTTTTCGTTTCGCAACTGTTCCGTCTGTTCTACAACACATTTGACACGCCCTGATGCTTCCAATAATCCGGCAATATGGGCTTCTGCTAATAATGTTTGCTCTCCAATGGTAGATTCATTGGAGGACTTTTGAACCGTCAAGGGCGACTTAATTTCGGGGCTTGAAACATGGTTTTCTGATGTCGAGGATTTGATTGATTGGGAGTAGTATCTTGACATTGGGGTTTGAGGAGACTGCAGCGAATTTGGTTGTGATCGGGGTGGTGATGGCTCTTGTTTCTCTGAACTTTGGATGCGAGCAGCCATGTGGAGTCGATCTGTAGATTCATTCCATCGCGTCGCCGACCGGCATAGTATCCCTTTGACTGATTGTTGACACCGATCCTTCGAATAGTACCACTTGTCCGCTGATTTATGCCAAATTTCCATTGTCGATTGATGACAACGGTCTTTTGAGTCATACCATACGCTTGACGAGCGGTTGATGAGATTTGTTTTCGATTGTTGCCATTTCATTGTGGACTGCTGCCTTGGCTCAACTGGTTGGTTTGCAAAATGCGTCGATCCCATCTTGAAACCGAGGGGTGCTTGATATTTGAGGCAAACTGTTTCAATCTTGATGTCTCGGGCGTAGGGGCAAATAGCAATCCCGAGAGTGACTGTGAGTGAGAATGAGATAGAAATTCGAGAAGCAAAGCAGAACTATATAAGTTTGGATATCGCGACATTTTAGGCCGCAATCTTTGACTTTGATATTCCACAGGGCTTAGCCACGAAGCTTCCCGCTTCTTTGTGACCATTCACCCTAATCACGTTGCTTATAGGCCGATCATAGCGACAATGGAAGGTTGGAAGGCTGTGTGCTGACAGGCCGCAGCATTCTTGGTTGCGTCTGATTGGCTTCGTCGTTTATTTCCCTGGGCGCCACGCTAAATTTGGCTGTGGGGATGGGGGCCAAACTGCCCGCAGGGCTCTACTTCGCAAAACATTGCACTTTATACAACTAAAAATCAAGCATTTGAATCAGCTTTGTTCGTGATGTTTTGATTTTGAATCCTGTTTGTGGATTGCCCTGACTCGCTGGATCTCAACCAAGAATGTAAAATGTTATTGCTTATTCCGCGTTTTTCGTTTCCTATCAGACATTTGGAAACTGAATTTTTGGTTGAAAGTTTGAAAGTTTGAAAGTTTTGCCTTTGGGCATGTCAAAAATCAAATGTTCCGAGATGGGAACTATCTTCATCAACCTTGCGCCTTGTCCACAGCCCACTCCAACATTGTAAAATAGGCAATTCACAACTCACAATTCGCCAAGGTAATTGACTCGTTTTAATCGAGAGGGGTATTTTACACGTGATTCTTGGTAAGTTTGTTCAAAAGTTTGGTCTTTTCCCCGGATATACTACGGCATGCGCGATTGATGGAAATTCCTCATAGGACTTGGCTTGGGCAAATAGCCTCAACTTAGTCCAAAATGAGGACAATCCCGGCGGGATAACCCCGGAGTATGACTTAGTGCATGAAAATATATTAAGATGCGATTCCAACACTACCAGACTATAAAAGAAGCAATAAGGTACCACTACGATATGTTATACCAATTAACTCTCGAAGTACAATTGGCCAACGATGAAGTTCCCCCAGATCCTTGCATTGGCTGCTGTTGCCACAGCCGTCAGTCTTCCACGCTCTAAGAGCTCAATTTCCCCAATCACAAATGTAAATATCTTTACACCACCCTCCGACTACAACATCCCACGCACACTCTACCCTCGCAATGAGCAACTTCCCAATGGTGATATCCTTGCAACATGGGAAAACTACTCACCAGAGCCGCCTCTGGTCTACTTTCCCATTTATCGCTCCAAAGATCATGGAAAAACCTGGAAGGAGATCTCTAAAGTCCAGGATACTGCGAATGGATTTGGACTGCGTTACCAACCGTTCCTTTACTACCTGCCCGAGAAGATCGGATCTTTTAAGAAGGGTACTCTGCTGCTAGCGGGTAGTAGTATCCCGACAGATCTCTCATCCACCAACATTGATTTGTATGCATCCAATGATGATGGCGTGACATGGAAGTTTGTTAGCCATATTGCGGCCGGGGGAGAGGCCGAACCGGTGAATGGACTGACCCCTGTCTGGGAGCCTTTCCTTCTTGCTCAGTGAGTTAAGCGATGCTTTGGTTGAGCTGTGAATATTGAACTGACTAATTTATAGCAAGGGCAAGTTGATCTGTTATTACTCCGATCAGCGAGACAACGCAACCTATGGGCAGAAGATGGTACACCAGACCTCGTCTGATCTGAAGAATTGGGGTCCTGTTGTTGACGACGTGTAAGAGGATATGCTCATATCTTTTTATATTCATTACTGACAGAACGTTAGTGCGGAATCAACCTACACTGACCGACCGGGAATGCCAGTCGTGACCAAGGTACGCCCATTTCTATCGCTTCCAGCTTTTATCTGAAATAAAACTGACTAACGTAGCTCCCTAACGGCAAATACTTTTACATCTATGAATACGGCTCCTTCTTCGGTACTTCAAGCTATTCCTTCCCTTTGTACTACAAGATCTCCTCCAACCCCGAAGACTTCCTCTCCATCGAGGGCCAGCGTCTCGTTGTCTCCAGCGGCACTAAGCCGACATCCTCACCATACATCGTTTGGACTAAATATGGCGGCAAGAACGGCACCCTCATTGCCAGCTCCGGTACCCAGAGTTCCATCTTTATTAACCAAGCTCTTGGCGAAGGCGAGTGGACTGAGATCGCGACACCTGAAGAGCACGGCTACACTCGTGCTTTGCGTGTCCTTGAAGAAGATGGCGGGCGCTACCTGATGATTCATTCCGCAGGAGTCTTGTCAGGCACTGCTAACCGCGTCTCGGAGAGCATTATCGATCTGAAGAAGCTATTGTAAATTCTTCACAAAAGCCCAAGGCCTAGTGCGACTGTGACGCACGTTTCTGTTTGTCGCCGATTGACACGAGTGACATGATTGGAGAAAAAAGGCTTGGTGCATGTATATATTAAGCTTGGATTCTTGATCGACCTCTAGGTCCTATCATGCGAAGTTGATAAAATGAACTCAAATTATGCTTGCTCTTGGTATATACTAAATACGTAAAAAAAATCGTCTCAGCCTTCTAAAATCTGTCAAGTCCAATGTTGACCAAAACGCCCAAAGCTTCAACGCAACAGCCCATAGATCACAACCAAACTATTCTATTATCGCTTCGAGTCGGATGGATAGTACTGCTGAGAATACTGAGCCGGTCCTGAGCCTCCATTTCGCTGCACATCATGATGGTTCCCTTGATAATAAGAAGGCGGAGAAGCGCTGATAACTCGTCCATGGTTATGTTGCAATTCATAGCCACGAGATTGGGGTGCTTGGTTCAAATGCTGCGAGTTTCCGTCGAATGGCAGATCTCTGGCAACTCCATATCCATGACCCTGGTGATAGCCTGGACTGTTCATAGCAAGACCATCATTCATTTGGTAATTGTGGCCATTATACTGTTGTGCCTGGTTATTGCGCTTCAACTTCTTGTCTTCGTGGTCGTTGGCGGCTCTGTTGAATATGGTGTTAGTAAACCTCTAACTTTCAATGTTCCTCTCCTAAGGAAACACACTTTGATGCTGCTTTGATGAGGCCATAGGTTCCAGCAAGAGCGAGGCCTGTCTTAATAAGACCCATCGTTGTATGTTTGGTTGGTTTTTCTTGGAAAGATATACTGTTGGTCTTGAGGTAATATGTGGATGTGATTGTTGCTGAAAACACAATTTTTTGGGCGGGAATTGTATGGTTATTTATAACTTCAAGGCTAGGCAGTACCATATCTTTATTATTGGAAGACAATATAAAAATAATTCTAGATCAGCGGTCAGCAAGCTTATGTTCTTCTAAGAGTAAGCTTAGCAGGGAAATAAATCATGAACAGCCCCGATAGTGGAGATAGGCATACCTCCACGTCCAATAAAACCCAAAAAAAAAATCCTCAATTCCACGCTTTACCCGAAAGGATACAACAACCCGAGCCCGAAACCGAGCCTCGTGGGGGCGAAAACACTCTTTGGTACTTGCTTCACTTTGCTTCTTTGCCGATATCGAAGCTTTTGCTGAGACTTGGCTTGCATTTTCAGACAAGATCGAAATGCCACCTCGTCTGACCCACCGAAAATCAACGACTGGCTGTCTCCGGTGCAAAGCGCGGAAAGTCAAGGTAAGCATTACCCCCTTGGGGTCTGATCAGATCCAAGCTCATGATCATTAGTGCGATGAACAACGCCCAGCTTGCGGCCATTGTGGACGTCATTCGGTGGCATGTGAATGGCCGGCATTATCACCCCGCATATATAATCCCAAAAGGCCTACTTCAAAGGCAATCTCAAGACGTGACGCTCAGTCCAATCCAAAGCCCAGCTTGCCATCCCCAGAGCTGGGGTCGATGCGCATCCTTGAGATGCGCCTTATTCATCAATGGGTTACAGAAACATGCAACACCATGAGTTCCGCTCAAGTGGACTCTGTTCGCGAAATGTGGGGTGTGTCGGTGCCACAACTGGCATTTGAGTATGAGCCACTTCTGCACACTTTGTTAGCGTTGAGCGCAGCCCATCGAGCAACTTTATTACCACAGGAAGCTAGTTCGCTGCGCCCCGTTTACCATGGATATATTGACTCGGTTATTCGCCAACACCGCCCTGTGACAGCCAATCTAGACAATAACGTCACTGAAGCAGTCTGCATAAATACCGTGCTTCTTTCGCTCTACACACTTTTTCTCCGGTCGGAGCCTTCAACAGCACCGTATGAAGCACCAGTCATGTGGTTATCTTTGTCACATGGTATTCGACTAGTGTTAAAGACTGTCTATAATCAGCTAATCACAGAAAATTCAGCCTTGTGCCCCTTGCTTCAGGCTCAGCCTGCAATCTGGAAAACTGCCGATCGCACCCAGCGGGCTTACAATGGACCAATGAAGCCATTTCAGTTCCTACTCAGTTATCGCCAAGAGGATGACTGCATGGACAGTGCAGCAGTGACTGTTTATGAAGAGGGTGTTGATTATTTGGAAAGATTCTACATTGCTGTACAGAGAGGGGAGCCCGATCATGTACTCCGACGCATGTTCATTGGCTTCCCTCCGGTCGTTCCTCGGCCTTTCATCAGCTTCGTTGCCGAGAAAAGGCCGCGTGCACTGGTTATTATGGCTTATCTTTTTGCGCTGGTCAAGCAATTTGATGATGTATGGTGGCTTCGTGGGATCCCCGAGCGAGAGGTACGAGGTATCAACAGCATCCTTCCTGCTGAGTGGAAGCACATGATGAATTGGCCGTGACGCATTGCATCAACAGGTACAACGTATAGTGAGGATGTTGACGAGGTGTCAGTATCTATGACTTACCCTGTCGCATCCGATGTGCATGCATCATGATATTTTCCTTGCTCATAGCAAAACTTAATTCACATATAGACTAATATTAACTGAATCATATAAACCATTACTTCAATTAAGCTCAGTCCATTGATCAGGTCAATATTCGCCCTGTATACCCCATAGAGAAATAAGGTTTAAGGCATCCTAAGGCGTCCCATTGCAGAAGAAATTCACCAGATGACTCAATTGCTGCATAAACATGATATCGTTACCACTAAGCTTTGGGTATAACTTCCTTCAAGTTCAATAAAATGGTGTCAGCTATGTAACATTGGGATGAGTTCGGTCGAGTCATTGTGAGTCAAGGGTCTCGGCCCGTGTTTAGGCACCAGCGATCTCCCGCCTCCTGGACCCTTTCCCGTTCACTTAAGCCTCGACCTTAGCTCCATGGCTTTCAAGGCTTCATCTTTCTGATTTTACGATGTTGGACCATCCCTGCTCAGCTGCCGTAGAGGATGTCTTTGGCCCTACGGTAGCTCCGTCTTGTCTTCATGGCTTCGATTTCACCCTCCTGTTCGAGGAGGCCATTCTCACTCTTGTACCACTTGGTCTTGTTTGTTTGGCTGCATCCTTTCGCGTCGGGAAGCTCCGTCGCGCATCTGAGAAGGTCAACCGTTCATTGCTGTACGCGGCGAAGGAGGCGAGTGACCCATGCAGCCTCACTCCACATTCTACAGACTGACAACCCCTGCGCAGCTGTCTTGGCTGCTCTACACCGCGAGCCACGTGGCGCTACTTATCATCTTCTTTCAACTGGAGACTCCCAAAACGAGAGCGACCATATTAACAACACTCGCGACCCTAGTCACTTCTCTACTTCTGCTTTTCTTGTCTCATCTCGAGCATCTTCGCTCGATTCGGCCATCAACAATTCTCAATGTCTTCCTCGGCTTCACCTTGCTGTTCGACCTCGCACGTCTCCGGACCCTGTACTTCATGTCAAAGCAAACCGTGACTAGTTTGTTTGCTGTCAGCTGGGTGATCAAAGTAATTATTTTGGTTTTTGAGGTGACAGAAAAGAGGCAGTTGCTCAAGAAGGCATATGAAAACAGCCCGATCGAATCAACCAGTGGCGTTCTTAATCGGGCACTATTCTGGTGGCTGAGGGATGTCCTTTGGCGAGGTTCAAGGACCACTCTGACAGTGGAAAGCTTACCGTGTCTAGATGATGATCTCAAAAATGCCTCAAATTCGCAATCTCTCTTTGAGAAATGGGACAAAGGTGAGATTCGGATCTCATCAAATAGCTCAAGGATTGAAGCATTGACAATGTCGTCCAGCTGACAAGTACCAATCAAACGCACTTCTGTGGACCTTCGTGTTTCACTACAAATGGGCGTTCTTAGAAGGCGTTCTTCCCCGGCTTGCCTATACGGGATTTTGCTTCGCCCAGCCTTTTCTCGTGGAGCGCGTTCTTGATTTTATGACGGAACCGGAGCATGTCAACTCATCCAACTACGCTTATGGGCTTATTGGCGCCTATGCTATTGTATACATTGGCATCGCAGTATGCAATCTCCCGATCATAGACAGGTCTTTCACTAATGAGATTATCTAGATATCATATGCTGCCTATGAGCACAAAACTTTCCGTGTTATCACCATGATCCGGGGAAGTTTGGTAACAATGATCTTCAACAAAACACTGCGCATGAGCACCTCTACTATTTCAGATGCGGCAGCTATCACCTTGATGAGCACTGACATTGAGCGCATTGGCTTTGGCTTAATAGATATGCATGAGACATACTCCAACATCACAGAGGTTGCATTGGCTTTGTGGCTACTGGCAAGGCTGTTGAACATCGCGACGATTGCGTCTACGGTAGTAGTTGTCAGTAAGTGAATATGCATGCATCACTCACTTCTTGGATTACATGACTAACTGGGCTTCTAATAGTTTGTCTTGTTGCTGGAATTCCTTTGGCTGTTGTCTCTGGTAATGCGCAGGGAACATGGCTCGAAGCCGTCGAAGAGCGCGTGGTAGTCACCTCGAAGGTCCTCGGGGTAATGAAAAACATCAAGATGACAGGCCTTACAGAGACCATCTCCAGAAGTCTCCGAGATCTTCGAGCTGCAGAAATTGAAGCTTCCTTCAGTTACCGAGTATACGGAGTCATAAGGCTCACACTTGGTATGTCGTAGCTTCTCCTACATATATTTACGTGCTAACCCTTCAGGCTATGCTTCTACTACCTTGGCTCCCGTATTTGGCTTTGGTGCCTATGTACTGCTTGCCAAGGCTAAAGATACAGCCACTCTTACCAACGGTGTAGCATTTTCTGCACTTACGCTTTTCGCGTTGCTGGATCAACCAATGATCTCCATTGTTGATGGCTCAGAGGACGTAATGGCAGTTGTCAATTGTTTCCAACGAATTCAAAAGCATTTAATGGAAACGGAAAGGACCGACTATCGTTTGAAGCACGGATCGAATCAACACAATGTTCCACCTCTGATTGAAGTTGATTCCCCTCAGAATCAGAGCAAGGAACCTTGTGCCGTCATCCGAAATGTGTCTGCAGCCTGGTCAATTGACGATGAGCCCGTGTTGAAAGACTTGAATATTGACATTCAGGCATCAAAAATAACCATGATTGTTGGACCAGTCGGATGTGGAAAGTCCACCTTCTTGAAGACCATCATGGGAGAAATCCCAGAATGCTCCGGCTCAATTTCGACCAGCTTCATAAATGCTGCATATTGCAACCAGTCGCCGTGGATTACATTCGGAACTCTCCAGGAAAACATTGTTGGGTCATCGCCATGGGACCGAGCTTGGTATGACCAGGTTATTCAGTCGTGCGCTTTGCAGATCGACCTTCAACAGCTTCCATTGGGTGATCAGACTAAAGTCGGAGTCCGTGGGTCTCGACTGAGTGGCGGGCAACAAATGCGTGTGGTATTTTTCCCATCCTTATTTTTCTATCAGCGTCGAATAACACACCTTTTATAGGCACTTGCACGGGCGCTATTTTCGAAAGCGCCTGTTCTTATTTTGGATGATGTCTTAACAGGTCTAGATCATCAAACGGAGAAGATCATTCTAGAGAGTGTTTTTTCTCAACGTGGTTTCATCAAACGCTCCCATCAAACAGTTATTATGGCGACCAACTCAGGTAGGGTAATTTTCGATTTATGCGTGAAACACGTTGATCTAATGCTACCATAGCACACCACCTCACCTATGCGGACCGTATAATTGCACTCGATGAGAACGGAAGACTTTTCGAACACGGGTCGTACAGCGAGCTCGTCAGAGCCGACGGCTATATCAGTACCCTCTCCAGTGCCACTCCCACAGCCGGCACATCCCGAGCCCCGGATATTGTGCTTGATGACGAAACTCTTCAAGGATTGAATTTGGATGACGGGGACGAGGAGGACTCGAGTCGAAGAACGGGTGATTTAACTGTCTATCGATACTATTTCGAAAACATAGGCTGGCCGCTTCTGTCTGTGTTTCTTCTAACCTGCCTGCTATTCGTGCTCGGTCTCAGCATTCCACGTCAGTTCTTCAAGTTATCTATTTCAATGGGCTTTGCGCGTCACTAACTTGCATCATAGAGATTTGGCTGCAGTGGTGGACTCGTGCGAACGAGCAACACCCAAATGCACATGTTTGGTATTGGCTGAGTGTGTATGCTGCACTCGGCTTTTTCTCGCTTTTTACTACTTTTCTTGGCACATGGTAGAGTAATCAATCTGTGCATTATGTTGGCATGTTTAACTTCGTATAGGATTCTCGCCATGATCATTCAGCCAAAGACAGCTCGCCGATTCCATGAGATTCTTCTTCGTACGACAATGGGGTAAGATTGCATTCACTATGCCTTGTCTTCTTTATTGACAACTCGTCCAGAGCAACGACGTCATTTTTGACTTCGACGGATATTGGAAACACCACAAACAGGTCAGAATAATTTCGTTCCAAGATGTTTATCACCCTACTAATGCAAACTGAATGTAGATTCAGTCAAGACCTCGAACTAATCGACGAAGAGCTCCCGGAAACCCTAGAGCTCACTGTCAATTCCGCACTCAGTTGTATCATTGAAGGATTCCTCGTCTTCGCCGGATCATCCTATGTCACAGCAGCGCTAGTCCCAGCTTGCATCCTAGTAGTCTACTACGTTGCTAAGTTTTACGTCAAAACCTCACGCCAACTGCGATTGTTGGGAATTGAATCGAAAGCCCCCCTCTTCTCCCAATTCTTGGAGGTCCTGGGTGGACTCTCTAGTATTCGGGCCTATGGCTGGAGTAAGGAGTACCAGCGCCGCAATCTGATTGCCTTGGATGCCTCACAGCGCCCTGTCTACATGCTCTATTGCATTCAGCGCTGGATGGGTCTTGTCTTAGACCTTGTTGTGGCATTTATTGCCGTTGCTGTCATTTCCATCGCAATTTCTATGAGAGGAAGCCCGTCCATGAATCTGTTAGGAATTGCACTCTTTAACATCGTTAATTTTAGTGGTACTCTGCAGACACTTGTGACGCACTGGATTGGACTGGAAACCTCCATTGGGGCTGTTTCAAGAATTCGGGCATATGTGCAGCATGCCACGACTGAGGATTTGGACGCTGAATCAGAGGCTCTTCCTGAAGATTGGCCCCGACAAGGTAGTGTTCAGCTTTCTGATGTTTCGGCTTCCTATGAGTCAGTGATTCTATATATCCGTTGGCTTTTCTCCGTTATACTAATACCTTGTCAGCACATTGTCGGAACCAGTACTCAAGAACATCAGTCTTCACATCCTTCCTGGTGAAAAGGTTGCTCTGTGTGGTAGAACTGGAAGGTTTGTACACCTTGAAACTCACGACTTCGAATCATCAAGTAATAATACTGATTTCTGATCTAGTGGAAAATCCTCTATGGTCTCCGCAATTCTGCGACTACTTGAGCTCAGCAAAGGTACCATTCATATTGATGGTATAGACATCTCAAAGGTTTCACGAGGGCACGTGCGATCCAGAATCAACGTCATCCCGCAGCAGCCATTCTTCCTCCACGGCAGCGTTCGGCTAAACGCTAACCCCGAGTCCAATGTGGGTGACGAAACGATCATTGATTCCATTAAGGCGGTCAATCTATGGTCCTACATTGATTCCAAGGGTGGCTTGGATATCGACATGTCCGATGACCTTCTTTCACATGGACAGCAACAACTGTTCTGTCTTGCACGTGCACTGTGCAAGTCGAGCAGTATTGTCATTATGGATGAGGCGACTAGCAGGTATGTCAATGCATCACAACAGAGCTGTTGTACATATTTACTAATTCATATACTAGTGTGGATTCGGAAACAGACGCACTGATGCAAACCGTCATTCGAGATCGCTTCAAAGACCAGACTCTGATTGCTATTGCGCACAAGTTGCATACAATTTTGGATTTTGATAAGGTTGCTCTCATAGAAAAAGGTCAGGTTGTGGAGTTTGACAGCCCACGGGCTCTTTTGTCGAGGGAAGGTTCGGCGTTCAAGGCTTTGTTTGACAGCTTTCACAAAAGCTCCAAGGAATAGACGAACGTGTATATAGTCTCTAGAAGAATTTCAGGCCACGCATGCTCCCTTCGTGGCAAAAACATGTCTCCAGGCAGTTACAAGGCATAAGTACAGTATCCTTTCCTCCTTGGGTCATAATACCTCTTTCCCGGGAAGCCCTTGCATTCAGAACCTTGATAAGTTCTTCAAATTCCAATAGTAAGCACCACTTTCCCCCGACCATAAAACCTCCCATTGGCAAAATCATAAGCCTCCCGCACTGACTCAATGGGAAAAGCAGCAGCAACGAAAGAGCGCAAATCACCAGAATCAGCCAAAGCAGACAAAGCACTCAAAACCTCCCTGCTCCCCTCAACAATAAAGAACAACGCCTTCACAATCTCCTTCCCAACAGATAATCCACGCCTTTTATGCTCGGCAACAAAGTCAAAGCTCGCAGAATCAACCGAAATCAAAACACCATCCTCTTTAATAAAGCCCCAGCACTTCGAAAGCACCTCGCCACCCACGCAATCAATGATCACATCAAACACACCATTCTCCCTCTCGATATCCCCATATTCAACAACCTCATCAGCTCCCAGCTTATGCAAAAACTCCCCATTCCGCACATTGGAGCTACTAGCCGCAACGACATGCACACCGGCACTAGCAGCAAGCTGTACCAGATAGATTCCCACTCCACCGGAAGCACCGGTAATCAACACACGCTTAGAAGAAGCATCTGTTTGCTTCGCATCACCGTCCCCCGATGCATGCACTGGCGAGGCAATCCCCGCATGCTCAAAGAGCGCCTCATAAGCAGTCTGCGCACTAAGCGGCAAAGCAGCGGCCCCCTCCCACCCCAATGCGCGGGGCTTATGCGCAACTTCATCCAAAGACACGATGGCGTATTCAGCCCATGTGGAACCGCGATTTGCATTTGCCATGCCGAAGACTTCGTCTCCGATTTTGAAATTGTGCGGTGTACCGCTGTCACCTTCGAAAACGGCTGCCACTGTGCCCGAGAAATCGTGGCCGGGGATTGTATATTCGCGATGATAATATTCAGGCCAGGTGAGCATGTCTCTTATTATGGTCGTTGCTTTTATTTTGATTAGGAGGTCGGTTGGAGATATTGGTTTTGGAATTGGGGTTTTGTCGATTGTTAGGGCGGTTGATGGGGCTGGGTTTGTTGGGGAGTAGGGGATTTCTCCTGTTGGTGCTGAATTTATGTGGATGGCTTGCATTTTGGTGGACTTGGGGGGCTTTTTTGGGGGCTGATTTGTAGGTATGAAAATGGGAGGGAGTTGACTTTATAGTTGGAGGTTGGGCTGGTTGATAGGCTATCTGCTTGGTGGAGACTCAAGAGTCTGGCGGTTATAGCCGCATTGATCACGACATCGGGTTTTATAGAGCGATGGGATGATGCCATTCGGTTTGAGGGCCTCACTAGTACTAACTTGGCATTACCCACTAGTCGATTAGATGGAAGTCGTAAGGATCAGGTATATCCCTTTCTTCACGCCGTTCCGGAGCTGTGCCGAATGTACTAACAACTAAATGCGCAATGAAACAAGGATTGAAATGCCATTGGTGTGGATTGATTTGATATTGACCAGTTGGTTCGTGGGTATAGATTTTTGTTCAAGCTCAGCTCTTTCTGAGAAACCTTTCTGGCAGTTCTCGACAGCGACGGGCTTCTAGCCCTTTTGGGGCTGAAGGTCTGCATCCAGATCAAGAATTCGCGCGAGTTCTGATATTTCAGTATGGTCACGCGTGGTCTTCATCCGGTGACACCATGTTACCTGCTTCTCTTCCCCTTCATCTTTTGCGTCAAAGAGAAACTCCCCACCAATCTGCCTAGGATCACCCCCCTTCATCGCAAGTCCATTTAAAACATGTTTCATGCCCTGCATCATCGACTCAGCGACAATCTGCACCATATTCTTGCGGATATACTCTGGACGCGGTCCGAGAGCCATAGAAGTGACCAAACCCAGATCGTCAAATAGTTTTCGTGTCGGATCGGAGAATATAGGGAATGGACACCCCGTTTCCGTGGCATAAGTGTCGATCAAGCCTGGGTCACCGCAGCCGATAATGGAGATGGATGTGTTGATTGACAACTGCGACAGTGATTCAGGCTTTATAACCTCCGACAGGGCGCGGAGGAATTCCTGGCAGCTCTTTCATGACGAATTATGTTAATAAGTCGTACCTAAGCTAAGCGCTCTGCTTTGCGGTATTCTTCCAGTGTCCTTGGGCAGGGTAGAATGACCAGGTAACTGAGTAAATCAATGGGATATCAGAGAAACTTACCCCGCAGAAGAAGTGCCGAACAAAGATAACTAACACACGGCGAGCAGAGTCGAATCCGCTATAAATGCTTTTGAATGGATGCGCTTTGCCAGTGCGATCAAGCACCGTGTGGTTCTCAACCTTGCGTTGGATATCCAACGATGGCAGCTCGTCGGTTGCGGGTTTCACTTGGTCGGCCACTGCTGATAGGTTGATATCGCCACTAGTGTTATTATTTGGAGCTGCACTTGTCTCCAGAGTAGCCCCGGTATTTCCTTCGGTCGCCATCACGTTGTTGAGTTCCAACAATCGTTATGGGGAGATAGAAGTGAGAAATCACGCAAGGTTGTGACGATCCCTGTGAGACATGGCCTATGATGTCAGCGTCACGAGCTCGGATTTCCATACTGAACCAATAACAGTCGTATTTCTGAGCTTATAGCTAAGAGGTATCGGTGCCTCATATTCACGCAGCGAATATTAACAAACAGGTGGAATACCATGTCTAGTCCAAACATTGCTTTAGCCGCACCCCCTAAAGAGCCTGTCACAGCAGTAACTAGGGCCCCATCTTAGGCGTCCAATGTTTATTGACACATCCACGGATGCCTACTTTTGTTTCCATCACTAAATACATGTTATGTTTTATCTGGTCTCCATTGTCTAGCTCCTGGGTAAAACTGCTCTTTGAGATTTCTGAAACAACTTCGAATTGACACCTTCGTTTAGACTGAGATGTACCTGTGGCTATTGCACTCGTAATCATTCGCCCTACCAGTATACAGCAATTTTGACCTAAGATCGGCAACCCTCCAGCATTTCAATTCTTACTTCGTCAATTGACAAGTAATCCCATGGTTCCTCGGCCCACAAGCATCACCACCATATTGCAGATTGATACTCTGATCTTTGTAATTGATCGACGCACCATCCAGCCCTCCACCCTCACCACCAGAGCATCCAGAACCACCAACAACACGAATATCAGCATCCAAGTCGGTTTGTCCCGGCGAAAATGTGTCCCCCTTTGGCGCACAATTCAATCCAAGAGGGTCAACATTAGACCAGGTGCCGTCGTCGTTTGGAAGGCAGATGCGGATCTGATTGGTATTTTGTTGGTAAGTTTGCTTCTGATACCAGCTTTATAAAATATAGCAACGGCCAGGAACAAAGTAGCATACCCAAGATTGAGCGTCATTGTAGTGACTATCCCTCCACGAAGTAAAGTGCACGAGGAACTTGTCGCTGTCTAGAGGGAAGACATGCTGGTCGGTACGACAGTCCCAGAGAGCATTGGCTCCAATTCCAAGAGATAGAGCCAGCGCTCCCATCATGGTGACTCTCTTGCTGGAAGACAGAAGCATTTTGGTATGGAAGAGGGACGTAGGGAGGAAATCCGAATTGAATGGTTGATTATGACTTGGTAGAGTCGATCCCTTGTAAGCGTAGATGATATCGAATTTAAACCGCGCAACGCAACTACATATTTATATTCCTCCTGTAGCTATAGAAAGAAAGATCGCCGCGATTTTCACCATCACATCAGGAAAAACCCAGGGACAGCCCCAAATACACATCTCTCCGTGAGGATGCTGCACGCCTCTATGGGGCCGTTTGTTTCGAGTCATCGAAGTGGTGGCCTAATGATGAAAATTATAGGAGTTTTACATCTACCAGGGGGAATGATCTACACATGTTGTTGCATCGCAGAAAGCCAAGCTTGAAACTCCACTATTCGGCCCCAACTTGCATCTCAGCTCTTACTCGATTGAGTTGTATATGGCGCTTCAAACGTAAGATCTCAGATCATTACTCGATAGAACTTTCAAAAATGGATTGTATATCGATCTTGAACTAGGCATAATGATCAATGAGTGATAGCAAAGACATAAATAGGCCTATATCCTCGAACAAAGTCCTCAGCATTCCACGCAAAGAAACCTAAAGAAACAAAGCCCTGAATCACCTCTCGTCACTCACAGCTTTTCTATCATTCTCGAAAAAATGCAAATCCCAAAGCCCCTTCTCCCAGCACTCTTCGCCCTCACGGCAAACGCCCTGTTCGACTGCAACACCGACCAACACGCCTTCGATCCGGCAACCGGCAAGTTCGTCGTACATTTCACTTCCGCTCGTGATAGCCATTACAATGGGAACGAGCCATGGGTATGAAATCCTTCATCCGATTCCATCCCTTCCCAATATCCAAAGTACTAATTCTCCCCAGATCAGAATCTGTCGCCCCAATTCCTCCGGCACATGGGATAACATCGACCCACTGGGGATACCCTGCGATACAGCCGGTGCAAAAACATTTAGTCCAAGCCAGACTGGTCTGAAGGGTGATTTGAAGGTTGGGCTTGGGGATGCGTGTGCTAGTATTGGGCGTTTGGCTGGGAGTTATCTGGAGTATAAGAGTGTTTTTGTTGATTTGGATGGGGATTATGGAAATGGGGATGTTTGTGGCAAGAGAGATCATGGGCGGTCTTGTCAGTTGAGTTTGTAATCTGCAATCTGTGAGAGGGTTGTGGATGGGGGATTTGGTGGTATGTTGATTCTTGATTTTGGGGGTGAAAAGTCGGAGACGAGGTTGTATGTTCCCGGTGTTAAACCTTCTAAATCGGAAACGAAGTCATAGCTGGAATCTACTATTTTTGTTATTTCCAGGAATAAGTTACGTTGGATTAAAGATTGTAGAGACTTTGGTTAAACTGTGGGTTCATTAATGACCTGGATCACAGGAGGCATGGTTCTGAACTATGTGCAGCAAAAAGAAAAGAAAAGCAACGGCTATGTGACCTGAAAGAAAGGGAGTAATGCAGCATGTCCTCCTGTTCGCGTTCCAAAATGGGGTTGAAGAAGAAAATGAACGAAATTACTGCACGGAAGGCAGCGCAGCCGAAAGAGGCAACTTGCGAGACGAGTTACCAACATGCACGGTCTTCTGAGCAGGAGAGATAACCCAGTTCTGCGAAACGACGTCCCAGTTAGACAGGTCACGACGGTTGAGAGTGGTGGTCCACTGGACGACCTGGCCAGCGGCGACGGTGACACGGTCGAACTGGCGCAGAACCTTGGCGGGGTTGCCCTCGCCGCCGAGGGAGACGTAGAGCTGGGGAACCTCGTCACCAGTGACGGAGCCGGTGTTTGTGATTGTGGCGGTTATCTGGAAGAGATCCTCGAAGAGACCAGGGTTACCGCCGTCCTGGCCGCTAGAGGGGAGGAGGTCCTGGGGGGAACCGTCGGTGGCACCCTCGGGCAGGTAGTCCTTGGAGGCCATGCCGTAGTCGGGGTCGCCGGAAGAGGCGCGGAGATCGGTGGAGTTCAACCAGGGGTAGAGGTACTGGGTGACGCGCTGGAGACCCTCGGGGTAGAGGTTGTCAGAGGCCTTCTCGGGCTCGCCAAGGACGGGAGCCTTTTCAGTCTTGCCGGTGGTAGGAGTGTACTTGGTGGGGGTCAATAGGGTGACCTTCAGGTCGGAGAACTCGAAGCTGGTGTAGCTCAGACCGTAGCCGAACTCATAGATCGGCTCGGTGTTGTCCTTGTCAAAATGGCGGTAATCAATGAAGACACCGTCATCAAAGTTGTCCTGGGGAGCACCGTCGCCGTTGTTGGGAACGGTGAGGATCTCAGGGCCGTAGTCCTTGCGAGTCTTGCCCCAGGTGAAGGGGGTCTTACCTCCGGGGTTGATGCGGCCGTAGAGAACATCGACCAGACTGCGACCAGACTCCTGGCCGGGCAGACCAGCCCAGAGAATGGCGGTGATGTTGTCATTGTCATACCAATCGCTGATGAGAACAGCGCCAGTGCTGTGGATGACAACGATGGTGTTGTTGCAATTCTCGGTGGCGGTCTTGATGACCTCTTCGCCGTTCTTCCACACGGTGAGGTTCTTACGGTCACCCTCATTGCCATCGACGTTGATGTAGCCCTCACCAGAGTCAGCGTTGACGAAAACGAGCGCAACAGAAGCCTGAGAAGCAACGGCAGCTATCTCAGTAAGGGCCCAGTTATCAGTCACGGCAAAAACGTTGGTCTGGCCGTTACCATAGTCGAGCACTTCGTTCTGGATAGCCTGCTCGGGGGTGATCAGGTAAGGGAAGTTGGCAGTTCCACTACCCCAGCCCATCGCAAGGGTTCCATTATCACAGCCACGGTCACTGCAGCCATTGGCACCGTAGGCGTTAGAGCCAGCATCTTCCCCCAGAATACCGATGAACCTCTCATTGTGAGTCAGGGGCAAAGCACCGCCCTTATTCTTGAGCAAAACAGTACTATCGGATCCAATCTTGCGGATGACCTGGGCGTGATCACGCTGGACGTTGACACGCTCGTTGAGCTTGATGTAGCTCTCGCTGACCATGAAGTGCTCGAACCCATACTCATCGCGGGTCCAGGAGCTGAAGTTGGGAGGAGTTCGGTAGCGGTCACGGCCGACCTTGTAGTACGCAGCCATGATACGGACAGCCATATCATCGACACGCCATTCAGGGATAGTGCCGTTCAGAACGGAGATGGTCAGGTTAGTACCCCAGTAGGAGTAAGGACTACCAAGGTAAACATCACCGGGCATGGACATATCCAAACCAGCAAGCGCAGACCCGACACCACTGTGGTGCGCACCCCAGTCACTCATAATGAAGCCCTGGAAGCCAAGCTCGCCCTTAAGCAGCTTGTTCAGCGTGTAACTGTTAGCACAGCCGTAACTGTTGTTGATCTGGTTGTAGGAGCACATAACAGAGCCAACACCAGCACGGATGGCATCAACAAAGGGCCACAAGTAGAGTTCGTGCATAGTCTTGTCGTCAATGTTAGAGCTAACACTCTGGGTAATGTTGTACCCGTAGCCCTGAGCCTCGCCAGACTGACGGAAGTGCTCCTGCTCGTTTCCAATGAAATGCTTGGCGCAAGCAATGACACCAGCATCTTGCATACCCTTGATGGTCTCGGCCATCATCACACCAGTGAGGACGGGGTCGGGGGAGAACCCCTCCCAGTTACGACCTCCGTCGGGGTATTTGCCAATTGGGCCGGCGACGGGGCCCAATTGTACGTCCACACCCTTGTCACGGTGCTCCTCGCCCATGGCTGTACCGCGCTGGTAAGCAAGGCGCTTGTCCCAGGTGGCGGCGACATTGACACCGGAGGGGAAACCGGAATTGTAATCACCTATTGTTTGATTAGGGGATGCACTACCAAGAAAAGGCAAAGGAGATCATACTGTCGCGCACACCCAGAGGCGAATCCTGCAAACACATTCCCCACATTCCCAGTCGGGGAATACCACCAGTTTCACCGACGCATCGCTCTTGCTCCCAGCCAGCACCGGTTGTCAAGTTGACCTTTTCGGCGAGTGTGAGGTTGGATACAAATTCGACGGCGCGTTTATAGGCCTCAGACCATTCACCTTGGCCGGTCATCCATGGTGAAGGGTAGTATGGGGGAGAATAAGACAAATCCTAACGCGAAACAATGAACATTGACTTCCAAATGGTACTTGGAAAATTAAACGCCACTTACATTGGCACTGACCACTGAGGCCGAAGCCAAGGCGGCTACCTCTAACCACCCGAACTTCATTGTGGTAAGTGAAGGGTATGATGAAGGGAGAACCGATGAGCACTCCAATGGCGGGGGAAGCTCCGATTTAAATGTCATTCACCAAGAACAGGGGTCAATCAAAGCTCCAAAAAAGTTATAATGTGGAGTAAACAAGGGATCGACACTGAGACTGCGCGAGGCATGCACTATAGTATGCACTATACTGGTCGCTTGCGCCACTTATTGGCCCTGTTTTCTGAACCGTTTACTGTATCCTTGAAAGGGGAAAAGGGACAAAAGTGGCTGGTACTCAAAAGAGGGAGGAAAGGGAGCACAATCAACCCCTTTGGATGCCTATGTGGTAACACATCCCTAGTACCAGCCTCTCTCGTTATGTGCATGTGTACCTTGCTGCGATGGAACTGCCGCCTAAACTTCGGCTCATAGGACCTCCGGGTCGTCTTCTCCGCTAATTCTCCGTCCCTTCTCTGAGGTCTGACAGCTCAGGAACTGCGCCTTGATTGGTTCCCCTATCTTCTCTCGCGGAATATCGGCATTGATATTCTATGATTTGACTCGTAGCAATTATTACACTAACCTCTCTTACGACTACATAGCCAAGATCCCGATCTCACGGCAGAGACTATCCGGGAGGCTTGAGCATGGCTGTGATCTCCGCTGATACTTCCCGATTGGGAAACTCCTACGTCAATGCGGAGAAACACTCATTTTCTGGCTATTTTATACTGTGTTTAAATCTATAATTTATTATGTACTATATAAAAGTCTATGGCAATCGCTCTGTTGACTATGAACATCAAGTATAGTTATTTGTGGTGGTTGTCAACCACGGAAGCCATCAGTCAAGCAAATCTCAACCGTGGATAAAGACCCGGGGAGTGCGGGGGCGGACCCCAGTCTCTGCACTCCAGATTTCAGTGCGCGATTAATTTGAGATCCGAGGAGTCAACTTCAATCTACTACACACACATCCATTAAATGGCTTGACTGAGTTGGCAATCCCCATCGCAACGGCACCAACCGCCCACAGGCTGATCAAGTCTTGGCCGACTTGGCACGTTCATCGAACCAGGAGGTATACAGCATGATGCATGTCTCTGGACCGTACATCATTTTTCCTGCTTGAGTTCGGTCTCTCCTCCGTCTGGATTCTTTTCCCCCACGCTATACTATGCAGTCATCGCAGACCCCGGATCCACGGCTTCTTGAATTAATTTGAATTACCGTGCCACTATGTTACGGGGTACATGTACGATGTAACCAGGTCTTAGCGATCGATGCTAGCCTCCACTTTACACTATTTATTATACCCCCAACGGTACATGTATACACGTACGCCAAAAGCCACGGCTATAAGCTCTAGCCCCTCGAAATAATCGGCCCGGCAAAGTATTACAATCAGAAGTTATTTTGGATGTAGTCGGAGAGTAGGCGAAACAGCCGCATTAAAGTTGCACTCAATCTCGCGGAGTGCAGCAGTGCAGGGATTGGTCTGGGGAATGAAAATTGGAGATTGAAAATCGAAAACCGGTCAACGATGTTTTCTCACCGGAACTTCACTGCCCGAAATATGGAGAACTTTATGGGTAGAATGCTGATCCCTGCCTGAAGGCGGAGCAGTCAGATTTGCCTGTTTTCCGGCTAATCGTCGGTGAAAGGTGGGATTTGGGGGTGTTTGGAAGACTTTTTCCGGGGTTTGGAGTCGGCAATCCGGGGTTCGTGCGGGTTTACTTTTTTTTTTCTCTCACTATTTTATTATTGGGATTTGATATTCGGTACTGTTCACATTATATGTTCTGAGATTGTATAAACAGGAAAATATGTAGTCCTTTGCATCATAGATCCCGTAGCCATAGTCGATCTTCATCCCGTAAAGCTTCGGCATCTTTGATTAACCTGCAATTTTGGTGCGGGGTCGTGCCGAGAGAGATGTAATGACATGGACGTTTTGATCCCGCATTTGTAAGACGACATGCATCTCACTAACAAGCCGCCCACGGGTGCATCGGGCCGTGGCCTCAATCTGGGTCCTTGCGGCGTGGCGTTGGTCCAGGCTCAGCAATGCTTCAGGCTTGGAATGGCGCTCTCGGGGCGCGGTAGTACTCAGTGCTGTCGTAGTACCTTGGCGGCCTTTTTTTACTAGTATTAATTATGGGCTGATCATGTGTCTTGAATCTTCATCACAGATGCCGACAGTAGTAATTTGCGCTTGACAAAAGCCGAGATCATATGTCGTGGCTGATCTCATCTAGCACTTGGAACAGAACGGAATTCTGGACTCTGCAGCCAGTGCCATTCGTGCTCGCCCGGAATCCGGACCAGATTCTGCGCCGGATCTCTTCCACGTCCAATCCTTTCGTGTTGTATCGGTTGATCATGTCATCAGCGATGCCACAGACGGTTGAGTTCAGAAGGTCTTCTTCTGACGCTGCCTCCATTGCTTGGCCATTGGGACTGCATCCGCATAAATCGGGATCTTCTACTTTTGGCTCTTGACTGGGTGTTTCGGTAGACTTTGCTTCTTCTGCTGCTTCTGGCCCACAGCCACTGTTGCTCGTGGTTGATTCAAATGCATTGCTGCTAGAGTTTGGTCGATAACTGCTGCTGCTGCTGCTGCTGCTGCTGCCGGTTGGAGCGCCGGAACTGCTAGAAGATGGTCCACAAGCATTGCCGAGAGCTGGCCCACAGGCGTTATTGTTGGCTGTCGGACCACCGGCATTACTGAACGTTGTTGGTCCACAGGTATTGTTTGTGCCAGTCGGAGTACAGGCATTGCTGGAAGGTGGTCCACAAGAACTACTCCCAGTCTGTGGTAAGCACGAACCATTGCTTGATGGCGGTCCACAGACACTACCCCGGGCAGACAACTGCTCTTCAGTTGGTTCCGTCTTCTCCTGGTTCTCATAGACACGAGGCATCGCCACAGACAGCCTGCGGTCCGAACCATCGGAAGGTGCCGGTGAATAGAATCCCTCGGGTCGCTGAACAGCAGGAATAGCAATCTTTTGGGTATTACTTTCTCTTTGCTCAACCACCTGCAGATATTGCTGCACAGAAGCATTCGAGATACCAAGTGATCCCAGGAGAGTTTTCAAATGTCTGTTCTCGGCTTCAACCCTTTGCATAGCGAGCCGAAACTCAATGTCCCTTTGCTGGGCTCGAGATTCGCAGACAGATAGACGCTGCTCTAGCTCCTTCACATACTGCTGCTTTCGGGCTCGGCTCTTGCGCTGGTTATCCCTTACGCGCGCGAGGCGGTCCACATCCTTTTTTGACAGTTAGACTTGTCTATCCAATTTAGATAGCTACGTTCGGAATACTAACCTTTCGATCGTGCGCTTCCTCCATCGTGTTAAGCTTTTGTCGGTTATTCTAGTGCACAGGCCTCCGGAGGGGTGTGGAGCAGAGCTGGATTGTCAGACTCGCCACATGTATATTTCATCAAGCCAGTTCTGTCATAATGGCAGGTATTTGTATAGCATTTCCTCAAAACTTGCAAGTTGGGAAGGATGACGCCTCTCGCCTTCTGATTTTGACGTTTTCTTTCTGGGTCACGTGATCGGGCCTAGCGCAGAAGTTATCTTGAGCTATTCCAACCTGGCAACAATTACTTCTGCATCTGACAATCTGTCACCAAATGTTCAAGATTCATTTCAAAGTCAAATTTATCTAACTGCCCTATCGAGCGTGATTAGCCAGATACAAAATCTCATCTAGTTACTCTACCTGAACAGCCTCGTCCAAGCAAATACCCTGGTTCCCCGCCTTTGCCCGTGCAACTCCAAATGCAACACGAACCCGCGCATTGGAACTGGTCGCAAGCCAATCCCATAGCTCCTTGGTTCGTTGTTCGAACTCTTTCAACTGCTCGTCAGAAGAAAAATCAAACTGCACGTCGGCAACGAGGAAATAAGCGTCGCTAAGCCACTGATAAGATTCAGGAAAACAGACCATGCTCCCGTCACCACCAGTGGGCAGCAGCAGGTCTCCATCGAAGGTATGCGCTAGGATATGACGATACACTGTCAGGCCTTGCTCCGGCGTTGGGGATCCCGACTGAAAGTTGTCATTCAATTCAGCCTGAAGGAATGGACGCTCCATAGTTGGCGGAGTACGCCTATCATACTCAGCAAAGATGAAGTCCAAGATGGATTGAACCACGGGGTACTTCTTCAGGTTCGCAGACTTTGCCGACCAACATTCCAAGCGCTCCCCGAGAGCCTCGGGATTGTCGATACCCAGATGGCGCGTCACATATAGCAGGTCGGAGAGCGAACCCATGCGGTATGTACTACCGGGCCGAAGGGGTTGATAAGGCGCATACTGCTGTATGAAAGAGCCCAGTTCGAAGTGATTCGAGAAATGTCGTTTCTGGGTTGCGATGCGAGCTTCCACGGAGGCTTTGAGTTGACCGAGGAGGACTTCGCCCGTAAGCACGAGGCCGTTGATACCATCTAGCATGCGGAGCTCGTCCTTGGATAGCTGGCCGTTCAATGTCTTGTATGCCAGGTCGTGGTTGACCTCAGACCAGGCGTGCATGAGCAACGAGGCAACCTGGACTTCGATCATGGTCTGCTCAAAGCGGGGATCGGGAGACTCGCCGAATTCCTCGCTACGGACTTTGACGCGGAAATGCGTCGCTCTGTATCCGTGGAACCGTGCTGTATACGGACCCTCTGTTTGCACAATGGACGTCTGAAGAGCGTCAGTTTGGAAGGCTTTGTTCTCGACGGCAACCAGGGTCTTGTCGTGTCGCTTCAGGTCCTTGATGTGGAACGCTCTGTGCATGATACCCTCGATTTGTTTTTCCTGGTCAGGGAAATAGAGGGCCAATCGTACGCCGATAAGGTCTGCGAGATCATGGGAGATTTCGTCCGTGGATTGGTAGTTTTTCTCGGTGTTTCTCTGGCGAAGCTTCACCAATAATCTTTCGGGGTTTTTGGCCCGCGAGGTGATGACTGCTGGGATACCACTTTCTTCAAGGGCTTTGCGGCATCTTGTCTCGGCGTAGGAAGCAAGTTTGAGGTAAAATGAAAAGCCAGACTGGTAGTCTTGGATGAAGTGCTCTATAATAGATTCAGACATTTTCGCTTTTCTCAAAGCTGGTATTCAAGGAAAGATTGGTAAGATGACGAGTGTTGAATTGAGTTTCTCTTTCCGTTCCCCAGGTTGAGGGTTGAGTCCCCTTTTATACACCACGACTTTCTTCATGGAGCAGCTGACCTTAAGTTTCCACAGAAAAGGGGCGGACGATAACTTCCAATCGCACCATGTAGTCGTCGCTTGTTCGGCCCTGAGTTTGAGATGGCACATCCTAGCTCGCATCGGCAGGGAAGGCGCAGGTTGACAGTTGACCAACTAGGTAGCTGGGGCCGAGCAAGGTAACTTCCAAGTGTGACATGTGGAGCCCATGAGGTGTCAAAACAGCTGGGAAAGGAATAATTCGTCTTAGTGGGCTGGCTGATGAGACACTCAAGTCAGACTGGACTCGGATTTATTTGTTATTCAAAATTATGTGGGGTTCTCTAATTAGAGCTAGATCTCTCGACTTCACGGGTATGGAATTACTACTAGATGGAGATGAAAAATATGGGAAAACCGCCAGAGAAAGAGTTTAGAAGCTATTCAAATCGACGAACGCGAGGAGATTTTTCGAGTACCGCATGACTTCAGCCCACTCAACCTTCATTGACAGACGACATAGAGCAGGGTCCTCAAATCCTTCCAGGGTATGATGAATGGACGCCAGAGACTTGCTGATATTCCGCACCATCTCCTGCCACGTTATCAAATGGCCCTTGAGGGCCAATGCACTCTCCTTCATCCTCTTGATGTTCGAGATTGTAGCGTCAAGTGCAAACACAGCATGTACACTCTCAAGCTTACCCTCCCATTCGTGAATCCGAAATTTGAGGTATCGCGGGAAATCCTGGGTCCAATGATGGACCTGGACTAAGGCATTGGTCGCTTGAATAGCCGCGGTTTCAGCCATCTGACAGGCTTCCATGGCATCTGTTTGTAATCTCTTTGCTATGACTAGTTTGTCATCAGACGCTGGGCTGGAGAAACTGTGGGTCCACGCCTGAGTGATGCCAGGAACACAGTCTGCTGGAGCAGATCAAGGACATGTGTGCGTGTTTCGTTGAGGCTTCCCTCAACTGCACTGGTAATATCTTCGCTTCCTATAAACCTCAACGGTATCGAGACACCTTGTAGCTCATGGTAGCGATTTAATCCAGCCCACAGGGTTTTGGCGCCATTGAGAGCTGGCATATCGTACCAAGTCCCAGTAAGAGGCTTCATGGAGATCGTCGACTTCCGACCTAGTTTTCAGCAGCTCAATTATTGCAGAAGTCATCGCGATGATTATGAGCAAGATTGTCTGATAATACTGGTGAAGGAAATTTCGGTGCTGCTCTGGGCAGCAGTGTGTCTTGCGGTGGTACTTATACGCCGTGTTCTCACGCAAGCCTAAACACCATTTACCTCCCTGTGAGACTTTATGCACTCTCTGTGGCGAGCTCAAGAAGTCCGTTGCGCCTTTTTGTCGCTTTTGATATACTTTCAGATGATCAGAATTCCGCTGTATCGCATAGCCTAGGTGCTGACCTCGGATGTGACATTTCAGGCGAGCTGACTAGAGTAAACTCCCTGCTAGTCTTTCTTCTCGCTTCAAAATACCACAGTCATGTGTTTGTCGCTGGCTAGCTGGCGTCTCGGCTATCAACGCCAGTTCTGATTTGACCAATAGGGTTACTTCCGGTCTGCAGTAGAGCGAGGCAGCGGCCCCGCATTCGTCAGCCGTGCAGTTGCTATTCTCAGGGGTTCGGAGTTTGCCGTACCAATTGTTTTTATTATCTAGTATCGCTACTGCTAGCTGATTTAATACTTCATTCTCTCTACGCATATTATGAAAAGGTTACTGCTTCGAGCCGGAAGAAGTATCTTCATGCGTTTATCAATACACACACACAATGTTCAATGGACACAAAATACAGATTCATTGTCATCTCCAAACATAATTTACTGAACGATACCATCCCAGCGGTTTGCATCCTTCAAACCAAGCAACTCTTTGACATCCTGACTTTTCAACCACTCTTCAAATCCAGTGCGCTGCGCATAAGACTTCAACTGAGCAGGCTCAACAACGTTTTCAAGCCCAGCACAATAGCCATACTCATCAATAAAAGCTGGGCCACCAAGAACCTCAAGTGGAATACCCGTCTTCTCGTGCATCTCCTGAACGGTCATTTGAATCAAGTGAACCTGTTTCCCAAGAGCACGAGACCAAATAGCCATGATATCCTCAACGGAAATATAGTCGTCATAAGCCAAAAGCTGCATCCCAGCCTCCTCATCTTCAACCAAAGCCCGGACAAAATGACCAGTTGACTGAGCAGTGTCAATGATAGGCATGTGCATCTCCTTTCTCGCCGGCAATGCAGCAACAAATGCCCCACTCTCCTCTTGGAACTTGGGATACAAGAAAGGATTGGTGATATAAGCACCAATATAAATGAAAGAAGTCTTCTTCGCCAACTCCACCTTCTGCTTCTCGATATAGTTGACTATATGGGCCTTCGTCTCCCAGTGGTTTGAATCGGAGTATTTTCCACCAGAGGCAGCTTTCATAGGACCCAAGGCTGAGTAGATGAATCTTTCCAATGTTGGGATTGTCGCAGCGACATTGACGGCGTTCTCTCCGTGAGTGACTTCTGCCTCGTATCCTTGCTTTGCGCTGGTCACGATATCAGCACCTGAAGCAAGTGCTTTCCGGTAGGGCAGCCAGAAATCGGTGTTGAGGAAGATGGCGTGGGCGCCGGCGAATGCTCGGCGCAAAGAATCTTCGTTGTCCAAGTCTGCTTCGACTAGGTCGCCGCCTAGCTTGGCTAGGTCTTGTGCTTTTTCCGAGGATGGGTTGCGAGTCAGGCATCGGACGTGCCAGTTGGGGAGGGTGAGAAACGTGCGGGCAACTGATGATCCTTGGGTGCCGGTTGCGCCAACAACTGCAATTATTTTCTTCGGTGTACAGGCCATTTTGATCTGGGATTGTGGGGAGAGTTGCTGACTTGGATGGGCTGGATTCTATGTTGGATTTGAGTGGGATATAGGAGCCCATTTATATGTTTGAACTCATCTTGAACGATGGAATCATGGCTTATAGTTCGCGCAATCTGATTGGCTCAAAAGCGTAAGCCAGTGTGGCTTATGGATGTGGCTTATGGTTGAACGGAATTCGGAGTATTCGGGGTTAAGAGGTCTACCACTTACCTCCGTCCTCTGCGGTGGCACGTATTTTCTCCTCTTTGAGCTCGAGCCTAGCCTGTTATGTGAGATACGGGATTCTGCCAGTCATTTTTAGAAAAGCTTGTCTGGTCAAAACATGGCCCCCACAGCTGAGATAGACCAGCACGATGTTGCGTTTTCCAATCGACCCAAGAGGCGAATCATCACACCAGCGCGTCAGGAGCAAAATCGAATTGCGCAGCGAGCCTATCGTATGCCTTGTCTTCTCCGCAAGTAATGACCGGAGCTAACATATATTTGAAGGCGAGAGACAGAAAGAGCGCCGAAATCAGTCAAATGCTCAGAGCGGGCGAAAGAGAAAGCTTGCGCCACAACCACCATCCGATGTATCAGAGCTATTGTCGAGCAGGTCGCCTGATACCAGTTCTGAGTCTACATTGTTCACTCCTTCAAAATCATTAACTCGACGTCCAGCTGTCAATAGGGCGGGCAGCTCACCAAGCCCCCCAATTGAATCATTAATGAACGCTCTACAAACACCCCATGATACAATGTGGATAGCAATCCTGAACAATGCCCTCTGTCTAGGCTTTGACGTTGGCCGATTGGCAGCTTGTAGCATGACCTACGTGTCACCGTTCTTCAAATCCATCAGTGCACAAGATAGCGCACAGGATCTAGTCGTCTCAACGTTCAACTCGTCAATTCCAATCCATCTACAGCCTACAATGGCTCAGATTCTTGTTCCACATCATGCCAGCTTGGATCTTATACCAATGCCACTTCTTCGGGAGAGAGCTATCATGATGTGTTACGCGATGCCTCATGCTTATAGCCTTTGGGACTTTAAGTTGGATATTTATACGCGACATGCTCTTATTTGTCATCGATATCGTCCCGATAGTGATTGTCAGTCTTGGGATCCGAGGAGCTGGGAGGGTATGCCTTGGTTTTTGAAGAAATGGAGTACAGCAACTGCGGTTGAAGAGTAAATCGGGATTTCTTGGGCCGGCATGGAGCATATGAAGCGAATATCATATATTTATACTTAGTACTTGCTAATTTACAGTCCCCTAGTTTGAAAAGTAGACAAATATGTGAGTTGAGATTGATAGAAACAGTTGTTCTATAGGCAACTGCCGATGTGAGTCGCCGGGAACCTCATGGTCCGTGTACGTGAGAATCGCTCGAAAATGAGGCAAATAAGCCTATTGGACCCCGACTATACCAAGCACACACTACACTATACTCAATATAGAGACTGAACAGACTATCGTCACTAGACCAGACACGAACACGGCAAGAGGCGATTGCCAAATGCGGACCCGCATTCGATACGTCACAGGCCGTCACAATCTCGGGCCCATATGTCTATGTCTATGTCCCCAGCATTCCTCGCGTATTCCACCTTCATGAACAAGCATCAGCTTGCCTACAAATTTCCATATATCACAGTGCGACAAAAATGGTCTCCACGCGACACCACCCCCGCGAATTCCCATCGCCCGAGCGCGCCGCAAAAGAGCTCATCAAATCGCCAGCAGCAACCAATGCCAACTCGCGCAAATGGGTACACACCCCTTCAGCCGCGCTGACAATTTGGCTCATCATCTCCGTGCCCCTGGTCGCATGGGACGCGGGCTATGTGATGTTACGACCGCATAGCATGCCCGGCGGGCGTTTCCATTCCCCCATCTGGGCACCTTACGCGCTATACGGCAAGATCGACTATATCTACGGCTGGCCTGCCTACAATGCGCGCAATGGATTTACTGCTGCGCAGACGATTCTGAATATCATCGAGACTATCGGTTACATTTTCTACCTCTGGGTTGTTTACAACTATGGCGCGACTGTCGTCAGTGGTCGTGGACAGAGGGTTAAGAAGGATTTGCTGTGGTTTTTGAAGGGGGATAAAGTTGTAGCTGGAAGAATTGGGGCTCTCGCGCTTGTTGTTGCTTACTCTATGTCTGTTATGACTTTGAGCAAGACCATTCTCTATTGTAGGTTCTTGCGATGGGTGCTTTTTCAATAGGTTTGGATGCTAACTCTTTGAAATCATAGGGCTCAATGAGTTCTTCTCGGGCTTTGAGAATATTGGCCACAATAAGCCGCTTGATCTCGTGCTCTATTGGATTATTCCCAAGTAAGTTTACCTCGCCACTTCCTACGCTGAAGATTAACCTGATTCTTTTAGTGGCGCGTGGATTATCTTCCCCAGTTATAACATCTACACACTCAGCGCTGAGATTCTGAATGCCCTTGAGTTCGCGACTCCCCGTCAGAAGGTTGGACGACCCAAATCCACCTAAATTTGGCTGTACAAGGGAAAATGTATATGAGGAGGTGAGATATGTGTGATTCAATTATAGTCGAGAAAACATTGAGTGAATGGCGTCTTCTGAATCCATTATAAGTAGAAGCGTTATGATATCCATAGGATATAGTGTTCGCAGTGCAATTCATGACTTTCTTCTTCTCCCCTGTAGCCGCATAGGCGGTCCAGATGATAATGCGCGGTTGACCTCCTTAGATGTAGATGTGTTTGAGCTTTCTTATTCCAGCGTGACATGCTACATTTACCGTGAAGAACTCTAGATACGTTGATGACTTATAGTGTAGATCGTCTTTATATGCCGGGATATACTACTGTACTTAGCAATGGAGCTCGAGACAAAAGTGATTGGTGCAAATCCTCCAGATTCCACATGTAACCTCAGTCGATTGCGTAGCGAAATCTTTTCTGTGGAAACTCGAGCTATACAATATAGTATTCTTGACGTTCATACCTTGGTGAGTGGGAATCTCCGTAATAGAGCACTACCAGTGGACAACCCTTGCCAAGCCGGTGAACCTTTCCCCATATTAACTTCCTCATTTTCTCCCCAACTCTCCGACGCCCCGACTCCCCGACTACTCCCGTCTTCACGTCTCCCCTTCAACTCGTGAAAATCTTCGCGGATCACCTTTCACTCCACCGACCGTACCGAAGGATGCTTCGGGCCTGGGTCCTGGGGTATCCGCACCCGTCATGATCCAACCCGATGACGACTCACCATTGAACCCCTCTGGCGCAAGCTTCAATTTAGGCCAGGAGGAGGCAGCAGCAGCTCTCGAGGACTTCGATACGCAGAGCCATGGGAGTTCCCGCGACCCCGGTAGCACACAAACCGCCGACCCCGCGCTAGGTCCGGACAGCGGCGCGCACGACCACCAACGAGACGACGGCGGAGACGGACCGTCGAACCTGGAGAATTTCAACGATGGCGACAAGCCCGCTTGGAGCGAAATGAAGACTAAGGCTGGAAAGGAGCGGAAGCGATTGCCGCTGGCCTGTATCGCATGTCGCCGCAAGAAAATCCGCTGCTCTGGCGAAAAGCCCGCTTGCAAGCACTGCACTCGCTCGCGAATTCCTTGCGTCTATAAAGTTACCACGCGGAAGGCTGCGCCGCGCACGGATTATATGGCTATGCTGGATAAGCGGTTGAAGAGGATGGAAGATCGTGTGATCAAGACGATACCGAAGGAAGAGACGAGGGACATGGCCTCTATCGGTCGATCTATTGTCAAGCCTTCTGTTTCGAATCAGCCCACAAAGGCCCAGAAGAAAAGAAGTGCAGATGAGGCGTTTGAGGCTGAGATGGATGAATGGACCCGTGGGGACCGCCGCCCGCCGCATGAGTCCTTCCCGATGAATCGTGAGATCAAGTCCGGCGACGGCAGTGGGCTTTTAACCGAGGGTGCTGAGTTCTTGCCATCTTTGGAGATCCAGGAACATCTGGCAGAGGTGTTCTTCGATTGTGTATATGGGCAATCATACCTTCTGTTGCATAAGCCTAGTTTCATGCGACGGCTCAAGGCTGGCAGTATTCCCCCGGTGTTGATTCTCGCTGTCTGTGCCGTCTCTGCACGATTCTCAACACATCCTCAGCTCAATTCGGAACCGCAATTCTTGCGCGGAGAGAATTGGGCCAATCCGGCCGCCGCCATTGCTCTGAGCAGACACGACGAACCTAATATCACAATCCTTACTGTCTTCCTCCTTCTTGGTCTCCATGAATTTGGAACCTGTCATGGTGGACGGAGTTGGTCTTTTGGTGGCCAAGCTTTGAGAATGGCATATGCCTTGCAGTTGCATCAAGAGCTTGAGCAGGACCCAATGATTAATAAAGGGCCTAGTAACCCCTCGCAGTTGAGCTTCACTGATCAGGAGATCAGACGGCGGACTATGTGGGCATGCTACTTGATGGATCGGTATAACTCCTCTGGCAGTCAACGGCCGCCAATTGGAAACGAAAAGTTCCTACAAATCCAGCTACCTATTAAAGAAACCCACTTCCAGATGGAAATTCCTGGTCCAACGGAAGATCTCGACGGGGATATTCTCAATCCTACGCCAGAAGACACAGGCCAGTTGTCAAATGCCAGAGAAAATATGGGTGTGTCAGCATATATCATCCGCGCTATCGTCATTTGGGGTCGCATTGTTGACTACCTAAATCTCGGCGGTAAGAGAAAGGACGCACATCCACTTTGGCATCCAGAATCAGGGTACATGCAACTCAAGCGACAGATTGAAGAATTCTCCGCCTCCCTCCCGGCTCCTTTGACGTTCACATACGAGAATCTTCAGATCCATGCGGCGGAGAAGATTGCAAACCAGTTCCTCTTCCTCCACATCATCATCCATCAAAATATGTTATTCCTCAATCAATTCGCCATCCCCTTGTCACCGGGAGGGCGACCACCACGGGATATGCCTAAGCCTTTTCTCAGCAATGCAGGACGTGCTGCGGTAGAGGCGGCGCATCACATCTCCGTTCTCTTCGATCGAGCTTCGGCCTATCCTCTCACTGTCCCGTTTGCTGGGTACTGTGCCTATTCAGCCAGCACAGTCCATATCTGGGGCATCTTCTCGAAGAACGTCCAGCTAGAGGCCCGGTCAAAAGAAAACCTCCGACATACATACCGCTACCTTAACAAAATGAAAAAGTACTGGGGCATGTTCCACTACATGGTTGAAAGTGCCAAGGATCGATATCGTCAGTTTGCCGATGCAGCTATCCAGGGCTCTGTGGTAACTCAAAATGGCACTTCGCTGGCACCAATGTTCCAATATGGTGACTGGTTCGACAAGTATCCCCACGGTGTATCAAGAATGCACTGGGAGGATCCTGATACACAGCACAGAAAAACAGGCGAGGATGCGGTGATGGGCCAAAAGCCCGATCTCCAAAGCGTGGAAGACTTCTTCGCAAGCCTGTCACCCACACCACAACAACCCATCCTCCCTCGGAAAACACGCTCTCGCAAAAACAGCAAATTATCAGATGGTGTTACAGGCATGGAAACCTCTCCGCAATCCATGATGGAGGTAACAATGGGAAACACTCCTGGCGTCCCAGGAAGTGCATTCCCACAACCCTCCATGTTCAACCAACCAAGACAGATGTCATTCGGCCAACCACCATTCGATTTCAGCATCCCTCAAGACCAACTCCCTCAACTGGATCGGCAATTTGTCTACGGCTCTTTCTCCGAATTTGACCCCAACTCCTTCGTCCAAAATAACCCCCCTTCTGTCCCACCAGTAAACGGCGTCGAAACGCAGAACCCAGATCAATCTCTTTTCACTGGCCAGCTGGATCCAGGTGCCCCCGCTGGAACGGGCGAGTTCTATCAGCCCAGTGCTTGGTTCTTGCCTTTCAACCTCGACCCTATCGGCGTTGCAAACCCTCCAGGCCCACCTCCAGGTCTGGCGCCAGGCGCCCCAAATAACGACCGTCCGCAACCCCCCTCCGGCTTATCCACTGTACCAGAAGTACCCGGATATGCCGGTGGAGGGGGTTTGCCCATGAGTGCATATGACCTTGGTTTATCAGGGCCAGATGTGAACCAGGGTCAGCGGCAGTGATAGGCCCAGGTATTGGATACTGTTTCTGCGTTTCCACAGCTATGTCGTTTTTGGTTTTGATAATGATTCCAAGTATTTGTTGGAGTCGGACTTGCGGGATTGGTGTTTCTTCTTTCTTGCTCTTTGCTCTTGTTTCTTGTCCTTATTTGTATTGCTCTAAGATGTTTAATGGTTATGTTGCTGTGTGTACATAAGTTATCCTTATCCTTACATCTGACATGTATATTCCCTTTTTTATTTGGTGTAATGCTTTCGAGACTATAACTTTCATTATAACGTTAGTAGGGCTAATAAATGTCAACTTAACTGCTAGTCTTGAGCTTTTTTTTATTTTATAGTCAGCTGTTAGGTTGGGAAGCAATGCAATACAGTCCAATAAACTTTAGGAATTATATTTGAAAAGAAAATAAAACCATGTCCCGCGAAGATAGTATAAAATTACCAATTGAAATAATCAAAGACAAAAAAATATATTGCTGTGCATCATCCGTGAATCGAACACGGGCCTCGTCGATGGCAACGACGAATTCTACCACTAGACCAATGATGCTAGTTGTGTGGTTATCTGTGCGCAAGAAGAAATATGTTCACATGCTCGTTTATCCTATTTGTGCGGGGCTTGTGTTCCACATAGAAATGTAAACATTTGAATTGTGGTTAAGAAGAACGGTTCTTTTCTTGTTAGGTTGGTTTTTATGGGTTTGACGGGCACATGAGCTGTATATTACTGCTAAATCCTTCAAAATATCATCAAGTATCGGTTCATTGGGTAGATCGTTGATTTGTGAAAAATTTGTGGAGATATATATTTTGTAGCCCTCAGTACGTCAGTAACCACGCTGAACCGAGTACTCCTACTTTGAATGTAAATACCCATATAAATATCCAGACACGGGAGGTACATAGAAAGATCACGTCTTGTACTACTCCAAGTTCTCAATACCCCAGCTGTGATAATTCTAAATTGCGCATCAGATTCTTGTATAGGTCAAATTACCCTTTTCCCACCCAATTCCACAACAGGTATTTAGATACTGTATCGTACCCCTAAACCTGTCATAAACCACCTGAAGTGTCAAAAACATTGCTCCCTTGCTATAGACGGCATTGGTCAAACCCCTATGGAGTACAAAGTCTTGCCTATACGGGACAAAACACTTAGTCTTTATCACCATCATCGCCTTTTCCAGAGCCTCCACACCAGTACTCGAAGCTGCGTAGACCTTTACTACCATCCTAGTAATATCGGGCAACAGTGACTCCAGATATTGATCGCTTCGACTTTGACACCGTGCGAAACTCTAGCTAGGGATAGAAGTACCGCCAAAAGAATACCAGTGCGGTTTCTTCCCATGGAGCAGTGTACAAGAGATACTTCACCCGGGCTGTTGAGGATTTGAAGAGCATGTTGCAAAAGACGGATTCTCGACTAGCTGGATCTGGAAGCGGTTTTTAGGAGATGGGATCAGCAGATGCTTGAAGAAATCATATCGAAGATTGGGGCGATATGCGAGACTGGGTTAAGCAAGGATATTTTTACCCGGTTATTGTCTAAATACTTCGAAGATCCGCGGTGATTCTTTTATTTGAATGACTATCGAGGCGCGACAAAAAGCGGCATGAGATGCCTTCGACTGGAACTCTGTACTATTGCACAGCAAGTCTCCACTACAGCCGGCCATGAGAATACATCTATAACAAAGAAGTACTTCAGTCTACTAGACACCTACACTGAGAAAAATCAACAAAAAGGATTTAAAAGTCGCTCATAATACAGAAAAAAAAAAAAAAAAAAAAAAAAAAACGAATAAAACGGATGGAAAATCACAATAAAAACGAAAAGAGGCATCGACTAATCATCCCACTCCTCATCCAGTTGGTCTATTAGCCGGTTCTCGGCATCCACATCGCGTCCCTGGCCACGTCCTCCACGTCCTCCGATGGCTCCGATGACACCGCCACGACCGCCATCGGAGTTTGCGCGCACATAGCCGCTGTTTGAGCGGGAGCGGTTGATACGGCAGATGTTGCCTACTGATGAAAAGAAAATGATGAACATGTCCTGTTAGTAGAGAGATGGTCAGCCTCCTGTAGTCGTAGTTAATTGTCGCCACCAGAAATGTGCAATGGAAGGAATGTTGCTGGTATAATGGAATGGATCACGTCAATGAGTGAGTCTATGCAGGACTTGTCCCTCGATCAAAAGTTCGAGTGTATGGAATCAGTGGTCCACTGACAAGGACTGAGGGACTGTTCGCTTGCATAAATCATGAAGTATTGCTCCAAGCATGAGAAATGATAGACTGTGATCGACACAGAGGAAAAATGACATGGTGACCATAATGAGAGAGAGAATGGAAGGAAAGCAGTCAAAAAGAGTAATCTATGACCGTAAACAAACAAGGAAACAAATGGAACAAGCAAACGCCAACCATCTCCCCGAAGCGATTGGTCTCCAGACCAGCTAGAGTGTTCAATCTATCCTTGATATAGGCAGTACTGCCCCATTTGAATCCCGAAACTTGCGTGACGCCACATTGCCATATCTGAATCTGCGACGAGACCAACAAGGGATCACTGTCAAGACACTTACTTTGACAAAGTCGAAGACTCCGGCCCAGAGGCTGAAGTTCGGGCATTGGCGCCAGCCACGTTGATGCATGACTGTTCGTTGGTAGGCGCAGCCACCAATCAGATACACCGCCACGGCAATCAGCATGCTAGATAAGATGTCAGTATGGCTTGTATACCCCAGTGTATAGTTGGGGAATAGAGCTGCTCACATCACACCGAAGACACCGCCGGGTCCCAGACCTCCAGCGTGAGGGTCTACGGCAATTCCACCACAAGCCGCTGAGCTGCGGACTTCAAAGAAGTATGTGCATGAATCCAGAGTGCCGACAAAAGAAGGGGTGGCCATGCTTGCCGGTGCATCGCGGTCACAAAGGAACGACATGATAGTCGACTTGTGTCGCGTCGAGGCATTGGAACTGCTCATGCTACCCTCCTCTGGACACGGCGAGCCATTGGTGTAATTGAGGACGAGTTTGCGGCCACGGAAGAAGGGTTCAGACGCTTGTTCTCTGGGTGTGATATAACCATTAGCATACTGAACAGACATAGATCCACAGATTGGGCCGATTGGGTAATGAACTGCCATACCCTATGGAATATACTTTATCATCCCGCTCGTAATAAGCACTGACGTTCTTCCACCGCGACGCCTCTATGCCGACCACCTCCGTCACGTTCTCAATCACCGGCGCGCAGATGTTGATTGTGAAGTTAGCTGGGTAATCATGGCCCTTGGCGTGCCAGCTGTCATCCCGCGCATCCTTGACGACCTTCTTGCCGTCCTTCAGTTCCGGCGGAGATAACGAGATCGCGCTGAGATCAAAGTACAGGCCGGTAGTCGGGGAGCGAGCGACACATGGTGAATCGTCATTGAGATGGGAGGAGCCGGCGTTGGAGAGACCGAGGACTGAGGATAGGAGAAACAGGGCGGAATGAGCGGAGCTCAGCTTCATGGCTGAGGCGATCTGGCCTAGACCGTAGAGTACAGAAATGAGACAAGAGAATGAATAGTGGAGAAAGAGAATGTGGTGCAGTCACTGCAGTTTGTTGATGCCTGCGCAGTGGTTGGCAGTGGTGAAGGGCCAAGAGTCTCGAGTGGCTTACGTAGCATTCAATGCGGAGAAGAGGTTCTGCGGCTTTGGATGTTCCGGCATCATACGCGGAGTTCAGCGCAATATTTAGCTGCCTATCTCCCCCTCAGGATTATTTCCCTTGCTCATCATTGGCGCATATTTGCTACGCTATCTACCATGCCTGCCAAGAATTCCAAAAAAAATCCCGTGCAACCAGTGCCTGAAAAGCGTGGTTATGAATTTGGTGGCCCGTATGTATCTTGGAGATACCCTTGAAGGATATTGACTGACAATTATAACAGCCTCGGTGCGTTCGGCATTGTCTTCGGTCTCCCAATTCTGATCTACCTCTTTACCTTTGTCTGCAATGATGTCTCTGGCTGTCCCGCACCGGGCCTCCTGAGCCCCTCGACCTTGTCGCTCGACCAATTGAAGCGCGAAGTGGGCTGGCCCAAGGAGGGATTCACTGCGCTTTATGATACTGAGGTTACCCTGTGGACATTGAGCTACTATGTCTTCAGCCTGTTCTTGCAGGTCTTCCTCCCCGGTCAGGAGGCCGAGGGCTCTGTGCTGGCGTGCGGAGGCAAGCTGAAGTACAAATTCAATGGTATGCGACAAAATGCCTCACATACGAAGCATTCGTGCTAACCTGGTTTATAATATAGCCTTCCCCTCTGCCATCATTATCCTCTCAGGCCTCGCCGGAGGCACCTACCTCTACGGAGCCGACTTTGTGGTGTGGACTTTTCTGTGGGACAACTATATCCAGGTGATCACTGCCAATCTGTTGATCTCCTCCTCGATCGCCATGTTTGTCTACCTCAAGAGCTTCACAGTTCCAGAGGCTGGAAAGCTCAACCCCAGCCTGCGCGAGTTGGCACCCGGTGGCCACACCGGCAATGTGCTCTATGACTTCTTCATTGGCCGTGAGCTCAACCCTCGCATTACTCTCCCAATTCCCTTCGTCAGCGAGGCGTCGCGCACCATCGATATCAAGGTGTTCATGGAGATGAGACCTGGCCTGCTTGGATGGACTATCCTGAACCTGTCCAATGTTGCCCACCAGTACCGAACCTACGGCTACGTCACTGACTCTATTGTCCTGGTCACCATCTTCCAGGCCTTCTACATCTTGGATGCCCTGTACATGGAGCCAGCTATCATGACTACCATGGACGTTATCATGGACGGATTCGGCTTCATGTTGTCCTTCGGTGACGTGGTCTGGGTTCCCCATGTGTACAGCATCCAGAGTCGCTATCTCTCCGTCTTCCCATATGAGCTGGGTCTGACCGGTATTGCCGTTGTGCTGGGTGTTACTGCTGTCGGATACTCGATTTTCCGCGGTGCTAATAACCAGAAGAACCGTTTCCGCACCAACCCCAACGACCCGCGTGTTAAGAACGTCAAGTACATCGAGACTGCCGCCGGATCCAAGCTGATGATCTCTGGTTGGTGGGGTCTGGCACGTCACATCAACTACTTGGGTGACTGGACCATGTCGTGGGCTTACTGCCTGCCCACTGGTGTTGCAGGCTACGTTTTGATTGAGAGCATCAATCCTGCTAGCGGTGAGCTTCAAAAGCAGGCCGTACAGACACCCGAGGCTCGTGGCTGGGGTATGATCTTCACCTATTTCTACATGGTGTACTTCGGCGTCTTGTTGATCCACCGTGAGATGCGTGATGAGGAGAAGTGCGAGAAGAAGTATGGTGCTGACTGGAAACGCTATACCTCTATTGTGCGCAGCCGCATCATTCCTGGAATCTACTAAGGTAGTCTTCAACCCTTTCTTTCTCTGGGATCGCTTGGATTCAACCTGTTATTATACCTAATTTTTGAGCATGGATAGCACCTAATCACTCCCCTTTCAAGATCATCAGCCCATGTTGGCGCTCGTGATATCGAGGAGCTTACGACTGGCTTAGGCCACCTGTATTGTTTACTTAATACTGTCTTCTGGGGGTTAAAAAATGTATTTTACAAGGACCATCTGTTCAAATAAGTAAGCCAAAACAAGAGAGAAGAACATTCAGTTCTGCATTCAGATTTTTGTCACTAGCTAAGAACAAACGAGACTAAGGTCAATGTTGGGAACATCTGACTCTCTCCCCATACTACATTCAGTTGAACCATTAAATTCCCAATATGAGACTGAAGTCGGCCCCATTCCTCTTCCACATTAGCGTCAGTATTGTCACCTCCTCTAACCTGGAAACAGATTGAGATGAGCCTTGAGATCATCAACGAAAGCCCCCGAAACCACCGCCATATCCTTGTCAGTGCCATTCAAGAAGTCACCCTAGACACACTTGTCAACAAAACCAGCAAACCACTCACGAGTCCGTCTGGCCACCGCTAAGTCCACCCGCTGCTGCTCGAACCGATTCAACACAGGATCCTTATCGAAACCGTCCAGATCCCCCATTATGGTGTTCTTATGAGCTCAGGCGAAGCTGCCAGCTTTATTGCCTTCTCGGCCATGTACTTCTTGAATGACACGAGCACCTCCTCGTACCCAAAATAGCCACCGGTGGTATCGAGGACCCATTTCTCATTGCCCTTGGGCAGTGTCACAACCAAAGCAGTGTGAAGAGTCTCCTTCGTGCTTCCTGGAACGAGCCGAGCTCGCAATGGGCGGACCTTGTCATCAGTTTTCATGAAGATATCGACGATCTGGACCTTTGAGCATACTTCTGCTGGAAGTTAGCTATTATTCATCTATGCCGAGTATATGTCAATAGGCTCTTACCTTTGAGTAGTCTCCTAGTCAACGGACCCAACAGGCGTGCAGCTGTTGTGCACTGATTATGGACCAAAGCCGCCAGCTTGTGGAAAGGGTTGGAGGTGACATGGTCAGGGAAATGGAAGCGCTTAGAAAGATCCATGTTGGGGTAGCACTCCCTGTGCAGGTTGAGGGTTCCCTTGTGAGTCGGCTAGTCCTTCTTGAGGCAGTCATTGCTGCAGTAATAAACATCTGGGGCATCTCCTGCGTGGTACTCGGGCGAGTCCTTGCAGCCGGCGCATTTCTGCCTTGTCTTCGCACCACAACCTGCACATTTGGTTAGTTTAGGAGCCTCCTCACGCTGAGACTTGAGATGTTTGTTGCCCATGGTTGCTGGAGAGGCATCGAGGAAAAACGCTTTTTTGGTCTGATTCTGGCTTTTATAATTGGAACAAACGTGTGCATCAAACGGTACAAACGATACGCGCAGAGCAAACGCTCATTTTCTCATAGCACAAGCTCTGCGCTCTTCATAGTCATTAAGTTTTTCGGGATGAAGCGTGCTCGATGATTAAACTCCAGTACTGAGGTTCTATACTTCGCCATTTAGACACAAGTGGGACTTATCTCCTGTTCTCAATGCCTGCATTGAAATGATTTTCTAGACATACTTCTAGGCCGCAGCTTTGGGTATATCACGTTTCCGTTTCTTCTGGTCAACCAACACATCCAAACCCCAACTCTCATCCCCTGAATTCGGGGCCCAGCCCTTGAGAACTTGTTTAGCATCCTTGATGGCCTGTATACGAATATGCAATGGATCCTTAGAATCAATCGCTTGTTTTAAGTCCTGGTAGATGACAATCCCCGACTCATTCCGTTGACCTGTACCAGCATGTACCTCTCCACTCTTAAGAGCACCCGGTGACTCGGTTACCGAGGTGCCGTCTCGATCAATATGGTGGAAATGAGTAAGATCAATATCTTCGAATAGAGACCAAAGTTTTGCTCTGGACAAGGCCGAGGCTCCCCGTTTTCCAGGCGAGGATGCACGATTGCCCTGTTTCACGCCGTTGATGACGGTTTCATATAAACCAGTCTGGGAACGAGCTAAATGTGGCAAATTCTTGCTTCCAGTATCCATGATCGCAGGGGATAAGTGTTGATATGTAGGCGCCAGGGTCCACACGGCGCTCACATTCCCTGGCTTGCACTTTTTAGGGCTGACCACTGGGGTCGAGTTGCCGTTTTCTTCTTCCGACGACATCGTCGGGTTTATTATGGTCTTTGGTTTGAAGAAAGGCCATAGAGTTGTGATTTCTTCACTAGGCACCGGAAGAACTTCAAATGGACGGAACTGATACCCCGCTGCGCTGCCATCTGTCCTCGTTGCAACAGGCCACGACCTTCCCACAAGAGGCTGCATGCGACCCTGTGCCCCAAAGCATCGATCAAAACCAACTTGCGAAATTTCATCCTCAGGAAGAACAAGACCAGCGATATATGAATTCTCAGTAGGAGCAACCAACCGGCTAGTCTCGCACGAAAGCAAGGATGAGACTTGCCGTAATGCAAGTTTGTCAGAACACGACTTGCTGCGGGTTGATTCAGCATCCGTCCGTGCTGGCTTTCGACGTACAACTCCAAGAAGAGAGAAATGAGCGCGACCATCAAGAAGTTTATCTGCATCTGAAGGGCCCAATTCTTGGCTCTCTGATGAAGATATTGGTTGACGGAGGACTTCCCATGGCGTTGCGTCTTCTTGGGATGCCATGCAGAGCTCCATGCTTGCATCGCCACATGGAGCACATGTGCAATACATGTAGATCTTTATATCAGGGTGGAACTCGAAAGGCGGCCATTCTGTGGATGATTTTGACGTATCATCATCTTGTTCAGCCTGCCTCCGTCGGATGAAGGGCGAAAAAGGAATTTCCGGACTCTCGGAGTTAAACTTATAATGACTCTTGGCTGAGTGCCTCTCTACAGACAAGAGGCCATTGCATTCTGTCAGAAGCCAATAATTGAATGCTCGCATGGCTAATATCTCAGCATGGCAATCGTGTAGTACAAGACCCTTACAGCGTGGGATGTGAGACGCCGAAAGACATTTGGCGCCAGTGCTACATAATTGTTAGTCTGGTTCTATATCGGCGGTCTGCATATGTGCTTTCGGCACACTTGTCATCGTTCAAAACTTACGTGACTGCTATGCAGCTCAGAGTTTCTGATGTTGTGCCTTGTCCTATCCACAAACGAGTGAGTTTTGTCTAGTAGTCATAAGGTAGATTTCAACCTACCTTTCACAATCACAATACCAGTCATCGGAACCCATTCTCTTGATCCGTCTGGATAGATGGTGGGTTTACTGCGCGTTGGTAAAGCATCGAAATGTTTATGAACCAGCGATGCTATTCGGGATGGCAATAAGCGGCCATGTGCCTGATTAGACATTGGAATAAACAAAGATTCAAATACTATCTAAAACAAAGAAATGATTCGTGATCAAAAGCGCCAAACCTCAAAATGATCTTGACATCACGTGATGAGATATATTTTGAGCCTCAGGTGTCAACCATATTTCCCTCGATTCTTCATAGCTTCCCGGCCCTCTCCAACGCAATCAACCCACCCACATTTCACAATGGCCGACAAGCTCCGCACCATCCAGAACCTCGAGGCCCTCCAAGCCCGCTACATTGGTACCGGTCACGCCGATACCACAAAGTACGAATGGACCTCCAACATCCTCCGTGACAGTTATTCCTCCTACGTCGGCCACCCTCCCCTGCTGTCCTACATGGCCGTTGGCATGGGCGAGCCCAAGGAGAAAGTGCGCGCTATGATGCTGGAGAAGATGGTCAGAGGCGCCGGAAATCCGCCAGAGGTATGTGATACCCTTAGTGTCTTTACGACTACCAGGACGATCAACGACTAACAGTGTTTTGTACAGACTCAAGAGTAGTACCACTCACTTGTGGCTTCTTTTGATTCTTCGTTCTCTCTATACCCCACCCCGCGCGCGTCTTTGCCCTTCGAAGGCTCATCCATGACATTTGCTATTTAATGTAGCAGCTCATGCAGTGAGATTGTTGAATCGTTACACCGGTTTTGGAAATTACCAACACATACGATTTCTCGAATTTCATAACGACCAATTACGAAGTGCCTCCCCATGGAAACGAATATCTAAGTTCGAAATTTGTAAAGGGCAATCCCAGCATTCAAGCGATCCCAGTGAAACAACCTCTCGTCATGGGCTCGGAGAAGTGCTCGGAACCTTGATTACAAGGACCAGAAAGGACTCGAGCTGCTTGTATCGGATTAATTCGCGAGTTCTCTTAGAGCAGATCGGGTCCATCGACATTCATGCTACAGAAAGCATTGCAAGTGGGTAGTCAGTGTGACTGCAGTGTTTTGAGTGGCCTAGCCGGGCTATCTGTGTCAAGTTTCAACCCAGCCACTGAGTCCAATCCTCGCAGATAGTTCAGACTAGAAAATCAAGCAGGCAGCTGCTGTACTGCAGTATACTCCCACCCCAAGCAAGCAAACGCCCAATATAAAAGTTGATAAAACGTATCAGTTAGACCTCTGAAGCAATAGGCCAAGGCAGGAAAGTAGTTACATCCCGAAACACAACCCAGACATACTCAGGTACCCATGACACGCGCAGAAACAAAAGCATGAAACACTTGGCCATGTACGTACAAAAACCATATTTCACTCCTGCTCCCCTTTCGCAGCCAATTTAGTATTCTCAGCCTGCAACGAAGAAACAAGATCAACCCATTTCTGCCGCTCAGTCCTGAGCGTCCGAACCTCCTTCTTAAGATCGGAGATCTCCTGCTTAAGCCCCTCAACCTCACACTTAGACTTAGTCTTCTCCTCCTTCTTGAGTTCCGAAATCTCCTGCTTAAGCGTCTCAACCTCAGACTTGGACTTTGATTTTTCAGAGCGCTCCGCATCCTTCTTTTGCCTCGCTTCAATCTTCGACGCAGTCTTCAACTGACTAGCCTCGACCTTGCGCAACTGCTTCAGCAACTTCGATTCCTCATTGAAGAGTGACGAAGCGGCTTTGTGGAAGTGCGCTGGTGGTTCGGGTGTCTGTGTCTGCGATGATTGGCCATCACTGCTCTCGGTTCCTTGCGTTATTGAGCTCTGGCTATGTTTGTGTTTATGGCTGTGTTTGATTGAGCTGGCGGGCGTCGAGGACCGGTTTGTTGCTGCGCGTTTGCGCATTGCGCCTGTCTCGCTGTCTGCTTCAGTTATACCCTTGAGGGGTGTTCCTGGTGCGGTTGGAGGCTGAGATGGGAGATGGAGTTTCTCGAGTTCGACGCGGACAGTGTCTAGTTTGGCTTCGATTTCGCGTTTGCGTAGGGCTTGCTTTGCGAGGTCTTTTTCGTGGGAGGTGAGTTTGCCTGTTTTGGTCATTTTCATCAGTTCGTCGGGTGGCATGTTGGTGTGTGTGATCTCGTCGACGACGGGTGTTGCTAGGTCTGAATGAGCGGAAGAGAATGAGACGTGATCTTGCGTGGGCTCGACATCCAGGAATTTGCTCTGCCCGGCGTTGTTCGATTTTGAAAGTGCTGCAGTATCTACATCACCTTGGAAAGTCTGTGTTCCGCCCGTGTGAGCCGCTGCCTCATGATAAGGCATGTAGCCTTGGATTTGAGGTGCGAATCGTTGGTAGCCGGTGTTGAGCAAACCGGTAACACTGGCAATCAGACCATGATGTGAGTGATCGCCGTCACTGAGTGAGTCGTACTCCGATTCCGATTCCGAGTTGTCCTCATCAGTACCGGCTTCGTTGACAGACTCTCGGGATTTAGCCTCAGGGGATTTAGCCTCAGTACCAGCTAAGGCAGTTGTAGATCCTGAACTCGAGCTCTTCTCTTCATCTTGTGGCTTATCCTCTTGAATAGCCCATTTGATAAACTTGGCGGCATCAGTTCCCACGCTTCTAGGTGTTCCCTTGTCCACCATCCAGCGGGGAATGCTGCCACCAGGGTCGCTTCTAGTGACCATAATCCACTCAACTGGATTCATTCCCTCATCTTCAGGCTCTCCGGAGGCTTCACCCTGTTCAGGATGTTGCGAATCAGGAGACGAGGAATCACTCTTCTTCTTACTCTTCTGACTAGAAGAGCTACTCTCACTTCCATCCTTCTTCGGAATCTCTCGAATCAGCTCGACAGACTCATAATTTCCACGGGTATAGCCCTGCTTATGCGGCACATCAGGGTGGTCACAAGGCTTCGAGATCATCATCCAACTGCGCCCAGGCTGCTTACTCCCACCAACCCGCAACCCAGAATCAGAATTGACAATCATAGCCACGAAGTCGCGCGGCGCAGTGGGCTTGGGGAACTGCGCTGATACATGGTAAACCATCAAATGGCCTAGCTCGGACCCATCCGCATCCTTGACTTCGATGGTCTCAACCTTCTCTTCGGCACCGATACCCCGGATACTGTTATCGGGAGTCTGTCCCTTATGAATCTTCCTCTGGTTGACTTTGAGCGTCTCGTCATACTCGCTGGACATCTTCTCGCGCCAGCGCGAGAACGGTAGCCCCGCGTGTACACTCCGCCGGCCGAACCATGAACCACCGCCATCGGTCGCGGATAATTTCCACAATGTCACGTCTAGCGGGTTGTCCTTGGGTCCGCCTACCTTTACTGGCTTTCCCCATTGCTTCTGTAACTCGGTGATTTCGGGGTCGGTTTCGCCGACGCGGGAAGATGAAGGGACGATCCGAGGAGCGGAGGGAGCTGCCGCTTCGTAGTCCAGGTGTGGATAGTCTTCAGCTTCGGAAAGTGGAGGGTCTGGAAGCGATTCTGCTACTAGTCGGCTGTGTTTGAAGAGGTCGCGCATGTAGTCTCGCAGTTCGTCCGGAGACTGGGGAACGTCATCCCAGGATGTGGGTTTGAGGCATTGAAGTGCCTCATGGAGAGTGGCCATAGGTGCGATTGGAGAGTATCTGGCGCTTCTGTTGCTGTTGCTGTGTCGGCGTGTGAGGGCGAGGGGTCGTGGTGATGTTGGTTCCAAGCCACTAACTGCCAGCAGTGCGGTTACGGCTGGATCAGGCGGCGGGGGCGGGGTAAGCGGCAAGCGCGAAGATTCCAGAAGATTTGAGGTTTGAAGAAGGCAAATTGGCGATGTTCTTCTCAGTTTGCGTCTGCAGGATAATGATGCGTTGAGCTGGTGATAGCGGATCGATATCCTCGTGGTCCACGTCCGGTAAGGGGATGTCGGCGATGAGAGGTAAACAGGTGGAGAACAACAAACAATTGAATATAAACAGAGCCCAGAATGCAGGTACTGGCCACATATAAGGAGTTGATAATCTACTCGACTTATGATGCAGTGCTGGTTTTCTTGGCACCGTGATTGACGTCATACGGGGTCGTGGGGTAAGTATATTTATTCTTGATCCTGGAGCGACGACTTGCCTATTATTTTGACGATCTTCTACTTAAAGGATCATTGAATTTTAGAATACTTGACTCTGATGGGAAATTGTGAGTGACACCTATATTAATACCTGATATGGCAGGCAAACACGTTACAGCATGCCCCCTAACCGTAGATCATCAAGCCCCATAGTTCTTTGGCATGAAACAGGACTGGAAGTACCGGTGAGCCTGTACTTTGAGTATAAATAGAGTGTATGATTTACGAATATGAAGAGAGAAACTGGACTTTGTATGCTCTTTTCAAACTAAACTCAAGATACATACACATTTGGACTAAGCTGCTGACGGATCAACAAAGAAATCGGAAGAAGAGAAGCAACCAGTGCAAGGGACCAGCCCCTCGATCTGACAGACCAAAAGGAGTGAATCAACCAGATCGAGCGTCTGATTCTCGGTGCCGGGAAAAAGAATGAAGAACGGGCTCTCTCATCCAGTGAAAGAGCCCACCGGCTGACCGAGCATATCCAGGAATTCCTAAAACCCAGCCTGGACGATAGGGGACGAACCTATTAATCGTCAAATATGGTCTTTGAATGTGAGATCGTGGCTCAGAGGATAGAGATGACAACCTTTAAACTCGTTGCTCCGGACGGGTGGGATGGATCCCAGGTCACAGACCCAAGGGGAATCCGGTTTCATCGCCCTTTGCGCTCGGTACCCGCCACAGGCGGATAAACTCGAGGCTGGCGGAGTCATAAGGTAGTCATCTCTCACTCGTATTGCTTGATCGCCACATCCAAGAACGATAAATGAACCAAAGGGGAAAACCAACCAAACATCGCAGATGCAAGGAGAGTTATGCCGTCGTGTAGAAATATCCTCCAATCCCCTACAAAAGCAGAGTATTGGCCAGTCTGGTACACAGTACCAGAAGGACAGACCTCGGAGGAAGGACGAGAAAACAAAAGTAAACGGCGAACCCAGTCAACCATGTACCCAATGCTCACCATCCTTCATCGAACCACGACATCAGAACTGAAAGCGTAACGATGGATATTCCACATCCAAATTCATATCCCACGCCGTGAGGCAAACCAGGTCTTCATGACATATATGCGGGAAATGACAAAAGAAAAGAAACATAACAAAGAGCCGACCCGCCGCTTCTTGATGCAAAACAAAAGCGAAAGAGGAAAAAAGAACAGAAATCGCTGACGCTGGAATCAAACAGGAAATATCAAAACAAGCGCATGGAAGGATTATTCTGGTTATCATCCAATTTGCAGGAGGGAGTATCACAGATGCACAGAGTCAAATCAAAGAGAGAACGCCGTCGAGGAATGCGAATTGTCGTTGCTTGAATCGGGTTCCCGGGATAGAAGAGAGACGAGATTCGAGAGAGGAGAAAAAGAGGCAAGGAGGAGGCTTATTGACACCGAAAGTTGCGCGCGCCTCTGGTTCTGAAACGATCTACATTCCTTGAACCATTGCTGCACGGGTCTGGAGTGGCTGTAGAGGCGGGCCGACCAGCACCGAGTCTACTCAGTAGACGGGAGCTAGGCGATCATGCCATATGGCAGCGCGGAAAAGTCTCCCCAGCCAAAGCCGCCAAAACCCATGTTCACAGCCGTGCTGCAGGGTTGCACGAGGGTGCTCGGCAACGGCAGTGCGTTGATCGCGGCCGAGGTGGTCGGCATGCAGTCGTAGGACTGGTACGGCGAGGTGGTGTAGGGTTGGCAGTAAGACGGGGTCGGCGATGGAAGATGAGCGTCACTGAAACTGATACTAGCCCAAAGATTCGGATTAGAATCAGCCGTGGCCGGGGTTGGGCTGGGCGACAGTACTTTCCACGACTCGAGGGGCGCCTGAGGCATCGGGGTCTGCCACCAGGTTTCTGGGCCGGTAGAGCTGGGGAGAAGAGGCACAGGGCGCATGATGTCCATCTGTCGGGGTTGGGGGGACTCGAGCCAGACAAAGAGCTTGTCGATGGCTGCCTTGACTTCTGCGCTGCGGCTGCACAGCAGCTCTCCGGCGCCGTCTTCTTCCAGTCCCTCGAGGGCCTCAGCGTTGGTTCGGTAGACGAATTTGTTGGCGGCTTGGACGAACTCCTCCTGTAACTTCTTCAGCTCGGTGTGCTTTCCTGACCAGTCCCATTGGTGACGGGAGGCGTTATCCACTGAGAAGATATCGTTGTAGTAATCGACCAGGGACTCGATCGTCTCCGGGGTCAACTTGAATGCCACTTCGTTACGGGAGACCATGTCAACATGGACGACATAGGCCTCGATGTGGATCATCTGATAGTTGAACAGCCCTTCGATGAGCGGGTTGTCGTCCTTGCGAAGCTTGGCCTCGGGGCCTTTCGGGAATGTCATGGAACACAGCGTCCAGATCGCATTCGACGATGACAGCGTCTCTGTCAGACACCGGGTATGTTGAGTGACATTGTTTAGCGGACGCTTGACTCGGTTGACTCGCTTCAAAGTGGCCGTCAACCACGGCGCAACCTTTCTATTCAGCACCACATTCGGGGATGACCTCGGCGCAAAGGCGGCGGCGGAAGATGGGAGTAAGACTGTTGGCATTATGACTCTGTGGAGGTGATACGACCTGCGTTGGTATGATATAAAAGAATGTAGATAGAATATAAATCATGAAGGCGACATTCGCCCACGCAATATTGTCGGAGGTTGGATTGTAAGGTTAAAGATATTGCATAATCCAAAGTGTATTAAAGTGGGCGAACGCGCAAAAAGGAAAGAAATTAGAATATAAAAAAAAGGAAAGGAGACGTAGAAGTCAAGAGATATAGAAAAGAGAGAAGTTGAGAATAAGAGGGGTGGGACCAAACACAGTGGATTCGATGCACAATAATAGTATTTTTTTTTTCTATAAAGTCTTCGTACTCCGGTTATTCTGGTCGACATGCAGCCAGATGGAGTCAATGTATGGCCGCCTCGGACTCCCCGATCTGCAACTCCCTTCTTCAGTGGCGAGAATGATTCGAAACGAAAAGAATCAATGAGGTCCAACCGAGTATAGTGTTTCATTTCCAGTTCGCACAGTATTCCCAGTCTCACACCTGCGTTGCACGTCCATTTGGACAGAGGCATCTGCAGGATGCCCCAAACTGCAAAAGCTAAGCCCCGATGATCAGCAGAAAAAAATCATAGAGAATGCTCCGAGAGTCTTAGCCAAAATTAGCGGGGAGTTGAAGCCCATTTCTCAGCTGGGCGATGTGCAGATTTGTGCGCCAAGGTTCCCATCTTGAAGACTTTCATAATTTTATAGCCATTTACCGCCAAGCCCTAACTATTCGATCCCACGTTTAGATTCCAGTTTCATTTCTGATGATTCTACAGGGAATAAACAGACTCTGAAACACCTTCATACGCAAGCTCTTAAGGAGGTTGGACCTGTCGAGTAGGATACACACCTCAGCTGATGGAGGGTCGAGCAGCGTGGGGCACACCTGGTCTTGGAAGGCTTCAGGGCTGGGATTCGCTGACGACAACCGAGAGCGGCCGATGCTTTCAAGCTGAGATCCCTGCTTCGATCGCCCATTGGGCAGAGCCGCGATTGCTAGACTTCGAGAGGGCGCCACCAACATTACAGTACTGTACTCTGTACTAGTGCCCTATACAGTGTATCCAGTCTCACCTGATTCATGTATGATCTCATCTTACTCTAACACGGGCGCATCTGGCTATGCCCTAAAACGGAATCGCTGAAGGCTGCCGGCATATGAGTTCAGTCACATGTTCTGGCGCAAGGGGTGTGTATGGAGCCGGTTGAAGTCGGAGATTCCGAGATTCGCAGATTCCAAGATTCCCAGTTTTCGTATTGAATGTGGGCAGGTTGCAATTTTCCCCAAAATAGCCCGTGACCCCAGTGAGGCGGTGCAACTCGCCACATGTGGCGGATATATCCGGGTCCACTTTTAGATGTATAGACCCGGTTTGCTTTATTCTGTGCTTCACTTTGCAGCTTTTATGATGCGTTGGCAACCATAGCAGTGGAAGGCTCATACGCTGGTTTTCAGGCCCACGCATATTCAGTCTTGTGCTAAAACTTAGGTCTGTTGAGGATTAGTTTCGCAATTGTTGGGTTCTTGCCGCCAACTTGATACAAAGTAGCCTCACTTCGAACAGAGAGCTAAAAAAAAAAGTCGGTTCTCTTTGCGACCGCAGAGCTTATGAGTCATCGATCGGCCGCCGATGCTCCATTTGAAACAAAGCTGGGCGCTATCTCAACATTGCTTGATCTGACATACCGACCATCAATGAGTCATGGCTAGTTCGATATGCTTGACAGCTGCAGTTCTGCAATAAATATATTTAGAACATTAACGAGGCACCAGTTCGAGGAATAATAATAATAATAATAATAATAATAATAATAATAATCACAACGTTCGACACAACCCGAGGTCTGTTTTATCACGGTGGTTTGACTCATACTCTTGACCTTGGTATCCTTGGTATCGAGAACTATCGAACTGACTAAATTGACTAACTCGTGTTGTTTCAAGTCTAACTCGAATGTATAAACGCACCAGATGAAGTTTAAAGTCAGACATAAGATATCCAGTAAGTGATACACCCTGAAGCCTTTTTATTCTCCGTGTTCCCTTAAGTAAGACAGTCGCAGGGGCCAAGCTCTGCGATGAAAAATAAAACCAAATGTCGATAGAAGCTTGGCAAATCAAATCATTCGTATATCTTCACAATTCAAGATATTTACCCGCCCATCGCGTCCAGGCTGGCTCGGAATCTCCCGAGTAAACTGCGGGGAAGGGCAATATCTTATCAAAGAGAGCCGGCCCTAGGAGAGATAGACTGAGAACTTTAGCCTTCTTATCACAGACTACTGGTCAACATTTCTACCTCAATGGATGAAGAACTTCGGATTGTCCCGATTCTCACTTATCTGTCAAAACCGAGCTTTCCCCAGACTGGTGAGTATCGACAAGGAAAGGTGGTCCATTTTGATATCTCTTCACGTTCGACAAGCTAAGATATGGTATAAACTATCAAAATTGAAGAAGTTGTTCGTCATATTCTGATGTTCCAATCTATCGCTTTCTTTAAAAATCACGGCCGAGTGTCGTGACACCCAGACTCCAACCCATGTCTCTCAAGATGATGTTTACAGAATCAACCATAGCTAGCTATGTCAGAACGATTAGATCATGCCCGCACGAATTAATTGCCAACTGCCAGTCACTGCTCACAGTTGCCATATATGCCTCGGCTGGGCTTCCGATCAGTGAGCGCCTGTTCACCTGCAAAGGCCAAGATTTCTTCTGACAAACTGCTCGACAGCATGGGACCAAGGGTCATCTTCAGTGATCCCATCACTTCCTGGATTCCAAGCTACTTTTGGCATCACATCTGCCGCAAACCCAACGCAGGTAACTAACTTCATCTCGTTCGTATACATTGGCGCTGGTGTCGGTGCAGGCCTATCATTCGTCATCAACGATCGAATTGGACGTCTACGGTCCTTTCGCCTCTACATGGCTATATGGGTCGTCGGCCAGATGCTTGCAACCTTTTCTTATGGCCATAAGGGTGCTGTATCCACCGCTCGCATAGTGTCAGGTCTCGGTATAGGACCACTGACCGTGATCGACCCAGCGGCCATCGTTGAAGTCGCACCAACCGAAATTCGAGGACTCCTTTCAGTCCGGTTCAGCGTTGTTATGCTCTTGTCATTGACGGTATCCGTTTTCGTCGTTCTCGGTGTTTACCTCCATATCGCTACCAGCTATCTTCAATACCAGATTTTGTTCTTTGTGCCAACGATCGCGGTAGCCTTCATCGTCCTGGCTCACTTCTTTTTATCGGAAAGTCCACGATGGCTATTTCTCGTCAACAGACAAGAGGAAGGCATTGCAACTCTCGCCAAATTACCCGGCTTGTCTGCAAGTCATCCTCGCATAGCCTCCGCGATTGAAGATATCCAGAAACAGATTGACGGACAGCGGAAGTCTCAGAAAAGTGATTCGCAGCCGGGATGCATTGGTCTATGCAAGGAGACTTTCCTGGTCCCATCTAACCTTCGCCGAGTCCAGCAGACTTTCATATCTTATGCGTTCGCACAATTATCTGGTGCAAACAGTGTGACTTCATATTTAGTCCCAATCTTAAGTATGATGGGGCTAGGCGGTGGAACTGATCGCTCACTTTTCTTGACTGGAATGTACTCGATGGCGAAGTTCTTTTTCACGCTGATTGCGAGTTTCTGCTTTATTGATGTGCTAGGGCGCCGCAAAAGCTTCTTTACTGGTCTCACTCTGCAGATGGTGTCTGACATCTACATCGGTGTGTATATCAAGTACAAACAAAGCGGCGTAGTCACTACCAGTGGGAGTCAGGCGGCTGTGGGGGCTATATTTGTCCATAGATTTGGCTTTGTAGTTGGCAAGTGATGGGATATTAGCTTCTGGTACATTCTCCCTGCTAACTATCTATTAGGTCTTTTGATTCTTCCGTACGTCTTCGGTGCAGAAGTTTGGCCCAATCATATCCGATTGTTCGGTGCTGCAATCTCACAGTGCTTCCACTGGCTCTTCTTCTTTGGCATTAGTAGGGCGTCTCTCCTAGCCAACACAAACAACTGGGGTGCTTTCATCTTCTTTGCAGCCTGGTGCTTTGTTTCAATTGTCTATGCCTATTTTGCGATACCGGAGACTGCAAGAGAAGGACTCGAGGACTTTGATGCTATCTTTGAGCAGCCACTTTGGAGGGCTTATCGCGGCACAAAGCGGAACAATACCACCTGCATTGAGGCCTTTGAAGTATCGTAAGATTACCTAACCGCTTTTACTTGCTTATATTGGATCAGACCACTAACATAAGCACAGAGATGAGCATGATCACAGGTCCGACTCTGGTGACTGGACAAAGAAAAAGAACCACTTCGCAGATGCTGGTGTTGAGGTTTGAAAGCGATCAATGATTTGCTGTCTTGCTCCGTGTTCTCCGATTGGTTTCTGGTCACAATAGCTAGTGCTAAGAATATTAATATGCAATATTTCTTATACTGTATAGTGCCATTTCAGCCACTCAATGTCGCGCGTGTCTATAAGTGGACACTGTTCGTGTGGGTATACCCCTTTTTGTAGGTATTTCCCGAGATTGTGGGTATTTGCCGTGTAGGTATTCTCCCAACGGCATGTAGGCATTTCCGATGGTAGGTATACTCCTTGTAGGAAATTCTCATGTAGGTATTAATCACTTATAAGATGATGTAGGTCCTTGGACATCTAGACCCCATAATTCTACACTAAGAGTACAAGACGTCATCTCAGAATGGATGTCTTCCTGGACATTCTCGACACGTTGATCCTCGATCGATGCTATGCATTTCTCTCGCCAGATTTGAATGCTGGTCTTGGATATTCCAATGCCACAAGCTCCCAGTTGAATCGCCATGTTAAGGTTTACTATCCCATGGAGCCCTCTCGATGGGCTGAAGCCAGCCTTTGGAAACGAGACAGTCTTGCCCGACAAGCATTGTCATTATACGTGATTACCTGGTAAGTAGTACTCCTTGGTTTCCGGATAGATCAATTTGCTAAGATAACTTGATCTGAGAGGCTATTCGCCATGATCATGTATTTGCTCGGCAGCCTTGTATTATACTACACATTATTCGACAAGAGACTACTTCGACACCCCCGATTCCTTGCAAACCAAATCAAACTCGAAATCGAACAAGGAATCTCCGCGATCCCAGTCATAACATTCCTCACGGTCCCATTCTTCATCGCAGAAATTCGCGGCTGGTCCAAGCTATATGATTTCACAAGCGAATCTCCATTTTGGGGATACACACTGTTACAATATCCGTTATTCATCTTATTCACCGACAGTGGAATCTACTGGATTCATCGCGGCTTACACCATCCTGTCGTCTATCGCTGGCTTCACAAGCCTCACCATAAATGGGCTGTTCCAACGCCTTTTGCTAGCTATGCGTTTCACCCGCTGGATGGGTGGTCGCAAAGTCTACCATATCATATTTTCCCGATGTTGTTTCCGTTGCAGAAAAGTGCCTACTTGGGACTTTTCGTTTTTGTGACCATGTGGACGGTTTTGATCCGTGAGCTCCTTCAATCCTTATGGTTTTATGCGGAGATAATAGCTGACTCTTACTTTTTCTTCTGCTTGCAGATGACGCTGAGTATCTACCAAAGTCCGAGATTATCAATGGCGCTTCATGTCATACTATGCACCATCTCTACTTCAATTACAACTATGGGCAGTTTACAACGGCCTGGGATCGTCTTGGGGGAACCTATCGGAAGCCTAAAGGCGACGCTTTCATGGAGGATAAACAAGAAGTGGAGAAGATCTCTGATAAACGCGATTGAAGAAATAGGTGATGGGTTCATGTGTACATTAATCTTCAACTAAATATTCACACCATACTAATTAATACACTCATTGCGCACTTTGGTAACACCATTGAATGAATTCATTCAAATTGCCCAAGTCATCGGTTGCAGTGTTGTCCAGATATTTAAAAGTAGCATCGGACTTGTTCGAAACTTCTAGCGTAGCATTCAGTAGCCACCAAAGCTCTTGGGCATGCTTCGGGTACCCAATATGAAAGAATTGATCCTTGTCCAAGAGCCCAGTGACAGCATCCCAGATGCGCTTCCAGTTCGCTGATGCGCGTCGTATCTTGTCTACCGATAGGTATCTTAACAATCCTGCTCTTGTCTGGAATGCGAGAGAGTTGATGGCTGTAATTATATCAGCAAGAAAATCTCATGATTAGGCTCAAAAATCAACGTACCGTATATTAGAATAAGAAGATGCTCCACAGACACTGAAAGACTCCATGGTATTGAGACTTCATTTTGTGTTTCGAGGAGCTGGGTGACCACATCTCTCAGTGGGGGAAGTGGGAGGTCGGCTGAGTGTGCTACGGCAATTTTGCTAAAAGATGTTGCACTTTCGGCCTCCCATAGCCCAGCACTCCATGGAAAGTGGCAATCCATTTCAAAGACCGAGATTGCAGGGTTGTTCTTGAAGCACACCGTAAGGAATCCATCAGCAAGGAAGACCCAGCAGGCGATTCTGTAGACAAATCAGAACAATTTTCCAAATGAAATATGATATGAGAGATAGAGTGAAAAAGTCTTACCGTATACAAACTTCCTCTGCAACTAGAACCTTCCATGTTATCTCATCGCAGACTTTCGGGGCAGTCCGTCGCTTGAGCTGGAAAATCCCCAAGGATCTTATCGTGGAGACCAGGCATGGATGACGGACAATGCGAATGCGACGCCTTGTTTGCATATCATCACGCCCAAACTGAAGCATTTCAATAATGAGTGCACTCTGTATAAGCTGAACAGTAGATAAAAGATGCATAGAGTCCTTTGGTGATGGAACTGCTGCTAGGCTTGCAATGCTCCGAAAGATGTACTCTTCCGCCACGTCAAAAAGACCTGATGGAAGAGTACCCCCATCTAATGGAAAGGTATATGTAGCACCAGACAAGAAAATTGCGAGAAGAAGGGGGTTGGAAACGTTGCCGGGATCAAACGTTGGAAAATGAACCACAGGCAAATGCCAGTGGAGAGAGTGGAAGAATGCAGAGACAGAGGCGGAAATATTAGATACCCCTAGAAGTGTAGAGAGTTCCATAAAATCAAGTGGTGGTGGAGCTTCTAGTTTTCCGAGACACATTGACTTGGAAGTTTCAACCAACTCGGTCATGATCTCAGTTAATTGGGTGGAAAGCTTGGATGGAAACAGAGCATCAGGCGAAAAATGAGAGAAGAAATCATCTGTAGACGATGGGAAAGGATAAGAGAAGTCTGGTAACTGGAAGTCACCACCAAAAGCCGATAGGGGATCAGTAGGAACAAGGGCATCTTCGATATGAGAGTTGAGCGTTTCCAGATTCCTTCGAACGGAGCGTTTTGCTGTCTCGCCGATTGCAAGCCTGTCTTTATGGACAGACGGGTTGGCGAAATGCCGAAGAAAGGCAAACGGACCACCACCTCTCGCGGTATTGCGATGGGGAGTTGGGGATGGTGGAATTGAAATGGCCGACGAAGAACCAGGTCCTGTAGACAGTGTCTGGTCCCCAGAAAAGGTGCATTCTCGTCCGAGAGAGCTGCAACGAGAGCAGGGCGAGTTTTTATCGCAAGATGCTTTAGCAAAGAAACATAAATCACAAGATTGCCTTTTTCTGCCTGGTTTGGCTGCAGGTGGCAACGGTTGATTGTATTTCTTTGCACACGCTTTGCTATGCCTCCGAGTTACCTCCCTTTCTAATGATTAGCGACTTTCCAAATTTCATTGTAAGGAGATGGTTACAAACGGTTTCAGGAAGGACTTTTTGCAAAAAGGACAACTGGAAGAGGGCTGCTGAGTATCTGGAAGATTGGTTAGACCATTAGTCCCGAATGTTGAGATACTTCGCTGAGTCTTACGAGTTGCCTCATGACGGAGCAAATGCGGTTTCCGCTGATAGCTCTTATCGCATTGTGAGCATTGGAACATGATTTAGAAATACAACGTGACAATAGACACCGATCACAAGTGTACTTCGTGAGATGAAAGGGAATTCGGCTAAAGGATAACCTCGATGCGTGGATCAAGTCCGGCGGTGCGTGGCCGAAGGTCCTGACAAATCAAGTCTTCCTTGGGTCGAATCTCGCAGTTTTTTACTCGGAATGCATGGAGAGTATGTGTCAATAAAACGGATACTATTTTCCTTGCATCTTCCAGTGCACAAGTGAACAAGATTGACCGGTATCTCCCTTCAATTCAAAAAGTCACCTCCCGTTTCCTTCAAAATCAATTGATACTCGGGCTCAAACTGCATATACATCACCTCAGGAGTACCCATTCCTTTTTTTCGTGTAAATGGCCGTTTCATGGTCAACTATAGCTCTCTTTAGAATGCCCTCGCTTTCTCCGATCGAGCCGGGTGCTGTCGAGGCTTCCACTAGAAGCTGTGTCTGACATGCCCTTTCTAGCGCAATGAAGAATGCCGCTCCTTCGGCAACTGTTCCTCCAGCAGTGAGTAGACCATGATTCTGCATGATAAGGTTTTTGTTCTTGGGACCAAGGAATTCCGCAAGACGTTGTTGGCCTTCTTCCTCTGCGAAAACGACGCCGCCAAATGCTGGGTACACTGAAAGGTCATCATAGAACATGCAGGAATCTAAATACCGTCAGCAAAAAGCGTACTGTCAATTATTTGCCTGGAATTACCTTGACTGAACATATCGATACCCCGGCCAAACGTACTCCACCCTCTTCCATACGGACTATGCATATGGCAAGCCGCGTGAATATCCGGTCGTCTCTGATGAATCGCTGAATGAATGATGAAACCTGCCGCGTTGACAGGTTTATCTGCACCTGCGACTGGGTTTCCTTCTTCGTCCACTCTGACCATATCAGAGACCTTGAGGAGGGCAAAGTGTACACATACGGATTAAGCCCGAATGTGCGGGGGTCGATAGGGTCTGAGGGTGTTAGCATGATCAAGGTTAAATATTGAGTATATGACGCTCAAACGAAACCAAGTACCTCGAAGACTTATATGTCCACTGCTACCATCCGAGAATCCTAGTTTGGCGAATATGCGAAAAGCACCCGCCCTCTGCTCGAGGAGCCATTTCCTCTCGGCCTCCTTGTTTGCGGGTCTTGGAATATAATGCAGCTTTTTCACTTCGCCATTTGCGCCCATCTCTATATTCAGAGCAGATGTACTTGAAGTTGGTTTGACGGTTGTGCCGACTGATGACATGATGGGCAGAGTGAATTGGAAACTCCGATCTCAATAGTAGGTCCACAAGTTTAGAAGTGACTGCAATCTACCTCTACCCCGCAAAAGTTTAGTGACTGCATGTTCTTTTGTATTACTTATCCGAAATATGGAAGCATGTAATGACTAGAACGCTCGGAAGAAGGCGAGATGAACGATCGCGCGATATGTATTGATACAACTAATATTCGGAGCACACTATATGGGACGTTTCACCAAGAAGTCAAGAAATCGCTGAAATTTTACATTGAACTAATTGTATGTCTATCAGGTTATTTTGTCAACTTGAGTCATCCGCATTTGAAACACGCCGAACGGTAGAATGGAAACCTATATCAGTAAAAGTTGCAGAATCTTTTTTCTTTCATTCTACTACGATTTGTATTCATAAAGATTCGAGGTTTATCTAGTAAGAATATTCAGAAGAAAGCGAACAATATCTTCATTATACTCAATCAGGATTTCTGAAAGGGACTCAGAAAGTTGGATGAATATGAGAGTTCTCTCCTGCTCGACCAATATCCGTCACCTCCGGCGGAGGCTCAGGAAATTCTTGTAAAATTTCTTGAATAAGCCAGTCCGTCCCTTGCGGCATAGCCAGATCGTCAAGTCCCAAGCTCCAATCCCTTGGAGAGAGCTCAGGGGGAAGAATGTCACTCGGGGTACCCATTTTGGTAAAGTCGACCATATAGCACGCAGATATCACGAGCACAGCGGGAGCAGTTTTCGAATGCTTTTTGAGATCCTCTTCATCTCCTCTTCATTGGGGTCGGTACTGTTTATTTCGTGTTGATTGTGCCCTCGAAGCCGTTTACCAAGAATTCCAGAAATGTATGAGCGATAGAGAATCAGGATTGAATAGTTGTAAGAAATTCGGAACCATTCATCTAAAGCAAACACCGATAAAAGATGGGAGGACGCATAGTCAAGGTGAGTAGGCGCTGATGCGTGCCATTCTTCCAGCTCTTGACGGAGACCATCAACAGTAGCGAATTGTCTACTGAAGTCGTAGTATTGCGGTAGAGGCGAGTAGAGATTGGCATGGAATTTTGCCCATAGCTGTCTTAACTTGATGCTATGCAGGGTTCCAGTCATTATTGTTGGCGCCTGGTCGTCAGCTGCACGAGGATTTGCCAATATACCCTGGTGGGCAATGCTCTCATCTTCAATACCCAGAGGAAGCTAGATTTTGAGCATTAGCAAGATTCAGGAGTTAGATCATTAAACAGTACCTCTGCATCATTCAAATTATCTGGGAAACCGACTGGCCGACCCAGGATGAAGGCTGCAACACGATCGATATCATATGCAACCCAGAAGCACCTTTTGGACATCTCTTTTGTTAGAGGATCAACATGCCTCCGATACCTCTCTGCACTTCTGTGATATCCTAGCTCGATACAATGGCGGATTGCCATCCCCGATACTTTCCTATTCTTCACGTTATTTCAAGAGAGATTCAAAGAGCTGGGGTAGTAAATTACCAAAGACTAGCCCCAACAGGTGATCGTATCGAGTACGTTGCACAACATAATATAGCTTGAATTGATTCTAGATTATTCAGTGCAAAGACTGCAGGACAGAGTAGTCAAATTCGGTTTGGAATCGAGCGATGTACTCCGGATCCACGAATGCAGGGTTTCCGAGTGATACAACGCGTGGCTTTCTTCCAGTCGCCATAATTGCTTGAGAGCCGTATTGCTGAGCAGTCTCGTAGATAGTTCAAAGAGGAGCACGAAAGGCTATGAATTTTCAAGGCTCAAATCCCACCCCGCACTCAACTTATAGCTCGCTATCGAACAGCGCATTGTGGGGTGAAATCACATCCATCTGCACCTCGGATTCTTCCGAGCCCAGTGACAGCCCGTGAGGGAAAATCCCGACTCAACTGATAAGACTGGCTTCACCATCTTCGTTGTAAGGAGCTTCCAAGAATTGCTATTGTATCTGCTTGAGGGAAATTTGTGGCCAAATTTCTTGATTCGAATGGCTCCTCCGCAGGCAATTTCTTTGTCGATGGAGCAATGCTCGATACAGGATCGGATCGAAACAATAGACACACAAGGACTAGTATACCGGGTAGATCAAATGAAATCGCATGCAGCATCGCTCAAATATGATAAACCTCCACTGGGATTTATCTCAATTGAAATCATTTTGCACCAACCGCGAGGGGATCCTTTTAACGAGGAGACATGGCCATTTCCGTTAGTCCGTGAGAAGGTGACTGGCTCGTCAGAGGCACAAGTCGTGTGCTCCGGGCCATATGACAGTAATTTCATCAACAGGTTCGTCGAAGCTGGCCACAGACTTGCGAAACGTGGTGCGGTTGGTCTAATCACGAGTTGCGGATTCCTGGCTATGGCACAACCAGAGTATGTCTGTCCCGTGACAACCACTTAGGAATTCTCCATCATTTACTGACTTCAAAGTCTCGCCGCTCAACTGCCTATACCTATTGCTACCTCGGCACTAATTCGAATTCCGTCAATTTTGACTGTTCTTTCCCCAGCACGCAGTGTTGGTATCTTAACTTTCGATGATACGCGGATCTCTCCACCTTGAGAAAATGAATATCTCAGCTTCTCGGTGTCATATACGTGGTGCACCGGCAGGTGGTCTACTGTAGAGCCACAGTCGTCAAGGTGATGAAAATGTTCATCATGAAATATGCGAGGAACTTGTGACTGCTGCTCGGCAGCTAGTCACTGAGCATCCTGACATTGCAGTCCTCTGTCTAGAGTGCACACAGATGCCACCTTTCTCAAAAGCCATTCAAGAGGCACTAAAATTACCCGTATATGATGTGTACTCGATGGGAGGCTGGTTTTATTCAGGGTTGGTCTCCACGAGACAAAAATCATGGGGCTCTATAATAAAAGATAGTATCGGGCCAAGGCGGTGATATTGACGATTACTCATTTGAAATCCCGATTATGATTCTTGGACTGAATGTCTAGAAATAGATCAACACCGTATGGTGCAGATAACTTTGCAATTAAATCCCAGAAGTCTCGCGGAGCCTCCCGAGTATGCATCCAGATAGACCAGGTTACATATGCAGCCCGATGCCATGACGTAGAAGAATGATGAATAGCATACAAACCTGTACAAGCGAATGTTCTGCATATATGCAAGGGTTTTCTGATGTCTTTTTTTAGTCTCCGGGCCCTGAGCTAGGCGCGGCGGAAGAGCAAAAATAGGAATGGTATAGCGAGCACAGAAGAAATCGTCTACGATCAACCATTTTACCAACAATGAAAGTCATCACAAGAGAGTAAATTAGTCTTGGCGAACAGAAATTTGAAAGTGACGGGGTATAGTTGGCTCCGGTCTTCGAGAAAGAATGGTACCCAAATCCAATCAGCCCATGGGTCCCAACCGTTCCCGGTATGAGGATCGGCAAAAGAGAAATGAAAACCTCAGGAACCCATGAATGACGATGTCAGTTATTCAAATACAAATACTGATCTCCCCTTCAGCTTGCTGGAGGTGAATGTGGTTGGAAAGAGACGTGCAGTGCGATGGCGCCGAAGCGTCATGTTAGGATTACACAAGCCAGCTGTCATGTCCAGTGACCGTATATAAAAAACGCAATTTCCCTTTTTCTTTTTTTTTTTATACCCCACAGAAAAAGGACCCAGAAACAGAGTTCGCCAATTTCCGGGGTCAAATTGCCAAAACGCTAGGAACCGGCGGTTCCCCTGACTAGAGACCCAGGGGCCTGAACCCCGTGCCGATCCTTGCGCTAGTGCCGCCATGTCCCGTCCAAACATGGGCTTCATTGTTCACAGACAAGGCGTTTCGCCTGTTTTCATACAGAGAAGCAAAGTCTCCAAGCTATTCTACCTTGAATATAGAACATAGGACTCCACCTGGTGTCCATTTCATCCTGTTTGATGCTTTTCATTCTGTGTTTTGCGCACGGAGTCAAAAATATATAGATGAACTAAATCTACGCATATGGACGGCTTGATCACTACTTAGGGGTCCACTAATTACATGTCAGGGCCTATTCAGGAACAGGAAACGTTCTGGGAGATCAGCTGCATACGGTAGTAAAGACATGCCATTGTCAGTCTTCTAAGAATACAAGTTTTCACCACAGCTAAATGCGCCCTCTCCATAGTTCAGGCACGAGAAAGTCACTTGTGATCCAAAGTGTCCCTGTGATATTCAGAGCTTGAAGATATTAGGCCAGACACGCCAATGTAGTAGTTGCAGTGGAGACAGACTATTGCTACGCAAAGGGTTCGAGTTAGATGTCTCCATTGAAATTGTTTAGCGTAGTCAAGCACTGCTCCTTCTGGTCCAATTCAATCAGATTGGACGCATTGACCGAAATCAGCAGTCCAGTCGAAGTCTCTGTCTGATATCTTAAGCGAAGCAAGAGTATTGCTCTCCCCAAATGACTGTTTGAATTAGGGTGTTCCTCATGCTGATCACGGAATCCTGGGCTTCTTCGCTTGAACAAAAGGAGACACCAAATTTGTAGGTCACTGCCTATCATGTATCTTATTGGTCCCCCGCAAGTCTAAGCCACCGACTGCAAGTGATGAACGGATCAGTTGACAAAAATTTGGAACCTAAACCCACTGGTGCCTTTTTCGTACCCGCAGCCAAGGAACCAATTCCAAGGCTGCTCTACAGACCGTATACAGCCCGCTTATAACCTTTGGCGCGGTACGAAAAAGGGAAGACCTCCGCAAATGTCGGGTCAAAACGCTCCCCGGCTTTCTGACATCAGAGGACTTATATCTCGTAATAGACATAAGCATCTTCACATGTGGAGTTGGTGACCCTCGGTCTTCAAAAGATCTGCAGTGGACGATTCCAGGGGATATAAAAGGAGATACGAGATCTCTTTGCAAGATGAGATCTGGTTTCTCAGACTTCGAACGCCGGCAAACCCCTTCTGTTACGTATCGCCTCTGTGCAGAGCAATGCGTTTCTCCGCTGCTTTCATTTCGACGCTCCTGCTTTTCAGCACCGCACTGGCTGGCCCAGCTGCTCAGGCGACCTCGTCTGTAGGAGCCAGTCCATCTGCACAAGCAGATGGAAACAAGCAGGATGCTGCACGGCCCAAAGCCAATAATGAGAATGTATCTGATGCCGCAAACCCCTCTGTTCAACTCCCCGACAAAGTTGCAGACACAGCAGTGCAACAGGGTACGCAGACCGCAACCCACGCTGCTCCCACTGCAGCTGGCTTGGCCGCCGAGCCGAGCAGCAGTAGCAACGATGACAAGGTTAAAGACATTGTTGACGCAACGAGCGCATCTCAGAAGGACACCCCGAATGCCGCGCCATCCGCCAATGTTGATGGTACCTCCGCCAATTCAGACTCCTTGGGCGTGAACAGCATTTTGCCGGCAGGAAATACTGCTTCAGGAAGCACCGCTCCTAAGGCTGTCCAAAGCACCGGCTCAGCCTCTGGTACCCAGGGCACAGCAACTGTCACTCAGACCGCAAAGTCTGGAGAAAGTACTCAGAACTCCTTCACCGGAGGCGGCAGCACGGGGTCGAACCCTCTATCTCTGGACGGTACTTTCTTAGACTCTTTCTCAGATTTTGTAAAGTTCCTTGACGGAGTGAAGGGCCTGCTTGCCCCTACTCTGCTGTCCGATATCGAGTCCTTCTTCCACCATGTTGCCTATCTCCTTGACGACAAGACCACACAGCAAACGAAAGACTTGCTGGGTACTGTATCCGGGCTCCTCACCCAGAGCTTGATCACCAAGATTACTGGCCTGCTTGACAATGCCAGTGATCTCTTGACTGTTGATTTTGTCAAGGAAACTAAGGGTTTGATCAAGGCGGTCGCTCCTATGGTAACTCCTGAGTTGTTCAAGGAGATTAACAGCCTGCTTGGCAACGCCAACCATCTTCTGACTGCTGACTTTGTGAAGGAGACCAAGGACCTGATCAACACTGTATCGCCTGTCCTTACTCCTGATCTATTCAAGGAGATTAACAGTCTCTTGCACAATGCCAACAACCTCCTCACTGCTTCATCCGTGAAGGAGATCAACGGGCTGTTGAACAACGCCGGTGTTCTGCTCACTCCTGAATTCGTCAAGGAGACCAAGAGCCTCATCGGTGCCGTTGGTCCTAATATCACTCCTGAGCTGTTCAAAGAGATCAATAGCGTTCTTGGTAACGCTAACCACCTCCTCACTCCTGCGACCGTCAAGGAGATCAGCGGCTTGCTGGGCAATGCCAACGCTCTACTGACACCGGCATCCGTCAAGGAAATTGGCGGTCTTCTCGGCAACGCCAACGACCTCCTCACCCCGGATTCTGTGAAGGAAATTGGCGGACTCCTAGGCAGCGCCAGCAGCCTGTTGACACCGGGCTTTGTCAACGAGACTCAGGGCTTGATCGGCGGCGTGTCGAAGTATCTGACACCAGACGTCCTGGCCTCCGTCGGCTCACTCCTGGGCAATGCCAACGACTTGTTGACACCGGAGTCCGTCAAGGAGATTGGCAACCTGCTCACAAGCGCCAGCGGACTACTCACACCAAAGTTCGTCCACGAGACCCAGGGCCTGATCGATCTGGTTTCGCCAGCTATCACGCCTCAGCTGTTGACGAACGTCTCGTACCTGCTTGGCAATGCGACTGGTTTGCTGAACCCGTCCTTCGTCAACGATACCCGCACTCTTATCACTGATGTCTCTCCTGCCATCACACCCAACCTGCTCGTCGAGGTTGGTGGTCTCCTAAGCAACGCCGGAGATCTCCTCACACCCAAGTTCGTGAATGAGACCCAGACTCTGATTGAAGATGCTGCGGATGTAAGTTTAATTTCCTCCTTGATTCAATTCTTTGAATGCATGGCTAACTGATTTAGATTCTCCCACTTGTGATGAAGCTGCTCGGATCGTTGTAAGGTTTTTTCTTTTTGTTAGTGACAAAAGATTCATGATATCTCATGATGATTAATGTTATATATGAGTATGTTGATACGATATAATCAATGGCAATGTATGTCAATTCATGATATTTGGATATGCTGGTTGTAAATGCGAAGCTTCGGCAACGACAGTCCGCCAGACAGAATCCGAGGGTTTAGGGTATCTGATGGTAGCTAGTATCTTTCAACAAGGGTTGCAGGTGTTTGTCGGTAGAGCCAATGTATGAGCTGGTTGGAGACAAGGGGGTTCTAGTCCGCCCTTGGCTGAATCAGATGGCAGGCATGGCAACTGACTGCTCAGGCCGATTGATCTCACAACGTTGAGATGTACAGTGCGCTTTGGTTGCATCCTTTTCCTTTGAATACACGACTGAGTGGATCATGTTCAGAAACCTTGTCCATATGCGGTTTGTAACTGATCTGATCAAAGCTAGCCGATGGACATCATGGGAAGTGTCAAAGGTGTCTTGCCAAGATCTCTAGATAGCCAATGATGATCTGGTTGCCGGCTAAGATGGCCCATCTCCTGAGGGCGCATATGACAGTAAATGTGGTAATTTTCGTTATCCACGCTCAAGAATATTTTCAAGATGTTCCCTGTTCACCGCCCCTCCTTTCAAGACGGAATATCGGATGCCTTAACCTCTTGGAATTTTGACACAACCTTCATTTCGGTGTTGCGCTCCTTGACCTTCTTGTCAATGGCCTTTTGAACTTCCGCCCGTTTTTGCTTTGCGCTTTCAATCTTGGACCTCACTTCCTTAACCGTTTCATCCTGGGCCCTGGCGGCACCTTCGCGCGACGGATATTCTCGTTCCAACTTAGCAAGCTCGGATTTGTAGTCGCGTATCTCCATCGGCTGGCAAGTAACCGGGTGGTATCGGTATGATGGAAGATCACCATCCGGAACCTTAATCTCGGAGAGATCGGAATGTATGGGGGTGGCGCGCATTGGTGAATCCAGAGGTACTGCGGAGGCGGACGCCGATTCCGATGGTGGAGAGGGAAGCGTGGATTCGGTCTTGACCATGGTTGCAAAGTTCAAGTCCAGTTTAGTGAAATTGAAGGGCTGTAGACAGCAGAAATTTTGGTGTTGCGCGACACTTGTAAAGAATGGGTGAGTGAGTGTTGGACAGAGGTGAGTTCATCCGCGGCTTTCATGGATGTATTCTGCCGACAACTGCTTCACACCGCCCATCATATCGGCGCATGCGGGGAGGAAACCTAGCCAAGTTGACGACCGCATCGCTGCTTGGCATTTGGTATCTATGTTAGTTCATTTCAATATCAGCTCAAGTCTGCGACATATTACTTAGGCCGGTCCTAAGTGGGGCCACCTGGTGTGTGAGATCCGACATCCGACAAGCTTGAACACAGTGACGTGACCGCCATCATGCAGGCATTTGGTATGTCCTCCAGTTATATGTTGTGCTCATTATGTACGCTTACATTCTGATGTTGCAGTTCCCAAAAACAGACGGGTATGTTTTTGAAGAGCACTAGGTGAACTAGTATCTTTAACTAACTTCTACGTAGCCTAGATTTGAGCTTGTGTTGAGAGTATGTATAGATTAGCCCATTTGAAGCTGCCATTGATGTCTCTGACTTTGCTTCACAGATTATCGATATCAATAATGTTCCACTTGGCAACGGCGTTGCCTTTGTGAGATGGCGACTACCATCATCAAGTGCCACTGAACACCAAGGCCAGACAGAGAAAGCGACTCTATCAGACCACCGGGCTTATTGGAATTACGAAAAAGCTCTTCAAGTGAGACTTACAATCGACAGAACATCAATGCTTCATGAGTGTGAACTCAACTTCGAAATCATCCAAGAATTTACCTCATTGCCCATCCCTGAAAAGTATGTGCTGGGCAAAATCAGACTCAACCTTGCTGAATACGTGGACAAGGTTGAAGAAGGTGAGGGTGTCATTCGACGATACCTGATGCATGAATGCAAAGTGAATAGTACTGTCAAAATTGGGATCGCGATGCGCCAGCTAGAAGGAGATCGCAACTTTATGACGTAAGTCGGAGTCCAGCAATGATATTGCTCCTCCTTGTTCTCGGTACTGATTATGGACAGCCCACATCTGAAGTCAGCTACCGTATTTGGAGGCATTGCCGGTGTCGTTCATGCCTCCGAGCAGCAAGGCGATCTCGACGAAGCTGGACACCTCCCATCCATCAATACCAAGAGCCGGGAAATTGCGGACATGCAAGACATGTATAGGCGAACTCTAGCAGCGTCATGGTCCTCCCGGGCCTCTGATCTCCCAGCCGACAAACTTGTCGAGGAGCTATTTGCTGGAAGCTCGAGCTGGTATAACGATGCACACAATACCAGCGACAAAAGTCCACCAGGGGATGACCACCGAGACACTCTATTAAGTGTAGAGTCGGCGTCGCGACAAAGTCGCCCTGGGAAGACGTTGTCCCCAAGCTTCGAGCGTCGGCCCAAGAGTTCTTCAAGTAATCATTCTCACAGTAGTGGCAAGACACCAGACTCTCTTTCTACACTTGGACATCCCAAAAAGGGCGGGAGTATTGAACAAAAGCTTTATGATGGAGCGAAAGGCCGAGGGTGGAAAGCACCCAATGTGCACAATGAGCTTTCTGAGTTTGACGTGAGAGAGGATTTGCGCAGCTGGGAAGTTCCTTCAAAGGAATGAAATCCATCCTTGTGTCATGTACAATATGCAGCTGAAGCAACAATCTTAAGACTCTTTTTTTCTATATCCCTAACAGCACAAAAGGGATAGGCTTTTTGCATTATATCTTTATCTTCAATGAAATCAAATATATAGGTACCCGTGAATTACATGTCTGTAAAGTACATCATGTATAGAGGATGTCAGTGCTGCATTCATGAATACGGATTGAGAACCGGAATTATAGTAACTCCGAATGAGCGGATTACTAATGATGAGCATAGCATAAATAGCAAGAAATAGCAAGTAATAAATGACAGAGATTTGAATGCCCTCATTGGCTGAGCAAGTTACGGAAGACAGCAAGTTCCGACAGAGGATATTGGCCTGAGGCGGAAATTATTTCTTATCGCGGCCTAGCGTTATCGGCCGGAGAAAAGCGATCGCAGGATTATTTGTCTTCTGTACGCAACAGAACTTTCGGTCATGCTTCGACACCCTCTGAGGTCCGATTTGAGGCTTTTAAGGGTCCAATCGCTCTGTCGGAGACCGTCCCTCTCGACACCCATACTTCCCCGATACCTGAGCGATTGGAAATCCGGCCCAGCCCAACGCTACGCTTTCGATAAACCTAATCCCTACCGAAAACGCGCACCCCGAGGTCAACAAAAAGATGGAGGGTCAAAGGTCACACTAGATGTGAACTCCCTGGGTCAGCCAGGACAAATCGTTGTCGTGCCTGGGCGTGGCCGTCGAAGGTTGCACCGCAACCGCCGCGACAGTTCCAGCAATAAAGACCGCAGTACAATCAGTTCGATGCTGGATGATCTTGACGAAGAGAACTCAGATCCCACGGCTGAAACAATCCAGAAGGGAATTGATGCGAGCCGTGAACCACACCAGCCAGGAGATACGTTAGCGATTGGCGAATTCAAAGCACTGCGCTCCAAACTTACATCGTCATTCACCTATCGGCAGCTCTCCGAGTATGTTTCGGATCAACAAGGCAACGATGTGGATCTCAAGGAGACAAATTGGGCATGGGGACCGTCTGACGAAATATCAGAATTTCCAGGGCCCAAGGCTCACCAGGGGAAGACTCGGCTCGCAGAAAGGATTGTTCGAAATTGCTGGCAATTGGTAGTTCCGGCGGAGCGTGGACAGATGGATTTTCATCTAAAGCCCGAGTTTATGTCCTTGCTTCTTCATGCTGAACATTTCTCCTTCCATGAGCTGGCCAGTCTCCATGGCTGCACCATTGATGTGACACGATCTGCTGGCCGAGTGACACTTTTTGGAAAGCGGAACGCTTGCGAGTCCGTCCGTGAGATCATTTATGATGCTACTGCCAGAACTCGCGAGGAGGATGTCGGCATCAACCCTTACGCCCTCGAGGATGGTATTAACCTGGTCTTCACCCCGGACTTTTTGGATTGGATCAACACTACATACGGTGTTTTTGTGGAACATAAAGCATACCGGACACCAGAGAAAATATTCTACCTGGCTGAGAACAAAATGGGAGCGGATAATGCCCGAAGAGCTTTAAACCTGGCAATCACCAACTCGACACTATCATCAACCCATTTCTCTACATATCTACCGGCCTCAGAGATTGCTAGTGTCTACAGCTACATACCGGAAGAAAACGCTTCATGGTTTGACCGACAGAAGTCATGGTTCCGATGGGCAATGTCTTCTAGCCAAAGCGCACAGGCAAAAAATCTCGACACACCTTTCTTTGATAAGCACCAAACGCGTCTATCTGATGAGTTACTGAAGCTACTTAGAGACACCGCACCCTTGAAGAGCGACCCGCAAGTCAAACCTAACCTGCAGGATTCCGTGACGGCTGAGGTCGGGAGGTGCCTTTTTATGCAAAAGTCCTCCTTTGAGGAGACAACGATGAGTCCAGCACAACTGGGAAGATTGTCTCTTCCGAGGACTTTCACCAACGACATCCCTCTGATTTCCAAGTTCCTCGATTCCCTTTCCACCGTCTCGCAAAAGAACGAGTCAGAGCCATATCGAATTCGGTTGACGCCAACTGCTGATGCGGGCACCTTCCCTGAACTTGAAATCGAATTGACCACCAATAGCCGCAATGGCACCCAAAACTCAGATGACGCTTTGGAAATCCAGAGCGCAAAGGCAATTTTCGCCACCAATTCCGTTGACTACCTTCTTCCAGAGAATGGCCTAGATCTGCGATTTACAAGAACCATTTTTCAGGATCTCTTGCACGAAAGTGCTCATTCATCGGACCTCCAAATCATGCTGCAAAGTATCAAACAATCCCTCCGGGGCTCATTCTTGGCCGACGGTGTTTCGTGTGGCCCTTTTTCGCCATTCTGCAGTATCTCTATTCCCAGTGGTATTCAGAAGGTCGCCCGATCATACCACAAAGCGACACCAAGCAAGTTGCATGAAAGCGAAACTTCAGAGAGCAACATTATTGTTGAATACATGTTCCCTCCTCTCAGTGAAGTCCGGGGCACTGCCGTCCAAACCTATGAATTCGGTGACCGACAGCTTAAATACCGTCATTATGAGAGTGGCCCGTTGCTCGCTGCTCGTTCGAACGAGGTTTCTATTACCACGCAGATTCCTCATGCTGACTCGACCTTGGAAAGTGATCAAGCCCAGGAGCTTCTTCATCATGATTTCCATTCGTTCTACAACACTGCCTGTGACATGGCGTTTAAAATCCACGGCAGCAGATACGTGGATTAGGAGCATGGCATGAGCGCCTTTGATTTAGATTTGTACAGCGTGCATCAACTGCCATCATATGGCGGCGTACTGGGGCTGTGATTTTTGTATATTATTTGTTAAAATATCCACTTGGTCTGATATAGAACTACTCTTTCTTCCTTCATACCATCTGAAGCATTCTGAAAAAGCTATCCCCAATTCTGACCATCAACAAAATTCCCTTCGTCCTCCTTAAAACACCTTCTTCGAGTTACCCGGAACAAGCCAGCACACCTGGTCCTCAATCCCTTCCTCGGCGAACACCTTAGCCAGCTCATCACCACCCTGGGTGAAATGGCCCCAGGACTCATAATGCATAGGAACGAGAACATCTGCCTTGAAAGCCTTCAGCAGATCAGCAGCCTGCTTCCCATCCATTGTGATCTGCAATGGACCCTCTGGGAGCGGAGCTCGAGCATCACCCAGGTTGACGATTGCAGCCATAACATGGAACTTGCTAGCAATCTGGTTTAACTCCTCGAAGTAGACAGTGTCACCCGAGAACCAGATCGCATTGGGCAGGCCATCTGGACTGGTGCCAAAGCTTGGGGTGGTAAGGACGAAGCCTGTGCATTCACCTCCTGGGAGATGCTGGCATGGGGTTCCCGTGACTTCGAAGGGCTTGCCTCCGATGTTGACAGTGACTGTCTCCCATGGCTTCATTCCTCGTACTGCCGGACGAGGAGCTAAGTTCTTTGCGCCGTCCATGGTGGTAAACACGAGACGGCCGTCGAGAAGCTGGCGACCCAGGGGATCAAGATTGTCGGGATGGTCCTCATGACTCAGGAGGACTGCATCGATAGGAGGGAGGTCTTCCAATCCGAGGGCTGGAGTCTCGTGTATTTTGAGGACTGCGAGGCCCATGTCAAACTCTGTGCCGGCTGGGGAGAAGACAGGATCGGTCAAGAGTTTAACGCCGTCAATGTCAATGATTGCAGTGGCGGTCCCGATGTGGGTGATGGTGATGTTGCTGTTCAAGTTTGAAGGTGACATTTTGATGATTTTTCAATAGGTCTGATATGTTAAGAAAAGAGTTTGATCTGTGATGAAAGGAAGCTGAGACTAAACGTTCTGATTAAGGACAAGAAGGGCAAAGACTGGCTATTTATCCTTTTGGATTGCCCATGGGCCTTCAGTGGGATTAGAAATCGAATTTATGATTAGAAACAAACCGGAGATTCGGCAATGTATACGAATACATCTTGGCGATTTATGATTCCAGAAAAGGAAGCTTAGCATCTGCAAATGAACTCCACCACATATCATAGATCAGCTTGTCTCTCGCGCCTTACCATTTCGGGACATATATTCCGCCAAGACTTGAGTTGGGCACGCTGATTGGTGGATGTCGAGGTATCAGCGAGCCCTTCGCCACGACCTCGGAAAATACCTCGAGCTGACAGATTGCTCATGTCGCTGAAAATCTCATTGCAACAGCCGAAATATGCGAGTCAAGAAAAAATCAGTCTGTCAGACATGTAGAACACGAAAACTTGGAGTATAGCATCTTATCTCCCTCCAGTGAAAGCGTATCTGACGTGCATTCCAGTGTGACGGCAAACAACCCACCTGTAGCCAGTGTGCTCTAAGAGGGAGGAAGTGTGACTGGGAAATACCAGCCTGGACCTTCGTTTCTCAAACAAGCTCTTTGCCGAATGACTCCGCTTCTATTCAGGACCACACCGCACCCATCCCACCCGTCTGTCTTTCTGACAGTCGTAGGTCTCAAATTGAAGCTATTACGAAAGCTTATATTCCCCAAGAGGAAATCTGTTCGGTATATCCCACCTCGCGTGATGTTCCAAGAGTGTGTGGTGCATGGGTCGGGGTCTTAGCAACGCTTGTTGAACCTTCGACTCCCTCAAGTCGCTATGCACGTGTCTTAGATCCCGCAGTAACAGCATTGAGTCTAGCTCTCGCACATGGATCAGATGCGCAGAAGCTACAGAGTTATTCTTCCGCCGTCGATGCTCTTCGATCAGACACCCAAGTGCTCGAAGAGGGTCTAGATGCTGAATTTGCGGCTGCCATAATGTGCCTGTTCCTAGCAGAGGTACGGATTTTGGTTCTTTGGGAACCTTCTTGAGCCCAACTAATATTTTGACCCTAGCTCATGTTCCCTGACTCGCGTTTTGGCCTTGCCATGCATGTAAACGGTGTATCAGGGCTGTTTCAGACTAGCGGACCGGACCGATTCAAGTCAGGAGCTCTGCAGAGTCTCTTCGTTGGCTTTCGACCTCTGTTGGTATGCAATAATCATGATACATCATTGCACTCCGGTGTCTAATATGTTCTCAGATGGTTCACGCCATTCAATCCCGACAGGCAACGTTCATCGCATCAAATCAATGGATTGAGATACCACTTTCTACTTACAATCCATCTTTGATGCAGCAGCTTATCAATCTTGCTGCAAATCTTCCGTCCCTTCTTGAGGAAGCCGACCGGTTTACAAAAACACCCTATAAACCAGAGAGTACTCAGGTATCAAAACTGCGGGACGCCTACATAGAATTACTTTCCCAACTGGAAAGGTGGGAAGAAGTACTCAATTGTGAGATGCCAGGCTTCTGGGTCCAGAATTCTCACTCAACCCTACGAATACCGAGCCCTCCGGGTACACCTCTCTGGTTCTCGAACATCACCATGGCAAATTTTTGGACACACATCTGGGCTTTTCAGGTCATATGTGTCGTCGAACTTGGTCGCTTGGAGACTTGGTTTCAAAATTGGGGATCTCACCCTTCCAAGCAAGGGACATTCCATCGTTCTGAAGACTTTCAACGGAATATACAAGCCATATCATGCAAAATATGCCTTGGTATGGAATACCTCGTGCAAGATGACATGAAGTTGTTTGGGCCTGCATCTGCAATGCTTCCATTGAAAACTGCTTACCAGGTGCTCAAGGAGGAAAAACAACTTTACATACGAGAAGTGATATATATTGAGAGGATAGTAGAATGCATCGTTGGGAAAGGACTGCAGTCTACACCTTACCTTGTTTATGGCCAATGAGATAGTGTACACGAAAGTTGAATGCATGTCTAGCCTAGCCTCGAGCCATGCAGAAGCATCTCAAATTTCTATCTTCCTGCTTTTGTTTATTTTATATTCTTGTGAGAGTCCTATCGATGGATCGAGCTTCACGCAGCTCTCTACTTTCTGTCTTAATTTCGGCCAGACTTAGAATCAAGGTTATTATATTTAAGTAACTCATTTTAAACAATATTACTCGATTATATAATTCACAGGCCCAAGTACAACCAAAATCTCAAAACAACAATATTTTCCTATAGACTTGGTGTTCGGCCCCACAGCAGATCAAGGCCCGTGACGTGTAACACCTCCGTCGACCGATCACTACTCCGCGATCTCTCTCTCTGCCTTGGGTTTTTAAGATGAACTAGCCAGCCTTGTTTAAACGTCATCTTTCTGTCGATCTCCCGTTGTTCGCGACACCACCGCATTTCGATACATTCCACCGTTCCCCTCAGCATGAAGAGCGCGTGCACCCAGTGACTGAAGACGGCATGGAGAAAACACGGGTTGCTAAGGTTCGAAAGTCCCAGTCGAAGCGACACAAACATCTCACTCACTCGCTATGTCTCTCCAGGTTGACAATGTGACCTTGGCTCGCCGCGGTGAGCAGGTCGATGGTACCCTCCATCTCACCCCTCACCACCTTATCTTTTCGCACACCCCCACGGTTTCCGCCGAAGACCAGGTCAAGGGTGCAATAGTCAGACCTAGAGAGCTCTGGTTTACATACCCCATCATCGCTTTCTGCACCCTGCGCCCGGCTCCCACAGCCTCCCGCCAACTCTCCTCCATCCGCCTTCGATGCCGAGACTTCACCTACGTCTGCTTCTACTTTGTCAATGAATACAAAGCACGAGAAGTGTTTGAGAGCATCAAGCAATGGACCTGTAAATCCAGCCGAATCGATAAACTATATGCCTTTACCTATCAGCCTCCCCCGCCAGAGAAGGAATTCAACGGATGGGACTTGTACGACCCGCGCAAAGAATGGGCGCGCCAGGGTGTCTTGGATGAAGGTCAAGGTTGGCGACTTTCCGAGATAAATGCGAACTATGAAGTCAGACGCCTTCTGTCACGCCCTTGATAGAATACGCTTTGCTAACAACGCACGCAGTTCTCCCCCACATATCCTGCTATCATCCCCGTGCCTTCTTCGATCTCCGATAATACTCTTAACTATGCAGGACGCTACCGATCACGAGCGAGAATCCCAGCTTTAACCTATTTCCACCCTGTCAATAATTGCACAATCACCAGAAGCTCGCAGCCGCTGGTCGGTGTCCGACAGAACCGCAGCATTCAAGATGAGAAGCTTCTTTCAGCCATATTCTTGACCTCTCGATCTGAGCGGCCATTAGCGGACTTTGCCTCGCCTCCTGTGGAAAAAGAATCTTTGGATTCGAGTCCTGGTAGCCCAGAGATAAGCCAGGTGGTGGTACCTGAGCCGCCAAACGCCGAGGACTTGGAAGATAATTTGCTGGCTGCTACAGACGGCGATATTGAGGAGCAGCGCGCTATTTACGGAGCCCAGCAGTCGAATTTGATTGTGGATGCACGACCTACTGTTAATGCGTTTGCCATGCAAGCCGTTGGACTCGGCTCTGAGAACATGGACAACTACAAATTCGCTACCAAGGCATATCTTGGTATTGACAATATCCATGTCATGCGAGACTCGTTGAACAAGGTCATAGATGCCTTAAAGGACTCTGATGTTACACCACTCGGCCCGAATCGCGATCAGTTAGCCCGCAGTGGTTGGCTTAAGCACATTGGTGGGATCCTGGAGGGTGCTAGACTAATCACTCGTCAGGTTGGTCTTACGCATTCCCATGTTCTAATCCACTGTTCCGATGGTTGGGACCGCACAAGTCAGCTCAGTGCACTGAGTCAAATTTGCCTGGATCCATACTATCGGACTTTGGAAGGCTTCATGGTTCTAGTTGAGAAAGATTGGCTTTCGTTTGGACATATGTTCCGACACCGATCGGGTCATTTGAACAGCGAAAAATGGTTCCAGATTGAGAACGAGCGTATTGGTGGAGACCCCAACCGTACATTTGGCGAAGGGGGCGGCGCCGGGAAAGCACTTGAAAATGCTTTCCTTAGCGCCAAGGGTTTCTTTGGCCGGGATAACAACAGCCGAGACTCGTTGCCTGACTCTGATGGGGAGATGCAGAGTTACGATTCCGATAGTCCAGCTGGAAAAAAGGCTAGCCCTACGCCACGCTCAACTGTTTCCGAAAAGGAGTTGACCAAACCGAAAGAGACAAGTCCCGTGTTCCATCAATTCTTGGATGCGACATATCAATTGCTTCACCAGCATCCGACTCGGTTCGAGTTCAACGAACGTTTCCTTCGACGGCTGCTATATCACCTATACTCCTGTCAGTACGGTACATTCTTGTTCAACAACGAGAAAGAGCGCGTGGATTCCAAGGCTCGGGAACGAACCCGTAGCGTCTGGGACTACTTCCTCGCCCGACGAGATCAGTTCACGAACCCTCAGTATGATGCCGACATCGATGACCACAAGCGCGGCAAGGAGCGACTCATCTTCCCCCGCATTAGTGAAACGCGATGGTGGAATGAAGTATTTGGTCGGACAGATGCAGAGATGAACGGACCCCGTCCCTCTCCAAATGCACCAGCAGTGGCTCCAACCGATAGCCCCAATGGAGGGAGAACCCCGATGTTGACGGGCATTGAAACTGCGGGCCAGTCGGTTGACAATGGAGTGCCCGCCAAAACTTTACCGGATGCCGCATCAGCAGGAATGGCAGCTGTGGCGTCTGGCATCTCTAAGCTCACCTTGCCAACAGCCTCAGAGCGCAGCTCAGATGCTGATAAAATGAAGGAAATGAAGGAGCTGGGGGTAGAGATGCAATAACATGAGTCGTGATCCGGGGCATTAGTTTTTAAGATTTTGAGATTTGGCATTTCCGACTCTAATGTATCTCATGGCTGCGTACATTGAGATACGCGGAATTTACTGAAATACCAGATTATCCGGATACCAATTCATATGTCTTTGGATATTCTATGAGTTCTACGGCGAGATTATCACATCCATGAATCTAGAAAACTAGGGCTTGAGCCAATGATGTAATGTATATACCTTACTGCCTTGTGGCCTTGTTGCCTGCCATCCGAGGCAGCACGCTAACCTGAAACAGGGAAGGCGGCGGCAAGCGAGGGTTGAGCCCTGGCCCAAACGGGCAATCAACCCTAGTCCCGAAAAATCCCCACTAAATAATGCACTCTCAGAATTGAAGCCTCTCTCGACCACGACCTCCCCCTCCGTCGACAAATTCCACCACCACCAGGAACGTCAAAATGGCCGCTGTTCAGGGTGCTATCTCCAAGCGCAGAAAGTTCGTCGCCGACGGTGTCTTCTATGCCGAGCTGAACGAGTTCTTCCAGCGCGAGCTGGCCGAGGAGGGCTACTCCGGCGTTGAAGTCCGTGTGACTCCTACTGTCACCGACATCAGTACGTCGCCCCGAAACTCCTATTTCATACTTTCCGTTTGATCGTTTGGTGAAAATTGGACTTGCTGGATGTTGAAAAAAAGAGGTGGAATGCCGGGGCAATGGTTCACAACGATCGCGAGGGATCTGCGGATATCGAAAATCGAATATTGGGACATTCAGATGCTAACGGGTGCTTTTTTTTTACTTTCCAGTCGTCCGTGCCACCCACACCCAGGAGGTTCTCGGTGAGCAGGGTCGCCGCATCCGCGAGCTCACCTCCCTCATCCAGAAGCGTTTCAAGTTCCCCGAGAACTCTGTCTCGCTCTACGCCGCCAAGGTCCAGAACCGCGGTCTCTCCGCTGTCGCTCAGTGCGAGTCCCTCCGCTACAAGCTCCTGAACGGTCTTGCCGTCCGTCGTGCCTGTTACGGTGTCCTCCGTTTCATCATGGAGTCCGGCGCCAAGGGTTGCGAGGTTGTCGTCTCCGGAAAGCTCCGTGCTGCTCGTGCCAAGTCCATGAAGTTCACCGTACGTCTACACCGATATTGGAGGGGATTGTTGAGTTTGCGCATTGGGAAATGATTGCAATGGATCACCCACGGCTGTTCATCAATGCGCAAGCCACATTTCATCCTAAACAACTACTCGAAGCAAGAATGAACAACTAACACAATTTAACAGGACGGCTTCATGATCCACTCCGGTCAGCCCGCCAAGGAGTTCATTGACTCCGCTACCCGCCACGTTCTCCTCCGCCAGGGTGTTCTCGGAATCAAGGTCAAGATCATGCGCGGCTCCGACCCTGAGGGCAAGGCCGGCCCCCAGAAGACTCTCCCCGACTCGGTTACCATCATCGAGCCCAAGGAGGAGCAGCCCGTCCTCCAGCCCATGTCCCAGGACTACGGTGCTAAGGCCCTTGCCGCCCAGCAGCTCGCTGAGCAGCAGCGTCAGGCTGAGCAGCAGGCCGCAGAGGCTGAGGGTGGTGCCGAGACTTTCGCTCAGGAGTAAATCTTGTTTTACGAATAAATTAGGCCCGGCTATTCCTTTCTTCTTCCATCTGTCCTAAACCTAACCTGATACTCTACCTCACGCAATCAAAATTACATGACACTTCAAGCCTGGGTCTATTTGCGCTCTCTATCGCATTTTATCGTAATGTTTTGTGGTCTATCAACTTGTTCTTGAATGGAGACCTCTCCGAATAATGAGCAGATGTCAACCTTGAGTAAACAGTAGTTGGTAATTTGGATTTCTTAGACTATACGGTATGTGTTATCCGTGTTGATATACAACAGCCAGGTTTTATATAAGCCCTCGATCTACTTGTATATAAAGCGAGGGTTGAGCCAGGTTTTCAGAATACATCTAACAATTTTATCAAACAGCTTTTCGTCATTCTTATTCAGACTTCGTGCGTCAAGTCAGTATATATATAGATTATATGGATGCTTTGTCTGCGCTCTTCAGGTATTTTGCGGCAGTAATACAAAAAGCTATAATAGAGAATGAATAGGTTAAGTTCTTGATGTACTAGACATGATAAGCATTTATGTACTTTTTTTTTTCAATTGCTTTTAGCCATTTTCATAGCTGAAATCAAAATAACACTACTGACAATCATATCCCCCTCATGTTATCATCTAACTGCGTCACTGGTATAAAGCCCCACGAACGTGGGCTCTAAGGATACTCAAATTCTAAACAAGCTTGTTTACAGGAAAGCCTCAACGTTGAGTTCCAAAGTACTGGTGGGGTACTTCAGACCGTAATTTCCAAGCACGGTGGGGTGCAGGACACCGAAAGCACCGATGACGGACTCCTTGCCGGCAATGCGGACGTGGATAGAGGCGGCGTGGCCGGGGAAGTAGGTGGGGTCTAGAAAGTTAGTTCCATGGGATCTCAATGGATAAGACTAGTTAATACATACCATCCAGCTCCTTGATCCAGTACTGTGAGTCGCTGGCAGCGGTGTTCTCAAGACCCTCCTCGCCGGTGATACAGGCGCTCTTGAGCATGGCCATGACACGGTCGAGAAGACCGTGGACGATTTCGAATCCACTGGACTTGCCGTAGAAGGCAGCGGCAAAGTGTCGCTCGTTGCGGCTCTTGCGCTCCAGGGAAAGATCCTTGAAGGCGACATCGCTGACCTCGAAGATCTTCATGGGAATAGAGTGATTCTTGTTTTCACCAATGGTCTTCAGAAGACCCGGGACCAGGCTGGTGCGGACAACCTGGAACTCGAGGGTCTTGGGGTTGGCCAGCTTGACGGCGGTGTTTCCATCATCCTTGCGGTTCAACCACCCGAAGTTCTCGTCGTGCGAGCACAAGATCAGAGGCATCACCTCGGACCAGCCGGCCATAGCAGTCTCCACACGAACAATGTCAGAAAGCTTGTTAATGGGAAGAGGCTTGGCGACTGTGCCGGAAATGTCGGGGAATGCACGGGGAAGAGAGTTGAAACCGTAGGCAATGGCTACATCCTCCATGATATCGCACTGGTGGAGAACATCAGCGCGGGTTGCGGGGATTTCGACATCAATGGTATCAGGGTTGTTTGTGGAGGGCTTGGCGCGGTAGGCCATCTTGGTGAGACGGCTGCTGATTTCAGCAGGGCTGAGGTTCAAGCCACAGCACTGGTTGATGTATGAGACCTCGGCCTGAGTGGTGCGGGGGGTGATATCAGGGCTGACACGAGTCTCCTTGTTGTGTTCAGAGACAATCTGGACGGGCTCGATACTAATTTTGAGTTAACATGTGTATCCGTGGAACCAAGTAGCCGGCAACCTACGTGAAAGGCTCCGCGGTGTATTGGGAGAACATGGTGACCATCATCTTAGTCACAATGTCGAGCTTAGTCTTATCAAGAGCTGTGATTTCAATGAAGACATTTGTGGTGTGCAGGCCGATCTTTGAGTGATCGCTGTTGATAATAGGGGGCAAAGAGCAGACAGTCCGCTTGGAGTCGTAAATGATTGGGTACACTGGGGAGTCACGAATAATGTGCAGGTACTTGCCCAGTTGCGGGTGTTTCTGTTCAAAAGTCAGAGAAAAAGTTCCACAAGGTAAATATAAAAGAATCCGTCTAACCTCATAGAAGCTCATCAACTCCTCGCCGTCCATTTCCTTGGTCTGGTTCAATGGGGTGAACTTGATGTCCTTGGGAGGGTGGGCCTCATAGGTGAAAGGACCCTGGACGGTGTCCAAGTCGTGGGTACCAATTGAGACCAGAGTTCTTTGACGGGCCAAGTTCTGGTGAAGCTTGTCCTGAAGAGCAATGAAGGACTCGTAGCGAGCCTGGTCGAATTTGACATTTCGTAGAATGGCGCCGGACACATAGGGTCTGACCTTCGTGGTCTATTTCTGGTGTTTAGCATGCGAGCCTCCAACAGGTATGTAAGGGTATACCGACGTCTTCCTTCACAATAATCTGCTGCATCTGTCCATTCACTGGCGGGACCAACCTGTACTCGGGGAGCGGCTTCCGTTCCAGGAAGATGTTGAGCATGAGCGCAATGCCCTCGAAGCACAGCAAATCATATCTGCAAAGTTTCTCAGCCTATATGTCCTCCAAATTCAATCCATGCGCTCATTCATACCGGTTGGCGGGGATTTCGATCTTGAGCTGGGGAGGTTCTTGCACTCCGTCGACGATGGGGCGGTCCGAGTTTGTAGTCTATTGGCTCTCAGCTTGTGGTCCTGATTAATTTTATGTTGTTTGGGGAAGCGTACATCCTCGTCAAGCTCGATACCTATTTGCAGAGTTAGCCCACGTTCCGCATGACTGCCCGATAGGCTACTTACCGAACTCGAAGCACAGCTCGTCGAATTCCTCCGTAGTATAGCTAAGCCGGCGCAAAATCAGATTAGCAGTGTACAATTCCACATTGGGCTACAGCGAACGTACTCTCGGCCCAGCTCCTTGAAGAGAGCGGCCTTGTCGACCGAGATGGTGGGCATGGTGGGGGTTGATGCGAGGCAATTCTGGAAACAATCAGTGGGAAATTCGGGTATGAACCTGAGAGCAAGCCCTAAAAATATCAAAACAGGATACAGGGAAAGACCGTACAGACGAGAGAAAGGTGCGCAGTACAAAAGTCCAAAGAGATGACTCCGATGGGAAATTCTGCCCGCAAGCCACCACCGCCACAGATATCCCCCTCTTTTGTGACACGTATTGGTATGGTCATTCCCTTCCGTCATTGCCCTTTTCCCGCATTCACCGCCGGTATGTCATTTACCCTCTCTGTGTTTGGTGAACAAACCTCGCTCCGTCTCTACCAACTCCATCCCCTTGTCATCTCAAACCTCCCCCGCGAAGATTCGGAGCGGCTTTGAAAACTCATATCGCTTCTCTCCAGTTCATGAACACATCCTATACCTATTTTCAGCCATCATTCACCGTGTCAGGTCTATCCACCTGAGATCACCTCTTTCCTCAGAACTGGGACCTGCCACATCCTTGCCTTCTAGGCTGTTTCCATTGACCTCATAACACTTCCAAAATTCACAATGGAGGGCCAGAACGAGAACGACGAGCTGTATCCCATCGCTGTGCTCATTGACGAGCTGAAGGTACACACAAGGTCCCCCTCCTGCAGGTGGTGGTAGCGAATATCGGAGCTCACATTTAATGACCCCCATAGCACGATGATGTCCTCCTCAGACTTAATGCAATTCACCGCCTATCCACCATCGCGCTCGCCTTAGGCCCCGACAGAACCCGCGAGGAGCTTATCCCATTCCTTGATGGTTGGTTATCACGCTCATCTTCCTGGCGATCGAATCCACCTGACATTATTCATCGCTAGATTCCGTGGAGGACGAGGACGAAGTTTTGACCGCGCTGAGCGAAGAACTTGGCAATTTCACAGAATATGTTGGTGGCCCGGAGCATGGCCACGTGCTCCTCTCTCCGCTGGAGAATTTGGCGGCCATCGAGGAGCCTCTAGTCAGAGAAAAGGTATATACGACTTGGTTTTCGATATGAGATGGAATTCTGACTGCTTGAATCAGGCTGTTGAATCGCTTAACAAAGTATGCGAGCAACTCTCAGAGAGTCAGGTTGAGGAACACTTTGTCCCTCTCGTCCTGCGCCTGTCAAAGGCAGACTGGTTCACCTCAAAGGTCTCCGCGACCGGCCTCTACTCCACACCATACCGGAAAGCTACCCCCGCGCTGCAACAGAGCCTCCGACAGCACTTCGGAGCCTTGGTACACGATGAAACCCCGATGGTCCGGCGACAGGCGGCAAACAACTTGGCCAAGTTCGTGAAGGAGATGCAGAGTCAGGTCATTATCGATGAAATAATTCCTCTCTTCCAATACTTGGCGGGTGACGATCAGGATAGCGTTCGTCTGCTCACCGTGGATATTCTTATCGCAATTGCAGAGGAGATTCCAAAGGAGCAACAACCCAGCCACGGTGTCTTGCTCACATCGCTGCGCAGTCTGTTTGAGGACAAAAGCTGGAGAGTTCGATACATGGTTGCCGATCGCTATGAGAAGGTCCGTTCACAGTTCATCCGATATTGGTATCAATGACATACAAGCAGTACTGACACATGTCATAGATTGCTAAAGCTGTCCATGAAGAGGTTATCACTCGTGACATGGTTCCCGCCTTTGTCAAGCTTCTGAAGGACACGGAGGCCGAGGTTCGCACTGCGATTGCTGGCCAAATTCCTGGTATGATACCCTTTGCCGTGTGTCACAAGTAAAAGTGACTGACTTTTGATTCAGGCTTCTGCCATTTGATCGATCGCGACACTCTTCTTAATGAGATCATGACTAGTGTAGAAGACCTGGTGTCTGACCCATCTCAGCACGTCCGGGCTTCTCTGGGTACTCAGATTAGCGGACTTGCACCCATTCTGGGCAAGGACGAGTTCGTCCCACCGATTCCTATGAGATGAGATCAATTGCTAATAACACCTCTAGGACTATTGCTCATCTCCTTCCTATGTTCCTTCAGATGCTCAAGGATGAGTTCCCTGATGTCCGCCTGCACATCATCTCCAAGCTCGAACAAGTCAACAAAGGTGGGAAGGCAGTTTGGTATTTTGCCATGCAAGGACTTTGTTCTAACATCTTTATAGTTATTGGCATCCAGCTTCTATCCCAGTCCCTTCTCCCCGCCATCGTTCAACTGGCCGAGGACAAGCAATGGCGCGTGCGCCTTGCTATCATTGAATATATCCCTCTTCTCGCCAGCCAATTGGGAGTCGAGTTCTTCGATGAGCAGTTGAGCGATCTTTGCATGGGATGGCTCGGAGATACTGTCTTCTCAATCCGAGAGGCTGCTACTGATAACTTGAAAAAACTGACCGAGGTGTTTGGTGTAGAGTGGTCGAAGGCTTCTATTATTCCCAAGGTGATGGCCATGGGACAACACCCCAACTATCTTTACCGCATGACAACATGCTTCGCTGTTTCTGTAAGTTCTCCCTACTTCTGCGCACATTATAATCGCTAATCAGTATTAGACTCTTGCTCCTGTCGTCACAGTCGATATCATCGAGAGCTCTCTCCTCCCTATTCTGGAGCGTCTTGTGACGGACGATATCCCCAACATCCGATTCAATGTCGCCAAATCGTACGCTGTACTTATCTCCACCTTGCGTCGTCTGCCGGCCGATAAGACCTTGGTTGAGGTTGAGAAGTCAGAGGAAACCATTGAGCCCTCACCTCAAAGCCAGGAGTTGATTCAGAACAGAGTTGTGCCCAGTTTGGAGAAGCTACAGGACGATGACGATGTGGATGTCCGATACTTCGCTACAACTGCTGGTGGCAACCAGGATGAGACCATGCAAACCTCCCCTTGAATTTTATGCAATTGGGTGATTACATCATCTGCTCTGGGGAAAGACATGATTTGGATACCCGCAGGCAAGGGACAGGACGCGGGACATTCTGTCACGTTAGAGAACAACCAGCAAGAAACTGGGATGAGATGTCTTGGTGGCGTTTTTAATGTAGAGAGCTTGGTCGACACATAATCATTGAGCCGTCTAGAGTAGTCTCAAAAGCAAATGCGAGAATATTGATAACACTTTCCTTTCTAAGACATTAAAAGTTTCGACCACGTTCCTCTGCATATATGATATGATATTGTCATCTCTCTAGAGCTTGCATGTCCTACACAGGTGCCCAGCAGGTGGGCTGGACGCGTCAAATGCAATTTATTTGTCAGCGGGCCTGGGGAAAAGAATAAGCCGACCACGTAGCCTCTGATATTGGACATTGCAGTTGCATTCGTTGCCAGTAAATACTCGGTACATCTTGAATACTCATCGGCATCAAGCTGTTCCCCCTTGTATTTTCACCTTGTTAAAAGGACAGCTCTAAGTGGCCGGGCATATTTGAATTCCCAACTTGTTGATTTCATACCATATACGGACCCATCGGACCTTACAAAAGCCCCTGTGCCATCTCATATTCAGCCTTGGGGTGTACAGCAAGTGAAACATGTCGTCGTCATGGCCATGGCATTTCATTGCCCTCTCTGAATCCGACAAGCTACATCGCCGGGACCTTCTTGATCTCCGAGGACAGTATGCACAATGGTCTATTGTCCTAGCCTTGGTTGCAGCTCGAGTCATCCGAACCCTGGCAAAAGCCTCCGGGAAGACATCAAAGCCAGCCCGTGGGCTACTCTCGTGGTGGGATCGGCCACTTGTTTCTGGATGGATAGAAACTCGGCGACAGTATTTCATCTGCGGAGTCTGGCTATCCTGGCTTGTAAGCCTCTCGGTTTGGAACAGTGGAGATGGTACGAGATAAATCCATATCGAATGAGAATGACCAAGAATCAGCTACTGACATATTCCGCAGACTACCTTCATTTGACCAAAGCATTGGGTCATGTCGGCCTGTCTCAGATCCCTTTACAGGTCTTGATGTCTCCAGCAGCGTATATCTCAACTACCAAGCCAGGAGCTTCATCGTTATGCGCGGTTTTGACTGGGATCTCTCAGCCAACTCTGACACCCTACCACCGTCTCTTTGGCCGAATTGTTGTCTCGCCTCTCCTCCTCGCCCATGCCTCACTTTACATGAACTTTTTCGTGCAGAACACTCATCCCGAGTTCGGTCTCTTAGTCTTCAAGCGAGTCCGTGACTTTGATGTCCAATGCGGCCTGCTTGCGATCTTCTCAGCGGTGTCTCTCTTCCTCTTTGCGCGACCTCGTGGTGCTAAGCAGAGTGGACTTCAAGGTTGGCTAATGCAAGGGCCCGTCCAAGAACGCAGGCGCATGTTTTACCTATACCATGTGTTTTTGGTCGTGGTGTTGTGTGGTGCTGCTTACTTCCATGTCAAGCAGGCGCAAAAGTACATGATTCAGACTCTATCAGCCTCGGTACTCAATGGGGTTTGTTCTTGGGCAGTGGTGCAGTGGGAAGGTCGACGATAAAATAAAGTATATATGATTCAATGCTGACAAGCTAACCAAGACCCTGTATCTGAGTTGCCTAAAAGAGTGGAGATATATAGCTCCACCATCGATCAATGAATGAGCATTAATTGAACATGCGATATCCGGAGACTTTATTCAAGCCTTTCCCCAAGCTTTCCGCCCTGTAAGAAATTTCTGAAATGTCTTCCTTCATGCCTCCTATTATTTGTCAATGGTGGCATGTCCGGGGGCTCTACAGCTGTACAAACGCCACCTATACAAGTAGCCCTCGGCTTTGAAAAGCAAGGAACTAAAGGAATGCAGCATTATCTCAGCTTCATGTTTCCGTACTCTATCTTAACTATTCTCTTCGACCCCTAGGGCTGTTGACAGAGATTACGTATTCTGCGGCCCCAAGTCTTGGCGCCATTAATAGCGAGTCTCGACTTTCTGGGCTCCCTCCCTACTCAGCCCTGTACGTGTGCTCTTCACCCATGCCTCACCCCAATGGCAGCATGCGCCTCCAACGGCTAATTGTACTGCTGGCAATTGGCACCGTCGCCTGTCTTTCTCTTTTATTATTGCGATCCTCAGCCCCGACTCCAGAGCCCGTTGACCTCCCCCCTCCCGAACCGATCCAGCACCCCAAACTCCACGACGGGCAGACATCATGGCCCCCTGAGAAACAACACCCCATTTCGCGATTGATCGAGAATGCGCAGCAGAACTTTGATCATGCGCGGTCACGACAGTCCCAGACCCTGGCGGAGGCCGTGGCGGAGTACCAGCGCCGCTATAATATGCACCCGCCGCCCCATTTCGACAAGTGGTTCGAGTTCGCCCAAGCGAAGGGTGTCCAATTTGTCGACGAGTTCGATTCTATCTATCACTCTCTCCTACCATTCTGGGGCCTCAAGCCCGCGACAATTCGTGAACGGGCGCGAGAGACACTTGGATTTGACAATGCTGTGCTTGGAGTCCTGGTCCGTGATGGTAAGGTGTCCTTAACGGATGGCGGTGGTGATGATCGGAAATGGCAGCGAGATGCCACGGCTGGCATGATGGATGCTTTCGTGAAGTACTTGCCAGATATGGACTTGGTGTTCAACACTCACGACGAGCCTCGCGTGATCATCCCTAGCGCAGACCTCCGACGATTTGTGCAGAAAGCAAAGGACCAAGTGATTCCTTCCGCTTTCAAAAAACCCAACCCGACCAACGCGTGGTCCCCTCGCCCCTCGGATCTCAACAAGGGCGATCGTATCGATGAAGTGCGCACCACTCGTTTCAACCGCTTCGCTCACCAGCCTACCTGGACGAATTCCCGAATCTCCTGTCCCGTGGATAGCCCCGCGCGCTCCCTTGACGACGACGCTCCAGATGATGTTAGCCCCTATGCGTTTGGTGAACTAGGTTTCATTTACAACACTACGGCGGCCTCTGACATCTGCTATACTCCCTCCCTCCGTTCTTCGTATGGCTTCTTCGACCGACCTAACGCCTTCGATGTGGTTCACGATCTGTTTCCTATCTTCTCGCAGAGCAAGATTTCCAGTTTCCAGGATATTCTCTACCCGAGTCCTTGGTACTGGGCAGACAAGGTGCCATATGACAAGAGCAAGGATTTTGCTTGGGAGGCCAAGACTGATCGCATGTACTGGCGCGGCTCAACAACGGGTGGATTTTCCCGTGCAGGTGGCTGGCGCCGCCAGCATAGGCAGCAGCTGGTTGACAATGTCAACGGCTTGGGAAATACCAAGATCATGGCCCACCAGCCGGACAACACATGGGTCTCACAGGAAGTGAGCCGGGATATGAACCGTGACTTGTTTGATGTCAAGTTCACCTTCATTGGTCAGTGTGACCCCGACGACTGCAATGCGCAGATCGAGTACTTTGGTGTTGTCAAGGCGGCTGGCCAGCAAGATGCGTGGGCACACAAGTATCTCCTTGACATCGACGGAAACGCCTTTAGTGGACGTTTCCATGCTTTCCTACACAGCAACAGCATGGTCTATAAGATTGCCATTTTCCGCGAATGGCACGACGAGTGGCTGAAGCCCTGGGTACACTACGTGCCTCTCAGCTTGAAAGGTAACGAGTATACCGAGAGCATGCGTTACTTCACCGCAGAGGAAGAGGGTAAGAAGTCTGCTCTTCAGATTGCGAACCAGGGCCAGCGCTGGGCCCAACAAACATTACGAAATGAAGACTTGGAAGTTTGGTTCTTCCGGTTACTCTTGGAGTAAGTCCTACTCTATGTCTAGATTTGAAATTCCCTGCTAACCCTCCACCAGGTATGGCCGTCTAGTCGACGATAACCGTGAACAATTGGGCTTCATCCTTTGAGCAACCTAATATCTCCCCACCGGTGCTCTGTATATACTCCCTTTCTTCCTGAGGTCTTTGTGACATGCTTTGCTGAGCCTCCATTAAGCCCCATGTGGGTACTCGACGAGATCATGGCTTTCCCCGACCTTTTTGTTTTTCTCTATTGGATTGTATCGACATGCATGTTAATACCCTTTTCTTATTCCTCTTGTTTCATCCTCTTGGACGGTTTGACGGGTTTGGACCCTCCCGATGATATTCGGTTGCATGTGAAGAGGAACCTGGCGTTCGCAGGTATGGGAACCTTTTGAGATCAATCATGTAACATCTTTGCATTAAAAAGCCTCTGTATGCTTATAATATGATCCGTGCATTCTCATTCCACCTTGGGATGTCTATCAGTAGCTCACCTAGGCAGAAGAGGGGCTTACCCAAACAATACCTATAGACTTGATAAAGAAACCAGTTTTGTGCTCCTTGTTGACACAACTCTCAAGATCCATGTTCACCAATATATTCAGGAAATTCATATAACCTTGAGTCAAGTTTCCAGCATGTCGCCACAACGTCTTCCCCACTGTATTGCATGCATGCATGTCTACACCCAAGACAGCCTATCATGCAGCCCCCCCAGAATTACAGTGGCAAGCGATCGACATGACCATATGACAGAAATATACCAGGTAATAGACACAGTAGAAACAGAATATCCAGCTCAATACCTGAACAAAGACCTAATCCGTGAAGTTTAAGACATTATGACTAAGCACTATGATGCGACCTCGGATGAGCGCATTTGGCAGTAGCTCCGCTTGTGAATGGCGAGGATATTTGCTTAGCTTTATAGATTTTCCCCCGTCTCTGACTCCTGTCTACTGACACTTGACATCCTCATGGTCAATTAAGCTTGCCACCATGGCCAACTTCCTATCCCGAGCGTTGACTGCGGTCTTCGTATTTAGTTATGGCTTCTTTACCATCGTTCTCTATGGCCTGATTGCCCTGAAGAAGGGTACCTATTTCAAGCGTCCTACCGAGAAGGAGAAATTGGAGCTGGAGCTCGGTGGGTTAGCTGACTATTCATGATGGATAGGGTCCATGAGCCTTGAGCTAATGTCTATATTGCTGTATAGCTCGTGATCGCCTCTGGAACTTATCTGAGGACTTTGAGGGTCTTTCTCACCATATTCTGACCTTGCAGAGCGGATTCAAGTTCCACTTTGTTGCCAATGACAAGCCTAATACACCTGAAACTATCAACTCTGATAAACCCCTGGTCATTTTCATCCATGGATTCCCTGATAGCTGGGCTATCTGGCGACACATCCTCAAATCTTCTTCTCTGCGCCAGGCTGCCTCTCTGGTTGCCATTGATCTTCCGGGATATGGAGGCACAGAAAGTCTGGACAAATACAATGCTACGAACGTGCTGGAGAAGTTGACCGAGTTGATTATCACCCTCCGCACCCAATACGGCGTAGACTCGAGCGCAGAAAGCAACAAGAAGAGAGCTATCATCGTTGCCCATGACTGGGGCTGCGTCTTGTCAATGCGCCTTGCTGCCGAAGCTCCAGCTCTAGCCCACCGCTTCATCTTGTCCAATGGACCAACCGTATGTTCCACAAGCTCTCATTCACGGAGCACTGTATCAAGACTGACAATCTCCAGATGAAACTTATCCAAGATAATATCGGCCGCAGACTTTCCACAACCAAGAAGATGCTTGGCAATGCCTGGCGGTCACCACGCGATGCGCGCGTCCCACTTATGCAGGCGCTCCGCAACCTTGCCCCCATCGGTCGGCAGCTCTTCTTGTCAGGCTACATTTTCGCCATGCAGCTGCCTGTACCATTTGCGCTACATTTCCTCACCGGCGGAAACTACTCCCTTTTAAGGGGCGTCCACGTCCGCGCCTCCGGTGGTAAGATAACACCCTATGACGCGGCAGAGGGTATGGCAAGCAGTATGGGCCCGTCGGTCGCCGAGTTCAAATCCAAGACCAATAGCGGGGACTCATACCCCGCCACCTTGGAGAACGAGCGCGCATTCGCGCACGTAATGCACATGGCAGGTTATTACCGTGATGGCGCAGCGATCGCACGCTGGACGAAATCCATCGAGACAATCACCAGCTTGCATAGCATCTCGGGCGGGAATGTGTTGCGCCGCTCAAGTAGCGGTGCTGGATTATTCGACAACGGTCCGGGTCTCAAGGCTAGCTCCACCATCGTCTGGGGCGAGCAGGATATCGCGCTTGATCAGAGGATTTGTCTGGCTGGCATGGCCGATTTCTTGGTGGATAATAGTCATATCATTTTGCTTCCTCGGACAGGGCATTGGACGCCGGTTGAGCCTGAGAGCCGTGCGGCTTTGATTAAAGCTGTTGAGTGGGCTGCGCAAGGTGAACAGGGTGATGTCGGAGCTGCTCTTGAGAAATCTTACCCTGGGGTGAAGGTGACTGCTCGCCGGTGATGCAATTGAGAGTTGAGAGATAGATTTGACGTATCCTTTACAATTATTTCGAACTTCGTTGGCAAATGGTGGACTCAACGCCTCGTATGTATGGGAGCGCGTATTGCGGGCAACTAGAGCTAAGGCGGTTAGTCGATGACCGGGGTGGACGTCGCCGGGACCTCTTCGGTTTCAGTTAGAGGGATTGAAGATGCAGAAATGGGTTGATTGCGGATGTGTTGAATGTAAAACAATGACATTGAAATAGGTGAAGTTGCAGAGAAGAGATCGCGAACTAAACACGAAAATCACCCGCATCCGCAACCCCAGAAACCCCAGTCATTTTATCCGGTGAGGGGAACCCTTCCCCTCGCCTCTTTGGGTCTGTGTGTCAGATTCTTTCTTTTCTTTTCTCTTCCAAGCTTCAGCTCTAGCTACTTTAGCTGCAATATTCCCAACATTCGCATTACCCCTGGGCAACCCTCGGGACATGCAGTGAACTGCTGTTTTCGTTCAACCTGAGTCCGGGCCAGGTACCACAAATCACACCCGACTTGACACGCCCAAAACTAAACCTTTGGGATGAATATAGGGCTCTCTTTTATTTCATCCCTTCTAGTTTCGATTGGGGAAGCTCCCATTCTTCTGTTGAGGGACCAGCGCGATGGCTTCCGACGGGGTCTACTGCACGGTAGGTGACCCCCCTTCCTGACCTGTCTACAGAGTACTCTGGACAGGATGAGGGATGTGAACATACTGACGACGAGCTGCAGCTCCTGCTGAGTGATCATTATCTTCCGGGTAAGTGATCGTCGTGTGGCGACCCAATTGCCTTGCTAACTCGCCCTGCCTTAGGTGCCATGGTCCTTGCCCATTCCTTACGCGACAATGGCACGAAGGCCAAGCTGGTAGCCCTTTTTACACCGGACAGACTACAAGCAGCTACTATCAATGAGCTACGGGTATGATCGATCCTCTCCTGCCCTCCTCAATGACCCCATGGGCGTTCGGACTTGACTGACGTTTTCGTGCCAAGACCGTTTATGATGAGCTGATCCCAGTGAGCTCGATGGTGAACGGCACCCCGGCGAACCTCTGGCTCATGGATCGCCCGGACCTGATCGCGACCTTCACCAAGATCGAGCTATGGCGCCTGACACAATACAAGCAGGTCGTGTACATTGATTGTGACGTCGTGGCCCTGCGAGCTCCCGACGAGCTGTTATCGTTGGACGCAGACTTCGCCGCTGCGCCTGACGTTGGCTGGCCTGATTGCTTTAATAGTGGGTTGATGGTTCTCCGACCGAATCTGCAGGACTATTATGCGCTCAAGGCTCTTGCCGAGCGAGGCATCAGCTTCGATGGCGCGGACCAGGGACTGCTCAATATGCACTTCCGGGACTGGCATAGGCTAAGCTTCACGTATAATTGCACGCCTAGTGCCAATTACCAGTATATTCCTGCGTACAAGCATTTTCAGAGTACCATCAGTCTTATTCACTTCATTGGTTCGCAGAAGCCGTGGACTATGTCGAGGCAGATTGTTCCGCTGGAATCGCCATACAATCAGCTGCTAGGTCGTTGGTGGGCTATTTATGACAAGCATTATCGCTTGCCATTTGTATGTGTTGTGATTGAATCTATTGACTTCTCAGACTGACCATTGCTAGGGATCACAGCCGCAAGGCGCACCGGGTGGGTTCGAGACATCGCACCATCAGCCCCAGGTTGTTTCGACGTCCAGCAGTGAAGAGTACGCAGCTCAGGTTCATGGAGACCACTCGACGGTCTCACACCGTGAGCAATGGCCGCAACCGCACCATGTTCATTTTGAACCGGAACACCAGCCTGAGAGCTTTCATCACGGAGGGCCTTCCGAGCACCACCACCAACATCATGCACAGTCATATGACACACATCATGAGCATCATGCAGCTCCGGCCGAACCAGCCCCGGTTTCTATGTTGAGCATGGTACCGCAATATGTTCGCGGAGAGGAGCATGTCTCGACTTATATCCCACCATTGCCTTACACGGCGCCAATTACATTTGCCCCCAAACTGAGCCATGAGACACACCATGAGATGCCGCAAGCCTATCAACAGCCACTGGATGAGGAAAGTCATCATATCCATCAACCACAACCGGTGACGCCAATTCCGCCCATCTCTTCAATGGGCGAGCCATACCAACGTCCACCTTCTCCGACACCAGAGCCTCCGGTATTTGAGGCGCCCACGTATGAATGGGATCCAGCACGGTAAGTTAATTACTTTGTTAGGCTGCGTGAACTTTTGCTTATCCCATACAGAGAACCACCACCCGTGAATTCGAAACCGGAAGGAATCAGCCTGCAACAAAGGACATACACCATGTCTGATGACACTCAACTCTTCCAACCCCCTGTATCCTACCCCGAGGCACCAAGAAACATGTACTACCAAGTCCCCACAACCAGATCAGCACCAGAAAAGCCCGCCCCAGTATTCCCCTGGGAAAGCCACGCTCCTCCTCCAACCCGAGTGTTCCCCATTGAACAACCACCCCCAGAACCAACCGCACCCGAACCAATCGCCCCCCAACCCCAATCCCAACCCCAAACCACCAATGACCCCATCGACATCCAGAACTTCCCACCCCCACCCCCCAAAGGCCCCTCCTATACCCGAGTCCCCTACGAACCAAGCTCCGAATCTTGGCAAACATACACACGCTCCAACGCCTGGGACGAAGACCCCGAAATTCAGCGCTACATCGAAACAGTCCAACAAGCCCGCAAAGCCAGAACCCAAGTAATCTCCAGCCCAGGCTCCTCCCACTCAAACACCAGCGCAAGCCCAAGGGACAGAGACAGCGTCTCCTCACCCCCATCCACAGGCACAGGTCGCAAACCAAGCACCATAATAACAGACTTCCCAACCGAAGTCGAACGCCCCAGTCTGCCCGTAACGCCCGCCCCAATCCACCGCGGCTTTGGCGGCAGTTACGGCGATGGGAACGACGCCTCTGGCGCGCATGGCCTTCCCGTTGCGGAGGGCGTGCCCAGTCAGGAGGAATGGGTGGGTGTCACGGTTGATGCGTTTTCTTCTTTGCTTAACGCAACATACTTATTGTGGCGGTCTACAGAATCCCCTGGCGAGGCTCGAGGAGCTGCGTCGTCGGCAGTCGGAGGTTATGGAGCATCCGGAGCGACTTTCTAGGTTGCTTGCTGGGTTGCCTGATAGGAATGGTATTGAGAGGGAGGACGAGGGTTGAGTGATTATATTCTTTCCTTTTCCTTTCCCCTTTCTTTTTCTTTTTCTTTTTCTTTTCTTCTTTTCTCTTCTTATTGTTGTTTTTGCGTTTTTCTAATTGCTTTTTGATCTTTTGGATATCTGATGAGAGTTTGTTATTTCATTTTTCGCGTTGCATATGCATATGTATTGGAAAGTTCGAGATGCATACTTCATGTTTGGTAGTGAAAATATTAATAGCGAGGCCACAATGGAATTTCCTGAATCTGCGTGCGTCTTTTGCGCTTCATGCTGCTCCTCTAAGTTCTCAGATGCAAACCCCTCACGTGGCCTTCTAACTTCTCTCTTTCTCTTCTTCACCCTGCTCCAAGCCTAGCTTTTTCGGTCCAAAGAACCTTCTTTTCTACTTCTAATCCAAGTCAAAGCCTTGATATCTGAGTTACCACTTCTTTCAAGTTTGGGTTACCAATGGACGTCACTGTGCTCTCCTGATCAATCTCCACGGCTATCCCTCAATGCTTCTGTCTTTGAGGAGACGCACGACACATTGATCCCCAACTTCGCGCCTCTCTTCCTGCGTCTTTCTGCGATACACAACTCGGTGCTCTAATACGCACTACACCCATCACCAGTCAACCGCGAAAGGAAGAAGCCAGCACGCCGGGATCTGACTAGCCTGTCTCTTTCCCTCATCCTCAACCTTCTCTCACCTTCAACCTAACCTCATCCTTAGGCTGACCTCATTCTCAACCCAACCTCAATCTAACCAACATCTGTCTAGGACGCAGGACCCTGGCAACCTGTTTTCCCTTCTTTCTATTCATTGAACTTGACAAACGTGTTGAACGGAGTGCGAAATTCGAGTTATGGACTCCTTGCCATATGTGCACTGATTCTCCGATGACCGGTGCTCAGGCGCACCTGGAATGTACCCAGAAAGTTTCTATTTTTAAACGTATGGTTTCCGGGGACCTCTTGTGATCCCTTTCTGGCACTTGATGCGCCGTTCACCTGTCGACCAAGAGAAGGAGATTATCATTGATGATGAGGGTCTGTCATATACTTGCGGTATCTAGCTATTGAGGCGCCTCAACAGTGCTCCGTACAGTTTCTTGTATTTTAGCCCCATAGGCTTAAGTCGGCCTGGTTGATACTGTTACCTGAGTATGGCCTGCTTCTATTATTTGGAGAATCTTGGCCGAAAAACGGCATGAACGAGTATTTGTGCATAAAGATACGACATAAATTCCCGCCTTGCCAAGTCTATCAACGCTAAAGATAGAGAAAAGGGTATCAAAGAAGAAAGAATCGAGGTGCAGAGACAAGATCACTCTTGTCCGTCATCAAGGCGTTGACCACGATAAGAGTAAAAGTTGGTCTGCTTGATATGGAAAGCCTTGCCAGTTCTCGCGTCGAAAATAGAGAATCCATGAATGGCGGCGTTGGGTGGAGTGTAAACTGCACGCGGTGTCAGCTTTGAGCAACCTGGATACATAAAGGCTGGGGGAAACATACGATGAAGTGAGATAGCGAACTCTTCTGAGTCAGGGTTGGATATTTTATGTAAACCAAGCTTGTCGGACATGTAGGTTACTTGGTTCTCGCCGAAGGTGGTTTGTTTGGTGAGTTGTGGCGGGGAGGTTTGACCATCCTCTATTTTTGCTTGGTCAGGCCATGTGTAGAGGTTCTCTTGAAGTTTGCCTTTCAAGATCTGTATATCTGAGGTCAGTCTGGAATGCCAATGCCTCAGACGATGTCGGTACATAGGACCATAGGGTCACGAACCTTCATCACACAGTGTGCATTGGCGTGGTCATGAATTGAACTGCCTTTTCCAGGACTCCACACTAGGATCAACTAGTAAAAAGGGTCAGCTTGTATGTTTTCCCAAGCGACGTGAGCTGTCTATAATGGCAATGGCTTGACCCACCAAGTTGCTCTTGCCGTTCCCCTCGTCAATTAAATTCCTTGTGTAGGTCCTGCTCGCATCCCCCAGTGCATAGGCGCCCCATTCTTGTTCATTTGAAATATATTTCTCCATCAAAAGTTGCATCTCCATCGGGTCAACATCACTGGAATCGAGCCCCGAACTCGGACCTAAAGCCGCGCTAAGATTCTCCACGAGCCTCTCGAAGGCATCTGGGCCTATTTGGTTGTCGCCGGGTAATTCGAATTCTGATTTGAGGAAAGGCATGGCCTCAAGCGAGCCTGAGAGCTGTACACAGGCTTTTGTGTGTTGTGGGGTGTTGACGTAGCAAAAGGAGCGCTATCGGAGGTCGGAAGGTGGAGGAATGGAGGTGGAAGTATTGCGTGCTTGAAATAGCCACCAATGGTAGGAATGAAGCTAGAAGGCCAGGTCTGCGAATATAATATGCCCATTGACCTGAAGTTGAAACTAAAAAGTAAGAAAGCAGGAAAGTCGCAAAGTCGCAAAGTAGTTGCGAGATAAGCGATAAGAGAGGACCTTGGACGCCTTTCCTATAAGGCATCAAATGACATAATTGCCCTCATTGCCTGAGGCTTCCACCCCGCCCTGACTAAAACTGCGGTGCCACAATTCAAAGATTGTCCGCCAAGTGCTTTTCAGTGCTCTCGCTCTCCCAGACACATTCGAGTCCCATTCGAGTCCCTGCATTTCGGGGGTTCAAGCCTTCATTTTGTTTTATTTTTTTTTGATTGCTGGTTTCAATCGCCAAGATGTCGACCACTATTGAAAAGGTGAGTTGATCGCTCAGAATTTTGACCATGACGTCGCATGTCATTAACAGTGTCATTTCCCCAATAGATCAAAGAAATCGAGTCCGAGATGGCTCGGACTCAAAAGAACAAGAACACCTCGTTCCATTTGGGTACGCGCGCACACCCAGACACCCTTCCGACGTCATCGACATGATTTTTGACAACCTGTGCAGGACAGTTGAAGGCGAAGCTTGCTAAGCTCAAGCGTGAACTCTTGACGCCAAGTAGCGGAGGTGGTGGTGGCGGTGGTGGTAAGTACTCGTTTAAATACCTGAAAGATCGTTGCGGTTGCTAACTTGTGTCTTTAGCCGGTTTCGATGTTGCGCGTACTGGTGTTGCTAGTGTGTGAGTAACCTAACCAAGGACAGCAAAGAGTTTGCGATGGAAAAATACTCACAGTGCACAGTGGCTTCATTGGTTTCCCATCTGTTGGAAAGAGTACCCTGATGAATAAATTGACTGGCCAGCATTCCGAAGGTTAGTTGGAGAATGCCCTGCCCTTCACACGACAAATTCTAATGCATATCTTCAGCTGCCGCCTACGAGTTTACAACCCTCACAACTGTCCCCGGTCAAGTAATGTACAATGGCGCCAAGATTCAGATTCTTGATCTTCCCGGTATTATTCAAGGTGCCAAAGACGGAAAGGGTCGTGGTCGACAGGTTATTGCAGTGGCCAAGACTTGCAACCTTATCTTCATTGTTCTTGACGTAAACAAGCCATTGGTTGACAAGCGTGTCATCGAGAACGAATTAGAAGGATTTGGTATTCGGTGTAACAAGACACCCCCCAACATTCTGTTCAAGAAGAAGGACAAGGGTGGTATTGCCATCACCAGTACCCAGCCTTTGACTCACATTGACAACGATGTAAGACTTCCTCAGCACATTGGAGATTCTGGAGCACAGCTAACGAAGATGTCTAGGAAATCAAAGCTGTGATGAACGAGTATAAGATTTCGTCTGCCGATATCTCCATTCGATGCGACGCCACTATCGATGACCTGATTGATGTCCTTGAAGCCAAGAGCCGAAGCTACATTCCCGTCATTTACGCCCTGAACAAGATTGATGCCATCTCTATCGAAGAGTTGGATCTGCTTTACCGGATTCCCAACGCCTGTCCCATCAGTTCGGAGCACGGATGGAATGTTGATGAGCTGATGGAGATGATGTGGGACAAGCTCAGGCTGCGCCGAATTTATACCAAGCCTAAGGGCAGAGCACCCGATTACTCGGCACCTGTTGTGCTGCGTTCCTATGCATGCACAGTCGAGGACTTCGTAAGAACTACCTTTACATGACAAAGGAAAACCACAAACTGACCGCATTTAGTGTAACTCCATTCACCGCACTATCAAGGACGACTTCAAGCACGCTATCGTGTATGGTCGCTCCGTGAAGCACCAACCGCAGCGTGTTGGTCTTTCGCACGAGCTGGCCGATGAAGATATCGGTAAGTGGTCCCCGTATCTCCAATGCAACCATGAATTTGAAAACTGACTGGGTTACAGTGTCGATCGTCAAGCGGTAAAGGATTTGGCCACAAATCCTAGACCCCTACAGCCCGCGTGCGGAGCGGCGAGCTAATCCGAGCGGCGCTGGTGGCAGGTGGTCTGTGCCAGCATGTCCCTGCGCCTTTGGTATGACAGGCACACAGCTTCTGGGATAGCTCCCCGTAAGACGCCACCGTACTTGAGCGTGGTTGTATAGACTCGTTCCAGCACGGGCAACCAAGATGAATTTGGGGGAGACTTGAGTCACAGAGCTTCGTTGTGATGAGATTGATGGGTTGTGGGCGAGTAGCCTGCATGGCACCTGCGTACATCTTGGTGCCTCTCAAGGTATAGCATGACTCGGTTGGTGAACTCGAGTTAGGCGTGTGCCAGGGGTTACACAAGCCCAGGGGCATTTTCTGATGTCCTTGGCATGCGAGAGTCCTTTCTTTGTTTGGTAGTTGACGGAAGCGACCAGTCCATATTGCGATGATTACCCCTTCTTTTTTTTGTTCAAGGTTCTTTGTCATTTGTCTATGATTCCACCGAAAAGTTCTAGATCCGGGTCTTCACGGCAAGCGAGTCTATTCTTTCATACTTGCCGGGTGGCTTTTAGAAAAATCAAACAGTAATCGATGAAAAAAAAAACCAGCAGCCCAGTCATATATTGCTTTTGTTGCCCAATCCCGTTGGCTAATCTCAAACCCCAACTGATGGGGGAGAGCAGCCACATATTGCCCCTCTCCATGCACTAAATATGCACCTGCAAGAATTTTCCACGTTGAACCAATAGCTGCCCCGGGTTATATCAAAAATCGCTACAGAATCAGACGATACAACCTCTTATCGGTCCTGTATGGGTTCCAAAACCCTGAGGACGCCTGCATGGGCAATCATATCGAAGGTAATCCGATTGGCGTATTCCCATACATAATTCCATCCCGTCCTGTGCAGCATCCTTGCTAGTCATATGAATTCTTTGTATGATATGAGGATTGACAGTGTCTTTGCTTTTTTTTTCTCTCCATCCCGACCTGCGCCCAGGCTGACGAGTCAGGCATTGTCCAAAAGCCACAAGGTCTAGCCCAGGTCCTTCGTTTACTTCTGCCGATCCCGTACTTTTGTGTTAATTTCGAGGGCTGTCTCAGGTGTCAGATTTCGAAAGCTCCGAGATTGGAAAACTGATGGCTTCGAACGGGGGGAGGAAGAGCCGGAAAGGCAATTATGGTGTGCATGGGTCGACCCGCACTGACCTATAAGTTCGGCAACGGTGATCATGACGGGCCTCTTTTCGGTTGCGTGCGTAGACTTTGCGACCTAAAAGAGCGGTTTTAGAGCTGTATCCGATAGGTCGCTTAAAAATGGATAATACACCCAAGATTTATGATAGGGGGGTTTGCTATATCCACAATTGATCTGTCAACTCTGTCAACTACTGGCACGTTCTCTCTCTCCATACTCCGTACAGATACAGTAGTCCATTGCTAGCTTTTGGTCTTTCCGTGGGCCAGTTTTCTCGCTACCAAAAATTGAGAGGTAAACAAGGGACTAAGGATCTGCACGAGCAGACTAACCCAGTTCAAAAAGAAAGAGTGGACAGGAGGGAAAAGAAGAAAAGCAGGGAAAAAAGCAAAAAGTGAGGCGGACTAGGGCTAATGTATAAGGAGCGGTGAATGGTCGGGATGTCAACGGTTATCTGATCTCTGATCCCCATTCCCAGTCTGGAATGAATACTGGCACGCTAAGTGTAGTTTGCATCTTATGAACCGCAATTCTGTTAGTCAAGGTGGAGAATGTTCGATCTAGTCAAAAAAGCTCTTGAAGGGGGGCTGTTCACGATCTGGTCCGTTCTCAGATGCAAGATCGGCAGGATTCCCCAAGCTACTGCAAGCTATGTGTATCGTATGCTGCATACATCTGAATACATGTACCTTTATCAGGTGACTGTTCTGACACCGCTCTACTTTCTCTCTCGTGGAGAATCCAGCGGTTATCCCCGTCGCATTGCATTGCATTAGCCCATGCTCTTCCCCGGAGCCATGGCCCGGAGAGGCACGATTTTCCATGTGTGAGGTACCATCATGCCATGGCTGGTGTTACATCCGTGCGAAGCTTCAAATACTGGCGCAATCCTTCATTATTCAATCACTCCACAGTCCCACAATGTATGGCCGAGTAACAAAGAGGGAGTCTGCAACAATTGACACCTGACACGGAGATGGCCCGGACAGGATTTTAACGGGCTGTCGATCGGTACCTGGCTCGAATACCCTTGTCCACACCCTTTTTGTTTCCTTTGTGCCTGAGTTTCAACGGTAATTTCGCCCCGGAGCTTGATCATTGCCAAGAAATGACCGACCAGACAGAGAGAAGCAAATATGTGCACAGCCCGTCCATAGGCTGGCGATTTTAATCTTGACCGGTCTAGACTAGCTAGATACTTATTGTGCTCTTTGACGATATGGCTTTTGCAAGAAATTGCATTCTCCCCATTGGGGTCAGCCCACTTGCTGATCGAATACGATTTCGCTCCGGGCTACTAGTACATCCGATATTAACAAACTTGATTTTCGCTAGTCTTTTTTATTTTAATCCGATTACCTTCATTGCATAGCACGTTCCTTTTTCAGGCTGTTTTTGGCGTATCGCAAAATGGTAGTGTAAGCAAGATTGGGGCTGCGACCGAATCGGAGCCCCTGACAAGGTCAGACATACACTAGATCGAGGATGGGGTTAATTTGTCAGATACATGTCAGCTAATTCTTTTTGCACGTTGCTCTTGTCTTTTCTTTGTAGGTCAGACATTTCCCCCCGTGTGTTTCGAGAAGATGCCTCATTCAGAAGGGAATGAAACCGAGGCAGGCCAATTTCACATCCAGCCTCCTCGTGGTTTGGTTGAACAAGCGGGGAGGCTCTCGGGCCCGTATTGAAGTATGTCTAGACACCGTGTCCGAATGAAAATGCCGATATAGAGAAAGTATAGACGTCAGAGGCTATGATTTTACAAAGCCCGCAAAAGCCCCCTTATACTTCCCAGAGTTCCGTGCAGAGCGTAAAGGTTTCCGGGCCGGAGGGTACCGCAGTGGATCAAGTGGAGAAATGAAGGCTGAAAAAGTTAGCGCCAGAACTACGCATCATTGGGAGGTTCCCCTCTTCTCAGGGCTCCAACCACTTTGGAATATGCCTCTTTTGGCCTCTGATAGGTCAGTCCCTCACGACCGTGTTCGGCCCTTGTATCGGACGCTGGTATCAACCGTAGTTGATCCTACGAGGTCGATTCGTCCATTCCAATCATCCATGTTGTTCCTAATTTGCTATTTGCTCCTTTTTTTTTTTTTGCCGTGTCGTCTGTCTTTGCTATGAACCCTCAAGCAGATCGGCTCCTCCAGGCTCCATAATACTCTTCCCCCTCCAGGAATAGTCCCATTTGATGGCCAATCTGTGCAATCTAGGCATTTGCTCTGCCACTCCCTATCCTATTTACAGAGACCAAGACCTCTCGCACCTACCCTCAACTTTCTACGGGCACCGTGCCCCCCCCCCCCCCCCCTCTGAAACATATCACATGAGGTCCAAGATTTGAAAGTGGTTGGGTTTTGCCTTCTCTTTGGTTGAGTTGAGAAAGGCAAACTGTTGAATATCAACCACAGGGCCCGAATGAAAATGCCTTCTCTGCACTGCCGCTATCGTCGCTGCTCCCGGTCCACTTTGATCGCCCTCTACACGGATGCGATGCGGGCTTTAGGTTCGGCGGTTTCTCGATCCGCTCTCCAGTCCTAAGCAAATCAGCTACGATCTGGGCGCTTTTTTTCAGCGAACTCCATTCCACTCCCCGCGGATGATCTACTCTGATTTGACTCAGTCCTCATGGAGACCCCAAGCCTCGTTCAAGCGAGGCGAAAACGGCCAGCCACTGAAGGATTAGATACCCGTTATAGATTAGGAGGTGAGGGATATATGGTGTACGGTCACGCCGAAGCTGGCCCAAAGTGGGAATTGACTCCATATTGGGTATCGATGGTGACATTCACATATAGAGTGAACATGGGATGTACAGTGTAGACTGGAGTCCATCTCCAACCCCTGTTCAGGATGACCAGAGAAAATCAAAGCGAGCAGTGAAAATGACAGAAACAAGAAAAAGAAAAATGACAGTTCCATACCCTTACGCTGTAATACGACTTGGGCCTGACGAGATGCAACCCCTGCCGCAATATATCGCACCTCCAACCAACCAGACGCCGTTGCCCCCTCCATTTGCAGGGATCCTTTCGAAATTGCAAAATCATATTTTATTATATTTCTTTTTTGGATCATGTCGGATGGGCTTTTTCCTCGGACTACCCAATCAGAACCCAGGTCGGCTGGATTCCTCTCGGGGGAAGGTTATCATGGGTTTCTCCGGACTCTGGGCTTCTCGTGCCAGTTGCAATCGAGATTCAAGTTCTGTCAATCCACGCGATACTGATCGCCCTGGCCTTGGTGGCTCCCGATTTTCCTTTTAACTCCATTGCCTTACCCGCATGCGCACTTTTACCTCTTCTCTCCTGCATATTGTATACATTCCTCCCCTAGCTTGATAGCTCACAGTGATTTGATCCTTCTCGGGGCATTACCTGACCCTTCTTCTCTTGCTCAGGACCTCTCGGTAATTTGATACGGGTTGACAGAAGCAGTGGAACATGCATCGGCTCTTATTGTCTTACCCTTAGATTGTCTCATTGTTCCCCGGGATTTCCTTTGTCTTTCTTCTTGACGTCTGTTCCTTCTCATCTCGAGCCTATCAACGGCAAAAGACTCCATCGGTATAAAATTCAACCCACTTTGAAATTTGCCGTCCATGGAAGATCAATCCACCATGGAAACGGAGACTCATCATGCTCCAGATGGTGAATTCCCACATTCACCATGGGTGGAAATAGGCGCATTCTCCTCGCCTCAACATTCCCCCCCGATGCCGGAATATAATGGATTTGATTACGGCCCAGCGCCGCTCATGGCTGTGGATGCCTCCTACAACATGTCTATACCACCACCCTATGCTTCGATGCCACTTCCCATGCCTTCTCATTCTTGGCCCAGCATGCTCACCCACCACTCGCCTTTTCAAGAAGGTGGTCTTCCGCATGTATCCGCTCCGACTTCGGTATCGCCATCCGCTCCAATGCCCCCAGTACGAAAAACCTCAACTGGAGGTTCCACGCCACGCAGGACACTTACCGATGAGGATCGTCGCCAAATGTGCTTATATCACGAGGAAAACAAGACTGCCAAGCAGACTGATATTGGAGGTAAGATTGTGCATGTGTTTCTGCAGAGTCACGGGATTAACGCTGACTTTATCAACAGCATTGTTCGGTGTTGAAAGAAGGTACTTCTGCATCCCCCGGGGATGTCTTTGATGTAATTTAACGTGGGTTCTATTCTAGTACGGTTTCAAAGGTACTCCGCCAGAAGGAGAAATACCTCAACCCCGACGATGGGAGTCGATCTCCCATTAAACGGGCCAAGGGCAGAGTTCCTGACATTGAGAAAGCCCTATCTAACTGGGCGAGAAACTACCAACGCCAAGGTTACCCTTTGAGCGATGAGATGATTAAAGAGAAAGCTCTCTTCTTTGCCAGCACCTGTGGCTGCCCTGAAGGCAAGGACAAGGTCCTGACTGCAGCCTGGCTTGACAAGTTCAAGCACAGGAACAACTTGCTCGGTGCAAAGGTGCGCAGAGGGTCTGCCGATATACGCAGTGGATCAAATAGCCCAACCCGTATCAACACAGACTTCTCTACAGGCTCTGCCCTTCAAAGTCCCACGGGGCCTTCACCCTCCTCCCCGATCGATGGCTTTGGATCCCCACTGTCTCCAACCCAGAGCCAAGAAGGAATCAAACGGGACATTGCTGATGCACTACCCGAACTGACAGGGGGTTACCAACACAACTACTCCAAGAGTACGACGTCGCTCGACACCACCTCCTCGGCGGGCATGATTAGCCCAACATCAACCCTGGTCTCCGAAAGCCCCTTCACACCAACAAGCCAGTCGCGCCTCCCAGTTAACAGCCACAACAATAACCGCCCGCGCAGCCAGACCTTTCCACTAGTGCCAATCGACCCAACTCTTCTTACGGCAGATGCAACAATGGACCACCAGCACACGAAGCGTGAGCTCCAACAATCCCTTTCTGTTCAAACCCTACAATCCCCCCTGGAAATGGGCGACGACGAACCCAAGCCTATTGGACTGGACCAAACAAATGTCATCAAACGAAACCGCAGCAACCCAGAGATTAAGACATTTTCCATGCCACCCCCGTCAAAGTCAACCACCATCTCCCCTATCAGCTCTCCAGGCTCTCCAACACAAGACGAGGCCCGCCGGGCCTTGGAACTAGTGATGAGCTACTTCGAGCACCAGCCTGCTGGTCTTGCCGCACAGGAGTATCTCACCATCGGCAAGCTAATGGAGCGATTGGAGCTCGCTAAGAGCCAATCTGCCACCCTGTTCAGTGGCTTGCCGCGCATTGATGAGCACGAAGATATTGCTCCGCGGGTGACCAAGAAGAGAAGCATCCATAACATGGGTTGATATACTTCATTGTTGCATTCATTTCTAGCCCCTGGTTACGAACGTTACACCCTACCACTATTCTATTTTTGCATTCTAGGTTTCCCCAGTCAAATTGGCTCTAACCTAGATTTTCCTACACGAATTCCCTTCCCCCCACGATTCCCCCTTCCCGTTCAATTCGGTTTACGTCTTTCCTTCTCTTCTCTCACCATCCAGGGTGGATTCTTTGTTTCTTTTGCTTTGCCTTTTGCCTTTTGCTCCCATATATGCATGCCGTTGTACGGACTTCTCTCTCTCATTTGGTCTCTCTAGCCAGTGAAACCAGGACAAGAATTCCTGGCACAGAAACACCCCCACTAAAAAAAAACATACAAATATCCAGAGGGCGACCTCTACTCTTTCTTCTGTTGGAATGGAACGGATTTGGCGCACCACTCTCATGCCCGAGCGATGTCTACGCGTACATGGGGATATGGCTGGAACTTGGTGGTATACGGATATGGGCCTTGGACCTGGGAGTCTCTGCTTTTCTTCGGGGTTTGCTTTTTTACTTACTTTTTTTTTGTCTTTCCCGGTTTCTTCGATTCGGTCTATTCCCCCCTTGTTGCGCTTTTTTTTTTTTTTGCAGTTACCGTCTTCTTGCATACTGTTCCCCCTCCTACCCCCTCCCTACCTTGCAACCCTTGTATTGCATCTATTCTTACGCTCATTTTCCCTATTTTAATTCTTCTCTTCTCATTTAATTTCTTTAAACTGGGCCCGCTCACGCGGAAAGAATTAATGTTGCTAGGTCCGCTTATACATGAACTGGCATGTCAGATTAGTTTCTTTATCACCTCTGTTTTTTTCTCTCTCCTTTCTTTTTCTTACTTTCCTTTACCTTGGATCTCCTATATTATACCCCCACCTTCCATACCATGTTGTTTATCTTACAATCTTACTGCGGTTTTTTTGAGTTTGAACTTATGCTGGTCATAAGTAGGGCATATCTCATTAAAGAATTTAAGTATGGTGCTAAAAACAAGACCACGAGACAAGAAAAGTCTAACTACACCAAAATACCGGCCGGATACCGAGACCGAAAGACTCTAGCAATAGAATGCAGGTGGTACTGGCGCCACCCCACGGTCCTCCAGTAGATCTTCCACGCTGTGCTCAGATATCTCAGGGAGGACCTTAGCCAGCACGGTCTCAATAATGGAATAGATCAGATGTTTGTTGCAGTATGCATCCGCGAAGACGTCAAGGATATCATTCTCGATCGTATCCAGGATGTACTCTTCCTCGAGATCAATCCCATCCGGCTGGTCATCTGTGCGCAGCCGCTCAGCGGCAAGGTAACCACTCCCACCAGGCAAAGCTGGAGATGAAGCCGAATGCGAAAGCGATGACGACAGGGTTGATACCTTCCCCTGCGACGCAGGTGGGGACTGGCTGTCCCCACCGTCCGCTGTGGAAAGAGGTGGGGAGGAAGAGGCCGTGGCAAGGGAAGGTGAACTGTTGGTGCTGCAGGTACGATCACCGCTACAGGGCGGAGGCGCCGACGAGGAAACACCAAAGAAGGTTCGTGCGATGCTGCGCGGAATTACGGCCAGGAGACTAGCTGCACATCGCCGCTTGATAGCAGCGATCTCCGTATCGGATGGGCCATTCCTTTTCTCCGGCTCAGCGGGCACGTGTGTTGATGTTGTTGTTGGGGCATCGGCTGCAATGGAAGAAAGTGACGCTGGGCGGGCTGATGCTGTCGTTGTTGAGGTTGGACCCCCGCCACTGCCGCCACTATTGCTGTTACTTTCGGGATTAATGTATTTACCAATGGTATCGCTTGTTGCAGGTCCCCTAACTCCTTCTGTAATTGGAGTACCAAGTGAGGCCGTGGTTGCGAGGGCTTTCTGACTGGTGGCCGGGGCCTGTGGCGGAGCCGAAGCCGGAATTCCAATACTCACGACTACTTGAGATGACGGGCGGGTATTGGCTGGGAACAAGGCGGTCCTTGTCGCAAGAAGAAGGTTGGGCAACAAAGTGGGGGTCAGCACGTACTCCTCAATGGTTTCCCGAAGGAATCTGTGGAGTTAGCACGGTTTCTCAAATGACGTCGGAGTAATTTAGCCAAGTAGGGGCCGTAAAAAAGAAAAGAAAAAGTGAAGCGAAAATGCCTCTCGACTGTGGAGCACTCGGGACGTTGTGCCTTTTTTTCTCGCTCAATTTTAGAGCGAAGTTCATCAAATGAGAACCGGCCGTAACCAAGTGGGGAGAGGCGGAGCAAGATCGGCTTAGGCAGAGATGAGGGAGCTTGGGCCAGCGACAGGGATGCTTTTCCTAAGAGGAAATGAAGCCCCTCTTCAGCGGCTAACATCCCGTACCTGGGGCTTCATGCACGAACCTCGGTCAAGTTGCGAAGTTGCAATTTCGCTCATTGGCCAAAACCCGGTAATTCACTAGCCTCGGTCAGGGCTTCTTTTTCATGCGCCTAAAAGGCGCATCGTGCTTTTTAGGATCGGCGTCGACTTTTCCCCTCATAGTCCCTTAAGTTGCGATCGACATGCTTCCAGCCATATGTGGTTTTCCAGTTCACATCTCGAATCATATGCTTTGATAGTTGGACATGAAGTGGAAGAGCGGCACGGAAAGGCCCGGCCCCCGGAACAAACAGAAGATGTGAGCAATCTCCTGGGGCTCGGACCAGTTTGATCACAGCCAATCAGAGGACAGGACAGCCCTGTCAGCCTGACAGTGACCATACAGTAATTCTCGTAATTGCATCGTATCAAAGTTACAGATCAAGTGACCGACGCAGCATGCGAGCAAGACGCTTCTTGTTCCACCGTGGCACAGGTGACACCACCTGGATCGTGGAAGCACCCTTGCTCCACAGTCGAGTATCATTTTCAAGGTTGCAGAGGGTACAGGAGGGGAAGAGGGGAAAAAACAGGAATAGAAACTCACCTATCAAGGACTCCGTTGGTACCACCAACCCTGCCTGGGCCTGCCAGAATCAAATGCTGGGACAAAGCGAACAGCCCACTCAGCCATGGCATCCTCCAGGGAATCCCCAGAGTCTCTGAAGCCATGGAATACACCCGATAGTCGAGAACCGGGCGCTTCCCCGTGACGCTGTCTGGTCCCGTTCCATCTATCTTTTGATTAATGGGTGAAGAGGCGACTGAAACATTGAAACCGTGCGAGGACGGGCCTGGACTCGATACGACACGGAACAGACCTATGAAAATGAAACGCAAAGCAACGTAACCAAGATAAATGCTCTGCAGAACGTTCCATATCCAGGCTGTGGCTGAGAATGACGCCGATGGCTGATTCGCGGACTCGTCTTTTTTTGGTAGCAAGCCAAATTTCTCTAATCGGTTGATTTGAGAGTCCGGGGCCGACTTTGCATCCTCTGAGGTTTGACGTTGTCCCACTCTCGCGGCGAGTTTGGTTACAGTTTCCCAAATGAACCACCCTTCGCATGCTCTACCACTGATTTGATTTCCGAGGATCAGGTCTGCGATGACATCGACGACCAGCGCTCGCACACTGCTGTTCTCCAGATCCTCGGTTGGAAGGAGAACTGCCAGGGCACTGTTGGCTAAGAGCTGCCGATACACTGTTTCGTTCTCACTCTGCTCCGCAATCGTATCTGGGTCTGTTGGATCAGGCACCGGAGAAAGACCAGGATGTGGATTTAGCTCATGATAGAGTGCACGGTGCGACGTCTGTAGTCCTGAGAGATGCGACCGTTGCCTGGCCAGTCTGTACGCTAGAAGGCAGAGTTAGTACAGGCTTCCCCTGTCCACGGAACAACCATGGTAGCCGAGGAGAAAGAGTTTGGAATAATCAAATCTTACAGAGTACATGTGCTTCCACCAGTCCGGGGATCTCATCCAGGGCTAGTTGGGCAACATCGATTTGGCGTAGTCTTTGCTCCAAAGCACGTGTACAATGAGCGATGACTTGTAGCACTTCATTCACCAAAGCTTGGTCGGGGGTGATTTTCGAGTACCACGAATAAACGAACTCTTTAATTATTATAGCGATTAGGGCGTACAGCTGACGGTCAACGTCGTTGGAGCTTGTGAGGGGAGGTAACAGCTCTTCCGGAGGCTGTGGAGAGGATGCCCCATAGCTGCTTGTCTGGGGACATAGGACGCGTCGGATCAGGGCATTCGTCGCCCGGTCACTCGTCGCATCCACTGATTCATCCTTGTTGGTCTTTTTCGTTCGGAGTCGAGAGGACGGACGCGAAGGAGGCTGCAGTGTCGTCGCGGAGGGCAGCGCAGTGGATCTGGAGCTGGAGGTTGTCGCCCCAGCCTTGAGGTGGGAAATCGGCTGAAGCCCTGAGCGAAGAGGATCGTTCATCTCATTTCATGTGGACATCTCCAGGATGGCCCATTTAGCAAGAAATATAGAGCTTTGTTGCCCAGTTGGAGATAGTCGACCAAGTGACATCAAACTTGTTGATGGCTAAATCGGGAAACTAGGGCATAGGGCTGGACTCGTAGATAAGGCTTATCTCATGCGGGGATCTTGTTTACTTGCGATGTCGAGACAATCTTTATCCCCAGTTCTCTATTCCCTTGACAATGTTATATCCTATGAATACAGACAGTCCTATTCCACTGTGGTTGGACTGTGATCCTGGTCAGTCAATATGACCTTTCATAACCGCAACATACTGACCATTACTTTCAGGACATGATGTAAGCCTCAAAGATAGGCACCGAAACCGATACTGATAGAATGATCCAGGATGCATTTGCTATCTTATTAGCCGCCCATCATCCATCTCTTCATCTGCTTGGAATCAGCACAACTCATGGAAATGCATCTCTAGAGAAGACAACCGCCAACGCAGGAAGCATTCTGGAAGCCATCGGAAAACCCGAGATTCCCGTTTATCCCGGTAGCAAGAAGCCTTTCTCGCGGCCTGCTCTGCATGCACCTGATATCCATGGTAAGCTCAATCCGACTCAGGGATTCATGTATATCGCAGGCTGACCTGAGTCTTTGCCAGGCGAATCGGGTCTTGACGGAACCGACCTTCTCCCTAAGGCGTCTAGAGCGCCCATCACTGATAAAAACACTATTGTGGCCATGAGAGATGCGCTTCTCGCGCAGCCCAAGGGTACTCCGTGGGTCGTTGCAACCGGAACCTTGACAACGGTTGCTCTGTTATTTGCAACATTCCCTGAGGTGGTCGATCACATTCAGGGACTAAGTCTCATGGGCGGTGCCATCGGTGAGGGATTCACTGATGCCCCCATGAGCAGACTTCCAGGCGAGAAGTCTAGAATCGGCAATGTAACGACATGGGCCGAGTTCAACATCTATGTATGTTTGCCCTCTCCGGGTATGTTCCACGCTTCTCCGCCAGCATGTCTAACAAAAATGGCCAATAATGGCCAATATAGTGTGACCCTGAGTCCTCGGAGTCAATTTTCAGCAACCCTGTTCTTGCCTCAAAAACTACCATTGTTGCCTTGGATCTTACACACCAGGTCCTAGCATCACAAGCTGTTCAAACTCGCATCTTGCATGGCTCGACTCGTTCGAGCCAAGAGCCTACAGTTCTTCGCCGGATCTTGCACGCACTACTTACATTCTTCGCTGCGACTTATGAGAAAGCTTTCGGGCTGACAACGGGACCTCCACTGCATGACCCTCTTGCCGTGGCTGTGATCTTGTCGACTTTGAACCCAACCTTTGCTAACAAGCATCCTAACCAAGCTCTTGCCTTTGATGATAAGGGGGGCGAACGATTTCATCTCTGTATCGTCACAGACGGCAAGCATGGTAAAGATAGTTCGGTGACTGGTCAGCTGGGTCGTTCAATCGCCACTCCTGTTCAGGGTCCAGGTGTTGCTATCCCTAGAGGCGTTGACCTGGATGCCTTTTGGAATATGATTTTGCAATGCATCCAACTGGCCGATGATTGTAATTCGACACGGAATTTGTTGAAGGTCTAGTGATAGATTTCGCATCTTTATGAAGCTTTCATTTCTTTTACATACTTACATTTGTTAAAATGCATATATTGTCAAGACGGATGATTTGTTAGATGGACACCAGAGAAGATAAAATTGTATAGAATTGATTGTCTGTGGCATGCCTGGATATCTTCCACTATCTTAATGCATATCATGGTTTCAATTCAGAATGGAGACAGCATGACACATGCGCTGCTATGCAAATGACCATATGAACCAAACATATGAGCGAAAGTACCACTCTCAAATAGACCCGTCAGGACCAAAGAGCTCTTTTGGCTGCCAAGCAGAAGTATTCTGAGCCACACGTCGAACGACTTCCTCGTCAACTTCAATTTCCATCCCAGGAGCTTTCAAAGCTTCAACATATCCATCCTGTACAATCAAGACTTTTGGATCTTTGAAATAGCTAGTAATATCATATTCACCAGCCTCAAGATTATAATGCATTCCGGTGTTCATCTCCTAAATGACAAAATTGGGAATCGAAAGATGCGCCTGCATACAAGCAGTCAGTGCGATAGGTCCCAGCGGACAATGAGGCGCAATAGCAATATTATTAGCGATACGACGCAACTCTGATATACCACCGCAGTGACTGATATCAGGCTGCAAGATATCCACGCTACCATCTTCCAAGAACCGCTTAACATCCCAGCGACTATACAACCTCTCGCCAAGGGTGATAGGGCAAGAGACCTGCTCAGAGAGTTGCTTAATTCCCTCAAGATTTTCCGAGAGAAGCGGTTCCTCAAGGGAAAGTGGACGGTGTGGCTCCAAAGCTTTGGCTAGTTGCTTAACCATTGGTTTATGTAAACGACCATGGAAATCAAGCGCCGCATCCATGCCAAGCGCCTTGACAGTCTTCAGACGCTCAACACTTGAGTCCAGCACACTTGGAGAGTCAAGTCAGTTGACATCCTCGGTTGCATTCATCTTGATAGCCTTGAAGCCCTGCGCTTGGCGAGCCTTCGCTGCTTCGCCAATATCGGCAGGACGGTCCCCGCCGATCCAGGCGTAGACTGAGATCTTGTTGCGGACTTTCCCACCTAGCAGCTAATGCACTGGTGCACCTAGACGGTAGCGTTTTAGGTCCCAGAGGGCAATGTCGATGCCGGAGATGGCTGACATGAAGATTGGGCTACCGCGGTAGAAACCGAGGCGCCATGCCATCTGCCAGATGTGCTCGATATTACTGTTGAAAAGGGTAATTTCTTCAGTTTGCCAGTATGTGGATGCAAGCACGACTTACTCGTCTTCGTAGCCCTCGAATCTCTTGCATAGGGTGTTCAAAGTGCCTCCCACTGCTTCGATGTGACCTTCAAGAGTACTTTCACCCCAGCATATTGATCTTCTTCGTCAGTAATCTTATCGGGGCCATCGAGGCAAGACTCGGAAGTATTCGATGCTTTTGATGTTCACCATATTGTAATTTATGTCGTCTCGGGTCTGGAAAGCGTACGTTCAATATGAACTGGCTGTAGAGGGAGAAAAGACAATTCCCAACTCATCTGGCAGCGAACAAGGTCAGGAAACTCGGACTTGCTCCGTATGAAGCGACATCCGGATTGCCGACACGGAGAGCCGGGGAGTGTCGACAGGAGCGATGTATAAACTCGGCATCTCACTCGTTCGGCGTTGCAGATAGTGTGCACAGGGGGTCCACGTTCCCCGGCACTTTTGTCTTTAGCTTATTTTATGGAAGTATCCTAGCCCTGGCTGATTTGCGTAGATGTCAAAAGTGAAGGGAAGTCAAAAGGCCGGTTGAAAGGAGGGACGTCATACGTTAAACTTCTCCACAGACTTAACCACTCCACACACAATATCTCGTTCCTTTCATCTTTGTATAGTTTGTGACTCTTGATCTTTGATACTTTGGCCACTGCATGGCAACCCTTGTCGATCTCTTCATACTCCCTAACGGCGGATTCCGACCATGCCTCCGAATTCCTCAGTATGTTCCCCTGTTTTCTCCCTGTTCACCCTGCCAACATCGCTAATCATTTCACTCCTGTAGCCTAATACTGCTCTCAGTCCAATAGACCTCCCGCAATCCTCTCCTAATTCCCCCGAGCAAACCGATAGCGCACACGATGACAACGTGAACTTCCTGCGATCGCGACCAGCCCTTTTCAACCCTTTACTACCCTCTTTAAGTCGACATCGTCGGCGTCGCTACCCACCAAACCCAGCCCCCGAAACCTCAGATCGCATGGAGGTTGACGACCCCCCAAGCAACCAGCGCGCGTCGGTTGAGATCAACCGTCGCATCCCTATCGTTCGCCGCGGAGAACCCCCGACCGAGATGCCAAACTACGAGGGTCGCATGGCAAATCCACGGTCGTTGTATGGCTGGGCGCCTGGGTCCGACGATGAAGATGCTCCCGGTCAAGGCGACGAAGAATCAGATGACGACCAGGTGCAGCCATTTCTCAACGCCATCTCAACCCGCGACTCGGCCCCATCGCGACCTTTGCGACACGAGACTTCAGGTCCGTCACCACTGGTAGAAGCAGGACCGGAACTCGATGCCTTGGCCGCCCGTCCTCGATCCAGGCAGCCACCAATCTCAGCAATGGCAGCACTGCTACAGTCCGCAAGACGCCAGCCCCGGCTCTCACGAACTCGCACTCTCGAAAATTACCTACTGGAACGCTACTCAGATCAAAGTCAGGAATCAGAGGACCCCGATCACACGGTGGCGTCTGCATCTCGCGCTTACCGCTATCGTCCTTCCAACCGCACCGACTCCCATAATACCCTCACACATAACGACCTGCGCGCTCGCGCTGCCGCTCATCGCCAGTTACATTCTGATAGCTTCTCCAGCAATGTCTTGAAAGAAACGATCAACTACCTCGACCGCCTCCGGTACTCCACCTCTCTCGAAGAGAGCATGCTCGCCGCCGCTGACAGCCGGTTACCTTTCGATATGGACAACAAGTCATGGACAGATACCGATTTCATTCTCTATACCCCCAATATTGCGCCTCCGCCGGAATGTTCATGGCTTCGATCTGGTATGGCCTTTTCGGGCTGTCAGCGAGCTGCGAGCGCCGGGTGCTCAGTATTACCGCAACGAGTAGCTAGTTCGCACGCCCCTGGTGAACCGGTTATTGTGAATGGCAGTGACAGTGCTCGGATCAGCGTCTCTACCACCAGTGGTCGCAGGTATTTGGCTAACAACCGTGATGAAAATTGGCCCGTCAAAGTCACCATCCATGACATCAATCACGATGACATGACTTTGTCTGGAACGATGGAGGCCTACAACATTCCTGACAAAACGTCGCCTACCCACGATGCACACATTGTGACGTTCTTGGAGGGAGAAATCATCGATTTCAACAAGCACACCCTGGAGACCAAGAACTTCAAAGCAGATGCCGATATTGACAGTACCTACTGGCGAGAACTGCAGCCATTCAAGGATCTGACAGATGGAGAGATGGCTCAGAAGCTTGTGAGCCGAAAGTGGATCACAGAGGAACTATCTCAGGGTTGGATCTTGATGCGATGGAAGGGTAAGTTCCCATGCGAAGACAACACACTATTGCTCGTGCGTTACTAACTTCCCTAGAACGATGCTTCGTCACTCCCACCGACGCCCGACAAGGTCTGACAATCTCTGGGTTTTACTACATTTCCCTTCGCCGCGAGGATGGGCATATCGAGGGTCTATATTACGATCCCGGAAGCTCTCCTTATCAGCAGCTTTCTCTGAAGCCACAAAGGCCGAAAATGATGAGGCCCTCTTATGGATTCCGCTAAAGCAAATTCATTTGTGCACATCTTCTCTTTCTCGGTTTCTACTCTACTTTGCTTTTGGCACAGAATAGTCTTCTGGTCCTGTTTCTTTGAACATTTAGTTTGTGATTCGGCGTTTGGGTTCAAATGTCATATGGCATCTGACATGGTCACATGACTCTTGCATAGGTGGTGTTGCTTTTTGCTGTCATCTTGGACAGCTCTGCATTATTGTCGCGGAACAAAATGGTCACTCTGGAGTGATTATACCTTGGTTCTGTTTTCTTCTTGGGTCTCCATCTCCCCTGCACTGTTATGTTCTGTTTGCATGTATGAATTTAGGAGCTACGGTCTTTTTTTGGCTACTTTTTCTTCTCTATCATGGAATATTGGCTCATGATTGATTCGTTCTTCGCATATATGATTACACACAGCATATCGAATAACGACTTTATGTCTTCAGCAAGGAACATTTTGAGCGAAGTTCAGGTTGGCCTTAAGCTCCTTGGGAAGCTGCTCGCTACAGATCTCGTTTCGGTTGTATTCAGCTATGGGCTGTTCATTTCCAGAACCATCCCTACGTACAAGTGCTTTTGCATAAAATCTGCTTTTTTCTAGCCTCGGTTCACTTGCCGGTATACATACAAGCTGACATGGTAAACTGCCCCCAAATGGTCAACTCCTATCATGGCAATGTGTTAGTAGACATCTGCATTCACAGGCCCATACCTTTAGTAGTAAGCAGACATGATTCAAGAGAAACGCGGGGCTCTGCAAAGTCCATGAAATTTCGACTACCCACTATACTACATTGACCTGTCGGCTCAGTAATAAGGTCCGGGGTCTGATCGCGAGTGGACTCGGATACAACTGCCCTGAATCTCTCGGTGAAATCACCCAATCCGAGCCTGATCTCGGCATAATCCACCTATCAACCCTCTGCAGAATAGACCCGATAAGAGTGCTCAAACTAGGTTATCGTTCTGTAGTATATAGTTTACTCCCAATTACCACGGGTTGAAGTATAACTTACCATCCCGTTGTGCAACTCTATTTTCACTGGGGTATTCATCGAGTTATGCGTGTTAGTACAAGCCCGTATATTGATTATTCCTCATTCTTTATCGTTTTATATGCTTGGCTTCGCACTTGCAAAAGCCTGTACTCTATACAGCGCTGTGGACCTGAGACATGTGGGGAAACCTCGGGCATGGTGGCGGTGAACTCCGAGTGAAGGTAGCTCAATCACTAGCTTGTGGTGACGTATCAAGCTACTCATTTCTAAACGTAATAGATGAACATGAAGATATCAGTGCAATTGACCAAAACGCGGGGAAAGGAGAATAGATATCTAGTTCGCCTAAACTATACGCATGTACTTGCCCGATCAAGTCAAATCGGATTGTCCGGTTACATGGCCCTGACGATCTTTGTCTCTTCGAATTGTTATCTGGACGAAATTCGCCGTGCAGCGGTGGGTCGATGGATCGCCATGCTCATGCCGGGACTATTTATTCCAATTGAGTCCCCGGTCGCTGGATTCATTTTAAATCCGTTGAAATGCATCTGCAGCACCTTTCAGCTTTGGCCGCGATAGCAGGCTGTATTGTTCAGCCTGTGGTCGGCGCACCCCAGAAGACCCAGGAAGGAACCTGCAAAAAGACCAAAGTTGCCATCCTGTGAGCTTTCTCTCAGTTTGCAGTGCCATTCAAATGCTCACATTGCTCAGGGGAGGTGGTGTGGCTGGTATAACCGCAGCCGTGAGTCTCGCATCTCTTGAGTGTTGGAATTTCAGCTGACCCGCCATAGCAAACATTAAGCAATGCCTCGGTCCACGACTTCGCGATCATCGAGTACCGCGACACAGTCGGCGGCCGAGCCTGGCACAAGCCCTTCGGCAAAGACAAAGATGGCAAGCCGTATATCATCGAGATGGGCGCCAACTGGGTATGTCTTACAAACGCACGCACAAAAGTTTCCCACTAACAAAGTGCAGGTGCAAGGCCTTGGAAATCCCGGCGGTCCACAAAATCCCATCTGGGTCATGGTGGGTCGTCTAATTTTTGTCTCAGATTCAGCTGTTCGATCCCGCTGATCTTCGAATAGGCTCAAGAGTATGGGCTGAAGACCCACTACTCGAACTACGACAACGTTTCCACCTATAACCAGCATGGCTATTCTGATTACAGTGATCTGCTGGATGCCTGTGATGAGGCCTATAGCATTGCTAGCGCGAGGGCTGGTGAAATCCTCACTCAGAACTTGCAGGATCAGACGGCCAAGTCTGGTCTTGCTTTGGCTGGCTGGAACCCCAAGCCGCATGATATGGAGGCGCAGGCTGTTGATTGGTGGTCATGGGGCAAGTCCTGTTTCCTCGTACACTCGGTGCATAACACTGACATTGGACCAACCAGACTTTGAGGATGCATATTCTCCTCTGGAGAGTTCTCTTGTATTCGGCTGTGCGGGCGATAACTTGACCTCGAACTACTTCAGTGACCATGACAACTTTGTTTTGGATCAGCGTGGATTCAACCACATTGTCAAGAAGCAGGCTTCATCTTTCCTTAGCAAAAATGATCCCCGTCTCCACTTGAACACTGAGGTTACAAACATCACCTACTCAGACCACGGTGTCACTGTGCATAACAAGGATGGTAGCTGTGTCGAGGCCGACTACGCTATCTGCACATTCTCTCTGGGCGTCCTGCAGAACGACGCCGTCCAGTTCTCCCCCGAATTACCAGTCTGGAAGCAGGAAGCCATCCAAAAGTTCACCATGGGTACCTACACCAAGATCTTCTTCCAATTCAACGAGACCTTCTGGCCCGAAGACACTCAATACCACCTGTACGCTGATCCAGCCCAGCGTGGCTGGTACCCAATCTGGCAATCCCTCTCAACCCCCGGCTTCCTGCCAGACTCAAACATCATCTTCGTAACCGTGACCAACGAATTTGCCTACCGCGCCGAGCGCCAGTCAGACGAGCAAACCAAGAAAGAAGCAATGGAAGTCCTGCGCAAGATGTTCCCAGAGAAGGACATCCCCGAGCCAACGGCATTCATGTACCCGCGCTGGACATCAGAGCCCTGGTCCTACGGCAGCTACTTCAATTGGCCTCCTTCCACCTCTCTAGAGATGCACCAAAACCTGCGCGCAAACACCGGCCGGCTGTGGTTCGCCGGTGAGGCTACTAGCCCGACCTTCTTTGGCTTCTTGCATGGTGCATACTTCGAGGGACAGGATGCTGGCAGACAGATCGCTGCTATCATGCATCACCACTGTGTTAACGCTAACTCGACTAAGCTGAGGGAGTGTGGCCCTCGTAAGCATTATGAGACCTTGCATGGTACTTCGCCTTATTCCGATTATACTATGCTTAATGGTTGGGCTGTTAGTAGCTTTATTGATACCAACACTGATTAAGTGATACATGTACGTGGCATTGATTTCGGAGGGGTTTTTGTACATGAACTCAGCCTTGTGTTTGATATAACTCAATATTACACCATATTAGAAATATGCAAATATGATATTTTCGATCTTCATTCCAGGCGACAGACTAGCTAGAAAACCATAGAAAGATTCCAATGGCTTTTCTTGACACGGTTGCCTTGTAGGTGAACCAGCCAGAATATGCAGTAAGCGTCAAAGATCCGGCAGCGGTGCGATCCGTATCGCGCCATGGCGGAACCGAGCGCTCTACGAATTTAATATACCCAAACAAGCTAGTGACGTCGCATTGCTTATCAGATCAGAATGACTCATTATCTGATCGTCTCAACCCCGGGTCTTTGTCGCGTCTATTTAGATCCCAGTTTGCCCTCGATGGTGTAAGCAGAAATCTACTTATATTTCAGCATTGAATCATTATCACACATTACCATGAATCCAAAACCAAACCATGAGCCCAATGACACAATCACAACCGCACCCTCGATAGAACTTGGCTCAATTCCAGCCCCGGAAACCAAACACGATGACCCGTTCCTAGTGACATTCACGGAACCATTGGATCCCGAAAATCCAAAAGACTGGCCAACAAGCCGCAAATGGGCCGTGACAGATGTCCTCTCTGCAACCGGCTTCAACCGCATAATGGTATCGACCATAATGGCGCCTGCTCTGTCAACCATCGCCAAAGAATTCGACATGTCATCAACCGAGTCGGCTATGGCTCTTTCAATCTACCTCCTGGCCACTGCATTTGGACCTTTATTTATTGGGCCACTGTCAGAAGTCTATGGAAGGAGATCTATTCTTCACGCCTCGAATATATGGTTCCTGGTTTGGAATATTGCTTGTGGATTTGCTAATAGCAAGGAGATTTTGATTGCTTCTCGCTTTTTGGCTGGGTTTGGGGCTAGTGCTATCTATGCACTTGCTAATGGTGTCCTTGGAGATGTATGGCGGCCTGAACAGCGTGGGAGGTCTTTGGGCATGTATTTGTTGATTCCACTTTTGGGTGCTGCCGTTGGTATGCAACCCCAAATTCAACCCCTTTTTGGATAAAGCGAAATGCTCACATTGAAGAAAAGGTCCCATAATCGGCGGCTTCATGGCCGGCCGCACAACCTGGCGCTGGATGTTCTGGTCGACATCAATCTTCCAAGCCGTAATGATCTTGGTATCATTCACAGCGTTCAAGGAAACCCACGCGCCCTCAATCCTACTCCATCGTGCAAAGACCCTTCGAAAAGAAACGGGAAACTCCCAATATCAAACAACAGATGAACGCCTTCACGCCAACAAATCCCCAACCAAAATCCTAGCCCGGGCACTCATTCGCCCGATCAACCTTCTATCCTTCCACCCAATCATTCAAATCACATCCTTGATCTCCGCCTTCTACTACGGAATCCTCTACATAGTCCTCTCAACATTTTCAGATCTCTGGATGAAGCAATACAAGCAAACCGTCGAGATAAGTGGACTACACTACATATCCTGCGCTCTGGGCGAAATAGCAGGAAGTCAGATTGGTGCTAAGATGATGGATGCTCTATACCGTCGTCGGATATCCAATTCCGATTCCAACTCCAGCGAGCACGTCCCCGAATCCCGAATACTCCTTGTCTTTCCCGGTGCACTCATCGGTCCTTTGGGTCTGTTCCTATATGGATGGGCAGCTCAGGCACGACTGCACTGGGCTATCGTTGACGTTGGGATCTTTTTCGCTATGCTTGGCATGCAGATTACTGGTCTACCGATGACGGCGTATGTTATGGAGGCTTATCCAGAGTATACGAGTAGTGCTGGTGCTGCGTCGCAGTTTGTACGGAGTTTGACGGCATTCCTTTTTCCGCTTTTTGCACCCAGGTTGTATCAGGCTCTTGGGTATGGTTGGGGGAATAGTACTATTGCGTTTGTTGGGTTGGCTTTTGGGGTTCCGGCTCCTTTGATAATTATATTTTTCGGCGGAAAGCTTAGGGCTAGGGCGAGGTCGATTCTTTGATGTGGATTTAGTATTGAGTGACGGTGGAGACAGGTGATGATTGGGGGATATTTGGTTGTCGCGAGAGTCTATGTACTACACTGTTCCCCTACGCCCATATACCCGTATTCGTATTCATGAATTTCAAATCGGTGCCTATCTAATGGAATATTTTGCTTTTGCTTCGTAGCAAAGGCCCGTAAGACCTGAAGATGATTGGTATGGGGATCATGACTGCAGCCAAACAGCCAAGTAAGGTTCCAGCCCATTGCACTCCCATGTTTTGAAACATCTGTCTCGAAAACAATGGAAAGCCTGCAGCGACTGCTGATCGAAGCATGATATTAGAAGCAACAGCTGAAGCAGCACTGTAGTGAAGTTTGTTAGCGACGGGGCATATACTGTGAATAATCAATGACTTACATGGGCAGATAAGAATCAACGAGATAGTTGAAACATGGAAGGAAGATGCAAAGAACGCCAAATCCAATGAAGATACCAGCCGCAGCGGGTGCCGCCCAGTGAATGGAGGATGTGAATCCAGTCCAGCCGAACCTGTAAGGAATGTGTCAGAATAGGTTGACCTGATATAGGTGTCTTGGACTCACCAGAAAAGGCCAATTGTAAAAACAGGTGCGCCCAATAGTGTCGGCGCTAGACGCCATTCGGGTACTGCAACACCCTTGTTCTCTTCCAGTTTCTTCGCATATGTGACCTGCTGAAACAGGATGAATGAACAGGCAAGCACAACACCAATACTGAGTCCAATGAACATAAGACCCGCAATTCCAGGAGACATGCCGTAAACATGCTCGAAGACAAAGGGGTATGCCTCAAGAAGAGCATAGACAAGGCCATAAATGAACGACATGTACAGCGACACCACCAAGATAATCGGCTCTGTGAAGAGTAGCCTCACGGGTCGTGTGAAGTATTTCTCCACGAGATCTGCCACATCAATCTCGAGTTCTTCCTGCTTGGCACGTATTCCCCAATTTCCTGATTCCTTGCGAATAGCAGCAGCTTTCGTCACAAGAAGACAAGGCGGATAAGTCTCACTCAAGAAAACGACACTGATAGCTCCATTGAAAAGACTAAAGATGGCCGGGATATAAAGAGTCCATCTCCAACCTAGATAACTGGAAGCGATAAAGCCACCAGTAAATGGAGCAATAAACGGTCCAAGAAAAACGGTCAAAGCATACAGCGAGATCGCAGCACCACGAGTGGCATTGCTATACAAATCCGCCAGTACACCAGGCACAACAGTCAACTGACTTGCACCAAACAACCCAGCAAAGAACCGACAAATGATCAAAGTCTGGATATCTTTAGCAACAGCCGATGCAATGGTGAAGATGCCGCCGCCCAGCATGCCGGCTGTCAGAGGCCATTTTCTTCCTCGAAGCTCTGAGGCAGGTGCCCAGATCAGGGGACCTGACGCGAAGCCCAAGACGTAGAGGGTTGTTCCTAGTATTCCGACTTCTTTTCCGACGCCGAACTCTTTGCTTGCTTTGTCGATTCCTGGTGCAAAGATTGCACTTGTGAGGGAGACTATGAATGTCCCAGAGCAGACGAGGGTGGATGTGAATAGTCTGTTATATGTTGTTGTTAGTGGGCACTGCAATAGTGATAGGTCATTTTGGGCTTACTTCTTTGATAGGTTCCAATTTTGTGGATGATAGGGGTCATCGACTCCTTCAAATTCGACAACATAGTTATCTGAGTCTGGAAGGGCTTCCGGGAAAGGTTTCCCTCCTCCGATGGATGCCTTCTCGGTCATCCTCTGGGCCAAAACTTCAATGTACGTGGGTCTGTTTGCTTTGGGTGTTTGTAGAGCAATGATCTCAGGAAAGTACTGGTGATGCCAGCTTCTTTGTATTAGTAATGATCCCCAGAGTATTTGAATGTCTCTTCATTCCTGCGACGGCAAGAGTCATAATATACTTCGCGGAAGTTGCGGGCCAGGGGGTTCAGGTCCGATCGGGCTCAAGTAGAGGCGGGACGGGTATTGCGGAACAATAACTATGCCCGGCTACATGCAATCTCCACATGCCACTGAGGATCTCGGGAATAGCCAAATCCATACAAGCTGCAGATACGGTTTCAATACTGCAAGTCAAGCAGAAATTTGATGATTATAGTATTGTTCAATCAGATCCTCCTAGAAAACTTGAACTACCCATCATATCTGCATTGAGGAATTGATCCAGGTCAATCCTATCCAAGCCAGGTAAATCGGCAACCAAAGCTCCTAGCCAGGAATACTCCTCCGCACTCGGATTTTCCCGTGGAGATGGTCCTACTGGAGTTTCTTGTGATTCCATGTTCAAAGCCTCACTGAAGATTGCTAAATCATCCTTCCTGCGTTGCTGATAAAGCATTACCAATAATCGGGCCGCACTCCATGCCTCTCTCATGGTATCAGTATCGTAAGTCGATGCAACAAGCTTCAATGTCTGCATCGCTTCAGAAAGCATCGCTAGGGATGAGCGTGTGTCCATCACAAGCAAAACACAGGTGATATGGAAGGGTACGTTTACCATTTGATGCCAAGGAGAGCAGCTCATTGCCATATTGCGAGAGCAACCGAGTCCTCTCTTCAGCAGAACCAGAACCTTTTCTGCTAGAGAAGAGGATATGTCAAGATTTTGAGTGTGGATTCTTCGAAGAATGCAGAGTACAAGATTGCATTGTGCCATGGTAGAAGGCGGCTCCTTGTGGACTCTATCCAAAACCTCCGCCAGCGTGACTTCAAGATCCGTGTCGTCTTCCTTTGACTTTCCAGGATCTAGGCTTGCTGATATGGGCAGGAGACCGAGAAGCTCATTTGTATAGTCGCCAGGTTTGGTTGATGGCGGGCGCGGCAGATCATTCTTTTGGAAGGAGACCCGCGACAGTCCTAGGTCAAAGGACGTCCACATGTTCAGATGCTGTGCCACACCAAATAGTCGTCTTCGAATGTCCGGATCACACTGTGTGGTGGCACTGCTGCTTGGAAAAACGGAGTCTGTGGTCTCCAAATGAAATCCCGCAGCTTCTATCAGATGCATCAATCTTGAACTGGCTATCCATGTTGAGTGCGGCAGGTCTGTCAGTCGCAAATAGACGACTCGTAGTGTCCATCCCGTGAGGAGGTCTACAGAAGGAGTCCCAGACAAGACATGTGTCTCCAGTATAGATCGTGCCGATTCGCTCAGATGCAATTCTGTGATGGTCATGTTTCGTTGTGAGAACAGACACCCAATAGCAGCGACACCACCCAGAACACTATCATGGAGCTCGCTAACAGACTCTGACAGCCAGCGAGCCTCAAGTCGTTCAAAGAACTGATCTCGGTCGATAAAACCATAGCATGGATCTACTTTATCGAAGTAAACCTGAGCAAGGCTCCTCATATGTTCCACGGACGTAATCTCCGTAATTGACAGTGCAGTATTGATGCCACCGAGCCCCGATGATAACTTCCGAGTACCAACATTCCATCCAAACAAGCTAAGCTTTGGCGCTTTCGCGGGATCAATTTTCAGACCCATCTTGCGCACAAATGCTGCACCGGAATTTGCCTCAAGGCGGCGCACCAGCCCATGGGTATCTGCTACTCCATTTTGGTTCTGTGGAGACTTCGCTACTGTTGGGCCTTCTAGCGGAAACTGTTCTTGAGTAGTTCGCCGCTTCCGCCGTCCATTTTGAAAACTGCAATCATAGCCCCATTCCCTGCAGGTGGTGCAGGGGTCGGCGCCGTCGCATTTTCGTTTACGTTCTCTGCATGGATCACACGCGATTCGAGACCGTTTGCGTGTTGACCATTTTTGTGACATTTGGGGGGTTAAAGCTGGAGATGGACAAGACAAAAGAACCCCGCAAGTGCCGACGCGAAGAGTTGCGGAAAGGCGGCTATTGCGGGTATTTACATGATGACGTCGATAGCCTCGGTAAATCCAACATTCTCCAAAACATTCGGTCTCACTTGCATTGTTAACTTCTCAATCTCATTTAGCTACAAATCCGCTACTTATATGCCACATTCATCTATTCTCTCTCATTAGAACGTCGCAAAATCACCAATAATGTCTGCAAACCTGTTATCCCGATACCCATGGGTATCCAGTCCCTTTGTGGTCAGCGCCCCAATGCGAGTAATGTCGGGCCCAGCATTGGCAATTGCTGTCTCTCGTGCCGGGGGCCTGGGGTTCATCGGACCTGGTGCTAAAACACAAGACACAAGCGACGACCTCGAGGAAGCATCGTCGCTACTTCGCCAAGCTGCCAACACAATCTCAAACACTGGCTCGGCACTACCTGTTGGTGTAGGATACCAGCTCTGGGCTGATGATATCAACATTGCCGTTGCAGGAATAGAGAAATACAAGCCTTGTGCAGCATGGCTATACGCCCCTCGCCATGGACCGCAAGATCTCGATAACTGGTCCAGCAGGATCCGACTTGCATCCCCTGAAACCCAGATATGGATTCAGATTGGCACATTGAAAGAAGCAAAGCAGCTTCTTCAAAGTGACCAGAGGCCCGATGTTGTTGTCGTTCAAGGAGCCGAGTCTGGCGGTCACGGTCGGGCGAACGATGGAATGGGACTCATGGCTTTGCTTCCCGAGGTGGCCGATTTCATGGCAAGCAGTCGGATTCCCCTATTTGCAGCTGGAGGTATTGCCGACGGGCGCGGAGTTGCAGCTGCTATATGTCTGGGGGCCTCGGGTGCGGTGATGGGAACTCGGTTCCTGGCTGCCAGTGAGACGCGGATTAGTCGGGGATATCAAAACGAGGTTGTTCGTGCATCTGATGGTGCGGCTTCAACGACCCGGACCCTACTATACAACCATCTCAGGGGTACATTTGGGTGGCCGGAGGAATACAGTCCGAGAACTATCTTTAACAAGTCATTCATTGAGCAACAGGAAGGGAAGTCTTTTGAGGAACTCAAGAAACTCCATGATGAAGCTGCCAAATCGGGTGATAAAGGCTGGGGGCCTGATGGCAGGCTAGCTACCTATGCTGGTGCAGCTGTTGGGTTGATTCACGATGTGAAGGGGGCCGGAGACATTGTTCGTAACATTCGAGAGGATGCACTGAACAGGATTGAGAGGTTGCAGACCCACAATCACTAGGGTATTATTATCATGTTAAATAATCTTATGGATCTATAATGAATTGAACTCAATGATAGTACCCATGGGTCTCGACTCGGGTCATATCAGACAGTCAAAATAGGTCATCGGAAACATGTCGCCCTTTAGACTTGCACTAGCAGTGATTCAACTCATGATGGCGAAGGTTGTACAACCAAACGTGTATGGTTTGAACAATTACATACACTAATCTCTTCGGCATTGTAGACCTTCTTGGCGGAGGCCTCGTGAAGCACTTGAAGAGACAGCTCAGAACTATTTCATCACCAAGTGGGCAACATGTGTGTCTAGTCTTCTTCCACTCAGGCTCACAGGGCTGGATTTGACGTATCATCGACTCCACAAATGAATTCGGAAAGGGGCTGGATAATGACTAGACGTGAACGTGGAGCCAACATACTAGCCCAGTCAACGACTACGTGTTGGGTCCATAACAAGTAATTCGCTCAAGGAGACTATTGAATAATTTGTATCTAGAGGTAAGGATGTTCTTTCAAGTGATACTTGCGAGTACCACCATTGAGGGATCATCACAACTCGGTTCTCTTGGTCTTCATCCGCTGCCTGGGTACAGGACATGAACATGCTTCAATCCATGTGTATCATGTCCATATTTGTGTTCGACCGGGACATGAGCCGCGACACATACTGCAGGTTACTCCGATGAATAAGAAATGGAGATTACGTACCAAATTGACGCTTGTGAGCTTGCCACCGGGGTATTTGGTGGATATCTGGTGCATTGAACGTTGGGATTCGTAGGCTGGTGGAGTTCGGTTCTTGGCGGGCGATCGTTCTAAAATAAGCTTCAACCAGCCTTAGGGGATGATGTGTTTCCCCAGACTGTGGCTTGCGGATTACTAGTTTAACTTTAATGCATTGTTATAGGCATATCTTTGAAAATTAATGTGAGTTCTGAGATGCTTTGTAAATGCTTGTAGGGCTTCGTGTAAATCTTGCTCTGCCAAGCCTTCCTACTATGATCTCCAACCCGTATACCTTTCATTACTTAGGGCTTGCTGAAAAAAAAAAAACATTTCGTTCGTTCGATATGTTAGCAAAGGTTCTGGAACGCATCGAAGATCCACCACTACGGCAATGCACCTGGTTAGCGGCTGGGGCTTCATGCTGCCTAGAATAACCTATACTTGCACCCGCACGGCTGGATCCAAGTCCACTATTGACAAGTCGGTGGAGAATTATCTGCTTGACTTGTCAGAATCTAGACACTGAAGATGCACTTCTCCCCTTTACGCACTGTTTGTATACGCGTAACGTTGAAGAGGGATCATCCTCCTCACAACGCGTGGCACGGGAAAAGGAGCTGTGTATACCGGACAAGTCGGTCTAGTCTGAGCCAATAGCATAGACAAGCACTAGAGTCCGGGTACCTTGTAGCTCCATACATATTGGTCTCTTGAAGGTATAAAGGGAGGCTGGGTATCCGCATCCTAGGTCCTCCATCTACAGTCAAATCAACACTCTTTGCCAACTTAACAACCATCAATCCTTACTCCCCTTCCTATTCCCAACAACCAACCGCAACTATGAAGGCCACTTTCGTTGTTTCCGCCATGCTTGCCAGCCTTGCCATGGCTTCTCCCGCCCAGCCCCAGCCTGCCCCTGCTTGCAAGGTCGACAACGACTGCAAGCCCAACGAGCAGTGCAGCAACGTTGGCCAGTGCATTCCCAACAAGGCCACTCGCGATGCTCCTCTAGCTAAGGTTGGTCAGGCCTGCCACTCCACTGGCGACTGTGTCAAGGGACTGGTCTGCGACCAGGACAAGAACACCTGCGATGCCCCCAACACTCACAACAAGCGTGGTGTAAGTATCACCAGACAAATATCACCAAGAACTTCTCTTATTTTGGATATGTATAGGACACTCTCTCCCAGATGGGTCAGGACTGCAAGACCACCAAGGACTGTGTGAAGGGTTTCGTCTGTGACGAGGTCAAGCAGACTTGTGACGCTCCTAACAACAAGCGTGATGGCCTCGCCCCTCAGCCCCAGCAGTGCAAGTCTACTGGTGACTGCGCCAAGGACCAGGTCTGTGATCAAGACAAGAATGTCTGTGTTGCTCCCAACAACAAGCGTGATGGTCCCGCTCCTCAGTCCCAGCAGTGCAAGTCCACCGGTGACTGCGCCAAGGACCAGGTTTGCGACGAGCACAAAAACGTCTGTGTTGCTCCCAACAACAAGCGTGATGGCCCCGCTCCTCAGCCCCAGCAGTGCAAGTCTACTGGTGACTGCGCCAAGGACCAGGTCTGTGATCAAGACAAGAATGTCTGTGTTGCTCCCAACAACAAGCGTGATGGTCCCGCTCCTCAGTCCCAGCAGTGCAAGTCCACTGGTGACTGCGCCAAGGACCAGGTTTGCGACGAGAACAAGAATGTCTGTGTTGCTCCCAACAACAAGCGTTCCGAGGTATGTTCTACTAGCATGGGTATATCCTGAATAGTACTGACATGATTCAAGGGTGACGACAAGTGCCAGACTGACGACGACTGCTCCAAGCAGGACACTTGCCAGATTATCGTAAGTGAAAATGTTCTCACTGATCTGAAAATGCGAGGGCTTACAATATTTTGCAACAGAACGGCAACAAGGTCTGCGCTGCTCCCCAGCCTAACCCCTCCAACTAAATGTTCAATCGGTTTTGAGCCGAATTTGGGAGCCGATAATAACTCACGGCACCAGTTGAGCATTGATGGTGTGGAGGATTGTCAATTGTAATATCACATTGATAATTGATTTGTATAAGTCTATATGGGGTTTCCAATTTGCTGGACGGTGGTAACCCTTGTATCAGGCGCAATTGCTTCTTTTTCTGTCTAACGTGACAGTCCATTCTTTTCTCTGAACTACATATATAGAAAGAATTTGAACCGGTTTTCTTTCACTTTTTGGACTCCAAGTGGAATCACTATGGTAAAATCCTGCTCCACAGAAACATCTACAATGTCACAATTTTGACATAATATCAGTGCCACGGGATCAAAACTATGGGATTTGTTTTGAACAGTACACTTAGACCGGGTAGTGTTCATTGTAATACCGCAGATTCCTAAAATCTTCACTTGCTCTTTGAAAAGGGGAAGTGGGGAGAACATCCTATGGCCCGTTCATTCTCTGATCGTCTGCCTCGGTACTTTTCCGAGGCGAAGTGGACTGACAGAAGAAACGGGATTCGTAATTCTTTCTATAATTGTTCTGGACGGCACTGGTGATCCTGAGGTAAAGATCTGCCAACCAAGGTTATACCATTAAATTTCAATAACTAGACTCAAATTCAAAATCTCACAAACATCAAACTGCTATTTCAAATTGACCCCAAATCTCAACCTCCTGATAATCCAACTTCCTTGAAATAGTCTGGCCTCACATGCACTCTCCGGCGGGGCTACAATTTCCAGAGCAACATTGGTTAGCAGACATACACTTGGCATTCTTCATAGCACATCTTCCACTCGCTTCACAGTACGAGTCATACTGCCAATGAAGGCTGCACTGGAAATTATTGTTGCAGCCCGTTCCAGCAGAACACATGGTGCTGCGAGAGTCATAGTTGTACATGCAGACTCTCTCAATAGTCGCTATTCCGAAGACGTTCATCATACGGTGAGGGCGGCATGTCATGCCAGAGGGGCACTCAGAGCCATTGGGGCAGCGCAAGTTATCCGGAACACCGGCACACTTGCCATTGATACAGGCATCAGTCTCTTGGCATTGAACATCCTCGTGGCAGGTCTCGCCGATCATTGCGTAGCGCTGGCACGTTTTGGAGCTGGGCGAGCAGTACATGCCGTAGCCTGGATGCATTGACCAGCAGGCCATTTCGCTGGAGCAGGTGTCGTTCATGCAGCTGGCTGCGATCATGGTGGATGGGTTGTCGCTGTTGAAGATGTGGCCTTGTCTATCGGCTGGGGACTCGACCATCATGCACTTCATACTGCGGACATTGCTGCCAATATCGCGCTGGCTTGACTTCTTCATCAGCTGCATGTGGGGCCGGGTGAAGGTGAACATCTCGTGGCCACAGGCGTGGTCGCTGTCAAGTCAGTTCTGGAATCTAGTAGCGGATTAATGTCGACTTACGAGTACATTGAGCACATGATCTCGTGGGTCGACTCGGACGGACATGGGACATAAATCGATCCCACATTCATGCGGCTGATACTAAAGTCAGTGATGCTACTTTCGGACGTTACGGGTTAAACTCACTAGTCGGGCATGCTATCAAAGTTCATGCACTTTGCATCAGCCAAGACGCGCATTCCCATTGCACCGGCGTGCATGGCATAGTCTGGCTCCTTGAAGATCATGGGCTGTCCAGATGTATAAGTAAGGTGATCTCAGGATGGAAGTATATGATAGTCGAACCTGATCAGACATTGTCATCAGAGGGCTAGCAGCCAGTGCCAATGGCACAAGGGCGAGAATGTTAACAAAGGTAGACATCTTGAACTCTGCTGAGATGATTCAGTGAATGGATGGATTATGGACTGCCGGACAACATGCATGCTTTTATATCCACCGCTACCCGACTGCGAGAATCCCAGCTACCCTGTCTTCTACAAGAAGCTAATGTCTGTCCAACCTTCTTTCTCCAGTACTCTTGAGACATATTCTCTAGCTGAGACCTTGTCAACATCGTACGAGGTCTGATCCCCCGTGGTCTCGATTGGCCTCTAGAGTCGGCATCACCGGGAAGAAAGAAACCGGGTTAACACTTGAGTCTGGATTGACACAGCAGATACATACATCTAACATGATTGGACAAGTTAGATATGGGTAACAGGTAATTCAAGCCTTGCCTTCAGATGTGCAACCTTGGCGCAACCCCGGATGCTCGGTTAAATCTTCATCTCAGTTCCATTGCTCAAACGTCTATTGATGTCTCAGTATGCAAGTAGTACACGTGTATATATTTTATCTTACTATGAGAACGAATCATAAGTTGAAGTAAGTATTCCAATCAACCGACTCCTTGTTGACTTCCCTAAGTGTATGATACATATAGGGGTTTCCCTACTCGACAGTCACGTTCACCTTGCTCTTGTCTGGTTATCGAGGCAAACGTCAATAAATATCCACGAGTGTCAACTCAACAGGGGATGTCACCTACAGAATGCCACATGGTCCTTAATGTTTTTCGCTTTCTCGTAGGGGCCGGCATAATACCAAGCAGCGTCCTTGATACTCTTGTCTATGACTCGTTAGCAGCGTACTAGTCTTGATTCGATTTCGCACGTACCTCCAACCTTAACAGTATAGTACTCAGCTTCACCCTTCCATGGGCAGTAGGTCGTTGTGTCAGATGCTAAGAATTGAGATTTGTCTTTGATGCTCGAAGGTGGAAACTGGCCAAAAAATAAGTTATCAGTGGTAAACCGAAAGCCAGCATTTACCCACGTAGACATTTCCTTCAACTGTTTCCCAAGCAGACGCCTCGGCAATAATAACGCCGTCAATCTCAGCTTTGGCACTGGACATTTTGTTTGAAGGATTCTAGAGAAAGGTGTGAAGATGAGGATACTACGATGTTGGGTTTATAAGCGGAAGTAAGCGGGCACGTCACATGCGGGGAAGCTGACGGCGGATACTCAATCTCTATGGCTTCTTACTACTGCAATTTTGATAGAATTCATCTATACTATTTGCATAGCAAAGTGACTACCTCCTACGAGGTCATATAAACAAGTAAGTGTGGTGATCTAATACGGTCTCAAGCTTAAAAACGAATTCTGCTAGTCACTGTAATTATTCACTTTACCTTCACTATACTTTTACTTTACTTACGAGCGAGTTCGAGTGATCCTCGCCAATTGCCGACCTTGTCAGCCACGTGTTCCACAGGGCCAACCGTCGCTATCACGTTCTGAATCCATGCTTACAGCGGAGATTTGATTGACTAAGATCAGTGGTGAATAAATTACATCCCAAGATTTGGTATCACAAGTAGAAAAAACCATCAATCCTCCAACTCCGTCCAGTTCACAAAACCCCATATTCCTTCCCATACAAAATCAAAGCGATCCCAAAATCTCCATCATCCAAGAATCATCAAATCCATTAAACTGCAGACCCTCAGGAACAAGCCCATTAGGCGTTGCCACACCCATACCAGCCTGCAAAATCCCCTGGTTTATAGGGGCATCGTACCAAACTTCATTCAACTTAGGTTCCCAGCCCTGTTTCAACCCCTGCACCATCTTCAATCCCTTTTCAAGGATATTCATATCCGACCCTTTAACTGTAGGGATATGATCAACACCCGCCTTGAGCTTTGCTTCAATGCTTTCCAGGTATGAGATAAGATTGGCGGTATTACGGACCATGGTCCTGTCCCAGGCTGGGTCTTCCAGGATGGAGAGTTTGTATAGGTTGACGATTGCGCGGGTGAATTGGAAGAACATGACGAAAGAGATGACGGTGTAGTGCTTTGGTAGGATGCTTAGCCAGAGGTCCAGCCAGGCTTTTGTTGCGTTTAGGGAGATGTAGAGGCTGTCGAGGCGTTTAAGGTCTGGGGCGTTTGGGACTGCTGGGAGGACGATGGATATTTCGTTTATGGTTAGGTCGGCGTGGCTTAGGTACATGAGTACAGCTTCTGTAGGAGGGATTTAGCGGTTGTAGTGGCAGTTTATTCGAGAGTGGAATCTTACTGTCTTTCTGTAGATGGACTGGAATCTGGCTCTTCACGCATTCCAACTGGGTTTGGAAGGAGTTCAGATAAAAGGCCAGTGGGTTAAGGGAATCGCCGTCCCGGCGGGCATGATAAACTCGGTCTATCACTAGCTGAATCTTAACGAGTGTGACCAAGAGTTGATCTTCCTTGCAGTCTTTGGCCTCGGCGAGTACCGAAAGACTTTCTTCCATGTGTGGGGTCCAACGTAAAGCATCGATCTTGAACATCGACAAAGCAACGCTATAAATGTCATGAGGTCATGCTGTATTACTTTCCCGGCAGTATTACTTACCTTGATGTGATCAGAAAGCATCCCATCACAGCCCTACGCTCCTCCAGCGTTCTTGCTGTAGGCGGATTTGGCCTCCAGCCAATAGCACACTTAAATGCTTGCATGGTCGAATATTCATTTGGAACGCTCTTGTTAATGCCAAGGTCGGAGACGATACCAATGAGTATGTGTGCGTAGAAGTTAAGGAACGGCCGTTTGGCATATGTAACCCTAGAAAGCCATCAAAAAAAATGGTCATATGTATAAGATCAGTAGTACTCACCATGATATAAACGTCATAACCCCAAGAAGCAGATCCATACTCGGTGCAGCCTCCGCCATAAGCCTCTGTTGAATATAATCGGTAATCTTCTTAAATGTACCTTCACTCTCCAGTGTACCTGGGGTAAGCACAGCCATAATACACGTCCAGAAAAACGGCTGCTGACTGCGGAGATGCTCAGAGGTAATATGAGGTGGGATATTCACAAATGGCAGGTACTGAAGATTCTGATTGCGAAAGTTGTCAAGATTCTCTTGAGCCGCGGCAGGCGAAATAGACATCGCCGAAGAGATATCATCATAGACAGCCGAGCCTCCATGCTCAGTCGTCGATGGCGAAACAGTACTAGCCGGTGTTCGAGCAACGGAAGATCCAATCTGGCTGGAGACATCGCGTGGAGCCTGCCGAAGAGCATGAGCATGAGCCGCAGCTTCCCAGTCGACTGGAAGGCCGGCGTTTGCGCCGTTGGCCTGTAGCATTGAGACTATACTATCGAGCTTGGCTTCAAGATGCTGTGTCTTTGATGATGCTGAGCGCTTGCGCTTTCGATTTGACTCTGATGTTTTGCAGTCCTTGTTCAGGCGGAGACATCTAGAGATGGTTGGTTTGATTTCTGGTCTTGGTTGCCACTTCCTGTGTTACTTACCTTTCGCACTTTTCGCTCTCGGCGGCAAGCATGCACTTGCACTTAGCGCGGACGCAGTTAGTGCAAGCCCGTCCGTACGGCGCAGGCATTCCACTCGTGTTCTGGTCGGGATTCACCATTCTTTCCGGTGGACTTCGGGATTGAAGGTGAGGTATCGCTGGTTTAAGTAGAGCTTCTCCCCAATATGGTTTCTTTTTCTGTTCAAAGGTCGAGCATGAATGGTATAGGGATTCTAACCCCTTAATCTTGTTATTTTATTGATAGTGAGAAAAGGAGCATTTCCCAACAACTTCCAGAGGTTTGAACGTGGACGGAGTTCATAAAAGTGCGAATTCCGGTCTGAGGCTGCTGTCTGTTTTTTAATTGGCTGTTCGTGTTGGTATGCTGACTCAGGGTATCTTGATCAAGCCTCACTATGAATTGATTCAACTCAGCCTGTACAGAAGACAAGACCGAAATTGTAAATATAGGAGAAGGGTGTATGTGCTGTAAACACCCAAACCTTTTTACCATCAAGTTCTCCGAGGGACCCTTTGAGCAACTTTGGAGAAACCATCAGAGCAGGTAGCGTTGGACGGGACGGATTTCGAGCCTGGGCTTTCTCAACCCCGTCCATGCAGTGTTCTCACCATTAAACTGACTAGTCACCTCTTAGAAGGGTTCATCACGGAGTTCGGTATTGTTTTATTTGTTTGCCATTGATGTACGTTTTGCACGCTCACATAGAAACAGCATATGGCATGGATTCCCAATAGCCCTCCAATCCTCTCCTCTGACAGGCTTACATGCACGTACTCTAGACATGAATTACAGCTCTACAATACAATCTACAATTATAAGCATGCCAGCGCGATTACACAACTATGAAAGCCCTCAAAAATATTGTCAGGATTAGACAAATTGTCCAGATACCATTGGCGCCACACACCCGAGCAAACGGGGCACAGCAGTAGACTAAGGAAATTCAACTTGACGAAGTCCAAAGAACCAAACCAGACAACCTCTGAGAGTCATCCAAATTCATATCCTCCAAATCATCCATCAATCAAACAAATCCCCCAATCCAACCCCTGGCATTTGAAACGAGGCTACATCCCTAGACGAGTAGAAATGATCTACTGCTCAGTCTGGAAGTAGTTGAGGAGGACAGAGCGCTCCTGGGACTCTTCACCCCAGTCCTTGACGACGACGCAAGAGCAGTTAACGACCTTGCGGGCGTTACCGTCACGGTCGAGAGTGCCTGTAGATAGAGAATTAGCAACCAATTCCCTTTCTCAAAAATCGGCGTAAGGAATACATACAGAGACCAACCCACTCGCCGAGCATCTTTCCATCGGGAACCTTGATGAGGGGGATCTTGTGCTCGGAGCAGAGAGCAACAACGAGCTTCTTGTAAGCCTCCTCCTCGCAGCCCTCGTTCAGGACACACATGTGAGCCTCGCGGCGGTCGAGAGCCTTGGCGGCCTCACGGAGACCACGGGCAAGACCGTCGTGGATGAGGGAGATGCGCAGAACACCCTTGAGGGCGTCCAGGACGGACATCTGGCCGCTGCCAGCATCGGCAGAAACCTCAACCTCGTCGGCAGGGGCGATGGGGGATGTGGGCTCTTCTCCGTCCGACTGTGGGTTTTGTTAGAATGTGTTCTGTATGGGTTCATGGTTCGTATGGGGGGTTGATCTTGAAACGAAAGAGACTGGCTGGTTTGGATACAGTGGTATACTCAAGCAATGTGTGCCATGTGCTGTCGAGACTTGACTTTGTTCACACATCGAGTTTCGACAGGTCATTGAGGGCCTCGCGACGAAGGCGATTGCTTGACCACACTGTATCCGTCCCAATGCCTCAATTGTGACGAAATCGGGGTAAGAGGTTGTGATGTGGATTGGCAGGGATATGGTCATACCATTTTGGTGTTTTGTTATTCGAAAGTCGGGTGATCCTCGAAGAGAAGTTATTTGGTGATAAGATGGTTTCGGGGCGCAAGTTTCCCGCTATTTCGACTTTTCGGCTGTGTGTGCCCTACGCTTATGTCATGCACCCCGCCATCATGTGACTAGTACAAACGCTTGCTTCTATGTACACTTTACGCCTTGATTTGGCATTTACGGCATTTTCAATAATAAAGAGCATCCTGGAGACACTCTTACAACATCTACTATGGAAATTTTGGTTTGAACTTATTTCAAATATGAGATACAGAATGATCAGTTAGTATCACTGACCTAACAACATGTTAAGACTACTTGGAAGTAGTAGTAGAATCGTCACTGGAACGCAAGAGGTATCATAATCGTACAATCAGAATCCGCCCTGTACACCGTTGTGGATTGCTGCCATCGCGCCGTGTCCCGGATAGCGAAAGAACGCTGAAAACAAAACTAGACGTATGTACTAGACAGAGAATGGCCATGGCCGTTGACAAGGCCGGTGCCATTGGTTTCGACAGCGCCATCAAGACTGTGACCATTGAGGTGATGAATTTGGTTGTAGGCGGAAATCGAGGTGGGCTCAGAATCGATGTGCATGTTCAGGAATTGAAGTTCTAACCCATGCAGGTGAGGGACGTGTGGGAGGAGTTCCATGAAATCAGCAAGCTACGTGCATGTTAGCGGTATTCACATTATGTGACATAAATGACTTACTCTAACCCAGAAGACATGCTCCATTGCAAAATACTTAGGACGGTTTTCGCAATCCTTCTGGAAGATATCGCCAACTACCGGGCCGTGACCGGCATATTCTCCCACATGGGTCACCATGCGGCGAGTCATTCGCCAGAGATTGTTGCGCTGCGTTATAGTCGCCTTGCGTTTCTCCCAGCTAGCATATTGCGAAAGCTGGAGATCATTGGTGGCCAGCAATGGTGCAACCAAGTAGTTCGGTATCCATTTCTCCTCAGCCACTTCCACGTCACATTGAGGATCGAGTTGACGGGTGAGCGCGGTAACAAGTGGCATGAAGTTCTTGAGCCAGGCGTGACTTTTGGCACGGGGATCGTTCGAACCCACCAGGTCGGCTGCGAGAGAAAGGCGAGTGGGGAGGGCCTCACGGCGGCGACGCTCTGTCGCCTCTTGCTCACGGCGCATCTTAGCAAGACGAGCACGTTCTTGCTCCAGACGCTTTTGGCGGTCATCCTCTGCTTGTTTGGCACGTCGTTGCTCAGCTTCCTTGCGCTTGCGTTCGTCCTCTTCGGCTTTGTCGCGAGCTGCCTGGGCAGCCCGGTCAGCTTCTTCTTTGGCAAGGCGAGTGCGTTCCGCTTCGGCGGCAGCACGCCTTTCGTTTGCTGCGCGCTCTTGTTCAGCCTTTTTGGCCTGAGCCTGGCGACGTTCCTTGGCTTCAAGTTCGGCACGCTTCTCATTGGCCATCATGTCTTCTGGGGACTTGGGTTTGCGTTCGATAGGTTCCAATTTCATGTCGCCGTTCTTCTTAACGGTATCATGAGTCGGTGAATGTTGGCGGTTTGAAAGAGGTTGATATGGTTCGGAGGATCTGGGGTGTTGAGTTTTGGGATCAGGAGCTCGAGTAGTTTCCTCGTGGAGTTGTCGGGGGTGGGGTTTTATGACATCGTCGGCGCATTTGGATCCGTTTGAAGCGTTTGCAGCACCTGGCTGCTTATCTTCAGAAAAAACCCTTCTTTTCTTCGGACGCGACCCAGGCGACGGCGAGCGTCTGTCTGTGCCACGAGAGCGGGATCGCTCTGGAGATCTGTCCGGTCGAATTCGCTTCAAAGACAGAGATGAGTCGGGTGCATTATCAGGACGCATTTTGGGAGCCTCTTCGCGTGGTTTAGAAGCTTCTTCGCGTGGCCTGGGAGCTTCTTCGCGCCCAGACAATGAATCTGATGAGAAGAGACTAGGTCGGCGCTCCTGAGGTCGACGTCCCGCGATGAGTCGTCGCTTCTTGATTTCGTCAGTACGTGCAACCCCACTCGACTCGCTATCTCTTCTGGCTGATAGCGACGATTTAGGCTTCGATGAGTCGGGTCGCGAAGAATCGGGCCATGTCGACTGATCTAATCGTGATGAGTCGTGGTCTTTTTCGCGCCTCTTCTCTCTGATAGAATCGACTTCCTTCAAAGGATCGCGATGTCTGGTAGCGTTGGGACTGGTGTCGTGCTTCCTTGCGCGAGGAACGGGAGATGAGGATTTGCGTGCTCGTCTGTCGTCTTTGTCTTTTCCACGCGCTCGGCGGGGTGAATCACCTTTGCGACCTTTGCGTGGACCCGAGTAATTTTCATACGCTTCCTTTAGAATTTTGTGCTCATCCTCCCAGTCTTCACCCTGTCGATCCCGAGACAACTCAAAGTACGTCTTATCTTCAAACAGTCGACGTGTGGGGTCGAATCCAGGCTGGCTCAAGATGAGGCTGATGACAGCACTCTTTCCTCGACCGATAGCCGCGAGCAATGGAGTGTTGTACCCGGGCTTTTGACCCCGCAGGGGATTTGGATCAGCATCAGCCTCGCCCATGGCATAAAGAAGAGACAAAACATCGTGATGGCCCCCCTTTGCCGCAGCAATCAAAGATGCATTGTCGGCTTTCTGCAGGATGTTCAGAATGCTCACCACGCCAGCTTCATCACCTTTAGCAGCAAACTCTCGGAGATTCTCAAAAGTCGGCTTTGTCCAGAGAAGATCATTTCGTGTAGCTTCACTTCGGCCACCCTTTCGCCGGCCTGCGACACCCACAGGTGGAGGACTCCGCATCGGGGGTGAGTCTCGGGGACTTGCTGCTGAGCCTCTGGCTGCCGATGTGCGACGCGACGAGGGCTCCCTGTTCTCTGGTGGCATGTGTTCCTCCGATCGTCGACTAGGCCGCAGATTGGCCTTAGCATCAGCAATTGCTTTGCGCATTTCATCATATTCATCTTCATCCACAAACGATGGCACCAACTCATAGGGCTCATCGCCTTCAGCATTCACGGTGCGAGGGTTTGCGCCTGCATCAAGCAAAAGTTTGACCACTTCCACATTTCCGTTTTCAACGGCATCAATCAACGGGGTATCTTTGTCAATGTTCTTAGTGTTGATTTCACAGCCAGCATCAAGTAGAAACTTCACAATTTCCGCCTCGCCAGCGAGCGATGCGATTTGCAGGGGAGTGTTCCCCGCATTATCAGGGATGTTGATATCTTCTGGCCGTTCGGCGTGTCGCATCATCACTTGGTCGTGCTTCCGATCGGCGCAAGCTCTTGCGAGAGGAGTCCTGCCGCTCTTGTCCCGCAGCTTTTTCGGTCCCATTTGTTTAGCGGGTGACGCAGACGCACCAGTACCACCAAGCTTACGGAGGTGGAGACCTGGTAATGGAGAACCGCTTGCTGACGAAGATGTTGATAATCTATCCTCGGAGCTTTGTCGCGGAAAGCCAGTCAACAAAGGTGTCGGTGCCTTCTTCTTTGTTGGGAATTGAGATCCCGACGCAGAGCGCTGATGAGATCTTCGGTTAGGAGACAGCGATCGCGTATTTGATGGTGGTCGAGAAAGTCGTGTATTGTTGCTTTGTTTGAGTTCGCGTGGATGAGAGGAGTGGCGACCGTGTTGTTCCTCAGAGTCACTGAAGCTGCGTTTACGGAAAGTGCGCGGTCTCTCGAATGCACCATCCGCATCGTCGCTCTTTTCGATTTTGACCATCGACGGGGAAAGGGCCCTCGACCGCGACCGATCCCTTTCCCTTTCTCTTCCATGTTCGCCATGGGTTCGTGATTTCTTGCGCCGATGTCCATCCACTCCATTTAGTTCTCGTCGATTCGGATCATGCTTGATGTGCTTTCTTTTCTTTTCAGGCGACAAGGATTCTCGACCTGATTGAATTATTGTTTCTGCCTCGGAATCAGCCCTAGGGCTCGGAGGCCCTTCCTCCTCTGAATGCACATTTTGATCTACCCGAGAGTCGGCACGGTCATTCCTAGGTGGCGGGCCAAGTTCTGGCTTCACCGCAAGCGTGTTCTGACCGACGTCCAGGGCAGCTGGTAAAGAGACTGCATCGACATCACTCATAGCGATAGCACTCGAAGACTTGGAATGCCGCTCGTCATTTTGTGGGGGTATACGCGACCGACAGGACGACCGTGGTCGACAACGCCAGCAGTGGTGCGCGGACGCCGATCTTCGACCACGGGTGGTTCACCGAAGGAGTATGGAAAGAATAAAATCGCACCACGGAGGTACGAAATACGAGTCGAGATAGTTTTAGGGGGGGGAATTCAGGAGTGAAAGGAGAGAAGAAAGAGAAGGGGAGAGGAAAAGCGGGAAGGGCAAGGAATGGGACTCCATTACTGGGTAAGGCTCCTCACTGGGTGGCCACGGTGAATCATCTGCAGGTGGATTACTGAAAACGCCCCCCGTTTTGAGGGGTTTTGGCATTTGCACTTAGGACTAATTTTGATTTTGGTTTCTACATTCCCAATTCTCCTGAAAGAGATTCAAATACGTGCAACTTGTCTGCGTTCAAAGGACGCGGGCCCCGTGACCCAATCCGGCAAGCAAACAGGGCAAACAGGGACTGGCTGAGTCAGCCGTATCAGGCCACCAGGCATTGCCATTCATCCTGTCTCTGTCTCTGTATGCTGTACATAGTCCTATCAAACGTGATAGCTCTATCAATTATGCTTTACTTCCAGCTTCCAACTTCATTTTTCAAGAGATAAGAGAATACACCAATGACCTCTCACAGCTCCCGATAGCCGAATTAACTCCCCGTGGCGCTGAGCTGAATGATCGGCCGGAGTCCCCACAGTAAACACCCCAAAAAAACCCGAATCCCGGGATCACATGGCACCGACAAGCTAGGCAAGCTAGAGCTAGAGCTGAAGAGACCAACACCAACATGTCCATCATCGCACAATGGGTTGACACAACCCTAAAAACAGTAGACATGGACGCAGTGGATGCTCTACGCGCGTTCTTCCTGCTGGCCGCCGCCACAGTACGATACGCCCTGTGATAGTGCCAACACTTGCAGAACCCCCAAGCTAACGCCCCTCTCTGCAGACCGTCTCCATCAGCATCCCGGCCTCCCTGCGCGATCGATTTCTAGTCTATGGGCCGCGCGCAACATCGACTCCGACCTCGAGCTCGTCCGGCCGACCAGCCGCAGCTGCCCAGCCTGAGGGTGCGAAGCGGGGATTCCTCGACTATCTGGCGACATGGCAGGTGCCTCATAGCTACTTTACGCAATTTTACATTGCTTCCTTGCTCTCGTCTGTGTTCTGGGCTGCTCAATTACTGTCCCGGGGCGTAGTGTTCCAGGCTATCGCTACTCGGGTGAACGAGGAACATCGACAGCAGACGATGTCCATGACGCAGCTTATTATCTGTTGGATTTTGTTGGCTATGCAGGGATCCCGCAGGCTGTGGGAGTGCGTCAACTTTTCAAAGCCTTCTTCTTCACAGATGTGGGTGGTTCATTGGGTGCTGGGGTTGGGATTCTATCTGGCTGCGGGTGTGGCGATTTGGATTGAGGGTTCAGGTATGTTATTTTCACTCTCATAACTATCAGACATCTAGGGCTAGGATACTGACAGCCCTTCCTCAGGGACACTCCTGACCAAAGATCTGACCATTCACCATCTGAAGATCACTAACGCCCCAAGCATGCGGACGTTCTTCCTTGTCCCACTCTTCCTAGTCGCATCAGGTCTCCAACACGACTCCCACCACTACCTTTTCTCATTAGAAAAATACACCCTCCCCCAACACCCCATGTTCAGCGGTGTCGTGTGCCCCCACTACGGAGCAGAATGCGTCATCTACCTATCGCTCTCATTCCTAGCCGCGCCACGCGGAGCTCTAGTGAACAAAACCATGCTCGCCTGCATGGCCTTCGTCGCCGTAAACCTGGGCCTAACGGCCCGCAATACCAAGAAATGGTATGCACAAAAGTTCGGTAAAGACTCGGTCAAGGATTGGTGGTATATGATTCCCTGGGTCTACTAGTACATACAATCATAACATCAAAATTTCAATTCCAAGATTGGAACGGTGTCACCTCCCACCAAGAAACTTCATCGCATTCCCCATCTTCGTAACATGAAGCACGTCCCGATACGTGAGACTTATCCTCGTCTGCCGCTCGTACCAACCGCCCCGGTACACCGCTTTCTCGCGCAATAAATTCCAGTTACAAACAAAATCCGGACCTAGATCTTCATCTCTCGTCACTTCAGCAATCCCATGCAGGAAATCGGTGTACAATTTATCCCTTGTGATAAGCAAACTGCGTCTCTCCTGTAAGATCCTATACTTGGGCTTCGGCCTTCGAATCGTCTCAGCTGCTCCAGTGCCAGGACCTTCGATTCCGTGCTTCTCATAAATATCAAAAACAATTGGTGCACCGAGACTGACAGTTGCAACGAGCGGGTAGTATGCTGCCCCATCTTCGTGTGGCATGATTCCCTGTCCGGGTTTGTATTCGTTGACTAGGACATGGTTTGGTGCTTGATGAGGTGAATCTTTGAAAACACCTAGATCTTTCAATCGAGGTATGATGATTGATTCCAGCCATAAAGGTAATGGAAATGCGATAAGTGTGTTATTATTCGTTAATGGTGATGGCCACGTCTGCAGTCGGCGATGCGACAGTTGGGTCCAGCGTGGTTGGGGTGCTGAGAGGACCTGTTCGTTTCTGTGAGTATGATAGAAACAGAAACCCGATGAGAAAGAAGGAAATCATTTCATCAATGACAATGGCAATGGCAAGTATACATGTCTGCCGGGTGTTTAACATGACATGTACTAAGAGATGTGTACAACAAAAAAAAGACAACGACATACCTTGTTAACCAACCAATCCTCCTCATCCTCCGTAACGAAATCTGAAATGTAAAAGGCCCCCTCTGGTAAAGCTTCAACATGCACAGTCTCAAGATCAACCGCCATGGCGCAAAGCTCGAAGTCTTGAAGAGTGTAGAGTGTAGATGTAGATGCAGAAGGCACGTCACCCATGTTTTCTGCCTTGGAACCTCAGGCCACCAACACCCCACATCTCTCAGAAAAGAATACATTCCATAGCTTCTAACATAGCTCATACCTAATCTCATATTCCACCATGGCTCCTAAAAACAACGCCAAGGCTGGCAAGGGCAAGGGCAAGGATGCTGCTGCCGATGATAAAGGCAAGGGTGGGAAGGGTGCTGTGAAGGGTGCGCAGTCGATCAATGTGCGCCATATTCTTGTATGTTCATTATTTGCCCTTGTCTGCTATTACGTGGTGCTTTTGAATATTTTGTCTCCTTTGGTCTGGCCTGGATCTGGAGTGGATGGAACTTGTCCTCTCAAGCAGCCTGAAATGATACAGCACTGACAATATCAAATCCAGTGCGAGAAACACGCCAAGAAAGAAGAAGCCCTTGAAAAGCTCCGCAATGGCACTAAATTCGACGAAGTCGCCCGTGAATTCTCAGAAGACAAGGCTAGACAGGGTTCGTTTCATCCCTCTGCTCCTTCTCTTTCTTTCTTTGGAAGTCAACGGGGGATCCGATCCAGGATTCCTTGTTCCATATCATACCCCTTCCCTCCTATACATCCCATCTATGCACGGACCTAACATAGCTGACTCCTTCCTTGTAGGTGGCTCGCTGGGGTGGAAGACCCGGGGTGCTTTGGACCCTGCGTTTGAGAATGTTGCCTTTGAGCTTGAGGCTAGTTCTACTGGGAACCCTAAGTACGCTGAAGTTAAGACTGGGCATGGCTATCACATTATTATGGTTGAGGGGCGGAAGTGAGCCGATGGAGTGTGCCTTTACTTGAGTTGAATATGGCTGATATCAATCGCAATGCATGACGAACACATCGATATTTACTTGCGATGTATGATATGCTAGAGAGAGAGATTATTTAGTGGTTTATTGAGATACTTCACATTGTAATTGTTATTACAGATCCATGTGCTCCTGGAGTATGATATATATCCCCAAAATCCATGGAGAAGCTTACAATTCCTTCTTCGCAGCCTCAAGCTTTGATTGCTCCTTGGCCTTCTTCTCTGATCTCTGCACGACAGCTTCGGCACCAATACCACCAAAGACGAGGCCAATGCCCAACCACTGACCACCAGATAGAGAATGGCCAAACCAGAACACGCTAAGCAGCATAGTCAACATCTTACGGGTAACAGTAACAGTGACAAGCAAAAGCGAAGAGAACCGCGACAAAGTATAGAAGATAAACAGCTGGCCAACAGCACCACACGCCGCGAATCCGAGAACATGTTTCAGCGCCTCGGGGTGACGGGTCAGGAAAGAAACAGCGCCAAACAGCTCCGCCTCATTAGACGGAGGAATAGGTAGAGGTAGCAGGTTGTGCAATATACCACCCTGCGAGAGATGCGGCATAACCAGGAGGTACACGGCCGTCAGCACAGTTGAGAGCACATTCTGGGCAACCATCATCTGGGGCCCAGTAAAGCGCGTGTACAGCTTCGGCGAGGAGAAGACATGGTCTTGCGTGGTGTTGGTCAGACCATCTAGCAGGAGGTTAATGGACAAGAGGAAGATACCCCAGCCCGAGGACCCGGATTGCTTCGCAGCGGCTGCGGCGACTTTCTTGCTTGTGCCTGGGTGATGCAGACTGAATGTCGCAACGCCCAGCGTAACCATTAGGACAACGCCGTACTTGTACAGGGGGTATTTCTTCCGGAAGATGGTCAGGTGCAGGACCATGACTGGGAGGAGCTTGCATGATTTGGCGAGGATGAAGGTAAGGTAGTCGATGTGCTGGAGGCTTGCGTAACCGAAGGGCGAGGCGAGCGAGGAAGAGATGCTGACTAGGAGAAGGGGGAAGAGGATTCGGCGCGTAGGGAATATTGACGGGATACTTTGGCCCTTTGGTGTTGAGATCAGGAGGTATATAAAGCCGGTGATTGCTGCGAAGGAGGATTGGATGGTGTTCAGCACCAGCGAGTAGGTGAAGCGTTCTGTTGGGGGCTCTGGGTCTGTGGCTGTTGCTGGGCGGATTGGGTAGCTTGTTGTTGTGATCGCCTCTTGTAAGACTCCCCATGACAGGCTATGTGTCTGTTAGTTGCGCGTTCCTGCTGAGATAAGACGGGGTACTTACAAGGCTGCATAGATTCCGAGGACGCAGATCACAAGCTGCATCAACCCAGGGCTGTCGGCCACTGTCTCCAGTGCTGCCGATGCTTTCTCGGACACGCTTCCATTGGTGACAGAGGGCTTGTCTGTGTTTCCTGACTTCCGTGACACGTTGGAATCATTTGGGAGGTGCATGAGGTTCGAGGAAGGGGTGCGCTGAAGCGGCGCTGTTTGCTTCTGTCGTCCCATGTTGAGTATAAAGGAAATTGTACAATGCAGGATGAGCTGAGAACAGGAATGTCAAAGGTGTCAAGTTCTGAAACAAAACAACAATGAAGCCATGTGTTCTTCTTATCGATGATCTCCGCCCCACATAATTTTGCCCTGTGAAGAACTCGCAACGACCTCATTCCACCAATCCTGTCTCTCAAGCCAATTCGATCTCAACTACCTACATATCCATCACGCAAAGCAGTAGCGAAGGTTTATCATCATCAGGCGACGGCCAGCCACGCAATTTCCGCAAATCGCAAAGCTCGCGCAAGCTCAATCTGCATCCACCCCGAACCTCAAAAACCACAACATGGCAAACACACAACCTACCACAAAACGCCCGGAGCCCTCAGCGCTCAGTGCACTCACCTCAAGCGCAACACCCCAATCCGCCGAAAGCGCAACCTCAACCCAAGTCCTCCACAACCTCCAACACCAACACCTCTGGACCTCCCTCTTGACACACTCAATCGCAACACCGCCACCATCCTCAACGAAAATCCAACCTCAATTCCAATCCCAATCACAAACTATAACACTAGTATCGGGAATCCCCCCACACAGAGTCTACACACACCCAGACGAACAATTATGGATGTTAGAAAACGGAATCCGGGAAGATGATCTACGGCCCGAGCGGATGTTCGTGATACCCACTGCGCACGGGCAGGCGTGGAGCTTAGGGGCCATGGCTGCTGTTTTTGATGAGTTGCCTGGCGTTGCTGGGGGATTAGTTGAGTATGGGCGTGGGGAGAAGGGGACTGAGGATGATGAGATGAGTAGGAAACTGGCGCGGTATTATGAGAAGCGAGAGGCTGTGCGGGAGAGTAAGGAATGGGGGTCTGAACGGTTGTTGCTTGCTATGGTTGATCGGGGCATGGGTGGGGATGGGACTGTTGCTTATTATGTTGTGCAGGAGGGTGAGGTTAAGCCGAGGCAAAATTAGGATATTGTTTTGAGGGGGTGTGGGTATGGGTATGTGTATTTGTATAGTATTGCATTCTAGGTTATTCCCTTATGAGTTGATGAGCATAGAAGGTTCACCGAAAAGTGATGGCATTAAGATGCAGTAGGGCTGCCAGGTCTGCGCCGAAAGTATGTACAACAGATTTTCCGTCCAAAAGTAAGAACCACCGGGTATAGTGATAGACAAAGAGCAAAATGCAACAAATGCTAAAGCTAAATGGCTGTACAGGTATCAAGTGTCAAGTGTCAAGTATCAAGTATCAAGTATCAAGGCGGGAAGAAACAGCTGTGGAAACTCAAGGGATTAGATCACCACGGCCATTGGCGGTAACTTTTTCTTGCTCCAATCGACAACTCGGGCAATACTCCTCATACCACTGCTTCACGTTTTCTGCATTGTCGGCGAAGACACGCTCGGCTTGAGCCAGTCGGGCCTGCGAGCCTTCGCCTTGGGTAGACTCGCCGCCAAGGAGCACCTCAACCTGGCGACAACGGCGGGTCTCTTCGCGGAGCCAGCGCTCCCACTCGGTCTGAATGACTTCTTTCTCGATGCTGTTAATAACTCGGAGGGCGACGAGGAGGTTGTGACGGTACATTCCGAGGCGCTCGCGGGTTTGCTGGAAACGTTTAATTGCGCTCCTGGTCAAGGCGTCCCGGGGTCCTGATGTGCTGAGTGACAAAGGCATCTCTGCATACCGCATTGTCTGGTCATGGAAGGTGGCATAGCAGTCACTGGCGTTGCCACTAGTGGGCCAGATTGTGGTGTTCGCGACTGCGTCGTCGATATCCCGCATGTAGATAGCCTTGCTCATGACGAGGTTTGGTTGAACACCAAGCCGGGCCATGAACTTCCCTGCGTGTCTTTCGTGCCACCAGTCCCAGCCATCTCGAGAGGAGTGGTATCCGTTCATGACTGCACTTATGGCTAAAAGAACCAAGATAATCTTGTGTGCACTCACAGTCTTCCAGGACCAGCGAACGACACCGAAGGCCCACATCATCAGGAAGGAGATGGTGGTTTCCATGAAAGAGACGGATGTTTCAAATAGGAGCTCGTGCATGCTTCGTTGGACTCGGGGTTTGCGAGGTTCCAACTTCAAGGTGACACCAGCACCGTTGAAGTGGGAAATATTGCTCTGGCGTCCAACATGGCCGAAGATTGTGATGGCCTTTTTGGTCCGACTGTGTGCACCAAGCCGGCGGACTTGGTCACTAACCAGATCCACGAGATCCAAGGCGTCTTGTTCCAGATCGCTACTGGCCTTCTTATCGATCACATCTGTGGTGTGTTAGTTGAGGTAGTCCCTTCCATGACGGGGTTAACTCACTTTTGAGGCCGTAAGGTGACCAAAGCCACTCAACCTTGGTGTAAATAGCAAGCTTGCTCTTCGACTTGCCCTGGAATGTAATGACAACCTTACTGACCAACCTGAACGATCGCCTGAAGGGAAGATGCCATGGCGTTTTCTTGTCTGTGATCACATAGCATAGATGCTCGTTGAGGACGTCAATGATCTGATAGTCCGAAATGGCATTATCATGGGTATTGCCTACGCAAGGTTAGTCACAGCTCAATAATCAAGTCGACTATCAGGCCTACCAAGGACATCCGTCTCGCCAATGTTGTAGTGGAAGTCACGGCGCAGGTGGTTGGACTCTGTACTCGTCCAGGGACCTTGTTTAATTTCTTCGAGGTGTCAGTAACGTTAATCTTGAACGAAGGTTGGGAACGGGCTTACCTCGGGCTTGTCTCTCGTGGAGCAATAGCTGCCACACAGCGCTCTTGTCGCCAAATAGAATATGGAACAGGGCTTTTGGACTGATTTCAAGGACCTTTTCAGTCACCAGAACCAGGTCACCTTGCGGGACATACTCCACAGGCTGGGTTGGAAGCCTGAACTTGGCGATATCCCTCCGGCCCCTGCTTCCGTCCAGCTCTAGATCTTTTTCGACGTAGATGGGGGCTCGGATATCTCTTACAGGGCCCGTGGCAGCACGTTTGCCTCCATCTGATTTGATGTCAGCAAGTCCGGACGATAGATCCTCCCAGCTATCTGCGCTAGATGACCGGGTCGGAGAGCCCGTGTCCATCTTGATCAGGGCTTTGATTAATTCCTCCAAAGACAATTGCTCGACGGCAATAGATCCTTGGATCAAGAAGTTCAGACGTTTCTGTAGAAGTCTAAGAGGTTCAAGGAAGGTTTTGATGGTGACCCGACCAGGGGTGTCACTACCGACTGCAGGGATAATATGAAGGAAAAGGAAGTCACAGTCTCGTCCAGATGCCGCTGTAACTTCTTTGATGCTCTCCAGAGAAACTCCGGTCGTCAACACCAATCCAAAGTGATGGCTGTAGAAGTAAATATTTCGGGTTGTGACATATGCTCGTCCGGGGAACTCTTGCTGGTCGTTTGGACTCCAGGTGGCCCTGAAGACCAACACCAAAGCTTCTTCTCTCTTGACATCAGGGAATAGCAACCGGAATTGAGCATCTTGAATCCTTAATCGGGGAGGATAATAGCTAGGATACTCGTGCTCGGTGCCCAGTACTGCTCGCTGAAGCTGTTTGGTTTCCTCGCCATCAAGACTTACGGTCTGTCTGTGACGGGGTACGGATGTCGACTTGTTTGCTGTATCGCCCGGTTGATCAGGCTGTGCAGCAACAGTACGCACTGAGCCGTCGCTGATTGTGGAAGATGGTCGCCCTTCGTGGGCATCATCGTGTGCACGCTGTTCCATTTGGAACTTATTCACAAAGCTCCAATTGGAGCTACCCCACAGGTTCGCCATCATACCACTAGGCATTCCACCGGTGCTGTCAGATAGACCAACTCCAATTCCTCTTTCATTGCTCACGACCACAGCAGCCTTACTCATACTGGTAGGAGCTGGAGGATTGGCAAGAGTGGTGGGTGCAAGGCTCTCGCCAGGTCCTTCCACATTGCTCAAACTGCGGCCTCTGTTGGCATCGTCATTCCCATTGAATGAAACAGTTGTGCTGTAGGGGAGAATATTGTGACTGGCAGAGATGAGACTGGCAATTCCACCAACGGGGCCAAGGTGGGAAGAAGGTGTCGGGGCAATGTTGGTTGATTTTCGATGAAGATCCAACTTTTGGATGAGTCTGGAAGTGTGCTCTCTGGCAGAACTTTCGGGTTCCAATCCAGTGGGCCTTCTGCTTCCAATATCAGTGCTATTTCTGAATGCATGGCCATCACGGTCCGGGACAGGAAGTGTGGAGCTTCGCTCCCCACCTGCAGCCTCATCGTGGGTGTTGGGTGTGAGAGAATCGGCGGTGTCTGCGGTGAATTCGGGAGCCGGAGGTTGAGAAATGGAAAAGGCAGGGTCCTGGACAGTGACCTTCCCAGAAACTGAGAGATCGGTGCTAGCGGGATTTTCCAATGCTTTCTGTTTGGCGGCTTCGAAAGCGCCAATCCACTCTATTAGCTCTCTTTGGTTGTCTGCCTGCAGCAAGATTGTGTTGTTCTTGGTCTTAACTTGGAAACAGAACCGACGTTCTTCTTGGAAAGCAGGACGAATACTACATAGTAGCACACCAATCCTTTCACTTTCTTCAACACCACCGGTTCGAGCACCTTGCACCAGACAACCAAAAATGCCGTTCTTCAGGAAAGCCCACCGCTTGACCCAGACGGTCCGAGTAGGCTTTCCTGACAGAGTACGCAAGTACAGCCATCCTTGTTTCTCTGGTCTCATCTCTTTCACATTGAGTGACGAAAGAGGACGAGAGCCAAGGTACGGAACAGTTGATATATTATAGTCCTCCAGTTCACGAGACGGGCGAGCTGCAGCCTCAGCAGCGTCTTGAAGGTACTTCCGTGTAGAGAGCAGCTCTTTTTTGGATGATCTTTCGCTTCCTTCCATCTCGTGAAGCCAGCCCTTAATGCGATCCATCTCATGAGACCATTTGGAGAATGTGCTGCTGTTTTGGTTGTGGAATCCCCGAATTTCCCGCCATTGGTCGAAAGAGACCTTAACCAAAAGGCGATCTAGCGCATTTCGCATCTGGGGAGACTGTACGGCAAAGTCCATGGATGCTCTGAGGTAGGCCTTGTGGGCTTCATGAAGCTGAAATGCTTCCTCTCTCAAAGCCGAGGCTTCTTTCGACTTGGACTGGGAGGCATATTTGGCTTGTAGGTAGTCGTACTGTTTCTGGGTTTGTTCGAGATTGCGACGAATTTCCTGTAATAATGTCAGATGCTGTTCGTAAACAAACTAGTCCAGGGTCCAGCGTACCTTAAATTGCCGCAGATCCTCATGGATGAACTCGCGGATCGGTTCAGCAATCAGCCCCTCCATCTTTTTGGTCGATGACACCAATCCGCTCCAGAGATCTCTAGTTCCCTCTCCAGTCCTCTTCATAGCCAATAGTGTGTAATCATGATCGACAACCGCTTCAGAGACACTGAGGGGGCTGGTTGAGTAGGACAGAAAGCTGCTCACCACACTCTCCAGAGCCGTCAGCTCGGAAGACAGCTTTGTCGCAGCTTTTGCATATCCATCCAGCCATTTCTCTATGAATTCGACCTGATCGCAAAAATGGAGGGTGGTGGCACGGAAGGTGGGCGAGTCGAGGGCAGCTTCTTTAAGGCCGACCGGGCTGGGATTGAACAAACATTAGCATGAGGTCAAAGAGCGTTTTTGCAATACTCACACCACGCTCACAAGCTTCCCAACCTGGGGTAAGGGGGTATGTGCTTGAGTCGACATCTAGTGTATGTCTCCAGTCATACACTCGACGCGAGCAAAATGGGCCAAAACAGGGGTGTGTGCGGGCCTCCACTCGAAGCCAGACAGCAATAGAAGACAAGAATCAGTTTAAAGCCGGTTGATCCCACGTGCCTTCAAGAATCCGGGGCTTTCAACTGTGCAGATGCTCAGCCCTGAGCCTCCCGGGATGAGATGATCTAATTGGCTACGTCAGTGATTCCCATTGGTGCCTTGGTGCCTGGCGTTGCAGTTCCCAAGGGCGGTGTGAGATTTTTTCCTTTCTGCCAATCGGGGATTTCACCAGGTCGATCTTCAAGCACATACTTAACAATGGAGCCTCCTTCTAAGAAGATGCGGAAGCTCATGGAGCATGACAGCGACAGTGACTCTGGTGATGAGGCTGGCGGGGTTCTCCTTGGCAAGCGGTCGCCAGACGCTGGGTTCAAGATCAACGAGGACTATGCTCGTCGATTCGAACACAACAAGAAAAGAGAGGAAGTTGCGAGATGTATGTTTTCTGAAACTTTCCACTGAACGACACATGTTAATGAAGTTTGAAATAGTGGAATCCAAGTACGGCAAGTCCTCCAGCCTTGGAAGGCGCCCAGGCGATGAAGACTCCGACGATTCCACTTCCGAAGAAGAGGATGACGATGCCGAGCTCGCCACAGAGGCCCTGGATGCTGAGATCTCCGCGACTCTGAACGCTATCCGCTCCAAGGACCCCCGTGTCTACGATAAGGATGTCACCTTCTACACCAAGTACGACCCCAATGCAGACAACGCCGCAAAGGGACCTAAGGAGAAGTCCATGAACCTGCGCCAATACCACACCGAGAACCTCTTGAAGGGCGTTGACCCGGCGGAGGAGGAGAAGGCTCCTAGAACCTATGCGCAAGAGCAGGCCGACTTGAAGAATGACCTTGTCAAGGAGATGCACGGAGCGGCCGAGTCGGATGAAGAGATGGAAGATGCCGATGAGTTCCTGGTCCGGAAGCCTGGTCAGGACACATCATTGCCCAAGGCTGAGATCAAGCTCGATATCGAAAATGCAGACAAGGACCCCGAGACTTTCCTGTCCAACTTCCTCTCCGCGCGCGCCTGGATTCCTGCCGATAAGCCAGAGCTCCACCCATTCGACTCCGATGACGATGACGATGTCGAGCGCGCAGATGCCTTGGAGGAGGCATACAACTTCCGTTTCGAGGACCCCAATAAGATGAACGAGGTTATCGTTACCCACTCTCGTGATCTCACCAACAAGCAATCTGTCCGCCGAGAGGAGAAGAGTTCTCGCAAGAAGATCCGTGATGCCGAGCGCCAACAAAAGGAGGATGAAAAGAAGCTGCGCGACACAGAGAAGAACCGTCTTCGCAAGTTGAAGACTGAGGAGCTCCAGAAGAAGGTCGAGCAGATCAAGGAAGTTGCCGGTTTCCGTGCCTCCCAATTCACCGATGATGACTGGTCTCGCTTCTTGGACGGCGCCTTCGACGATTCCAACTGGGAGCAGGAGATGCAAAAACGATTCGGCGAGGAATACTACGATGAGGCAGAGGGTGACAATGAAGAAGGCAAGAAGCACAAGCCCAAGAAGCCTACATGGGACGACGACATTGACATCAACGATCTCATCCCTGACTACGAAGACGGCGAGGCAGAGCCCACAGTCGAGGACTCCGAGGCCGAGGAAGAAGACGACGAAGCCACGGGATCCAAGAAGAAGAGCAAGGCCGAGGCCAAGCGTGAACAGAAGCGCGAAGCCCGCAAGGACCGTATGCGCATTGAGGAGGCTGTCGACCGCAACCTCGATCTCGATATTACTCTACTCCCAGGTGCCACCAAGAAGAACGCCACCAAGTTCCGCTACCGCGAGACCTCGCCTCAGAGCTTCGGCCTGACAGCCCGGGATATTCTCATGGCGGATGACACACAGCTCAACAAGTTCGCAGGTCTGAAGAAGCTGGCCTCCTTCCGCGAAGAAGAGCAGAAGCGCCGGGACCAGAAGAAGCTGGGCAAGAAGGCGCGTCTTCGCGAGTGGCGCAAGGACACCTTTGGAAATGAGGATGGTCCTGAGTTCAAATTTGGTGGTGACGTTATGCCTAGTCAGCCTGAGCAGACTGGTGAGGAAAAGGTTGATATCAGAGAGGGTGATGGCACAAGGAAGAAGAGAAAAAGGTCGAAGAAGCACTAAGTGTGTTGTATCTACCATTATCTATAGTTCGATTATGACCAGAATAAGCTTTTTTTTTTATATATACATCAACTGTGTGTTTAATCGTAGAATATTCATCCAACAGAAAGTTAGAAAGCCGAACCCTTGAAGCTGTGCTGTTTATTCACCGAATATATATACCAGACCTCGCATTCCAACACACCGAAACCATAACAACTCCAACTAATAATTAATAACTTCCATATCACATTATCCACAGCCCTCACCATGCAAAACCAACCCAGCACCCGAAATCCCCTCTACAACCCCCTATGCACGTCGAAATCTCTGTACAAATAACAACCCAAAGTGGCAACCCTCCATGCGACCGGGCCCACCATGCTAGCGTTGCTGGGGCAAAAGAACCCAGAGGTTCATTGTTTTGATTACCCCAAGCCGATGAAGCTCCGTTTCCTCATTACCCATCACCTATGGAGCAGCTCGCAAAAGAGTCGAGAATCAAGGAAAGTGGATACGCCGTATTATAGGCGGGTACCTGGCATTTGTGCTACACCGTATGTACCTGGGTACATTGGCCATGCGTAGGTTTGTCACTGTAAAGCTTGTACCTGCGACATGGGATGCATTGGAAAATGTCTCATATAAATCTTGGTATCCCTCACATGCTGCAATATGCAGAGGCGTGTAGGTTACTACGGCAGGGAAGAGGCTCGGGCCAAATTTGATGTACTCTGTAGCCGGACTACTGTAATAGTAGTTGGAGATAGTGACTGATCTAAGGTGGGCATGTTCGAGGTGAAGCTGTAGGAGTAGCTCGGCAAGCATACGGTACAGTAGGTCAGAACAAAAGGCCAATGTAAATCTACAAGTAAATCTCTTCCAGTGCACCAGCTCAACTGCACATTAACCATATCGAGTATATCTGCCCGGGCCCCTATACACGGTGGCAAGCCCGATATCATCGGAAGCTCGGCCAGCACAAAGGAGGTCCCGGGGAGTGGAGGCGCGGCATTGGACGGGGGAAATTTACGCCGTATAGAATTATACGCTTGGACCGTTGCTCGGGACTACGGATATTTGGCAATTTTATATTACAAAAGTATTGTGCTGCGGGTGTAGCTATGAATAGAGAGTCGGTATAGGCATTCATAGACACAATAACAGAAACTAGCACCAGATAACCAAGTTATGCTTGAGAACAAAGTAAACTGGCCGAATGCAGAATTTTCAGTGGATCGGGAGAAGTCGGCGAGAGGCGATTCAATACACGGTAATTTCGGTATTTTCCCCCTTGGCTCTTCTTGATTGGGCACTAGTGGCTGGGTCCCGTGTCTGGTATTTTTTTTCCTGACCCCCTTCCCGCCTTCTCTTCCTTTTCTTCCTTCTCATCCCTGGTGTCTCTTTCTTCTTGACAACCATCTCCTCTCTTTTTTCTTGCATCCCGTTTTCTTTGCACAACATTCACAATGGGTTCCGGTGAGGTTAACCAGGCCGAGAAGTCGGTCTTCGGCATGCCCGTAAGTCTTCCCAGGGATACGCGTGAGTTCATGGAGATGGGGCTGCAAAGCATCTCCATCAACATGGATGCATCGCGATTCCATCATCAAACACATTCTAAGTGAATGTGCAGCCACCGCATTAATCATACTAACAAATGCAACAGGGCTTCGTTGTCGACTTCCTGAGTATGTTTTTCGCCTTCATTTCTCACTGGGAAAATCCAGTCAGAAAACATAACAAGACCAGAAACCAAATACTAACTACATCACAGTGGGTGGTGTTTCCGCCGCTGTCTCCAAGACCGCTGCTGCTCCCATCGAGCGTATCAAGCTCCTGATCCAGAACCAGGTTGGTCACCACTCACCAAGCACCGATTGAAAGGACCAGAGAAGAAATACAATCTGAATCACAATCTCAAACAATTGTGAATCACGGAATTGGACATGGGCAGCAATTCGATATCGAACGCCGCCTGTGAAAATTTTTTCCTCTAGCGCCTGCCGATCGGTGGCTACATCTTCAACAACACAGTATCTAACCAGATTGCTCTACAGGATGAGATGCTCAAGGCCGGTCGTCTCGACCGCAAGTACAACGGTATCGGTGACTGCTTCAAGCGTACCGCCGCCGCTGAGGGTGTCGTCTCTCTCTGGCGTGGTAACACCGCCAACGTCATCCGTTACTTCCCTACCCAGGCTCTTAACTTCGCTTTCCGCGACACCTACAAGTCCATGTTCTCCTACAAGAAGGAGCGTGATGGATACACCAAGTGGATGATGGGTAACCTTGCCTCCGGTGGTGTATGTACCCTCCCCTGAAAATCTCTGCTGCGAGTCACACTAACAAACACTAGGCTGCTGGTGCCACTTCTCTCCTCTTCGTCTACTCTCTGGACTACGCCCGTACCCGTCTTGCCAACGACGCCAAGTCCGCTAAGGGTACCGGTGACCGCCAGTTCAACGGTCTCGTGGATGTCTACCGCAAGACCCTCGCCTCCGACGGTATTGCCGGTCTCTACCGTGGTTTCGGTCCCTCCGTTCTCGGAATTGTTGTCTACCGTGGTCTCTACTTCGGAATGTACGACTCCATCAAGCCCGTTCTCCTCGTTGGTCCTCTTGAGGGCTCCTTCCTCGCTTCCTTCCTGCTCGGCTGGACCGTCACCACCGGTGCCGGTGTTGCCTCTTACCCCCTTGACACCGTCCGTCGCCGCATGATGATGACTTCCGGTGAGGCCGTCAAGTACAAGTCCTCCATGGATGCTGCCCGCCAGATCGTCGCCAAGGAGGGTGTCAAGTCTCTCTTCAAGGGTGCCGGTGCTAACATCCTCCGTGGTGTTGCCGGTGCCGGTGTCCTGTCCATCTACGACAAGGCCCAGCTCCTCCTCCTCGGTAAGAAGTTCTAAGCTATTCACTGAAAATGTGAATGGTGTGCCATTGTAGTTATACTGGGGATGCAAACATGCCTGGTGTAACCACTAGGCGTGGAAGTCGAGGATGTGGGATGAAAAGATAGATGCGTCAAGAAATGGGTCGGGGGGATCTTGAAGCATAGAATGGTGTGATTCTTCCCTTATTTGTACCCAATGTACTTTACTGCCTGCAAACTCTTTTTCTTTCTTCACTTTTCATCAACATGGTAAAACGTAAAAATTGTAGACGACACGTTGCCTCATCCATGTTTGGACTGCATGTATTTTATCACACCAAACTTGCTCAGCTCGCCACCACGGGCTCACAAACAGCCAGTACATGTTTAACTCCATACAAGTAAGACCGCTGCATACTGTATAGAGTAGTTCATTGTCTATTCCCATCTCCAAAAAAAAGTCCTCAAAGGTAAGCAAACCCCAAAGCGGCAACGGCTCCACAACGGAAACAGCCATGACGTTTTAGCTCCCTTGAGGCTCCCAGGTACTTCTACCTCTACTCCTACCTTTCCTCCATACACATACACATCTACCATACCATAAGTCAAAATGTCTTCCCCACCAGGAATCAAAACCTACACCTCAGCCCCCGTCAACGCAAACACCACGGCAGAAGCAACACCAGAAACAGAAACACAGGCAACAACTTCAAACACCGATCCCGAACCCGCCACTGCAATCGAAGCCGAAGCCTCAAAGACAGATCCCTCCATACCCGCTCAGCTCCCTGCTACAACGACTGCAACTGCCACTGCGCCTTCCGCTGAAGCGCTTTATACTACTGCCAGCCCGGCTCCAGCTCCAGCTCCAGGTGCGGCTGCAGCATTACCAACAGCTACAGCTACAGCTACAGCCGAGCACACGGGCGGCTTATCTGCGACAAAGACGGTGCCAGAATCGCTTACTGCTACTTCTACGTCTACATCGCCTCCACAGCCACAGCCAGGCGCCGTTCCAGAACCTCCTACTCCAGCTGCAGCAGTAACCCAACCTCAAACACGCTCCCCAGTCCCGCCACCGCCAAAAGCGGGCGAGGCGGTTCCTCCAGCTGCTCCAGTACCCGCAACAGCAACAGCAGCACCCACAGGAGCATATACCGGGCCAGGAGGACACGGAGCTCAACCCTCGTACGCAAACTCCTACGCCTACAATTCTTCCCTCCAACCTCAGGTCAACCAAGCACAAATCCCAAACTCAACATCTGCTCCATATAACACCGTCTACCCGACATCCGCGGCACACCGTCCCCAGAGTCTCCCGCAGTATAACAGTAGCCCTTCTGGAAGTGGATATGGGTACGGAAATGGAAGTGGCAGCGGATCAGGTGGTGGAGCAGGTGATATCTTCCCCGATGAGGAACCTGGTTTTATGAGTGCTGCTAAAGGGTGGATGCAGGCTGCGGGCAGTAAATTGGCCGAGGTTGAGAAGGAGGTTTGGAAGAGGATTAATGATGCTCATGATGAGAAGTAGAATTTGAAGTGGGATTGGGGTTGGGTGTTTCGCTTTTGGAGTGATGATTGTATTTTTGTTGTTCTGTATCTGTATCTGTACAATTGGGTTTGGCTTTAGGCTTTGGATTCTGATTTGGTTTTGTGGATTATGCATGCATATTGGATATGATATTCGGATATGAAATTTGGATAAATTGGATTATTCATGACTATTTACTCTTCACGTGAAGACTGGGATCTTGTATAGAGTGGATTGCATTGATGCTATGGTGCATAGTAAGAATATCAATATCAACCCAACCGAAGCAATTGAATGCCACGGAATAGAGTTCCAGTTCCAGTTCCCACCACCCAAAGAGGGTGGTATATGACTATGTACATCTTCAATCCTGATCCTTTGTATCCGACCGAAAAGCAAAAGAGCAAGAAAGAAGGGAGAAGAGAAGAGAGAGATTCAGTTAAAATCAAATCCAGGACAATGCAAGAAGTAACTCAATAAAACCTGCAATGTACACAATGAACATGAATATGAATGGGAACGACAGGACAACTTCTCAGTTGGATCAGTTAAGATGACCGAGACAATCAACCAGATGGTTTCAGGGAAAAGTGGAGCCAGTGCAGTGCAGTTAAGACGACCAGGACCATGTTCCGGATGGGTTTTCTGTGTTGCTTGGGGAGTTGCCATAGAGAGATAGCGAGAGAAATGTGGACCCATGGAAAATGTAGAGCGAGAAGAAAGGAAATGAAGTATTAGAAAAGGTCCGAAGTATGAAGGACATGATGTCGCAGCTATTGTAGCCGACACGACTGATGCAAGGTAAACGCCAAAATACCAGAATAACCAGGTGGCAAACATTGGATGAGCATTGTGAGCCAGCCTAGCCATCACAAAAAAAAAAGAAGAAAAAAAAAAAAAAAAAAAAAAGAAAAGAGATGAGATGAGACAGAGAAGGGATATTAGGACTTGTCATAGGGCAGTCTCGAACAAGTTTGGCAGCTCTGAATCGGATGACGAGTGGTTCGTAGCAGGGCATGATAGAAGAAAAGAGAGAAATTAAACGCCGTCTTAGGAAAACCCGACCACAAAAGTCCCAACGCCGATGCCGGGGCTAGTTGCACTGCAAGCTAGCCAAAATTTGAGGCTTTGTATCTGGATCGCGAAAAAAAAGGCACATCGAGAGCAGTCCAGACCAGCTCTGACGGCAAGAAAGAGAACGTCGATCGAGAGTGGGGCGTTACATGGATCCCAGGCGGAGAAGGGCCTCCACCGCGGCGCGTTCCTGAGTATCAAATGTGCGGGGGGCCGATTTGGCCACAGGTCCGGATGGAGGGAAAAGCCCAGGTTGAGGCTTTGCGCGCGCTGCCGAGTTGTTGAACATACCACCGGTGTTGAGCGAACGGGCGCGCAGCGCATCTGCGCCAATCTGCGCCCAGTCTTCTTCGTCGGTGACATCGCCTTCATCCCACTCATTCTCTTGCATTTCATCAGGAGCCTCTGACGAAGAACAGTACTCGCCGTCGTCACCGTCCAGAGACATCTTGTCCGCTTCGTGCTCGAGCATGTCAAGGTCGCCGTGCATACCGTAATCGTCATTATACGAAAACGCCGTGGACTCGGCGAAGCTCATCCGGTATGGGTGCCGAACCTGCCAGCCAGACTGGCTTTGGATTTGCAGACCGCGCTGCTGGAAAGAGTCGGCCACACTGGAGGGAGGGGACGACGACGCGTTCATATCGCGCTCACGCGCAGGCTCGCCGCGACGGCGCGCGTCCCAGCGGCCCCAGCCAATCTTCTCGAATACCACGTCGCCGTCCAGACCACCAGCCTCTCCTCCATTTCCACGACCTTCTAACGCGGCGACAACCAGGCGGCGCGCCTTGGCTGGAGGAATGCGCGAGAAACCCGGCACCGACGTTGTCAGATGACCCATCACGTGGCGAATGGCCAGGGGCCCTTGCTGCAAGAGGATCTCGGGGAGGTGGTATTTAGCGAGCATCGCTGGGGTGATGGCGCCCGCGCTGTCCAGTTCGGCGGACTGGGGGGAATGGTTCGCGTGTTCAACGACATCCTGGAGATCGATATCGGAGTCCAACTGGGGCACAGTCGATAGGGGAGATCCAGGCGACAGAGTCACACGTTCTTTGAAGGCTTGAGGAGGAAGGGTAGGTGAGATAGAGTTGGGTGGCGTGGGCAGCATCGCAGGCTGCCCTCGGGGAGGCACGCGGCCGCCATCGAGGCCAGCACGACGCGGAATATCAACTGAAGCTGTCTTGCCCGCAAGAGCCATTGCAATACTGGAGGTTTGAGGAGCCATGATGGAGAGAGATTGTGAAAGGAGAAAGTCCTAAGCGCAACACGGAGGTATATGAGTCAGAAGACCTGCCAAAGAGACGCGACGAAGCGGTACCACGGGAAGGAACGATCGGGTGGCAACAGACAAAGATGTCTGTATGGCGGTGTGGTATGGAGGAACAGAGCAGAGTAGAGTTGCTCACCTTTCACTTGAAAGACACGGTTCTGGTCCGTGTCAACGCGAAGTAGCTGTTAGGGCTAGGATCCGCACGCAGGGGATGCGTAAGGGATAGTCGCGATAAGTGACTTGTCAGGAGTATGAGAATGTGAAAGTGTGAAGAAAAGAAAGAAGAGAGCATGAGTGACAAGTGACATGGCCATGATAAGAGGGGTGTGACGAGGCCCGATGGCCGCCTATACTTGGAAGTAGAGGCGCGTGGGCCGGTTGATTGGCGCCTCGTGGATACCGGGCTGTTCCGGTATAGTCCAGTTCCACGGAGTATAGGGGATTCTCGATTCACATGTTATATGATAGTTGTACTTTCTCGACTATTGAATGATCAACTATCTACCTATATTCCACGGTCTACTCTGTTCTACTCTCTACTCTCCTGTGCTCTGTCCATAGAGTAGATCAAATCCCTCATCCTTGAGCAGATCGACAATCTAGTCCAGTACTCTCAGGCACAAAAACCCCTCATGCCAAGTAACCAGTCATAGCAACCCCGAATGCTCGTGCGCCGTTTGAACGCTTGCAGCGCCTGAGGGCGTAACCCTATAACTTGCCTATCTACTGATAAGCCTCGCTCGGGGCACGTGTTCCCCTATTACTTCGTGATGATCTAACGATTTGCACGGGCTCCATGGATCTCCTTTGGGACGTGTAGCTAATAGTGTCTTCATATCCACGCATATGCTATGCTCTTCCTAAATCTGACGTTTTCATTGTGCGATACCCCTCCATCTCAACTTGTACTAGGTACAATCCACCCACCCTCGGGTCCCACTCTAATCTGGACTGAGCCCCTCGACGTCATAAGTACTGGTGACTTACAAATAAGTCCCATCTATACTCCATCCCACTCCATACTTGGGCAGTGTGTTTCATAGAAATGCCTCAAACCCCAATTAGCAAAATGCCACACTTTCAAGGTTGGAATGCTATCCTGCATACTCTGCTCACTGACACCGTGGCCCCTTCCCGTTGCCACGAAACCCCCCGAAGAATGCCTAGCGCGAGGTCCAAGTACAGGTAACTGAACGTGACTCTGTACATGTACATGGACAACACACCAGCCACTTGTACTCCCGTGGACTTGTTGGGCCTATGTGTTCCTCATGCGGCCTCATGTCCCCCTCCTCGTCTGGTGTGGGGTGCGGGCAGGTACAAGGAGAAGCTAGTGCTGCAGCTTACCTTCTGTACACTTCTATTCTATCGTGCATTACCCCAACCCCTCCGTTGGGGGATGCAGTACAGGTATATTCACCCGGCTGAGATCCTGATTCCGAGATGGCGCTGGTTCCTGGTTTACCCTTGCGGCATTGCCAGCCGAGGGTATTCGATACAGGGTTGTGCGTTAGGTGTAGGTTGTGCCTTTTCAGCCCTCGTGTCCGGCCGGTGTCCGGTGCCCGGTCTTACATGGACAAGGCAAGACTGGGGTGGTAAGGGACTGTTTAGTCAATTGGTCTGACTCAGAATAGAATGACAATAGGCAATTGATTGCGCCTCCATGCGTGGTGATCACTGATACATGTAGCTGCTGAGTGTATCCATGTAGTCTCGGTAAACTCGGCTGCCATGTAACTTCTCTCAGCCCCTCCACCGAATTCTGTGGTTATCTACTTCACTTCATTGCCTTGCAATTCAAATCACTTTTGCAACTTCAACCCCAGATCAAACATCCCATCCACCAAATCTCCCATATTCACCACAAACACAAAAAAAAAAAAAAAAAAAACAAAACTCCCTCGTCATAAACAGAGTCCCCGTTCTCCTCAAAGCGAAGCTCACAAGCCATGGTAGCATAGCTGTTGGTCTCATAGGTAGCAAGACGCTCCACATGTTCAACACTCATCACTCCGTAGACAGATCCCTGCCCCGTGACACGCGGCTCCTTTGGTAAGAGGGTTGGGTATGAACCCCAGAGCTTGGTCTTGTAGCCGTCCAGATATGCAGGACGAAGGACTGGGTCCTCGGTCAGGTCGAGGATGCTCGTGAGTAGGGTCGAGTTGTGGAGGGTGCCGTAGAAGAAATGTTGGCCTGTTGGGGCTGGATTGAAGAGGCCGCTTTCCGGAGTGATTGTTTCCAGTTTGAAGACGCTTGGTGTTCTGGGTTTGTTAGTGGCGGTGGTGCGGCATCGCGTGAGGACGATGCTATTACTGTAGTAGATGGGGTTTTCATTGTGACGGCGATGGATGGAATAGTTGAATCGGGAAAGAGATGAGGGTGTTGGTGTTTGTGGTCATGTTGATTGTTGTGATCAACTCCGTCAAGGACGAGCTTTGTGAAGTCCACTGTCCTTTTCTTCGCTACAATCTATTGCAATTTTCTATACAATGCTTATGTTAATTTACCTACCTTGATGAGCTTTCAAGCTTTGGCGATCACCGGGTGAATGGAGCTTCACGATCCTGTTTCGTTCAGGCTGTTTTGCCGGCGCGGGGTTGAGTGCCTAAATACCTCCTTACTTAGCCAATTCAAAGAGGAATAAAGAAGGGCAGGCACTGCTCTTTAGTGAACATTGCTAGATTACATCTGCGCAATGTTCAATTGGGCCGTTTTGCTGCTTTGGGCAATCACCGCAGAAGCAGTGAGCCCAGAGTCCTTGAGCTCTGATATCTCCATTCTCATTCACAATGATCTACTAGGTCAGCTAATCTGGTCTTAACAGGAGCAAAGAAGCTAATATTTTACACAGAGACTCAAAGTCCACTGGCTGATTCGGGAGTTCTAGTCCTCGATGCAAGACCATGGAAAGAAGCCACCGAAAGCTGTCAAAAGCTCGGAGAGAGTCTCTGGGGAGCACACTCAGACTTCAAGGACATCCAGCATGACCTGGAATACCTTATCTGTCAAGGCAAATATCTCCAGAACCAACGTTTCTGGACATCAACCCGAAAAGCATCAACCATCGATGCTAACGGTCACATCAATACGGCCTCTGCAAACGCCAGACTACCCGTTCTCTGCACACAGAGTGCTCCACATTCAAACAAGACCTTCCAAGACAGAAATCCAAAATGGCGGGTGACAGTCCACTCCAATAACGAATACCTCACCGGGTAAGAGAGCAGACATCTGAAGAACCAACAATCCACGCTAACAAAACCCAGATTTCGAGACCGATTTAGTTTCCGCTTCCAAGGCATTAGATACGCCAAGCAGCCCCGCCGATGGGAATATGCTCAACTATACAAAGGAAGCGGTAAAAAGACCTCGGCCCTCAATAACGGCCCTGCATGCGCACAAGGAACCATGCCCGGCTCAGAAGACTGTCTATTTCTCAATGTATGGACTCCATACCTGCCCAACTCATCAAGAATCAAAAAGAAGAACCTTAAGCCAGTCATGCTCTGGATCCACGGTGGAGCATTCACAGGCGGCACAGGTAGTGATTCAACATTCGACGGGACGAACCTTGCTTCAAGAGGTGATGTAGTCGTCGTGACAATCAACTACCGTCTCGCAACACTGGGTTTCCTTGCTTTAGATAACGGAGAAACAAATGGGAATTACGGGTTAGCAGACCAAACCACAGCGTTGGAGTGGGTTCGTCGCAACATTCAAGATTTCGGGGGTGATCCAGATCGAGTGACAATATTCGGGCAATCGGCAGGCGCGGCTTCTGTTCGTGCTCTACTTGCATCCCCCAAAGCCCGTGGAAACTTTGCTGCTAGTATAATGGAGAGTAATCTCGGTGGTCTGGCTTATGGGACGACATACTCGAGCTACTATACAATTCCGGAGGAAATGGAAGCCGTGGGCAACGCGATTCTTGCTGAGACAAATTGCACGCATGCGGTATCACAACTTGAATGTTTACGGGCACTTCCCACATCGACGATAACGGGTCTTTCTACCCTGGCACGGTATCTAGTCGTCGATGGCGTCTACCTCGATCGTCCAGAGCTCGACCTACGCAATCCCTCTTCAACGGCGAATGTCCCTCTCATGATAGGCACGATGAGAGATGATGGTGCTGCCATGATTGGTTATCCAGTCCCCGGAGAGACAATCCAAACATTCTTGAATGAATCAGGTCTACCTGAGTCCATCGCTCCGAGTCCCTTATTCCCGATTCCCTCAACGGCTAATGCTACGCTTGATATATTCAACACTACAGCCCGGGTAGCAACGGATGCTATGTTCCGCTGTGTCGATGAAGCAACTGCGTACGCAGGTATAGAGAACATTATCTTTCCTGAGATCTTCTACTACGAGTTCAATCGCTCATACCAAATGCCCGACTGGTCACCTAACGCCCCGGTATGCAACGCACCTATCACAAAAGAATATCCAAATGGAGATCCAACCCAGGAGTATTTCAAGTGTCATTCTGGGGAGTTATATTATGTATTCGGGACGATTCTTCGTCAGGGATTACCGCTTCGCGATAAGTTCGATTTACCCTTCGCGCAATACGTGTTGGATTCGTGGGCTGCTTTTGCGACATATTATAGCCCTACTCCTGATATTGGGTTTTTGAAGGCAAGGGGGTATGTGAATACGACGGGGATGGTTGGTGAGACTGGGTCTTGGGCTTCGTATCGTCAGAAGGGTCAGGCGAGGTTGTTGCAGTGGCCACCGGGTATGAGGGATTTGGTTGAGATTGAGCCGTGCCGTATTTTGGGATTGCCTTTGGGGTATTTGGTTTAGTGAGCTATCTACGATGTCGTTGGTATGGGCCGATGTGCACTTATAGATCTGCGGGCCGCAAAGCTTAAATAGGAGATCCACTGTGTATCTATTGTACTGGCCCGGATTATTTTATTGCCCTTCTCCTGGACTTTATCAACAATATGCCTTGGTAAGTGTTTCATTAATCTACTTATAGAAATGTCGTCCCAATCATCCGAATGCGTTGTCTGCGTGGACGATGCCTATCAAAGGTAGTTATTGACCAATCTGAAATATCTGAGGCACATGACCCAGGAGAAGTAATGAATGACCACATGTACATCATGCTAACTATATTTTAGCAAGGTCAATATAGTGTTTGGACATATAGTCATCTTCTGTAACCTCCCACTTTGATCTAGAAAAGAAGCTTGGGTTTAGATAAACCGACATCTCTGTGCCTTCCTTTCGAGGGGCAAGACCAATTCTGATATCAAACTGAATTAGCTTTCTTTTTTTCCTAGCCCCGAGAAGCTTACTCTGAGATAAAATTTGTTGGCGATGAAGTGTCAGCGAAGTGCTGTAATATTTCTGCATGGGCAGCCAGTGGACAATGGCGCAGTAACTGTTTGGCGACCACAGAATCCCTGCGAGGAATCTCATGACACATTATATAGAGCTTGCTCGAGAGATTTCTCTTCAAATCATAGCTTTTATCCATCGCACTGGGCAATGAGGACGTCGTCATTTCATATAAAATCAAACAATTCTTCGGACCGGCTTCCGGTCTGGTATGTATCCACTCCTCGGGACTGGTTGCAAGCGATGTCCACAGGTTGCAAGCTGTCGAGCGAAAGTCTTCCGGGTATGTTATTGCCCCGTCGAGATTGAGATGTCTTTCCCAATCATCGAATGATCTCCTCTCATTGAACAAGCATCGCGCGTAGATCTTGATCCTTGATGCCGGGAAAGTTGTCGCATCCACCGACAGCATCCGAGGCACGAGGGCTTCCGGATTACTTTCCATATGGGCCCGAACCTGTGCCCACGAGGAAAGGAATGTCGAGGAGGCAAAGTATTCATCGACCAGTGCAGATCTGGCAAAGGCTTTGTCAAGAAGCTCCAATGCACCCTTCGTATCCTGACATGTTGGGAGACGCCAGTACATCTTGCCACTGATGACAGAACGGTTAAGATCAAAGCCCACAAAGGCTGATGAAGGGCCACAACGAGTGCAGCCGCCATCAGGGTGGATACTGGCCTCATGGCTACGAAGGGTCTCTGAAATCCCCTTCCATAAATCTGGTAGTACATGCAGAGTCCGTGTCATGCCCTCGCTCTCAGAAACTCTTTTCAGAGTCTCAATGAGGTTAAGAGATTGCGTGAGGGATGCAGCTCTAGTATTCTCCAGATTTGAAGGTATGATATCATTGACAAACCGAACGATCGGCTTGTATTTTTGCTTGTAGCTCTTCCAGCAAAGACTGAGCTCAAATGGGGTTAGGTCCTTTGTCATCGATGAAGCATAGCGAGGCATGTAGCGGCTGCCCCCTATGGGGGCTGGGCCAAGATATCGCGAAATATGGTCCAGAAAGAACCTGACATGTCTGTTAATTTCCTCGGAGCTATATTTGCCAGCGTGAATCAAAGCGTTTTCTAGGTATGGTACCAGCAATTGGCCCCATCCAAGTCCACAAGATCTCACATCGCAGTCCCCATTGGTAAACTACCAGGGATTTTAGTAGACATATACATACATTGGCAATGAGGATTATGTATCGTACCAGCTTTTGGAGATGATCTGTCATCTTCTTTCTTTGGATCTACTCGTTGGCAGGATAGATCCGTATGGGTGAAATGATGTGTGTAGGTGACAGAATTGAGCTTAGAGAGCGGGGAAGAACATCTCTGTGACTGGGAAGTAGCATTGGCAGGAACTTCATTTTACGCGAAGCGAATTAGAGCTTTCTGGAAACTCGAGGGCTGTGGTACAGGGGTGTCTGAGGTGGCTTAGAAGGGACAAGTATGCCCCGGGGATGGGTTCAATGAAGCGGTACCAGCAGTGAATCACGGGCTCCGCTACTTCTCATGCATGTACTCCGCCACATACTCCAGGTCATGTTTCACTTTCCCTCCTTGGCGTCGAGGGTAAGCGTTACTTGGATCGGATTACGATACCAAAGAGATTTCTCAAATGCAAGCATAACTGCTGCGTGCTATTGTTGCAGGCCCCGGTGTATCAGGTTTCTCTTGATAAATGGCTGGTTGGAGTGGAATGTCTTTCGGCGGGCTTCGAGACGATCTGCCACATGACAGCGCGAAAACCTAATGAGACTAAAAGATCAATGTGCTTACTGGTATTATATCAGCGAAAAAGCCTTATCTGTTTGAACGGAAATCCAAATTAGGTTGTTTCTAGGGCCATGACTCTGCCGAGTGTTACTTTGTTTCACAACCACTAAGTGGTAAATTCAACTTGGAACCGCCTGAAAAACACTGATTAGAAGTATCCTGGACAATGTTTATGGCCTGAGTTCTCACTCCTATTATACCGCGACAGAAGTGCATATCATTTGGTTCCTTTTCTATAACAAATATCGTATTTGTCTCCGAGCGAGGATATCTGTACATGAGATATATATATGAGTTGTGACCGAATAGTACACACAATTTTGTTTGACATACAGCTTGTATAGCCTTTCTCCACCATACTACATGAGCCTGAATTCACTAAGTGGCCTCCTCGATCAATATACAAAGCCCGTCAATTAACCAATCCATATCTAAATGATTGATTCACTTCCGACGCCACCGCTTCCGAAAGCATCATCGACCGACCTTACCCTTCTCGGATGTGGGCTACATGATTTGATGTGAAAAAGCACAGAGGAAGTTGTAATACCGAATTTCAATCATACAAGAACCAGCTAGAAGATCTCATACCCACCACCAAGTGCCCTGGGCCGACGGCGGATGTATAGATGGCTAGCCGACGGCACTTCTACATCGCAGCCATTGACCATTCAACCATGGATAAAGACATGCATGTATAAGCAGAGAAATTGAGCAAGCGAGCTAAAAGACCAATCTAACTTCCTTATAGTACAGTAAATTTAAAGAAAGTCCTCTATAATTAACGTCATCTTCGATAAGATCGGATACGCCCCTTCCGATGCTTCCCCTCATGAAATAGACAAAGTCCCGCAACCAGAGCTCAACTTCTTTTTCCTCTTTCCACGCTTTCTCTATTTAAATTCCCCGTTTCCAAACCATCAATTGAAATCACGAAGCCCAAAGAAAGCATATTCTGAACCAAATCCACCAAAATGTCCTACCAAATCGCCTACGACACTGCCCGCGCACCTCCCCGCGGCGCCGCCCTCATCGCATTCATGGAAGACTTCTACCGCACCAGCGACACAGAGTCCTTGCACGAGAAGTATGTCCAGAGCTTCACAGAGGATGCGACCCTCATTATGGGTCCTAAGGAGGCGAAGGGTGCCAGTGGTATGCTTCCTCATCTCACCTCCGAATTCCACTCCAAGCAGCAAATGCAGCAACCCAAAGTTCATATGGACATATCGTTCCTTCTGATGCCACCGCCACATCTGAAACAAGCCAATTAACAACTTTATTCAACATAGAAATTCTGCCCCTCCGCCACGGTCTCTGGACTCACGTTGCCGCACGCCGACACACACCTACACGAATCTTCTTCAGCGGCGACAATGAGATTATGTTGTACGGTGGTGTGAACTATAGGCTCAAGACTAACCCCGACAATGAAGTCTATGTGCCTTGGGCTGGACGGGTTGTCTTTGCGCCTCAGAAGGAGGGTGAGGATGTTAAGATGCAGTTCTATCAGGTTTACTTGGTGAGTAATAAGCTTCTTGACGGGTTTGTCTCATGAAGTGTTGATGCTAACGGGTCGTAGGATACTGCCGCTCAGTCCGGAAAGAAATAAAAGCACTTGGTTATATAGTTAGATAGGAATTGAGTTGATTTGTAAATATAAGAGCTGAGCTATGTGATGCTATCCGGACAATACCATACCGAGGGTTGGACGATACACAAATCCAGAAATACATACCAGACTGGATCTACGCTACGACAGGAGAGATTGAACGGTTTTGAAGTGTTTCAGACATGCTCTTTATTTCCAGGAGACCGCGAGAGAAAACAGGAACAAAGACGCCGTAGGGTTGGTCGGGTCAAAGAGGTGAGGGAGATCATAAAACATGTCAAAGGGGAAAAAGATCACCCCCCGTCTAGCGCACAAGTCAAGAAAGTCAAGTGCCTCGACAAAAAGAGGGAAGGAATTGGGAAAGACCGTCTCGTCCACTCTTCTCTCTCGTTCAAGTCTCCGGATTTGATGCCTCTCCTCATGCACTCTCCACCCCCATATCTCTCTCCGCTAGCCCCGTCTGGTCGTCAGATGGTGTGATAAAAAAAGGTGATGGAATAGGAAACAAGTAAGAAACAAACGTAAAGTCGAACGGGACCGAGCCTCCGATATTTTTATTTTTGTGCCGTCATTTCCAAATCTTTGCAAACGCAACGCCGTAGCGCGGGGAAGCAAAAAATACCACAAAAACAAACGACTTATCCCCGAACTATTAAAAGCCCTGTTGCAATACGTTTATTCCTCATCAGACTCCTCCTCCTCATCGACGGTGGTCTTGGCGATACGGTCCAAGTCACGCTGGCCGGACTGGGTGATGCGGCGACCACCCTTGTCCTCATCGGTCTCGAGGACACCGATCTTCTCGAGGGCCTGGAGGGCCTTGCGGTCGACGGAGCCGGAGGCATCGACGTGGTGGGCAGGACGGGCACCACGGTTCTTGGTGGAGCCGTGGACCTTGCGGAGGCGGCCGACACCAACGGTCTTGCGCATGTAGATGTGGCGGGCACAGGCGGCGGCGCGGACGTAGAACCTGGAAAAGAAATCAATATCAATTGCTTGTTCTGTTACGGGTCATAATGGCGTGATCGTACCAGTCAGCATCCTGGGGAGGGAGCTCGTTGGAGGCAGAGGTCTTGACAGTGTCAACCCAGCCGGGGATGGGGAGCTTTCCCTGACGCTTCAGGAAAGCAGAGTAGGCAGAGATGAACTTCTGCGCCTGTAGGGGTGAAAAAGAGACATGTTAGCCACGGCGCCTTTTGCAAAATGTGTGGTGGATCGGTCAGTCTGCAAATTTGCAGATATGGTCGGGTTCGTTTCTGGTTTGCAGTTCATCACATTTGTCGTATTTTCTTGCCAGCGTGTTATAGTCTCTAGCATCGAGTATCCAAGATAGAATACCGAATGATGGATGGAATCCATTGAGATTTGGTCCCGCCAAAACAAGCATGCATATCCTTCAAGGTTGATATTTTTCCGAAGACAACAGGATCACCTGTCGCCTGTTTTGTATTCCATGCGATTTATTTCCATCCTGGCGATAATATCCGATTGAGTTTGTGATTCCGTGCATCCAGAAACGAACCGTCCACATCACCAAAGGAGACCAGGTGAGCCGATCACCTGAAAATCGAGCAGGACACTTACGTCCACATCGCGAACGGTAACACCACCCATTTTGGCGACTTGTCGAGTGGTCGAAGGGTAGGGATTAGAGAGAGAGAGGCGTTGGGCGTCGAGGTGGGCAGGGTCGAAGTCGAAGAGTCGCTCAAAATTTCAAGACACACACAACGCTGGGCGGGTTGGGTCTGTGTGCCGTTCGCTTGTCCTTTTTGGGTTAGCCGTACCCTAAGCTGAGTCATGTGACTAGTGGCCTGACGGGTCGGGCAGCGATAGCCCTCAGTTGGCGCCTGAATTCCCAGGCACCATATAATTCACATCTAAGTTACCCCAACTAACATACAATTTTCACACACTATTGCTTTTGGAAGCTTGATTCACAGTAACATGTCTATCATTCAAGTTGTCATTATTCATTATTGTAGGAAAATAAAATAAGAATAGCCTATCCCCCAATGCCTGAACCTAAAATCCTCGCTCCAGTACCCATATGCCAAAAGAATCAAATTACAACGTGGGCGCTCTCTTCAGCCCAACGCAATACCGTACAAATAATGTGTCAACGAAGTGACCATGTCGAATGCCAGGTGGTCGGCACCGATTGAACTCATCAATTGCCTGCTGCACGCCGAAGTCAAGACGCTCTATGAGATAGCAGGTAATCAGAAACCCGGTGCGGTTGTAGCCATAATGGCAATGGACTCCAACCAATGGTCGAGGCAAAGAATTGTCCTCGCGTTTCTCCATCTTCTCATCGATTTCCATTTGCAGGCTATCAACAAGGGCGATGAAGTCGCGCGTCTCGTCTGGGGTTGGTGGGATTTTAGACACAGTCGGGTGCTTGCAGTAGCGAATGCCACCTTTCTCCATCTCAGCCGGATTGTAGACCGGGCTTTCATGACTGATGTCAATGACAGCGTGGATGCGATCGCGGTATTTGGCCGAGAATAACACAGGGTTGTGTTCCTCGTCGACCTCACGCAGCATCTTGAGTGCAGCAAAGGTATCGGCAATCCGTTCCGAAACTGGGGCGACCTTCTTCCACTTGGCAAGGTTCTTAACATCCCACTTTCCAGACGTGTTCATGAATTGTAATTGCCAGCCAAGGCCAAGACGCTTGTCAACATGGGATGAGAGGAAATCTTGAATGATTCCTGCAAGGGTGCGATAGGTGGCTCGGTCGTAGAGCAATGCATGGGCTGCGGGTGCAGGCAGGATGGCTGATTTGACCAATCTCTTGCGGGTACCGGTCTGTCCATCCTGTCCCATTCCCTTCTCCTCGGCGGCGAATCCAAGTCCGAACTGCTTTTCACTCACAAGACCATCGACCGGGGCTGACATTTGATCATGAACCCGCGATGCGTCTGGGACGATGCTGCTTTCAGTGACATCGATCGGTGTTTGGGCCGAAGCATCTCCGAAGAACTTCAGAAGCTTCTGCACCTCGATTGGTTTCGTAACCGCATCTGCTTCTCCCGCGACCAGGAGAATTGGCATGCGGACCCCCGCCCAGACCTTTTCGCCAGGAAGTCCACCAATCGGCTGACCATCATTCCCATAGGTGGGAAGAGTACCCCAGGCCATGCGACGCCAGACAGGAGTTTTGCTCTGTTTGTTAAATCGCACCTGAAGATCTCGTGTCTCGATGTCGGCATCACTGCCGACCATTCTTGCGACGCTGGCACTCTGTTCGCCTCCGCGTCGATCCCAGCGGCGCCAAAGATCGAAAATCAGACCAGGAACATACAGCAATCGGCGGAAGACAGCTGTTTCCTCCGCCGATGGAGGCGATGCTCGAGGACAGACAGCCACAAGTCCGATAATGTGGTCTTTCAGTTTTGCGCCGATGGATGAAGTTGATGAAGCTATCAAAGCTGACAAAGAACAGCCCAAGCTGTGTCCAACCAGAACAACTTGCTGACCAGACTGCCGGTCTCTGTGCTGTTCAATCGCCTCGACGAGTAATTCAGACAGCGCCTCCACTGAGTACGCACTCCAATCCGTAGGCGCAAACTTGGACAGTCCGCACCCCGGTAGGTCAATACCGAAGCATGATCCAACGTTAGAAAGGCTGGTGAGAAGGTGATGGAATTGTGCGAGAGATCCGCCTAGTCCATGGATAACCACAATGAGCGGCACGGGTGTAGGCTTTGTAGGAAGCCTAGCAAGGTGTGGATGGGGACTGTAGAACGTGCGGATAGCGGGATAGGTAGCGAATGAGGTAGTGTAAGAGTTGTATGTAGTGAATTTCCTGAGAATACCCGGGTCTGTCTTGTGTGCTGCACGATAGTCAGATTATAGAGTTCAAAGTATAAGATTTGCATTGCATGACATACCATCAGAGCTCTGCTTCTGAGGCTCCGAGAGCCAATCCTCCTTGGGCTTGTAGTTAGGATTGGTGCCATGACGCAACGACGCATTGCTATCATAGTCTTCATCCTCGTAGTCATCCTCCTCCGAAGAGCTGAGGGTCTTTGATGAGGACTTGGTCAAGCTTTTGCGGATGGAAGGGCGCTGCGCACGAGAGCCATCCGAACCCGAGCGCTTGTGCCTGATCAGACACGACAACAGTCCACAGCCAGCCATTGCGATCACACAGGTAGTCAAGAACACAACTTGACCCCAGTTCACGGTATCATTCCGGTACAAGCCACGGAGGAAGTTGGCGACAGAGGAAAAAGAAGTATTATGAACAGTCGCGCGAACCGAGTGATAATATCGCAGGACAGCAGCGAATCCTGAATTGTTGGGTTGGGAGGTCAAGGAGTCGTAGAGGGCCGAGATGGTAACGGACCCCATGGCGATTAAGTACACCCCGGAGGAGGGCCTGGATCTGGACTCTGCAGAGCCCCCAGTGTTCCCAGCACGCGAGAACGCGCCCGATACTCTTTGGGTACAGCACAAAGAGCCCGAGGCCAATAAGAGGGGCGAGATCGTCAACGTTGAAAAGTTGAAGAAGAAAAAGTAAAGAAAGTTACGGCTCAGCCACTCAGAGCCTCGGGACGGACGGCGTGGGGGTGAGTCATCCATCTAGTGGGGCCAGAGTGACTTGGGATTGTATGGCAGTTACTATGGGTGGTCAAGTACCCTAAGTCAGGGATAAGGAGTATAACATCTCCCTTTTCCTGTTTCCCCAACGCTATTTCGAGATATATCAATCGGCCCCATTTGGCTCGTCAGCGGCGTCATCCTGCAGCATGGGTGGCTGCTGACTCTCTACTGGCCAATTCCAAGCGGGTCTCCGAAGATCTCATCAACTATGGATCTTTCTATGGTTTCTAGAAGACGGCAGAGTGACTATTTGTGGATCGTAGAAACGTTAACATGCTCTATACTATACTCAGGTGACTTCTGATCCGAACTCCCCGAACCCCTTAAAACAGATCCGTCATGGCTCCTTGCGACGCATCACTGACCAATCGGGCGTACTTGGCAAGCACACCGCGAGTGATTTGCGGTGTAGGGGGTGACCACTGGTGACGTCTCTCCTCAATCTCCTTATCTGACACATTCATGGAAAGTGAGTTGGTCTCAGCATCAATGGTGACGATATCTCCGTCACGGACCAATGCAATCGGGCCACCCACAGCGGCTTCAGGCACAATGTGCCCAACAATGAACCCGTGGCTGGCACCTGAGTAACGTCCATCGGTGATCAGAGCCACGTTTGTCAACTGAGCACCCATTAGGGCGGCACTGGCCTTAAGCTGTTCCGGCATACCCGGGCCGCCCTTAGGGCCCTCGTAGCGCACGATGATGACAAGGTTCTCACCGCGGGGGATGCGACCTTCATTGAGAGCCTCGTTAAGTTGGTGCTCCTTGTCGAAGACGCGGGCTTTGCCACTGAATCGGAGACCTTCCTTGCCGGTAATCTTGGCGACCGCGCCGCCGGGTGCAAGGTTTCCACGTAAGATCTGGATGTGGCCAGTGGCTTTGATTGGGTTGTCCAAGGAGCGAATCAGATCTTGGCCTTCAGGCAGGGATGGAAAGGAGGCCACATTCTCGGCAAGAGTCTTGCCTGTCACAGTGGGGATATCTCCGTCTAGCAAACCGGCTGCAATGAGTAGCTTTTGGACAGATGGGATACCACCGATCTCATACAGATCGGCCATGTAGTACTTCCCACTAGGTGATAGGTTGGCAATGAAGGGGATCTTGTTGCTGACCCGCTGGATGTCATCTAGGGTGAGGCTGACACCGGCCGTCCGGGCCATGGCCAGGAAGTGAAGCACACCGTTGGTGCTACCACCCAAAGCCATGGTCATCACCAGGGCATTCTCAAATGACCGCTTGGTCAGCAGGTCCCGAGGTCTGATGTTCTTCTCCATACAAATTTTAATGGCCTCGCCAACGCGGACACACTCACGCATCTTGGACGGTGACTCGGCAGGCGTGGAAGATGAGCCGGGCAGAGAGAGACCCATGGACTCAATGGCAGTGGCCATGGTGTTCGCTGTGAACATACCACCACAGGCACCAGCACCAGGGCAAGCGTGCTGTTCTAAGTCATCCATGATCTCGTCCTGGGTCTTGCTGGTGTCACCGCCATCTTCAGGCTGGCGCAGAGTGCCGTAGGCGTAGGCTCCGGCAGCCTCGAAGCAAGTCGAAACATTGATGGGCTTCCGGAGATGCTCAGAGTATCCAATGGCAATAGTTCCACCGTAGATCATAATCGAAGGGCGGTTGTGGCGAGCCATACCCATCACAACGCCAGGCATGTTCTTGTCACAGCCGGGAATGGCAACACAGGCGTCGTGGTATTGAGCACAAGTGACAGTTTCAACACTGTCGGCGATGACCTCTCGGGTCTGAAGAGAGAATCTCATTCCTATAGGGGAATTAGCGGTGGTTCTTTCTCAACTGCAAGGCCTCTTGTAATGAGACTCCCCTTCACTGCCCATAGTGATGGCATCCGAGACACCAATTGTGTTGTACTGCCATCCAATCATGCCCTTATCCATCACTGACTTCTTAACAGTCTTTCCCAAATCCAGCAAGTGCATGTTGCAAGGGTTGCCCTCCCACCATACTGAGGCGATACCGACATGTGGGCTCTTGGCCATTGCTTCCTTGTCGGGGACACCGGCGGCGTAGAGCATAGCCTATGGCGAGTTAGCAGTGGCCCTCATAGCATTGCGTATTCAGACCTACCCTTGCGCCGGGGAAATCATGGTCCTTGGTGATTGTGTGGGAATAGCGATTGAGTGCGGGGGAGCCATCCGGATGCTTCGCGTCTGCGGGCAGAGAAGGGAATTTGATGTACTTGGCTTCGCTCAGCGAAGACTCTTGCTTGGAGGAATCCATGATCAAGTATAATATGATAGAAAACTAAGACAAGAAAGAAAAATGAGATTAGGGATTAATCACACAACCGAGCTTGAGGAACTCGCACTCAAGTCCGACCCCAGTGGAGCCCCGCGTTCCTTGGAGTTCGACCACTCAGCAGTCGCGGATTGATCAGATCGGACTTGCGCCTAAGTCTCCCCGGGTCCGGGGGATCTCCAAGGACGATTTTTGCCTTGGCAAGCATGTATGATATTTACACTGCTCAATCCAACACAGTAGATTCCATGTAGTCGATGCCGGTCACGTGGGCATATACTATACATCTTATTCAGTCTACTATCCAAATACGACAAGCGGGTGTCATTTCACTATTCAGACCTATACAAGCTAGTATGTTATACTGAAATATAGCTCTGACACAGCCTTCAACCTCATTCCCGATGAATCACGTTGGGTTTCTCCAGATCATCCTCGTTGAAACCATCAATGCCAACAGGGGAAAGGTCTTTCCCATGGCGACCAATTTGATGCCAAGGCAGAGCAAACAAGGCATCCATTGACTCAAGACTCCTTCCAGCAGTCTCGGGAACAAAAAACCAAACCCACAGTAAGCCGAGGACACATACCGCAGTACAAAAGAAAAAGAAGCCGTAATTCGTCATGGCAATGACCATACTAGGTACAGCCTTAGTATTGCCAAACTGATTGGCGAAGTGGATGCACATCACGAGAGATGACCCGATGGCACGCAGCCGACTGGGATATATCTCCGCATTGACTAAATATTGGAACGAATTCCAACCCATCGCCCAACCAAATCCAGAAAGGTAGATGGCTGCAATTGCGCCAATGCCTGCGCGTTTAGCAGATCCCGTAATACCGCTCGTGTCGTCGACACGTGCCGAGGCTGGGATTTTGGCCAGATAAATTGCGATATAGCAGATGGAAACAGTCTGCAGCATGATTCCTGTGTAAAGGGAGCGACGACGACCGAAGAAATCAACAAGGAAGAATGCGCAGATGTAGGCAGAACAAAATTTGACAACACCAAGGATGCATGTGGCAAAGAGCTGCTCGCTTCTGCCAGTCTTGCCAAGCGCAGCGAAGAAGCTGGTTGCGTAGATAGTAATTGCTGATGCGCCAGACCATTGCCCGAGTAGCTGAGACATCACACCCAGCATCAAACGATAGCGATTTGCTGGAACTGTAAAAAGTTCCTTTAGTTTGCCGTAGAATGAAGAGCCTCGGGTGCTTTCCTGTTCCCTTTCCAGCTGATCACGGACGTCGAGAATTTCAGAAGTGATGCTTGGATGATCCATAGGAAGCTGGCGTAGCGTGCAGAGATTCGTCAGAGCTTCTTCATCCTTTCCTTTCATTACAAGGAAGCGAGGACTCTCTGGAACGGTCCAAGATGCAAGGAAGATGACTCTGGCATCCAAAAATTGTCAGTCTGTGGCATGCATGTCGTGAGAGGACCTTTAAACATGAATCACTTACCCTGCGAACATGATATGAATTGACTGCGGAATCACCCACTGAGAGCGCGAAGAACCCGATATATTCTCCGAGCAACCCCAATTCGCAAAATAGGCAACCATAACACCGAAGTAAACAGCACCAGCAAAGATATTCGTCAACATACCACGAATCGCCTTTGGGGCAACCTCTGCTAGATACGTCGGGCCAACGACAGTAGTCATACCAACACCGAGACCAGCCAAAAGTCGACCGGCGAGAATTTGTCCAATGTTGCCAAAACTGGTAATCACAATTACGAAGCCGAGACCCCAAAGCAAAGTGAGTGCTTGAAGTGATCTTGCACGACCGATGCGATCACACAGAAGAAACGCCAGCAAAGCACCGCCTATAGAGCCGAGTTGTACCATACTTGTAATATTGGATTCGCGGTTAGCGACCTCTTCAGCGGAGCCCATTTCCAATAGAAATTCCTCTTTGAAGCTTTGCATTGTGATCATGCCACCGACGAGGCCTTCGTCAATTCCTCTACCCGCCCCAAGGATACCTATGATGATATATTAATACAATATACTATAAGGCCACATGGGTATACGTACCGAAGACCCCCACAGCCCAAAATAGACGATAATTGAAAACCTCCTTAGGAGTATCGGCCAGGCCTAGACGATTGAAGAGAACCATACCGACTACAACGATCGATATCTGACTGTTACGTGCAGATTAACAGAAAGAACTGTACTTGCAGTCTGCCTTGTGAATCGAGTGAAAGAATACCGGAACGATTGAATGGAAATCTTTGCAGTCTTATATTCCCCGGATGTGGGACAATCCTTGAGCAGTGATACCAAATGCGGGGAGTTACATCAATCATGAGAGAGCTAATAGAGTTCTGGAGACGTTGTTTCAGAGCCCGGAACCCAAGAGGGGGAAATGGTTGAATTTCTGGCTTCTACATTTGCCGAAAACACCCGCAATTGGTCTGCTCTCGGGGTAGTGAAGATGAAAATATGCTACTAACTGAAAGGATCAGATCATTTACCGAGCCAAGACAGCCAACAACCCCTCTGCGTAACCCAGAGAGACCAAACAGAGCGCATATTTCTCAGAATATGCCGCGTTAGCCTAATTTAGTATGAGATTTGATGGAGGTTGACCGAGTCTACTGGCCGCTACAATGACACGGTGATAAAAATGCCGATTAGATACGCGACGAGATCCTCCATCGAATCGGGGGACTTGCAGGAATGTCAATCTGGGGAAGAGGTGTCTCGGAACTTGACCGACGAGATTGATCACCTCTGCCCAAATTTCTTGGCTCGGTGCTAGGACCTCGACTTTGAAAGATGAATCTTGTTGCCAGGCAATGTTAGAGCTTATCTGGCTAAGACCTGTGGAGCTGGTAGCGGTGCATTTGGATAGATAGCTGATGTGCAAACTTAATATATGTACTGCATTTCACTACTAAGTCATATGTGCTCGCCTAGACAGACTTTAATACTCAAGCATCGGATAATTTACTATTATGCATTCATATATTTTCCCTTGGCCATCGATTCTGACCTCTGTGCCACCTGTTTATCCCGATCTCCAGCAGCCAAATCAATCTTAGCTCTCCAGAGTGTCCACCAACGCCCACTGAAGAACTCATCCATCCGCTCCATCAGCACACCCTTAATAATCCAGATGGGAACATTTAGATGTCCGACATCCAAACAACGACGAAGAGTTGCCAGCTGCGGAGTCTTCCCAGTCTATCATTCAATGATACTGATAAAAGATCCCAACTCTGTGCCAAGAATGCCAAAGGATGAGAGATTGGCTTTTCTACTGGCGAGACCGGACGCATCGCCATGCCAGAGATCTGGCAGGAGGCCAAAGTCTGTCTTGAAAGAGCTCAGACCGACGGAAGCACTGAAACTGCCCTCATGATACCCCGTAGATGTTCAAACTCTATATGACGCGAAAGTAAAATAGAGGAATGAAGTACCTTTGGGGGTAGATCCACTTGCAAGGTTAACCTGAGGGTGGTAAATTACCACCAGATTTGCATCCCAGCGGCAATACGTCTCTCAGCCTATGTTGTATGGTTACTTTGGTTTCAAAATGATAGAGGAGGCCATGTAAGACCACAAGAAATCTCACTACACAACGACCGCTCAACAGCGGTCAGCTTCGACGGATACATACATGCATCATCTTCGGTCCTCTTCCCATTACTAGCCTGCACGCCCTTTCAATCGTCAATTTGTATTATGTAGTATGATCAGTCGACTCCTGAGGACAGTGAAGCATCCTTCCTCACTATTCTAATTTACAACACAATATCCAGTAATAAATGTATCTATCTTCATATAGCGGCATTCATCTTCCCCTCCTTTAATCTCTTGTCTTCCCGTTCGCTAAAGCGATCACCGAAAAGCCCGATATGAGGGCGCATCAGAACTGTGTATTTGACAAATTCCTCCATGCAATCTACCAGACGATCTCGGTTGCCACTGGGCATGAGCCGTTGATCTTCTGGTTGACCTTCATCCGGAAATTGTGTATATGCTCTGGGGATCGAGGATTGATTCGGGATAGTAAACATGCGCATCCATCGACCAAGAATCCGCAGAGAGTTGACGGCATTGAACGATTGGGATCCACCACAAACCTGGGCAATCGCTAGCGTTCGGCCCTGCGTGGGACGAACACTCCCTGTGGTCAAAGGAATCCAATCAATCTGGTTTTTGAAAACAGCGGTCTAGAATTGTGGGAAACCATGAGATGAGTTATTGCGCTAAGCGCTTGAATCATTGTGATAGAGAGGAAACTCACTAGATTGCCGTGCTGTTCAGGCGAGACCCAGACATGACCATCACTCCAACGGCTAAGCTCTCGGAGTTCCTGTACTTTCGGGTGGCTTGTATCGCTGTCGTTCTTCACTGGAAGGCCTTCAGGGTCGAAGACGCGTACATCACAGCCGAGCCGGAACAGGATACGAGAGGCTTCAAACGCCACGAGACGTGAATATGACCTTCTTCGAAGGCTGCCATAAAGCACCAGAACTCTCAACCTCTCATTCGTATTCCGTAGGTTATGCTCGGCCATGTCTAGAGCCGTGGCCAGCTCTAAGTTGTTGACCCAGTCCTCAGTCACATTGCCACTAAGAATGAACGGTCGGTACTTCTGGCGAGTATCTGGGTCGTCTTCATTTGGAGGCAATGCCAAAGATCGATAAAAGGCCTCTGTTTGGCGGGTATCTGGAACCACTTGCTGAGGGACAGCGGAATGCATCCTTTTTGAATATACGTGTCGTAGCAAAAAGGGTCCCAAAGGATTTGCCGGCGTAATTGTCGGGCGCAATATTCGTATAGAATGAAGAAGCATAGAGAATTTGATATATGGCGAGGGTAAACGAGAACAAAAACCGACAGCCGAAACTTTAGGGTTTTACAGATGAAGTGAATGGAAGGAGTATGTCACCGGCGAAATATGATTGGACAGGTTATATCAACGTACCCAATGGGTCTTCCGAGAGCCCGCCTAGTGTATTTTTACGCTCAGTAGGATTGCATTAGTGGCCGAGGATTCGATGTGATTAGTTAAGGATGGCTACCATACAGCTTTTGGTGAACCTCCGGAGAGCATTCCAAACACAATCTTAAGAGAAGCAAACGTATGGATGGTATTCCATGGGTGGTGATTGTGGAAGAGCCCAAATAACACATACTTTTTCAAATCAATCAAGGGGTCACAGCCCCAAGATGGAATAATTGTGCCTACAACCAGGAAATGATAACCTAGGCTGGTACGTAACACCGAAGTAGCGTCGAGTTATCAGTCACAATGAATGCAAACGGAAGAGCCACTAGAAATTCTTCAAGATTATCTAGATTTATCTCAATTAGAAATCGCTCCTTGTCTCTGACTGCGTATGGCTCATATCAAGTCTTGTTCATGTAATATTGGACAGAACTGATTATCAATTGTATTATTCATAGTATATGCACGCCTTCACTAGCCTCTTCAATATTAGTGCGCGAATACCAACAAAGTAGTCATCTGCAAGACGGGAAATTTTCCTTGCCTTGCGTTTTAATCCTTCCAGCCAGCTCGTTTGGCTATTAATTTGACAACATAGACCAGGCCAAGCAGTACCGGGACCTCAATCAAAGGCCCGACGGTGGAGGCAAGCGCTTGGTTGCTGTTGGCACCAAATGTTGCGACAGCGACGGCAATCGCAAGCTCGAAATTATTGCTGGCTGCAGTGAAACTTTGAGTGGCAGCCAACTTGTAACCAAACCCGAGCTTGTAGGTCACAAGAAGGGTCACGAAAAAGACAACGATGAAATAAACAATAAGCGGAGCGGCGACTCGGACCACCGATACAATTTGATGAACCACCTGCCGGCCCTGGGATGCGAATAGCACAAGAATCGTGAAGAGAAGCCCAATGAGTGACCATGGGCCAGCCCATTTCAGGAAAACCTGGTCGTACCAACGAGGGCTAGTGATCTTTCGAAGTGCAATGCGGGTGATAATCGCAGCAGCAAGAGGAATACCAAGGAAGACTGCCACGCTTTTGGCAGCGGTAGAGTAAGACAGTGTAACTTGGCTGCTAGAGTGACTAATGACCTTGATGAAGAAAATGGCCAAGGGAGCGAAGAGCACCATTTGCAGCAACGAGTTAACCGCTACAAGAATAGCGCAGTATTCACTGTCGCCTCCAGCGAGACCAGTCCATATAAGAACCTATCAGCAATATAAATTAGTCTAGTTCGGGTATATAGGGGAGAAGGGGTTATGTACCATAGCAATGCATCTGGCCAATCCAACTAAGATCAAGCCTTCGCGAAGCTCTGGTTCATCCGGTAGAAAGGCCCATGCCAGTGCGAGCTGAGGAAGTATAATATTAGCAAGTTTCACTGCGGTGAGACGACCAAGACTCACCATCAAAAAAGGTGCAATAATCCAATTAACAAAGATACTAAATCCAATCTGGACCCAGATACCACGCTCTCGGAAGACGTGGTGTAAAGATTCATATCGCACTTTGCAAAGAATAGGATACATCATGACCAAGAGACCGATAGCTTGCAACGTTTAGTTGAAGTCTGTAATGCTAAAGATTGCTTGAGTACATACCAATCGGAATAGACACTCCAACGAATTGTCCCTTTTGAAGGGCGGGTCCCGTATTTTCCACAAAATTTCCCAGGATGATTCCGATTGCCATTGCAAGAAAAATCCAGATGGCTAAGAAGCGATCTAGCCAGCCAAGCCCTTTAAAGGCTGACTGCTTGGCTGTGGACTCCTCGGGTTCGTTTGTACTTTGTTTCTCAACGTCCCCGGTCGTGGGATTTGTTATATCATTGAATGTTGTGTTGTGAGATTGCGAACCGGCCTGCACGGGCAGATCTGCCTGAGGAAACCCGGTAGCCATCTTAAGGATCAGGAGATTGAATGCGCAAGATGCTTGGCCTGCAGATGTCTAGAAGGTGTTTTTTTGAATGTCTGCAACAATCGAGCGGGAAGTCTCTTAAATATGCAGAACTATAGAGCTCATCTTAATAAGAGAATCTACCGCTGGCTCTGATATTGTAAGACAGGGGATTGTGATAGCCAATCATACCGGGCGGATGACAGCTTGCCATTTTAGACCAGTGATAATCAAGGAGTGACATAGCGGCAATGCTCTAGGCTTGTGATTTGTCAGTGATGGTAGATGCTGCATTCTCCTTCCAAACCCCTCGACCAATGATAGTGCTGGAGTGACATTTAGAGTGCTCTAGAAACAGAGATGACCATACAAAGTAGTTGGCATTGACAACTCCCATGTGGCTTTTTACAGTTATTCTACCAGCTGCTTGCACAGAAAATTCAGCCATGTCCACCTTAAGTCATTTTTTATTGGCTAGACGGTGGTTTTGACTACGGCAATCTAGATTGTCTGAATGCTGATTCGGCATACACTGCGACTACGACTTACCAACATTCCTGTGGATAAACTCTAGGTAGTTGTGGGATGGTATTACTGCGTGCGAGAATGTTCTAGATTGATGAATCAATACGCAATCCCCTTCTCCAGCCAAATCGTAGTGTATAAAATCCAAGAACGGCCACTTTGTCCCTCTTGTTTGTACACAAATTTTTGCATCCCAATATCGCTTCTTCTTTCGTCCATATTATAATTTGAACGCTCCTACTATTCGACTTCCGCTGTCGTGATAATTTCATTCCGCATGTTCCAATAGCCGTTCGCCAAGACCACTCAACGCATTACTTGAAAGGCATTCCTATCATGGCTGAGATACCCAGTGTCTTATTTGTCTGCGTTCACAACGCTGGACGCTCGCAGATGGCTGCCGGCTTCCTTTTCCATCTCGCAGGTGACACCATCGAAGTTCGCTCCGCCGGATCGGCCCCAGCCGACTCTATCAATCCCGCCGTCGTCGAAGCCATGCGTGAAGAAGGAATCGACCTCAGCAACAACAGTCCCAAGATCCTAACTGCCGACGCAGTGCAAGCTAGCGATGTTGTCATTACTATGGGATGTGGGGACGTGTGCCCCTTCTATCCTGGCAAGCGCTATCTCGACTGGCAACTTGACGACCCCGCTGGGCAAGGCTTGGACGCTGTACGGGCCATCCGTAACGATATCCGTCATCGTGTTGAGAAACTCATCACTGAACTCCGGTCTCATAGTCCAGCATTTTGAGGACACTGTTATACAAGACCCAACCCAGGTGTTGATTTCATTCTATGCTGACCATGGTGAATGTCCGCGTGGCTGGCATTTCCAATGTTCCGTACTACGTATGATTCATCTTTCCGAGGCCCTGATGGCGCTTTTCGTGTATAACTGTTTCCCTCAATTCATCAAATCGAGCCAACAAATTCCCTTGCCACTGAAGGAGTTTATATCAAATCATGGGTAGAAGTGGTTTTTGACTGGCGTAGAAAAGGTCCTGTCCTCGTTGATCGAATGTTCAAGAGGAATGCGGAGGATTTATGGACATAGAAAAATAGTAGATAATTTCTTCATTTGTGCTTCTTGTTTGGCAATTTCATAATATTGGGTAACGAAAGTAAAACCTTATCAAATCACGAAATACCGAATGTTTAGTCAAACGATAGAAGATTGAATATCCCAGCTATGTCCAATTAGTGCTTATCCGAGTTGGTCATGCCATCAATCTTGGCACGGCAGTTTTTGAACATCTCAGCCATCTGCTCAGGAGTCCTGCCAGTAGAAGGAACATCCAACCCCTTCTGCACAGCAGCACGCTCATTAATCTCATCAACCCATTTCTTCAGAGCAGGGAATTCAGACAAATCAATCTCCAAAGAGATAGGAGCACCCCGAACCCAGGAGAAGTTAGCAATATCAGCAATAGTGTACTTCTCGCCTGCGAGGTAAGGGCTCTCTTGGAGACGAGATTCGAGAACAGAGTAGAGACGCTTGGTCTCTTCGATGTATCGATTAATGCCATAGTCGGAGCGCGCCCCAGCAAAGAGACGGAAGTGGTTTGCTTGACCTGTTGGGTATTATTAGCGAGGCGGGGTAAGATGGCTTGACCTGTCAGCGCGTACCCTGCATAGGTCCAAGACCGCCCATCTGGAACATCAACCAGGAGGTTTGCTCAACGTGCTCGGGGGTTCCCGGAGCGTAGCTGATCTTGCGATCGGTGTCGTACTTGTCGACCAGGTAGGTCATAATTGCACCGCTCTCGAAGACACGCTGCGAGCCATCGAGCATAGCGGGGATGCGGCCGTTAGGGTTAATCTTGAGGAACCAGCTGCAAGGTGGCTTTTGTCAGCATGCTGTTCCACCCCGGATGCGCCGGGATCTTACTCTTCCTTCTGGATATTGGTGCTAATGTTGATTCCCTCGGTCTTGTAAGGAATACCGAGCTCCTCGAGGGTAATGGAGGCCTTGACGCCATTGGGCGTGGGCCAGGTGTAGAGTGTGATGTTGGAAGACATTGTGGAATATGGGGCAAATGTTGATGAAACTCTGGAGAGCCGAGATGCTGCTTTTAAGCTGGGAGAGAACATTGGCAAGGGCAAGGTGACTGAAAGCCAATTCCGCTATAAGCTTCCGTTCATTTGTCAGCTCTCCGGACTTTCGGAGCTATCGGGATATGACGTCATTAATATAAACAAAAGCATATAAGTTATAAATGACTTGCACCTTGAAGTCATTTGATATCAAGAATGATATTTGTAAGCGACAAAGCACAGGAGTAGGTCTAATGTAAGCTACAGAAATCAATAGATTGATGCATGTCTTAGATATAGGGTATCTGCATAAAGATTGAGCCACGCAGTTCTTCTCGTATTGGTTGTCCTGTGACATCAAGTCACACTCGGGAAAGTCACGTTGGTGATGAGGTCAAGCACTGCCTTGGACATGGTGAAGCCGCCCTAAAACTCTGTTACGCGATTAGGGACGCGCTTGTTTGCTATCTTGGGTTTGCGGTTCCATTGAGAAGGATTAAGACGTGAAGGCACGGCACTCTGCAGAAAGAACTTGCAATCTTAAGGTAACTGGTCGAGTTCTTGCAGAATATTTGTGCCAACAGAGGCTATCTGTTGAAGTTCTCGGTGTAGGTGGCTGCCGAATTCTCCGATCGAGACAGACCAAGTCGGTGGGCTACCGCTGTGTGAGAATATGTGTAGTTTCCTGCCGGCTTGAGCGTGCAACACTCTGCCGCAGCTGTAGACGAAACCACGAGAGTCTACCTCCTGCACCGACATGCCATCAGAGGCTTCATTCAGTAAACTCGCGATTATTACATTCGGCTTGAGAAGTATTAATATGTTTTATTGCTTTTGTGAGGGTGTCAAACCATCAGCCTTGGTAAAGTATCAGGATTTGTGGAGCATGGCTTCGAAGTCCGACTACATCAGGCTTTGAGGTTACACTCAGAGTGTCCCAGTTCCTTGCTACTATTCGAGTTGCCAAAAGAAGGCCATGACTTTCCCTGATGTGTGCGGGTTAGCAATTAGTCTCCAATCAAAACTGGGCGCATAATGACACGAGCCTTGGGAAGTTGATGCTCACCCGTGGCATGGAAAAAAAAGAGACAGAAATTACAAAGGTATATTAATGTACCTTACAAAGTGATAGAGTGAGGTAAAGAGTTCAGGAAAGCGAAATGCACGAAAGACCAAATACTGTAAAAAGTAATACGGAGTACGTGGAACATGCATGCGAGGCTTGGCACTGCGGCTCTTCAAAGAGTGGGGCAGCCCGCAACTTAATTCAAGCCCCACCTTTGACAGACCCATGGATCATCCTCGTCACTTCTCATGACTCAATATTATTTTTGGGCAGACGGTCGAAAGCTTGAATATGTTGAGTCCTAAGAAGCGCAAAGATGGAGAGAGATTATCTTAATTCAGCTTTTTGGTAAGAAAAGAGAATTGGTGGAGCACAGGGAATTCAGGAGATTAACTGGAGATTAACAGCAAGAGTAAAGGGTTGACTGAGATGCTTCAAATAACCTGGAAAATCAAAGGACTAGATGGGAGAGGACTGGACTTCAACCACGTGAGACAGGGCATTCGGATGTTTCGAGTTCAGGAGAGTCGTCGACCCAGACCATGTTTGCCCCCAAGGAACCAACAAAGAAGGACCATACTTGCCATCAGGCTTCCGTTTATTTCAAGTCTTATACATTATTGAGAGCTCAGGTACAAAGCAAAAGAAGGTCAAGCAAAGCCTGGAGACTGTGAATGGCCCCAAGTCCTATCAATCAGGCAAAAAGAATAGAAAAAAAGGGGGGGGTCTTGCTTGCGTTGGTGGTCTGGGCGAATGACGTCAACCTGTGAACCTGCAATTTGCGTATGACATCAACTTCATCACAGAGGGAGTTTGAACCTTCCAGTACCAGTCAGAAGAATGCTGTTTCGCCGACCCTGGACGACAGCCATCGCACCTCCTTTCGTTGTGCACAATTTCCAGAACGCGAATTCTAGAATTGTCTTCTGCAGCGCTCGAACCGGGGAGCTCTCCTCTTATTGCCGATTTCCACTACCTTCTCAGGATCTTATTGCCTCCAGTAGTGGCTCTTTACCACTGAGCTAGTGGGGCCGCGAGTTAGTTTACCCTCTTGTCTTGCCATCATCTAGGCCCTTCTTCAGGTTTATGCTCGTTTCCTCGGACCCATGATCCTCCCTGCTCTTTCTGATTTCATCTGAAGGCTTGTATAATGTTATACCTCGCCTTCTGCACGATTTGAGACTAATATCCTCGAGCTACTTGCTTTTTTGGGCGATTATGCATAGATCCATACCCACATCACGGATGGGTCCTACCCGCATTAAGTGGAGACGCCAAGTATTCGACATATTGCGAAGGTGAAACATAGATTTGATATGTTTTCCTTGCCAGTTTCAATTATTTGTTATGGCTATGATATAATGTACATGACCTAGAGGTCTTTTCCTGGCAGGACTCGAAGATCTCAAAACTGACAGCAGAAGGACAGGAACTACACTACACTTGTGGCTTAAGAGGCGTTTGGTCTTTGTTCCATACAGGCGATCCACCTCCTCTACTAGGCGTAGGTATGATCCATTAACACTGGTCCCGTAACCCTCCTCAGTGAGACTCTGATCCACTCGCCCAGAACTTTGTTGTCTGCCTGGAACCAGAGGCCAAGGCCTTGGCACGGTGTCCTCAGACGAGCAGAGCAAGATGTCCCAAGCCCACGGCTGATGTTGCCTACCAAGCTCCTCAATTAATTGACCTCAACTGACCTCCAACAGCTTCCTTACGGCCAGCCCAGTTATTGTTATCCAGTGAGCATCTCCGTCAGTGTACGAGTCAGGCCCATGCCTGGGGAGAGAACGGCCCTCCTGGCTCATGTCGCGTGAACCTCCTCACCATGCGGGTTGCCTGAGCATCGTGAACGCCATTCTGACAATAAATCACACATAGGGATTAGCGTGGTGGCTCACAAGTGCTGCGGAGCTCACTTCCTCGCAATAAATGATGATCACCATGATTTGTCAAGAGCTCGTGGTGCAATCAGAGGTGATTATTGAAGAACGGAGAAATAGGATTGTGCCGTCAGACGACTGTCAATCAACTGCGTTTGTATGGTTTGAGGGCAAGATAAAGTATGGATGTTGTAGGCAGGATGAAAGCGCAAAGCGTAGAACGCGCGGAGGATGGCCATGTCGGCAACAGGCGCAACGATCGAGGATCAACGCATATTCCTTGCGCCCCAATGCAACGTAAATATCAAGAAGAGGAACCGAGTACCTGGTTTGTCAAATGATGTTAGAATATGATCCCATATTCCAGAGAGGGAAGCACTGCAACATGCAGGCTACTCCCTTGCAGCAGGGCACATCTAGCATTAATACCATACACCGCCACCTGCGAAATTGATGAACAATATGAGCACCCATAAGCGCAATTTTTTCTTGGAGGATGAGGCATCATCATGGAACCTGGGTGGCAAAAGGATCAGGATCAGGATCAGGATCAGGATCAGAGTTTTCGATGCGCAATGTTACCATGCCATCTCCCCCATTGACTCTGTATCCATCAACGTCAGTCAATCAATCAGTCAACCAGAAATACAGACCAAGCTGATACCCGGTTGACTTTGCAATCGACATGTCAAATGCAGCAGTCACAGGAGAGATGGGTATTCCAAATCCGGAACCGGGACGATATGCAGCACGAACTACTCGATTTTCGTCGTTATCTTACCCTGAGCTATCCGAAGCTCGTCGGTCGAGACGTCATGACTGGTAGGGCGAGAGATCAATATACCCCCAAGTCTCCAAGGTGTAGACGGATCGGGACAAATCGCAGTCGATCCCCACATGGCTTGGCCACGAGCTTAGACCGCGGGATGGGGTTCCCCGCGAGCCACAGAACGCCGGAAATGGCAACCTGCGAATAATGACGCGGACTTTCCATGTGCCATTTCAGTGAAAGCAACCATGCGCCCTGAAAGGTCAGGTGGGGGGAGATGTCGGCGTGGGGTATCCCGATCCAGCGACCCTTTGGGCTCCTGCGGGCACCTGGCTCCGTAACGCTAACGGGGAACACGGCTCGTAGCGTATCGGCATGGTCGAATATCGGGCACGGGCTGCGAAAGAAATGCCAAAAAAGGCTCTCGAACAGGGATTCAAATGATCTCGCCGGGCGTCGCTCGATATTTCCCGTAAGGTTCACGGGTTGCCGGACTGCGGCGCTCCGAAAGATTCAGAGATATCGAAAGAGAAAGTGGGTTGCGTTACCAGGCTTAACCCGATGCAGATCCAAGGTCGAAAATGTACCCCGCATAACCCCGGATTTCCACTTCGCTCCACTCGAAATGGCGAGTCCAGGTACTCTGTTCACTGCAAATGTGGTTGTCTTCGCGTGTTGGGCTGTCCGGATGCGGTCGAAATCATTGGGCTCTGCCACGTGAGGGTTCAAGTCGAGTCTCAAAGCAACATCGCGAGGACTCTGAGCTAAGCCTGATTAGGTTTATTTAGATCCAATTTCGGGGCAAATCAGAGCCCAGACCTGCGCCAAGGCGACCTCAGAGCAGTACCTTTTTGTTCGATTGTGGCGTTCCATCGCCTGGAAACGCCATCCCGAGCGCGGCGATCTTGACCCCTTCAACTTTTTGCTGGCAAATCCATGGAATTTTTTTGGTTTGATTAGAGTCAAGTTAAATAGTTGAATTGCTTGAAGAACTTGAATATGCAAGATGTTTGGTCCCAGGAGTAATTGGAAGAGATGCTGAAGTAGGGAAAATTTTCGGCGAATTTAAATTTGCCGTCGGCCTGTACGGGCTTCACTTTCTCGACCGGGATCCCGGTTGACTTAGGGCGCCACAGCGAAAATATTTTCATGGGGCCAGGTGCAAGTAGGCAAGTGGGCCATTTCTCTCCAGATTGGTTTCCAGAGCCGATGTAACATTGAGAGTGTCCGGGTAAGACTTCCTGGATCCAGATTTCCCCATGGGCACCCCGCAACCCCAGACATCCGGTTTGGGAAGTAGATTTGACATATCTCAACCCAATGAGGCTAGGCCTAGCAGTAAAAAAGACTGCTTAGAGAAGTATAAATGTGGGGATTTCCCTTCAACGGAATACAGTTATTGTCCTACTCTTTTCTTTCTTATCCCAAGACTATACAATTCAAGTCCTGTCCACTTTGAAGGCTTTGATTCTTCCCAGGGGTGCACCTGAGCTTGGTATCATCAATCTTCAACATGGAGAAAGAAACCATCGGCCAGGTTGGCACCGACCAACGGTGAGCGTTGCAGATATGGATCACGCATCTTCGGACTAATCTTTCCTGTAGCTCTAGCAACGATGAAAGTAGCGCCGAGAAAGGATATGTCGAAGAAGTCGACCTTCATAACAATGTATCTGCCAAGTACGTCCGCCTAGGGAGTTTCTTTTTTTTTTTGCATGTTATTCTAGCAATGCGAGACTCAACAGGAGATCCCTAACATCATCCAGAATCAAGAACCCATTGGCCGACTTGACTAAAGCCCAAGTCCTACGTGACGTCGAGCAGTTTGCCCAGGAGTTCAACGTAGCAGACATTCTACCGGAACTTCAGAAGGGAGCATTGGTAGCTCGTTCGCCAACCGAGTTTGAATCAGTGCCAGACTTGACCGAGACCGAGCTGACTGCACTGCGAGACGAAACCCTTCACAAGTGGCGCCAGCCCAGAGCCCTGTATTTCACTATCATTCTATGCTCTGTTGGTGCAGCAGTGCAAGGATGGGATCAGACAGGCTCCAACGGCGCAAACCTGTCATTCCCCGATGCATTTGGCATCCCCGAAACAGACAACCCTAACGCCTATCGAAACCAATGGATTGTCGGCGTAGTCAATGCTGCTCCATACATTGCCAGTGCCGTCCTCGGCTGCTGGCTCTCCGATCCCTTCAACCGTATTCTTGGCCGCCGTGGAACAATCTTTATCTCGTCTATCTTTTGTGTCCTCGCACCTATTGGCTCAGCAGTGACTCAAACCTGGGAACAACTCTTTGCAACACGTTTGCTTCTTGGTCTTGGAATGGGATTGAAAGCGTCAACCATCCCGATCTTTTGTGCCGAGAATACACCGGCTGTTATCCGCGGTGGACTAGTGATGTCCTGGCAACTTTGGACAGCATTTGGTATCTTCCTCGGATTCAGCGCAAACCTTGCAGTCAAGGATACAGGTGCTATCTCATGGCGTCTGCAGCTTGGCTCGGCCTTTATCCCCGCTATCCCTCTCCTCATTGGTGTTTTCTTCTGCCCCGAGTCACCTCGTTGGTATATTCGACGCGGCGAGATGGACAAGGCGTACCGATCTCTCTGTCGCCTTCGTAACACACCTCTCCAGGCTGCTCGTGATCTTTACTATATCCATGCCCAGATCAAGATTGAGATGGGTCTGATTGGCGACAGCAACTATGTTAAGCGCTTCGTTGAGCTGTTCACTATTCCTCGCGTTCGCCGTGCCACTCTTGCTTCTTTTACTGTTATGATCGCCCAGCAGATGTGTGGCATCAACATTGTGGCCTTTTACTCGTCCACTGTCTTCTCCAATGCCGGTGCCAATGATACACAAGCCCTCTTTGCTTCCTGGGGCTTCGGCTTGGTCAACTTCTTGTTTGCTTTCCCCGCAATCTGGACTATTGACACTTACGGACGTCGGACTCTGTTGCTGTTCACGTTCCCGCAAATGACATGGACGCTTCTTGGTGCTGCATTCTGTTTCTGGGTTCCAGATGGAAAGGCCCATTTGGCGTCTATTGCCTTCTTCGTTTTCTTGTTTGCTGCTTTCTACTCGCCTGGTGAAGGACCTGTGCCTTTTACTTATTCGGCTGAGGTCTTTCCCCTCTCTCATCGAGGTATGTATATATCTTTCTGGTGTGGTCGATCGAGCTACTAATCCTTGTTTATAGAGGTCGGCATGTCCTGGGCTGTGGCTACCTGCCTAGGATGGGCAGCTGTGCTATCTATCACCTTCCCTCCCATGCTTCACACGATGACAGCTACCGGTGCCTTTGGCTTCTATGCGTAAGTTTTGCACTTCCTGCGTGGCGTTATCAAACAGAACATGACTAACGCCATTTTTTAGTGGTTTGAATGTGACAGCTCTCGTCATGATCTTCCTCTGGGTTCCGGAGACAAAGCAGCGCACACTCGAAGAGCTCGATTATATTTTTGCTGTTCCTACCCGCGTTCATATGAAGTACCAGGTCACTAAAGCACTCCCTTACTGGTTTAACCGCTATATTTTCCGCAGGAATGTTGTATTGGAACCTCTTTATAAGTTTGATACCGTTGCTAGTGGCGACGAGGGAGCGCCCAAGACCAGTATTGTCTCTGAACATGTGAAGGCTTAACTCCGGAGTTGGTCAGAGTGTTGACGTTTATGATTTTTATATGATTTTTCATTATGAGTTCTGGTGCTAGTCTTTCCATACTTCTTTGAAATTAGTTAAATAGCAAAAGACGATATCATGGTCACTATACTTTCTGGGATAAATCATTATTGCTCTTAATCCCGTATGAAGAGTCAAGATATCAAATGATATACTCGGACTTAGTTTGACTCCACTGGTTCGACGGATCCATGGTTGCTAGGGAATCAGGTGATGTGGAGCATGATGACAGTTGAGCATGACCTTTGCTGTATACTCAGCTGAGGTATTCAAAAGTAGCGTAAAAGATAATAATATGGTCAAGGATCATGTACACCGAGTCACTTGGCTCTTTATCGCACGTAAAGCAGGCAACATTAAGGTGTATCACGTGGGGTTCGGGGTGGTCTGCGCAGACGTGATATGTTTTGGTCCACTCCCGCCCCTCATCTTCCCCCAAGCTCACAGGGGTCCTTTCTTTCCTTGCTGTCTCCCTGTAAAGGCGCCCGTTAGGCATTCCTTGCTCATTCTTACCGATCGTGGATTTGGACGTATTGTTTTCCGCTCCTGATCCCCCCCCCTCCCCACCGGTCCTGAAGATCCCCAGAAATCCACATCAGCGTCATCGTGACCCTCCTTTCGAACAGCCTCCCAGTACAACCACCAGCAGCTGCAGTGGAGCTCAGAGGACTACTGTGGGCTGCTGGGTTCTTCCGAGTCGAAACCCACACCTTGACCGCCTCCCTATAGCCTTCGCTCACCTTGCACGAAAAAAAGAAAAAATAAAGAAAGAAGCTCTCCGCTGATTCTTACTCCGGCGCCAGATTCTTTTCTTCTCCCTGCTCAAATTCTTTGTAATTCTTAGCGGGGCAATCCTGGCCCTTGCACACCCGCCTCGGATTCTTCCTCTCCATATTTCGGCCCACCACTTACCCCTCCCACAATGCCTTGTTTCAAGGGTCTCGCCGTGAGCATCCATACGCCTGATGGGCCGATTTCAGAGTATTCGATTCAACGCCAGTCCCGAGCTTCGCGGATAGCTTGTTTCATCCCCGTCCCGCCGCCCAAACTTCCCGAATCGGGGACCGGCAAGGCGGAACAATCAACCTTTGCTATTTCAATCACTCTCCTCAACCCAAGTCAAGATGTCCCCTACTCGACGCCAAAGCCGACTGCAGATGAGCCCTCACCGAAACCAAAGGTCGTCGGCGGGTTGCCCGGTCAGACCGGTGACCGTGGTCAATACTCCGGAGCGGTCGCGCCTTACCAGGCTCTGACGAACTCGCAGAACGAAACTGTCGCTGCATACATCTACTTTGACGGAAGGCAAAAAGAAGAAGTGGCTACACTACTGCGAAGGGGCGAGGAGACCTGGGTCAACTCGCGTTGGGTAAGCGTGCCGGAGACCGAAGGCGGGGGCATTGCCGAGCGTGAATTTCTGTTTCGCGAGGTTGGTCTCGAGCGCTGGTTGAATGGACTGGATTTGGAAGGTAAGGATGCGGCAGCCAAGATCGAACGGCGCCGGCAAAAGATGGAGAAGCGACGCATAAAGCGCGAGGCAGAGGAGGGTGGGTCCGCCATGGAAATGGAGGCCAACCACCCTACCAAGGCCAAGAGCATTATGCGATACGGAAACGACGAGAAGTCGCCTCTTGAGGATGTTTCGGACGATGATTTATCTTCTGATTCTGACGACGACGACCCTATTCCGGAGACTGCGGGACAGATCAAGGTTGCTTTGTTCCGAGTCCTGGCTTCAGGAGAGATCAAGCGCGGAGAGTACTCGCCTCAGTTTGATGCGCATGACGACGAGGAGGGTGGTGGAGAGAACAATGGCGGTGGAGATGCCGATATTGACCACACCACGAGTTTCGCCAAACCGAAAACACTCGACCCTAAGACCATCAGCACGCAGACAGTCACTGGCATTGACCCGACTGATAAGCCCTATGCCATTTTCACTTTCATGTACCGAGGCGAACGTAAGTAATTCCGGCATTCCTGTTGGCTATATCTGACTGTGTACAGGTCAATTGCAAAAGATGGGCATCTTGAGAGATTGCAAGGCACCAGAGACGCCTGCTGCTACAAAGCGCAAGTCACTACAAGCCGATCTTGCAAATCTTGGACCTATCAAGGCTGGTGGATCTGTCGGATTCCTTAATTTCCGCGAAGAAGCCAAGCCCCGCAAGGGCAAGAAGAATGTAGATGACATGGATAGCGATGATGACGATACGGATAATCCTATTCTTGGAAAGGCGGATGAAGAAGAGTCCAAGGATGATGACCGTTTCTTGTCTCCGGATGATATCAAACGCCAGGGAGAATTGGCAGAGAGCATGCGAAAGATTCGGGTATGTACCACATCAATATTCTATGATTTCGCCGCTAACAAGCAAACAGCTCAAGCGTCAACATTCCGCCGAACCACCTGGAGGCAGTGTCGGAGATTCTACAGATACCCCAGCTTCTGGATCCGGATCTACGCCTCCAGCTGACCGCTCCACAACACCACCCAAGGGGGCCGCTGCAGCGTCAGTGTCTTCCGACTCTCAACCCGCCGCGGAACTGTCCGATGGCCTTTTTGGCAGTCCATTGAAGAAGCAACGTGCCAGTGTCTCGACAGCAGACGAGAACGCTCTGCGACGTCGAATCGCCGAGTCCTCTGGTCGAATCAACGAAGTTCTGGGGTCTTCGGCACCTGAGGCAAAGTCAACCTCCACCGCAACATTCGGGGATAGTCTCAGTCACGCCTGAGATGTCAGCAGGACCTCCCGTAAAGGAAGAGGAGCTGTAGATCAATGAAAACAAAGTGAATATGTTTTTGCTGTTGAGCTTTGGAAAGCGCTTGCATTTGCGAGGGGTTGGGTTGGATCAGGTTATTTTTCCCATCCATATACCCTGCCTTATGGATGTCGTTGCTTTCCTTTACAATTACGCCGTTATGTCCACTACCTACACTACAGGGAGCATGCCGAAGGAGAATACATTTACTGCGTCCGTTAAGGGCAGCTTGATTATATATTATCCATTGTAACCTGCAGTAGATTTCATTTTCGTAGTTTGATATTCCCAGCAGCTGCACCATTAGACGTTTTCTCTACATTTCATTCTCGACTACTTCTCCCAACGTCAACCTTTCACCTTTTAGACCACGACAACCTACCCATGTTCAGAAACTGCATTAGAAGCTGTACACCGGCATTGTCTACAGTACGGGAAGCTCACACCGAGAGCTTTCTCCACCGAGTCCGCCATCCGGCAAAACACCAAAACCTCAGATCACTCACAGCACCCCAAACCACCCCAAACTGCCCAAAAACAACCATGTCGCTCGCACGCTCAACAGATCCCCTAGTCTGGATCGACTGCGAAGTACGTCCACCCCCAATCTCATCCACCGACACACCCCCATATCGTCATGCAAACCCCCACTAACCCCAAACCAAGATGACAGGCCTAAACGCCGAAACTGACCAAATCATCCAAATCTGCTGCTTCATAACCGACCACAGCCTAAACCTCCTCGACACCACCCCCTTTGAAAGTACAATCCACGTCCCAGACCCAGTCCTCGCCAACATGTCCCAATGGTGCATCGACACGCACGAACGCACGGGCCTCACAGCCGCCGTCCGCGCCTCGACCACCTCCGCCGCCACCGCCGCCGACGCCCTCCTTGCCTACATCAAAGCTCTCGTTCCCACGCCGCGCACTGCCTTGTTGGCCGGTAACAGTGTGCATGCTGATAAAGCGTTCTTGGTTAAGGGGCCTTACGCGAGGGTGTTGGAGCATTTGCATTATCGCATTTTGGATGTTAGTTCGTTGAAGGAGGCTGCGCGAAGGTGGGGGAGTGACGAGCTACTGGCAGACATGCCCCTTAAGAAGGGGGTCCATCTTGCCAAGGATGATATTTTGGAGAGTATTGAGGAGATGAGGTTTTATCGGGATCGGTTGTTTAGTTAGGTGGTTGTGCTGTGTTTAGTTGGATGGGTCTGGTTGCGCTATTGTTTTTGTGTCTTAGACAGTGTGTCTATTTCTGTAGTTGTTGGGTCTTGTGAGATTTGACCCCTTTTTTTCTAATTTTTGTTCGAATACCCATTGCCATTGCCATTGAGACTGTGTACTGTGCTGTGTAATGTGTACGTCGGAGTGTTTCCATGACACGATGGGATTGTTTCCCCCGGGAATGATCTGCGGGGCAATTTGCAAGGGCTCAACAGGTTTCTGTGAAGATCAAAAAGAGCTGGATATATTTTAAATTAAGTAGAGAAGTAGGAAGTGGATGTCGCTGTACCTAGTGCTAGTAGTAGTTAGTGCTATGTAGCTCTGTCCAGTGGGATGATAAACACATGACGACCCCTCCCGTCAGTCGGTGAACTTCCCCTCCTCTTTTCTTTCTCACCTTTTTCTTCCAATTTATTCCATCATGTCCGTCCAGACGGTCTCTATTCAGCCTTTCACTGACCAGAAGCCGGGAACGTACGTTGCTTGCTGCCTCCGCAATTGATCTAGCTAACCGTCCCCCAGTTCCGGCCTCCGCAAGAAGGTCAAGGTCTTCCAGCAGCCCAACTACTCCGAGTCCTTCATCACTAGCATTCTCCTCTCTATCCCCGAGGGTGTCGAGGGCTCCTTCCTCGTCATTGGTGGTGATGGCCGTTACTACAACCCCGAGGTGATCTCCAAGATCGCTAAGATCAGTGCCGCCTACGGTGTCAAGAAGCTCCTGGTGGGCCAGCATGGCATTCTTAGCACTCCCGCTGCTAGCAACCTCATCCGTGTGCGCAAGGCTACTGGCGGTATCCTGCTGACCGCCAGTCACAACCCTGGTGGTGAGTAATGGAGACAGCGTTGATTGTTTAGATTGGACCCTGGCTGACACCCCGCAGGCCCCGAGAACGATTTCGGTATCAAGTACAACTTGGCCAACGGTGCCCCTGCCCCCGAGACAGTCACCAACAAGATCTACGAGACCGCCAAATCCTTGACCTCCTACAAGTACGCTGACGTGCCCGATGTCGACACCTCCAGCATTGGCACCAAGAGCTACGGACCCCTCGAGGTGGAGGTCGTTCACTCTACCGCCGATTACGTGACCATGATGAAGGAGATCTTCGACTTCGACCTCATCAAGGAGTTCCTTAGCTCTCACAAGGACTTTAAGGTCCTCTTCGACGGTATGCACGGTGTCACCGGCCCCTACGGCGTAGACATCTTCGTCAAGGAGCTCGGCCTGCCCGCCAGCAGCACCATGAACTGCGAGCCCAAGCCGGACTTTGGCGGCGGTCACCCCGATCCCAACCTGGTGTACGCCCACGAACTTGTCGAGGCCGTCAACAAGAACGGCGTGCACTTCGGTGCCGCCAGTGACGGTGACGGTGACCGTAACATGATCTACGGTGCCAACACCTTCGTCTCTCCTGGTGACAGCTTGGCCATCATCGCCCACCACGCCAAGCTCATCCCCTACTTCCAAAAGCAGGGTGTCTACGGCCTGGCCCGTTCCATGCCCACCTCCGGAGCTGTTGACCGCGTGGCCCAGAAGCAGGGCCTGCAGAGCTACGAGGTCCCTACCGGCTGGAAGTTCTTCTGCAACCTGTTCGACAACAACAAGATGTCGATCTGTGGTGAGGAGAGCTTCGGCACTGGCAGCAACCACATCCGTGAGAAGGATGGCGTGTGGGCTGTCATCGCCTGGCTGAACATCATCGCCGGTGTTGCCAAGCAAAAGCCTAACGAGACCCCCAGCATCGCCTCCATCCAGAACGAGTTCTGGCAGACCTACGGCCGCACTTTCTTCACCCGTTACGACTACGAGAACGTCGACAGCGACGGTGCCAACAAGGTAGTCGGAACCCTGGCCGACCTCGTCGCCAGCGGCTCCTTCGTTGGCTCCGAGATCGCTGGCCGCAAGGTCGCCGACGCCGGCAACTTCTCCTACACCGACCTCGACGGCAGCGTCTCCAAGAACCAGGGCCTGTACGCCAAGTTCGACGACGGCAGCCGTATCGTCGTCCGTCTGTCCGGTACCGGCAGCAGCGGCGCTACTATCCGTCTGTATGTCGAGCGCTACGAGGCTGACCAGTCCAAGTTTGGTCTCAGTGCCCAGGAGTACCTGGCCGACAACATTTCCCTTGCTCTTAACCTGCTCAAGTTCAAGGAGTATGTTGGCCGTGAGGAGCCTGATGTTAAGACTTAAGTTGGGGGTTGTAATGTGGAACCTGCTGGATGGGGATCACCTTTGATTGTTTTGCCGTTCTATTTGAACGAGAGAATGATGATCGAATAGCAGAATCAAAAAATAACATCAAGAATGGCATGACATAGAGACTGCTATAGCCTAATCTGAGCCTCTTACGAACTTGGTCTGGGAAGTATAGATCACCATCATTAATATCTCATTGTCATCATAAATCATTAGATCATGGAATATATCTTACTCCCACCCATCAGCAGAAACCCTTAACTTCTCCCCCCACCACTCCCCCCATCTCACAACCCTCTCTTCCCTCCTCGCCTCCTCAGCCGCAAAAACAACAGCATGACTCCGAACAGCCTCTTCAAGCGAACAACCCACAAACCTAGCCTGCGCCTCCTCAACCCCAACACCAAAACACTCAACCGCCTCAACAGCACTAACAAACTGCCTGGCAAGTCCATAATCCCCACCACCGTGCGACTCCTTCCTCTCAGGCGGCGGCTTGGGAACATCAATAACAGTAGTCTGCCCCGTCTCAAAATCATAGATCGAAATAGTATGACTATCATACGCAATCTCCCCCTTTGTCCCGTAAATGCGTCCACGACGCTCACACTGTTTCTCCGTTGGAGCAATCATATGGAACGAAGCCGTTTTCGCAAGACGGTGTGGGGCGCTTTCCTCGTCGTCCCAGGTTATCGTTACGACCTGGTCGTCGCAGACGTCGTTGTCTGCTTCGTAGACGCAGCGGCCGTACCATGGTCTCGAGGCGATGGCTGAATCATGTGTTGTGGTTGTATCGTAGTCTTCCGCTAACCGGGATAGCAGATGTGATTCAGCGGCTTTGGAGCCGTGGACTCGGAACACGTCTTCGATGTCTGGGGCTACGATGTCCACTGGCCAGGCTGTGTGGCCTGCTTTTAGGTGTTTGTCGTTGTAGATTTTGACGGCGCTGTAGTTGCAGGTTCGTTCTATTGGGCAAGTCAGGCAGTTTGTCGCGGTCCCTGCTGCTTTCGGTTTGCGCTGGTGGCGGAATTGGGTCATTGTTCCTGCTGAGGAGATCGTGCGCGGGAAATGGGGTTTGTAGGTTGTTGCTTGGGTTGTTGTTGCTTCAGGTGATGGTGGGGAGCAGAGGAGCCAGAGGATAAAATCGATGTCGTGGCAGGATTTTGTTAGGAGGGAGCCATCTCCTGCTTGTGTGGTGCGGCGCCAGTTGCCGCGGACGTAGCTGTGGGAGAAGTGCCACCAGCCTACTGGTTCGCAGTGTTCTAGGGAGATTATGTCGCCGATTATGCTGTCTGTCAGGAGGATTTTGCGGAGGAGAATGTTGTGCGGGCTGTAGCGGAGGACATGGCCGATTGAGAAGATGTTGGATGGGGCTCGTGGTGTTTTGGTTTCGCCTTCTGGTGGTTGGAGCGTTCGGTAGACGGTTAAGCAGTCGTCTAGGGAGAGAGCGAGGGGTTTTTCGCAGAGCATATGGAGCTTGAAAGGAGCTAGGGCTTGGACGATTCCAACGTGTGTTTCGTCGAGTGTACAAATGAAGACGCCGTCGACGCCTGGAGGTGTGTTTCCACTTGCTCCTGCTTCATCGTTCTGTGCCTGTGCCCGTCGTTTGGTCTCCCACTGTACCCATTCGCGCCAATCTGCAAACTGTTGGCCTTCGCTAGGGGTTCCCTTGCCCCAGATGTAGTTTTGCCCAAATTCACTGCGCTTGAATTGGTGGGGCTCAGCGACAGCATGGATTACGCCTGGTGTCGCGGTTGTGACGGCGCGGGCGTAGGCATTTCCACGGGATCCGGCGCCGATGACAAGAAATCGGAGCTGCTTTGCCGAAGCGGACTCAACAATGGTGTCGGTAGGGGGTGGAATTGGTTCTTTCATGTTGCTGAAGGGATGCGGGGATATTTGGAGCTGAATCCACGGTGTTGTGGTGGGGTTAGGTATGACAAATGCCGACGACGAGACTCAACTCTGATCGGACCAATATGCTCAAGTCTGTCAAGAGCAGGCAGCCTTTGATATAGCCCAACGTGAGTCCGAGAGACGTTGCGAGGTTGCAATGCACAAGTTACATGCGGGGAAACATCAGCAACATCGGCTGCGTCCTGATTGGCTCAACTTCGACTATATTCATTGTATTCTCTTTTCTACTCTACATCGCCGGTTTTTCACGGTCTGGCGTTTCCTCTTCGCTCTCGTCAAAAATCATGGCAACCTCCTCCAACGACCTGCCCTTCGTTTCAGGGAAGAGGAAGTACACAAGCCCCAGGAATACAACCAGACAGCCAATATACACAGAATAGTACTTCCACTGGAGCGCAGTGAACGCCACGGGGTTCACATATTGGTTGAAGAAGCATGCAGCAGCATCCACCGACAATGTAACAGCAAGGCCCTTGGCACGCAGTTGAAACGGTAGGATCTCAGCTGGATACGAGATGAAAAGAGGTGCATACGCCATGTCATAGCACCCGAAAAAGATAAACAGCAATGGCACCACGGCTATTCCTGCAGCTGTGAGGTGCTGTTCTGTAGATAAGCCAGCCAGCAGTGTGGCTAGCGAGAGGAATAGCAGCATCCCGGCCGTGGACAAGAGCCATAGGATACGGCGACCGTATCGCTCTGAAGCCAACGCTCCTACTGCCGAGAGGAGGAAGTTCCAAGCCTGTAGGCTCACGTTGACTGCGGCTTGGTCTGCTGATTTGGTGATCCCCACTGATGCGAGAATGGGTGCGAGGTAATATGATAGAATACCTGGATATATCAACATGTGGTCTTTTAGGGCTTCGGGTAACGTACCATTTCCAGCCCACTCTTGCATTAGTCCAACCAGTACACAAATCGTCAATCGATGCACGTCGCCTTTTGACGAGAAGAAGGATTTCCAGCTCCTCCACTGGGCCGCTTCGGCATTGATGGTATCACAAATCTGACAGAATTCATGCTGAACCAACTCATCATTCATTTTTCCGTTCGCATGGTACTTGGCCAGAATGACCAACGCCTCATCTTTCCGGCCTTTTGATATAAGCCACCGAGGACTCTCCGGCATAAAGAAAACTAGTCCAAATAACTGACTGATCGGATATGCCACCTGCAACAAACAAGGAATACGCCATGACCAGCTGTTTTCGAGGGCAATAGTTGCATATGTCACGGCTGCTGCGCCGATAGCCCCCAGACACCAAGTGACATTGTAGAAAGCGGTCGCAGTTTGTCGTTGACGTGGGTGTGCAGCCTCAGTAATCAAGAGAGGCGCAGCAGTTTGGGAAATGCCCATGCCCATACCGGACAGCACTCTCATACCAAAGAAAGCCCAGTGACTCTTGAGAATGGTTTGAATGATCGTTGCGACGATGATGAGACAGCACCCGATTCCCACGCAGATCTTTCGTCCATACCTGTCTGCAATATATGACGCTGGCACGAAGGCTAGAAAGGCTCCCAAAGAGGTACCGGCAATGATTAAACCCACTATATTGGGATTCAATCCACCCATTATCATGGCAACTATGTCTTGGTCAATTTGAAGCTCAGAAATTCAATGGAATCACTTACATTGAGGTAGTACCAGCAGGCTGTTAACTAGACTGGCAATATAACCCGACGAAGAAGCAGTCGAGAACATAAACAGAATCCCAAGATTCAGCTTCCGCAACCCCTTGTCCTTGATCCAATTTTTATCCGTATTGTTGGGCAGGAGCTTGAATGCTTCCAGAGGAAGCTCCGTCGGAGGAGCCATATCAGCCTTCGTCGCCATGAAGCTCAATCAATGTCGACGTCGCGCCAAGTATAAGACGGAAAAAGTATAACGTGCAGATTCAAACAGAACCATTTCTTCAAGCTTCAATCACTACTATAAAACCTCGAGTAGAACAAGGGATTATCCACATTCCTCCCCCTAATGAATCTCTCCGACTCTCCCGTGTCAATTCTCGGGTTCTCAAGAAGATGACTGGTGACTAAAGAAAGAATGAAGGGAGGAATGTCCGATCTAACAGCCTATTCGGGCAGTTTATCCAACCTATCCAGCACACAACAGTCCCAGGAAACAAAGATCAACACGCTAATCAAGCATAAATTCAAACGATCTACAGTACTAACGCCATTGAATGAAATGAACCTTGCGAGAAACATGGAAAATCACGGATACCACACGTGAGACATACTATCATCCCATTCAAGATTCATCATCATTCATCACTATCGAGCAGCGACGCATACCGGTTGCCAAGCCCACAAAACCCCTCACACTGTTCCCCAACATCCCGCCCTTTATGCAGGACTTCCTCAATACCCCACGTCACGCGTTCCGCGCCCACTCGCGCGCCTTCGAGATTCGGTGCCGCTGGTCCCAGTCGGAGTGATGCCATTCGTCCTGTCATGAATAGTGGCACATCGTCGCGCCATGAGAGGTCGTTTGTCAGACAGGGGAAGCCGGATTTGACTTCGATTGGGTATTGTTCGTTCATTTCGCGTAGGAGGGGCATCTCACGCACGTCGGTGCGCGCGCCTGTTGCGAAGTAAATGTAGTCTATTGGGGGGAGGTTCGGGATTGGTGGGGAGGTTCCGAGAGACCAGGTCTTGGTAGTGGGATTGTAGTCGTGGGATACAATTTCTGTGTTTGGGTGTAGAGAGGCGCGGTGCTTGGCTGCGTGTTGTTTTACGATTTTGGTGTAGCGTGGTGTCATGCTGCCTCCATTGCGGGCGGTTTGTAGCATTTCCAGGCGTTCTAGATAAGTGAATTAGCTGTTGGACATAGACAAAAGGAGACCTATGATTGAAGAAGAAGGGCTTACCTTCATCGGTATCGGCAGACCAGAAGGCTGCTTTCTCCCAGTTCTTGTACTTGCCCATCCATGGCAAACTGATATCAAAGTGTTTGACTGCTATCTGTTAGATATATAACCAAATTGTAGACCAAAATTATACATACCCTTCATCCCGGATCTCATGATAAACCACACCTTGGTGACTCCTTTGCGAACAGCCATATCCACAATCTGAGCTGAAGAAAGCCCACCGCCGACAACCACAACATTCGTCTCTTGTCGACGCTGGATCTTGTCCTGGACATTGGGACTGGGGAAAGTCTTGATTTCCATGCTGTGGCAACATGCAGCAGCACCCTCTTGCTCACTTGCTGGCTTCCATGGATATATCTTTGAAACACCTGCACCGCCAGGGCCAATGGCAAGTACAACCGCGCGACTATAAAACTTTTCTCCGCTTGATGTGGAAATTGTAAAAATCTTCTCGGGGCTATCGGATACATAGTCATAAGAAAGACTCGTAGCTTCGCGCTGCAAGATCTGTCCGGGCTCATTGAGTCTATACCGGTCGATGATTGAATCACAGTAATCGGCGAATAGATCCGTAGAAGGAGAGAAGTAGTCTTTGCGATCTCGCTCATCAATCTCGCCTCCAATTGGCCTGCAGTTTATATTGTCAGACAACCCGATTATAGAAAAAATAAAAAAATAAGAACTCCATATCAACTTACTGAGACTTTCCTCCCTGTCTTCTCTTCTTCTTCTTATGCTTGCTCATCTCCTTCCCAACACAATTAGGAATCTCCCATAAGTCCCCCTCACGCCCAGTCTCCTGCGTATAAGCCAGCATTCCATCTCGATCACCGGGATCAACGTGGAAGAACATCGGACTGCGAAGCTGCTTTATCTCCAACGTCTTGAAAGCATTGTTCCATCTTTGCATCCATTTATTGCCGGATCCGTCAAGTACCAAGGTCGACATGGACGATGAGGTCGATGTGGTTGATGACGCAGAAAGTGATGGAACAGATGATACAGATTCTGTAGACGCCCGCCGTTGTCGATCTTGGTCTTTGTCTTTGCTATCGCAGGGACACATCGTCTCACTGTTCCACTTGTTCGCTCGGACCCCGTTGATCTTGCTGTTTCGGGCTTGTACGAGGTTCATTCGGCCGGTATGTTTCTTGATCCAGTGGTAGCGTTGGTGTTCTTCGTCGGTGAAGACTGCCGAGGGAGTTTCTTCGCCTAGGCGTGCGGCGACGGCGAGGCCACAGGGCCCTGCACCTATGATTATTACGTCGTGGATGGAGGTTGGTTGGGCTTCGGTCGACATCATGAGGTTGGTGAGGTTGTTGCGGATATGGTATAGAGAATGAGGTATGAGGACTGGAATAAATACGAGGAACGGAACCCTTCAAAAACTGAGGAATGGGGATAACTTTTCTCTTATACTAATGGCATTGGAACCCCATAACTCACTCACTTTCTGCAATGTCCTCAGTGTCACGAGTTGGCCATCGAGGTACTCTTCCCCAAGGTCCTTAGGGCTTGCATGATACAATACTCAAACTGGACAGGACCCATACTCCACACTAATGGTGGATCTAGTAGTCTCTTGGAAGCTGTCAATTGAGGACCTTGGGGTTCAACGGTGATCATTGGAAATTGCATCAAACCAACGAGAATGATCAAGTTAATTAGGTGAACAATAAGAATTAGGATCTGAACACCCAAAATATAACCACCTGTGACATCTGGGGGCGCCTTGACATCAAAAAAAAGTCCAAATTATGAGGCGCAGTAAATAGAAGAGATGAAATGTGCAAACCAGTGAGATGATCCTAACAAGCCAGCCCTTCACTAATTGAATTACGCGCTCAAAAAATGCTCAAACGCTCATAGCTCTCTTGATGCCAGCATCGACAAAGCAGATGGCCTGTTGACCGGATTGGGTATCAACATGATGCAACTGATGTGGCATTTCCAGCTTTTATGTCTCATCAAAAGGTAAGGTTTTTTTGACAGCTCTGACATAGTTTCGGCAAATGCCGTGGCATGTTTTGCTGAGGCTTCGTGGAAATCACCATCGACCTCTGGCGACAGGATGTCCCAGTCGGGGAAAAGCCGCTTTATCTTTGCCGTGGCCCAAGCTTCGGTCAAAAAAAGGATCAGGACTGTCCCATATGCCCAGCACACCAGGTTTGATCCAGCAAAGCAACATCGCAGCAACTGCCCAGATCAGTGATGACTCCATGCAACTTTCGCTTAAAAAGACTCCAGTGGCCCGCATGGCACATGGTTGGGCATCATACCATTGGTCAGCCGGGACTACTATAACATTGTTAGTGATGGCACATAGATCTCGTCTATCGGTATGCACCCTTCTTGTCCTAAGTTACATTTACCACATGTTTTGGTAATGGAGAGTTCAGTTCAATACTCAATGGATTTTGGATTTGTTAGTGCCAGAGCTTATTGTTTTGAGTTCGAGGCGAGTCTGCCTTCTGCTGGTCTTCCATTCAAGGCTTCCCCGCGTATATGCCTTTGCGTGGGACGACGGGAGGGCCCGAATCACTTCCATGGATTGCCCTGTGCTTAGGGAGACATGTACAAACAATACTGAAGTAGAGTTATATGTAAGTGGCTGTGGCAGGCTCACTGGATACTAAGTACCTGAAACCTCTTGGTTTATCCAAATTAGTACACAAGTTCACGGAGTTCATAGTAAGAAAGACGTAAGAAATTAAATTAAACACAAAGGGGGAATAGCAAAAGCAGCGAATACCACCACACAAAACACCAAGCCAACACAAGAAAAATAGACAGAGACAGAAACGAATAATAAGACAAAATAAGTAACCAAAAAACAGATGAGACCGCTAAATCCAACACCAGTCAACACCAACACATCCAATATCAGTCCCTTCCATCTCCTATTTATGCCACCTCTTGACTCTCTTCCCCTCCCCAACCCCAGCCCTAGCTCTGGGCGCCCCACTCCCCTCCCTCCGATGCCAAGCATCTTGAGGCCAAACCCACCCACGCACGCGTTTCGCATCCCTCCGCTCCCCAATCTGCGGCGGCGGAATCCAATCATCCTTCCCCTCTGGCAAGACCCTCTGCCGCGTCATCGCACCAGGTCCACCAACGTTGAGGTGGGCGGATGGCTGGTGCGGCAAGGGTTGTGATTTTGATAGCATCAGTAGGAAGTATAATGCTAGACTTGCTGTCATTGGCGTTGAGGTTGAGGTTGAGGTTGTTAATGATTCCTCGGTTTCGTCTGGGAACGGCGAGTGTGATGACGAGGAAGAGGAGGGAGAAGAAAATGAGCGTGCGCTGATGGGAGTCGCTAGTGCTGGCCCATCACGGGCGAGCGTCTGTGTATGCACATGCGCATGCATATGTGCATGTTGTGGACGTGGGGCTTGAGCAGCTGTCTTGAGAGGAATTGTAGCAGCGATCTCGAAATATCCGAAATAAGGAACGTCGTCGCCATCATCGCAGCCGGCTCGGACGCAGACGAGTTCAATTTCTGTGATGATGAAGCCATACCGACAGGAATGCTCGCGCATACAGCGTTGCAGATGTGCAAGACCGTTGAGGTACTCCACGCGGCGGTGTGGTGCTTCATTGCGCATGCCTGTATTCCATCTATCGAAGCTCTTGACGATGCCGACTAGCCGGCCGCGCGGAAGGCCAGCACTGGTGACTTCAGTGTCCGAGGCGTAGTTCGCTAGGAAGTGGGGGTGGCCGTGGTTTTTGTGGCCGGTGCTACGGACATCCGGGGCAGCGTAGAGCTGGAGATGGTCTGGGCCCTGGGAGACGGCTAGAGCAGCGTTGACGCGGGGAGCATAGAGACCTGTGATTAGGTTCACCAAGGCTGGTTCGGACTCTGGAGCTAGATGGGCGACGGGGACTGAGACCTGCGGCGTGAGCTCGGCTGGGATATCGGTTTTCAGGAGTTGGATTAGGCGGCTGTCTACTAGGTCGAAGGTTGGGAGGGAGAAGGAGGTCCAGTTCCGGAGGTTACGGATGTCCCACCAGAAGTAGTCGTGCATGCCGCGGGTTGGGACTACGCTCACGTTGCGGACTAGATTGATTGGGGGGATTGGCATTGTTAAGTAGGAGAGGAGGGTTGTTGAGCGTGGTGTTGGGCACTCTTGGGGGCTCAGTAAAGCTGGCGATGGCTGTGCGGAGGCCGAGTGGTATTTGTATTGGGGGGTTGGCACTGTCAATGGGTGTGTGCCTGGGGGTTGCTGAGCTGCTGGTCTTTGGGAGTAGGACGGGTAGACCACGATGGTTGGAGTGATTGGAGTGACCGGTGTGGTGGGAGTGGTTTGAGCATGCATCTGTGGCACATATTTTGGAAGTTCACGGTAGGTTGGATATCCAAATCGAGTCAGAGTGGCTGTGTCGACACCGGATGCCGACACAGAGCGCGAGTGGCCACCGACGGCTTTGCGCCTTTGAGATGGGGTGATAGCCACAGGTGATGACAAGGCAGAACAGGTGCCATGGGCCATGGGGGCCGGTGAAATAGGAGATGCCAAAGTCAAGCGGTCGATAACATCCCGGGTATGGCGATTAGGTCGTGTGGTTGTATAAGGGACAAAGCCGGGAGGGTTCCGTGTATTGGATAGAACCCGGCGGGAACGAAGAGGTCCACCAGCAGAAACTGGCTCGATGACAACATCTTGAGGTCTGATCTTAGGCAAGAGAGCCGGGCCATGATGGTGCCTGGTTGGCGAGGTGGTAGGACTAGTGTTGCCGGTGATAGTCGACCAAGGCGACGACTCACTTGAGTAGACCGACGAGTTGGACTCCTGGCGACTATGACCCGAGCCGGCGAACTCCTCAAGAGGAAGATGTGGCGGCGTTGTAGGCCGGTAACGAGCGTACTGCACAGACATGATAGACAAGTAGATGTCTAACTTGTTCTTTGTCACAATAACAAACGAATGAGAGAGTGATGAGGATCAAAACATCAAGGCGAAGAGCTTGGATATTAAATGGTCTTCACAAAGTCTCAAACAGCTAAGCATGCATGTAAAAAGATCGACTGACGAACCCTAGCCGATATAGAAAACATGAAACATGGAGAAGAGCCCCATTGTGACGCCTGCGGAGCTTCAGAATCTTTTTTTGGGATCCTAGTCTCCGATCAAGAGGAACGTCCATGCGATGAAACGCGAAACTGCCGACATTGTGCCTGAGGACAGGCATGTCGCGCGACAGAAGCACTTGAAACTGCAGAGACGGGGGTGTCCAGTCCGGTATAGTGCGGTTTCAACGGACAGTCGCGCGTCAAAATGTTGCTATATTTGCTCTTGGGTCAACTTCATTCTTCAGATGCCTCTCTTGGGTTAGTCTGCTGCAAGATCTGAGGGCAGTTCTAAATTCGGCAACAATTAGGTCGCATTTTGCAGGTAATTAGCGGACTTGTTGGTGACCCTCCCTGCTTCAGCACTCGCCGAGTCGGCGGCTAGGGAGTTCCAAGAAAGAAAACGATAAAAATAGCCCTTTGTCAGTGTGTGATTGAAGGGTTCAAGGAGGGGAAGCCGTATGAGAAAGGTAATATGGGTGGATGCGCCAGTGGCCGAGTGTGATATCAAGGTCGGCGGCTACAGATGTATGTTGAGTCTCAAGTACGCGCCGATCGACGGCGTCACATTCGCTGATTGGACAATTTGTTGAAACAAGCAAACAAATATCCCATAATTAGCAATGATTAATGCAGTTGATTAGATCAATCATTTGTTGTGAAAAAAGGGTTAAGGAGTAAATCGAGGAAATCAGATATCGAGGTAAATCGCATAGGCGCGCAGGGACCCCTGACGTTTCAACGGAACTTTGGAAGAGAATAGAAGATTATATCATTAATGTCCATTTTGAATTATCTCATAACATTCATTGGAGGGCCGAAAATATACCCAAAATAACAACGAAAAATGCAAGGTTTCAAAACCTGCTTGGTCTAGGTAAACAAAACGCTTGGGGGAATCTCTCTGAACCGTCTAAACAGAAATATCAAACGGCAAAGGCAATTGCAAAATCGTGAAAAGCTATTTAAGCCTTGATCTCGTACTTGCGGCGGAACATGTCATCCACCTCAGTCAGGTAGTACACACCGGAGCCGATGGTCTCGACGTTGCCGGAGGGCTTGAAGTCTTTCTTCAAGTGAGCGTGCTCACGGAGCTTGCACATGGCATCGTAGGCAGCAGGCTCGAGAACAGTGCGGGCGTTGAGGCGGTTCTGGAGGTCAAGCTTCTCAACCATGTTGGAGACATCGCCAACAATCTTGGCGCTGAACATGGAGCTGGCAAGACCGGAGCCGTAGCTGAACAGACCAATACGCTTGGACTCCTTGGGGTCGAAGGTGATGTTGCTGAGCAAACTGGCGAGACCACCGTAGACGGTAGCAGTGTACATGTTACCGCACTGGGTGGCAACCTGGAGACCGGGGTTGACACGCTCAGCGAAGCGCTTCTTGGTCAGACCCATAAAGGTCTTCTCAACAGTCTTATCAGACAGGGACTTCTCGTAGTCGAGATCGCGGAGCTCGGGGGCAACCTCGGCGAAGGCAGGGTGGGAGGGGTTGGCGAGGTAGTCGTTGTAGAGCATGCGAGCGTAGGACTTCTGGACCAGCTTGCAGGTGGGGGCGTGGAAGAGGATGTAGTCGAAACGGTCAAGAGGAGACTGGGACACATCGGCAACACCGTTTGTGCCGTTGGTCTGGGCCTTGAGGGTCTTCTCACGGGCATCGTAGGCCTTGTAGCAGGCATCGACGGCCTCGGTGTAGCACTTGAGGGAGAAGTGGCCATCGACGACGGGGTACTCACTGGTGAGGTCGGGCTTGTAGAAGTCGTAGGCGTGGGTGATGTAGGAAGCACGGAGACCGGGCTCGAAGACAATAGGGGCGTCAGGTCCGATAACCATGGCAACGCAACCAGCACCACCAGTGGGGCGAGCAGCACCGGCGGCGTACAGAGCAATATCACCACAGACAACAACGGCGTCGCGGCCGTCCCAGGCGGAGGACTCAACCCAGTTGATGCTGTTGAAAACAGCATTGGTACCACCGTAGCAGGCGTTGACGGTGTCGACACCTTCAATGTTGGTGTTTCCGTGGGGAGCAAAGAGCTGCATAAGGACAGACTTGACGGACTTGGACTTGTCCAAGAGAGTCTCAGTGCCAACCTCGAGGCGGCCAACGGACTTGGGATCGATGTTGTACTTGTTCATGAGGGACGAGAGGGTGGTAAGGCACATGGAGTAGATGTCTATATGTCATGCTCGTCAGTTTCTTTGTTCTCTCATCTTGGTAAGATGCCTAACATACCCTCACGGTCATCACAGAAGCTCATCTTGGTCTGGCCAAGACCAATGGTGTACTTTCCGGCACTGACGCCATCGTACTTCTCGAGCTCGACCTGGTCGACGCACTGCAGACAGGTCAGTACTCCGTCAGGTGTTCAATGGTAGCGTGAGCCCTTACCTGAGTAGGGAAGTAGACCTCAATGGCCTTGATACCAATGTTCTGGGGACGAGCAGCCATGGTGGGGTAGCTATGAACTTTTGTGTGAAAGGAAGAAGGAGAGAGAATGGGAAAAGGCAAAAGTGAATGAAGTTCATAGACCCTCCGGACAGCAGTTTAAATAAATAAATGAGGGAAGCGTACAGTACTCGGATCTACAGTGTACGATCTGTCACCGTTAACTTTTTTTCCCCTGAGTGGGGGGAGATCGACCTTGGGTCTTCCCTTGGACCGGTTTAGATCTTTAGTGCTCTGTATTGTAGGGTGTAATTGATAGTACATAGTGAAGAGTGAATAGAGAGTGAGCAGTGGTCAATGGCATAGCTACCAGCATGCTCTATCCCATGTATATTCAGTGTACATCGTAGTGAAGTTGAATATTTGATCCCAGACGGATGTCAACCGTGTAGAACTCAGTCTTATCTCGGATCTACTATGTTCCGGCTATAATGGACTTGAAGTATCCGCTTCCTGGTTAACTTATACTTAGGCCGACTTACGGAGTACGGAGTCCGTAGTTTATACATGAGTGGCATCACTCGGAAACGCTCAGATCGCTGGGTCTTGATATGGCGCTAGGGTAGGGTACCGATACTGATATTTGGGTACCTGGGTACGGAGTTTCAATAACTTAAGACAGGATGGGAATGGTGATCAGAAAGCCTTGGTTTTGATGTGCATTTGACGATATGAAATATATGTCACATATCTTATCCCTGTCTCCTATCTGGTGTTGCCAGTGCCAGTGCCAGTGCCAATGCCAATGCTTCGTAATGCCGAGCGTGGGTCACTCCGGGGGCGTCTGCCTGGCTGTAACCTCTCCCTATCTCTCTAGATTCTTGCACATAACCAACGGCATCGGGAGGATGTCGGTCGTCGCTCATTTGTCATTCACTTCTAGATCATGATCGTCTTGATATCCGCATTCGCGCTAAACACCTCCCACTGCTCCCCGGAGCCCCGTACCATCCACCATGGGCGACGAGAAATATGATTATCAGGCTCAACCCATCCCTTCCTACGAAGAAGCCACTGGCATACCCTCCTCCTCTCGATCAGATCTCGGCGAAGGAACAGATTTAGAACGACAAGGGCTTCTCGGTCACGACCATGCCTCCACACGCGGCTATCACCCGCCAACGGTGGAATCCGCGCGCTCCAGTCTCGACGACCTAGATTCCGAGGCCTCACACTCAGACCGGGGATCAACCGATGAACTACGACGGGAACTGGATCAGATGGACGTGGATGATTCCGCGTCTTCATCTTTGACTGGCCGTTCCCGTTTAGGCCATCGGTTCTCCAAACAGTTATCGAGTCTGACCCGCACGCTATCCGCCATCCAACGACCTTTTCAGCGGTATATGCCCAGTTTCCGCTTTACGATAAACCTTGGCGATGCCCGCGCTCGTTTCCAGGATCAGGGCTGTATCATGATGCTACGGTTGTTCGCTCTTTTACTCGTTGTCGCCCTGGTCTATGTGTTCTTTATCGCGGATATCTTCAACATCAACAGTCGCATGGTCATGGGTCAGTCGTACAGTTCGGCATCGGTTGAGAACTTTGTGCAGGGCCATATCAATGAGACGAACATCGCCGAGAACTTGCGCCGAGTCACCAACTACACCCACATTGCCGGAACGGAAGGCAGCTTCGTGCTATCACAATGGATTGAACAGGAGTTCCACAAAGCCGGATTCGATGAAGTCACGCGCGAGGAGTTCCAGGTCTACCTCAACTATCCACGCCAGGATGGCAGGAAGGTGGCGATCATTGATCCACCCAATCTCGCTTGGGAGGCTAAACTCGAAGAGGACAACGCCAAAGATCTGGTTTTCCATGGTCATTCCAAGTCAGGCAATGTAACCGGGCCTCTGGTATATGCCAATTTTGGATCTCGTGATGATTTCAAGGCTCTTGCCGAGAAAGGAATTGATCTGAAAGGCTCAATCGCTCTAGTCCGTTATTATGGCACTGAAACCGATCGCGCCTTGAAAATCAAGGCCGCTGAGCTGGCTGGCGCGGTGGGCTGCATTATCTACTCGGATCCCGCTGAAGATGGATTCGTCAAGGGTCCGGCTTACCCTGAAGGACGGTACATGCCCAGCGATGGTGTCCAGAGAGGCGGTGTCAGCATGATGTCGCAGGTTGTTGGAGATGTTCTCAGTCCTGGATTCGCATCCACCCCAGGAGAAAAGCATCGTCTAGCTCCTGAGGAGAGCACTGGATTGCCTAAGATCCCCAGTCTTCCTCTTGCCTGGCGTGATGCCCAGCATCTTTTGCAGGGGCTGAACGGACACGGTTCCAAAGTACCCAAGGAATGGGTTGGAGGCGTGCCTGAAGTTAAAGAGTGGTGGACTGGAGATCAAAATTCTCCTGTCGTTCATCTGATGAACTTACAGGATGAAGTCGAGCGCCAGCCTATCTACAATATTCATGGAAGAATCCTCGGTATGGATGAACGCGATAAGAAGATCATCGTTGGCAATCACCGCGATTCATGGTGCATGGGTAGCGTCGACCCTGGAAGTGGAACTGCTGCTTTCCTGGAGGTTGTACGAGCCTTTGGCGAGTTACTCACCTACGGGTGGCGACCGCTCCGCACTATCGAGTTTGTTAGCTGGGATGCAGAAGAATATAACCTCATCGGCTCGACAGAACACGTCGAGAATGAAATAGAGGAGCTCCGTGCCAATGCCTTCGCATACTTGAATGTTGACGTTGGTGTTTCAGGCTCCAAATTCCGTGTCTCGGCATCCCCCGTCTTTGAACGGACTGTGACGCAGATTCTCGGTCGTCTCTCCGATCCTTATGCAAATGCAACACTCAAAGATCTCTGGGAGAAAAGAGGCTCAAAGATTGAGCCACTCGGTGCTGGCAGTGACTATGTTGCATTCCAAGATATTGCAGGAACCTCGAGTATCGACTTCGGTTTCGAGGGTGAACCTTTCCCATACCACAGCTGCTACGAGTCCTACGACTGGATGGTCCAAAACGCGGACCCTGACTTCCAATACCACAAAATCTTGGCCCAATTTTGGGGTCTTCTTTTGCTTGATCTTTCAGAAAACCCCATGCTACCCTTCGACGTGGAGGCTTATGGCACTTCCGTGACTGGATGGGTCAAGGATTTGAATGAATTCGCCAAATCAAAGAAGGCCGAGGTCAACATGGAACCCATGTTCAAGGCTGCAGCTGAACTCCAGGCCAACACTGCTCGCTTCCAGTCCTGGAACAAGATCTGGCATGATACCGTGTGGGGCTTGGGTGGATATGAAAGCAATGTCATGGCCGTTCAGCGAGTGAACCACAATGCTCGTATGGCCAGCCTTGACACCAACTTGCTTGACCTAGAGGAAGGTGGCGGTGTAAGCTCACTTCTCTCCCTACTCTCACCCTTGACTAAAACTAACAACCCCAGGTGCCCAACCGCACACAATTCCGACACGTCATCTTCGGTCCAGAGCTATGGTCCGGCTACGACGCAGCCCTCTTCCCTGCTATCGTAGATAGCATCAACACGGGAAATTGGACATTGACCCAATACTGGATCGACCGTGTCGCCAACACAATCCATACCGCCAGTGACAAGCTGCTCCACTAATGTATTTTACCTCAGCCCCTCCGGCCTCTTGTCACTCTTTGCAATCTCTCGGCCATGTCTGATGCCTCGGATTGCTTTCGTCATGTTCTATACGAGCACTGTACAGCCCGACTCCTTGTCGGGATGCCTCATACCTGCCTTTCTGGGAGATTTCTCACGCCCTATACCACCCATGCATGTCAGCATACTGAATTTGGCGGATATTCTTCTGTCGGTTCTTTTGGTCGCTTTTCTTACATGTACCTATTTTCTCATCCTTGTCCCGAGGGATTGGCGTTCATACGGGGAGATATCACATTTCGTATTTAGCTTATTATTGGTTAGACCCAATTGCATTGTTTATCTTTTTTTACGTGAGCATTCACTTAATGGTCTTATCTCCACTGACACTCCCCTTCCTTCCAACATGTCTCGGGTATCATATGTGCATACGTCCAAACATAACAGTCACACACTAGGCAAGCCAGTCTCAATCCCGCCCAGAAAAGGATGATCCGCCAAACACTGCCAAAAACCGGCCTCGAAATCCCACAAATCAACCCCCAACCCCCCAGCCCACTCATCATCACCCCCATCCCCAAGTCCACCACCACTGCCAGAACCGCCCTCCCCACCCGCACCTCCGGTATCCGCCCCGGAATCCAAAAATCGCTGAATAGTCCTCGTAGCCTTCTCAAGCAACGCGAAGTTTGGATCTCCGGGGCGAACAATAGTCCCAACCTGCACCTCCGCAACAAAAACACTGAGATCCTGCACCGCCCGAGTCCGGACAGAAACAGACCCCGATCCAGAACGCGGAATGCACTGCTTAAGCATAGCAAGCAACATAATCCCCGCAGCAGGCAACCCATAATAAGCAACCTTCCATATCAATCCGGTCCCAGAATTCGTAAGTTGATCGCGGAGCAGGATGATTTCCACGACTAGCGTGAGCATCTGGCTTGCTGTGTTTATTATTGAGGCTGAGGGTTCTGTTGGTGATTTCAGGAGGAGGAGACTGTGAAGAAAGAGGACGTGCAGGTGGTGCAGGCGCACGCTTGCTATGAAATCTCGCTGGAAGGGGGACTGCGTGCATTCTTTTAGGCTTGTTTCTAGGCGGAAGTGCGGGGGAAGGGATTGCCATTGGGTTGTTGCTTGAGTTTGGATTATGCTGTTGATTGAATGTTAGCCTGGGCTCGTCTTTTCTGTGTTGGGTTGTCAGAAATCTTGTTGTTCTTACCTCGCTCGTTCTGCACATCCCGGATCATGCTTGTCTTGGAGTAACTCCCATATCTCCTCCTTGAGTGATGCACACAGTGCCGACCAGCGCGTGTCAGCGCCATACCCTGCTTCTGCGTCGGCGGTCCATTCTAGCGAGTTTTGGGCGTTTTTGCAGGATGGGATTTGGAAATGGCAGAAACGCTTGTTCATGCGGGGTGGGCGGCCGAGGAAGATTGCTATGTTTTTGTCTGCTGAGTAGATGCGTGCGAATGCTGTTTTGCGGAGTTCCATGAGAAATTTTGGTATCCCTGGTTTTGCTTCTATGTTTTCGTGGTATCCCAGGGCGAAGGTTGATGATATTGCGTCGCCTAGTTTGCGCCAGGAGTGGTAACCTTTGCTTGTGTTAGTCGGTCGTACATCTTGGGTGGTTGAAAACAGGTTGTACTTACTTTGGTCTCCGTCGACGTAGGAGTGGACGATGAAGTTTTCGTATTGCATGATTAGTTGGAGGTCGTTTAGACAGTCCAGTGAGAGGGATATTTCGAGTGCTAGGTCGCAGAGTTTCGTGCATAGTCGTCTGAGGGTATACTGTTCTTGCTCGGTGGTATATAAAGAAGGAAAGAAAGCAATGTCGATGGTAGCCCGGGTAACAGCTGCAAAGAAAATACCCAGTGTCTCCCAGCGGGAATTGTGATCTAATAGCTGGGCTGAGAAACCGGCGAGGTCGGAAGTTTCATCAAAATGCAACGACTGGGCTGAATTCTGCAAGAGACGTCTTGCATAGACTAAATGCCAGTTCTCGTCATGATATGTGAACAGTTGGCTCACACTCTGAGTGCATTGCGCGACGAAAGGTTCTGCCAGAGCTAGATTTGCTCCTTTGGCTAGCCAGAACATGACGAGATCTTTCATGGCGGGTAAGCTGTATGTCGTGAGAAGATGCTTGAGAACATCTGCACCTTGTAGCACCAGATGGTTATCGCCAAATAAACTCGAATTCAAGGCTTTTGGTATAACCTGCTGAGCTCCGGCATGATCTCCGTCCGGAGTGATATGCTTGAAGATGGCGGCATGGCTGGACGACCCAAGATACCCGGGATTCGGATATGGATTGCGTCTTGGATTGAAGGATGGTGATTGATCTGAATCAAGGCTGTCATACAATTAGTCAATCGGAAGTCAGTCATGTCCAGTATAAAACTTACCTATGCTTCTCAGCCCTCTTCCGCTTGAACGGCGTGGTTCTGTAAATACATATCCCCTTCGCAGTACTGCATCGCGTACAAACAGGCTGCTTATGGTCGCAAGCCAATTTAGCCTTTCTACAGGCCTCACAGGCAGCCAGACGCGACGACATGAGGTTGGAGTAAAGTCCGAGGTAAAAGTTGGAGCGGCTAACAGCGGAGTGTTCGGCGAGTCGGAGTATTGATAAGATGCGGGGAGAGAACATCTATAAATACGGAGTGTTCAACACTCCGAGCCCTTTCAACTTCACCACTCTCTCATCATGGCTCAAGATACGATCAAACTCGCTGATTACCTCTTCACTCGGCTCCGCCAGCTCGGTGTCGAGTCGATGTTTGGTGTCCCTGGCGACTACAACCTCCGCCTGCTGGATTTCGTCACCCCGGCTGGCCTGCACTGGGTGGGCAACTGTAACGAGCTCAACGCTGCGTACGCGGCAGATGGTTATGGCCGCGTCAAGGGTCTGGCTGCTTTGATCACTACCTATGGTGTCGGCGAGTTGTCCGCGTTGAATGGTATTGCTGGTGCTTATGCCGAGAATACGCCTGTCGTGCACATCGTCGGAACGCCCCCGCGCCCGCTTCAGGATGCGCGCACTTTCATGCACCATACCTTCTCTGATGGTGATTACCGTCGCTTTGCTGCTATGTCGACGCATATCACGGCTGCTCAATCCCGCATCGTTGATTCCATCTCGGCACCGGAGAAGATCGACTGGATCTTGCAGCAGGCATTGATCCATAACAAGCCTGTTTACCTCGAAGTCCCCGATGATATGCCTGATGTGCTTGTATCGGCTGCAAACTTAAAGACGGAGATTACTGTTCCCATCCCTCCAAGATCGGCCGAGGAGCCCCAAGTACTGGCACAGATCTTGGAGCGAATCTACCAGGCTGAGCGTCCTTTCATCTTGGTCGACGGAGAAAGCACAGGTCTCGGCATTGTCGACCAACTTGATGCTCTGATCAAAGCAACTGCTTGGCCAACCTGGACATCCGTCTACGGCAAGGGTCTAGCCGACGAGCAACTCCCCAATGTCTACGGCCTATACGCAGGAGGATTTGGCGACGATGCCGCAAAAGCATACTTCGAAGAAGCAGACTTAGTCCTGACATTTGGCCCACACTACAGCGACACAAACAGCTACTTCTACACAACAATCCCCAAACCAAAAGTAGCAATCACATTCTCAGGAAGCAACATCCAAATCAAGGACCAGACCTTCCGCGACATGTCAGCAAGCAACATCCTCTCGCAAATTCTCTCGACCCTCGACACAAAAAAGCTAGTCAAAGCAGCCGGTCCCCCAAAGACCAGCCTCACAATTGACACCAACGCCCCAGACACAGACGCACTAGTCCAAACCAACTTCTACCCACTAGTAAATCCCCTCTTCAAAAAAGGCGACATAATCCTCACAGAAACCGGCACAGCAGCCCACGGCGGCCGAAATTTCACCCTACCCAGCAAATCCCGCCTCTTCGGCGCAGTAACCTGGCTCTCAATCGGATTCATGCTCCCAGCAACCCTAGGCACGGCCCTAGCACAGCGCGAACTAAACGCAAACACACCCAGCAAAGCGCAGACAATCCTCTTTATCGGCGATGGAAGTCTGCAAATGACCGCGCAGGAAATCAGCGTCATGATCAAGAAGAAGCTTAACATTGTTATCTTCATTATTAATAACGATGGCTACACTATTGAGCGTGTCATCCATGGCCGCAAGGCTGCGTACAATGATGTGCCATTCTGGAGGCATTCGCATGCGCTTACTTATTTCGGGGCTGCGGAGGATCATGCTGCTGAGAATACGTTCCAGGCGCGTACGGTGGGGGAGTTGAAGGGGGTTTTGGCTGATGAGCGGATTTCTAATGGGAGTGGGGTGCGGCTTGTGGAGGTCTTCATGGATCGGGAGGATGTTCAGGGGGCTTTGCTTTATCTGTTGAATAAGCAGCTTGCTCAGGAGAAGGTTGACGAGGAGAAGGAAAAGGGACAGAATCAAGGGTGATATCTCTGCTTTCTTTTTGTCTGTTCCTTTCTTTCTAGATGGACAGTTACATAGACATCTAGATCGTATCTACGTCTTTAATGCATTTATGGAACTATCATTTGATAATGGTGGATTGTATCTTACTATGATTAGGGCATATCGCTAGTGCCACAGTAGAAGAAGACTCTCGGGAAAGAAAGAAGGAAAAAAACACCAGGCTATTTGAACGCCTATTCCCTATGCTCCAGAGCTGCCATGCACACCGGATGTGTGAAAGTTGAAGAAATGAAAAGGAAGAGTCAGAAAGTGAAGAAAAGAGAAATATGCCTGAATGTGTCACGAGACCTCTATGAACGGTCCGTCGATGTGTAGAGAGGCTGGTTCTCACGTATTGTATTCGGTTTACTTGCGGAAGCTTTCGACGCCAAGTGTTGGGGTTTCCACCACGCGATCAGTGGGGACGCCTTCATCACGTCGGCGGGCGAAAAAGCTGTCACATTCCGAAACAATGTGTGCCCATTCTGCAAGGGCACGGCCTGCATATTTGCTAGGCACGAGGTAGTTGTGGGTAGGTTGAGGAGGAAGTTCGGGAAGAGGGGAGTTTTTGGTGGTTGGTGTTCTTGGCCATGTATCAAAGGTAGGTTGTGTGGGTGTATCATCGGGGCTCATGGGGTCCTCAGGGTCTTCCGGTGCTGTTGTCTCGCTTTCAATGTCCGACGGGGATGGGTTCTCAGACGCCGTGTCATACTCTGACTTTGAAGGAGACCGCCGGTGCTCGACGTGTAATTGAGAGGCCACGGGAAGGCATGGCGCGAAGAGGCGTTTGTTCTTGGTAGGCCATTGAGGCCGGTCCATCCATTCCAGAGAGAACTTGAAAAAGAATGACTGATGCGGAGGAGTCTTAGGGCGAACAGGCTCGTCCACACTGTTGGTTGGAGTCTGCTCATGAATATCCATACATTTGCTGTCAGAGGTCATGATCAGATCTGTGCCATTGGTGTCGGAGTCTTCAGAGCTTCTATTGCTGATGTCACCGTCGCCAGAGCGGGTGTTGGAAGAGCTGCCAAACATGGCCTTGAGAAGGCCCCATCGCTTTTTCGGGGATTGGCCATCTCCATTCTGCGAGTCTGAAGATCCAGTTCGACGATGTGACTTGGTCTGATCAGAAGGAGCTGGTGGAACAACTCGGTCGAAGCTAACGAACAGATTAACCGGAGAGAGTTGGTTGTCACATCGGATGATGATAATTCTTCGTCCAGGAGCCGGTGTGCAGGGAGCAGAAGATAGAGGAGCGGTCATATTCTCTTCCGCCTTGGATTGAAACCCAATATAATACTCCCAAACCCGCAGGAGTCGATCTGAAAGGGTCTCATATACCATCGAATCAAGTGACGATGTGTCGGGATTGAACCGTCCGACCCGCCAGCACAACAGGCGGTGGAAATATGCTCGCACCATTGGACTCCAGTGGTTAAAGTAGTGATAGAATATCGGCTCGTGCAACAAGAAGTCCAGACAGATAGATGCTTTTCTTTCTTCTGTCGCAGTCCACGTACCCCAAACACCGTAGAGAAAAGAGAATACTCGCACCTCGGTGAGCGAGTTGTGACTCTGCATCATTTGTCGACAGACTTCAAGCCAGAAGCTCCAATCAAACAAGTCCGTCTCGATTGACTGAGCATAGCGTGTGATGATTGGAATGATCTCCTCCAGGAAATCACACAACAAGAAACACGCATTGTGGTCAAACAAAGACGTCTTCTGCGCAGCAGCCTTGATAATGCCACAGAAAGATTCGGCAAAGAGCAATCTAGAACGATTCGGTTCCGCAGATTGTTCTGATAGGAAATCCCGGAGAAGAATGATCAAACGATTCTCTGCCATCGAACGATGACTGTTGCTGCCACTGCGCAGGTGGTGTGTGGAAGCCGAAGCATCCGGCGACTCGATGAGATCATCAAATGTAATGGCTGCAGCGGAATGTGGATCGGGTGCTTGCTGTGCCGACTGCTTGTAGATCGTGTCCTCGAGGACAAAAAGAAGCTGTGCATGAACCAGCAACAACCCAGGGGCCAGAATCCGCTTGCCTTTTTCGGTTTCTGGAGGTAAATACTCCGAATACAGAATATGAATGTACTTAACAAATACAAAGAACAAATCCGTGTCACGGCCAGCCCAACGTGATACCCAGGGACGATTCCAGACAATACCAGTGGTATTCAATGGCGCTTCTGGTTTTTGTCGTAGATACCGCAACAGGGGTGCTTGTGAGTGGAAGGCGAGAGGACGAAGTGCGGGCGGGAAACATAGAGCAAGTTCTTGGGTGTATGCACGCGTGTTTCCTGCTCGAGACCCGGCTGATTCTACCAGAATCCGTCGAAACATGCCAGGAGGTGTGCACCACAACCGAACCAGAATTTCGGGGACTCCGGGACAGAAGAAAAAGGCGTACGCGCAAGCCTTTCCGCAGAATGCAACCAAGCTTGCTGGCGCATGTCTCATGGACATTCGTTCTACCACAAATGCCATCTGGGACAGCAAATTCTGGATAAAGATATTACGAATGTTGTGGTGAATCGATTCGACCAGGAAGTCCGATCCTGAGGAGGCTGAACCGTCGGACGCTTCTGATACTGAAGTTGACGCATACTTCAACGAATCCGTAGGTCCACTGCTTTGCTGTGACATGGGAAATGGAATGCGCCATTCCGGTCTGGTCATGATACCCACCACAGCCTCAAGAAATACGGGTCTGTCTGTCCCTGAAATCGACTGATTGTGCTTGCCATTGAGCATCTCCAGCATTCCAATCCACCACTTGTTGAGAATATTGACTCGCCGGTCTAAGTCCTCTGGTCGGAGATCCTTGCAGGACGCATGGAGATGGTGACGACCGAGAAAGGGGAGGAGAGAAGACCGGATAACGTTCGCTTTTAGGGAGCTCGATTTGGCTTGGAATCTGAGGATCTGGTCAGTAATTGCGGAAACGAGTTCAGTGGCTGTACCTACTTCTGGTAGTCCGCCTCCAATCCACGGAAGACACCCCATAGCTCATCCTTTTTCCGTGAGTGGTCCCCCCGCCAGTACTCGCATAGGATGCCGCCGTTTCTGCTGCCCCCTTCGGCATCGGTGGTAAGATCGGTGTTGAGACTGAGAGTGACGCTGTAAACTTTTCGAACGAAGACTTGTGCCGTAGAGAATTGCCCGAGGGGCTGCTAGGAGAGCTAGTACCGTCTTCAGGGCCTTTGGCCACCACTGCCACCATAGGACGACGCGGGCGTTTGTAGAGAATCGTTCGTCTGCGAGAAGGCTGTGACTGGTCATCGTCGGTTTTTCGGCCGGCTCGAGTCGGAGATTGGTCTTGTTGCTTGGATCGTTTCGCCGACGGAGAAGGGGAACGAGAGGAAGAGCCCCACGGTTTCCTGGCCAGACTGACTATCCTCCCAGACATGGAACGGCTCTTCGAGGGCCGCACAGCAGGCTCTGGGGCCTTAGTTTCCGGCACATTCGGTTCTGAATCCTTCAGGTCCTCTGATGACGACAATGTGAAACGTGAGACGGTGGCTGGCTTGTTCTTGGAGCGCTGAGAGGTCCGACGAAGAATGTCCTTTCCCGCAGCCACAGTTTCCTTGGTTGGCGATTTAGACAACGCTGGCACAGCATAGTCGGAAAAGGTGCGTCTTAGACTGGGTTCTGTCGTTGTCTGGCTGGGGAGGTCGGTATAGCTGGCGGCACGAGAGAGCTCGGGGGTATCATCGGTAAAGCTGGATGTCTCTGTCGGTTTCGGTGTCTCGGGAGAGGGCGAAGACATTGTCTTGGGGGGAGATATGGGTGATTGGGAGTTATAAGCAGGTCATTTCCCCTTGACTCGGAAGCTCGGCGTAGAGAAGACCAGCTCCTCTGTGCACATGTATTCCGTAGTAATCAAGCGTGCATAGGGCAAACAAAATACAGAGACAGGGGGTAGGAAGGCTGTCAAATATTAGGTAGATCTATGCGCTTAGAAAGGCGCCACTCCGATTGAGCAACAGATCGGCGACGAGAATATCTCCCCAAGGGTCCGAGTGGGGGAAGTGAGGGAGGGAAGAAGGTCAAGGGAGGAAGTTAGAGATATAAGTCAACGCCCGGACTCTAACCACGTATAACTCTGTATTATTCATAGCTTTCTTAGATTAACCCCCGTTCCATTTAGAGTGAGACAACTCGAGTTTTCTACTCCACTTTCCCCGTCAGCTCGAATCCTTGATGCCTTTCTCAGCCCCAATTGCAAGGTATCTACACGCGATAGAGCCAATCGCATCTTCTCCGGAAGATAAAATGGCATAATTCACCGAATCTTGTACTCTTGCGCTCGTATCCCATTCTTCCTACGTGTACAAGAATGTTCTAGGTATGTTGCCGCTCATACGCATCGGCCACTATTGCTGTATATCTATCCCGCATTCTTGACATGTCCTGTTTTGCGTAGCCGAGTCTTGAAATGGAAATATCCACTCGATTCGAGGTATTTTATGGGCGTATCGATCTATACCTCCATACTACCGATATGGCGTATGCTCAGGGTCCGTACCATAAGACGCTTAAATAGAGCCCGATATATGGCGCAGATATGCCAGACTTTACTTTGATTCCTTTCGATGTATCAACTCGGTGCCAGGTACAAGTGTCATGCCGACTCACCATGGATCACATTGCACAAGCCCTTGGCCAATGTGTTCACGACACCCCCTGCTTGGGAAAGAGACGAACAAGTTTAATAGTTTAGCTCTGTGGGGACTTTCTACTGCAATAGTATTGGAATAGTCTTGTTTTTTTTTTTTTTTTTGTTCTTGGACGTAGGACGTCTGTCGATGTCCAGCCTTCCCGGTCCTATCCTCGCAGGGATATCGCTGGATATCAACCTGGGGACGGGACACGCTTGCATCTGAGAGGTGTTCCGCGGGAATGTGGAGAGCTGACACGTCAGATCAAGCGCAACGTTTTTCAATTCTTGTGAACATCTGTTCGTGACGTGTTGATATGTCTGTTGCAGGTGTGGATGCGAATTAGTGTCAATAATGAGTTTTATATAGACGCCCACATATATGTCTGCAACGACTAGCTTAACACATAAAGTCTCTTCTTTCTAAGATATACTGTAGATCAGTCGTTTGTTGTTACAAGCCATGATTCAAGTTGGTTTATTGACTTGTATGTGCCGCACCTACCAGCTACTTCGGCGACGACAGCTCTCTCCCAACCTCGAAGAGGTTAGACGATAAACTGTTAGAGGCATCTGATCTGGGCGTGTGCTCACGCACTAAGTCGAAATATGATTGGCTTTGCTTTCTTTGTTCTCTACGGGCATAATGTTTACCCCACGTGGTAATCAATGAGATCAACAATCCATTGTTGATATTGTTCAACGATATCGATACTATCTACTCTACTGTTCCACATATATGGGATTTAACCAAGCCGTAAAGATGACCCTGAACTGAAGATTCGATAATGACCCAAAGCAGCCTTCAGGACCACCCTCTCAGTTCAGGGCCACGCTCCTCGGAGGTTCGAATGTGACATGGGCGAGACAAAGGAAAAAAGAAATCTCGGCATTTCGAAATGTGGTCTAATTTACAAGCTTCAGGACCCGAGAGGCGGCCACATTAGTTGCGGCACGGGCATTGCAAGCCGTCCCCCCATATCTCCCCAGACCTTGCTAAAATGAAAAGAAAGGACGCTTAGTGGGCGGCGGGAGCCTCCTCTTCCTCCTCGAACCAGCTCTCCTCGACAGGGGCGGCCTCACCGGCGGCGGCCTGGCCCTCGACCTCGACCTCCTGGGACTCGTAGGCGGAAAGCTCGCTGGCGAGGTTGGCCTCCTCGGGAGACTTGGGAGCCTGGGGAGCGGTGAACTTGTGGACGTGCTCATCGGCGTCATTGGCCTTGAGGGGAGTGGGCTTGTAGGCCTTGAGCTCGCGAAGGTAGAGGTCCTGAACGGGGTCGGCTAAAGGTGGGTTCGGGTCAGCGATTGCACGATCCAAGGGCGATAGAGGGATAATTGCACAAGGGCAACGACTATTATGATCGAGAAAACATACCCTGACGGATGGCGGAGGTCAGGAAGCTGCGGCGAGCGACCGAGACCTGTTGCCGAGAGGCACGGGTGAAGAGGGTGCGCTGGTTTCGCGTTAGTTGCTGGTTGACGCAGTGGAGATAAATCAATCAGGACTCACCGAGGCCCGGAGAGACTGAGACATCATCTTGACTGAGGAGGTGTAGATGAGGGATGAGGGGTGGTTCTCAAGGATAGATCTGATCCGTCTTTCCGTGAAGTTGGAGGTTCAAACGACTTCTGTTCGGAAAGGTGGCTTGGCGCTGACTCAGCCGGGTCATGTGCATCCGGGTCTCTTCATTGTTGATGTTGATAGTAGAAATATCTGTATCGTTGTTTTATTATTCAGTGCGGTGGTTTGATAAGTCCTGGAGCAATCATGGTTGCAGTGAGCATACTGTAGAACAATCCAGAACAATCAATCTTGACTCACTCGTCCATTTTCGAACGGTCAGGACCACGTGACTAGATTACCAAGCCCGATACGGACTTCCTGTTCATTCTGCGACTCTATTCACCTCACTCTCTCATTGTCCCTCCCATCTCCCCCGGTCCTTGACTTCGTGTGCTCATCCTCAGCCTGTCCCCATTTCGTGAGAGACTTTCTTACGGAGACCTTGACTGGTTCAACGCGGCTGGACAAGCTGAGGCGAGGTTACTGTTCCACTTTCGACTCGAAAGCGCAGACTGGTGAAGGCTCTTTCTGACTGGGGGGTGATTTGTCGAACCCCGAGGGGTCTGGCCAGTAAAAGGTAACAATGGCCTCTTCATTCCGGTTGCGCATGGCTTTGTTGAGGCTTCTGCCACACAGCACTGCCATGGTTCCTTGACACAAAGCACTTGCTCTGAGATCTTGGACTAACATCGCTGTGAAAACAGTGGTTTTGAGGATTTCGCTTTTTCATCTTCCTTCCTCGCCTGAGGGATCCTTTACAGGTGGCCCTCTTTCTTTCACGATTCACAGCCGCCAAGCTGTATTCGCCACTCTTTCTTCGCTATTATAATCGCAAATACAACCTGCGCAGAACCCCAAAGGTCATTGCAAAAAGACGGGCCGAAAGATTTGAAAGTTCTCTGAAATCGCGAAAGATGGCTACTCCTGCCGTGAAACCCGAGGCCGCGTCCTCATGGAAGAAGAACCTCTCCGCCCACCTCCTCTGTCCCGAATGCAAGGAGGTCCCTCCCAACCTTGAATTTCCCGACTCGCACGAAACCGTCTGCGGCTCTTGTGGTCTCGTCCTTGCGGACCGTGAGATCGACGTGCACTCCGAATGGCGTACATTCTCGAACGACGATCAGAACAACGATGACCCCTCCCGTGTCGGAGACGCTTCGAACCCTTTGCTCAACGGCGCCCAGCTGGAGACCACCATCGCCAGCGGAGGATCGGGCCACCGTGCCCGCGATCTGTACCGCGCCCAGAACAAGCAGTCGAATGAGAAGGCGAACAAGCAGCTCATGGCCGCTTACAAGGAAATCGGTGCTCTGTGTGACGGTTTCAACATCCAGAAGACTGTCGCTGATACTGCCAAGTATCTCTTCAAGGTGGTTGACGATGCCAAGGCATTCAAGGGAAAGTCGCAGGATGTCATTATCGCTGGGTGCATCTTCATCGCATGCCGTCAGTGTAAGGTCCCACGTACCTTTACCGAGATCTTTGCCGTGACCAAGGTTACCCGCAAGGAAATCGGTCGCATCTACAAGGCTCTGGAGAAGTTTTTTACTTCCCAGAACATCGAGCGCTACAACGCTACCGTCCAGAGCGGCGGAGTTGCGGACCCCAACGAGGGCTATACAGCCACCACCTCGACCAAACCCAGCGACCTTTGCAACCGTTTCTGCAACCTTCTCGATCTCCCATACCAGGTCACCAGCGTTTCCATCTCACTCTCGGATCGTGTCACCGCCTCGGGTTCCCTGGCCGGCCGTTCTCCCCTGTCCATTGTGGCAGCCTGTATCTACATGGCTTCGTATCTGATGGGCAATGGCAAAACTGCCAAAGAAATCTCCCAGGTTGCTCACGTCAGCGACGGAACCATCCGCGGTGCTTACAAGCAGCTCTACGGCGAGCGTGAGAATCTGATCGATAAGGACTGGATCAAGGACGGAAAGGGTGACTTGGCCAAGCTGCCTGTCAGCTGAGGAATTTCGATACTTCACAGTACATTGCGCCATTTCCCTTTTTTTTTATATTGTCTTATTCTTGCTGAATATTGGGTTTGAACCAGTAATGGGACAGTCGTCCACTGTACACAGAACAGACATCTAGATCTACTCGGCAATTGATTTTCTGTGAACTTATTTCTCTGTAAACCTGGTATAAGTAGTATTCTTCATGCTATTTAACCCAAGGTTCGAAAGGTATCAAGGGACTTTGTAGCGTCATAATAAATTCCTTTATCCCCTGAGCTGCACCCACCCACCTACAGCCACGAGACATACCTTCACTAAGTCCAATCATCACTTTGTTCAATTCCCAAAAACTATCTGTACACAACGCACAAAATAACTGAAAAAAAAAACAAGACCTAATCCACATCGATGCCTGAATTCTTAGTCCTTATCCACAATCCTGAATCCTCAACGCCATCACCCAACACGACCCAATAAATCCAATCCATAATCACTTGCTCTCAAAGTTACTCTCGGGATTCCCCTTATCACCCATATGATTATAAGGCTTATCATAACGATCCTCCATCTCCTGATTATGCTTCTTAACATCCTCAGGCAAATCATCCTTCAAATTGCCCTCATCATCTGCAATCGGTGACTGGTTCCCATCGCGCAGGGTGGGTTGTGCCTTGTTTGAGGGGATTGGGTGGTTTGGAGAAGGGGAGGATTGGTCTTTGGGTGATGGTGGTGTTTTGTCTTGCTTTTGGGCGTAGGTTCGGCTTTGGATTTGGATGGATCGGTTGACTGAGGAGGAGATTGTCTGATTCAGGCGGAGGATGGAGGGAGTTCTTGGTTGGAGGGTGCCTCGGAGGCGGAGAAATGTTGCCATTTTGGGTGGTTTGTATGAATGGTAATGTGAATGTAGTTGGGAGGTTGAGGATAAATCGTTGATAGATGGTCGACGTGTGGTGGTTATTGAGCTTGAGGTTGAGAACGTTGTGGTTGGAGATGAGTAGTGAAAGAAAGATGCGGAGAGTCGAATGGTCAGCTATATATGGAGAACCCCAGAATGCCCAGAGGGGTTTACAGGATTCCCTACGGTTATTCCCTGGGGCTGGGTATGACGTGTAGCGATGTCATACCGGACATGCCAAGAGTTTGATACCTCAACCTTATATCTATTTTTGAGCTACCATTTACATGACCTGGAGTAGAGTATGATATCGGTAATAATGTCCAGTGGAACTTGGAATTGTTGAACAATGAGTCCTCTGAAGTAGAGCGTAAATTAATAGCCCAAACCCCCTCCCAATCCATAAACATAAACATTAACATATGCACCAGGCCCATTTTCATAGGATGCACCTATCTATACCCACGAAGAATATTCACACGCTGAATAGCTAAGGATGATTAGAGAAGAGACAAACAGAAGACAAAGGAGAATATTAAGCCCAATGCTTCGATTGAGCAGGGTCGTCAAGTCAAGTCACTGACGTGTGGAGGACGCATTCTGACTTCCCACATTGGGATCTTGGATAGACTGGCTGGTACCTCGAGCAGAGTCGGAAGTGTTATGAATACTCGATAAGTCCGTGGGAACAGGAGTTAATTCGGAATGTTGCTCAGAAGACTCGCCCTCGTCGTTACCATGAGCTCCTGTGCTAGATACATCACTGGTCTGACGCCGATGAGACTGCGACCAAATTCTGCGTGAGCTATCGCTTGAATCTTGACGCCTGGTAGAAGAATCAGGTATGCGAGACGAGGGAGGAGGCACTTTTTGATGAGGTCTCTCATCTTTCCGCTTGTGGACCGGAGAGTTTTGCTCGGGACAGGGGGTGGATGCAGGTGGTTTTGGGGGTGCAGAAGGATCATGTGCTGGGATTGTTGGATTCTGTGATTGTGACTGAGATTGCGATTGAGCTGGCAGACTCTCAGGCGGAGTCCAATGGTGGAAAGAAAGAGGTGGTGGTTGTCGATAGTCCCATGCCCAACTGGGAGGAGGTGGAAAATGAGGCGGTGCAGTAGTCATGTATCGTGCACCATATGATTGAGATTGACCTTGGGGCTCCGTCGATCGAGGCAGGCGAGAGTCAGGGCCAATGATGGGGAACGAGTGTCTGAAACCTGAGAGATCGTGTGAGCAAGATACAGTTGGTTTTGGGTGTGATCTTGGAGCTTTCTGCTCAAAATCCTAAGTTGCAGCCAATTGCGCTGCGCTTACTGTGGTATATTCTGATTGAAAACATTGGATATTGACTCACCAGGTGATTGCTGCACTGGCTGTGCTTGCGCTTGCGCTGGCTGCTGAGCCTGGGATGGCGGAATCATGGAAGAAATTGGTCCCTGATAGCTCTGCTGCTGAACTGGAGCCGGAAAAGAAGGCGTTTGAGATTGAACTAAAGCTTGAGGTGGAGGCTGAGATTGAGCTGGAGCCTGAGCAGCTCTAGTCGCCGCCGACAAGTGCTGGAACTCAGGAACTGAAGACAACGGCGGCACTGTCGCAGCACCTTGAACAGCAGCAGAAGTATGCTGAAAAGCGGCGAAAATCAAGGGAAGAAAATGCGGCGGCACCCCAGCCCTCAAGCAATCAGCCAGCATGGACTGCTCAATACGGCGCTGTTCTAGGATCAAACTCTCCTGCTGCGTCCTCTCCTCAGCCTGTTTGCGACGATCTTCCTCAGCTTTGGCTCGCAGCCACTCGGTCATCTGCTCGCCCTGCCATCCAGCCGGCGGGGGAGGAAGGGGATTTGGCAAGGTTGGTGGTCGAGGTAGACGGTGCAAGCCGGACGGCGGGACCAGGTCATTCTGGTGCGAGCCCATTGAAAGTGCAAGTTTTGGGAAACGATGATTCTCATCCGGCGACTCGGGCTTGATTGGGGATTGTCGGGGTCGTTTGTGTCTTTTGCGAGAATCATGGAGGTTGTTCCCGGTCTGTGATCTTGGGGTCAGATTCATGGTGGATTTGGCAGCCGCGAAGGGCTGAATGGAAAATTACATGAGGGTTAGGAGAGAAGGGAAGATGTGAAGATGTGAAGATTTGCATAGCTACCCGATTAGGAAACGACGTACTCTTTGGGGCTTTGCCCCATGGGTACGTAATGCGCGCGTGTTAGAGCTGAAACGGCGATGGAAACAGGAGACTCTTCTCCCTTCTATGAAACATCGCGGGTCGGACCGTGGAAGCCAATTGCTTCAAGAAAGAGGACAGATCGCGGAGTATGGGGACTACATTAGGTATATGAAGGACATTAGGGCTGGACAGGACGAGGAAAGATGGCAATCTAGACCGACTATGTGTTATGCTTATAACCCACAGTCCAGCCCGCGACTACAATCAAAATGTGCGAATAAGCAAGATCTCACAGTGGGCCCCTAAACTCGGCATATCTCGAGAGATGCGCAAGCGATCCACTCGAACCTTTTCGGCAAGCTATTTTAGGCTCCAATCGCGAAGCAAAATGGCCGGATTGTACAGCTCATGCAGTTCAGGTCGGCCAAAATGGATGTAAAGTATTGCCAAGTACGAGATGCATATGTACCGGATAATGCCTGGCACTCGAGACTTTTCCCTTTCCATTTTAGTGCTCACCTCTTGCCGCTTTTTGATCTCAGAGTAGAATTGAGCACGCCTCCGAGCGCCCTGATCTGCTCACTTATATTACATAATCATACTGATTTGCTCACTAAGCATCACCTGATAGTCACCTGAGCACCCTGGATCTACTCACTGAGCATGAGCTGAGCGTAGGTATGAGCGACCTGAGCCACATCAATAAAATGCAACACGCTAGTTATATCACGTGCAGCTTCTCTCTAGATCACCCCCATTGTCCCATCAAAAAAAGATTTGCGTCGTCAATGCGACCGTTCGCTCTAGACCTGTCGGTCTCCCACTTCTAGCTTTGCTCCCAGGATCATTTCGTTAATTTGCCCCACAATGACCCTTCGGGCTTGAACCTCTGGTAGGCTACATGAGAGGTCTACATTATTGTCCTATACGGTAAGAAAACAAACTAAGGGAATTCATATTTAGTAGAGCAACGAGATAGATTATTTCGATGCTTCTTTTTTACGAGCGTATATATCGGAAGGCCTTTCTAAGCGTATAGCGTCAATTCTTTTTCGCTATTGTTGAATGAGGTTGGTTAATTACCACCCGCTCCTAGGAGCCTACTAAACTACTAGAGCTGAGCCTTATAGGTTATATTTCCTAGCCAATTATGTACTTTGAAATAGAAGGAGAACTCAGAGAATTCCTAGGAGCGCCCACCCTGCCCGTCTCACAATTCTATCTGAAGTGATGTCACCGCAAAGGGGTTATATATTGACTCACTCCTCCCGGAATAAGGTTTTCATCATCCTTCTCCCGTCTGTACTCAAGCAGAGTAAAGCTCTGCGTTAAGCATCCCACCATGAATTTGATCCTTAGCCACTACTTTGCTTCCTTGATCCGCCCTAACTGGTCGTGCTTTAGATACTTAGTCCCCCCTTTTGCAACCCTGAACCGGCCAGTATCATAACTTTCACCACCTAGGTCACGCAGCGAAGCATCTCCACCTATCGGGGAGCTCCCTAGGCCACCGAAGATACAATCGGCGCTTCTAACTTGACAGGGCTGTACCTTCGATTACTATCCGCTAATATATACTGCTCTGGAGAGATTGTCATCACCATGGGGTCAACCAGAGCCTAGCGGGCCTAGTAATGAATTCCGACAGTATCCTTATCATCCTTATCAGCGAGGATGATAGTGTTAGATTCTAGGAGACTTACGAAGATATTACTTATTATCTGACTAACGGTATTATGCGCAAGTTGGACGGGAATAGTTTTGACTCTTTTTTCTTTGATAGCATGGAAGTGCGTTTGTTGCCGCACCTATGGAAAAGCAGACCTTGCGAACTATCATTTAAACTAAAAAAATGTAATATCTAGTCTGACATAGAAAGCTCGCTTTTGGGACAACATCATCTTAGCAAGCTTCTAGTTATGGACTGACCGTTTCCCTACTTTTCGACTCCTAGGGTTTATGCTATACGGAAAATCCATATCAGTATTCTTGAATGCCTATAAAGGCCAGTAGTCTTTGCTCTATGACAGATTCCCGGTTCTTCTTGTAAGGACCTGCCGGACCCTGCCAATTTAGCTTAAGTCTATCTTGTATTGCAAGCCACCGTATCTATAGATCTCTTCTACCAAATTGGGACGTGTACATCCTCTGTAGATCTGGATTTCTTAACAAAGTCCTATAGTTGCAGTGTGAAGATATTGTCAACTTTTCTCCCTAGTCAAAAGAGCCTCTCTAATGCCAATATCATCTCTCTTCTGGTTTATAGCATAGGACAACAATGTAGCAAGAAAAGCGAGGTCTCACTAGAATCTAAAGACGGTCTTTCACAAAACATTCTCACAACAATACGTCCGTCATGTCTTCTTTAACTATTTTTAGGAGTAGCTTACAAAAACAAACGAGAGATATCTACATGATATTGCCAGACAGTTGGCTTAGGTGGAGGAAACCTAAGTGCAAGGCGTTTACCATAAGTTCGAAGACCAAAAGAAGCCGTATATCTGTTCAAGTACCTGAAAATAACACCTATTTGGCTAGTGAACGGCCAAGAATCCCCAGTCTATATCCCGGGAGCTTACCTCCGACCGAAGTGTGACGGTTCATAGGTGCTTGGGTTTAACCACTACGCCAGCTGACCAAAAAGGCACAATGTTTGGTCAGCGACCAAACACCCAAACTACTATATATGCTCGATCTCTGACACGAAATGACCATCATTGCCATCCCGATGAGGTTTTCCTTAAAGACCGGGACGTGTTTGATTGGGCAATAAACGCCCGTACTGATTGAGAAATAGGGTAATACATTGATAATCGAAAACTACAATTGCCTCAAGAACTTCACTACTGTAGCCGATATCATTGTCGCGCTTCGTCGTGGCTGTTTTGGCTCGTCATAGATATACGGCGTCGGTATCTCTTTTTGTAAGGTACTTACAAGCATTGAACCAGTCTGCACAGCCACCGTTTTACCACAAACAAGCCACAGTAAACTTTGATTTTTTGATACATAAGACAAGGTCAATTCCGTAACATACTTTGGCAATAAGTTCTTTTACGGGTGCCACGAGCCCGTCGAAGGAAGCACAGTACAGACTCGAGCCTCTCGCAGGGCCAGGTTCATTATCCCAGTACCTGTCAGCCTGATACAAACGAGCCCATCGTTGAAATGTCGCTTCTTTTTCTAGGAACGTGACCGTTGCTCGAACTATCTCTTCAGAGACCTGAGCTAACGCAGCATGGCCTGTCCAGGCTTTTGCCGCATATCTCGCCAGCGGAAAATCCCGTCTAATCTCACTCTCACTGCCGTGAATGTCGGTAAGATAAGTTAAGCACGTCTTCGTAATTGAAATGCTGGCGGTCGTAAGAGTGAATTCATTCTCTCCCAGAAGGTACTTCTTACCGGAAAAGTGGGCAAGGTGTAATTCTGTCTCGGCGGCGTGAAAGACTGTTACTAAACCAGGGCAGTAGCCTAAAATATCAGTCTCGCAAAACGTGAATTAGACGAAAGTAGTCCCCGGCCCGATCAAATTTGCGTTCGCCGTATGGATGGCAGCACTAATTCTCTCCTCCTCACCGTTGAGTATAAGCCGCCGCATAAACTCTCCGTGGAGACCCTCCGGACAGGATTACGATCGATGGAAATGTGGGAAGAGATGGTCAATTGCAACACGGTGCCTACGGACCCTGTGGAAAAACTTAGATACAATGCGAAGCGGCTGGTTGACTCAGCCATAGTCCAAACATATGATGTTATGATTGAAGAAGGTCGTGCTGACGCTATTTTGACAAACGGACTTGCTCGCGTCCTCCTCCATGTGCCATATGATGATCCGGCTACGTTGTTGTATCACTTTTGTGAACCCCACACCGAGATCGACGAAGAAGATCTGCAGAATCTACGGCACCCGAATACTTCCATCGCCAGGGTGTTATGCCATTGCTTAGGAAGTTTACATTCTCCCACGCGTGACCAAGAGTGGTGAAATTCTGCGCGATCGCAACTTCATACCTGGGAAACTAGCTTCGACCATACTCGCTCTTTGATTCCCGACGAAGAGCTGCGGAAGACTCCTCCGTATTCTGAAAGCAACGTAAGTCCCGAGCTGGCTTCTTCAGACTATCAACCATCGTCTTCTCCACTCGAATCGCCCACAGCAAATCATCGCCGAGTACCCACAAGATCTCAAGTAAGACGTTCGCCACCTAGTTCCCAACATCGTTCGCAGTCACCGGGCTCATCCGGCTCCGATTCAAACCAAACAACACGGCACAAACGTGGCTTCAGCCAAGTCACATCTTCCCCGTCTACCCAACGAGCAGCTCGTCAACGCAAGCCTGGTAATAACCAGGACAACCAGTCCCGCAACCGTGACACGCAATTTTGTACCCAGCGATGTTTACTTGGGGCTGAAGTCCGGCGGTGCTCTTGACGATCGTTGCCCAAATGTGATGCTCCACCGTCGAAGTAAGGACGATATCCAACATCGGATTACTTCGGAAGATTTAGTGCGTTTATTCAAGGCACAATTAGACGAAAACATCGACCGATGTACACCCCTTAGAGGCTGCGGGGCGTATGGTGCGCCATTCAAGCTTACTTGTATCCAATATGGCTTTACTGTTGTCGGCAAAGGAACCACATCCGCTCTGTGGAAGGAAGTCTCCCGCGAAGCAGAGGTATACCGAATTCTGCAGAGGGCGCAAGGGTCCGCTGTGCCTGTTTTCTTGGGTTCGATCGACTTAGCGAAAATTTATTTCCTTCACGGGGCTGGGGAGATTCGCCACATGCTCGTGATGGCCTGGGGCGGAGAAAGTACAACATCAATGGAGCTAACGCCTAAGCTTCTACAGAGAATTCACCGATCAAACAGGAAAATCAGAGCTTTGGGAATCATCCACGAAGACCTTCGACGTGACAATGTCCTGTGGAATGAAGAGCTTAGGCGAGCGCTAATAATCGACTTTCACCGCTCCACATTGAAATGTCGACCGACTTTGCAGCGGCCGCGAGCCTCAAAACGACAACTAGCCGGAGAAAGTTGATTCGAAGGGTCTTGGTGACATGAGGGCTGATCCAGCAAAACCTTTGGGCGGAGCGAACCCCAATTTTCCAGCGACTTCGTTGTCTCCCTCTTCAACCATCTCAGCCATGACTTCCACTGGCCAGATTATTCTCCCTCTGGAGTTATGGCAACAAATCACATCCTATCTAACAAATCGCGACATCAAGTCCATGCGCCTCGCCGCCAAACAATTCTCAAGCGCAGTGGAACTACGTCTCCAGCGAGTGTTTTTGTCAGCCAACCCCTTGAATATCGCAGTCTTTCGGGCTGTCGCAGACCATGAGAAGTTCAGACACCAGGTCACAGAGATCGTCTGGGACGATGCCCGACTTCCTAGGGGTCCTCTAACACGTCGCGAACTTCCTGGCTGGGAAGGTGAAATGGTATCAGACGAGGAGAGCAGTGATAACGAGACTGAGATTTCGCGTTTTCAGGGAAGCTATGAGCTAGACTGGCCTCGCGAAGATAGTGATGATGAAGATGAGGATGAGGATGAGGATGGCGATGAGGATGAGGATGACGAGGGAGACGGCGACCCTTCCAATCAGCTACGGAGAAGTACAAAATTCAAAAGCAAAGATTGTCCGGTGTGGTTCAAGGCTGGATGCGCTGCGAGTGTTGAAGATGCTTTCTGGCGCCATGCCGGTGACGATGGGATCGATGGGATCGACGATGAAGACCCGGATTACAAGACCATGAGAAAGCTGGGCTCGATAGGGCCTCCGCTGAGTGAGTGCTGGGAGATTTACCGCACTTTGATCCGGCAGCAAGACGATGTCCTAGCTAGGAAATCCGACCAAGAAGCATTTATTCATGGATTGAAACGATTCCCTACACTCACAAAAGTGACTGTCACGCCTGCAGCCCATGGCTTTCTTTTCAACCCGCTTTATCAAACTCCCATGATTCGATCATTCCCGGAAGGATTCAATTATCCTATGCCCCGCGGATGGCCACTTCCTAGTCACGATCAACCGGAGGAGGTATATTCGCTTCCTTGGAAACGGCTCAACGAAGTGCAGAAAGAAAAGTTCCACGGATTCCGGATTGTGGCACGCGCGCTCGCTAAACAAAAGAATAATGTCGTCGAGTTTAGTGTAGATTCCCGCCTACTTCGCACGGGAATTAACTGCACGATTCTTGATAACACTTGTGAGGAATATAATCACTTGGCCACGCTGCTCAAGAAACGGGGCTTCCGTCACCTCGATCTTTCTTTCACTCTTGCCGGAACATGGCAATCATTCCCCTATGAAACGCTCTATGATATATTACGCGAAGCAGGCGATCTAGAAAGACTCAGCCTCGCCACCACAGGAATTGACGCCGAAAACGAACACAAGAATCTGCACAACGTCACGCCTATGCCCCTGAAGGATATATTCCCCATTGAGAACTGGCCCAAACTCCAACACTTTGAGCTGTCACGATTAATAGTCAGCGAATCCGACGTGATATCTTTCCTTTCAGAGCTACCTGCAACTGTGCGATCTGTGAAATTAAGCTTCTTAACATTCGTGGACAACAGAAATCACTGGCATTCTTTCCTTGCGAAGATGCGCGAGGAAATCCGGGAAAGCCGTCTCTGGTCAGATCGACGGCGAAATGTGACTGTCGGCTGCAATCAAGAGATCTCTCTTCCAGGGCGTGCGAGATGGATTGGAAAGGAGGTTGATGAATTCTTGTACGGGGACGGACACAACCCGTTCCTTGATCCTCCAATTAAAATGCCCAGGGTAGGGTATGGAAGTGAGAAAGATCAATTGGACCCCAGCAGCTAGTCTTGTCTGTTTAGTTCAATTGGACAGTTCATGGATACCTGGAAATGAGTGTTGTAAGGGCAACTCTGGCCCGAGGCTTATGATTTCTCTTGAATACTGCGATATCAAACTCATATGAGACCCATCTATAGGACACCCGTGGACAATGGGGATAGCTATTTCCATGGGACGATGGGACTATGGCCCTGAGGGCAGTGGATACTGTATGTTACCTGGGAGGCCACGACAAGGAGAGTCTGATCCTGAAAGAGTGTAATTGCTAGATTTATCTACTGCCAACGGGGGATACCTGCCAGGCTCAGCGCAGACCAATCGGTGTCGCCTGCTGTCTGTCAATATCAATGACTTCCCTGCCCCCTTGGAACTTTGGGAGCAAGATAAATCGGAAAATCAAATCAGCAGCACAAGTTTACATTCTTTTCAGATGAAGTGAACGAGAGTCCTCACTTGCTAGAATCCGTGACACGCAAATACATCCCAGTCGGATGTTCCCAGTATATCTACCCGACAGCCCACACCGCGTTGGAAAATTCTGCTTCAACGCCAGCCAAGACCTGCATCTACACCCCAATACGGAGTCCTTCTGTACACGACATTCCCAATGAAGAATCAAAAAAGACGCGGCGGACGCGGGGGTCGCACCCCTCCCACCCACGCGTGCCCCCCTCAAAAGCCATCACCCCAGGCACAGCCGTCAACATCATCCTCAAAGCCGACCAGCCCACAGGACGGACAGTATCAGGGACAGTGAGCGAACTACTCACGCGTGGCGATCACCCACGAGGCGTCAAAGTGCGGCTGACCGACGGGCGCGTCGGAAGAGTCCAGAGCCTCCGGAGCGGTGAGCCGGAAGATGACGGAAAGAGCGCCCAAGAGAGCGCTGGGATTCAAGTAAGAGCAGAGGGAGGGGATGTGAGCGGGAGACGCAATCGTTTTACCTCGCGTGATATGCGTCTTGATGGGCCTGAGGAGCCTTCGGCTGAGCCCCTTGGGCTGGATATGTTTATACGCCCTGCGAAGGTGAAGAAGGGGAAGAAGACGCAGGCTGGACGGGATGAGCGGCTGGAGGAGAGGGCTGAGGACACAGGTGGTGCTGCTCAGGTACCGGGCTCTCTCAAGTGTCCTGTGTGCGCTGACTTTGAGGGCGATGAAGCTGCTGTGGCGCACCACGTTGCTGGTCATTTCGGAGAATCAGTGGCCATGAGTTCTGAATAAACCAGAGACAAGTTGCGGCATACTTCAGCCATCTCCCTTCTTAGCCTTGGGGCGTTCAATTCTTGGGTGAATCCATACATGGGTGAAGCGTAAGAATCAGCATTCCCACTGTGCTCTTCCTCTTTCACTATATATAGGACCAGGACATCCCCATTTGTCCGTTTGAGGCATCCAGGGCTGCTCACCACCTCTAGCCTCTTTTGTCCTCTTTCAAATCGGTCGCTTCACGGGAAAATACCTATCGATCGATCTTCGTGGGTCTAATACAAGACCCATGTTCACATAGATCGAATCTACCCATCCTATCCGAGTACGAGGCTTGGACACATTATTGAACCCTGAGATATGCCTATACTCTGTTAGCTCTTTTAACGCGCAGAACGGAACATAGTATATATCTCTTTTATTGACCGATCGTATATGATCTTGGTAATCTTAGGGTAATTAAACTTTTTAATCTCACTAGTCACTATTAGTGACCAAGCTCGGTATAGTGTTATATACGAGGAACTGATTAGTAGCACCGTTTGAAGATCTCGTGAATCTCCTATCGCTCCAAATAAGGATAACTCTAGAATTAACTCCTCTCCAGAGGTTCCTTTAGGACTTTCTCCCAAAGCACCGATATTCTAAAATCACCTGGAACAATCATAATATAATCTTATCGCTTAAATTTATAGTCTAATAGGCTGGGTACAGCTATACAGCCTTTTTCCGCGAACTATTTTAAAGCCTATATCTTATTAGTTTCAAACGGCTTTTTAAGAGCTAGGTAAGTAAAAGGAAGTCTATTAGTAGGACTCCATTCCTACAATGGTTATCTATTCATTGACGCGAAGATAGGCAAGTCTATCAGCACTGCGTTCGCGGCACAGGAACTTTCTACTGGTATATGCGGGATAGTTGTATTCCCGCACGTCACGCTCAGTAGCTGCCATTATAGCACTGTCGAGTTACTCGATGAGGTCCCAGGTCATGTGTGGTTCAGAGTCCTTCTATCGCCTGGAGGGATACGGGATGTGGAACTGGACTTGGGTGCCGACAAGGTCAGCCAGAGGCTTGGCTGGAACGATGATGGATAGGGGTTCCTGACTAGAGGGGAGGGTTGCTCGGAGGAACAACTGGTGTCCTTCCTTCCTCCTAATATTGGTAGTTATCTTTCCTTTTCCATTCTCTCTCTCTCTCTCTCTCTCTTCCTTAGTCGGCAGCTACAAAGATAGCTTTGCTTCCAAGGAACAGCCTGCTCTCAACAGTGATGTGAAGTGGGAGAAAGTGAAGTTGGCGAGGATGACATGTGTGCTACATCCTCCATTTTGACCTTTTGTTCTGCCTGAAGCTCCTGAGACCTATCATCTTCACTCTCATCTCACGTACCTTGCTCTATCCCGTTCTTGAACTAGAATTGTCAGAGATACAGCAATTTCGTATACTATCCCATCATCTCTGACAGGGAGTGCAATAAGCCCGCCCTACCAAAGAGGAAAGCTCCATTGCCACACTGGCATAGATACAGTCAGGGTTTCATACTATGAGGAAGTACTTGGATCTTCCAATCTGACAATTCTATATTGCGAATGGACGGATTTTCACCTTCTTGAAGGATGAAAAGCCAGTAAGAACACCCTAAGATCAATGTCTAAAAGACCGCAAGTACACGCATCCAAAGACAACTCTGAAAATTCCAAAGACCACAGTAGAAGAGAAAATTCCTGGATCAAAAATACTCATCAATGAAAGAATAATAGTATTTTCATAAGCCAAAGAAGATAAAGAGTCATTTAACAACAGAATAACTCATTTTGGCCCAGGTTTTCGTTCCGTTGTTTGTTATTTCTGTTCATCTAGAAACTTATGACCGTCAATGGCTCATTAGCTAGCAGCGACGAACTTTGGTTGACCGGATGAAGGTGTAGTGAAAGTAGGACAGAATTCGTCTTTCTGATTGGCCAAGCAACCCCTTGCTGGTCTGTGTGGGGGTCAAGAAGAGTGGCCATAAAAAGCAATTGGAAGCTACGGAGACCTGAACGAGCTTTGTAGATTAAGCCAAGAGAGTTGGGATGGTCATATCCAGTATTTGCTCAACGCATCCGAGAGCACGCCCATTGAACGTGTTGGTAAATGAACACTCAGGACGGTCCACCTTCCAGCGATGAGAAAACGATGAGTACACCAGGTAGGAATGCAGTCCTTGCGAAAGGCTACATACAAGTCCAAGCCGGTACATGGAAATCTGCGGTGTACAGCTTTTCTTCATTCTCCCAAGCCCCGCAACAAAAATGCATGCAGTTCTGAAAAGAGAATCCTTGCTCTCTCCTTTTCATCGAACCATTCGCGGATACCGATCATTGGTAGAACAATACCCGGAATCCTCTTGTGATGATGGCAGCAAATTAGCCAAGCGCACGCATGTGAGTCTGTAACAAAAGGTGCTCGCTTGCCGCGTACTGTATTGACATTCTGAGAGTCATGCTCTGTGTCCGCTTCCGAACAGCCCCAAATCGAGATGATGCATCTACTTTTCCAGGGCTATCATCCCACGTTCAAGTCCCATCCTCTTGGGTGGGAGGCAGAGTCTATCCTGCTTTTGGGCCCTACACAACAGATGTGCTACTACAATGGCAAATTGTTCGGCGGTTACATTGCCCTATTGATGGATCGTATTCTTGCCGCCTGTTGCAAACCGGCGGTCACTGCCTATTTGACCACGTCTAATCTCCAGTCGGTGCCACCAACAGCTCCGATACTTCTTCGGGCATGGCCTGATAAGGTTGAAGGTCGCAAGAGTTACTTAAAGGGCTCTCTTCAGATTCCAGGAAAGGTTCCTCAAGATTGGATTGAGGCAATCAAAGCGGATGCGTTGTTTATAAGGCCAAGGGATTCGAACTAATGGCATGTGCGTAGAATATATTGATGTACTCCGATCAACATGGTGCTCTTCTCTGGGACTGAAAGAACTCTATAGCTCTACATGGGTGTAAATGACCAACGAAAAACCACAAGCTCCTTCCGGTAACTGTTGCAGATGGCCTGCCTCAAAAATGCATGGCCGAGGCTTCAAAAATACACACGGAGCATATTAGACGATCTGTGTTTCGCAACTTGTTAGCGTGAGAGTCTGAGCTAGTAAGGTGGTGTTCAAAGTAGAAATCTCAAGTGAAGGACCCAATATCAGAGCAGACTGATATGACCGCTTGAACTGAATTCTCAGACTACAAATTGTAGGTTGAAGTCTAAAAGCTTCGTAAATCGAGTTTGACATGCACATAATTGCGATCCTTGGCGATAGCGTATGCCGTCTTGCCTTTCAAATCCTTCCACCCCTCTTTGACACCAGGCTCCGTGGACAAGACTCGCACAACATCGAAATGCCCGCCAGCTGCGGCCCACCAGAAAGCGGTCCTTCCCTGATCATCCACCGCATTCACGTTGATATTGGGGTGTTCCAATTGAAAAGGAAGCTCATCATGCTTCGAACTTGCTGCCCGTCAAGTGTGTGGTGTTTGCCCCTCGAGTTTAACGTACGCTACATTTACTCTTTGTAGAACGAGTGTGATTTCTGCAGGCATTTGAGTCATCTATTTATTAAATGATTTTTCATTCTCGCGCAGCCAGGGATATGTAAATGGCGCGGCAAGGAGTCTATCTCTAAAGGTCAGCAAAGGGTCATATTACCCGGCTGGATAACAAATTTACAATCAAATATCAATCAAATACAAGCAAGATATTATTGACTGGACAAATGGTCTAGGTGCCCTTCACATTAGCCCGAGATCGGGTGGATCTCTGAGAAGTCTTCAATCCATCTGCCGTGGCATGTCTGAGGACTGGCATTTCCAAGTACTCATCTTTCCATCGCAATGGAATTTCTCCATCTGAGAGATCAAATTGTGCTAAATCGTCCACAGTGTTGACCCCAAAGAGAGCACCATGTGCTAATGCGAGGGAGAGAAGAAGGGAGCCTGATGCAAATTGCGGTCTGTTGCTATCCCGGATACCAATCCCGAATCTAGAGTATTTATGAGCAAATCAAATGTCCCAATATACCCAAACAACCATGCCACTGGGCTCTTTTCCACTCACACAGTGTATTGTGGACATCTGTTATTCTTGAGCCAGACCTGTTTGACCCGCCATCCCACCCCCAGGGGGCTGTGGCGGAAGGAAATAGTACCAATTCAATATGCTTGAATAGTAATTAGCAGTTGACGATTGTGCCTTCCGCCGTCAGGGTTTTTTTGATCCACTATCTCGAAATTAGAATGGCTGTAAGGATTGGTCTCAGAGGGAGGTGACGATAGACTCACCGATTTTATTTCTTTTCGATCATCTGGGATGATTGTAGTCTTTGTGAATCCTTCAAATCCACCAAAGAACCGCTCGGCACACGCATGTACGGTTCTTACCGTTGGTCATCCGTTCTCGTTTAGTCGGCCTTCAGTAGAACCAATGTACCAGCGGATAAACTCCTTGATCATCTCGTGACTTGGGGCTGGACAACCAAACGAGATCTTATAGTATTCAACTCCATTTTCTGGGTCTGCGGTAAAGCTAAGGAGGAGTCAGCGTTACTCATGAATGCGAAGGAATTGTCACTTTAGATGCGCCTTGACTCACTTCAGCCAAAGGTCCACGGTTTGTCAATGTAAGTTGTTGGTCTCGGTAAGCCTTTTGTCTTTCTCCACATACCCGTTTCTTTCCCGTTGGAGACGACGTCTCTCTTTTGCAATCTCATCGCGCTCAGCAAAAAACTCTTTTCTGACCATGATCAAGTGTGATGCCACGAGGGGGGAGGGTATTTCGGGCAAATGAGACCGGTATTGGTTCAAAGGACTGAGGAAAAGGCGCCGAAAGCGTAAGCGTGTGAATAATCAACGTGCTGGGCTGGGACATGGTTTGCTTTTATATTTGGAGATTCGAGCTCGAGCCACAATGAGAATTCAGAAAGAACCCTTGACCGCAGCATCATGAAATAGAGGCAGCCCTCCACTTTCTCCTGCGCCCCATGAAAATGACGTATCTCCTCCTTGATGAGATGGGCAGGGTTCAGAAAATGAGGGCGGGCGCGATGCTATCTACGAACTAAACATCGCAGTATAAACGACCCTGTGGGGCTGGTCCATTAAAGGTATAGTCTGTGGTGGTCTGAGTAATCAGTGAGCATCCAATGAGCATTTACATAGTATCAGTCATCATGCACGTGACTGCTCTGAGCTGATCACTGACTCTGAGTTCGTGCTGATATCTACTCTGAGAGCCTGAGCCTGAGCACCCTCATTAAAGCGGCGGCAGCCCAAATAGGAAAACCCCACCCGCCAGGGAAAATCCGGTACGTATATCTACATAAGTTCAACAAAGAATCCCGTCGGCTCGACTTACTCTAGAACCAGATGTGGCTATACTTCATTCGGAAGATATGAACACGACAACGCATCTCCAACCCAATGGAGAGCACCAAGATCCATTTTCAGAGCCTCATGCTTCGTATATCTAGGGAACAGGTCTCGTATTTCTCTGATCTAGCTTTAGTCTGCGTCATAGCTTGGCAAGTAACTTATGATGCATTGTTACAGTTCATCTATATGCGGTGGAGGGTGCACACCGTAGAAGAGAAGAGAAGATCATGCATAAATTGGGTCCCTGGAGACAGAAGAATGCAGATCTAAGCTCTCAATCTCTTGAATCTTGAATCTGAAACGAGACCCCTGAATCACGTCAGCTGAAACTGTCTCTCCGCTGAACCCCTTCACCTCCACCCGACATGTCTCCGTACATGCAGCTGCAGTGGAATCCATTGGCGAACCTGGCACCTGGTAAGCTGACGTGCTACCCACTAAGCCAGGAGCGGGGGGAAAAAAGCCGTGCTGAATCTCTGTCCCAACACGTTAAGCCAAGACAACCCAACCGCCAACAGTGCGCGGAGCAGGGCTTCGCCGATGAAAGCGAAGCGAGAGACATACATGTACCTGTACATGACCGATGCCATCGACGGTGCATTGAACTAATATAATAGACAGGACTAATTGACACCAATGCAGATACAGATGCAGATGATATCCATTTGAAATATATACTCAGTGCGACAATTCCATGCCAACATGCAAGCCCCGCATCACACATTTCGAGCGAAAAAGCGACAGCTGGACCGGGCAAAAAGGAGACAGGGTATCGGCAATTGGGATTGACTGGACTAGTTATGCATCGCCGCGATCGAATCGGCTAAGAACTTCTGGTGGAACGGTGGGGATGTACTTGCGTGCTCGTTCGCGATTAGTGCCGCCGAAGCCGGCGCCGTAGCTGATTAGCATGTCTGTGCTGGTTGGTAGGGAGAAGGGGAGGAAAAGGGTTGGATCGAGGATGACGGCGTTGCCGCCGCCCGGGCGTTCGTCGTTCCTGATGGCCACCATGCTAGCTGGTCTGGAGGAGGCGCCTGCTGAGCCTGGGGAGAGACCTGGGTCTGGCGATGTGGGTGCGTCCGAGGGTTGGTCCTTTGATGGTGTTTTTGGACGATCGTCAGCTGCGTCCGATGCTGGTCCAGCTGCGGCCCTTTTCTTCTCGTCTTGGATTTTTTGTTGCTCGCGGAAGAGGATCTCTGGGTCGCGCTGCATCTCAAGGAGGAACTTCATTGCTTGCTTGGTGAGACCCTTCTCGCCCACTTCTGGGCGGTAGGATTTGACGGCGTGAAGGAGCTGGGCGGGACTAAGTTGTTGGAGTTGGAGAAGGGTTGTCACGAGGGATTCGTGGTCGTCGCCGAGCGAGGAGAAGCATTGCAGCCACTGGAGGAGTTGGATGACCGGCGCCAGATGTCGACGGGCGGCTTCAATTGTGGTTTCTCCAGTGCAAGATGTAGATCCATTTTCGTAATGCTCTGGTTGTCGGTTATTGGAGCGAGCCCAGTCTTCTAATGTTGACACGTTCATGCGGATCTGCATCGCCTTTGTGCGTGCCAGATACCGTTTCGTGCTCATGATCCGATTAAAGATCTCAGCACTGAGCCAGTAAAGAAGCTGAGAGAGGATCTGTGTTGCAATCACAGAGTGAACGTCATATAGATCAAGTACAAAAAGGGTCGATGAGAGTAAAGAGGTGATGTTTCGGGGCGAAACCTGCGCTCGTCGGCGCGGAGATGGAGGCCGGAATCGCTTCTCGGCAGGTTCAGGCGTCTTATTTTTGTTTTTGCGGAAGAGCTTCCATTCATTTTGGAAGGCAACGTCTTCCAGTCCAGGGATGGTCTCATGATCCAGCATAGCCGCATCCAGGACTTTGTTCATTCGACGCTCGGCGTCACGAATGATGAGAACGAAGATCTCGTTGATCAGCTCTGCCAAATGGAGCTGGAACTCGACTGTAGATTCTACCAGGCCGCCATCCTTCTTGAGATAGTGGAGAAGTAGCGTGGCATTTGACAACCAGAATGCTTGCATTGTCATGTCCCACTGGTAGCGTTCAACAACGTCGTTGATTTTGTCCATGGCAGACGTCAATAGCGTTGCAAGCAGCTCAGGGCTGGCATGATAATGCGCATAACGCGCACTGAGGAAGAGAAGATTTGCAGGCACTGGCTTTTGAGACGGAGACCGCTGGGGAGTCATGTTGGTGATGATGATATCCAAAATGCGTTCCAGTTCATGATCCTGGAAGACGAACATCTGGTCGTTCAGACATCGATCCCAGATGAATTCCTGTTGTTCTTCTTCTAGCTCATCATCATCAGATGGCTATCAAGTAGTCAGCCCATGTCCTTGCCAGGTAGTACACGAGTATTACCGAACTCACCTCGAATTTCTCATCAAGCCCCAAACTGGACAAATCAACTTCCAAATTGATAGCGCTCTCTTCCATCATCATTCTCCGCTTCATCTCCGTTTCAGCTAGTTCTTCTTCAAACCGGCCATGCGCCAGCCCAGCATCATAGAAATCATCCTCAATACCCGCGGAACCAAAATTATACCCATTTTCATGCAGATATTCAGAGATCTCACTCCCAGGCTGGGCAAAATCAAGCGCAGTACCCCCAGACGAAGACTTAATATCCGGCGAAGCCCCATGATCAAGCAAAATCTTCGCAATACTCTTATGCCGGTTCGTCATAGCCCACATCAGCGCACTCCACTGATTGCGATCTTGTTTGTCAACCAAAGCCCCAGCATCAATAAGCGCACCCACAACCTCTTGATGGCCCTAAAAGAAGCCAGTCAGCCAAAAATCCACAGTAATTATTCCATATCAGACACCCCATCCCACGAGACGCGCAGACCAAAGGAAACCGAAAGAAAACCTACAAAACAGCTAGCATAAATCAACGGCACAGTCCCCTCCTCATCAGGCATATTAACATCAACAAACGGCCTGGCAGCCCCCGGACAAGTTTCCTAACGCGCTCCACGTCGCCATTACTAGCCGCCATATTCAAGCTCTTCTGCAGTATATCGCGCTTCTCATCATCAGTGAGCTTCTCATCAACAGCAATGGTCTCCTCGTCCGCGCTGAGCGAGTCCACTTCGCGATGTGCGGCTTGGGCGGCTAGCATTTCCATCAGACGGGCGTCACTATCTTCCAGGTCGCGGTCGCGGTGGCCGTAGGCGCGTAGTTCGTGCTCTGGGTCGTGGGTGTGGTCGTCTAGTGTTAGGCTGAAGGGGAGGGGTTTGGCTGCGACTGGTGTTGTCAGGAATTGGGATTGGCCTATAGGGCTTTTAGTTTTGATCTTGGATTGGATAGATATGGGGGTTTATCCAAGGACTCCGGACGAGACTTGCGCTCTCATTCCCTCTCTCGGTCTGTACGTCTGTACTCACCTTGCCAGGCATCATACATCTCCGTCTCAGCCTGAAAAACAGGCACAGAGCGACGATCATCCAGAGACTTTGGTAAATCATCAGGGAGTTCCTGCTTTGGCTCATGGAATGCAATATCATGATCGGAGCGGACGGAGTCCTCTGAACCCCCGCGCCGCGGCTCGGTCATGTCCATCGTGGCGGGCTGGCTGTCCGGCCCTGAGGGGGGACATCAAAGGGGTCGAAGAGGGTGTAATGGAACGGGCGCTTGGCCTGAAGGATCGTGCTGAGGGAGTTGTTGCACCCGTGGAAATTGAGTGGGAGGTTGGAGAGAGGTGGTAGATTGAGGTGGTCGGGAGCCGAAAATGATGTTCCGTTCCTGGATGATCGGGATGAAATGACGCAGCTTTTTTGGTTGGGTACTTTGCTTGAAACGGGGTAATTGTTTTATTTGGAGCTAGTTTTGTTTTGATTTAGTTGCTATTTGTATAGAAATTTACATAAGGGTTTTGGGGGATTCATTCGAGAGCTGGTTTTGTTTCTTATATGGGGATCAAAGTGACTATAAATTAATAGCTATGTGCATTGTATTATGAGTTGATCTGCAATGCTAATTTAAAAAAAGAAAAACGCTTTCAACGAAAGACAAATCAGCAAATGCCACGCTCGATGCAAAAACGCTCTGAAATCCAGACACGAAATAGCAGGCACGCTCAGGTCAAGTAAGCAGAGTAGAGTACATAGGGAACATCGAACCAACGACGTCGATGATTAAATAGGGACAGCAAACCATAGATGGCATGCAGGAGCAGAGTACTGCCATATAACGACCGAGCAACATCACCCAAATAGGAAATTCCAAAAGAACGAAACAAGACGCAAATGCCGGGAACAAACATGAGCAGAGGGACAAAGCAGCCTCTGAAAAACGGGGTATAAACTATCCAATCACAGAGATTGTAATACAAATATAAAGAACCGGGCCAAGATCCCAGATCCAACAAAAGCAACCAAAGAAAGGAAAAAGGGGGTTATTCAAGTGCCTTGCTGCGAGCTTGGATCTCCTCCTCAGGGAGGGAACCAATCCACAAGCATCGCTCAATGATACCCTGAACAGGCTGGAAGCGGTATTTGGTGCTGGCATCAATGAGCCGAAGCAAGCTCTTCACAATGCGAGCAGCAGTGCGATACCGCTCGAAGTTGACCAGTAGACCTCCGTCACTACTGCTGATCTGGGCGGGTTTCTGAGCGTTATAGGTAAGGTCGTGCACATATAGACCGATAAAAGGAATGCATCCTTCCTGTAGATTGGCCGTCTCCATCTCGACGCGCAAATCGTTGAAGTTGCGCACTGGCTGGATGAGACATTCCATATCCTTGAACAAACGCTTATCTTCCAGGGGAATAAGCTGCCATGTCTTCGTCAGGCGTGTGCAGTCAGATGAGGACAGCGCAATGGCGATCTGGAGCATGGTGGCGTAATTGCAGATGCGACGTGCGTGCGCGGCGGTGTGGATGTATTTGACGATTGTGCGGGCTCGTTCGTTGATATCGCGAGTCAGTACGATCTCGGAGAGGATCCATTTCACCATTAGGTTGAAACGGCCGACGACTAGGTCGATGCCTTTGCGTTTTTCCGTTGTCAGGAATTGGACCCAGTTTAAGATTAGGGGGCAGCCGTTGCTCCATTTCATCTCGACTAGGTCTCGCCAGTCGATTTCGCTTAGCGCGGCCATTTCTATCAGGGTCAATTGGTGGGCGAGGACTTGGGATTCGCAAGCGAGGATGAAGGGGACGTGATCGGGCGTCAAGATGGTGATGGGAGTTTGTGCGGGATGGTAGTTTTCAGAATTGAATAAGACATTGCTCGAGATCTGCTGTACATTGATCGGGCGTTGAGCAATGGCTGTCATATCTTTGTGCCTGGGGGATGTCTCGGGCGTAAGAGGATGAGTCTGGAACAAGACCTTATCCATTGGCGAGGTGCAGGAAGTGAACGAGCCCGGATGTTGAATGGTCATAGGCGGGGAGGGAGGGTGCGCCAGGGGATGCGGTGGAATCTCGACAGTAGATGAGTTCAGACTACGAGTCTCAGTCGATTGTCGTGGCCCCGTAGCTTCATTCGGATCAATGATATCGACCGATATCTCAGAGGAAAGAGCTGACAAGCGCTTCGGAGTAACTTGTCCATCATCTAGTAATCCCGACGCGGGAACAGTCGAGCCGCGAGGAATCCGTCGAATGCTCTCTGTTTCATGGACGATCTGAATCGATGGGTGCGAAGAAGCAATATCAGATGTATCCCGGCTGGAAATGAGACTGAGCGGAGCACCATATTGATCGTAGTTAGCCGGCTGGCTTGTCGGCGGTCGTTTCATGGACTCATCACTCAACCCTCGCTCAAGAAGCGGAATTGAATTATAGGACTCTTCAGACTCGGCCACGGAGTCAGAGTATGGCCTCGGTGGCGCCAGATGACCGCCAACAGTAGAATACCTCGACTTGTCCGTCTGTCTTCTGCGAGTGAGAACATCCCAATCAAGTTGAGACTTCGTAGTGTCGAGACCATGCGGGGCCATAGCTTGTTCTCGGTGAGCATTTCGAGATGCCTCAGCTTGCTCAAAGGTAGAGTTCCGATTCGCACCACCTGGGCCATCCCATTTACCCTCCAGTTTCAACAGAGTAGATTCAACACCACCATCATCGTCATCAGGAATCTGCGCAAACTTCGCAATGACCGACTCAAAAGAACGTCTCATTTTCCGAGAAGAACGCGGCTGGATGAGCGAGAACCGAGGATTGGGAGGAATCAGGGTGGATGGTGGCCTAGAGACATCACTCTCAGAAGGCGCAGTGTCCGCGATGGAATCATCCCAGGAACCAAACGAGTCACGGGTTGGGTGATCCTCGAGATCATCACCAGTCTGCATTTGACGCAAGTTTCCACCTGGCCGCCTACGAAGAGCCGGTCCCAAGTGCTTCCCATTCTGATCCTGCGCTGCTTCTGATCCAACGCTTGATTGACCTGCCTCGCTACTCTGAGAGGAGCGTTGTCTTGAAATGCCACTCTGGAATGATGCATACTTTCGAAGCCGTAACGCAAGAGAGTTCTTTTTCTTCGATGTTGTAGATCCACGCGTCGTCGAAAAAGATCTGTGTGGCGTGAGAGGACGCGCAGGAGGAAGATGATTCGAAATAGCTGTCCCAGATTCGTCGGCATTGTAACAAATCGGACGCAGATACTCCCCTTCCACCGGTATGGACTGTGTTGAAGGCTCGTACTCTGTCGGCGCGGTAGGCTCGGAAGTAAGATCATCGAGGTTGAGAGTCGGCTCCGGCGCCGCTCCTGACATGAACGGCATTTCAAAACCGGTATCATCCACAATAACAATCGACCCACTACCCATGGTAATTCCACTCTTGAGCTTCGACTCAGCTCTGGGAGTTTCCAGAGGCGAAAGATTAGCAGCGTTGGAAGCAGGCTCCTGCAGCGTCATTTGGAAGTCAGATGGAGCGGGTACCTGAGCATCTTGTGGTTCGTCTTTGTTCATAGCCTGGCGATATTGTTGCAACACTTGGTCGCAGAGTATATCAATCCGAGCAGGACGCTTGGGAACAGCAGCCATCTTCCTTTCGCGGTAATACTCCGAACCAAAAGCCATACCGGTTGGCATTGCAGATGTTTTCCCCCGGGATGGCAAAGAAATAGCCTCGGACGCATTCGCAATGCGAGCAGAGACACTCTGGCCACCATTTCTGGTGTGCAGCGCTCGCTTGATCGAACCAATGATGGTCCTCACTCCGGAGTTAGCAGTCGGCTTCGGTACATCTGGCGTGCTTCGACGATCTGGGTTTGCATTCTTTGATGGCGGAGGGAGAGGAGGCGAATCTGGTGCCATCATGGCCATGTATGATTCCGCGGGAGGAAACAGCTCGCCGCGAATTAAACTGACTGGATCCAACATCTCCTGTGGTACAGTGCCGCTATCTTGCTCTGTGGCAAATATTGGCAATCGATCATCTCGAACCGAGTCAGAGAAGCTTCCGCTCCTTTTATGGCCATGCGTGTGATATGGGTGTCGTGTTACCATGGGCGAGATAGGGGACATGGGTCGTTCGTGAGATGGAGTTTGGGATTTGATTTTTGTGAGGTTACCCAATATAACAGGGCGGGGCGCCTTGCCCTTCGAGGCAAACATAGACTGGCGTCGCGGTGATTTGGGAGGTAGTGAGCATGAAAGCGCCATAACGCTTTGTTCGCTCTTCGTGGAGAATGGAATGCTTTGTGCCGTTGCGGCGGAGTCGTTTCGGTCATGCGCCGCGGCGCGGGGAGAGCTATCGTGGAAGGTAGTATCGGCATGGGGAGTTGTGCCAGGAAGTGGAACGTTTTGGTCCAACTCATCGGCGTTGGGTAAGTCGATCTGGGCGCTTCCAGGTACAATAGGAACATCGGAGTCATTGTAGGCGCGAGCCAGATCAGGAGAAGACCAATAGACCGAGCACTTGCCGTTCCAGCATCGCTTGAGATCAATGAGAATTTTCCGATCACTCGTACCGCCATGTTCGCGGGCCTTGACGTTTTGGTACAGCGCGTTGATGGTATCACAAAAGTGGGACCGGAGATCATAGTTCGTGACAAAGTCATCAACAAAATAATTCAGGATCCAATGACGCAAAGCCGCAAATGTTCGGATTCGAATAATGCGGCCATCGTCTTGTAACCGATGAATCGCCCATTGCAACCGCGCGAGAAGAAGAGCCAAAAGATGTGAGGCAGAGAGATATGAACGAAAGGTCAGGAAAAAGTCTGAAACCAACTCATAGTCCATAAAAGATTCAGAGGAGATTTGCGCGACAATGCGAGCCGGCGTAGCAGCGCTGATATCCTTTGTACCAGGAATGTACCGAACAACAGAACCATCATCCATATCATAGACCAACGTTTCGTAAATAGACGGTTCAACCGGCTCCCGCAACTCATAGACCATGGAATTCCTCGGAATCGGCGAAGCGCGACTCAGATCAATCGCAGCAGTGCCCGAAAACATGGACACGGCAAAAGAAGGCCGATGCCGCGAGAAAGAATCGCGGGCATAGGGACTCTGTAGCAGACCCGGTAAGGGGTCTGCCATGCCCCCGAGCAAGGTAGAGTTTCGAAAGTTGTCCGACATAGAAGTTCGCGAGTAGACCGAGCTCTGCAGCATTGCACCGCCTTCGGCATTGAACCGCGGGGTCCCAAGTCGAGCACGAGGAATAGGGACCTCCAGTGCGCGGGCTGCCTTCTCACCTGCGGACCGGGGCCGGTCCTCCGATCTATCAATCACTATCCGAAGCTCACCCCGCTTCCCAGCGCCTGCACCAGTGGTTGACTGCTGCTCGGAGAGCGTCGAGAAGGAGTTCGGTCTCGCGCGCTGCTGGATCGATAGCTCTAGCTCGGGCGCAGGGGATTCGGAATAGACGAACTCGGGATCGGGGCCTTGGTCATCGCGCGGGCGTAACTCTGAGAGCTGCGAGCTCGACCACCTGGACGGATCCTCGCGGACGGGTGCATGACGCTGCGGCTGAAGGAGATTGGGGTTTGCGGTCTCGACAGGGGCAAAGGGCTCGGGCTGTGGGCCTTTCTGCGGCGGATTGGCAATCGGTCTGGGGATTCTACGTTAGCACTGCACTTCTGTCTCATGGCAGGTAATAGATTGGATTTCACCTGAGGAAGATTTTGCCATTTTGGCCGACGCTTCCTACTGTGAAATGGCCGGCCTTCCTTCCGGGTGGACGCGCCTCTAGCGGTCCTCGATGCGTTTGGGACCGCTGCAGCTGGTGTCGCAGAATCTCATGGCTGTCCTTGGCGCGCAGGCCTGTTTTCTCACGCGCGGCCTTCAATTCTAGATTTCGTCTGATTATATTGCCGCCTTGGGCGACTGTATTGGCCCGTCGAAGATTCGATGGCTGGGGACCTGGACGATTGAACGGCAGTTCGTTGATTTGAACCTGTGGGCCTAAATAGGCCTCCTTGAACAGATCCGGAGGAATAGGCTCCATGACGCGAAAGCCTGATCAAAGGCTTTGCGAAGGCCAGGAAACAAGCCCGGAAAGTGGCATGGAAAAGGGAGACAGGAATCGGACAGCTCTGAGTGGAGTAACCCGACGCGGCGGAACAGGGAACGGTTCCCCTTTGACAACCTCAACTTCTGTTTCTTATTGCCTCATTTAATTTCTTAATTTTGCACTCCACCTCAGCTGAGAGCTGCATAGTGGGGATAGAGACTATAGGCCGTGAACCCCCGAGCGCGAGAACTGTCTGAGAATGCCGTATATGGTTGGCTACAGCGCCCGTTATTCCTCCACCCGGCAGTGACGCGAGGATACGCAGAAATCGTATTTTGAGGCCCAATAAGCGGCTCACTCGATCTGTGTGACCTCTCCAATTTCAAGCAACGCCCTATTCCGCAATTTTGAGTCCTTCGCATGATCGACTGATCGACTGATTGCTAGGAAATTAGCTGGAGACTGTATCTCCACACTATGAGGAACCGTTCAACCCAATCTCGCTAAGTCCCCGAGTCGCGGTGAGAGTATTTCTCCGATCTGCCTGGTCATTCTCTATCGCATACAATATACTGTACAGCAGTTCCTCTGGTTACCGCCACTTGAAATCCCACATGTACATGTACATGCCTCGGTAATATTAGTGATCCATCACATTCAAAGTTGATATATGTCTGGGAACCCGGGAAACCCTCCCAGTGACCAAGTGAGGGGCTTAGACCTTGCGGATCTACGGCCGTAGATCCGCTAGAGACTACTGTATTTCGTGCCTTTGCCCTGTTTGGAGTGGACGATAATCCTGAATCCTTTTGACTTTTGTACATGCAAGAGGCTCATTGCAAGGGTTCTCTGAAACTCGTTATAGTTCCGTGTCTGATCCAGCGAACCTAATGATGTCTTTTTCGTTGTGTATAATTTGGATTGTGATATGCTTGAATATGATATCCAGCGGTTTCGCGTCCCATGGATGTGTCAAAAGTTGAGCCATGGATGTTTCGTGGATCGCCTGTGGGACCAGATTTTCAATACGCGGGGTATGTTCCAGGCATCAAGGCAGCATTGGTCTGGCTGCACTTGATACACCTCAAAAATATAGGTACAGTATACTTTCGAACGCGGCTATCGGTGAGTGAGGAGGGGGATTGGTGAGAGGTGCATCAAATGCCCGTGACATGAACAGTGCAAAATGTGCATATGAGGAACGTGGAGACTGGAGAATTCATATGCAATACCATTGATAACTATCAAAAAAAATTATACTAACCTACCACAGTTTGCAAACTGGCTTGCGCTCCGGGCAACTAAAGGCATCTCTGAACTCCCGGGAGTTGGCCATAGTTTCCTATAGCGGTCAGTAAGAGCACAGAAGCCATAGAATACGGAGACTTACAATATTGCGAGCTGACTTGGGCGCATGGGGATCATTGTAGATCGCCTGCTCAGCTGCCTCCTTGGTCGTTTTCCCACACCACCAGTTACCGTATGAGATAAAGAACAATTGTTCCTTGGTGAAAGCTTCCAGGCCAGGCAAAAGAACGTCAGGCTTCGCCTCATCATGCTTCTTCCATGCATGGAACGAAGCGGTGAGACCACCTGCATCGGCGATGTTCTCGCCTAATGTCAATCGCCCATTCACGTGGAGAACCTTGCCATCGGGGCCTGTGACGGTGTAGTTGCCATACTGGTCGACGAAGCATTGGGCGCGCTCCTCGAAGCCCTCAACGGTCTTGTCATCCCACCAGTTTGTGTAGTTTCCATTCTCGTCGTAGTGACGACCGGTGGAATCAAATGCTGTTATCTTTGTTAGCTAGGGAAAATGGGTGACAAGAGGATTGAAATACCGTGTGACAACTCGTGACCACTGACGGAACCGAACGCGCCATAGGAAAGGTAAAGTGGGGCGGAGGGTCCATAGAAAGTCGGCGCCTGCATGATGCCGGCAGGGAAGACAATTTCATTGCCAGGAGGATTGTAATAGGCGTTGACTGTTGGCGCAGTCATATCCCACTCATCGCGGTTAGTGGGCTTTCCAAGCTTAGCCCATTCGTTGTGAAGATCAAATCTAGCCACAGCCACCTCATTCTCGAAGAAAGTGTCTTTCGCCACTTCCAGGTCGCGGTAGAATTTCTTCACGTCCTCGGGGTCCGTAACATCAGGGCTCTTGGTAGGGAAACCGATCTTCTGGATAATATTCTCAACCTTCTGGATACCAAGCCTGCGCACATCCGGGGACATCCAGTTAGTCTGGTCCAAGGTGAAGATGAATCGCTCCTTGATATCAGATACGATCTGGTCACCAAGTTTCTTGGAATCTTCGGGGAAGGAGTCCAGAACGTAGAATCGGCTGAGACTCCATCCAAGTCCCTCATCTAGGCGAGCAAGACACTTGCGCCACCGCTCTTGCTTGGCCTGGGGTTCTTTGCCGGCGAGTTCATTCTTGAATTGACGAAGAGGCTCAATCGCGCCATCTTCAATGGCACCTTCGAAGGCCTGGATAAGCTTCCACTGCAGGAAAAGCAAGACCGTTTCTCTGGGGGTATCCTTCAAGATCCCAGACAATGCCTTCATATAAGGAGGCGACCCAACAATCACGCGGTCTCCCTTGTAATCGTGCGATGCAAGAGATGTGATGATATCGGCGAAAGAAATCTCTGGAACCAACGCGTCGGTCTCCTTGATGCTAAGGGGGTTGTAATATTTGGTAACGTCTTCCTGAGTCTGTGTATCAGGAGTCACATCTGCGAGCTTGCTCTCAAAAGCAACGACGTCTTCAACGACTTTGTCGTGCCCGTCTCCAGCAAATCTCTGAATAACTTGCTTGAAAGCAGAGGTATAGTCAGCCACAATCTTCGTGTTATTGTAATATTCTCTTGCCGGAAGTCCGATTTCCCGAGGAGGAGTAATAAAGACAACGACATTATCTGGGTCTTTGTCGTCGGGCTACAAACAATCAGTATCTAAACCCGGCCGGTAGGTCTTTCAATTAGACTTACAGTAACACCCGGGGAAGCCAGGGCCTCAACACCAGTGTTCAGAAGATATAAGATGGCACTTGTGAGATGATCTTGAGCTCCCTTGACAAGTCCAGTTTCCGCAAAATAGATGTTCTTGAGTTCGTCTAGTATATCAGCCAAAGGCTTAGTGCCTCGTTTGCTGATAGCAGGCTCATCCAAACAAGCATCATACGCAGCTTTCAGCTTCTTGAAGTTATCAGCATCGACAGGCTGAGGCGCTTCCGAGCGCTCTAAAATATGGCGAAGCCGAGTTTGCGCGTTCTCTTCCATGATTGTACCAGCAAAGATGGATCCCTGATCGGGGCGCATGTCATGGTTCTCCCGCCATCCACCGCAGACATATTGATCGAAGTCAGTGCATGGATCAACCTTCTCGTAGTTGGGATCCAGGCTGTACAGGATCTCGGACGCAGCATGTACGCATTCCTCCGATGTACAAAGCGGGGAAGCCTCGGGGTGCGGGGAGGGCGCAGTGACCGACGGGGTGTCTGATTTTGGCGTCAGTAAGTAATTCACCATGATACAGGAGAGATTTCATACTGTATGGGAAGCCGAAGAAGTAAATTGCCAGTCCGGTGAGTATAAAGGCGCAAATACCCTTCCGTAGGAACCGAGCTAGACAGGGGCGTCCTTGTCTCTTGCAACCAAGGTGGTTGGGAACAACGCCATTGTTCTCAGTATCATAAATCTCGACCATATCGACGAGTAGGTCCTTTTCGGATTTCATGCTGTCAACTGAGTTGATTGAGTCGTGTTTCTTATGGTTACTGATGAGCTATTAGTAGTGGAGCTGCTGATCAGGAGATCCGTGCTGCATACCTGTACGGCGGAGCCATTCTGGGATGGCAATTACTGGCTAGTTGCCAGTTCACTGGATTGAACGAAGAGTGCAATACCTATCAAAAGTAAGGAATGAAGTGGAATGGAGTGAGTTCGTGAGGGGAAGTCTGGGGTTAAGCGTCACTTGGGGTTCCACGGTAAGCCCATGACTCAGCGGGTCGCATTCCCCTATAACTTACTTAGATTCCTGTAGCCTACATACCTCTTACACAACAAGTTTTGCTTGAACTGACTATCTTCGCTGCAGCTTTAAGAAGGCTTAGAGTCTAGTTTAGAGCTGTTGAGCGACCATGGGCATCTACTTTTCACTCAGTCACGCTCAGCTCAGGCATTTGTCCCATGATATTGTTTGTTCAATTTGAGTATCTCGCCACTTATAGATTTGAATATAATGAGTGATTTGAAGGATGGTGGCAATGCACCTAAATGAGTTTGATCTATATATGCTCAAACAGTCAATCTATATCGATCTACCCTTGTGACTGGCCCCAATGATTGTGTCGTTGCCAGAAATCACAGCCTAGCTAATGGCCCGTGGGCATTGACAATAGCCAGAAGTTCAGGGCGAATCTCCGAAACTGACTTACAGCCTGTAAGCTGCATGCATCGCTTGAAGTCGTCGTACAAAATCTTAAACATCAGCTCGACGCCCTGTTGACCACCATGCTGTCCAAAGTCTCAGTATACAACCGTTAGCTTTAACAAAGCAACAGGGAAGACTTACTGCTAGCCCCCAAAGCACAGGACGACCGACCCAGCAACACTCCGCGCCGAGAGCCAGAGCCTTGAAAATATCAGCCCCAGACCGAATGCCACCATCAATATGAATCCTAATCCGACCCCGTGCAACCTTAGCACAAGCCGGAAGAGCATCAATAGTAGCGGGCGTCTCATCAAGCTGCCTCCCACCATGATTGCTGATAATAACACCATCACAGCCATATTCAACAGCAGTCTCAACATCCTCCGGCGTAAGAACACCCTTAATCCAAACCTCCATCTTGGTAATACTACGCAACCACGGGATCTCCGTAGCCCAAGAATGCGAATCCGAATTAGTAGAAGTAAACCCATCATCATGGGATTGCGCTTGGATCTCATCCGATGTCTTCTCATACATCGGATACCCAATACCAGGTGGAGGCTTGAATCCACTCCGCCATTCATTCCAGCGGACACCGAGAACAGGACTATCGGCTGTCAGAAAGATTGCTTTGCAACCTGCAGCCTCGGCCCGACGGACAATACGTTCTTGTTTAGCTTTGTCGTTCATTGAGTAGAGCTGCATGACGTGGTTGATGGGTCCCACTTCGTTTCCTGCTTCGGTGATCTGCTCGACTGGATTACCGGTGTAGGAAGATACACCCATGTTCACCCCTGTCTTTGCACATGCTCTGCTGGTTGCTAGTTCTCCGTCCGGGTGGGCCAGAACTTGCAATCCGGCGGGTGAGGCACAGAGTGGGAAGAGGATGTCTCGGCCGAAGAGGGAGATGCTTGTGTTGACTTTGGAGACATCTTTTAGGACTCTGGGGAGGAGCCGGTACTTTCCATAAGCGGTGTAATTGTCGTGGAGTGTGACTTGGTTTGTTGCGCCAGAATTGAAGAAATCTGGCCCATGGTTTAGAAGTAGATGCTAATATGTGAGGGGCTGGACATACCTCTCACGGAAACGGGGAGGGAGTTGGAAGCTGACTCCTGGAGGTCGGCTATGTTTAGTATCTTGTTGGACATCGCGGAAAACAGGGATCAAGCTGTGCCGGGAGTTGTTAAATGCAGAAGATGCCATGTTGTAAGCAGTGTGAGGGGTAAGAGTGGGGGAGTCTTTCTCGATAGCTTTCCCAATCCACCGCATGTAGCGCTTGCGATGCTGAAGTTACAGACGCTGAAGGCGAAGCTGGTGCAAGCTCTACACTTCTCTCTCGTTAGTATAATCATACATACCCTCATAGGGCTGACATCTTGGCCACTACATCCTGTTTTCTTTGTTCTACTTTGGACACTAGGCCTCATTAGGCATTATGCATTAAACTAGCCCTGATCGGGAAGCAAACAGTGAGCTCGATATAGTACTGCTGGTCGACTTAATGTCTCATTTCGAAGTATGCCAATCCAGGCCCTGCAAAGCCCAGAGGATTGATCCGTTAGCGTCTAAGATAATGAAAATGAAGAAATAACAGCAATACATGAGAACGAATTCACTGTGTGAAGCACAGAGAGAGTAGAAAGCCAAGACTACAACATCCGGGGTATGGGCGATAGATAACCTCACCCAACAAGAAATGCACCGATAATGTTGAAATGAACCCTGGAGAGACCGGTGCAGGAGCTTTTTCGAAACATTCCCCTCTTGGTGGAAATGGCATAAAAAGTCCGGTATGAAGGCTTGTCTATAATCTTCCTTCGCGGAAATTGCATGTATTGAGCCCCCGTGTGACTTCTTCGTGCCGCTTTCTTCCGGATTTGACAACTGATCCCCTTGGTGTCTGCCTTTGGCTTGTTGATTAGTCGTCAAGGAGTGGGAAGATATCTCGGAGATTGCGTATCAAACATGCAAACATGGTCTCCTATCAAGGGAAGAAACTAACAAACAACTTTCCTTCTTTCCTCTAGAAGGCTATCGAGGATACACCCTGTTTGATACTGGAACGAGGTGGAAGCTTTGGAGCTTCAGCTCCAATTAATCGTTTATAGCATTACACGGAACCGCTACCAATGTAGACCGCCCTTATAAAGTTATTATGACGATGTGCGGTCGTGAAATATGCTAGATCGATAATCAACAGTCTCCACAAAACTCTAATCTAACCCCCTACACGCCCACTTCCTCGGGTTGCCTGATCTGTCATTCCGCAGACACTGCATGTAAGCATAACGGACGACGGCTGATTCGTTGCTAAGAAAGGCTAAGGAGATATGCGTGAACAGCCGGGCTAAGATGGGGCGCGGGGTACATTGCAGACGGAGGGGTTACATTACATGTCCATCATTTTGTTTAGTACGCAGATCTGTGGGGAATCTAGGGTAAGATCTAAATGAGTACGGCTGATTTATTGCTGACATTTTGGTTTGTAGGTATCAATAGGTGATAAGATACGTGTGCAAGCAGGCAAATAGGATTTAATTTAATTTATTTCATTTAAAATGTATCAAATGTATCATAATGGGAATCTAAGTCTGATCCCGAGGGAAGATAGTAAGTAATCCACCCCAATATCGAAAGTAATAGAACTCGCGTCACGACGTATGGTAAATACAGAAGTTCAGGACAACTGGGAATCTTATAAAACAAGTCGCGAAGAAAGAAAATCATAGGCTGTATCGGAGGCCTGTAAGACACAGCTATTGTCGCACAACAGAGTGATTGGTGATGGGAACCATGAAGTCATGAGAAGTAGAAGGCCACAAGCAGAGGAGCTGCTTAATTAGCAATCTCTTCAAGCTTCTGGCTCGTTTCAATATCAATCTCAGAAACCAACGAGCCCTTGTGAGGCTTGTTGTGCTCACGCTCAAAAGCAAACTTGACAGCGTCGAAGACAGTGTTGACAGTCTTCCTGGGCGGGAAGCGGGGGACAGTACCGTCCTGGTATACACCAGTCTTGACAAGAATAGAGAACCAATCGTTCTCAGTGGTCTCGTTGAACTCGTTTGTGCCACGGATATCAGACTCGGGCGTGTCGCCGATGAAGTAGACAGTGGAAGGCGGTTTATTGATCCCGCAAGAGTCACTTCTCCATTTCTGAAGAAGCCTCGTGGCGAACTTATAAGTGCCAATTTGGGGCTTACCAAAAGCAATGGTGTTGAGGTCCTTTCCTGTCAGGGCACCGTACACAGCTTCGAGGGAAGCGCGCAGCGCACCCATTCCAAGGCGCGAGTGTTCGTGTGATGTAGACCACACGACATCAGTGTGCGAGAAGAAGACCGGTGGGCCTTCTTGGAAGGTTTCCGACCGTGTGTTCAACCAGCCGTCTTTTGTCATGAGGAAGTCGAGGATGATCTGCTGGTCGCCGGCCCAGTCACGGCTGTCGGCGAAGACGAAAATGGCTTCGACGTGAAGATTATCGAGGTCGAGAAGGCGGGAGTTCTCGAGCTCCTCATCTGTTAATGTGCGGAACGGGGTGGTGTCGTGACGCGTCTTGATGATATCGCCGGGTGTGATGACATTCTTGAACCCGTAGCCCTCAGCGACGATCCGGCACTTTTCGCCCTCGCCACCGACTACTAGGACGTTGTGGTATTTCTCTGCCATTTCACGCATGGGGGTGTGACCGCAGATGAATTGGCCAGGGTCGACCTCGAGGTCGAGTTGGCGACTGAGATCGAGGCAGCGCTCTTTCTCGGTCTTACCACCACCATTGGTGAGGAAGATGTATGGACTGCAAAGATGCCATTAGCATGTTTTTCTTCAGGGGTTTCTCCTCACGCCATGGTGCGGGGAAAGAGAATACACATGGAGGTACTCACACCTTGACTCCATACGGGTTCTCGCCGTTGATGTATCTCATCGCATCAACGGCTGCGGGGATAGGCTTCCCGCCCTTAATGAGGACGCCGTCAATGTCAAAGGCCAGTGCAAAGTCATCGCTAGTGACTGCAGGCGGGTTGGACATAGGAGTAGGGATATTAGAGCAGTCATCTTCAGATGAGACTTCTTCTTCGGGGCGGGTTTTGGAAATCATGTTCGAGTGGTTGGAGATATGGTCAGAAGTAGAAGCCATTAAATGCTTGGGAGGAAGGACGACATTGGGTCCACCATAAAGATCTGACTGAGCAGCATCCAGGCTGTCGAGTCGGCAGACCTTCTTTGCGTATCCATCGGATGTAGCCATTCTGAATGGAAAAGAAGGGGTGTGGGTCCTGCGGGTACAATGACGATGTTGATTGCAGCGAGATAACCGGTTATAGATAATCAAACACACTATCAAACAGGGTGCTTTGGATAACCAGTAAGACAGAGAATAGATGCGACAAGCGTCAATGATATGCAGGCTGCAGAGGATCAAGTAGATCACTGCAAAGAGGTCGAGCAACTTGAATAGAAATAAGTTAGGGCAAGGGGAGCCTGTGGGGACGAAGGGCCATTAATATAGCAGACTGAGGCCCAAACGGAGAAAGGTCAACATCATTGCCCCAAAGACGGGGTTCCCCACCCCTCTGGCCTTCGTCATCGTTTTTGGGTTAAGACTGCGCATCTCAAAGCGTGAAGTCGAAAGTAGCTGTGGATCCACAACGGCGCACTCTTGGCGCAGGAATCCATGCCCACGAGCCTGAGTGGACAGGCTGATTTGTCCAAGAGACTTCCGAGTTCAAAGGGTGGACCCGGATGGAAATGAACAATTGACGTAGGGGAATTCAATACTATGATCTGATCCTGATTACTTTGGTTGCAGCATCTGAACCATCCAAGCCTTTTTCGGCGTGGCGTGACCGGTACTACCGAGAGGCAATGTCTTCTCGGTCTCTCGTATTTGGAATCTGACTAACCCGTGCTCAGCCCTCGAATGTCCCGAGTATATTCCACAGATGTCCTCCGACTGGATGATGTCGAGCCAACGAGCGTCACCGCGGGATATGTCGGGGATATTGACGTCATCATGCTGACTCAACACAGGAACCGGAGGAACAAGAAAAGTGAACCCCAAACTATATCTGGATCGAGTGAATCAAAGTAAAAAAAAAGTTTGAAGTGTATGCTAGGCCGCATAAAGATCATTGTGCGCCGTAGTCAGAGCTGACTGGTCCATACTGAGGGGATCAAGCGGCACGGCGCCGCCACATGTTGGCCGATACTACCTCGACCTAACACCAAAGCAGCATTGCACCCAAGAAGATGCAAGCCACCACAGCCAACAACATAACCCTGGAAAAAGTCCCCGGTCGTTGAAGGACTGCATATTGCATATCAAGAATAAGGCAGTGATGATCCACAGTAAGCAACAACAAGAAGTACATGAGCATGTAGAAGTACCCACCGGTCTAGATACCTCAAACATCAAGTTAAACGGTATATGCAAGGCCTAGCCGGACATTTCTCGTACTCCCAAAACCGTGCGCCAATGCCGGGCCAGAGCGCCAAATGCTATCACTGTGCATGCAGACCAACATCCCTGCCAAAGGCTCTGTTCAACCTTTCCGATCCGTGGGCGGGCCGCGAGTCTGTTTTCTATGATGGATGCAACCCATCATTGAGGGGTGTGGGGGCTCCCAAATCAGGGGACTGGCGTCTTGCGCGGCTGTCAAGGCTGTTCTGTTTGTGCGGAGAATTGCATCCTAGTCGTTTATATGGAAAGAGGAAAAGGTAAAGTTGCCTTTTTAGTTTGGGTCTGAGCACCGTCTGTGCACATTGATCATTGATCCTTCGGAAACAAAGAGTTTGGTCACGATGGACAGTGTGATTGGTGATGAGCCTGGACTCGATTTTGGGCTCTTTCACAAGCTCTGCTGAAGAGCGACTTTGTCCGAATAACATGTGGGAATTTTGGATCAAGGTTGTCGAAGAATTCATATTGAAGATCGTGATCGGCCGATTCTGGGGAACCCTGTCTACGTCTCCACAGTGCTGTTCTGGCTATCTTGATTCGAGGACGCCTTTGATAATATCGATAGTGCTGCATCGGGAGAGTATCCACGTGAAATAGCCTCCATCGTCATTCTTCCTGTTACAAGCATAAGAATGTATAACATCAGCAGCTGACAACAATTCTTCCTGTTGATAGAGCACTGGGGCGATGATTGGCAGACTGTCGAGTCTCGGCCTTGAGTGCTTAGATCTTAGGTGGCTTGCGGCAGTGGCTGCCTTGCTTCGAAGAGATGATGAGTGTGATTCATTGTTCAGCAAAAAATGAGCTGTTGAGGAAAGAGGTGGTTAACTGCCCGTATTCAAAGCCTCGTAAACAGGGCCGCCACAAACTTTGACTGAATATCTCTCGCAGTTTCACTGCCGTTGATCTATGCTCGCTGTCAATTTCTTGAAGTAATCTTCGACATTCAAATCTATCTATACAAGATGCATCATCGAAACGTATGACAAAAAAAACGCTAGAAACAAGCCACCCATATCAAGAATATCGACATCAACAAGAACAAAAAAAGAAACAACAAGAACATATAATATACACTAATAAAACCCCAACCCAGTCCTCAATCTTAATCAACCCTCAAAATCAAATCCTGCCCCCGTCTCGAAGGCGTCAAATTCCGACTAGTAGGCGAAACCCGATTATCAACCGTACCAATCTTCTTCTTGGGACTATCTGGATAATGCACATCTCCGGGGAAATGATCAGAAGGATACGGCAATTCCCCAGAAGGATCCCTTGATTTTAGTGGTGCCATCGTTTTCCCACGCTCGAGCCAGAGATCGTCTGGACAGTATGGTGCGATAACTTCGCTGGGTGGGCGTGGACTATTTCGGATTTGGACTCTTTTTATATCCTTTCCTTTCACGATGCGAGGTTTGGAGACAATTTCTGAGCCTGCGGGGAGAGTTGAGGTGGAAGGTAGGGGAGATTGTTGGGGGGGTTGGGGTTGGGGGTTGGTGGTGGTAAAGGGTGGGAAGAGGGCGTTGGAGGTGGATGTGTGGTTTGATGTATTGGCGCTATCGATTGGAGCTGTGCTGCTTTCCGAGGTTGAGGTTCTGAGAGTTGAAGTATGTGAAAATGGCGGTGCGAGGGCTCTTGGGGGTCCTGGTCTCGGTCCTGCCGGGACAGCTCCTCCTCCTTCCTTGTATGCACGGGGATTTGCTGGTAGACCGGCAAGCTTGGGTGGAATCCCTGGCTTTGAGTTGTTCATTTTCATCTTCCCTGCTGCAAATGCCGCTTGTTGGCTTTCGTCTTCTTCGAAGAGGGTTTCGCCGCTGGCTGGTCGGTGGCTCCATTTTAGTGGCTTTGGATATAGTCCCATTGAACCCTCGGGTATTAGTCTTGCCACGCTGTGCTGTGATGACTGGGTTCGAGGGGACGTATCCCAATCCGAGTCTGAGCTGATGGCGAATCCTATTCGCTCTTGACGAGTTGAAATGTTGGCTTGAGGCGGGTTGGAAGGTGAAGCATGACCAGGCGAGTAGGGCGACTGTGAGCGGATGAAAGCCATTGGTTGAACAGAGCTCATTTGGTGCGTTTCTCTTCCTTCGGAGCTCACTAGGCTGGGTGGGGACTCGGTGCCTAGACCAGATGTTGGAAGTCGGGGCATCGGTTTTGAAAAGTAGGGAGGTTCAGTCATTGCGCCTCCAATTTCAAATACATGCGGGTCTGACTCGTCTCGCTGTTGTTTTCTCATTCTCCGTCTCTTGCAGCAAAAGAAGACAGCGACACCGATGATGAAAGCAACTGCTATACCTGATGCGACTGACATACCAATGACAGCTGCTGCACTGATTCCATGGTGATCTTTCTTGTTGGTATCTGCAGAGATATCACTAGAAGGCACAGAAGTTTGCTCGGTACTGGTAGTTTGAGAGCTGCTTGTTTGGGAGCTAACTGTTTGTTGGGTCTCAGATGACGAGGACGAAGGATTATAAAACGTTAGATCCGAAGACGCACTCGAGGTTGCAGCGGAAGTAGTCTGCGTCGGTGTTGGTGATATATATGAGGTCTGCGTCTGATAGACCACAGTCGTTCCTAAGGAATCATCCGATGATGCTTCATCCGTAGTTGTTGCATCTCCCCTCATGGTAATAGTCGCGTCCGACATAATCGTCGTGATGTGCGTCTTGGATGCTTGCGAAACAGCACCAGATACGGAATCACAAATCTTATTAGCGTTGGATCTCGCCAGCACTTGCTGCGAACATTCCGAGAGAACACAGCTCAAAGCTGCTCCTCCCAGAGACTCCCCACTAGTCGATTTATGCCGGCATATACACGGAATGTCAGACGGCGACTTGCACTGTTCAGGCGTGTACTCAGATTTGATGAAGCTATTCAAACAGTCCAAGGCACAGTCCGGCACCATGTTTAGCAACGATGAGTCGGAAGTATCATTAGAGGTATCCGTATCGACCGCATAGCCGAAAGGAAGTAAAAGCAAGATCGCAACGAGTATCCCGTGAATAAGGACGAGCATACTGCGGTAACCCTATACCCTTAACGCCAAATATCAGCAAAACCATTAATAAAAAGCAGGACTCAACTCAACCCTTGGACGAACCTTATAAACTCATAAATGGGAATGATTACCCGCGACCATCTACAATCCATATGGCAACCATGGTTAAGAGAAGTAGTGCAAAAGCAAAAGCAACAAGTAGCCGTCAAAGTATGCGTATCAAAAGATAACCAAGAACAGAGTAAAAGTACAATAACCGAAAAAGCCCCCCAAGATCGGGACCTCAGCCTAATTAACCAGAGAAACCAAAGCGCAACGCCCGGCTACGCGCGAAGGCGAAAAAATTAAATCACCCATGACGGTGCCATATCCCAGACCGACCAAGAAAGATGAGGGCTTCCAACCATCCTGAAACACAGTGCTGGAAGGCTGTGCCGTAAGCGCTACTGTGAAACCATGTATGACATGTTAGATGATGGACCATGGGAGGAGTACCCGTGGACTAAAGCAGACGAATGGCTGCACTTGCGTAGCGCTTTGGTTTTTGGTGGTCCCTTGCTAGCGGCTGCGATACGCGCCGGCCTATTGTCGGCGCTTAGGCTGCAGAAGTAGTTGTTTATGACGCCCGACTAGGTTTCAGATCCTGGGGCTTGAATGGTTAGTGGATAGGACTTGTTTTTGTGGTCTAGTTAGGCTGGTGTGTGGTGTTGTGATTGGTTTCTGGTTCTTTTGCTCTTTACCCGTTCTGCGTTGGATTGCTTGTTAGAGTTTCTGGAATGCTTCGATTTTGGGAATCGTATGTTCTGTTGACCCAGTCATCGGTTCTGGGTTACCTCCAGGGCTATTCTGAGGGTACTCGTGTTGGATTACCCATGATCAGACTTGTTTGGTGTGTTCATGCTTGTGCATCCTCGGATTGTACAGTCTGGTTGCACCAGCTTTGTACAGAGCCATTGACGCCAATTGGGTCAACAGCTTCAATAGTTCCTACAGTTTCAATAATTTCAATGAAGACGTGGGTCCAGACACGAGGCTGATCCTGGGGTAAAGTAGTACCATTTATAAAATCCTATGCCAGGTACCGGAAGCGATGGAGATAGCTCTAGAATAAATGCTACGCAAATGAAATGTGCATAAACCGAGTAATAAATTCCATACCCATGAATCATAAAACTAGCTAGCGGGCATTGATACGAAACAACGATGCCCCAGAATCACATGGTATGAGCTGGTATCATTTGAAACAAAGCAAGAACCCGCAGCAGAACAAAGGAAAATCAAAACTAAAAAAATGCCAGACAACACACAATATTAGGGAATTATGGACATCATGTCAGAGATGCCAAGTGGTGGAGGCTGCATTAGGCTAGTCCCAACCGGACCTCCTCGGGACCACGCTGACACCCTCATTTCGAATCGCACCGCCCCTTGCTTGGGAAATTGGTGAGATTGGTCGCAGAGACTCGCTTTTCACGAAATATCGAGCGGCAAGGATTATTGGCTGCGACGGTGTGGGGAACGTGGGTATCTCTAGTATTTGAAGATGATGTAGCTGCGAAGAGTCAGTATGGGTGATCGCGGATAGTTGATAACACTGTTGTCACAGTGAGAGACACGTACATGGCGTGGATGATACCAGGGATCCATCCAAGGATGGTCAAACAGATGTTGATCAGGAGGTCAGAACCACATCCGCGCTCCAGGAAGACACCCAGAGGAGGCAGGATGATGGCGAAGATGATCTTGCAGATGTCACTATCAACAACGGTTAGCAGGCTCGTTGGTTTTCCCTGGGTGATGCCGCGACAGGACAGGGCGACAGGGTGACAGGGCGACGTGGCGCAAGTCGGGTCCAAAAGGTGATCCAGGACTGGACGATGGACCAGATCGCGATGGCGTAAGACAGGAGTAACTTACGAAGCGGTGAAAGGCATTTTGAAGAATTGTGTGAGGTTGAGGTTGAAGTGACGAGGGGAGACGGGAGAGAAGACTTAAAAGGAGAGGAGAGAGCTTGGGTCATTACATCATTCCGCCACTCCGTGTGGCGCATTGAACTCTCTCAAGGCATCGTTGTGGCTGTACTTTTTTCTCTCTTAATCTTATTGCCGTACTTTCTCTTCCTTGTTTCTTGTTTCCAATTTACTTTCCAATTTATTTTCCTCTAATTATGATTTGCAGCCAATGTTTGGATTGTAATTGCGATCGTTCATCCCGTCCTCGGCTCAACATGCCAAGATGATTCAGGGATTTTCTGCGTTGGCGGCTGCGACCCCAATCACCCTTCACTCTGCCCTATCCCGTGCAGTCTTTTGCTGGCTGCCTGGTTAATGCTTGGCAGCGCCGTAGGCTGCATTTTTTTGATCCTTTCTATATTTGACCTTCGTTTTATTTTTACCCAGCATTCAGCTTTTGGCGCTAGGTCTCATGATTGACGATCACTGCGAACGGTAGAGTAAACTTTGTCCACTGGGGATCATTACTCCAAGTACCTGCTTGTTGTACAACTGGTGACGCCGCCCTTTCGAGCCAAACAATGCCAGCCCTATGATGGGCCCTGACCCACCTGCCAAGGCGCTTGCAATCATATGTCATTGGCCTATGACTTCACTGGGTGGCTGGGGATTGGGGATCGTTGTACATGTGCCTAAACAGGGAGAGGCATTGACGCAATCAAGGAAAGTATATGTACACGCGTACCTCTGCACAGTTCTGTTCCGGGGCAGCAGAAGTAGGGAATGAAGTATACTTCGTAAATGTAGAAAACCCAAGTAAAGTCGGTGAGCTTCTTTATACAGGGCCGTCCAGCCAGCCTGAGCCAAAATCGATATCGTTCAACAAGGAGTTCCACTGTGGGACGTCTAGATCTGGCGCGACAGCCACAAAGTCGGACCAGAGCTGCTGCCAACCTTCCTCCCCAATGTCATCTGTCAAGCCTCCACTTGGTGTGCATCCAGACTGCATCTGCAAGCTCTGGTCCACTTCATTGGTCGTGGATAGTTCACCGGGTCCACTAGTCAGCGTGCTGTTCAGCCCTGTTTCGCGAGCCGCCACAGATAGCTGCTTCATCCCTGTTAGATATCTAGGTTGCGACGTGGATATGCGTGGTTGTTGTTTTTGAAGCGTTGACATGAGAGTCTGCATATTTCTCTGTACGCCCTCGATCAGTGATCCGGACTCTTGTTTGGATTTCTCCAAGGTCTTGTAGGCTGCAAGGACCTTGGTCTTGCGAGCCTCGGCGTCTGGTGCATTGGGGTTGAATGAGACATCCGTTGCTAGGATAAGCGCTGCGAGAAAGACGTGCTGGGCGACTCGCCAGAAACGCGCGGGATAGCCTCCATCTTCGGGGTCGATGTCATCCATTGCACGTCTGAGTTCCAACACGGCCTGGGCTGAGCGAATGCATGCGCTGTGAGAATAGGCATACTTGGGGTTCGTCATGCCCTCAAGATGGTAGTGTCGATGTAATCGGCAGAGCCGTGTATGAACGCTGAAGTGAAAGTTGATTCGCTGCCAGGTGATGTATGGTCGCTCTTTGCAGATGTCTTGATTTCTTTGAATGCTCTCAGAGTTCATTTGGTAGAAGTCTGGCATTTTTTCGAAGCATTCATGACATTTCTTGTCCAGTGCGAGTATCACCTCGTATTCGGGTTCTTGAGTATCTAGCAGGATCGAGGGTAGGGCATCAACCATTTCGCGGCAGAGCGTCGCCAGCCTTATTCGCTGAAGAGGTCCTGACATTGCTGTCGGAACTGACGATGGGAGATCCTGCTGAATCCCAATGGCCGTAAGCAGCTCATCGTCGGTGTTGCTTGGATAGTTCACTCTCATGTGCCTTGGTTGGAACATATATGTGCCTTCATGTGCCCGGCCAGAGAAGGAAGAGAGCCTGCGATAGTCAGCCATCGATCCGACCTCCAAAATTATCGGACTAAATACCAGTCAGATGCCACCATATTCCACCAGAACCGTCTTTGAACCTCAACCTCAATCATATCGCACCCTTTGACTCTTCGCTCTTCCTGGGCTTGCGCAGTGTCTAAGCGATGAATCTGCAGCGCTTGAGTCATCAAAAAACACCGGGTTTGCAGCAGACCAATCTTGACCGAGTATCCAACTGTATTGGCCAGCAAATGAGCGAGAGTAGCAATTGCCACTATGGCAGTAGTTGATGGCTGCACAGGCTCAAGCGGATGTTCCAAAATGGAGATAGCCAACCGGCAGTAATTATTGAAGGCCGCTCTTGCTTCGTCTTGGGTGGCATTCAAATTCTCCAGAAGCCGAGGCGACCATACCAGGGCTGCTCCGGAGAAGATGCTGAACAGCAGCATTAAATTTGTGGGCATGGGTTGTTCACCATCGAGCATGCCTTGGTACGTCTGTTCCATTATTGATCGAGTAGATGGTATATGCAAGATTCCAAATGTCGGCTGAAGAGTTTTAACAAAATGGTCGAACATATGCCTGGCTTGCCCTATTGGGGGGAGTTGCTTTATTTCTTCAGTCATGTCGGCCTGTTCTTTGGGAATGCCGGGTTGATCATCTTGCAACGACTGATGATGCAAGGCGAAGGGGGTAAATAGTCTCGGCATGGATGGCTTGGAAGAAGATCAGTATCTCTACGCAATCGTATAAAGAAACCACAGAAATGAGCAAGCCTACATACTGTGTTTGCATGAGATCTTAGCGTTGTCGAGATTCCCCTGCTCAATTCTCGAACTGCATTGGATCTCCCATACACAGTCTCTTCGAGTTTTTGTATTCTGTTCAAAAGATTGTCATCACTTTTAGGTGTTAGCGACTCCCCACAGACATATTAAAATACATTTAAAAGTTGTGTACTCACGGAGCTGTTGTTTGCACAGTAGCAGGGGCATGGGACTGGGCAGTCATCGATTGGCCCGAGCTAGCCATGCCTAGTACTTGAGAACCATCTCGCTCCGAGCTCTCGGGATTCTCCCCAGGATATTCGCATGGGATACTCCTTTGCATGCAATTCGAACATGGCTGGGTCCGATCACAGCGGCGTTTCTTCTCGCGGCAAGCTTGGCACGACGAGGGTGCTCGTTTCCATCGATGCATCATTATGATAGGATGGCCATCGCTAGTTCGTTTCATTCTGAATATGGTCCACTCGGTGCAGTCAAGGGTAAGGTGAGAATGTAGAGTGAGGTCGCGGTCGTCCGCGGATGATTACTTGGAGAGTGTTAGCGTTGTTGAATATCTTCGCGACACCCATTTACTACTTCTCATGAACAACTCATACAATTATAGTGAAAATTTCTCTCTAGAGTATCGTAAGGTGTCAATAGAATAAACAGCAGATCAATATAGGCATATATAGTCGCGACACTCAAGTTATTCCGCTCCGGCCCACCTCCGCAATGACTTCCGCGTTTTCCTGATTGGACTCAGGATTCGATGCTTCAATGCCCACGATTCCCACGTATTAACCACTATGTCAATGAGGGTAGCCCTCAATCTACAATGCCAGACGCTTCGGGGCTCTCGTAGAGCCCTTAGAAGCTTCGGGCGCAAGAACAGATGGCATGCAACTCAAAGTCCGAAAGGTGGGCGGCCTTTTGCATGCACATGGCTCACAAATACGCCAGAAGGCATAGTGAGTCAACAACCCCTTTCTTTTTGAATATGATCTAACTGATATAAGACCCCAGATGATATTCTATCAAGTATTCCTTCAATCCCGTCTTCGAATGCGCCCAATTCCGCACCTCTCCTCCTCGTCACCCCGAGCTTTGCCCACTGGCTCGACCCTAGCAGTCCATTCCTGTCACAATGTTTAGGTCAATTATATGGAACATCTGCCGAGGCAACCTCTGTCTGCGCTGTCGCCGCTGTGGTCGATACACTTCCAGATACCCGTACGATATCTACAGGACCTGCGACTCATGAGTCCCCAGCGGCGTCAACAGAATCAGAAGGTCTGTCGCTCTTGGTGACCGGAGTATCAAATTTCCATGGAAAGGCTGCACCGCCTCGACTCATCAGAAGCTCTGCGAGCGAGGACACCAATCTCTTGCTTTCCATTCAGACTGGAAGTCCTGGTCAAACCAACAACAGACCAACCCACGAAATTGGACTACGTCTTGCCAACACCGTTTTCGTCAACGGGAAAGAAACGACGATATCAGGCACGCAATGGCTCCGGGATAGCGGCTCAAACGAGTACATTTTGGAACAATCAGTCGATCTTACAAGCTGCATGGTTACGACTAGCTCGCAGACTGTGAACACTACATTGGATCTCCCATTAGATCAAGTGTCTGAACGGCGAAAGGTCATCTCAAGCATGGGAAACATCCTACGACAACTGGGTAAATCGACTGATCCCGCGTCCAATGAGCCAATGCCTGCTTCTTCAGAACTTGAGAAAGAACTTCCGCGATACATTAAAGAGCGTAATATTGTTGATCAACGGGTGTCCGTATGGGCACTAGTTGAGAAGCCTGAGTTAGTTGTGGCCGATGCAGCTTCATCAACCCATGATCGCTTGATCCAGTCTCTTCGTCGGGGTGGTAAGTTGCACCGTGTCATGAGTGGTGGAGGTGGATGGGGCAAGAAACAAGGCCTTCTTTCACTGGACCCCGAAGTCAGCTTCTCTGGGACAGCTAATCGTGACGAGCTTGTTGCCCTGATCCAAATATTTGATCCCGAGAATGTCCCCACCGACTCACTGCCCTCTTTTGACAGGGGCATCACCGTGGATGACTTGTCTCTTCTTTCACAGGTTGCTACTGCAGGCGATTTCATTCAGTTCTTTGTGGCAGTAGAGCCGACTTATTCACAAAGCAAACCCTCGGATGAAGCTGGCTCAGCAGAAGTAGCTGTCAGCTATCACTTCGGTGTGGTAGGTGACTCTATGGAACTTGAGACACATGAGGGCAGCGCAAAGGTAAAAGATCTCGTTGCTATGCCTTATCGATTTGGCGCCTTGTCTGAGAAGGCAATTGCGTACGCCCAGCCGGTGAAAGGAGCTGGGTCAGAGTCCACCAAGTTGGACATCCCAGGATCTCGAGTACTCCTTGAAACTGTAAGAACGCAACATGTACAATAGCCAAATAAAACCAATATATCAGAAGTGTATGCCTAACATGTCATATAATAATGATCGAGTACCCGTCCCGGTGGAGTGCCAAGGCCACGTGATCTGACCTGAGGCCAGCATGTTTGCCGTCGACCTCCAAACCTCTGGTCTCTCCATCCTTCCCGACCGCATCCAACCTAAGCCTGTCGCCCTCGGGTCTTTTACATCTTTTTCAAGCTCCAACTACTCCTCGAGAACCTAGCTGGGTCTCTGTCCATCAAAATGGCCACAGAACTTTGGTAAGTCGTCATCAAGACCTCTCCAGCCCCTGGTGTGCTTCACAGCTCCCGATCGTCACTTGGTTATCATATCTGGCACTCCCCCGGTACCACGAACGAACGAATCTAGACCAATAATGCTAATATATGTTCTTTTGTAGCCCCGTCTACGCGGTGAGTCCATCTATACCTTCCATCCCGACCCGAGCACGATTACGCGAATCGTTCGTGCCTCGACCGCCCCCCTCCGCATCCTGGTCAAAGTCCGCATAAACGCCTTGAATCATAACTGACATCCTCGTTCTAGCCCTTCTTCGGCGCGCTGGGCTGCACCTCCGCTATCGTCTTCACCTGCTTCGGTGCCGCCTATGGAACCGCTAAGGCCGGTGTCGGTGTCTGCTCCATGGCCGTCCTCCGTCCCGACCTGATCGTCAAGAGTATGTGCTCCCAAAGATATGAGATATTTTTCTTTTGCAGGAATATCGGTATATCGAAATTTAAATTCTTGAACGGTTCGCTGACAGTGATTCATAGATATTGTCCCCATTGTCATGGCGGGTATTATTGGTATCTACGGTCTGGTCGTGTCGGTCTTGGTCGCCAATGACCTGACCCAGAAGCTCCCTCTTTACACTGGTTTCATTCAGCTCGGTGCTGGTCTTGCTGTCGGACTTGCTGGTCTCGCTGCGGGGTAAGTCACCCGGAGTCATCGCAGGAGTCTTATAGAGTTTCGTTTCTGACCATATTTGTACTCCAGTTTCGCTATTGGTATTGTTGGTGATGCAGGTGTTCGAGGAACGGCCCAACAGCCCAGACTCTACGTTGGAATGATTCTGATTCTCATTTTCGCCGAAGTCTTGGGTCTGTACGGGTTGATTGTTGCTCTGCTGATGAACTCTCGCTCCAAAGCGGACTGCTAAACGAACGCCCTCCCGCCGCATATCGGGAATTGAACCTTGGATCACAACCATGGTTAACTCCTTGCGTGATTCCAGGCTAGATTGTCCGACGTGCTTCTTCAACATTTCCCTGACCCAAATCAAAGACCCTCTTCCGCCGGGGAAGCTGACATGACAAATATGATTGACGCCGGGTGGGTGTGGAAGACGAACTGATTTCGGAAAATGATACATCTATCTCTGTTTCGAGAAGAGGCTTTCTGCTTACTATCGGTATGTAGAATCGGATGGATCTGTTCAAGCATGAGACTGTACTGTGGACAGGTGTGGGTAGATATTGGATTTTTGGTTTTACATTGCATTACCGCGCTGGACTCTGTACTTTATATGAAATTCGCTGATCCTGACTTTTGGGTCTGTACCTCACTTCCATCACAGTGGCTAGGCGTGTTCTTCTGTAAGGAGTTTCGTTTCTTGACAATGTTTCATGTGTTGACATCTTGTTCATTTTTTGGTTGGTTTCTTGTGAGCTTTTCGTATGACATAGCAATTTGCCACTTGTGTATTAAGTTTAAGACGAGCACATGTACTTGATAATCGTACCAGTAGTTCATGAGTAGAACCTATGAGGTATAGATTCGATAGACTACTGTACAAGGGTGGTGTTTGAGAAGGATTTGCAGTCATAAGACTTCTCTCTATATTGCCAGTTGCTAGTTCTGTACAACAGACACCCGACTCTGCAGAAAGCCGAAAGCCGAAAGCACGAGAACGAACAAGTAGTGAACAAAATCTATTGGATAACCGCAATACATGGGATGAAACGCCCACATGCATAAAACAGAAGCCAAAAGACTGCAAGTCTTCATGAAGACCGAGCCCAATGAACGAGGAACAAGGAACAAGGTGCATGTGAAAATTTGGTGGAGTATGAGTTAGGTGAGATAGAGAAGTGGAAAAGAGGAGTGTTAACAAAAAGAGAATAAAAAGTATACGAAAACAAGGATATATGCCCTGAACTCTCACAAGACTAGCCTCAGCCCAAAATGCACAGGAGCAGGCCCAGGCGCAGACATGATGCAACTGACAACGCAAAGGTTATAAAATCAAAGAACACGAGAGAGCTAATCTACCTCTCGAGTTTCCGCCTCAAGGTCCGCGTGCGCTTCATCAGCTTCTTGAATTTGTGCTTCTTCATCTTGACCTTGCGACGTCTCTTGGTGGAGATGGCGTGCATGGTGCGGTTGTTGCGCACACGCTCCATGTATGTCATGCCAGCGGTGTGATCGGCCGGGGCTTCGATGCTGATCTCGTTCTGCACGCCGGCATCTTCCATCTCGCTGCGGACGAAAGGACCAGTGTGGGCCTCGTAGGTCTTGCGGCCGTCGGCATGGCGAGCCTCGCGGATCGTCAGGACAGTCGAGTAGGTGGAGTACTCGTTGTCGACCTGGGAATCTTGGGATTCAGTGGCCTCGGCGGCGACTGTGTCCATTGGGACAGGTGGGGGAGGAGGCTGGAAGGGACGGAGACGACGGGTGAATTCCTCCACGGACATCTTTGCGTCGGGGCCATCCAGCATGCGGAGTTCACCGTCCTGCTCGCTGAAGCTTCGGAACTGGTCTTCGGATTCGGACATGCCCTGTGCGCCGTGTTCCATGTTCTGCACGGCCGAGGAAAGAGTGAAAATGACGTCCTCCGGTTCGTTCTTTAAAGGCCGCTTTGACGAGAAGATCGCTTCAAAGGCGTCGGTGCTCGAGGTCGGGGGCACAGTAGTTGTCACCGAGATGGGGCGATGGATGGAGAAGAACGAGGCAACATGGACATCTTAAGGACGGACGTGAAAAATTAGCTTCAAGGTGATTCTTCACGCGAAAAAGGAAATCTTCGTAATTCTGGACGCTGCTACTCACCATGGGGTTGGCGGTGCTGGGTCGAGGGAACACTCGGAAGCTTCGAAAATGCCGCGTGCTGCTGGCTAGACTTTGACGAACCGTTTCGGGCAGAGTTGTCCTTGCGTCGGCGGGTAGCCTTGCTCTTCTCGCCAGACGAGACTCCCTTTGCCGGGGCAGAAGTGTCCATGCGGCGGGAGCCATCGCTGGGTGGGACGGGAGGTTTGGAGGATGAGGAGGAATACCGGCGCTGGTGCAGAGGTCGGGTTGCGCCGAGCAGGCCGTTGGTTACATTCTGAGCGGGGCGAGTTATCCCGGGCAGCGGCATGGGAGCCCATGCCGCCCGGCGTAACGATGTTGACAACATGGTTGGCAGATATAAACCCAGTCACGGGGAGGTGAATGAGTCTGAATCGGAGGCGAAATCAGTCGGGCCGGAACTCGGTGTCACTGATCATGCGGATCTGGTTATGTAAGATTTATGCCTCAGGTGTTAACACCATGCACCTCGAGGCATGTATCTGCGCGATTTGACCTGAGAACTGGATGTACTGTACATAAAGTCTGTCCTTGGAAGGTCAACTGCCATGTTCTTCTATTTCTAGGGGACTTGGCGGTACACAGCACATGAAGGACGCACAAAGCAGATCTACATAGGGAATCCGATAGTAAGCGCCTGCGAGACTACCCAACAGTAAAACAGATGCAAAGCTGAAATGAAATGAAAAGAGCGCTCGTCAAAGAGCATGATATTGAGATCATTCAGAGAGTAGTAAGTATGAACCCCAGAATGATTGTGATAATACAGAGCGAAGTCGTCAAGTATAACACAGCTGCAGGGACAAACAAGTGGTATCATCCTGCATTGTAAAAAAAATGAAATGAGAAATGAAAAACGGTACCGTCGCTGAAAACAAAGCGAGACACTAGTTGGCAAAATCGGATGGGCTTTTGGATGCAACGTGATAGACCCAAGGATGCGAGCAGAGAGCCGACAGTAACCTCTCAATCAAGACGCCTTCGTCAACACAATAAAGATAAAAAGAAACAATGTAGAAGAAGGGGGGGAAGGGAAAGAGATGTGATCAAAGTCACGAAGGAGTGAAAGTGAAAGGTAACCCGCCCTGCAATGCAACCGGAAAATAAATGGTAGGCTGAAGAGCTTGGAGTGGAAAATGAAAATGAAGAGAAGTTAAAAAGAAATCATCGTCAGAGAGGCTCATCCGGGATGCCTCTGGAAATAAAAGTTCGCTCTGCCTTATAGTATTAAGGTATGCAGATTCTTCTGGATGATCATGTCCTGTACCGAGTCCATAGTCGCCTTGAGCAATGTGGTGTCCGTTGCGTTGGTATAATGGATATAGATCTCGCGGTCTGGGATGCGGTTGATGCCACGGAACCTGTCCGCGAAGTACCGCGCAGCGGCATCATAATCGGTGTCGGAGCCAGCGTAGTCTGGGAAGTGCTTCGAGATTGGAGAGATGGCAAGCTTCCCCTTGAACAAATCGATCTTGTTGAGGAAGAGGATGATTGGCTTGCGCTTGAACCATTCCCCATTGACTAATGATTCGAATAACATCATGGCTTCGTGCATTTGATTCTATGGGCGGGATTAGCGTTGGCCGAGAGGATGTGGGGGATATGGCGCTTACAGCGTTCTGGTCTTCTACCAGACATTGGTCGTATCCTGACAAGGCGACCATGAACAGTAGACACTGAACACCCTCGAAGCAGTGAATCCACTTCTTTCGCTCTGATCGCTGTCCTCCGACATCCATCATTCGGAAGTTCATTTGCCCAAGTTCAAAGAGGGTTTCTGTGATACCGGTCGTCCGGAGTCGAGCTTGTAGCATATCCTGGTTGTCCGGAAGCCAACCCGGGGTAAATATGCGATCGAGAGAATCGTAGAAACTGTGATGGTCAGTCTGAGTCGATGCAAGATATTCCAAGATTGACGTACTAGTACAAATTGTCATGGAGAGCAAACTCGTGTCCTCGCGCAACAGCCGTCTGCACGCCCGTATCCTTCCACATGGCCCTCATGGCATCCCGAACCGTCAGGTCTGAGAAAGCCTCCTCTGATCCTACATCTGGGTCGGTTTTGTCTAATAACTCGGCATATTTCTTTTAAACTCGTTAGCCAAAGCACACTTCCTGAACCAAGCATGTCAAGTACCTTTGTCTTTTCTTCATTCTCGAAATCGATACCCTCGGCATTCATAATATCCAACAAGACCTTGAAGGCGATGACGAGGTTCGAGTAAATAACAGCGCGAGTCGTATGCCGTTCTTCCTCGGGAAAGCCTCGACTGTGAATGATGCGCATCTGCTTGATAATGGTTGATTTTCCAGATTCTCCCGCGCCTGGCCAGGTTGTCAGTACGGCGCCCACACCCATCGACATGGGTTCACCCACCTAATAGCAGAATCTTGATTGTCCGGTCCAGCGTCTTCTTGTCATTCTTGAGGTTCCGGTCTATGCGCGCATTGCGTTGCGCCGCCTCCTTATCCGCTTCCGCCGGTGTCGAAACTAAACAGCCCATGATTCAGGTTGACGGTAAAAAATCTAGCGCGATGGGTGTTAGTGACGATTCATTGCAAGCTGAACTGGTGCGACGGAAGACTCGACACAGGTGTGCACGATCTAAGTCAGGGATGCGATTTGATTGCGCCCCTTCAGGTGTCGACAGTCGAAGCTTAGAGACATAAGGCCCAACTCGACCATCGAGTCCGACGGCGTGGATGTTGCTTACCTCGACAAAAGACCCGCGTTCAAGCACCCGCGGCCTACCTTTACTGAGCAATGTGATAGGCAGAAGCTTGAAAGTTCGATTGTTTCCCCACACCACGTTCCGTTGTGAATTCAACTGTTGTATTTCCAATTAGACCAGGTTATCCTCCGAGACAAGCGACTGTGGGCGACACAGTGTTGAGGCCGAGAAGAGACAGGGGGAGTGGGAGGTAACAAGATCGCGGTATCCAAGGGTTCGATCCGGTGGCGCAGGCTTCCTCAACCGGCGCTTTCTAGTTTTCGACAGCGAAATGGAGTCGGGTGAACAGCCGAGGGCTCCGGGAGAGAAAAGACAAGGGGGAAGGGAAAAGGAATGTCTCTGCCGCGCATCCACAAGCGGGGAGAGAATGCCGGAGTCTTCTCTATCATTGTTCTCTCTCCACTTGGTACTTTTGTGTATTCGGAATTACATACGGGGTACTTTACTCCAGTACTTTACTCTGCTCTACATCTGATTGCGTCCTGATCCACCAGGGACCCCTGTCAGCTCCATCTCTTGATATGACCTGTATAAACCTACAGGACATGACAGACAGGGACAAGACAGACAGAACAGGGCTCTCTGTACAGTCCCATCGATCATCAGGCGCCGACAGAATCGCCAACTTAACCCTCACGAGTCTACAAATCTGCCAAAACCCGAGACCGAGGCCAGATGGAACTATTGAAAGCGCCTCGGGCCCAATCCAATCAGCACATCTCGAACAAACCAATTGTTTACCCACCTTGCATATGTCTTGGCTCCATGTGCAAGCATAAGTTGTATTCTCTGCACACAATATTCCTTCTACGTGTAATCCGCCACTGCAGGTTGAGATCGATATTGAAACCCGCATGGGCCACACGGATTTCCTGAAACAACGGATTCCTCTCCCGATGCTCCTTATCTTACTGCTCTCCCTGTTCTCTGCAAGAAGACTCAGTCAGGTCCGAGGTATACGACGAACACGGAGTTCGCGCTTGAGGGTTCCCCCATAACCCAATCAGAAAGCTCATACTGGACCTGTTTCGCTTAATACCCTGACTGACTGAACCAGAAGTCTGACCGCTGTCAGCTCCACAAATCCATGAGCCGCAAGGCTGTCACTCGCAACCTGAACTCATGTTTTTTTTTTGTCTTCCTGTAGGAACATATTTCCCTGATACTCCCCACGCGGCAAAGGTACAAGATCCTCCACCTGAAACAAACACGGATTGTCCCGTCGGTTCGCCAGCGCCGGTTTCATGATTTTCATTACATGGACAATCCATCCCGCGCTGTCCACCTGCTAAGGCAGGGGTGATCGTTTTGGGACTGGCGCCAGGCCCCAGTGGAGCAGAATGGAGAAGGATGGGCCTTTACCAGTCTGGCATCACCTCACCGAGGTCCTAGGAATATGCACTGCAATCGTCCATTCCCGATCTTGGGGCGACATTTCTCCGTCCCGATATAGTGTCAGATTTGCCATTGGTAGCCTGCGATCGAGACACGCCTTTGTCACGCTACGTACCCGGTGGGTCGACTTCCCTCGTCGGTCCAAACAGGTAATTGCGCCCCCTGAATCTGGTATCGCCTCCACATGCAACTTCCGAGAAAACTCCCACGTGTGTGGTGGAGTACACCCGTTCGCTGTGTAGACAGTCAGTTCATTGTCACTGCCATGTTTATGCATAATCCATGCTCCACCGATTCGTCTCGAGACGTCAATTCTACAGGTTCTTTTTTTTCGAGTCTGTGTCTATTATGAGAATTGAATATTCCCCCAACACACAGTCCTCTCCATCCAACATGCAATATATCAGCCTCAGACTCAACAAACAGGTCACACGCATACAGACACAGATACACCGAATATAGTTAAACTTTACCCTTTCCCTCCAAAGCCAAACGCCACCCACGAGTCAGAAAATCTACGCTAATGACCTATCCCAAATCTTCAGCATCCACAATAAGCTTTCCACCGCTCCCTCCACCCTCTCCACATTCTCGAACATTTCATTTACCATACACATACGCACTTGTACACATGTACATGTATATGTACATACATGCCAACATAGGAAACCCCATATCCCATCGAAACCTCGGACCATCTCCTACACGTACACGTACACGTAGAGTACGTAAAGCATGCGACATGCAACATGCGACACCTGCCAACGGTCAGGGGCGGGCGTTGAGCGGTGGGACCTAGTAAATTAGCCGTTGTCGATCAACATTTTGACAAGTCCACATATTCCGGCTTTGGCCTGCCCCGAGCGCGGGTCAGCGGGAGGTTCTGTCCGGAGACTTTTCGCTGTACATGTCCGTACATGTACTGTCTATTCGTAGGTCAAATCGGGTGGCACGGGCCGGTCATCTGGCCTGTGTGTGCACGTCCGTGTACATGTATACATGTCCAGTGCATGGACTCTGTAGGGTGAAGGGGGCAGGTGTGGCTGTGGATACTGTAGTGAAAGGGGAAAGGAGGCAAACAGAATGGATATCATTGATCAAATCGATGTGGCGGTTTGACCCGTAGCTTGGCCGTTTTTTTTTTTAGTATCTATCTTTAGCGTGGGAATCTTGCAGGTTTGCCGGGATGTACTTCGTAAGGAGTGCATGTACTGTACACTGTACACTGTACGGAGTACAGTATCTGCATCGGAAATCTTCCGAAAAGGATTGGTTGGAAAGATGGTACCGTTCCGGAGGAAACTAACTTACTGTGACACTTACGGAGTCTTGGAGTCTACGACTGGACTGTCATGGTTTTCAGTGGGGATTGTCAACACTAGTTTCCTGGTTTTTCGATGCTAAATCCGGCTGGGCTGGGAGGATGTCTTCTTTTGTTGGGTTCGCCGAGCATGGTGGAATCGGTCATTCGTCGGGTCGTGCACTACTGCACTATCGCCAGGTTGATCGAATGCTAACGAGATAATCTTCATTTTCTGCTTGGTCTTTGCGAGATAACGTTCAGGGGCTTGGGGGTGTCTGCATAGACTACCGGTTTGGGTGTCCTAAAAAGGCCCGCTCCGGAAGTATGATGGCGCCCACGGCTGTGATCTGCCGGTGCATTTCCTAGTCGGCGGAATGGGTGACGATGCCGCTTCGGAGAGATTGGTGTAGTCTGCCGAATGGTTTCTTTTTCTAGGGATCTGCGGGATATTTCTGGAGAAGAGAGTGGATGGGGAATCTTTGTCATGGATTATGACATCTAGATCGGTGATAGATGGTCTCATTTTTGGGAAGCACGTGTTCGTTGACTACTTTATTAGATTTTCATCGTTGTACAGAGCATATATTTGCCAACGAGACATTCCCAATGGAAAAGGAATGGCGTGTGTGTTCACAAGACAGTGTGATAATATGCAAAGTCATCACTGTTAGTGCCACATGGACCCAAAGTTTAACTTAACGTTAATTCCACCTTTGGGCTTTCTGAAGAAAGGCGGGCTTGATTGAGAGCTTGGGCCTTGCGTTAATTTGCGTTTTATGGATAGTTAGCAGGAGCTAGTCATGAAGAGCGCTAGGGGTGATCCTCTCCGCGTTCATTATTCTCGGCCATTCCTCTACAGGTCGGGTTTCACCGTGGGCTATCTTGTACATGAGCTCACATTTGTACAAGAAGGCAATTTCAAAGATAGAGATTTCCGGCTTTACCTCTAAAGTCCGTGTCAGTGTCCGACTCCGTATCGTATGCAAAATATATTGTCCCCACTCATGATCAATTACGATCGTTGTCTGGGTTGATTGGGGATGTTTCTCTGCTGCTTTTCATCCACCTTCTGCTCGAAGTTGAAAGTCTCTTGAAGTTGGCAATCACTGGAAGTTGGTAGGACAACTTGCTATGTGGTCTAATATATATCAAGGCCAGATAGAATGGTCAAAGCCAGAGGTCCCCTCATAATTCCAGCCGCAGCTTAAGCACTTGCTGAGAATCGCCACTTTTAGATTTGACGAACAATATACCCTGGCAGTAGAATTACTGTGATGGCTTCTATAGTTGAAATGACACTAGTACCGATCTGGCAATATTGGACTGACAGGCTCATTCGGCTTATCCCGGCCCCCAATCTAACACATTGGCTTTCGCTGGTGCCTAGAACCTCAATATTGTTCATTGATTGAATCTATGAATGTAAACTAGACACAACATGTCGCACAAATTTTTGCGATACGCAAGTCCGTTTCCCCTCAAGTGCTGTGCATATGCAACACTAACCACAACGCAGGTCCCAATGAACGCCGGACTATCAGTCGCGAAGACCTCAGCTTTTACCACGCACTCACAATAGCAGCAATATACGAGCATGAGAATGAAAAGCTAGATCTCAATTCAGCTCAGACATTCTTCTCACCTCTGAAACACTGCATCCAAGAGCACCCCTACCTGAGCGTAGTCGTCAAAGGCAGCCACACCGAAAAGCCAGCTTATGAAGGCGTCCCTACTATCAATCTTGACGATCATATATCCATCATCCAAAATGAAGTCCAAAGTGGTCCAGACAGCAACGAAGAAACAAAAATCATCCAAAACACCCTAGCACCAATCCTTGACAGACCATGGCCAAATGGAATACCGCCCTGGCGAATCGTCGTTCTCCTACTCTCAGCGCGCGATTCAACCACGAAGCGTTGCTTCATAGCATTCTCATTCTCGCATACCCTCGGAGATGGAATGGTCGGAATAGCCTTCCACCGCACTTTCATAGAAGCATGGCGCCAGACTAACAATCCACACGACAAGACCTCCACAATTACCATGAACCCATCAAACCAAACAATTCCCGAACCATTCGACACACCAGCAAGACTTCCAATATCATGGAAATACCTCCTCGGACCCCTGGTAGCAATCTACCTACCCAAATTCCTAGCCGAATTCCTCGTTCTCCGCGCAGGAGCCAGCACAGTCGATGCCAAAACATGGACCGGCTCGCGGATCTTCGAGCCGGTTCCCACTCTAGGATCAAATAGCAGAGTGAGGATTCTTGAGATCGAGGCTCCGCTTGTTCAGAAGGCTCTGAAAGCTTCGAGAGATCATGACTCTAAAATTACTGCTGTGATACACCAATTTATTATTCGAGCATTGAGTAAGGCTATTCCGAGTCGTGAAGTGACGAATTTCGTTTCTGGGACGCCTGTTGATATGCGTGCTTCTGTTGGTATACCCGCCTTGACATGGGGTCTTTACGTTTCTGGCTATTATGAGGTGCATCCTCGTTTATCTACTGGTACTCATGCTGGTGAATCTGAGTTGTCTGATGAGATGTGGACTGCTGCAAGTTTGATGACGAAGAGGCTCGCTGAATGTGGCTCCAGGCTGCAGGATCAGGCGATTGGGTTGTTAAGATATGCTCCCAGTATTCGTGGCTGGATGTTGGGGAAAATTGGATCGCAGCGGGATTCTTCTTATGAGTTGAGCAATCTGCTTGCTTTTGATGGGGGTAATACCGGTGACGGTTGCAAGATTAGCAAGATGGTTTTCTCGCAGCCCGGCAACTGTCTTAGTGCGCCGCTTGTGTTTAATATCATCAGTGTCAAAGGGGGTAGCTTGGTTTGTACGGTTAGTTGGCAGGTTGGGGCTTTGAGTATGTCTGCTGAAGAGGAGACGCCGTTTGTTGATGAGATTTGTTCTTCAATCCAGGCTGATTTTGAGACTCTGAGGGATTGAGGCTTTGTACCTTTGCAATCTGGCTTGGGGCTCATATGAGCATCTAAGCGACATTACTGGGGAAATGAGCCCATGAAGCAAGTGATAAGCCTGTATACGCTAATTCTATCAATCTAGACTAAAGTTCACATGATCATAGTAATAATTCAAACCTAAATCACTCACACATCTTGACAATGATCCTGGTAAGATCACATTTACAAGCCCATCGCATGAAAAATATATAGAACTGCGCCTAGAAGTATACGGTAGAAAGATTAGGCGAAGATAGTGACATCCGGTCGACCCACCAAAGACCCGGAGAGTCAAACTGAACCTCAACACGCGCAAGACTTGTAAAACACCCGACCCAAAAATGGTAAGCTCAAACCACCCAATCCAGATCCAGATATATCAACCCACTAATACTCGAAATCAGGCAATAAGAACAGAGGCAATCTACCTAAACGATGCCTCCCTCCGAACATGGACAACAGAGGTCGTCTCATCGCAATCAATAACCACCCTCTCAGAAGCAGAGAAAAGTCTAGCAAAGAATATTCCTGCAGACTACAGCGCGGTACTAATGCGCCAAACAATCTTCTATGCCCAAGGCGGCGGCCAGCCCAGCGACAGCGGTGCAATCGGGCCACCAGACCAGGAAGCAACTTTCTCAGTATCATTAGTTCGCAAAACTGCTGATGGGAAATACCTCCATTTTGGAAAATATGCAGATACATCTTCTACTTTCAGTCAAGGACAGCACATTATCCAGAGGGTTGATGACGCGAAGCGCAATTATCATTCGCGTTTGCATACTGCTGGACATATTGTTGGATTGGCGATGCAGATTCTTATGCCGGAGATGAAGAAGGTGAAGGCGAATCACTTTCCCAGGGAGGCGTCTATGGAGTATCAGGGTCTACTGTACAACGAGAATAAGCCTGTTGTCCAGGAGAAGGTTGATGAGTTGGTGAAACGGGATTTGGAGATCCTTATTTCTTGGGAGGAGGGCTGTAAGGGGTCCGGGGAGGTTGAACAGGAAGAGGAGGGTCGGTCTTTTGATGGTCGGACGAGGATTGCAAGTATTGGTGGGCTTGATCATAATCCTTGTGGTGGGACTCATGTTGCGACGACGGGGTTGGTTGGGGGTATTGTCATTCGGAAGATTAGTCGGCAGAAGGGAATTAGTCGGGTTTCTTATGATGTTTTACCTGGGATTGAGGGATAGATAGATAGATTTGTGTCATTGTGCATACGGAAGAGGATATATGTTCTAGACTAGAAGTACATGCTTGAACGCTCTGAGATCTAATGTGCAACCGTGAAATTATACAGCGAATTCGTTGTCCATCCAGTGCTTCATCACAAGCTTGCCTTCTCGAAACCCGTCTTTGGGGCTTCGGACGATGATGGCTGCGTGGCTGTGTCGGTGTTTCTGGATGTGAACAGGGTATCTATTGATTCCCACTGCGTTGAGTGAGTCGATGATGGCAGCTTGATCGCGTGACAACGCAAGCTTGGGAGAGTGCGGAGAGACTGCAGTAGCAGAGGAAAGGGTGGGAGACCTTGATACAGACTCGTCATTGTTCTCAGCAACCTTCGAACCAGAGTCAGACAAGTCGACATCACTGTTAGACAGATAAGCCGGATCTTGTCGGGCTGTGACGTTTTCAAACACCTCCTCCACAACATACTGCACATCTTGAACAATGACAGGTACTCTGTATCTTCCGAAGAATGCACCGTGGTCGCCCTTATGATGTAGGCGAATGCGATTGGAGCTGCGGACAGTCTGGATGCCAGCATTGATCAAGAAGATAATGATAGCCACTGGCGCGAGGACAACGAGAAGTATTGACAAAGGCACCCATATTGCCAGAGATTTGCATTTCTTCCAAATCTTGTGGGCCATTGTTGCGGGTTTCTTTTGGGCGGGTGGTAACACATAGAGGTCAGGGTCGATAATCACATCCTCATAGCCCTTGACATAGTTAATGTTCAGCTCATCCAAAGTCCGGAACGGGTCCACTTTTGACAAAGCAGATGTATAGAAAACAACAGAGCGATCATTGACAATATTTGCATAGACACTGCGAGTTTGGAACTTCTTCAGTCCCTGTATGAAAATGCTCTCGGGATCAGCTAAAACGCTGAGCAGCGGCCGCCCAGTATCCCGGAACGAGTCGATTAACCACATCTGCCGTCCGGACATCGATAGCGTCCGCGGGCCTATTTCGTTCCAAATTTGATTACTGAATCCCTTCAGCGGTGTTCGAACACCGACATGGGGTGTCGCAAAGGTCGTAAAGTTCATGGGCTGTAGCTTATCCAGCCATCCTCGCGCGTTCAACAGACCGATCGCATAGCGCGCGAGAAGACCACCGAGTGAATATCCAATTACACTGATCTTTGTGATTTTCTGTCCCTTCTTCGCAAGGGACTCGAGTGTCTCCTCCACCTCGCGCACTAATCGTTCTCCGCCGAGCTCGATGCCGTCATAGGTGTAATTTCCGCTGTTTGCTTTCGGGCAAAGGATGTAGAGGCTGTCATCGCCATACCTCTCTAATAGTACAGAGGCGATATAATCGAGGTGAGATGGGTTACCCCAAAGTCTGTCAGAAACCGGGTCGCGTTAGATCAGGGCCAACGTCATTGATAAAGGAGTCAGGTACCCGTGGACCAACACACAGAGGTGGTCTGCTTTAGATAAAGTACTAGGCATTGTGTCGCATGAATGTGTTCCCATGTGAGATATTAACCAAAAGGAAAAAGAAATGTTCTTAAGGCTGGACGCGGATGGCTGTTCGTCCGAAGTCCGCGTCGTCCGCCACTGGAGCTATCGGTGATAAGGCCCTCTCTCTGCCCGCACAGCTTTTGCTCACATTCCATATGTATCTGCCTAGTTTCAAGCGGAAATTGATTGAAGACAGGACTGATTTTTACAATATCTAGAATAGATGTCGCAATAGATTCAAATTAATCGCAAATAATTCAAGGCATACCTAACTCACGATGTATTCCTGCCTGCAAAGCCAGGCACATGTTTGTCTACTTTGCACCTGTCATCACAACTTCCTATCGATTGTTGCTGTTGCTCCCAGTCCAATGTCTTGGGTTCGGATGTTGCGCAGTTCTGAGTCAAATTACTCGCAAATCAAGATCAGCATGGCTTGTTCATAATATCCAAATTCCAAAGACAAGTCGCAAATGACGCCGCATGGACCAAACGGCATTCACCTGGATCCTTTCATTACACGTAAGACAAGCAAAGAAGTGATCCGCGACGGAGATATTGCTAATGATTGTGAATTGCGTGGCTTAATAGTTCATCATACGCCTATTGTGTCCTGTTTGATCTCATAATCCGGGGTTCATGACTGTCTCATCCTGCTTTATCTCAAGAGACACAAAACCAGACTCGTCTAAGATATTTGACGGTCTTTCCGTCACTGGACGTTACTTCATCAGCATGTTCACGCCGCTTGGGCTTTTTGCGGAAATCCCTTGTCCGCAGGGAGAGCGGTGTACTCTTTTGAAATGTCTCTTCTGCCATGAAAGCAATGGAGCCCGTTCAGCTGGGGATAGTTCCCCGATATCTCGTGCCTCAGGTCACGATGGCCGGCCTTCAAAACGAGCTAAGCTGGACCAGAGCCCTGAAAAGGCGCAGGTTTCTAGCTCGAGTTTATCCAACGAAATTACGCAGGAGATGGTGAGACGTCCATCAGATCTGTTCCCTGCTGGCAGGGCACCTCAAAGTGGATCTCAGGGAATCTCGAAGCTTCAGTCTACCACTCGAGAGGTTACACCGCCGGCACCAAATCGATCTGAGCCTCTAAAGACTTTGAGGCCTGTGTCTTCGAAGCCCACCGCTGCTGCATCCAACTCTAACCCATCGGATACCGAGAGCAAACCTACTAGCACTACACCCTTTGATTCTTCGGCCAAATTCCCTCCCCGGAAAGCCCCGAAGGAGACATTGAACCCACGCATGCTCACGAAGGCACCGACAAGCCATGTGGGCCGCACTGCCATCTTGAAGAAGCTGCACGGTGCAATGGTGGCACACAATGAAAAGCTTCGAAGGGACAAGAACAGCGCGAACAGATGTTTCATCTTGACCCCAGATGAACTGGTGACAATGGCACTGGATGAGGAGGAGAAGACAGCGAAGGAGAACGCGGGAGTATATGGAAACGTGATCAAGCTTCGAATCGTGAAAGTGAGCAAGATGAGCATCGGGGAATGGGTCAAGGAGGTGATGGATCACCTGAACACGCGATACTACAGCGTCAAGCCCATCCAGAAGCCAGGTACCAACCCCAATCTTCTCGCCACGGGCATGACCGTCGAAGAAGAACTCGCGGTTGTTCCCTTCCTCGTCACACCCATCGCAGGCCACGAACAGTACGGCTATGTTACGAAGGCGCCTACAGAGTCAGAGATTGCAGTCGCCAAGGAAGGTGTCGACAAGTCCAATGGTTATGAGAAGTGTGACCGATGCGGCGGCCGATTCCAGGTCTTCCCAGGTCGTCGTGAAGACGGTGCCTTGACTAGCGGTGGTACCTGTACTTATCATCCATCTCGCCCCGTGTACCCCCAGCGCAAGAAGACAGACCATGTCACTGGTTCTCAAGAGCCATCCTTTCCCTGCTGTGGTGAGCCAATGGGGGCCTCGAGTGGCTGCACGAAAGCCGACAGTCACGTCTTTAGTGTGTCAGAAACGAAGCGTCTTGCGTCAGTGCTGCAATTCGAGACGACCCCACGGCAGCCCGAGAAGGGGCCCCTCGGGCCCGTCTGCTTTGATTGTGAAATGGGCTATACATCTATTGGAATGGAAATGATCCGACTCACTGCTGTCAGCTGGCCTGAAGGCCGTGATCTACTCGACATTCTCGTCCGACCAATTGGCGAGATACTGGACTTCAACTCTCGCTTTTCCGGCGTCTATCAGAAAGACTTTGTTGACGCAAAACCATACGACACCCTAATTGCTACCACAGAACCACTGACGAAGCAAGAAGGAAAAGAGAAATCCCAGAAACCCTTGCAACTTGTTAAGTCACCAGCTGAAGCACGAGACTTACTGTTCAAGTTGCTCCAGCCCGAGACACCACTCATCGGCCACGCTATCAACAATGATTTGAATGTCTGCAGGATCATCCACCCCACCATCATCGATACCGTCCTCCTATTTCCCCACATAAAGGGTCTTCCCGTCCGCAACAGTCTCAAGTATCTGGCTTCCAAACATCTTGGCCGTGATATCCAGACTGGGCTTAATGGTCATGACTCAAAGGAGGACTCGATCGCCACTGGTGATTTAGTGAGAGTCAAGGCGCACGAGAAGTGGAAGAATATGAAGAGCAAAGGATGGAAACTTGAGAATGGGAAGCTGGTTCGGTCTGCCCAAGGCGCATCAGGCCCTACTGACCAAGACGGACACAAGAGAATGAGTTCAACCGAGCGCTGAGCAAGGATTCCATACATTGTTATTGTCTACTTAGTCTTCAAGTGTTTGAGTTATCATCGTGAAATGGAGATACCCTTCCATAGCGCAGCATGACAGCAGCCTCACATCAACATCAAATGTCGAATTTGATGTTTAGTACTGTAGTTTATGCCTTACATTCTACAGATAGAGTCCAATCTACACAGTAGACATTTACAATCTGAAAGACTGAGGGTATAAACTTTTTTAGTTTTATTCGTGGCCTCATAGACCAATCTATCCCCCCATGGCTCTCGCTCTCAATCCAAACAGAGGTTTCAGACATATCAAGCGCGACACACAGACTAGAACCGATCGATCCCAAGGACAGGCGGGAGAAAATGTCGAGAACGACACATTTACTCCTCATCCTCCTCAGCCTCGTCGTTGACGACGTTGTAGAAGCGGAGCTCGTAGACACCCTTGGAGGTGGAGACGACACGGAGCCAGTCACGGAGCTGCTGCTTCTTGAGGTACTTCTTGGTACTGGAGGGTGAAAAGGTGGTCAGCGAACTGCTGCCCAGATGACATCCACTAGGCATGAATGCGGGTTTGATGTTGGACTCACAGGTACTTGAGGTAGCGACCAGAGAAGGGGATGTGGGCAACGACCTCGATCTTGCCATCGCCAATCTGGGAGATGACGACCTTGTCACCGAGGTTGCCGACACGGCCCTCGACCTTCACGCGGTCGTGGAGGAACTTCTCGAAGGCAGAGACATCGAAGATCTTGTCGCTAGCAGGCTGCGAAGCGTTGATGATGTACTGTAGAGCAGAGAGTTAGTACACAATTCGGTCTTATGGCCAATGCGCATGCATGTCAGCGGGATGGATATCAGATAAAACGTACCTTCTGGGTAACCTTGGGGGCCTTGCGACCACGAGCCTATACCATATAACAATTCAATTAGCCTACTGCTCCATTATGTCGAGCCCCGGTGGGATCACAGTTTCGTCCGCGACGTGGATGCCATCGATAGATTTTTCAATACCGATATTTTCCGGTCGACAACGAAGCCGTGATCCAGTCGGGGGGAACAGCAAAGCGGTTTGGGTCTCAACGTACAGCAACGGGAGCCATTTTTGATGGATTGGGGGAGATGAACTTCGGTTGGAAAGGTCGCAAAGAGGTGTATATCCTGCGCCGGCGAGAGATGGTCAAGACGAGATTCCCAAGTGGAGCCTTCGATAGCGAATATTGAACAGGTGTGTCGCACTAGTCCACTTTGGGATGTGGTTAGGGCTGTGACCTGCGAGGGCTGCTTGGCAGGGTCAGGTGATTGTCAGGGGTGAGTCAGGTCGAGCAGGACACAGAGGGGTGTTGATTGGTTCGCTTAAAACTCGCTTAGTTCTTCCGAAACTAAGCCATGCTTGATTTGTACTAGCGTTGACCATGGGTCTGCTGGGTATAAATACCTCCTCTTCTCGCCGGTCTTCCCTTCCTTTTCTTTCTTCTTTAGCTCTCTTTGCCTATTGGCTTAGATCAAGTGTAGTATCTGTTCTTTTCAGTTTAATCTCTGAAAGTTTCCTCTTGGAAACACTTTGATTATTCTCATTTTTGGATCCAGTAGCTTGACCTCTGTGCTTGCGCATGTCTCGCTACACTGTGTCATCGGGCTTACACTACCCCCGATCGACGCGAACCCTTTTTCATCAATTGTCTCGGCTTGTTCGGGCGCTTGGAGAAGAAGCTTAGATTTGCCCTAAGATGTCGATGCCTGCGCGACATTATAACTTCGTACGTTGTCATTTGTCATGTCCTTGATGAGGAACCGGGACCTTGGTTGATCCCATCTGTGTACTGTTCCTATCATCGTGTAAATGTACTCCGTTGACGTTGCCGCCTCGTAAACAGTGACCAAATCCGCGTGAAGAAGGAATGTATGTACATGTAGTTCCGTAACCGTGCTGCATACCCCGTACTGGTGAGACCAAATCCATGATAACTCCTGTCCTACATTCCTAGACTATACGCTCGTGCTGTTTAGCAACACTCAAGACCTCATCTGCTCCGGTAAGAGCCTCGCTGTCTCCAACATTCAAAGCTGGCGATCGAGTCACGTGCCGCGGAGCTTCAATCGCGGGGCCAATCGATAAGCCTCCATTTTTTTCCCACTCCGCATCTCTTCCCACCTACAAGAGGACAGACGTCGCCATGGGTTCGATCGTCCTCCCTCATTTGCAGACCGCATGGCATGTCGACCAGGCCATCCTCTCTGAAGAAGAACGCCTGGTGGTGATCCGGTTCGGCCGCGACCACGATCCCGACTGTGAGCTGCTCCAATGCTATTCCAATCCAATCGCCGCACCATACTAACGCATGGCCTTCCAGGTATTCGCCAGGATGAGCTACTCTACAAGATTGCTGAGCGTGTAAAGAGTGAGTACCAGCTCTCTGACGGACAGGAACGGACAACAGCTGACAACTTTCTCCAGACTTCGCGGTCATCTACCTTTGCGACGTGGACCAGGTCCCAGATTTCAACCAGATGTACGAGCTTTACGACCGCATGACGATCATGTTCTTCTATCGCAACAAGCATATGATGTGCGATTTCGGCACGGGTAACAACAACAAGTTGAACTGGGTGCTGGAGGATAAGCAAGAGTTGATCGACATCATTGAGACCATCTACAAGGGCGCGAAGAAGGGCCGTGGTCTGGTGGTCAGCCCTAAAGGTATGCGCAGCCATGATCCTTGGGAGTAGTTGCCTTTCGCTAACAGCTTCTCTTGCAGATTACTCTACCAGATACCGATACTGAGCCTCATCTCCCTCGGCGCATGCTAGCATTGGCCACTGCCAGTGTATATATTGCTTTATTACGACGCTTATGACAATCGCTGGGCTCGGTCTGGCAAGAAGATAAAACGCTGGAAATATGGTCATGGTTCCGGAGTTTTCTGTTTCTGAGTCGCCTTTGCGATCATTTTTGTTGAGAGTGAATAAACTCAACTGTGTCCATTTTTGAAAGACTAAGTGTTCAGTTCAGAACGTCAGGTTCCTCAGTAGCTCATTGTAGAATGTATATGAAAAACAGCTGCAGCTTGTACCTCAATCGCAGTGAAAGCCCCTCTATTCACCCTCACCAAGTGAGAAATTTCCCTTTTAAAACTTGCTAAAGCAAACAGAGCAGCAAGTTAGCCCTTCTTCAGAATTTGAGCGATAAATACTCAATGTTGTGCTTACAGTAAGCTCCATCATTTTTCCAACGTTGATTTTGACGTAACTCATCCACCGCATCTTTCAAACCCGCCTTACCAATTTTCCCACAGAACGTACCATCAGCACCCAACATCAACCATCAAAATGATCGATCAACGAATTTTCGAAGACCTCCAGAACAAGATTGACGAGGAGAGCACCGTCCGCGATGTAAGTCCGACCAGCGCATCAGGTGAATTCTTCACGTGCCAAGACATCACCAAACCCCAACGCGGAACCACTGATAGCTAACATTTCTCAACAGGAACTGCATGAGATTGTCCAGACTCTCGCCCGCAGAGGTGTGTCTTGCAGCTCATGATCAATGATGGAGATACATGGTCTCTGCGTTGGCCTGCTCAACTCCGTCATTGAGGTCCATCTTTGATTTGAACTGAGATCTGATGCGTTTCTTTTAGGGCGATCTACACAAGCTATCCTTTCGCGGGCTCATTCCACGCCTGCTGATCAATGTAAGTGATCACTTTCAGCCGCTAGAGGAACACAGCTGGACGTGAATTTGCTTCTACAGTATTCACATATCTACTCTCATTGCTGAGGCGGTGTACCGGCCGAAACATCCATTGAGAACAAAACTGCTGACTTGATCACAGTGAAGCCCGTGCTTGATGATGTGACCACTGAGATCCTCGCTCAGAAGCAGGAAGTTGCCCGCCTCAAGGCTGTGGCTGACAAGCACCCTTTTTACAAGTACAATGGGCTGTGGACCCGTGAGCTGCAGAACCTGGTTCGTTTTTCTGTGCTACTGAGTCTGGGAGTTTGAGGGACTGTACTGATATTCATGGCAGGTTGCTTCCATTGAGCTTTGCGCTTGGTTGGGTGGATTGCAGGAGCACAAGGGTCCTAGCTCGGCTTCTTTCATGACTATTGAAGATGTGGGCAAGTTCCTTGAAAGTAGGTTATCCTCAATTTGATTCTCGTGTCTTGAAGCGCATTGCTAATATACTGTTTCTCCTTGACAGTCCCCGTCAACTTGAAGGAGCAGGATGCTTTCCACCTGACTATCGAGGAGTACCTCTTGGCATTGATTGCTATGGTTGAGGAATTGGTTTGTCACTCATTCACCAACTTTTGTTCTGATGCTTACTTTATTTGCAGTCTCGCTTGGCCGTCAATTCCGTCACTCTCGGTGATTATACCCGTCCCATGCAGATTGGCAACTTCATCAAGGAGTTGTTTGCTGGCTTCCAGCTCTTGAACTTGAAGAACGACATCTTGCGCAAGCGTAGCGATGGTATCAAGTACAGTGTAAGTTTCCCTGACCGCGAACTCACAATCCAAGCTTCGGTTACTAATACTCATGGGTAACAGGTCAAGAAGGTCGAGGACGTTGTCTATGATTTGTCCCTGCGAAACCTGATTCCCAAGGGCGCCCCTTCTGCTTAGGCTGAGATATTAGACCACACCGGCAAAATGGAGCTTATGATATGGGCAGATCCAGAGAAGAGATCTAGTGGATTACGAATTATAAACATACCACTCAAAATGACGGACATGGATACGAATTATCATTATCACTTTAAGAAAAAATCCCCTTCCGAGCCGGAAAAAAAGAGAACCAGTATGTCAGAGACAGAAACACCGGGCTATAGATACAAATTAAACCGAAACAGGGTAACCGAAAAACCATAGAAAAAAGCTGGCAAATCAAACCAACTAAGCCTCAGTGGCAGCAGGAGCATCACCCTTCTTCATCGAAGCAAGAGTACCAGCCTTCTTAGCCTTCTCAAGCTCCTGAACAATAGTATCCTCAAGACCCTCAGGCTTGGTAGTAGTAGCCCAACGACCAACAACCTTTCCATCAGCCGAAACAAGGAACTTCTCAAAGTTCCACTTCACGCGCTTGAGGCCCATAATACCAGGCTGCTGCTCCTTCATCCAGGTCCACACGGGTGCGGCGTTATCGCCGTTCACATCGAGCTTGCCCAGCACGGGGAAGGAGACACCGTAGTTCAGCTGGCAGAAGGACTGGATCTCATCATCGGAACCGGGGTCTTGGCTGCCGAACTGGTTGCAGGGGAAGCCGATGACTGTGAAGTCATCTGGGTACTTGCTCGACAAGTTCTTGTAGAGCTTCTCCAGGCCTTCGAACTGTGGTGTGAAGCCGCACTTTGAGGCGGTGTTCACAACCAGTACGACCTTTCCGGAGAGAGAAGAGAGGGGGAAGGGTGTGCCCTTTTCTGTTGGGTGAGTGTTGGGTTAGCTGGTTGTTTTCAAGTTTTTGGTTTGCTGATTCGTGGGAAGGAAGGGATACGACATGGATGGGTGGGTGGGTGCATAGTAGCATGGGAATGTACGTACTGTCAGCAGGCTCGAAGTCGTAGAAAGAAGTAGCGGAAGACATCTTGCTTGTTTGGTGGACAAGAGAAGGTTTGGAGGGTATACGCGGAGAGAGGTTGTACAATGACGTCGTTGATAGACGGAAGGACTTGGCAGTAAAGGAGCACCGCAGAGGCGAAAACGCGAACATGGTCTTTTTGTACTCGCTTCTCAACCGAGGTCAAACCACCTTCTTACCAATTGGCCGCGGGTCTGGGCACGGAGTGTTCTAGTGCCGCCGGAAGTAGCTATCTGTCCGAGCCGATGTCTTTTAGGTGCCACTTTATTGGTTGTGTTATTGGTCATCTTGCCAACCGAGACCGTCCGCGCATAATTTTGTGCATTCCTTGAGCCTAAAATATTTTGGCTTTAAGCTTAACAATGTATATAGGCTGGGCATAAGTCTTTCTCTTCTCGAAACTGGTTATTGTAAAAACCTTACGGCCCACAGTAGGTTGTCAAAAGATATCACAAGACCTATTCTAAATTCAAATTTCTTGTAAACAGCCACTTCTTAGCGGCAGCCAACTAGGCATTACTCTATGCTTTCTTAGACACCACAAAAGACAGGAAACCGCAAGTATGTCTCATTTTCATTGTTTATTTCAATATCAATTGGACGATTTGTATGCCTGCCTTGTTAGATTTCCAGCTAGTACAGGCTGAGGGCGAAGCAAATCCACACCGCAGATGAAGCATGCAATCCAGCAATTCAGCAAGAAGGTGCAGTTGGAAAACCTGGAGCCGGGAAGTCGTCGTGTCCAGCTAAGTATTTCCAACCTGGCAACAAAGGCATTTTGGCGTTGTCTTTGCCACGGAGCAACAATCAACCTTCATGGTATCGCAACGGCCATTCACTGAATGGACCGAGGGGTGATTCACACCCGCCAACTCGTGAAAGATTTCAAGCCATAGAGGATGGTGTAGAAGTGAAGACAATATCAGGCTCGAGTTTTGAAGCTGTAGCCGATCGCGCGGAGATAGGTCCAAGATCAGCCCCAAGCCCAAGCAACTGACATATAGTCCAGGAAGCAGATAACCCCCTCAGTAAAGCATGTATTTCATTGCTGAATGTCATAAATTCAACCCTCCATCTCAGCCTTAAGAATATCAACATCCAGCTCAGCCATAACACCAAGGATAACACCAAGACTCTCCATAAAGCCGTTAACAGCAACGCGCAGCATGCGATTCGTTGTCGCATAGTATGTAGTCTTCAAGATGGTCTGTGATTCATCAGGATCTTGCTTCAGTTTCTTTTCCTTAGGCTCTGAGGGAGCTTCGGAGGTTGGAGATTCGAGACTGAGTGTGCGCCGCACGAAAGGGGACAATTCTGAGTCGACTTCTAGGGTGCGCAGGGCAGAGGAGGCGAGGCGTTTTGTTGGGAGAGGGAGGGAGATTGTTCTGGGGTTTGCGTGTTAGTTTCATTTGGTAGATCTGGGATTTAGGCGGGGTGCGTTCGTACAATGAGTAGGGGAACTCGGGGTTATTGGGTTCGGGAGCCATGATGTAAGAGTGGGATGGAGTGATTAGTATAGATAAGTGCTTGGTGAATGTCTTGGGGCGCGAGCTCGATGTATTTTTGGTCAATTGGATGTGCTGGTGATGGGGGTTGGATATTTGCCACGCAAAATCGTAGAGGGGCCGGGGTGATGACTCAGCTTTATAAAGTCTCGGGGTTTGCGGAGAACAAACAAAAGCTTAAAGATCTGTTCAAGGATGAGAGTATGATATATTCGCACTTAAGTAATCGTGGGCTTAAGAAAATATCAATGTGAAAAGTCAAAGAAATACATGTTTAGGTGTGAAGCTAAGCTTCCCATGCAAATTACTCATCTTAAGTCGTAGAAGTATAAAAGTCACTCGTGAAGGTATAGTACATAAAAGCTTGATCACAAAAGATCTAAATAAAACAAGAGGCTTCAGGGAATAACCCAAGAGGACTCAAAGAATGGAGATAACATGAATGTATAATTGCGGCGACCTGGGTCAAGTCGTCTTGATACCCTTCTCACTCCAAGCTGAAGCTATGGTCGTGCACCAAAGGGAATTTAGAGGAGAGAAAGCACGGCCTGCAAAGCAGGGAGCTCAGCAAGCTGGCTGTGGGTGATCTCACCAATGTCGGCGGCGTGCTTGAGACCGACGAGGGAGCCGATGAGGTCAGTGGGGTGGGAGGTGATGGGACCGACAATGCTCAGAACGGTCGAGTCAATGCCACTGGTGAGACCTCCCTGGCGCTTAGCCAGGCCACTGAGACTAGCAGTTGCCTCTGAGGGGGAGTTAGCTACCAAAAATCAAAAAGACAAGGAAGGATACTTACGACCAACAGTGGCAGGGACAGTGCTCCCAACAGTGCTTCCCACGGTACTGCCGACAGTGCTACCAGCAGTGCTACCAACGGTCCCAGCGACGGTGTCAATAATGCCATCAACATCACGCTTGCCGGCACCGACACTAGAAACGGCCTTCTCCGCAGTATTAGCGCCGCTAGAGACGGTGCTCTCGACGGTTCCGACAGCACCGGCGGCAATAGCGGTAGCGCCATTTGCAACACTAGGGACAGCCTCAACAGTGTGGCCAACGGCATCGGTGAAGTCACGCGTTCCAAGATCGTGGGTGCTACCGACAGCGTTTTCCGCGGTGTAAACAAGCCCTGAGGTGGTGCTCTCAACGGTTCCGACAGCACCGGCGGCAATATTGGTAGCGCCGTTAGCAACACCAGGGACTGCTTCAACAGTCTGTCCGACGGCATCGGTGAAGTCCCGCTTTCCAGGAAGGGCATTCTCGATACCGTGCTCCGCGGTGAAAACAAGACCGGAGCTGCTGCTCTCAGCGGTTCCAACAGCACCAGCTGCAATACCAGTGGCACCGTTGAGAACACTAGGTATGGCTTCAACAGTCTCACCAGCAGCATCACCAAGATCGCGCTTCAAACCGCCGGCCAAGCTGCCAGCAGTGGTGACGACAGGAGCAACGAGGTTGGAAGTGGCAGCCTGAGCACCACCAACAGTGCCCTCGACGCCACTGAGAGCGCCTCCGGCGATGGGGATAGTAGCGCCGTAGGATAGGCCAGCAAGGGCGAGAGAAACGGAAACTCCAGTAAGCTTCATTGTTGCAATTTTGGATAGGATTGAACGTTTCAAAAGAATGACTTGGTGAGGTAGGTGTGTACAGAGATAGAAGCTGGAAGGAGTGACTAGAAGTGAAGGAGCGATTTGTGTGGGACAGAAAAAGGAATACGAGTAGCAGGTGCTGGAGGTAGTATTATATACATCTCTCGGGGTCCGTTTATTCTTCTCCACAAAGGGACCTCCCTAGCGTTCGGGATCCTCAGGGGCGATGTTTTGACCGTGCTTGTTGTTCGTTTGAGTCGACAATAACCACGATCGGCGCTAATGTGCCACCCTTAGAGCCGTGGAGGCAGTCTCATCTCAGCGGAAATTGCACGAACGAAGGGGTTTGTGGCGCGCCCACATGGGCTCCAATCAAACCGATTTGATGAACTGACAGAAGGCGTATAAATGACCGGGGAAAGTCCCGGTGCAGCAAGGTTGAGTCAGGAAGCGCATTAGTGGAGTATGAAGCTTGTTTATCTCAGCATTATAGTTCTCTTCACGTCAGTTGGGAATAGTCCAAGATGGAGAAGATCGTATAGTTTCTCGTTAGACTTAAATAGCTTAAATACCGGGTGTGAGGGAGTCCAATTTTTTTTCTTGGGATCAAATGCTATGTCCAATGATACATTAGTACGACAGGTATACACCCGATCATGCTGAGGTGTCGAAGTGAGGGATGATGGCTTTGACATCGTAGTGAATAAGGTCAGGTAAGGGTTGAGCTTTAAGCGGGGACTCAACGAATCCGCTCTTCGGACTGTTGCCGATCATCTCAACGCTTAGCAGGGAGTGGCGGACTAAACGTGACTTTCACTAAGTGGAACATTCGAACTTTAGTAGAAAATAGTTTGCTGCCAGTCACTGTATCCTTGCGTTGAAGCTGGAGTTGTCACAGTCTGCACCGAAGCAATGCAACTTGTTGGATGAACAGGGAAATGCCAGGATTGTAAGTGATGACTGAGTCAAAATGATAACCGGGTAGTGATATTGAACCAATAATGTCTAGGTAAAGCAGTTGGCCGAGATCTTGAAAGCCCAAGGCAAGCAGTGGGTCCAATATACAACCTCCATGATCAGTCGAGTGCAAACTCACCACAAACAACGATAGAATGTGATAGCCACGATTCTAGGTCCTGTAATGAGCCCTGAACAGTGGGTTATACCCAACAAAGGTCCTTACGAAGAGTTCTCCGGGGCCAATTGTCTACCAGATCAATCATCAATCACTCTGCATCTGTTACTAGTAGGGCCAAGCGGCCTGAGCATGATCTCGCATCTAAGCCAGGATGTGCTCAGTAGGACAACTCCTGATAGGGTGATAGAAAGGCCAAATGTCATCCATGGGCGGACTCTGAGCAGAGTTGTATTAAAGCATGAGGAAGGGCGCCCAAATCGATATCGAGCAGTTGAAGGCATCTATGGCCTTGTGTGACCCATTCCGTCATGGGACATCACAACAGGCAAACGAACGGCCCATTCATTAGAATAGTTGCCTAGTGGTATGTGAACAGCCCAATGACGAGGTCGAGGGCGAGGTCAGAGGAGAGTGATAGATGAGAAGTGTTGTGTTTGTGATGTTTGTATGTTGTGATGTTTTGTTTGTGGAATGTCACAGGCATCCACTTTCTGCCTGAGGCCACACGGTTGTCACGTCAACAGCCACCTCTAGTCCCGATCAGGAAAGGCACAACATAGCATGGCAGCTGCCCCAAACATCATGAAACTCGAACTTGTTGTTGATTTCCTTTTCTTCTGAACCCCTCCTGTACAGGCTTCCTCACCTCTTAGTTCTTATTCTTAATCTTGGTTGATCGGATCATGAACGTTTAGTTCTCCGATACTCTTACAATTGGCGCTATCGTTCGAGTCACACCTCAACACAAGTCCCTGCAAACGCATCTTGACAAGATACGTTCTATTTGAACGTCACACAATCTCTATCAAGTCTGCCAGCAAACAAAGAGCAAAATGACTACCGACTTGAACCACGGAGGCCAGATGATCGAGTACATCCAAGGTGGGTGCAATGTTTTTCCCACTGGATGTCCACCACCCGACATTGGTAACTAAACATACATATTACTTAGATCGCCTGTATCTGGCCTCTTATGACTCTGCTCCGGGCTCAAGAACCCCGTTCCCTTTCCATCTGGATGCGCCCAAGTCTCCAAGCAAGCGGGCACGCGCCCAGCCCTCCACCCCGAGCAAGCGCCGCTCCCCGGTCTACTTCACGATTGACGACACCCTCCTCTACAATGCCTTTCACGCCGATTTTGGGCCGCTCCACATTGGACATTTGTACCGCTTTGCCGTTTTGTTCCATGAGATCCTCGGCGACCCGGCCAACAGCGATCGTCCAGTCGTTTTCTACAGCAAAACTGATGCCCGGAGTCGCGCAAATGCGGCCTGTCTCGTCGCATGCTATATGGTCATGATTCAGTCTTGGCCACCTCATTTGGCTCTTGCGCCTATTGCGCAAGCCGATCCTCCATATATGCCTTTCCGTGATGCTGGCTACAGTCAGGCAGACTTTATCTTGAACATTCAAGATGTAGTGTATGGCGTTTGGAAAGCCAAAGAACAGTCGCTCTGCGGACTTCGTGATTTCAATCTGGAAGAGTATGAGAAGTTTGAACGAGTCGACATGGGTGACTTCAACTGGGTTACTCCTGATTTCCTCGCCTTTGCCTCTCCTCAACAACAGCCCGTGGAACCCATTCCCATGAACACTCCCGAATACGATGCATTGCCCTCCACCATCTCGGAAATCTCCTCCGCAAAGATTCCCATGCCGTTCAAGAATGTCTTGGCCCATTTCTCCTCCCGTAACGTCGGCCTGGTTGTGCGATTGAACTCGGAGCTCTACTGCCCATCTTATTTCACCGCACTTGGTATCTCCCATATTGACATGATTTTCGAGGACGGCACCTGCCCTCCCCTGCAGCTCGTTCGGCGCTTCATTAAAATGGCGCACGAAATGATCACCATCAAGAAAAAGGGAATCGCAGTTCACTGCAAGGCTGGCCTTGGCCGCACTGGATGCTTGATTGGTGCTTATCTAATCTACAAATATGGCTTTACTGCCAACGAGGTCATTGCCTTCATGAGATTCATGCGCCCTGGAATGGTTGTTGGACCCCAGCAGCACTGGCTGCACCTCAATCAGGGCTCCTTCCGAGAATGGTGGTTCGAGGATTCCATGCGCGAGAAGTACGCTCAGTCTACTCCCGTTACTCCTCGAGTCTCCACAAAGAAGCGCAGCAGCAACGGAGTGGTGTCCACACCTCCCAACAACAGTCACTCTAAGCGCGCGGCCCTTGGGGAGATCGATCAAAACGAAGCTAGTGCTTACACAGAAGAAAACCTTCCTGCACCCACTCCCGGTCAACCCCGCAAGTCACACCGCAAGGATTCACGACACCACCCCTACTCCCGGACTACTTCTGGCTCCTTGACTGTTGAAAGCGAGCAACGCCATCGCACTCACCGAAAGAGCAACGAGGGCAGCGAAAGTGAGGAAGAGATTCAGCTTCGTAGGTTAGCTAAGCGATCATCGCGATCTCCTGTCGCATCTCCCACTTCGCGATCGATCAGCTACTCTGCCACTGTCACTGCTAGCTATACTCTGGCCGATAGCAACCATGAGGATCAGGAAAACTACAATGCAGCCCCCAAGACTCCAGTCAGTCGAAAGAGTGGTTGCGGTGCGCCGATATCCGTCAGCAAGGTGCGCTCTAGCCCTCGTCGAGCAACGGACAGCACCCGTAGCAGCGATGCTCGCGGTGTCCGCAAAGCCAGTGGTCGCGTTGGAAGCAATTCCATCAGCCCAGCACGGGCAGCCAAGACCGTCCACTGAAACTGTCATGTTCTTAGGACCTTTGCACAGTCACTATGTGCGGTTCCTTTTCTATTCTTATCGTCCCCGCTGGACAAAGTTTTCTGCATACCCCTTTTTCAAGTTGCATCTGGATGCTGTTTAATGTTCTTGCTTTCTTTTCGGTCTGACTACGTCTGGTTTTCTCTGGAGCAATGTTGGTTTTTGGGCATGTTTTGCACGGCGTTTGGTTCTCCGGTTTCTATACTTGTGAGACGTCTTGCAAAGCTATCACGACTTCGCGTGTCTGTTGCATGGTGTTTGATTGCAGGTTCTTTTGGTCTTTTGCGCGTCAATTCTACGTCGATATGACAATAACGTTCATGGGCTTGCTCAATTCTTCCACATGTTTATTTTCAGTAAAGCATTTATTCAGGAAGATATAATGCTCAATTTGCATCTGGAAAGTTATTGAAAATTACTTGTTTGGTGTAGCGGGATGTGCTGTGGTGGATGTTTGCTTCACCCCAGCAGGATATATATGTCCTCCAACAGGATGGACAACACCATATATTGTTGAAATTCTCGAATTCAAGAAGGCTACCTAAACTATCCATCTCGACTGGTATCACGTACATTATACAGTTTAGAAGCAGCATGAAACACAGGCCCATAGGTCATGCCCAATTCTTCTGGCCCTGGAACGGCGGCGCGAGCAGCTAGAACAGTGAGGCTTTTCTTTAAACAAGGGATACAATACACTACACGCGAAGAATCAGAAAAAAATTGCAAACTTATGCATAGTCGAATTGAGCCCATAACAAATACAAGAACTAACTCATCATGAAAGAATCCACCCTAGTTAGCAGCAAGGAACTATACACAAAGTTAGCATCCAAACCATTCAGCCACCCAAGAGGGCCTAGCAAAAGACTAAAACTCACCTCTTGAGCCTCAGCCTCAGAAACACCCGAGCTCTCCACAACACTCTTATCAATAAGCCCCAACCTATTCCGCCGAATAAGCCACCACAATTCCCTCCGATCCCCACCAAGCACCTCCGCCAATAACTTGCCCTTGAGCGTACGCAGGACGTCATTATAAGAAAATGGCTCTTCGTAGTCAACCAGTTCCTCGCGCATAGTACCAAGTCCCTCGACGACTCGGTCGTAGTTCGCATCGCCGAGACTGTGCTTGATTTGGGTCTCGATGATTTCGGCCATTTGCTTTACGGCATCGTGGATTGCGTTGATGCTATCTGCGCGTGAGAGGGTTTGTTTGAATTCTGGGATTGCGTTTTCGGAGGAAATCTTTGTGCGCTTTGGTTCTAGGCTTAGGAGGGCGTCGACGTCTAAGCCTGAGAGGGGTTTCTCGGTTTCGCGTTGGCGTTTGCGGCCCTTTGTTTTCGGTGGGACTGGGTTTGGATTAGTATTTCTTTCGGTAAAGGGGTTTGTAGAGACAGAGATATTACCCTTCTTGATATCTGCTGTTGAGATTAATCTTTCGAGGTAAGATTTGGACTTTCTGACCAGTTCTTCTGAAGGCCGGGCAAATTGGGTGAGCCGTTCCGAGGGATCAAGAACTGGATCGTTCGGGTGCACTGCGCGATATCGAACGGCTGATTCCAGTCGGTGTAGTAGTGGGGAGAATGATTCGTCGATTGGAAGTTCGTTAGTGGGTTCGCTGGTTTTACTCGTTAGCTGATGGCCAGTTTCTTATGCGAGCTACTCACCCTTCGTCGTTTGTAGTTTCTAACTCCATGTTGTCCACGTAATCACTCACTGCATCCCTCAAGCTGTCACTTGGGAGGTTGCGGTGCTCAGTCACCACCTTACCAGAGACTGTAATGATCTTATCTAAAGGCGGGAAGCGATACGATCGTACATCTTCAGCGTATGGAAGCTGCACTTCAAGCAGGCATTCGTAGTCTGGCTCGATAGAGGGGGCCAGCAAGATAAGCATAGGGGGCTTGTTTTCTTTGGCCACCAATCGAGCAACGGCAAATGACTCCAGCTCATATAGTGCATGTATAAGCGAGGACAATGCAAGTGATGCGGCGTCATTTGCCCGCTCGGCGATGATGACATTGGTGTTGGACATGTGCAAGTATCGATCGTACTGTACGCGAGGTTGGTCATTGTCAGATGAGAGATCGGCGGGAAAACGTACCTTGTCGCTCTGGATGAAGCCAATAATTTCCATGCCTGCGAAGGTCTCCAGATTCGTGACATTTTCATCCGTCTGTTCGATAGCAACTGCCGTACGTCCGTACTCGTACCCCTTTGCCAGATCATCTCGTTCCACATCTGTCTTTCCACCCGGAGCATTTGGATCGTTGATTTGATAGGTTCGGGACATCCGTACTGTTGTCAGTGTATCGCCTTCACCCGGAGCCTGACTTCCGGCGGCAGATTCCTGCCCAGCTTCAGTTCCAGAGCGCAACACGAAGGAACTTGCTGAAGGTGGTTTGGCGACGTAGGTACGGAAGTATCGCGCAACGGGTATGCGAATTGCCGTGTCATATTCTTCCGAGTTACCAAGCTGTAGATGCCCCTTGAAAGATGGCATACTCTTGGTCACCTTGATTCGGGGAATGTCTAGTTCTGAGACGGCTTGCTCCAGCGTTCCATACACTCCATCGCAATCTTCAGCGAGTACACGGAGAAGAGCCTCATTTCCAGCCTGTAATATAATGGTCAATACATTTTACAAATGCATAAGAGTCATTCAACTACCTTTGCACTGTCTTTATCTTCTTCCTTGACGCCATACTCGGGGTCGTCGAAATCAGCCCCACTATATAGTATTAGCTCTGCTGTAGTATCACCGGGTAGGAGACATACATGATCACCAGCTCAATGTTTTCTTCTTGAAGTTTTGAAACAATGCTCTTCAGGCCCTCATTGCTCATAGAGCCGGTGCCATTCGTCACCAAGACAATCTTCCGCTTGTATTTCAGCTTCTTGCAGTAGGTGATGATCATCTGCATGGCGATGACAATTGAAGAGATAGCTTTGAAGATATTAGACTTGAAGCTTTAAAGAAATTGACATGCTACATACCATCGCCTCTGTTAGTCCGACTGGGCTTGATTATTTCTCGGAGCCTCCGAATATCAGGCATAAGGACTCTAAGAAGGGCTTAGCAATGCGATTCGACATGAAAGAGACGATTTGTTTAACCATACTGGCCCAAATCTGAAAGAACTGAGATATTATGGTAGTTGGCCTCCTCATCGAGCTCATTGTGAGTTTCTGGTGTTGTATACGTTAGCTTGGACACTTTTAGGGACAGGGTACAACGCACCATCTGTCCTGAGCCCAACCACAGCCAATGTAGCAGTCTTGCGACCGTTAGCCACCTATATTCTCCGGTCAGCAGCTGTAGATAATCTGCCGCAGGTTCCATACCGTGGAGGTGATCCTATCCCAGACATACTGCATGGCCCATTCGAGATCAGTCACGGAGCGGCCATGGTGACGCTCGCCCATGGACTTTCCCATGTCCACAATGTAAACTGTAGCCTCTTTTTCCGCCATGATGAAATGTTGAGAGTTGAAAGAGAATTATTCAAAATCACCCAAAGACAACACAGCGTCCAGGCAGAGTCCAGGCAGACGCGCGATATTTCCACGTTGGGTTTAGACCGAGACGCGAAGGCACATGACATCACCCGTGTTTGTTCTGTTGCGGCCGTGGAATTCAGGCCAACTATCAAGTCTTCCCCTCCAACATCATACTATCAAACTCATATCCTTCCTTAAATATGAATGACCCACGCCCATATCATATCCTGAGGTTTGTTTCCTTCCACATTGAGGGCCTCATCATCTAACAAACAATATAGCTATGGCACCCTTCTGGGAACCCAGTTCTTCCAGGTAAGTCCAAGACTTGACTTGACGCCACATGTCAAAACGTCAAACCTTGTAATAGAAACCTCATCTCATAAGTCAATAGTCTTTTGTCGGAGGCTTTGTTGCTTTCCGCGCCCTGCCGAGGCCCCAGTTCGCCAGTCTGCAGACTGCCATCTTCCCCATCTACTTTTCGCTGCAGACAGCCTTGCCTGTGGTGGTCGCCTTGACCGCCTCTCGCGGCGGACAGACACTGGGACTCTCGGGCTTGACTGCGCCAGAGGACCGCGTTAACACCTTCCTTCCCTTGGCAACCGTGGCAGTGACCGGTTTGGTGAACATGTTCGTTTTGCGTCCCATCACTACCAATGTGATGCGTGAGCGAAAGCACCAGGGTAAGCTTGGCTTTGAGACAATCCGCTTAACATTGTAGCATTATGTTTTATGTTCATGTTCTGACCCCTTGCAGAAACCCGTGATGGTAAGCGTAGCTACGACCCGGCACCTCACTCAAAGGAGATGCTGGCTCTGAACAAGAAGTTCGGTCGTGTGCACGGCATTTCCAGTCTGGTCAACCTAGTCAGCTTTATTGCTACCGTCTACTATGGCGTTGTACTGAGCAAGAGACTTGAGTGATTCATTATCCATGCATGGTCAATAGGGATAAATTGGTCAACTCTGTGGGAGATTTCGTACATATTGCACAATTCTCAAATTTATTTCGTCTTGGATACGAGAGAAGAAGAAAGCCAAAAACTGTGGTTAGTTCTTATACTAAGAAGAACAGCCCAGGTTGGAAAACAATATTGCACCAATATTCCAGCTATCAAAATCTCGCCGCAGAGGTACACTTTCCACAAAAGGATAAAACCATTTGAGGACTACTTCATTTAATTAGATGAGTGAGACCCTCAAAGTGAATTCCAACAAAGTAGCAAATAAGAACAAAATAGAAACTCTGGATATGACCAAATAATACCACCCACATCTCAACACAAGTACAAACTTGGAAAAGCAGCCATTACTTCGACACGAAATTGCCCACCTCAGCAAGCCGTTCAGCATTCTGGTAGAATGGCGGCAATGGTGGCGGGTTCTGACGGAGAACCCAAACCCTGAAATGCCACCAAGCATTCTTCATTTGGTATGAAGCATGCTTGCGAGTTGAGACGGAGAAAACTTGGTCCAGCTCCTCCAAAGTAAGAGCTATGATGACAAATTAGTATACTCAATCTGAAGTGAACGGATCCTGGGGTCTTGCCTTTGGTTTCCGGTACAAACAACAAAACCAAGAACCAGCCTATCACACACCAAGCAGCATACCAGCCAAAAGCGCCCTGTGGCTTGAAAGCCTCGACCAGATGGGGCCAGGTAAATGAGAGAATGAAGTTAAAACACCAAGTAGTCGCCGTCGCCCACGACATACCGACTTCCCGAACATGCAGAGGGAAGGCCTCAGCGGAATAAGTGAAAGGCACAGGTCCCTCGCCAGGCGAGTAGAATACTTCAAAGAGATACATGCCGGTGGTGACCATTGCAACTCTTGCTTTGCTGGAATCGTTATCGGCTTCGATCCAAAAAGAAAACCCAGACCAGAGGAGGAATATAGCCAGGAAAGGAAATGTGAATAGCAACAGATTCCGTCGACCCCATGTATCAATCGTGAAGAAGGCCGGCAGAGCAAATACCCAATTCAAGATACCGGTTCCCATGGAAGCCAATAGTCCGCTGGTCAGACTGTAGCCCGCTTCGGTGAAGATAGAAGTAGAGTAGTAGGCAATGACGTTCACTCCACAGAATTGCTGCATGAACATCACAATCCAGCTAGCCCACGTAGCTCGACGATTACGGGGGACTGTAAATAGCTCCATGAACATCGTGAAGAAATTCTTGCCCTTGTTAACCTTGCGTTCGAGTTCGACACCTGCATGAGCGTAATACAGATCTCTGGCTGCCTGGATATCTGTGGGTCTGAGGATGCGGAAGTTGGTATATGCCTTCTGGATTTTGCCATGCTGGATCAGCCATCTTGGGGACTCAGGGCAAATGTAGACTTGAGCGCAGACAATAAGTGGTAGTACGACGGTCGATCCTAGCATGAGGCGCCAACTGAGATCTGGACTCAGGCTCATGAATGCAACACCCATTATGTTGCCTAGCATGATACCGAAGGCTGTCCACATCTGCCACATCATGACGAGGGCTCCTCTGATTGGAGCCGGTGAGCATTCTGTGGGGGTATTGTGTCAGACGTGTATTGCAAGGGTATTAGATCTAATCAGTGAGACTCACCTGCGGCATACACTGGCACAGTACTTGATTTTGAACCAATGCCCAGTCCGAGAACGAAGCGAGCAATGAAGAGATTGACCCAGGTGTTACAGACACCTTCCCAGATCGAAGCCACAGCTGCAATAAAGCATGAAATGAAGATCGTACCACGCCGGGCGAAGTAGCGGTTTAGAGGCTCGGTAAGCCAGCAACCGATAATTGCGCAAGCTAAGTAGGGGGCGCCGACAACGAGGCCTTGGATGTTTGCCGTAGTGATGTTGAGTTGCTAGGCCATTCTGATCAACTAGAGAAGTTTGAGTGCATACAGAAGCACTTACATCTGGTTTCATGTAGATAGCCTGAGCACCATTGTTGACTGTCTCATCCATACCTTGGACAGCGGCAGCAAGAGAACACATAGCTTGAGGTCGAAAAGTTAGTTCCGTCAATGGGCAGATCTTCAAGACATACAGGCAAGGAAGTAAAGCTGCCATGGCTGTGACCATTTGTGAGTATGTTCACGCTCGAGAGCCACCCTCTCGTCATCTGTCAATTCTGGAAGGCTCGTTGCTTTTGAAGGATCTTGCGATATGAGAGCGCCTTTCTTGAAAGTCTCGAGATGGTCCATCAGGTCGTACCTAAGGCAAAATTCTGCGACATCTTTGAAGAGTTGCTCGCGAGGGATGCCGGCTAGAGGGTTCTCAAATACAGCATTGAGCTGACCACGAGAACGATCCTCCACATCGGGAAGAGGTTCTGTCTTCTCTTCCCTATGTGCATATGTCGGGGTCTCCATGCGCTCGTCCTTCTCCGTAGCCGGATTGACGATCCCTTCTTCCTTCATTATCCAAATTCGAAAGTAAAGTGTTATTGAGTAGTATTGGGATATATGGTATGTTGTGATCTGCTATCGATATTGGAGAGCCAAGTCAGCCTGGAATAGGACATTGCCTAGATAAAAGACTTGCGGATAGGATTTCATACCTTGAGGCCTATTCAAGCTACCAGTCATCCAAAATTTAGGAGAACAACGTGATGAAAGCCTCTAAATCATAGCATGCGGGGATTTGGGGAGGGCATGGACGCTTTTATGGAGCCCATTGAGTCAAAATGTCGCGTTTGCTCCATACACGCTAGTATGCTGGCGTCTTACAGGATTGCAATCTAGCTTCAGACCGGGCTACATCCTATGCGGCATAGGCCGCCTGAAAGTACAGGGGATCTATGTACATGTAACATGGTTGGATTGTCATGGCCGAAGACAGCCAATATGACAGAAATGGCGCCTATTCAATGAAGTTATTGGATCATTGACCTTCCTACCACTGGTAATGTAGCTGCCGGACGAGCCGACGAGTCGACAGGGAAGAGCAGGGTTCTCCAATGGAGAAACGATACATACTCCCCTGTCATCAGACAATTCCTTAATGCGGAGTTGGTAGACCACCACGCGGACGAACACGAATGATCCGAAGCAATCACAAGAGTGTAAAAAACAGGACTTCCAGGCCGCCTTGACACCCCAGACAAGCAAATCAAGCAATAGAAGCAATGCGACTTTAGTACAAGGCGTCCAAGGAATGATCATCACCGGGCGAGCCTATCATGGGGAGAAGTTAGGGCTGAGTACGTCATTATACTTGAATAGTGCGGGGAAATCGACTCGGATCTGTTCAGACATTTCATGAATCCGTTAGATGAAGGACGCCACCGACGGAATGAAATCTTGTCAAAGCACCTTATAATCTACGAAGAGCCGCCGGAGAATAATAAGTGGCTTGCTCCACTGACGCCTCCCGTTAAGGGCCTATGCCTTACAAGGTTATCTGGACCACAAGAAGGGATTCTGGAAGATAAAGTTCAGTAATAAGTGAGATGTTTACATGTCGCCTCTTCTAGTACAGGGGGATCCATGCGGAAACACTTGTAGATAGAAATTGAGGCGCAAACGGGTTATTTACAGCGGCGAACTGGTTGCACAAGCTCACCAGACTGGACGCAAATGATTGCTGATATGTCGCGTGAGGACAGATACGGGTAAATCGCTCAATATATGCAAAGTTAATGCAATCTGCTTGTCAAAGTAATATCTCAATCTCTTTTTAAGGTCCAAGGCTACATGTTTTTCTTGCCCGATAGTCCCCCTGCTACCTCTCCCTAGAGGTAGATATCAAATGAACTAACTACCTGTATGCTAACGTATGCCCCTACATAGTTTGCAATGTTTATCGGGACATGTCTCTTTGAACTTTTGGTTAGTAAAGTGAGTGGCCTGCAAAACTTCTCTCTGAATATCGGACACTTCCACCAGGACTTACTGGTACTCGCTTCCGGGTCATTGTTGACTAACTATTTTTATCCAAAGAAACTGAATATAATTAGACTTCAAAAATCGAAGAACTGCCTGCAGAAATGCGTCCAAACCTTTTCATCCAAATAAACAACTCTTTCATGTGCACAATGACCAAACCTCAAACAAAGACGACAAAGGGGCCTTTAAGGAACAATGCAGCCATGTAGCCAATAAGAATAACCATACATACAACCAGTCTGACAAATACGTGATTAAAGTCTATGCAAGTCGAGACCCGCGGAAGCGCTGCCCATTCACGTTTGCTGTGAACAAAGCCATGTATGTTTATTGTTTTCACCCGATCAACTAATTAGATGCACTGGTATATAAAACCCTCAAACCACCGAGAAAGATGTGGAAACTTCCACCTTTCTCTGAATATCGTGAAAAAAGGTATTTAAATATCAGAGCCACGGAAGCGTTCAATATTTCAATTTGAATCTCGACAAAATGCTCGAATTCTGGCTGCTAGGAGCCATGTTCGCCGGCATGAACGGCCTTGGCTTGTGGCAATCAGTGCCTCTAACTACAATTTCACCTACAAACTCCTACTTCATGCGCGGCATTGGCTCCCTCGAGGTCGTGGGATCAATCTACGGTTTACGCCGACTGCACCCTTACGTCTTCACCGAGGATGATGCCATTTCACCCCAAGACCAACAACTCCGACAACTGGTTGCATTCGAAGAATCTAAACATCAAATGTACAATCTGCACAAAGATGCTGAAGAAAAGTCATTTCATCTTAACACTCGACCTGTGGCATCTCCGACCTCCTGCCCACTTGTCACAACCGCCTCAAATCAAATGACAGACTATCTGCTGCAGGAACTTTTGAAAAAGTTCGATTCAACCCAGATGTCCGACTTCTTATTGGAAAGAATCCTAGAGAAGGCCGAAAGGGAAGCTGCCCTCACCAAACGAACAACTGAACGTTACTTCTCTCTTGCCACCATTGCATTTGTCTTCCTCGTCGCGGGGCTCTTCTCTGTGCTGCTAAACACAGCCCAGCTTAAGAAATATCTTATGGATACGAAGCTGGTCCTGGGTGAAGGGCTTTACAAATCAATCAACAGTGACTTTCAGAGACTTCACAGGCTCCTGGAAAGTACCATCCTTGCAGTATGCGAACAACTTCAGATAGACATAGGAACTTTCCGAACAGAGCTCGCCCATGTAAAGGATATCTTTGGTGCTTTTGCGTTTCAATGGGAGGAACAATTCAAATCCGTTACTCAAGTTATAGAAAACAACCAGAGGAAAAACAAACAGGTCCTTGACCAAAGACTCGAGAAGATTGTCCATGACACGGAAAATCTTATCAAAAAGGTTTCTCAGATCCTGCGAGAGATGCAATTCATGAATGATGCGGTGCAAAATGCCACAGGAGGCTCGAATGGATACGCGGTCTCGTCTGACACAGCGGATTCAAGTGTTCAAGAACCCTGAGTATAGCTTCCTAGTGTTTATTGAAATAGACTCCTATAAGATTGCTGCTATCCTGATCCTCTCACGCGAATTTGCGTAATGGGTAAGCAAAGAAAGAATATGGAGGGAAGGATAAATCTTAGATCTATGGTGAATAAGTACACTGGGTTGAATGCGTTGTTTAATACTCAAGTTAGTGCTTCTATACCAGTATATAATGTTTTTTTATCAGATAGAACCGCTAACAACAAATTTACGCGTCCGCACTTTGTCAAGTTTGCATGCGGCAGCTCCTTACGTCCAGCAAAGAAACATCCGAGGAGACGAGGTAGTACATTGTTGGTATCATTTGAAGCAATTAAGATAAATCATCAGTTTTGAAGGTCATGATGCAGCCTCTTCAACAAGGTATTTCCGGCAGGCAAACTTGAGCATGTTGATACGCCTTTGGGTATGAATGAAAACTTCCCGGTACATATCGAGACTCTGTTGCACGACCTCCTGTCGTGTTTTGGTACCTGAGCAGATCTCAAGCATCCGCAATTCCATCTCTTTGCGAAGGAACGGCTTGCTAAGAGATACACTGTTTGGGAGGCCCGTGACAACGTTATCATACCCCTCCACGAGGGCAATGCCCAAACGGGTTGGAATAAGTTCTTGCACTGAGGTGCGGCCATTGCCTCGTTGATTTGTGGCGACGTATTCACGTTCTTTGATCTTGGCAATATGTTCTGCCATCGTAGCATCCGTACCAATTCCATTGGCATCCATCAGACCAATGAGTTCAGGTTCAGTAAGATAGTTCGGTGCAGTAGTCTTGCCTTCAAAGATGTTGGCTTCTGTTGGCTCAAAGAGCTCGCCCATCTCAAACTTTGGAAGCTGCTGGCTGCTCTCCCACTTGTCGTAGACATATACATCCAAATAATTTCTCTCCAGCACCATCAGACCATTGGCGTGGAACATTTCCTCTCCATATTGGATCTCAATCTCTGTACTCTGGCCCTTGGCATCGTCAGAGCAACAGGCAAGGAATCGACGGACTACAAATTCGTAGACCTTCTTTTCATTGGCGTTTAGTTGATTTGGTGAGACCCAGCTCACTGGGTGGATTGGCGGATGAGCCTTATCATTGTGACGACCCCAGCGAGGAGTCCTGAATTTGCTATCAATGAGACTGTGTCGTATTATTAACCATGAACAGATCAAGTAGCATACGAACTGCTTACTCTCTAGCGTATTGCCCCCACGAGTTGTCAGGATATTGCTTCTCAATCAACTTCTTGAGGTCAATCGCTTGGTCAAACTGGTCTGTTTCAGTTCTGGGATAGCTGATGTATCCCTTGGTGTACAGCGCTTCCGCTACCTGTTGAGCCTGTCAGCGACCTGGTCTTCAGTCTTGATAGGATTTAGCACACCTTCATAATAGTTTGACTGTCCAACCGAAGGAAACGAGAGCCCATCATCTGTAGGTCGACGGTTGTCAAGGGAAGTGGTCGCCATTTGCTTGTAGGCTTCTGATTCACCTTTGTGACTTTGGCTTGTTTTGCAATCAAACAACGTTCCAGCATCATTGTCACAACTGCTCGATCAAATAGATGCACGCGCTTCCAGAGGAAGTTGACCTTCTTATCTTCGCGGGACAAAATGACTTTGATGCCCCAAAACGTCTCCGGTTTGAAGTTTTGCACTCTCAAGTATCGGTCAACAACAAACCCCAACGTAGGAAATTGACAAGATCCTGTACAGATTTAGCTACGCTCATGTGGTCAGGAATTCAAGAACAAATTACCGTAGCTGATAACCTTGTCTTTCAAAGCAGTTACTACTGCCTGTAACTGCAGTGTCTGGAGACGTGTGAATGCCGCACCAATTCGAAGGTCAAGCTCGATTCTAGCAGCTACAGCATTTGCCTGATAGTCATCAAGATTAACTGGTTGCAGAGCAGCCCGACGCACATGGCTACCGAGAGATCAGTATTGAGCTTGGAAAACGCCAATGTTCTCACTTACGCGCTTTCCGTGTTACTGAACTTGGCTCTCTTGATCTCAATACGAGCGTTGCCTTTTATGGCTTGGGTACGGACTTCAGAACCGATGTGTTCCCCTTCGCGATCACAATCGGTCCAGATGAACAGTGCCTTGGAGTACTTGGCTTGGTTGCGGATGTTTTCCGCGATTGGCAGCTTGTCCTACTGGAGACATTAGCCCTGCTCAACCGAAGCAGCCCGACATATCTTACCTTGTCAACATCCTCATGTACAGGGGCCTCAAAAAGGGACCCTGGAGGACAGGAAAGCCAACCTTTGTACTGGCGGTCAAAGTCCAGGCCAGTAAGGTGGCCTATCACACTGGTCATGGTGACCGAGCAGTTGCCCCAAGCACCGCCAAAGTTGAAATCAAACTCGTAGTTTTTTACATATTGATTCCCACGGATTGGATGCTGTCCTTGATCTTAGCCTCTACTCGCTTGAAATCTTGAGGATACTCACTGTCTGGAAAGAACCACCCGAAAGATGTGTGGCCACTGCACGAGCAATCGCAGGCTTCTCTGCCACGCAGAGGATTTTGCGAGCCATGATGAGCCCGAAAGATCACATGAAGTTCATACTGAAGTTGTCTCTTCGTGGAAAGACGCGCGTGGAGGCCTGAGGCAACTAAACCTATGTAAGCAAAGGCGATCCTGAGCTAATCCCGATGAGGTAATCCAAACATAACTCCCCCCATCTTTCTTCTCTGTTTGTTTGCCTCTCTGTTCCGGTATTCTTATATTCTTAGACATGGCATCTTTACCACTTCCCCGAGTGGAGTCCCTCGTGGACTATACTTCCTTTCAGCTCACAGTTCTGCCTTACCTCGAACAGCTGCGATACCTTCCCGACAGCTTGCGCGAAGCTGGCCGGGATGTCGATAACCTGAAAGCTGTCTACCTCGCCACCAACCCTCTGGTCTCCGCGGTTGCTTTCGGTGGAGTTCTCGCAGCTTTGTTCTTCATCGCCGCCGAGATCAACCGAAACTATTCGCAGGTGGACCGGTTTTGGAGCATTCTCCCCGCGTTGTACAACGTGCATTTCGCCATTTGGGCTCGTTTGTCGGGCATCCAAACGACAACCCTGGATACGATCGCCATCATCAGCGTGGTCTGGAGTGTAAGCAGGCTTTTCAGTCTTGTATTGGTATGCGCTAACCCGAAGGTTACGATAGGCTCGCTTGACTTTCAACTACTGGCGCAAAGGAGGATACTCGATTGGCTCGGAGGACTACCGCTGGCAGATCGTGCGCTCCAGAGTGAACAACAGCTTCCTGTTCATGATCTTCAACTTCAGCTTCATTGCTGTGGCCCAGTCGCTGTTGCTTTTCCTCATTACTGCTCCCACCTACATCTTTGTCCTGAAGGCGTACAACGAGACCGGCGAGACCTTCAGCCTCACCGACCTGGCATTCTCCCGTGCCGCATTCTTCTTCATTGTCATTGAATTTTTCGCCGACCAGCAGCAGTGGAACTTCCAGACTGCCAAGCAGGAGTACCAGACCAACGCGCGCATCCCCGGTGAATACAAGGGCCAGTTCGACGCCGAGGATCTCGAGCGGGGCTTTGTTGTCAACGGTCTCTGGTCTTGGTCCCGTCACCCCAACTTTGTCGCCGAGCAAGCCGTTTGGGTGACCCTGTACGCTTGGTCTTGCTACAACACTAAGACCTACTTCCACTGGGCCGCTCTGGGTGTCCTAGGCTACCTTGCCATTTTCCAGGGAAGCACCCGTCTCACTGAAACTATCAGCGCCAGCAAGTATCCCGAGTACAAGGACTACCAAGCCCGCGTTGGTCGCTTCCTTCCTCGCTTCTCTGTTGAGGCGAAGAAGACCAAGCGTGCCAGCAAGAAGGACGAGTAAATTGAGACTTGGATAGTATACAAGTCGAAGGCGGAGCGGAGCGTGTATTTTGAATGGCGGTTTCTGATCTTAAATTTAATTTTTCCTTTAACCATTATTGGAATATTGCTGAATACAATATCTTTTCAATTTGTTCAAACCAGACAGAGCGTTTTACGGTAAGGTCGCACGATATAACCAATATCAACAGACTGAGTTGATTACAATTTAGGACACAGCCGAAGCTACGACGAAGAAGGAAAGATATCAAGGTAAGACAGGCTTAAACAAAACTCCCTATTATACACTCAGTACTGTAGTACCTATCTAGATGAACACGGAGATGAGGGTTCAACAAACGAAGAAAAAAAAAGAAAGAGATCATATTCAGCGCGATTGGGCGGTAGGGAGATGTGTGTTATGGGAGAGGGTAGAGAAAGAGAGAAGATGATGAGAGGGGAGAAGAAAGGAGGATGCAATCCATAAATACAAAAAAAGAAGAGGCTACAGTGATATCATTCCTCCCAGAAAACACGAAGCAAACCAAAGCACAGGAAATGCACGGAAACGACTATCTCCCTTGTTATGCAGGAGGGAGAGGAGACTCGTCCCGGCCATCCTTACCAGAAGTTTGTTCGGGGCTCAGGTTGTCGGGGGGAGCGATGGTCGCACCACCCTTACCATCGAAGTACTTGGCGAACTCACCAGACTCGGGGTAAGGGCGGGGGCCAAGAAGACGGATAAGGTCGTCACGACCAAGGACCTCCTTGGACAGGAGCTCCTCGGCAACGATGCCTACCTCAGCCTTCTTTTCGGTCAAGAGCTTGAGGCACTGCTTGTGTGCCTCGTCGACAATGCGGCGCACCTCGAGGTCAATTGTGCGGGCGGTGTCCTCGGAGAAGGGCTTGTGGAGTTGCTGCTGGGCATCCTCCTCGTAGTAGATGTAGCCCAACTTGGAGGACATACCGAACTTGGTCACCATTGCGGTGGCCATGCGAGTAACCTTGTTGAAGTCATCACTGGCACCGCTGGTCACGGTGTCGAAGTGCAGCTCCTCGCTGACACGACCACCCAGAGTCATAGCCATACGGTCCATCATCTGGTTGACATTCATGAGGTAGGTGTCACCACCCGCAGGGAGGTACTGGGCGTAACCCAATGCACCTTGGCCACGGGGAATAATAGACACCTTGAGCAGGGGATCGGCCCACTTGAAGTACCAGCCACAGATGGCATGGCCAGCCTCGTGGTAAGCAACCGTACGCTTCTCCTCGGGAGAAAGCACAAGCGACTTCTTCTCCAACCCACCAATGACACGCTCAATGGCTTGCTCGAAGTGTCTCATAACGACCTTGTCTGCGTTTTCGCGGGCAGCTAGAAAGGGTGTTAGCGTTATATGAATTTAGGGTGTGGGGAGTTATGGCTTACCAACGAGAGCTGCTTCGTTAACACAGTTGGCGATATCAGCACCAGCGAAACCAGGAGTGAGAGCGGCGAGTCTGCCTTCTAGGTAGGTCAGGTTCTCGTCGGTGACAATCTTCTGCAAGTAAACACGGAAGATCTGCTTACGGCCGTCCATAGTAGGGCGGTCGATGGAGATGTGTCGGTCAAAACGTCCAGGACGCATCAAGGCCTTGTCAAGAACATCCGGTCGGTTGGTACCGGCCAGAACAACCACTTGCTCGGAGGTATTGAAGCCATCCATTTCAGTGAGGATCTGGTTGAGAGTGCTTTCACGCTCATCGTTTCCACCACCAACATTGGACTTGGCTCGGGACTTTCCAATGGCATCGATTTCATCAATGAAAATAATACAGGGAGTGTTCTTGCGGGCGTTGGCGAAGAGATCACGGACACGAGATGGACCGACACCGACGAACATCTCGACGAACTCGGAACCACTGACACTATAGAAGGGAACACCAGATTCACCGGCAGTAGCCTTGGCAAGCAGGGTCTTACCAGTACCGGGAGGACCAGAGAGAATAGCACCGCGGGGGATCTTGGCACCCAGCTTCTTGAACCGGTCTGGCTGCTGGAGGAAGCTGACGAATTCCATAATCTCAACCTTGGCTTCATCCATACCCGCGACATCGGCGAATTTGATCTTGATATCGGTCTCGTGGTTGAAGCGCTTGGCACGACTCTTGCCAATGCCGAAGATTCCACTTTGGCCGCCACCACCACCGCCAGCACGTCGCGACATCCAGAAGATACCACCAAGGAACAGAAGGGTAGGAGCCAGAGACATCAAAACGCCGCCCCACGGTGTCTCGTCGTGGTAAGCGACAGGAATGCGCTCATCCGAGGGAATGTCCAATTCATATTGAGCAGCCTCGAGCTTCATCTCAAAGCTATCCACGGAACCGATACTGAAGTAGACATAGGAGACGGGCTGGCCATTGGCGTCGGTGGCGTTGGCCGCAGCTTCGCGGTTGAGATCAACCCGAACCTTGTTGCGATTCAAGACGGTCAATCTATCCACAAGGCCCTTTTCGAGGTAGTTTGCCCGGAATTCCTGCCAGGTGATTTCCCGGCCACTGCTTTCGCCGGGGAAGAAGCTGCGGTAGATGTAGTATGTGACGAGAGAGGTGACCAAGAACGAGGCAGGATCGAAACGGAACTCAAGGACCTTGCCCATATTAGGAGGCATCTTGCCCTTCTTGTCGTCCTGTTTCTTCTGTTCCTGCTTCTTCTGCTCCTCCTTCTTGGGGTCCTTGTCATCCTTCTTAGGGTCGTTTTCCGGTTCGTGTTTGGAAGGCTCGTCTCCCTTATTTTCGACGTGCTGTTGCGATTCTTTTCCGGGTTGCTTTTGTTCCTTCGTATGTGGGCTGTCTTTAAACATGTTGACAATGTCTTCGTGTGAGATCCCATCAGAGGATTTGCCGGCTTGCATTGCCTGCTCAGTTGTGTTGTTCCATAACCAACGAGTCAACCTGATACGGTCCATCAAAGTGGGTGTCTGGCTCGGGTCGATCCACGGCTTAACTTCAGGCGGCACGCCGTTCTTCGTCATCATTGCTCGGAGATGGGCACGGTGCTCGGGCGAGGAGTTGACAAAATCGAGGAAGTCGTTCACTTGCTTCTCTTCAGCCTCGCTGAGGCGGGAAACAGGCTTGGAGCCATTGTCTCCCGGTGTGTTGTTCCGGTTCTTCTCATCGGGTGTCGGGCCACCGGGGCTCTGCGTGGAGTAGGTCCTGGCGCGGCTCGATAGGATAATGGATGAAAGTCTCGGCGGTTGCACACGCAAGGATACGTATCCTGTACGACTAGTGTATTCTGCGGCTTTCCTCGAGAAGCGAGCAAGATTGCCTGGCCGTCGGAGTAAAGCGGCCATGGTCGAGGGAAGGGAGCCCCGAGGGCTGCGAGGGTGGGGGTAAAGGGTGATCAATCGAATTTAAAATCGATGGATGAGTACACAATCCATCAATATCAGGCGGTGGAGCAGGAATTGAGCTGGGGGGTGTGAAGCTCTGGAGTAGGTCCGAGGTGACGCCCGTGTGGTTCCAGCTTCGGCTCCAAATTTTCGCCGATCCGGCTGAGTCATGAGATATTGGAAGCACATGGAATTTAGCTTAACCCCGAGTTAACGGCGAACTATGGAGGTAATTATATGAATTTTGAGAATATAGGATATCAGTCGATTGGAGACCTTTCTGTACAAATTCTTGAGGATAGTCCACCCTTGCGCCATTCGCTGCGTAATGGAAACCACCATAGAGATAGGTTCAAAACAAAGATGCGTTTCAGTATACATGAGGAGGAGAGATATTGAGGGGAGATAACAACGTAACTAATGATCCCAGTCTCATGAACTCCATATAAGAATAATAAAATTTATTGGGTCATCACTGTCCAGGTGGGGGACCGCCAGGGCCAATACCCGCTTCAAACGGAGGGAAGTTTGTCGACATGTCGGCCCAATCCCATTCAATTGTCATGGGCATCTGCCAGAGATCCTGTGGGACAAATGGCTGTTGGAATGGCGCCATTCCTGGGCTAGCAGTTCCAAATGAAGGTTGATCTGAGAACCCAACACCACCCATTTGATCAGGACTTAATATGTCTGAAAATTCTTGGCCCATGCCCGGCATGGAATGAATATTACTTGGGAGATCAGGTGAAATGCCACTTGTTGGCATTGGGGCTCCGAGATATGGTTTAGATCCACCAGGCGAGGGAGCCGTAGGCTTGGTGAACACAGAAGGCGAGAAACCTGCGGAGTTGGATGCACCTTGTGTGCGTTTGGCAGACGGCGAAGTTGCAGACTGTTCTTCGGACCCATCCTGTCCTGTGGACTCTTCTGGCGCATTCTTGCGCTTCTTCCTCGATTGAGACTCTTTTTCGGATTTGTCCAGGACGACCTTGGCGATCCTTTCGAATTCGCCACATAGACCAAGCATACGCTTGATGCTGCCATTTGATTCGTCGGAGACCAAGGTCGACAAAAAGTTGACAACCACGTTCATTAGTTTAACATCGGAACGAGCACGGGCATCAGTGGGGTTCTGGAGAATATTGGCGAAAAGGGTAACGAGTGCAGATACGGGGTAGTAGAGAATCAACCTGATATTATAGTTAGCACGACGTAGAATCAGCACTGCTGAGTCGACACCTACCAAACACAAGCGAAATCTCCTTGTGGGATATACTTGATCAGATTGATCGATGCTCTGGCAGCTGTGACACACAGCACAGCCGAGAGGAAGACTCTTGGGTTCAAGGGTCGTGCATTCAGTCCTTGGATGGCATAGTTGGACAGGCGACTAGTCCAATAACCGTGATGTACCGACATCCGGTGGATTGTAGTCAGACAATTGTAGTAAGCGAAGTGGAGAACGACGATGTGGATGATGAGAGGAGTATGTGTGGCTTGGATTTCATTTTCAGGTCGGAAGTCGATAGGGATGCTGTCTTTCCAGTCTTCCAGCTCTTTGTCGAGATCGCCAATGGTATTAAGTAATTCGCCATCGGATTGCTTCGACGCTTTAGCGGAATAGAGTCGCTTGTATACTCTGCTTTCGATGGTTGCAAATTCGCACATTGACCGGAATAGATTAAACTTGCTTCTACCATCAGCTAGAGGTACGTTGCCAACGTTGTCTGGTGGGTCTTCGCTCGGCAGGTCCACATTCATGTCATCGTCGTCTTGTACTGGTGGTCTACCAGAGCGCAGACAGATGCTACGGGTATGTTAGCATAAATCAAGGAACGTTTGCCAGAAGTTCTTACTCTTTATCGAGAAGGTAAGCAATCCAAAAGACTCTCTTCCGCTGCTCAACCTCGACCGGGTTGAGACCAAAGCCAGAGCCGCGTTTATGCAGACCAATGCTGTGAGAAAGACGAATAGCTGCTGCAACTAGGAAGAAAGCAGGTTGCGGGTTAGGAGTGCCCTGAAGGAAGAGTGACTATAATTAAGTTAGATAGGATTATATCTCAATACCAGACTAGCCAACTTACCATTCCCAGTAGCGCTTGCACGCTTAGTAGATCGGTGTTGCGCATTGTGAGTTCGGTCAAAACACCCATGGCATTCTTCAGGTACAGCCACGCCTTTTTATCTTCTTCGTGTGGCACAAGGTTGCTCATGACACGAAGACGATGAGAGATCGCCAGGACGACATTGATACTCGCCCACCAACCCGAGCCTTCGTAAGGATCACGCGAGTATTGCCGTTCCACCAGATGCATAAAGGTGGCTTCGTGGAATAGGGGGAACAAGCAGTTGAAGTTCTCGAAGAAGTCTTTGAACAATGAAAGAGCTTCATCTTTTGGTGGAAGGGGTTTGAAGACGCGTCTTGCGAAGATGTCGCTGAAGATTTCGGGTTTCCAGTACATCCACTTGTTGTCATCGACGTATGCTGATGAGATCATGTCCTGAAAAGAAGTATCACCGGTCTTTTCATTGACCCATTGAATACCCTTTGGGGAGAAAATAGAAAAGCCTGATGAAGATCCTGTGATATATCACATCAACATAACACCCCTCAAGCTCAACCGGTGATTATGAACCTACCGATATAACGAGTCTCTCCACAGTTGTTCGTCACTAACGAGCACATCATATCCGACAATGCCTCGACTTCTGTTTCTGACTTTGGCGAATCGGGAGATGTGGCGGCCGTCTGCGGGCTAGAGTGTGAATCCATGCGAGGCGTAGATTGGTGGGAACCTGGGCCCTGCTGCGGTGTTCCCTGGGACGCTTGAGGTGCTTGAGCCATGTACTTGTTTGAACTCTTCGCCGCATTCAAAGCATTCGTTCGATCGGCCAAACGTTTCTCTAGAGTGCCGAGGTCCGTCTTGCCGCCATCTTCATCCGACAGAAGACCCGACAAGCGCAATAGTGACTCCATGCGACCAAGTCGGTTCTCTAGACCTTCGATGTATTTCGCCCTGGCAGGGTCAGAATCTGTTCGTTATATACACAGCAGTATACATACCCTTTGGGAGGATTCCGCTTCTTCTCGACTTGTGTGAAAATGCATTCCGTCTTGTAGTTGATGCAGTGGGAGCACTTGGGCATTTTGCCGTCGCATTTGATCTTCTTCTTTCGACACATATCGCATGCCTGCATTTAGTCCTCCATCAGTGATGCCCCCAATTCCCATAGACAGGTCTGGTCCTCACCCTAGCGATCCTCCGTCTTTTCGCATCATTGGTTTCATCCCCCGCGGTCAATGACGAATCATCGGGATACATGGGCCCCGCCTGCATCTGAGAATTGTCGTAGCCTCCGAAGAGCTGCTGCTGCTGATTTGGCAGTATCTGCCTCATGTCGAAGCCCATGCCGTCGCCTTCTCCCAGGCCGTCCATTTTGTGTGTGAGGGGCAACTCCGAGGAGTAGAGGCGACAGCGGTGTCAAGTGAACGGGCGGTACTTCGGAATGCGCTTGCGTCTCGAATAGCTTATACGACGAACGGCGAAAGCCCTGCAATTATGGAGGCAGAGGGCGCATTCAGAGGCGTCAGAGTCTTTGCTCTCAATGAAACGCTGAAACTTTAGGTAAGAAATGAGTCAACCACACGCAGAAACGAATACGAGCAGAAGTGAATATACCACAGACCAAAGATCGAGCTCTGGTTGCCTGAAGGTTTAGTGGCATCATAGACGGGTATCCTAAAATCCGATCGCCGAGCCGGTCACTGGCGGTCCATTTCGTCCGAACCGGACAGGGGGGAGGGGCTTCCGTACTCGTTTTACACGCCGATCCAAGCAGATTAGATCTCATTCTATTGGCATAAATTGCGCATGTCTTACACTGTTCATTTTCGATTTTGGGCTTGGGCTGTATTCGCGGGGTACCCCGTCTCCAAAGCAATGCAGCCCTGGAACCATGGGGACCTACGTATCATACATGTACAGAATGGGATGTGACTTCGCAGCGTCTGTCCCGCGTGCTTGTGTTCAATCAGCAGGGATCGACAACATGGCGGAGAGGCACGCGGTGAGTGATGCCGGCGATTCCCGATTCCCAAGGGAGGATTGATAGTAGATAAAAGTACATTCAACGAAGAGTGGCGATCTCGTGAGGATATGGAAAACAAAGTGCATATAATACAACAAAGTTGCAGGATCATATCTGTTCCTGCGACCTCGTAAATGCCAAAACCAACGCCACGCTATGCGCCCAAAATTCACTATTCCTTCATCGGCAGGGCTGGTTATCGAGGAAAGGTCGTATACAGAGAGTCTCAGGTGTGCTTGTCGAGGAATTCCTTCGCTTCGTTGATCTTGGTGGCCAAGTATGGGCTACCGCCGCGATCGGGGTGGTTGAGCAACATGAGCTGACGGTGGTTCTTGCGCACCTTGTCCTTGGTCAAGGTTCGTTCACTTGTATCCAGTCAGTTGTGATGCATTAGAAGTCGATAGGGTCTGGGGGACATACGCAAGTTGAAGGATCAGGGAGGCTTCCCGACGGGTCATGCGCTGCTCGAATCCTCTGTTCACGCCGTGAGCTGATATCCATTATGCTATGTTTGAGATAAATTGTTCACTTACCCCTTGTAAAATGCCTTTCCGGCAGCGTTAACACCTCCAGCGGAGCGACGGTAGGCGACCAGACCGGCACGGCCCTGTAAACATGTCAGTTTGGTAATACCGAAATGCGTTCTGTCATACTCACGAGGAAAGCCGCAACGCCGACACCGAGACCAATAGTGAGAACGGAGGCCATTATGGAGATTGACAGTGATGGAGGTGAGTCGATGCTTGGACGGGGAAAGGTGAAGGCGCCGCGGGATAGAAAAGTCAGCGCTCGAACCCCAAAAGGGGTTTAGCGTTGTCTGCTCCACCATTCAGGCCCAGCTTCAAAAAAAGTTTCTTGCGACTCAACAAAGCCATAACCAACACCATCCACAGCCATGCGGTATGTTTTATCTCATTTTCTATAGTTTTATCCTACTGACTCTTCTGTTTCTAGTGTTGAAACCTGCCACTTCTGTTCCCGCCCGGCTTTCCCAAGCAAAGGCATCACATTCGTCCGCAACGATGCCCGGCAATTCCGTTTCTGTCGGTCTAAGTGCCACAAGAACTTCAAGATGAAGCGTCAACCCCGCAAGCTGAAGTGGACCAAGACTCACCGTGCTGCTCGCGGAAAGGAGATGATCGTGGACTCGTCGCTCGTCCTCTCACAGTTCGCCAAGAAGAGAAACGTCCCCGTCAAGTACGACCGCAACCTGGTGGCCGCCACCATTACCGCTATGGAGAGAGTGGAGGAGATCAGAGCCCGCCGCGAGCGTGTCTTCACGAAACGCCGCCTGGCCGGAAAGCTTGCCCGCGACCGCAAGCGCGAGGAGGACCGCAAGGTTGTTGCCACTGGCGAGCACCTCATCCGCAAGGAACTCCGGGAGCGCGAGGAGGGTCAGCCCATGGTGGCCGAGCAGAGCAAGACTGCCAACAGAGTCCACGGCGAGGAGAGACTCCGCCAAAAGCAGAAGAGCAAGCTCTTGGTGGATGGTGGTGTCGAGGAGGAGATGGATATCGACTAAATCCGATCTCAGGCATTTCCTCTTTTCTTTTTTCCTTTTGTTTTCATGCTTCTTCAGATACGACACGGTTCCTGCAGCTTGCAGTTTTTCGGAGTTGGGCATGCTTTCATGGTGTTTTAAAAGCAATCAATGTTTTTCATCATATCTCATATCCAGTGGGCTGTTAGCTTCTTGTGGCTAACAGAATATTTTTTTGCAATTACCCAAAATGTTACATAGAATTTTGCTAGTCCGTATAGTGACTAGACTGGTCACGACTACAATGAGATCTTTGGAGAATGAATAAGAAATTGTAATTCTAAAACAGTGGTCATCAATTTGTTCACAGTGCTATGAAGTGTTAGACGAATTCTTTACAAAATCCTCAAACTGAGGGTATACCATTTCAGGCATTCTTTCCGCCCTACTTTGGCCTCTTTTTTCCACCTCTTCTTTGCCCATTTCCAAAGCGCCTCGGATGAGCCGTTCAGATCGTATGACCGTAGGGGTGTGAAAGGACTTATAGGCCACTGTTATATACTCAGGAGACTAGCACAGACAATCACCGCCTGAATTCTTAGGCTTCCAACTGATCCTTTCAGAATTGTTTCTGTTGTTGACTTTCTGGTGCAGAATCTCTACGGCCCTACGGAATTGACGGCGAAATTGGGCAGCCTCGAGGCCAAAAAAGCCTTTCCATCCGTTCTTTGGTACAGCGAACCGACCCTTGACTTAGACTAATACTCGGTTTCATTCTTCGGTCAAATTTGAACTAAACTAGAATACTTTCGCAGCCCTCTGGCTTCTCCCCGGAGTCCGAACCTGAGACAGGAAACACAACAACAAATACACTTGGACATAGAATAATTGCTCTTGGTGAAGCACCAATATCCTATCAAATTACTACACATAATCCCAAAATATATCTACAAAATTCCTAAATAAGCCATACTTAATCAACGTACTACCACTGCCTTTGGCTGCTGATATATGAAGTGCCCAGCTCGATCTGACACACCTTTCTTCAACCGCACCTGCAAGGTTCTTCAAGATTCTGAAGCAGGCGCATCATTCTTCTTGATCGTCCTCCATTCCATCGTAAGTGCCGGGATGATCATCAAGCAAGAAACCGCTACACTAACAATGAATGACCGTCGGAGACCATCGTTGTACACAACTAGAACATCATGCATCTTGTTAGCCGGTACTGCATTGACGAAGCCAGTTGCGCCAGCCTCTAGGGTTTTAGACAAATCGATTCCCTGGACATGGGGCAATTCTGCGCGAAGGAAATTCTGGAAGAGCGATTGCGAAACCGCAATGAAGACCGCACCACCGAGCGACTGAGCAAAAAACATCAGCGAGACACCAATCGCGACCTCTCCCATGGGGAGGATAGTTTGTGCCGCTAGAGATGGCTGCTGCATTCCACTGCCGATGCCAATACCAAAGAGTACCTGGTATCCAATCCAGGCAGCGTGGTTTGTATCAAGCTTAAAGGTCGTCATCAACCCAGCGCCAGTCGACATGAGAATTGTCGCGACAAACATCGATGGGACATAGTATCCCGCTCTGGTGATGATTGCACCGGAGAGAATGGATCCAACTACCAGTGCGAGCACCATAGGGATCGTGTCGATCCCAGATTTCACGGCACTGGTGCCGCGGACTCCCTGGAACCACAGCGGTAGGGTGTATAGCATAGATATGAGCCCACCACCAACACACAAAGCGAATACAACCCCGCTAGTAATGCTGCGCTGGTTGAAGATGTGCGGAGGCACAGTTGCATCCGTCTTGAGCCAGATCTGCACGCCGACAAAGGCGAACATAAGGACCCCCGATATCACAAACAGCGCAATGATGCGTCCATTCGTCCAGGCATAAGCCGTGCCACCCCATTGCAGGGCAAGCATGAAGCAGATCACCGCGGGAAGGAACAATACGCTCCCTAGTGGGTCCAGGCGGAGGATCTGCCGCTTCCATGTATCAGTGGAGGTATCGCGTGGGGGTGGGATCAGTAGGAACAGGAAAAGCACAACCATAGTGAATCCGCCGATTGGAAGATTGATGTAGAAGCACCAACGCCATGTAACGTTGTCTGTGAAGGCACCACCGAGCAAGGGTCCAATAATTGACGAGATGCCGAATATTGAGCCCATTAGCCCGACGTACATTGGCCGTTTGGCCAGTGGCACGATCTGTGCGATGATCACTGTCGCGCCAGAGAAGATGCCTGCTGAGCCAATTCCTGCTATCGCTCTTCCCACGATGAATGCATTGGAGTTGGGGGCACCGCCGCAGAGCGCCGATCCGACTTCGAAGATCAGGATCGCAACAAGAAAGATGTTCTTAGTGGAGTAATAAGTGTATACTTTGCCCCAGGATAGCTGGGTGGCACAACTTGTCAAGAGATAGGCGCTGGCGTACCAGCTGATATCGTCGAGAGCGTTGAATTGGTTGGAGATTTCTGGTACTGCAGTGGCGATGATAGTGCGATCCTAGTCCGAAAGATTCGTTAGTATAGTTGCGTTAACAACAGTGAACTCATGAAACTCATACCAATGCGACCAGAAACATAGCAAGCAGGATCGAAACGATGATGACTGCGAGCTTGATCCCTTTTGGAAACTGACTATCGTCTTCTTTGGCCTCCGAAGGCTTTTCTTCATCAACTGAGGGCTTTTCAGAATCAACAGAGGATCTCTCATGGCCAACTGAGGATTTCTCATTATCCATTGAGGTACTGTCCGGCTGGTCCAACCGTTTCTCATCTATTGAATGAGCCATGGCCAAGAATGATAGTTAAACAATGTATGTGAATTATTGAGTGTTGTGCGATAAACTAGTGAATATAATTTGAGATGTACAGGAAAAGGACTATAAATACTCAGTAATATTTACTAGGACGCGTTGGGATGAAGTTCATCTCGGCGCCGAAACCAACAAAGAATCCCAATTCATTGCGAGACAGACGGGACCGAAGGTAGCGCCGACGCACCCACGGGTCCGAGACATACAGTACACCCACCCCCTGTGACCAGACCTCACCATATACGTCCACAAACTCTCCAAGGACGTCCACGGTATCCTCCCTCTGTCTGAATTGTATTGGCAGCTATTCGAAACCCGAGTCCCGCTGGAAGCAAGCTTAAACAATACAACGCGCTTTGGCCCTTCTTCTCGTCTGCTCTCTGAAAGTTATCGATTGCAACAAATAATATGGGCACCATGTTAAATTCAAGCTCCCGTGTTACTCGGGGCCATTCCTGTTACTTCTGCCAACAACGAAAAGTGCGCTGTGATGGCCACCGACCATGCTCAACATGTCTACGGATCGAAATTAAAGGGCCGAAAAAGCAAAACTTCTGGAGCTATTGAGGCTGCAGACTACTTGGCTCGGAGACTCGAGCTTTGTGAGTGGCACAATTGTGCGGCGTGGTCGTGAGTGCGCTCTCATACCATTTCTGTGAGCGTCCGCGCAACGTGAGCGACAATGACCTGTCACTCTCAATGCGAAAGCCACCCCAGGATCGGCCCGGTGCTACCAAGATGCTGTTCTGTAAGATCCGATCCGAGATCGGCGATTGCATGGGTAGCTTGAAGGCTATGGAGCATCTGTCAGAAGACGGTACTATGGCCGAAAGGATAATTGCCGAAGAGCGCGCCATTGATACTCTCGAGAGCAGACTGGAAGACGCTTATCTGAAGGACTGTGACAGGTCGATCCCTCCCCACCAATTGGCCTTGTATATGGCACGATCTTCCGTCTGCCAGATGCGTCTGGCAGCCCGACATTCCCGTCGATGTACGCATCTCTCGTCGGATGATAGGGACCAGCTGTTCTCCCTTGGCCTTCAGGTACTCACGTACTATAATTTGACCTATGCGAACTATGATCTTCAGCCGTATATCTGGCGCGTTGAAATGAGTTTCCGCTTCGAAGCGTTTATTCTAGTGGTTACGGAGGTGTCATCCTGACGGGAAGGGGAGCGAGTAGACCAGGCATGGGCGGATCTTCGGAAAAGTAAAGAGCATCTCGTTGGCAACTGCTGTAGCAGAGGAAGAACCGAGTCCATGTAAAGGCAAGCATCCTACGACAATGTTGAAGTTTCCCATAGGACCCAGGATGTATGTGTTGTTGTCTGCCTCAGTTGACGGAGTTTGTGTTCCCATGCTCTTTGTCTACCATACCCTTGGCCGGCAGGGCGCATATCCATCCGATGGTATATTGTTCGTTGGTAAAAGGAGAGTGCGAAGAACTTGTCTTGGTTCTTAACAGTCAGGTAAGACGAGCAACCAAGTTGACTTGAGGTTTGCAGTAGTACATGGGTGGCACACGACCTAAGTAGGAAGATTTTCTCTTCATTCAGCCGCGCCTGGGTAGACTGCGCAGAATGCGGGGCTTCTTCGCACGCGTGGCTGTGCTCACTATCTTGCAAATGCAAAGGGGCTTCCTCACGCCTATAGCTACTCGCTTTCCGAGTGTTCCTAGTGAGAGCACAGAAAAAACGGGACATTTTGATCTCAACAAAAGAATCCAATAGCCCTATGATAGAAAGAAAAAGAGAGAAGAATCGCCTTCATGAGAAATGGCAGACTAGAAAGGGACCTCACAGAGGATGAAGAGCGGTATTCTCGAGCCGCACTTGATATGATGAAGAAAGGAAATATAAAAACTAAATACAATACAAAATGGAAAGGAAAAGGGAGATGCTGAGGTCCTGAGGGGCCGGGGATGCCAAGAGTAAAAGATAAAAGCGAGAGGCTGGATGGGAAATGAATCCCAAAAGACAAGACGAAAGAAATAGAATAGCAAAGCGCCCCTCTGATAAGCGAAAACTCCCCTGTTCAGTTGTTCACTGGACTTCCTTATAGATCAGACCAAGTCGTATCGAATAGTATGCGCCTAACTCCATATCCGTCGGGATAAAAATCAAAGACAAGCGAATGCAAGAGGTGGGCGCGGTGGAGATAGGAGGAAAAGAATCGAAAGCGGATCACAAGAGACGAAGCAAAGCGCAATTGGGTATGGAATAGATCAAAGCAGACACACCTAATAAGATGAGACTCATATAGACAGGGGTATCAACGGCCACATCGAAAAATCAGCTGGCAAATCTGCGAGGCAGAAAACAAATGTTTGTGATATACGAACAAACTCAGCTGCTGTTTGATCGCAACAATGTCTATTTGAGAGAACACGATTAGCCAATCTGGTCCGAACAACTCATGTTGGAACATACAGCTAACGTACCCGCTCGTCTATCATCTCTTCTTCTTTCTCTTCTGTGGGACTGACAACACTCCCCCGGGTGATGGGACCAGAGGTCGTTACAGCCCGCGTTTCCGGCGCGGGGCGAGGAGGAGGTTGTGGCAATGGTTGTTGCTGCTGCTTTTGTGACCGCTGCTGCGGTTGTTGTTGCTGCTGCTGCTGGTTTTGGTTGTCCGAGGACATTGAGTAGTTGGGATGCATTTCCCCGCTACTTGAAATCCGAGACTCCTTGCTTTTTTCCAACAGCGAACCACCAAGGGTAGCGCACTTGAGAATAGTTTGCATCATCTGGTTTTGCTTGAGCGGCTTCGACAGGTACTCGTCCATCTGGGCCTGAATGCACTTTTCTCGGTCACCCAACATGGCGTGGGCAGTAAGAGCAATAATAGGGGTTCGTTGGAGTCCACTTTCGCGTTCGTATTCACGAATCTTACCAGTGGCTTCGAATCCACCCATGACAGGCATTTGAACATCCATCAAGATGACATCGTAACGGCGCTTCTTGACAGCCTCGACGGCTTCCAGACCGTTCCCGACAACGAATACATTGTGGTTGTGTTTCTGGAGAATCTTCATTGCGAGTTGCTGGTTCACATCGTTATCCTCAGCAAGGAGAATGTCGAATGAACGGGAGTTGTCTGTGGTGATTGGCGTGGAGCGGCCTTCCAATGCCGGCAGCATACCATTTCCGAGATCGATCGGTTGACACGGGGTGGTCATGTATGAACTGATACCGAGATCCAGTGCCGACTTCAAGCTGACGCACACCAATGGACACACAAGAACGATGGGAATATACTTGAACTCATCGAATGTTCGCAGGATTCTGGCGGTGTCGACCGAGTCCACGATGATGACATCGTAGGCGTGGCCTGATTCCTTACCAGAAGGATCTTGAATTTCTGGCGGTGGAACATGCTCCTCATTTCGCACAACCAGGGGTTCTAGGGCAATCTTCTTCAGCATCTTCAAGATGTTAGAAGCCTGAACGCCGTTCTGACCCTTGTCAATGAACAACACTCGGTGGTTCTTGTAGGGAAGAAGCTGGTTGGAGATGACGCTCAAGGACTGATCTGCCAGCTTCACCACGCAGGTGAAGTGGAAGGTACTTCCATGGCCGTATTCAGATGTGACCCAAACATCACCACCCATCAAGTTCACGAGACGCTTGGAAATGGAGAGACCGAGACCAGTACCACCGAATCTACGGGTGGTTGAGCCATCGGCTTGTTGGAAGGTGTCGAAAATGAGATCAAGCTTATCCTCCTCAATTCCAATACCCGTGTCGGAAACGGAGAACTCAAAGGCGTACTCATTTGTTGTACATTGCTCCCGATCAGACTTCCGAATGGTGAGTTTGACTTCACCATGCTCGGTGAACTTGATGGCATTACCAACCAAGTTGAGAATGATCTGGCGCAGACGGAATGGATCGCCAATGACATAGTCAGGAACGGTGTTGTCAACCTGGTATGTCAAGCTGAGGAACTTCTCGTTGGCCTTCACAGCCAATGTCTTAAGGGCGTTGAATACAGTGCCACGAACGGTGAACGGAATGCTCTCGATCACCATACGGTTGGCTTCAATCTTGGAAATATCCAGGATGTCGTCAATGATGGTGAGCAAACTGTTTGCCAGGTTGTGCACGACGTTGAGCATCTCTCGGGTGTACGGTTTGAGGTCATCCGTATCTAATGTTAGCTGCGTCATACCAATGATACCGTTCATTGGCGTTCTGATCTCGTGAGACATGTTTGCCAAGAACTCTGATTTGGTGCGATTGGCAAGTTCGGCAGCCTCCCTGGCAGCAGTGTTACGCTGGATACTATCCCGCAGGTTGGACACCATCTTATTGATCTTTCGCTTCAGTTCGTCCATTTCACCTGACGCGTTGACCGTGATGAGCTTGGTGAAGTCACCGTCTGTGGCGGCATCTGTGATTTCGCCAAATGCACGCACTTGGGATGTCAGGTTTTCGGCCATGGTGTTGACGTCCTCGGTGATTTCCTTCCAGGTCCCCGCAATGCCCTCCACGTTGGCCTGACCACCCATCTTTCCATCGACACCGACATCGCGGGCGACCTTCTTCAGTTCGGTAGCGAACTTGGCGAGTCGCCCCACCATGTGGTTGATCGTGACCTTAAGAGTGAGGATCTCTCCTTGAGCATGCACCTCAATTTTCTTGCTGAGATCACCCTTGGCAATGGCTTGTGTGACGTCGGAGATACTTCGTACCTGAGAGGTCAGGTTCTGCGCCATAGTGTTCACATTGTCGGTGAGATCTTTCCATTTTCCTTCCACATTATCTACCTTGGCCTGTCCGCCAAGGGTGCCGTCTGTGCCGACCTCACGAGCCACTTTACTGACCTCGAAGGCGAATGTGTTGAGCCGGTCCACCATGCCATTGATGGTGCTCTTAAGGTCAAGAATTTCTCCTTGGACATTGGCAGTGACCTTCTTGGTCAAGTCACCCTTGGCGACAGCGGTGGTAACGTCCGCAATCTCGCGCACCTGGGTGGTCAGGTTGTTGGCCATGCGGTTGACATTTTCTGTCAGATCCTTCCATGTTCCTTCGACATCGTTCACGGTGGCTTGTCCTCCGAGGACACCGTCGGTTCCGACTTCCTTGGCGATCTTGGTGACTTCTTGTGCGAATTGGCGAAGCTGGTCCACCATGGAGTTGATAATATTCTTGAGTTCAGCGATTTCTCCCTTGCAGTTCGCCTGGACCTTCTGCGTGAGATCACCCTTGGCGACAGCCTTGGTCACAGTGGCAATATCTCGCACTTGCGTGGTAAGATTGTTGGCCATGGCGTTAACATTAACTGTGAGTTCGTTCCACATGCCCTGCACACCCTCGATCTGGGCTTGTCCACCGAGAACACCTTCAGTGCCGACATCACGCGCGACTCTCGTGACTTCCGTTGCGAAGGTCCGAAGTTGGTCCACCATGGTATTGATAGTCTGTTGCAGTTCAAGAATTTCACCTTGGGCGCGGCTCTCGATCTTTTGAGAAAGATCACCATGCGCCACAGCAGTAGTCACGGCAGCAATTTCTCGCACTTGGTCTGTCAGATTCTTGGCCATAATGTTGACGTTCTCCGTGAGTTCTTTCCAAATACCATGGACCCCAGTGATCTGAGCTTGTCCACCGAGTATTCCTTCAGTACCGACTTCACGTGCCACACGAGACACTTCACTACCGAAAACTTGCAGTTGGTCCATCATAGTATTAATAGTTCGCTTAAAAGTCGCGATTTCAGGGTCCATCTCTAGAGGGTGAATCTGAACCTTCATAGACAGGTCACCGTTGGCGACTTGAGTGATAATGCCGCCGATTTCACGTAGAGCTTTCTGGAAAGCCTCATTGGCCTGTTGATGCTTCCGCAGTTCACGTTCCAAAAGAACGACATCCTCGTTTTCAACCTTGGTAAGAGCACGGCGAGTGTGCTCTTCCTGTTTTTGCAACTCGTCGCGGACCTGGGCAATGATATCCTTCTGGGAGCTTATCTCCTCGGCCTGTTTTTGGACGTGGTTGCGGAGGTAACTGATGTCCTCCTCCCGTACGACACGGGTGCCGGAGTTGGCATCTTCTTCTTCGTCGGTTTCGTCATCGTCGATTTCTCCCAATGGGCGTTGTTCGTCTGGGCCTGGGGAAGCCTTGGGTTGGTCGGTTTGGGTCGATTTTTGCTGCTGTAAAAGGCAAGATAAAGAGTCAGAATCTTGACCGGACGACAAGCGAGAGAGCCCAAATGTCCTTAAGAAATCAGGATTCTTCTCGTTGGGTTCTCCAGCAGACGGGGTGGTTTCATGGGGATCCGTCTGCTGTTGGAGATCGTCGGGGAATTTGTGGTGACTGACAGCTTGGAATTCCAGATGGTGCACACGGCGCACCAAGGCCTCAAGCTCGGCTTCGAACGCTGCCTTTGCGAGACTGTGTTCTCCGGGGAGTTTGGCCGACTTAATACCGTTGGCGGAGGGTAATTGAAAATCAAAAGGGGGTGAGGAGGAGCCGGAGGTAGGCTCGTCTCGAGCCAGGTTCTGAAGTACGACCGTCGCGGCTACGAGAGTCTCATCCACGCCGGCCATTGTGCCCTGCATCCTGTCAGTTGCTAGATCGGGGGACAAACATGTGTATAGGTATCCACCATATTGACATGGATAAGGTAAGGAAGCGGCTGGCTGGAGGAGACGGCTCGGCCTAGATAAGTAGCACTCACCGGAAATTCGGGATCCTGACACAAAAGATCAAATAAAGAAATTACAGCGACATCAAGCCAAGAGATTCAAGAAGAGACAGATGGGATAAATAGAACCCGAGTCAATCGGGGATAAAGGAAAGCGAGAGAGGACGAAGGGGGAAGAAAAGCGCGCCCGGTTATGTAAGCCAGGCTTTGCGGGGGAAACAAAACAGAAAGAGAAGAGAGAAAAGGAGGTCTGGAACAGAGAAGAAATGGTCAGTACGAGTAGGGGGGAGGAGAGAAAATATTTCGAAAGGGGCGGTGATGCCGCCTCTTTTTTTTTACCCCAGTGGTTTCTTCTATACTGTGTCTCGTTGCCTATTTAGAGCGAAAAACGTTCTATTTTTTTTTTCAGTGTTTCGCCGAGTTTACCACACTTCCGATATTTACAGCATCTCAGCCTGGGGGCACGGACAAAAGCGTTATCTATTAAAGTTTCGAGCATCATGTACTTGGGTACAAAATACACCGTACACAAAACCTCCTGGATCAACTTCACTCGCTTTACCAAATCCCGAAAGCGTGACGATCGACTCTGTAATGGCGATCGTAGGGCCGTGGCTCCAGTCACCCGGCACATATGGGCGTCGCAATAGTCTAAACTCAGGCATTTCAAAAATAGTCTCAAGCGAGGATAGACGAGCAAGTCTCGGGATTGGGTGGGTTTGAGATTCGGTGGAAAGCCAGTCAGAAATGAATGAACGAAGATGTCTCTAGGGTCCCAGCTCCATAGTTCGATTCCAATTCGGGTAAACGTGTGTGGCTGAGTGATATTGGTCAGCTCCAACTGCGCACGTGTGGTCGTTTTACGTTTTGATATCTACAGTCAGGAGCAGTATACGTTGTCTTACTTAGCATATCTTACTTGGACTGGGTCTTGGTGCGTAGGCATAGTGTAGGTCACTAGTCGGATGCACAGTTCATGTTGATAGGCTCGGCAGCCTATAAGAATGGGTTGTATCAAAATATGTGACACCATCCCAATATCAATATATCGTCTAAAATGAATACAATATGGAAGTATCAGTTTGACCTGCTTATGTACGACCGTTGGCGGGGTCAAACGGCAGAAGTGGTCGGTGTGCTTTCCCGCATTGTGTCCCGCCGAGTCATAATTCTGCGAAATACTGCCCGATATTCAATATTGACCTTCCTCCCAATTTATCCTATAGGATACGGCTGTTATGGCGTCCGATTTGACAAAGCCGGTTCTGGACGCCCTGTCCGAGTCAGATGCGCCCCTTCTCTCCAGCGATGCCTTCCCCTCCGACCCCTCAGCCACTGTGAAAGCTGCGCTCGACCGCCTTGAATCCCGGGACATGGTCAAATATGAAGCCATTAACACCGAAGTCTTGACTCTCACTGCTGAGGGTGAAGAAATTGCCGCCAATGGCAGTCACGAAGCCAAGGTGTTCGCCGTGGTCGTTGCCGCCATGGACGGATTGAAGATCACCGAGTTGCCCGGGATTGTGGGCAAGGACAACGCCAAGGTCGGCCAGGGAAATGCTTTCAAGCGTGGCTGGATTAAGAAGGACAATGATCTGCTGCGGGCCACCACAGACTCAATTGTCGACGAGACGCAACAGCACTTGCTCACAGTCCAAAAAACCAAGACCTTGGCCGACAACAAGGCGATGCAAGACCTCAAGCGGAGAAAGCTGATTGTCCTGAGCAAGGAGATCACCTACAAATTCAGCAAGGGCCCCAAGTACGCTCGCGAGCTTGTCAAGGAGGAGACCGACCTCACCCCCGAGATGATCGCAAGCGGCTCCTGGAAGACCGCGCACTTCAAGCCCTACAACTTCAACGCTAAGGGTGCCCCAACCACAGCCGGTACGCTACACCCTCTGAACAAGGTGCGCCAAGAGTTCCGCAACATCTTCTTCGAAATGGGCTTCGAGGAAATGCCAACCAACCGCTTCGTCGAGACTGGCTTCTGGAACTTCGATGCTCTCTTCGTGCCGCAGCAGCATCCTGCCCGTGATCTCCAGGACACCTTCTATATCTCTGATCCCCTCAAGGCCGACGGACCTCGCGAGGACGATCCCAACGACCCCCACCTCCCCAAGTCGCTCAAGTCCGACAAGCCCCTCGACTACCAACAGTACTGGGACAACGTCAAGGAGGTTCACCAGGACGGCAAGTTCGGCTCCATTGGTTATCGCTACCCCTGGAACGCCGATGAGTCGCTCCGCCTGGTTCTTCGCACTCACACCACCTCTATCTCGACCTACATGCTGCACAAGTTGGCTGCCAACCCGCGGCCGGTCCGCTACTTCAGTATCGATCGTGTCTTCCGAAACGAGGCCGTCGATGCTACCCATTTGGCAGAGTTCCACCAGATCGAGGGTGTCATTGCTGACTTCGGTTTGACCCTGGGTGGTTTGATTGGATTCATGGAGGTCTTCTTCGCCAAGATGGGCATTCACCAGCTGCGCTTCAAGCCCGCTTACAACCCCTATACCGAGCCCAGTATGGAGATCTTCGGTTATCACGAAGGTCTGGGCAAGTGGGTTGAGATTGGTAACAGTGGTATGTTCCGACCAGAGATGCTGGAGGCTATGGGTCTGCCCAAGAATATGAGAGTCTACGGATGGGGTCTGAGTCTGGAGAGACCCACCATGATCAAGTAAGGACTGACAAAAAGGTTAAAATTGGTTGAGGTTGATTTACTAACATATATCTACTAGGTACGGTGTCAGCAACATTCGTGAGCTCCTTGGTCACAAGGTGGATCTGAACTTCATCGAGACCAATCCCGCCGTCCGTCTGGAGAAGGATTAGACGCGGAGCATTTGACATTCATAGAAGGCAAGAAAAAAAGTATTTCTTAGGTCGTGTCTTGAAGGTCCTACCAGGAATCACGAGTTTATGTGGAAGGAAACGTATTGCATACCAACAATGAGAAGATGTGAATAAAATGTTTATTATGCACCAGTTACTAAACTTCGATAACTACATAGATATCTCTACGTAGCAATTCCTCTCTGTGGGGAGGTTTTATCGCTCGCAAGTAACCGTCATTTTAAGAATGATCCTCGAGACGAACTCAGTTCGCACAGCGAGTCTTCAATGTCGATCTGTTTCAGATTCGACGATCATACAAAAGCTCGGATATCAATCTCCACTGCGCGAATTCTGATGGCACCACTTATGGCGTACTGCATATCGCATCACAGTTCTCGTAAAGGAAATAGATCATTGAATACAGCTTCTCCTACTGATACACCGTACTGTATCTCTGTCATTATACATCATGTTTCTCCACTTTTGCTACCGTCTACTGCAGCGTCAACAGGTACTGTAGACCGGCTTGACCAGTAACCTCTCCTTATTTCATTCCACTGTGTGTGTGGCCCTGCTCAAATACGTGAGAACATCCATTGAGTTTCTCTTTGCTAGACTGTTTTTCGGTCAGAGTTATGCCAACTCTATGTGTGAATAGGTTAGCGCGTTTACCTAAATTGGATACGGTATATATATCCATGTCTCGCTCATGGGAAATTCGAACATTTCGAAATGACACCCACCCTAGAAATACCAGCATTCTCCGAGCAGGAGAAACGAACTAGCAATGGAATTGACTGGAGACTATCCAGATCAATGAGGACCTCCGTATTGGATAGAGAAAGGAGATCGCAGTTGCGGAGATCTAGGAATTTATGATTCTCCTCGCCTGGCTTCTCCAATTGAGATTTCACGTCTAAATCCTGGGTCATAAATTCCACTGGTATACCTGGTGCGCTTATGAACTAGTCTGTAGTGAAGGGCTCGTGCTCTTCCTTGAGCTGGACATCGTCATGGAAATCCCCCCTATGATTCATGAACGACTTCCAAGATTCAAACTCGAGATCGTCAACAATGGTAGTGCCAAGATCACGCATTGAATGTGGGACCTGCTGTTGATTAGCATATTGTCATCGTCAACAAAACAAGCACTTCGTGGAAGGCCTACTGCTATGCGAATGCCGTTCAATCCATCCCGGTCATAGACAGATGCATCATCAGGCCCAAGGATGGTATCCGTTGAATTATTCTCTGCCACAGCATCAAGCTCAAGGTCAAGACTTTCGGTGGTAGTATCTTGATTTCCCTTCGTGATACATGTTGACATCCTGTTCTGCACAAACAAAGATACCTCTTAGCTCGCTAGAAAGTGGTTGATAGACAAGAGACACAAATATGTAAAAAGACCAGCCAATTCAAAATCATTGTTGGCGGTGTTAGGGACTATATGTTCGTCCCTAGGGATAGATGTACAGGGCAAGTATGTCGCACTTGGTATTTCTGTTTGACTAGCAACAGCAGGCAGGAAGATACTCTATAATTATTGAACGGGAGATTTGTCTTTCATTATATGGAAGCGGTTGCTTGAATACAATAGAGGACTGAGGCATCCAAATGAGGAAGGATATAACAGAACAACAATGGCGGATGTGACGAACTATCTAGGGACAGAAGTGATGTGGCTTACAATCTCCTTCTGAATCACACTTCTCGGTTGCTTCATCTTCAACAAAAGCGTGGGGCTATGTTGTAGTTAGGCCAAAGGATTCAAGATCAACATTGGTGATCAACTTGCGGCAAAGGGTAAGCGCGAGAACGAACAGGAGGCTACCATGGCAAGACGAACAGAGGCGAAACAAATACAACGGGAAATGAAGATGTTATTGATCTAATTTGTCTACGTGTAATGTCCCACCCGTATCTGTGCCCCAGCGCATTGATCTTTGCGACAGTGGCTCTTCAGCAGGCGGGGTATGCGTAATTTCCGGCATGGATGTGCTACTTCTACCCCCTCGCTCATGGGATGTAGACCGAGGACCAAGGCCAGAGAGACCCCTGCCTAGTTCTCTTGACTACAAGAATGAGGAAGCCTTGATGTGCCGATGAGAAAGAAGAAAGAAAAAGAAGGGAGGAAAGAGGCAGATAAACACAACAACAAAGGCGGTGAGGTGAGCCCTAAGAGATATATAATGAAAAGGGAGAACATTTCGATTTTTTGGCATTGCATTTTTTTGCTTTTGCTTCATGAGTGTTGACGGGAGATTCTATCGCAGCAAGAGAACAGGCGGGGGATTCTTAGAGAAAAAACCTGACCCATTAAGTCGTCGATTCCATTCATTTCGATAGATAGGACAGTAGGAAAACAGGGTTTCTCGGAGGAGAAAAAGAAAAACAAGAATCAAGGAACATGTGACTATATCCCTTCATCCTTCTTTTGGTCATGAGAACCAACTCCCCGAACACGGACCATCAAGCCACGGTTCCTCTGCGATACCATGATTAGCTATTTGAATACCATATAGGTTGTGAGTCGCTAGTCACATACCATCAAATCAACCCGTCAACACCACCTCCGGTGAAAAACCACATCGCTGTAGATAATTTACCGCTGGGCGGACCAGACGTTCTTGAGGAAACCGTCACGCTGAGCGAGGCGGTTGAAGGAGTCGTCGCTCTCGCCGCGAGCACGGATGAAGCCGCAGAGAGCGAAGGTCTCGTTCTCGCCGGTGTAGCGACCGTTCTCGTCAACCTTGCCGACGGAGATCTGGACGGAGGCGTGGTCGTTGGCCTTGATGATGCGGTTGGTGGCGCTGCACTTGCGGGGCACGTAGCTGTGGAGAGGAAGGTCATGTTAGTTGTCTATTCTTCTGTGTGGCTTTGCGGATTGTCCCTCCAGCCCGGGTATTTCCTGTGTCCGATGGCTCGCAACGATCTCAAATTCCGATATGGATGTTTCTTCTTTCTTTGTGCGCTTATTTTTCAACTCGCTTTGCCATCTCCTTAGGTTTGGATCGAGGAATTGCTGAAAGTCGACGGGCCATCGAGGGGACAGGACACTGGGTATATTGGGACTGGGGTGACAGGATTGGAAGCCATGGCACGTACAGATCGACGATCTCTCCCTTGTCGTTCTCCATTTTGGCGGGTTTGGTGGTGAGGTTTTGACGGGCGACGGTGAGGTTGGAGGTGGAGGGTTTTTCTGCCGCACATTAAATTCAAGACTCAAATGATTTGTGTGGGTCATGTGACCTTTTGTCGAGGGCTGGCGCCGATGTGGGGAATGCGTGGTGAGACGCGCCAATCATGGACCGTGGCAATTCAAGGCGGTGTCTTGGGTTTTATAGAAGTATCAATGTAGACTTGCTTTGTTAATGTTAACCTTATGCAGTAGGTTACACATGTATTCTAAAGATTGCTCTTTTCCCGTTCTTGTTCAAGAATTTCCTTCTTCCACCCAATAGCCACTTCTCTCGCACTGCCCTTCTTAAACCGCACAAGAACAACTCTATCAGATTCGCCCCGCTTGCCTGACCCTTTCAACTCAGGCCCAGGTTTATCAAGGGCCAGGACAGCCCTCCCATCACTAGTCATCTGAATCATGGTCGGAGATATACACTTCTGCGTCCAAGGCGGAGATCCCGAATGTACAAATTCGACGAGCGCTTGACGGCGTTTCTCCATATCCTCAAGAGAAGCACATGCTCGAGGCTCCTTGTCTAGGAAGCCTGATACCAGATGCAAGAGAAGGAACTGTGGCGGGAAGAGAATGATCTCTGCCTTCTGCGCACGGCTGATCCACGCCGATGCGGGAAGGAACTGCGCCTCTGTAACTTCAATCCCCCCATCACTAGTGGGGACCTCGAGCTCATCGCGTTCGCCTTCTGCAGGCAGTTCAGCGAGAAGATTCTTGTCCACATTTGCAGGCAAGGGTAAGAAATATAGATACATCTGAGTGGTGTATCGCTTAGGAACGTTAGTAGGTGTAACCCAACGCGTGAACGGGATCAATTGATCTTTTGTGAAGTCAGTCAAGGCTCGCCTAAACGAAACACAACATGGGTAAGATGAACTAGACACTCACCTAGATCAGGCTCGGCATTGGGATTCTGCTGCTTAAGCCACTCCTCAAATGTGACCTTGTTCTGATGGATTAGTTTCCGGCCAGCCTCCCGGGTAGGTTCGTCAACGGCGAGCATTTTCCCTGAGGTCCGGTCAATTGCGAGGAGGATTCCACTCTCTTCAAAGAGCTCTCTAATCGCTGCACGTCTATAGCTAGGTGAGTCCTCGTGCCTTGCTGAATCTTCTGGTGGAGGACATGGCCCGTCTTGGGTGGATAGGTTGCCGCCTGGGAAGACATGGGCAGAGGCGAAAGAGCTAGATGTCTGGACGCGATGAAGGAGAAGGATCTCGTTCTTTGAAGAGACAAGTAATACACTGATATAATTAGTTATGAGCCTTGATTAAATGTAGAGGGAGATGCGGCAGCCTTTCACACGTCATGCAGGGGCTGCTTACCTGGAACTGGGACGGGGTACCGCGGGCTGCTTCTTCTGTCCACCTTCCTTAGCTCGAGGCATTTTCGGATTTTGGATGTTTGGATTTGTATCTGATGAATAAGTTCTCTGTGCAGCTATACAATTTAGGCGTTGAAGGGACTTCGGCCGAATGTGAGATGGAAATGCGCGAATAATGAGGCTGGGAGAACTTCGACGGCCCAATGTGTGTGTAAATCGGCCGCTGAGATGTTGGAATATGGTCGACATCTCAAAATCTTAAAGCCGAGCAACAAGCCCTGGTGTTTATAGAAGACAATGACCCGAGAGCCTAGGCTGTCCCCTGTTACCCCGCGTGCAGCTTAACCACATCGAGTTTAGCCGAACGCGGCGCCATGTGCTTGGACAAACTACAGTACATTGACTCTATTGTATAGGTTAACTTATTACAAAGGCCATAAAGCATCACGCAGTCTTTCAACAAACACCTCGAAGTGAATGTTTCATCTGTTGCACTGTTTGTGCCTGAATTTGGCCCTCTTCTTTGATCTCTTTTTTGGCCATTTTCGAGTACCTTGAGTTGGTTATCTAATTTATTTAGAGATGTGCCTTGTGAAAGGACTACTGGCCACTGATGTACATCTACTGGTTTACAAAGAATGATAGCTGAGTGAAAAAGTAAACATGTTTGCTCATTAACAGAGATGGCGTAAATCTTCAAATCGTAAACTCCTATCCTTTACCCCTTTTTTATTTTCCAGGCCATATTTCATCGGGTCGGACCCGAGACATATTCACAACGAAAAAAAGACCAATTAACAAGAAGCTTGAATCTTAAGCATAAAGCTTCTTGTCGTAGGAGTGGAGGCCGTGAACGTTACCCTCAGTCATGGCGCTGGCACTACGCATCTCGAAGCGGACAGTGCCATCGTTGACACCTTGGTGCATAGCGGTCAGACTGGGTCGACCAATATCCTGCAGAGAGTGCTGGATACCGGCAACGAGGTAAGGAATGAACTTGGTGACGGAGCCACGGTCGAGGACTGAGCCAGCGACACCCTGGGCAACAAGTACGTTGGCCTTCTCGGAGAAGTAGCGAGCGGTACCAGCGTTGCTGGCCTTGCTGTCCTTGGCACCGTTGCCGGCCTTCTTGTCCTCCATGGCGGCGATGGAGCCCATACCACGGTAGGCCTTGACGAGCTGACCCTCGTTGCTGACGTAGTACTCGCCAGGGGACTCGGTGGTACCGGCAAGGAGACCACCCATCATGACAGTGCTGGCACCCATGGCCAGACCCTTGACAATGTGACCAATGTTTTGGACACCACCGTCGGCAATACAGGGGACACCGAAGCGAGCGGCGAATGAAGCAACGCTGCGCACGGCGGCGGCCTGGGGACGGCCAACAGCCATGACCTCCTGGGTGATACAGGCACTACCGGAGCCCATGCCAATTCTCAGGCCATCGACACCGGCAGAGATCAGAGCAGCAGCCTGCTCACGGGTAACGACGTTTCCGCCGATAACATCAATCTCAGGGAAGGTCTTCTTGACGTACTTGATCATCTCGATCTGGTACATGCTGTTACCCTGGGAGCTGTCCAGGATAACAATGTCAAGGCCAGCCTCAACAAGGAGCTTGAGGCGGGACTTATCCTCCTCACGAGTACCGATAGCGGCGGCACAGATGAGCTGCTTAGAGTCGGGCAACTTGGAGGCGAGGGGGTAGTGGAGGTTCTTCATCAAATCAGAGCGGGAAAGCAAAGAGACGATGTTACCGTTGGAGTCAACAATGGGGAGCTTGCCCTTCTTGGACTGACGGAGAACCTCGTTAGCCTCCTGCAGGGTGGTACCGGCAGGGGCAGTAACAAGATCCGTGGCCATGATGGCAGTCACGGGATCGTTCAGCTCACGGTGGAACTGAATATCACGGGAGGTGACCATACCAACGAGCTTGGAGCGGAGGGTTCCGTTCTCTGTGACTCAACATTAGCATTCTGCTGACAAAAGCTAATGTGTGAAGACAAAGTCAAAAGATAGACAAAATTGCTCAGACAATATCGGTTCTCTACAATGCGGCTTTCGCCGCTACAGTGGAACGAAAGTTATAAATTAAAGATGTTGGGTCATCATGCAAGGTGGGGGTTGGTGCTGCAGGGGAATTGAGAAATATTTGACTTACCAGTGACAGGGAAGCCACCGAATCCCCACTTGGCCTTGAGCTCCTTGGCCTCACCGACGGTGGCGGTGGGAGAGAGGACAACGGGGTCCAGGATGAAACCGTTCTCGTATCTCTTGACCTTGCGGACCATCTCGGCCTGGTCCTCGGGGGAGCAGTTGTGGTGAATCACACCAAGACCACCGAGCAGGGCCATGTGGATAGCCATGTTGTGCTCGGTGACAGTGTCCATCGGGGAGGACACAAGGGGTGCCTTCAGCGAGATACGCTTAGTGACGGGGGTGGTCAGGTCAACCTCGTGGGCAGCGAAACCTATACCAATTAGTAATGGCTCTCTTTCTTTTTTTTTTTTTTTTTTTTTTTTCAATCGGCGCGGGGTTCGGCTTACCGATGTAACCGGGGAGGATCAGGAAATCGTTGTAGGTCAAAGCACCGTGCTTGTCAGAGTCAAGCAGGGTGTCAGCGTCCAAACCATCGGGGGTAGTGTAGGACTTCAACACCTCCAGGGCGTTGGCGTAGTCCTGGATCTCAGCCTTCATGGCAGCTCCGGGAGCAGCGTCGTTGGCGCTGATAGGCATTATGAATAAGAAGAATGTCCCGAAAACAAAAAATGAGACACGACTTGAGTTAAACTAATCAACAGAAAGAAAACGTTCTGCTGATGGAGAAAGTCGAGCTTTCCCAAGAAAGAAAAAGAAGAAGAAAATGTTCGAGCGAAAAATTACATCCTTTTCTCTTCCGTGCACGGCCACATCAGGCTTTTGGCCTTCCTTGATTGGGCTTAGCGTACCGGCGCTTGTCTGGTTGACGCCGTTAATTGGCTGATAAACGAGGTTCTTCAGGGCGGTGAGCTGCTCCAATGTGTGAAGAGGTACCTGGACTATATCTGCATATGGTTGCTTTACTTTTGATCTGATGCAACCTCTCATTGATGGATTTGGATATTTGTCCATCATGTAACACGGACATTGAGTGGCCACCTGGACATGCATACTGCCGGTTCCTGGAGCGGTCCGTATAGTATATCCGTATACCCGACAAACAACAATAATGCTTACTGAATGATAGAGCATATGGGGCAAATAGTTTTCAATAAATCATGTCTTGGCTGACCGGTACACAATTCTTCATGCTGTCAAAAGCCTCTAATACATACCCTATGAATTTGAGTCAACTCATTCGAACATGGACTTGGATTCAGCAATGGGCGAGCATGGTGCCTTCAATCCGACACCAGAAGCACAGAGTCAGAATAAACCAGGGTGGGGATTAAATCACCGTGAATAAAGACCAAAGTTAATCCAAGGGTCTAGCTTGGAAAGCATAATGACTTTGCTTAGCGAATCGACCAAATTGGAAGGCAGTGGCGGCTTCACTGAATATTCCGGTTCAGGCAAACTGAAGAACAAAAAGGCACTCATCACCAGCGGAGAGTATGTGTAATACCAGCTATATTAACGGTGGCTAAGAAGTGTTTGGTTCTGGAATTGGGCGATCTGTGGCTGTTTTGATGGCAAGAGAGGGTGCGGATTTGACAATCGATTCCCTGTGGACAGAGCAATCAGATGCAGAGGAAAGAGATCTATTAAGAAAGATAAAACGGGGTTGTTTCTTGATTTCGGGTGACTTGAGAGATAAAAAAGTGTGTCTCCATGCAGTGAATGAACATGTGCAGAAGCGAGTCTGAAGTATTATTCCAGGGATGAGACGACTAATGGTTGATGTCGCAGATATTGCAAGATCAACATTCTTGTGAATAACGCATCAAAGCAGTAAATGACTCAGGAATTCGTGGATATCGACCTGGACAAGGTTGAGGACCTATCCCGAACCAACATAGTACAAATGATTGCGATGGCGAAGTTTGAGCTTCCTCATATGTCTCGAGGTGATTTGTAAGTTCTTTCTTCGTTTCTGGGATATAATACATTGCTGGTGTGTTGCAGAATCATCAACACTTCTTCGATTGTAGCTTTTCGTGGATCAGCAACGATGATTGGTTATTCTGCAACCAAAGGAACTGTCATCTTATTCACTTGATCGTTAGGCACATAATTGGTTCCCAAAGGCATCGGAGTTAATGCAGTAGCGTGAGCGTCACCCTCCATTGCAGGAAACCATGTATTGACTTTATTCCTTCCAGTCCAGGGCCATCTACACCCCAATTCAAGTCGGTATTCGAGACGCTGAGCAAATGGAGGGCTGGGGTCACAAAGTTGGGCTTGGGCGACCAGGGAGCCAAGTGAGGTTGCGACAAGCTTCGTTTTCTTGGCTAGTACGCATGCTACTTTATACTGTGAGTGGCCAACAATTATCTGTACCAACACCATTTCAGCAAGGTAACTTGGTATCTAAATACACGGGCAGGTTCTCCGCTGTTATCCGCTCAGAGACTGATGAGCGCTACAATGGGCTGTTTCTACTCTTCCAAAATTGTAATTGTCACTGAGATCAAATTTGCGGGAATAGACAAAGCGTGTTCTTGTCTTTGGTATCACATTGAACTGCAACTGAACATGCAACTGAACATAAAATCAAGATAGAAGCCAAGGCCTCGCTCCAGCGAGAGCTTTGTCCCACCCCTCGTCATTCTGCCAAATGGCAACGCTCTCGACCTCTTCTCTACCCAATCTCAGTCCATTGTAAAGATGCTTTCTCCATATTAGCGGATAGTTAGCGTTGGAACTAATATGCTTAACTCACAGGGAAAAGTTCCTCGCCAGGTCGAGGACCGCTAACCTTCCCGTCTGGTGATTCCCATTTGATATCTTGGATCACGCGGTGGTACTCGATGCGCAATACATAGACCAGAGGCTCTTCGGCGAAGAAGGTCTTCAATGTGGTTGGGACCTGATGCGCCTGCGAGAGGTGGATGTAGCCAGAGTCCTGATCGAGGTCACTGACCGCAAGCCGCTCGGGAATAGGCTCACGGACCGGCGAGGTGGACGGCACGATCTTGTAAATGTAGCGAGGCTGCGAACTGAGGGACGTCATGATGAAGAAGATAGATTGAAGGAGGAAAAGTCACCGATGTAATGACTTTGTTGATCACAGTGAGGGAAAATGTTTGTCAGCTGGTTTCTTGGGTCGTATTGGCGGGGTCGGTTCACCCGGCTCAGCTATTGCGCAATGATTCACTTGTATCTGTGTGTTCGAGACTTAGGGAGAGAATACCTATTTTTGGTGGTCTGGTGTGATGAGAGTTATGAGTTTGGGTAAGGTCATGTATAAATTTTGAGTTAACTCAATTTCCAGGGATATATATATCCTCGTATGAGGTGTAACCCGCTGCATGCCTGCTGGGTATAGGAAAATATAAGTCAGAAAGGTCTAATCAATGCCACCTGGATTGCTATACTAAGATCAAGACCACAATATCATAACTGTCCATCGGGATTAGTATGACCCGTAATTTGTTAATGATCGCAACGATCTATTGGTGCCAGATGTACAAGCTTGCAGCGTGATAAAGAGATGTAATATCTATATCTCAAACCCAATGCCCAAAAATGCGAAACTGGTAAGTGTTCACTTATCTGCACAGTAGAAAAAAACAAAAAAGAAAGCACAGTAAGACTGCAAGGCTGGTACCGAATATGATGGTCGCACGGGACTACGAGGCACTAAAACTTGCCAAATCGAACACCAGCCACTGACGCCAAGGCTGTATAGACCCTGGCGATAAAGTACGACATTGGGATTTCCAAGACTGAAGCACAGACCAGGCTATGTTGTAGCAAACATAATCCTAGATCTCCTTTGATATGATAAATATAGTACAAATAGACTGATACATCGCCAATATCGCAGGATGCACGTGATCCAAGATCGACAAGCCACAATCACCTGATAGCGCTATACCCGATCTGGAGATTTGTTGTGCCCCCCCTGTGCCCCGTTTTGGGGAATCTCGGTCGCACTTGCCTCCCCCACCGTCAACAAGAATCTCGCGACATACCTGTCCATTTTCCAATGCGAACTCGCCCTTGATTTCGTATCTCGGCATCCATCTCTTTTGGTCTGAGACCTTGTTTGACCCGCGCATTCCGCTTATTCTGCCAGAGCAGGGATGCGGTCAATCAAACACAGGAATCCCCCATCGATTTCGCATACCCGCTTTCAAACCAAGTGATGTCAAGTCAATTCCCGTCACTCAAACGGGCCCAGACGGACCTTCCTGCGCAGTCCACCAGCCCATTACGACACGGCTCGACAGCGTCTACGAACTCGTCTGCATATTCTGTCGCGTCCAGCTCATTTGCCCCGAGCCGAACCAGCACTGTCTCTTCTAATGCGTCGATATCAAACACATTGGGTCATTTGCGAGGGAAGAGTGAAGCTGGCAGTATAGGATCAACAAGCACCGTAACGGACGCAATGGAACGAAGAACCTACTCCAATGCTGGCTCAGCATACGATAACATTCGCCGATCACTGCGCCCACTCTCACAAGCGCCGAATGTATCGTCTACCCCGAACACGGGGGGATATCGCCACTCACGAAGCAACACACTCGATGAATCACATCCCTGGAAGGACGCTCGACCCAGCACACCCGAATCACGCCACGTCCGCCAGCAAGAAAACGAGTCTCCGCGTCACAAAGCCCACGCTTTCGAGTCTCAAACCTCACCACCCGTCTCTCCCCACCATTTCTCTCCTGTTACCGGAAACTCGAGACCCTCATCGCCTCAGAAATCGCTATCGCATGGTCCTCCGCAGCTGACCGCCCAGCTCTCAGCGCCAGAGCTCGAAACATTCCAAAAATCATCCACTGGTCATTTGAGAACCCTTTCCAAGATCGCACAGTCAGGCGAAGGTGAGGATTTCCAGTTCGGCTCTTCGACAGGATCGGTGGTGGGTCTACAGGGCCGACGACGGTTGAAGCGTGCGGGCTCGGTAGCCGGAAGGAATGGCGCAATATCTCCAGAGAAGCCGAAAGCTTCTTCATGGGCGGCTGGCAACTGGATGGACCAGCAACGACAATTCATTCAAGCATACGAGTATCTGTGCCATATTGGAGAAGCCAAACAATGGATCGAAGATGTGATTCAAAAGCAGATTCCACCGATTGTTCAGCTGGAGGAAGGGCTTAGAGACGGTGTGACTCTAGCAGAAGTAGTGCAAGCCATGTACTCTGGCCGAACCTTGCGCATTTTCCGACACCCAAAGTTACAGTACCGTCACTCGGATAACATCGCCTTGTTCTTCCGATTCCTTGACGAAATTGAGCTTCCGGAACTGTTTCGATTCGAACTCATCGATTTGTACGAGAAAAAGAATCTTCCCAAGGTCATTCACTGTATCCACGCCTTGTCCTGGCTTCTTTTCAAGAATGGCATGCTGGACTTCCGAATGGGCAACTTGGTGGGTCAGCTCGAGTTCGAACATCATGAGCTTGAGAAAACCCAGAAAGGTCTCGACAAATCCGGTGTCAGCATGCCTAGCTTTGCGGGCATGGCAGCAAACTTTGGCGCTGAGCCCGAACCTGAGCCCGAGCCCGTCGAGTCAGAGGAGGAACGCATAGATCGTGAACTACACGAAAATGAAGCTGAGATTTGTGACTTCCAGGCGCAAATCAGAGGCGCGATGCTGCGATTGCAGCTTGGCAATACCATGGGAGATTTGTGGGACTTTGAGCCACTCTTGATTGAATTGCAGTCACGCATCCGCGGAGACTTTGCACGCCAGATCAGTAATTACCGACTCAGCATGTACCAATTTGCAGCTGAGCTACAAGCAATCGGTCGAGGGTTTATTGTACGCCGTCGTCAACAAGGCGACCAGCAATGGCGCCAGGCCCAAGAGTATGATATTTTACAACTTCAGAGCTTGATTCGAGCATCGAAGGCCCGTTCACTAGGTGCTCTCCTGCAGACTCGGGTGCGACGAGAAGAGTCTGGAATCAAGCAATTCCAGGCCGCGATCAGGGGTGCGCTGCAACGTATGAACGTTGGTGATCAATACGAGAAATCCCGACAATCACAAAACGATGTCATCAACCTCCAATCTGCCATTAGAGGTGCATTGCAACGAATGAGCGTTTCTTATCAATACGAACAAACTCGACAAGCAGAAAGCGATGTGATCAGCCTTCAATCGGCGATCAGAGGTGCATTGCAACGTATGAGCGTTGGAGACCAATACGACGAGTCTCGGCAATCAGAAACTCAAGTCACATCTCTCCAAGCTGCCATCAGAGGTGTCTTGTGCCGAAGCCGAATGAATGCCCAGTCGTATGAAGTCAAAGAAGTTGAGACTCCAGTCCGGTCCCTACAGGCTGTCATCCGAGGATCCTTAGCTCGTCAGAAAGTGTCTGAAACAAAGGCTTTACTCAGCAAAGAAGCAGCCCAGGTCACGACTGTTCAATCTAATGTCAGGGCCTTGCTAGCTAGAACACGCCACTGTCAACTGTTGCAAGAACTGGCATTGACTGAGGATGAATGTGCAGCACTGCAAGCTCTAGCACGAGCCGCTGCCGTGAGAAAGAACACCACGGCTCTTCGCGTTGAGCTTGCTGAACATCTATCTCCAGTGATTGACCTCCAGGGTATTATCAGGGGACAGGCGTTGAGGAAGTCATTGGACGAGCAAAGGGCCGCTCTCTCTCAGGAGGAACCAGTAATACTGGACTTGCAGTCTCGAGCTCGAGCTGTGGTCCACCGGAGCCACTTGCTCGCACAACGCAATGCATTGGAACAGGAGGAGCCTGCCATTATTGATCTCCAGGCTCTTGCTCGTGCTGCCATCTCGCGTATCGAGGTTGGTGACATACTGTCTCGCCTGGAAGAGAATGAGGAGGAAATTGTTCAGCTTCAAGCGCTCTCCCGGGCAATGATCGCGCGAGTCGAGGTTGGCGATATTTTGACGGATCTTGAGGCCGAGGAAGACTTCATTACCGATCTTCAATCGCGTGCAAGAGGAATTCTCATCCGCACCCAATTCGAAGAACGGCGTCAACACTATAACGAAAACATGGAGAAGGTTATCAAGGCACAGAGTGTCATTCGAGGCCGGATCCAGGGTCAGGCTTACAAGAGCTTGACCAGTGGAAAGAACCCTCCTGTTGGCACAGTGAAGGGCTTCGTTCATCTCCTCAACGATAGCGATTTCGACTTTGATGAGGAGATTGAATTCGAGCGACTGCGAAAGGTGGTTGTTCAGCAGGTGCGACAGAATGAGATGGCAGAACAATACATCAGTCAACTTGACATCAAGATCGCCCTCCTTGTCAAGAACAAGATCACACTAGACGAGGTTGTCAAGCATCAAAAACATTTCGGTGGCCACATTGGAAACCTTCTGTCCAACACTGAGATCTCTTCCAAGGATCCGTACGATCTCAAAGCCCTGAACAAGACCTCGAGAAAGAAGCTTGACCAATATCAGGTGTTCTTCTTCCTCCTTCAAACCCAATCACAGTATTTGGCTCGGCTGTTTAGGCGACTGCGCGAGGTCAATACCTCGGACAAGGAATATGAGAGGATCAGGCACTTGATGATGGGTCTCTTCGGTTATTCCCAGAAAAGACGTGAAGAGTATTACCTCATCAAGCTTCTGTCACGATCTGTCAAAGAAGATATTGAGAGCTTCACCTCACTCCCCGAGTACCTGCGCTGCACATCCTTCTGGAACAAGCTTTTCGCCTCATATGCCAAGTCACCCCGAGACCGAAAGTTCATGCGCGATGTGCTGGGAACAGTTGTGAAGGAGTCTGTCATTGACAACCCGGATCTTGACCTGGAGAGTGACCCCATTCAAATCTACCGTTCTGCAATTAATAACGAGGAGCTTCAGACCGGCCAACGAAGCCGCCGACAGCCAGATCTTCCTAGAGAGGAAGCCATCCGTGATCCTGAAACCAGAGAGACATTCATTCAGCATCTGCAAGATCTGCGTGATATTGTTGATCAGTTCTTCCTGGGCTTTGAGGACTTCCTCTACCGTATGCCATTCGGTACCAGATACCTCGCACAGCAGATGTACCAAAATCTGCTCGAACGCTTCTCTGGCGAAGACCCAGGATTCATCCTTCAAACGGTTGGCCACTGGGTATGGAAGAACTATTTCCAACCCGCTGTGCTAGAGCCAGAAAAATATGGAGTCGTGGACCGAGGTTTGACCCAAGAACAAAAGCGCAATCTGGGAGAAATCTCCAAGGTTGTCGCACAAATCGCTTCTGGAAGACTCTTCGGTGCCGAAAATGTCTATCTCCAGCCACTCAACACCTACATCGCGGAGTCAATCCAGCGCCTAGGCCGGATTTGGGGCCAGAGTAAGTTTTCAACTACCGTTTTCCCGTCTACAATATGACTAACACGACAAAGTGATCTCGGTCCAGGATGCAGAGACCTATTTCGACATTGACGAGTTCAACGATCTCTATGCCAAGGCCAAACCCACACTGTACATTAAGATGTCCGACATCTTCTCGATTCACCAGCTGGTCGCATCAGAGATCAACCACATGTGCACCCACCCCGACGACTTCCTCAAAGATCTTGTTCGTGAACTGGGTAACGTCAAGAGCAACGAAAACGAATTGATGGCCGTCAGCTCTACCGAGATCAACCTCACGTTGAACCCCAAGCTGGCTCAAGTTGAAGGTAAGCATTACAACTTATTCCCTATCCTTCCCTTTACTGACCATTTTCCCAGACCCGGAAGCCGACATCAAAACGCTCTTTATGGAGACCAAACGTTGTATTCTCTACATCATTCGGGTCCAGACCGGCTCCAACTTGATGGATGTCATGCTCAAGCCACCGACAGTTGAAGATGAAGAAAGGTGGCAGACACTGGTTCACGAGGAGATCAACACAAACAGCCCTCGCCGAGGTGCCTACTCCGAGGCTAATAGCTTGATTGACATTGGATCCATGGGCTATGCAGAGCTCAAGGGTATCGCACTCGAGAACATCCTTCGACTCGAACAAAGCGGCAAGATCAACCGTCACAACCATTATCAGGACCTGTTGAATGCCATCGCATCTGACATTCGCACCAAGCATCGTCGCCGAATCCAGCGAGAGCGTGAACTGGAAGGTGCTCGATTAACTTCTCAGCGTCTGAGCGGCCAAGCCGTGTACCTTGATCAACAGCTCAAGACCTACAACGACTACATCGAGCAGGCCATGATTACGTTGCAGAACAAGAAGGGAAAGAAGCGTTTCCTGATGCCGTTCACCAAGCAGTGGGATCATCAGAGAGAATTGCAAAAATCAGGCAAGGTCTTCAAGTTTGGATCTTACAAATACTCCGCGCGCACGCTGGCCGATCGAGGTGTCCTGGTCGCCTGGAAGGGCTATTCCGAGCGGCAATGGGATCGTGTCGATCTGACCATTTCCAGTAATGAAGTCGGCGTGTTCACCATTGACGGCAGCAGTGGAAATATGATGATCCCAGGCGCCAATGCACAGGTACCGCTGGACGACTTGCTGCAGGCACAGTTCAACAACACGCAGTTCATGGACTTCTTTGACGGACATATGCGGGTCAATGTCAACCTTTTCTTGCACCTGATCATGAAGAAGTTCTATAATGAGTGAGTAATATGTCTTACGGACTTGACGAGGGATGAATCGGGTGCACATTCTTATTGATATTATTATTTCCTGTCTTTTTTTTATTTCTTTGTTTAAGATACCTTGGGTATTTTTGTTGATTTCATAGCGATAGCGCTCGGTTGACCGAGCGAATGACATGTACACAGGTATGATTCCACGCGAGAGTCAATTATAAATGATTCAATATTTGATCTCCTAAAGTCCTCTCAAATTTCTTCGAAACTTGTTTCTCGCAGGTATAGTTACTCGAAGTAGGTCAGGGGTTGCCACGTGACGCGTGGCGCATCAATCGGGCCAGCTGGAATCCTATCCCCTCCAACTGCCCTGACAACAGTCCTGAGGGATATCGATTTCAGTTCCTTTGCTGCTGTCAGCTTCCAATTGCTTGCGCTTCCTACTGCTCACCCTTCAGCCGAAGATATTATCTTTCCTACGTGTCCTGACTGAAAGTCACAACACCCCTCGCCATGGATTTCTCCAATCTGAAAGATCAGGTCAGCAATATGACCTTGTATGATCTCAAGGCCGGAGTCCGCAAAGTCCAAAATGGTAAGTGTTAATTCCGCTTGGTCCGAAAGCCCTCTGGCAAGACAAATCAGCTTGCGTGTCTCACGAAGTGTGGTAACTGACTTGACCGCTCCGTCATAGCCGTTATGAACTATACCGAGATGGAATCCAAGGTCCGTACACGACAGCCCACCTCCGCACAAAATACCCCGGCTAGACCCAAAGCTCCGAGAGCGTGGACTCGAAATTGATTTGCGACACAATGCTTACACAGATTAGGTTCGGGAAGCTACAAACAATGAACCTTGGGGTGCCTCGACTACGTTGATGCAGGAGATTGCCAATGGAACCCATAGCTAGTCAGTTCTCTGTCTGGTATCGTCTGTGTCAATGCGCGTGTGCTAATTATTGTGATTGCAGCCAATTGCTCAACGAAATCATGCCCCTGATCTACAAGCGATTCACCGACAAGGCCGCGGAGGAATGGCGTCAGATTTATAAGGTATGAAGGTCCAGCTTGTTGCGCAGAATTGTTCCGGACTAATCGTGCCTTTCGCGATATATAGTCTCTCCAGCTACTCGAATTCTTGATCAAGAACGGTTCCGAACGAGTTGTTGACGATGCACGATCCCACATGTCATTGATCCGCATGCTGCGGCAATTCCACTTTATCGATATGAACGGAAAGGACCAGGGTATCAATGTGCGCAACCGCTCCTCTGAGTTGGTGAAATTGCTAGGCGATGTGGATCAGATTCGCACCGAGCGCAAGAAGGCCAAGAACAACCGCAACAAGTTCAGTGGATTTGAAGGTGGCATGGGTGCCGGAATGAACAGTTCTAGCTCCGGCCGGTATGGAGGCTTTGGCAGTGACAGCATGGGATACGGTGGATACAGCGGAGGCGTCTATGGTGACGGTGGCGGCTTTGGCGGCGCATCTGGCGGCGGCGATTTCCAGGACACAGGAAGACGCACGAACCGATTCGAGGAGTACGACGAATATGACGAGGGTGATGCAACTCCCGCACGCTCGCGCGAACCTGTCACTCGCGCGAAGGCCCCTGCGACCAAGCCAGAGCCTGCCCCTGCTCCGGTAGCGGACCTCTTCGACTTTGGCGACGACGAGCCTGTCACCACAACCTCCACTGCTGTCGGCAAGCAGCCTGCCGGCAGCGGAATCAGTATGCTAGACAACGCAGCCGACGACGACGACTTTGACGACTTCCAGTCCGCAACTCCCGCCCCGCAGCCCCAAACAGCGTCATCCAACTTCGCCATTGCACCCCCGGCCTCCACCGCCAGCACCACTTCCAACACTCAATTCGTTGCGCCAAAGCCAATCTCAGCTTCGCAAGGTGCCGACATCAACGGCCTAGTCGGCTTCACATCGGTCACCCCAACCCCTTCCAGCAGCGGGTTCACCTCTCCCTCATCTCAGCAACCCAAGCCCTCAGGTTACCAAGCAGCCATGCCCAACTACTTCACCTCAGTCGCAAACAACAACCAGCAGCAGCATGGCTCATTCTCCCATGCCTCCACCCCCTCCTTGTCCTCCGCGACCTCCCCAACGGCCACAGCCAACAAGCCCGCCACCCAAGCAGCCAAGAAGCCCTCCGGCGACGCCTTCGGCTCGCTTTGGTCCACCGCCAGCGCTAGCGCCGGTATTCAAAAGTCCAACACCGGCACAAACAAAGGCCCCAACCTGGCTAGCATGGCCAAGGAGAAGGCCAGCGCCGGTATCTGGGGTGCCCCGGCTCCATCCAGCTCTGCGTCTACCCCGAGCCAGCACCAGCAAAAGCAGTCCAGCTCTGCCTTTGATGATCTACTCGGCTGATCTTTGAGTGTCGTATCTTGCCTTTCCATTTGCCATTTGGTTATTTTTCTTTCTCTCGCACTGAGTACATTCCATGTTCATTTCTTTCGATTTGCGATCTGGGCCGTGATTTTTTTAGCATTCATAATTCCAGACTTTTTCTCTCTTTGCTGTTTTTTTTTTTTTTTTTTTTTTTTTTCTATACTCATTTCGACATTCTCTGTTTCTATCTCCATTCTCTTTTTTTCCCTCCTCGGCCCTTATAGGAGTCTATCTGTCGAGCAGAGAGCCAGTTGTTAAATGATCTCCTCTTCACCCTCCTCCTACCCCTTCCCATCTCAAAAGTAAAAAAAAGCTGTCGTCTCATACCCTTGCCCAGGCACTAGCCTCAAGAGTCTGAATAAAAGGCTCAATTCTTATGCAGTATTTGGTTAATGGTTATCAAAAAAATCATCATACTCTGAATGAGATGTCTAAGCACGAATTGATTCGAGGTTAGATCTTATTAATGAGCATCCATATTCAACAAGACCTCCATAGCTGTGGCTCTTCTCTAGAAAAAGCAATGGCCATACTATATATAAGACTCAAATGAATATAGAATAGTATAGACTCGAATAGGCATTACGCTGATGCTCATTGATGCTGGTATAACGCCTGCGCTGAAGGAAGCTAAATACAGGTAGATAGATCGATAGATAGATGGATGGGTAGAGAAAACGCAGAGGGAGGGGGATAATAGGACGACGGAAGAAATAACAGTAAGAGTAAGAGTAAAGGTAAAGGTAACTGTAAAATAGAGTAATTGGGATAAAAAGAACTGGGGGCAGTACCAAGAGGGAACCCAATATCCTCTCTTTTGACTTACTTTCTCTCGATGGTAAATTTGCCGGACAATGTATGGATTAAAAGAATATGAAATTGCAATCGTGAAGACAGGGATATACGTTAAGAAGCAGACGTTGGGGACATTTCTTTGCCACCCATCGCTTGGTGGTGAGAAGAGGGTAGTGGGTGGAAAGTAAGGCTGAAGGGGGTAGTATAATTTGCGATGAAACGGACAAGCCGTTGATAGAAGTGAAGGGTTGGTCTTGGGCATGTAGTGTAGATATCATAAAACCCATCAGAGATAGTACTCTGACGATCTTGGTTTGGTTTGGTTTGAATTGGGGATGTGGCAGATGATCCACCAAAGCAAAGTGCTGAATGTCTGTTGAAACGGCAGACAGAACCACGAGCCAGTTTCATGCTCGAAACACTCTCCTCATGGAGAGCGGCAAGCTTCTGCTCGTGGGGTTGCAGATTGAAACATCTCCTTGTGAGCCGTGCACGGCCGCCGAGGGTTTGGATCGGAGTCGACTGCTTCAGGTCTTGGTCGACGTGCTGGTGCGATTGCCGGCGTCTGAAACCATTTCAGCCGAGGCGGTCTCTGTTGAGGTTGAGGGAGTGTTGCCATTTGTGGCCTGGCTTTCAGACTGAGTGGTATTTCCATCCAACGAAGGCCGCTCGGTCTGAGTTGGGGTGGAAACTTGATCAGACTCATTGGTATCTGCGCTTGAGCCCGTAACCTCGAGGCCCTCCCCATTCAGCGATGTCAGACCTCCTTCGATGTCTCGCAAGAGCCGCACAAATTCTTCTGGGACGAGACCATTCTCGCCTGTTCGAGGGTCTTCTGCAACTAGCCAGCCTTGACCGTGCCGATATGAAACGTAAATCACCTGGCCCTCGGTAAGAGGAAGCTCGTTCTCATGCTCTCGGGTAAAGTCGAACAGTGCAACGGCCTTTCCGTGCATCTCTTCATCCGGGCAACCGACGGCAAACTGGTAGTCATTGGAGTACCGGTCTCCACCTGGTATTTCATCTTCCGACTCAAAGCCAGGGTCGTGTTCATAACTCTGTTGGCCACCTGGGGCACTGTATCCCATCATCGAATACCGGCCCTCATTCGGCGGATATGTTATGTATTCCCCACCTGGCCCATCGTCTGAGTCATCCCCATCATTCACATAGTAGGTCTCACTACCGTCAGCGTTAATTCCGACGAGCGTTCCCCGATCATTATTTCCAGCTGACTGGCCCGTTCGTGACATTACTCGCTCGTCAACGAGACCATTCATGTCGGTAGACCTCTTGCGATGGCGTGAAGTGACTACTGGGCTATGCAAGTCTTCATCTTCGCTATATGGGGGACCGTCTCCGAAAGACATGGCTGGCAACTGCTGGTGGCCATGGTTGGTAGGTTCATTACCCCATTGAGCCGTTGACCAAGGTCCCCGCGAGGTATCCCATGAAGTCGGTGGGTCAGACAAGCGTCGATATTCACTTGCTGGCGTAGAGACCCCGGAGGCGCGAGGGGGAGGAGGCCCGTAGTGGAGAGGATGAATGGAAGGGTAGGCAAAGTCCCGTACAAGGGCATACGGAAGACTAGTATGGAAAATGGGGAAGACATGGGAGCCTGGGCGCGAACGATTTTGTGAGGCGAACGAGACGTTAGAATAGGTGGAGAGCCGATCCTTCGCATTCGTCGGTAATCGTTTCACGGTGCCATCAGTGAGGATGGGCGCTAAGCCCGTTACATTGTCCGCAGACAAATTGTTCTGTGTAGACGTCGAGGAGGACGCCATGGTTGACATGGGGAGAGGTCCAAAGTAGATTGAGGAATATCGGTGCGGGTTCTCAGAGGAAATGTGGGGGTGTTCATCGGTCGCGTGGGTGCCGCTCTAGTTTCGCATTGCGAGTGATGCAGCTCCGTCGGTCTGATGTGCAGTCGCAGAAAGCCGAGATCCTTCTGTTGTCCAAATCCAAAGAAGAGTGTATGTTGAGATCGGAGATATTGAGTTCGGGCGCAATGCAGCAAGCGCCAAGTAGTAGCCAAAGAGCCTCAAGAACCGTTCTTGAATAGCCTGGTCTATCAAGCTCCAAGGTGTCCCAGGGCCTCCAGGATATCGGAGTGAGTGGATGGATAATCGGCAAACGACACGAGGGGAGGGGGTCGAATGTGGCCCGAGTGGATATGCCGAACCGTAACAGTCCCAGATGTCAGCTCAGAGGATGAATATTGGAGTATTGCAAGTATGCGAGTATGCGAGGGTTGCCGTGTGGAATGTCCAAAGCCTTGGATTGGCGAAATCGGAACCGTTGTTCCAGACGTTGTCCCGCGATCTCGAGGGCAGGGAATTGCTAAATATAGCAGAAACTGCAGAAAGCACCAATGTCAGATACAAATGTAACGGAGGCATGGCGCTTATGCGGGAAACACAGTGCAAACACAGTGACAAGGATCAAGTCCCGACAGCCACATGGGAATGTCCAAGGAGAAATAGGCTCAAGAGTCGGAGATTGCCATACCTTTCTAGTCTCAACTGGAGTAGCGATCAGCGCGTAGATGATTCTGGATCGGGGATTTCCTCCGTGGGCAAGAAGAGGGATAGCCGACACCAATGTCAACAGCAGAATCAGCCGATATGCAAGGCCGATGCTCGAGAGTCACTGTGAATTGGGGAATTGAAGCTTGAACCCTCACATCTGCTTAGGTAAGCATCTAGCGTGTTTCAGATGTGGTTGGAGCTAGTCCCGATTAGGTCTCTTGTCTACAGAAATGCATTCTGATACACAAGGAGTATTCGATGAGCGATGAATATAGCAGCTCTATATTCAACATTTTGACTAAGGTTTGGTTTGTGGTTTGATGTGGTTTGAAAAACAAGTCAACTGTCAGCAAACTACAGTCTGGACTATATATCTACACAATGGAATTGTTATTGGATACTATATTAAGCAATTCCCTACATATTACGAATACGACTACAACCACAAGTCTACACAAAACAACACTAACATAAGAATGGGTATCATCATTTTTTCTGAAATCTTCAGAGCCAGCCTCCAGAACAGATCCTTTCAATCCCTTTGCTGCCACTAAGAACAGTGGTCAGCATCCACAAATAGGAATCAATATCCAGGAGGAAGTCCAGTAGCAGTAGTAATATCTGTAATAGTAACAGTCATCCACTCGGTAGCAGTCGACAAGATTGGTGTGGACACACTGCCTACAACAGAAGAAGGCTTCTGCGTGAACTGTTGCGAGGATTGCTGCGACGGCACCGGTCTGCCAAGCGAATCAAACTGAGAAGGAATGGCGGCATTGTTGAGATCTTGATCAGTCTCATAGTCAGAGCTGACGCCCAGCTTTTTGTTGGTAGCTTGTACAATGTCCACATCCATGCAGGTGGTGTAGATCTCCTGCTTTCCCTTCGGGTAGGTAGGGTCAACACCAGCCTTGGTGGGCCAGTCCCACACCCAGTAGAGAGTGTAAGGCTTACCGGTGGGTGCATTGGTTGGCAGACGGAGATCCTGCTGACACCAAAGGTCAGCCCCCATGAGTTGGTTGGCTTGGTGGGCGAATTCTTTCTGGCGAGTCTGGGAGATGCTCTCGCCGTTGATTTGGTAACAGCGGCCATCGTCAAAGTTCTGCTTGGACAGAAGCACACCACGCTTGTCACCACCCGTGCCATCTTGAGTCCAATTCCCGTGAATGTCTAGGAGTTTCTCGCCGACCTTGGGCTGGGTAGTGCCGTAAACATAGACATAGCCGCGATTTGCGGGCTTTCCTGGCTGATTCTCGGGGAGGGTAACATGGCCGTTTTCTTGGTAGCGGAGAGCAATGGCAGCCCCAGGGCTCGCCTGGAGTCGGGGACTTCCGCTGGTTTGAGTCTGGTTTTGTTGGGTCTCCCTGCACATTTTGTTACTTGGCAAGAGCTGTGTGACATCCTGTCCACTGGGAGGAATCAGGTAGGTCATTGTATCAACGAAGCCCGCCGTACGGAGAACATTGCCTCGAGAGTATCCTGGGATACCTATGAAGGTTCCATTTGGTGCAATAACTGTGAGTTGTTCGACCCAAGAGTGGGCATTGATTGAGAGGCTTTGCAGAGCAAAGAGCACCATCCAGATGGGAGAAATTGCCATTTTGAAGGATTGGAAAGCGTTCTTGTTGGAGTACAAGGTGGTGAGGATGGAGGAAATGGCGATGATGAAATTTTTAACACACTGATCGACAGTGTAATTTAGATATCAGATGAATAGGGATTCGTTCAATAGAGTCGAATACGGTATATGCGTGTATGGTGGAGGACACCTGGTCGCAGCAGGCAACTGCCTTTATGTAGTTTTGTCTTTCCTTGAGGTCTGCACAGTTGGAAAAGAAAGTTTTGTCTTTCTGGAGTAGGCAATAAAGGATTTCAAACGTCAAGGCCCGCTCAACGCCATAGTGATATGATTAGGCACTTGGACGTCGAAAAAGAAAACAAAGGAAGTTTCATTGACGAATTGTACCTCAAATATAACAATGTATATTGGATATCAATGAAAACAAAGGAAAATAGACAAGAACTTGATTTCTAGGGAAACGTTGCAAATATAGGACATATTCGTCCAGCACAGGGCATTGTCGCGCCTAATTGGAGCCTCCAAATAATCTGATACAAACCAGAATACAAACAACGTCACACTTCAAACAAGCAGTCTGTTAATAGACTATCATATGAGCCCGATGCCATTGGCGGCATCTAAATAAAGTATGACAGGGGTGAATGATTGGGTGAGAAGGCCAGATGGCCGAGGCCCGAGTCTGCTTCAGATGAGTAGGTCGGATATTTTTGTGCTTCAAACATGCCCAGTCCCGCAACTCCTGGCGCGTAGCTTGTATTTAGCATTTTGGCATTTCGGGAGATAATCAATCTTCGCTGCAACTATGTTGCGAATCTGCAGCGCAATCGGGCCAGGAAGCACGACTATTGGCTGATGAGGAGACCCTCGGCGCTTCGCGGTCGGTCTCAAGATCCTGCAAACAAATTAAAGCGCTTTGAGAAAATCAGAAAAGAGTGAAGAACCTTCTGCCCTTCTTCACTTTTGACGCTTCCCACTCTTGGCTTGAAGACTCTTCATGTGGAGGTTATACAGAAAGTGGTCCATGCTCCCCACCAAGCCCGACGTCGGGCTTGGATTCTTCACTTTTCACTCTTCACTCTTCACTCTTCACTCTTCACTCTGTTTCGGAGTTAGTGTTGGGTACAGACGAAAACAGTTGTTAGTCACACCTGTGTGCTCACATCCCCAAGGTATGACTATGCATAAATCGGGGCCCGGAATCCGTATACGGAGCAGATTGCCCGAGTTAGGGCACTCCGACACTGATTGATCTTATCTTTGCTGGATTCTCGCTCGCCAAGCTCGGTTACCGAGCTCAACACTGGACTTATGGAGTCTGCACCGGCTCAGCCGGAGCTGATTCGACTCAAAGTTATCTGATTTTTATCTGATTTCTCCGGCGACTCCACCCGGTGGATTCCATCTCGTTGGCATGAGACAATTTGGTGGGTTCTTTGACTGAGGCCTCGCGGACTGAGACCGACTTTTCATCTCACTTTCCTCTTCAGACCATGGTGGACGGAGTAGCCCGCGAGTTGGCAGAGCTAAGTGACCTTGGACATGGGTGGAGATGCTGATCGCCAACAAAATTTGCGAAGAAGTTTTGCCTCCAAACAGCAAGATTAACACGATGTACTCTGGTTTCCTCAACTGATCAGTACAACAAGGCTTCAGGCCAACCCCCGTGCCTCCGGCCGACAGCCTTATGTACATATATTGGCTGCATGATGATTATGCAGTAGCCCAATAGTGCACCTTTCCCACCCCATAAGCGTTGACTATCTAGTTTTGTGTGCCCAATCATAGACTCCATACTTAGCCACAGCCAAACCAGGATTTCTTTCAAGGAAGATGCCGAATTGACTCGGGGTATTGAGCGTCATATTGCTCTAGGAGAGGGTCCTAAGATTGTAACTCCCTTAGCATCATCCTAAATCCTCTAAATCCTCTAAATCCTCTAACTTCTCGTTCCCTATTCTCTACTAATTATCTAGTGCAAAGTAGCAAATTACTGTACTCGCCTCCACTGTGGCTTGGCGACCCGTCGGCAATACTTAATTCCAGGTCGCGGCTTCGGAGGCCGACTTATTATTTTGCAGCCTTCAGGGGGCCTTCCGCTTTTTCTCCAACTTTCCAAGAGGGGCCCTGAATTTCCTCCCTACCTTCTTCCGGTATGTTTTCTTCGGTTACTCAATGGCTTCGTGAATGCAACTAACCAAAGATTGAAAAAGTCCCCGTGGTAGGAAAAAAAAAACAGTCGTGGAACCGCCTCCCTGAACAGCTCGTGTGAACCACACGAGGACCGCCGTTTAGGCTCTCGACGAATCTGACTCTGACACTGGTTTTGGTGTAAGCAACCCACGACGGCTTTCCTCGCAGGCTCTGGTCCCTGCGGACCGTCTTAAAACTACCCTACGCCTTCAACAGACGTCTCACCGCTACCCCCGACTCGTCACCATGGCTACCTCTTTTATTTCCAAACGACTTCGCTCCAATGAGGAGGAGCAGAAGGCAGAGCCTAGCTGGCTCCGACGCCAGATTGTCTCTGGCCTGCAGTCAATCTCTCGCCGTGCCTGTGTGCACCCCATCCACACTATTGTCGTGATTGCCCTCCTGGCCAGTACTACCTACGTCGGTCTGCTCGAAGGCAGCTTGCTGGATACCGCCCGAGACCCGCGTAGTGTCGCTGGTCAGGTGGACACCGATGCCCTCCTCCAGGGGAGCCGCAATCTGCGGCTAGGCGAGTCCACTTCATGGAAGTGGCAGGCGGAGGATGTCTGGACCGACTCTGAGGTAAGCGGCCACCGCCTTTAGTTCTACTTGGGGACCAATGACTGATATAATGGTTTAGGTTGAGAAGCCGGCAGCCCAGCACCTTGCTCTGACTACCTTGATCTTCCCGGATTCTACCTCCGCTGTCTTGACTGCTCCTGCCTCCGATGATGTGCCAATCCCTGCCAACATCTCCGCTACTTCGGTCCCGTATACCCCCAACCTCTTCTCGCAATTCACCCACGACTCTGCTCTGGCCTATACCGTGCCTTTCGACCAAATGTCGGAGCTTCTGAAGGCGGTGCAGGAGATCCCCAATCCATCTGCGGATGAGGAGGAAGAAGAGTCCAAGAAATGGATCATGAGAGCTGCTCGTGGCCACGCATACGGATCCCGCAGAGCTGTGAAGCTTTGGTTCGCAGACGCGTGGGGTTCATTTGTGGATCTGATCAAGCACGCCGAGACCATTGACATTGTGATCATGGCTCTCGGCTACATCTCGATGCACCTGAGCTTCGTCTCCCTCTTCTTCTCGATGCGCCGGTTGGGCTCCAACTTTTGGCTTGCGGCTACCGTGCTCTTGTCTGGTTCCTTCGCTTTCCTTTTCGGTCTGCTTGTGACCACTAAACTCGGCGTGCCCATTAATCTCCTGCTGCTATCCGAGGGCTTGCCCTTCTTGGTTGTTACCATCGGATTTGAGAAGCCAATTATGTTTACCCGGGCCGTTCTGAACGCCTCCGTGGATAACCGCCGACCTCGTCCCGGTGCCGCTCCTCGCCCTTTGGCTTCGAGCACTCCCCGGTCCATTCAGGAGTCCATCGCAGCTGCTATTAAGGACCAAGGGTTCGAGATTGTTCAGCACTACTGCATTGAGATTGGTTTGCTGGCTCTGGGTGCCGCATCTGGTGTGCAGGGTGGTCTCCAGCAGTTCTGCTTCCTCGCAGCCTTGATCCTGTTCTTCGACTGCGTGCTTCTCTTTACTTTCTACACCACCATCCTCTGCATTAAGCTCGAGATTACTCGTATCAAGCGTCACGTGGCTCTGCGCAAGGCTCTTGAGGAAGACGGCATCACTCACAGTGTCGCTGAAAACGTTGCCTCCAGCAATGACTGGCCTCGCGCCGGATCTGGTAGCAGTGAGGCTGATACCAGCATTTTTGGACGTAAGATCAAGTCTAGCAGCGTGCGCCGGTTCAAGATCCTCATGGTTGGTGGTCTTATCTTGGTCAACGTTGTGAACATGTCTGCTATTCCTTTCCGTAACACCGGCAACGGTGGTCTCCTGTCCCGCTTCTCCAGCGTCCTGTCTCCTACCCCCATTGATCCTTTCAAGGTGGCTGAGAACGGCCTGGACAGTGTCTATGTTGCGGCCAAGAGCCAGAAGCAGGAGACCATTGTCACTATTCTCTCGCCCATCAAGTACAAGTTGGAATATCCCTCGATCCACTACGCAGCTCCCGTCGAGGCTAGCTCTTTTGACATTGAATACACCGATCAGCTTTTGGACGCTGTGGGTGGAAAGGTTCTTGAGAGTCTCCTCAAGAGCGTCGAGGACCCCTTCATTAGCAAGTGGATTATCGCTGCTTTGACGCTGAGCATCATTCTCAATGGTTATCTCTTCAATGCTGCCCGTTGGAGCATCAAGGAACCCGAGGCTGCCCCCGCTCCGGTGGAGGTCGTTGCTGCACCCAAGGTCTACCCCAAATTTGAGCCCAATGAGGCGGAGTCCACTCGCACTCCTCAGGAATGCGAGGCTCTTCTGAAGGAGAAGCGTGCCCCGATCCTTAACGACGAGGAACTGATTGATCTGTCTCTCCGTGGAAAGCTCCCCGGCTATGCTCTGGAGAAGACCATGGAGGATGAAACCCTGATGAGCCGTGTTGATGCCTTTACTCGTGCGGTCAAGATTCGCCGCGCTGTTGTCTCCCGTACTCCTGCCACCGCTGCTATTACTGCTACTTTGGAAGAGTCCAAGCTCCCATACAAGGACTACAACTATGGTCTCGTCCACGGTGCTTGCTGTGAAAACGTTATTGGTTACCTGCCCCTTCCTCTCGGTGTTGCTGGTCCTATCAACATTGACGGCCAAAACTACTTCATTCCCATGGCTACTACCGAGGGTGTGCTTGTGGCTTCCACCAGCCGTGGCTCCAAAGCCATCAATGCTGGTGGTGGTGCCGTGACTGTCCTTACTGGCGACGGTATGACTCGTGGTCCTTGCGTCACTTTCCCTACTTTGGCTCGGGCTGCCGCTGCCAAGGTCTGGA